TAGGTTCCGAACTGAACCCAATTTGGGTTCGCGACTTTATCTCCCGCCTTCGTCAAATTGGAATTCCGACATGCAACCTCTGCCGAAAGACGGGTCACCTTGCTAGCCGATGCAAGGGTAAAGGTAAACTCCAGGAGTAGTTTAACTCTAGTAGGGGGGTAATGTTACGAACATGTATGCTTACTATACTGTATTACTATACCTACCTCATTCCCACCTTATGTTTTTCATCTCAACTCATCGTCTTACTCATATTTACTGCGCATTGATGACTGCTGACTGATACTCATTAAAAACACACCAAAACCTACATACATTCCGCGGAATACGCATGTTATCCATGAGGACTACGCCTCATGGTTAACACACGTCTTCTAGTATATAAACTCTCTAGTTCTCTTAGTTAGCTTCCTCACTTCGTTCTTAATTGTTCATAACGCTATACCAAGTCTCAGTGCGAATACAAATATCTTTAGTTATCACTCAAAGTCTAGCTCGAAGTTCACAAAGCTACAGGCGAAGAACTCTTGACGTAGTCACGAGTTGATTCATCGACCACAAAGTCGCTGAGTACTGGACGACACGTGCTTGTATCACGTATAGTCCATAACAACGGGGTCTTGTTGGACGGGTGGCAGAGAGGCGGGTGAGGATAGTAAAGATGGTGATAAAGTGGAAGTGGGAGGTTCGTTATCTGAGCGTTGGGCAACAGACGTGTCCTCCGACTCCCTGGGGATGGGAAGTGGTGTGAGGGCGCGGCGAGGGGTGAAAGTAAGGGCTGTGGTGGGGGTAGAGTGTCCGGAGCGGCGGAGGCTTGTTACTGCGGAAAGGGCTTCTGCTAACGCGGCGTAGGTAACGTGAAAGGGGACGGGTGTTTCGGATTCTTCTTCTTCTGATTCTTCTTCCTTGTCGTTGTCGTCTTCTTCCTGGCTGTCTTCTTCAGATGATGTTGACGGTGGGCGAAAGGTTTTCGGTGCAGTGTTGGTGGTTGCTGTTACTGGGGCGGGAGATGATTCGGCGGAGTGGAAAGCGGCTGGGGATTCTTCAGTATCTGGAGCTTCGGACGGTGGGGGTGTAGCAGGCGGCGGCGGTGGATGTTCGGAATATAGAACTGCTTCGTAGTTGTCTTCGGATGCTTCAACAAAGGAGGCGTAATCCGGAAGATTCTTGGCTAGGTATTCGTAGTCGCGGGGGCGGAGCGGGTTATACCGTTTTGGACAGGGCTGTTGTAGACACTTCAGGTGGGTGTTGGTGATGTACCCGTCGGCGTGCTTGCCGGACCAGACTAGGACAAAGTGCGGTTTAAACTCGCACGGCGGAATCTTGGCTGTAGCGGTGAACCAGGGTTGCCAGAGTGGGACCTGATCGGCAGGTCAACCAGAAGACCAGGAGTGCGGCGGGGTTGCAGGGACAACGATCGGCGTTGCCGGTGCGCAGGGATAGCTTGACCTAATGTCGCGAAGAGCGAACACTAAACCAAACCAAACCTTAAAACCAGAGCGGAAGTGCCAGAGAGCGGAGAGCGACGAGAGAGATGAGAGCGATGAGCGACAAGTTGCAGCAGAAAGCTATCTCGGTGTATTGTCGAAGAGGTCAAGCTAAGGAAATACAGAGCGAACTACCTTGCTCATATACCTATTCTACCAGTTACATAGCCACGATGAGTCGAGATGACGAGCAAATGGTGAAAGACAGAAGAACAATAAAAGATAGTCACAAGGCTGTGCGAGGCTGCACGAAGAACAAGGATAAAACAATAATGAAGTAGAAAGACGTCAGAATGAGTCGAAAGGTAATACAAGGCAGTGCGTAACAATAAGAACAATAGAGGTAGGGTAAAGGGCAAAACGAGGCAGTGTTCCATGAGAGAAAGAGTCCATAGACGAGGATAAAGATAAGAAATAGGGGTAACAGGAAAGATAAGATGCGGACACAGATAAGATAAGATGAAAATGAAAATAGGGGCCGTACCAGCTGTTCACGACAGAAACCAAGTTCAGATCCCAAGCCCCGTAAGTGTCTCGATGCCACCATTGGAAACTGACCACAAGGCAGCTAAGGGTTACTTAGAGCGAACACCATCTAAGGATGATGGGATAAGCGCCCGACTGATTACCGGCACCCTAGTCGGCTTAGGTCGGTCGGGACTTTCCAGAAGTAGCCCCGGAGGTATGACCCCCAGATTACTATCTGTGCGACTCGCGAGCTCCAGGCAGTCCCGTGGAATAGGATACCGTCGGTCGATCGGTAACAATTACCCGAGAAGCACTTTTTCTATTGACAAATGTTAAATGTACGACGGGTCTGAATCTACAGAACAATCCGCCATTTCGTTCCTTCTTAGATATGCACCCAGTTGCCAGGATGCTCTTCAGATGTAGTACTTGGGTACATTAAGTCACTGGGGTTCGACTGCCAGGGCGTGTCGTTCAGCAAGGTCTATATAGCGGCAAAGATGATTGCACACGCACCCTGGTTCTGGCTTCATGGCTGGGGTAGCACAGATATCCCTCGCGATAGCAGAGAGGAGGACGATGGTGCAAGTAACCATGCTGTAAACTACGTAGAAGGAAGTGGACTTCAAACAAACAGAAACGTCTTAAGGCACGGGGAAGTAGAAAGTTCCGTAATTCAACATTCGTGGACAAAGTGAGGAGGACAAGGATTGAATGGCGTTGAAGTGTGATGCTCGGTGATCCACCAGCGATCTTCCTCATTTTCAGGGATGGATGCTCCAGATGCCATCATCCACATTCCTTCTCGGGTCGGAAATACTTAGCCCTGGATATGATTCAATGATTCAATGAGCAGAGCCCATGTTAGATTGATCGAACATGGAATGACCTATCATCACATAGTATCGACGAAACATTTCTTTCTGTTGGTTGAAGCCGTGAGTATGATAAGGGCGAAGTTTGAACTGGAAGTCGCGTTCAAGTTAGCGCATGGAAATCCACTTAAGCGCGCGTTGATAAGATAAGATGCAGGAAAATAAGATCAGTGTGGGAACTTGGTGCAGAGGGCCGTTGTAAGCACGGCAGCACGAGCCTTTCATTATATTTCTGTATCCTACCGGCGTCAGTACGAAACAGTTAGCACAACCTCCCCGAAGACAGTCTGACAGCTGGATGCTTCCCAATCTTGTCAACACTGTCACAGCGCGCGGAATCTCAATCAGGATTCCTAACGGGCCAGGGATGGGCTGGTAGACTGGGTAAGACGTGGGAGGGCTATGTTTTATTGAGAGGTGTCCTGGGTCTAAACCTAGGTTCCAAACGTGTGCCGATTCGATGACGCGACCTGGGACAAATCTGGGTACGACCTGGTTCGAACCGCGGGCCACGGCCACAACGGTTGGCGCGCATCAAGACTCGCTCGTCTGGGCGGAGCTTGGCCTCTGACCGTGTAATGAAAACCGCTGTAACCTTTGATAAGGGTCGTCAAACTTCAAGAATTGGCACCTCAAGGTACCTTCACCGCAAGATATTCCGGCCTAGCGTGAAGTGAGCGCGAGTCGAGGTGCACTGCCACAGCCTCGCTTGCACCTCGACCATCATCACCTCACCGCCCGCCCCCCTCGTCGAAATAGAGCACTCGTCATTTTCGTCTTCCCACCCTCCTCTCCCACTACACCGACTCGCCCACGCCAGCCAAGGGCAGACCCAGGAGCCACACCCCAACTCACCCAGCCCCGAAAGACAGTACCTACGCTTAATCCCTTGGCCAATGCTAATCCATGATTTCCTTATACACGAACGAACTAGACTTAGATCCCGCGAACCTAATTGCATCATATAGATTTACACACACAGCATAGAATTATTAGAATCTAGATATCATACATGCACACCCACACCCCCCAGATGACTCACTAGAATCCTCATCCCAGAACATATATAGAAGCAAACCATTGTAATCGCACGGATCGTTAGAAGACCGCTTCGCATTCCTGCACTCTCTGAGAAACGGATAAGCAAAGTGAAAACCGAGGCAAGCAACGCGAGTCGGTGGTTCACCCACCCACCCTCGCGGCTCATCTTGTCCCTTTCACAGAGTCAGGCTAGCCTTCCCAGAGCGAAGGCCTACGGCGTTCTCCCTCACACTCTCAGTCGAGACCATCTGACCAACCAAGTTGGTCTCCCACCTCTCTATTTCGACGTAAGGCTCAACTAATCAAAGACCTTGCCTTGCAACACCAACTTTTGAGCGCGATGTGTGTCGGAGTTGCCAGCCATCGGCTGATGGTATCAATCGGCAGGCAAGGGCAATCAAGCAATTCCCTAATGGCTATAATACAAAGCTCGGCGCACTCTTGGCGAGGGGTCCCTACGACTCTGAAAAACCGATCTTTACTTACGTAAAGGCTCGGAATTTTATTTTGCCAACGTTCGGTTTTCTGTGTTCGACTAAGTAGGCCGACTGTCGACTGTCTCGACTCTTTCCCAAAGGCATCCAGGACCCGTGTATGGTAGCCCTCATGTTCTGTGGACCTACCTCTAAGCCGACACCAACATGAGACCTCGTCTTCAAGTTGGGGGGCTGTGCGGCACACACGTTTCCTGCATGTGTGGCGCAAATACTTGGGTTGGACCGGTAAACCAGAGCCTTCTTATCTGTCGCGAACAGCACTTACCAAAAAAACTGACAGCGGGAGCGTTTTATATTTATCAGGCTGTGTGACTACGGCATCTCACATTTAGGCTGAAGCCAATTGTCGTCGAAGACTTCTTGTGTGGGCTTGGATTGAGGTGTCGCACTGCCCGAGCTCAAGGGTGTACCCACATGTTTACAGCTCCTCTCGTGGAACGAGCTCCCGCTGTACCTCATACACAATTTCTCGACGACTTTCCAATGCAGCCGTCCCGTCGATCTCCATTCCTCCAGCATGTTTACAGCTCCTCGTTCATTTGGGGCGCCTGAATTTGCTCTTTTAGCGGCCATCGTTGTCATGTGTGGTCCTACTACCTCTACCTCCCGGCGTTTATCTGCGCACACTTGCAGAACCGCCTACAATACTGATCACAAGCCCATCGATCCCTAACGACTCGCCGACCTTATCGACCGTCTGCGACGCATCCATTTGTGCGCGTCTCGTACACCGCTGCCGGTTCGACTCATATATATGAGCGACCACCGTCCAGGTAAGGTGTTGTTAATCCCTGAAACTCCTTTGACTAACGACTTTCTGATCTTAGTAGTGAGAGATGAAGATCTGGAAGGCAATCACCTCTTGTTTGGCGCGGGTTCGTTCTCGCTCTCAATGGATGCTTCGCCCTTGTCGAGAGATGCTTCGCCCTTGTCGAGACGGGCCTTTCGGCGTCACCACCTCTGTTCCTCAATTGGAAAGCGAAGGCCAACTTAGTCCTTGTTACAGCGGCTCAGCCCGTCCGACTGAGGCCAACCGTGATGCCCTTCGACCCAGCATCAAGGGAAGATTCCCCCTCGATGACGTTCCCCAGTTGAACGAACGCGATCAGGAGGGCATTTGCGTTGTCTCAAATTCACACAGAGCATTAGAAATATCTCAATCTGATCTCACTTGCCCGCGACATCCGAAAGATACCAACAATGATAGCCCAGAAGTCGATGACGAAAGACCCGACAGCAGCGATCTTCTTGATTCCCACTCGAGCTATGGCAATCCGATTCGAACTTGGCTCAGCGAAGGACTCCTTCCGTATCACTGCGATGCTCCCGCCATTGCTCTCTCCACCAACTCGATTGCCTCTCCGTCCTCTATGGGGGAGGGGTCTTCCATCCATACCAGCCCTCCTGCGCCAACATATCGACAAATTTCAGCTGCTGAAACTTTCCAAGTTCACAAGGGGGCGGGTTTAATCGTCACCATCGACGATTCCTACTGTTTAATTCGTTTAATGCAGCTCCTAGCGTCTATCCCGGCCACACAAAACGCTCATCAAAGTTCTTTCCCTTGTGTGGCATTCAGTCAAGCCCCTTTGCCTCCGTTCCAGGGACAGTTTCTTGCACCCTTCATTTACCCTTGTGACAGGATTGAAGAATGTCATGAACAGTGGCTGGTGGTTGTTGAATCAGTCCTGGGGAAGGCTCCTGTCGGGTGCGCGTTCTTGTTAGAATTTGACCACCAATCTCTAACCGTTTCGAATAGACATTCACTGGCGTATCCCATCATCCCCAACACTTGCTACATCATCCACCTCCCCAGCTACCCTTCGAGCAATCGCCCTGAAGAACGCTCAATCGTCGTCCGTCTCGTGAATATCCTGGACCACACCAACTCTTTCACGCATCTTGGAGTCGAGTACTTCGTTCTGGACGATGATGAGGACGTCACCATCACCCTGAAGCCTATCTTCGACGCTCAAGCCGGCGATCATGTCGCCTGGGAGATTCAGGGTCAACGGTGGCTCGTCCTCGTCATCGATCCCAACCTGGCCTTTGGCTCGAGGGGCTCGCTGGCTCCGCGCCTCTCTTCCTGGACATCTCAACACCGCTCGACTGGTGATGACGACACCACCTTATCCTCGCCCTCTGACTATCAGTCGTTCGAGGTGGACAACGAAGCGACACGGGATGTGGACGCAAGCGACGATATCGTGGTGTACCCTCGCCACCTCACAACCACCAGTGCACCGTACAGTGATGGTCGCATTGACCCTCCCCCTCCGCCCGGCCCTGACCAGATCTCTTTGCCTTCAGTATCGACTGACGTCGCTACCCAACCGTCATCCCCTGCCCTAGCCGCCTCTTCTGATCATCAACCAAGGACCACCTGCGCGAACGCATTGGGTCTCACCTTCCGGCCAGACCGATCTCGCACACGCGGAGCACCTTCCTGGCTCGACTTTGACGAAGACACCCTCAAATCCCTTCTCCGTTCAACCAGTGCGTCGACATGTCCATCAAATGGGCGAGGAGCAATGCTCGGTCCCATGACGATTCGAGGTTCGAGGCAATACAAGATCGAATCATTTGATCTTGGGTCAGGATGTGTTCCTGCCCTGTTCAGAGGATACGGACCTGTTGGAAGTAGAGGTCTCCCATTCTTCCAGTTGGGGATGGGACTTAGCCAGTCGAGGACCAGCCGTGCGCTTTTCGGACTCCAACCCGCGCCTCAGCACGCCGCTCGGTATCGTCGCTCTTGGGCGCGTTGGGATGATGATGCTTGCGATAAACTCGACTGGGAGCACCATCTGGGTTATCGTCTGATGGAGGACATAACAGAGTTGGCTGAGGGTGATGAACCACCCGGTGCTGCTGAGGAACGAGGAGTTGAATTCCCCTCGATAACAACGCCCGTGGCTTCAAGCATCTCCAATCCCAATCTTACCCCTTCGCCCCTTGCACTGTCCCTCTCGCTCAGCGGCCTTGACCTGGGGTAGCTCGAGGGGGAAGTTTGAACAGTGATCATCCTATTTCGCCATAGGTGTATCCCGACTCGGATTAGACGGAGTCTGCCTATCAGCTTTAGTTTTGGACTCGGGTAGCATCGAACATACGAAGGGAGTTTTATAGGCTAGCATATCGCAGGAACGCACCTTCGCGTCTATTAGCGCTTCAAGCTTCAGTCTATACGCAGTCGACGACACTTGTCATCATTTGTTACTTCATCCAAGGACTTACAGTCTCATCTCAAGACTCTGCTATCAATGTTCGCACAATGTAAATATTACCCACCTCACTGCACTGGAACCTTGGTCCCTGGAATGGCATAATCATTTTGGAGGCGCGATTGCCTTGTTCAGCATTTCCGTAAACAATTCTTCATATTAAACAAGCCATCAGGTACATACTACAGAATGGACCTCGGGAGAGAGTTCTCCGACAAACTGCCAGCAGTCACTTAAGGGAACAGTCCTTCACATTGAGATGCGATTTGGCGGGCCTGAAGCCTTCCGTGACCAGAAGGAGCGAGAAGCCGTCGAAGTGTTCGTGTTCGTCGCCTGATTCCAACTGAAGGTCCTGCAGACATTTCAGAATGTGTTCGCTCCAGACAGAGCGACAGCTTACCAGTCCTCAATTCGATTCCGCGGTAAGTTGCAAGTTGATCATGCATTCGCTCAACCTGGCCATTAGTGAACTCGCACATGCACCTATCATGCGAGTAGTCCATGTAGTTGTCTGGAGGTTGGGTGAGCAGAGGTGTGGGTGCGCTTCGATTGGACGCACTTACGAATGGAATCTGGGAGGTCACCTTCCTCCCCTGCGCCACAGGAGTTCTTGGTGTCGGGACAGCCACTGGTAGAAGTAGATTGAGGGGGTGTGTCGTCGACTTCATCACCATCTCCAGTGCAGGAATGGTCTTCAAACACGTGGTAGAGTCCAACCCAGTGACCCACTTCGTGCGTAAGGGTCTACATAATTAAGGGAGGGATTTTTGAGCTAACGTAGGCCCAATGAGGAAGAAATAGGCGTACATGGCCGAGGTTAAAATTAGTTGAGGAGCCACCTGGTAAAGTTGTGAATCTGATGACGACCCCGTCCTTTTCAGGCTCCTTGGTGAGGTTTACTGGGAAGGTGGCATATCCGAGCAATCCACTGCTTAGAGTGAGTCTAGGATAGATAGGGTGAGTCAGCAACCAACCGTGAGCAATTAGCCTTACCCGCAAGACCAGATATTCAAGTCGGCTCCTCCTCCCTTTCGCAGGGCGGCTTTCATCTCGAAGCTCAATGGAGTGTCGGTTAGAGCACCAGCGGACCAATCGGGCTCCACTGTCCTTGACACGTTGATGAGTTGGAACTGCAGGCCTGTGCCCTGGTAGGCGGTGTTGAGGACATCCATTTGCTCGTCGATGGCCGAGTCGGGTACGTTCCCGCCTTCCGGGGTCTCATCGTTGGATACGACGTGCCAGAAGACATTTATGGGGCCAGCTCTGGAGACAGAAGACACGTCGGATGGGGGAGGAACGCGTCTGGATTTGAAGTCTGCCTCCATGTGGGCCTTTGTAGCGGCGTCGATATGATCATTACCACATCGCTCAGAGACTTCGGTTTGACGGACAGCGAGTGCGTTGGCGAAGAGATGCCAGGTGGAGGTAGCAAGGAAAACAGCGAAGGCAAGGCAAGGTTTAAAAAGCATGACGATAATTGGGCGTGAATAAGTGTTCGAGCCGGCGAACAATGTTTAGCTGGAGAGTGTAAATCTGGACTAGTGGTGGTTCTCAAAGCCGAGGAGGGGATTTGGGGGCTTCCTACCCTTTCCTTGTTCCTTTTATACCTGCATGTAGAGCTGAAACTGAGAATGAGGGCGGTGCTCCAGCTTAACCCACCAAACCCGGGGGATGCTCGTTGGAATCCGTCACTACTTCGGGCTGAATGCAAAGTACAACCATCATCCGCCCCTGCAACTGTGTCCAGCGCCTCCCAGCCCAGTACACCTCAGTAAGTCTAAACTGCGCCAAGATGGCGACTTGAACTGGGTTTTGAGGCGTTATCGACTCACTTGACCCAGAGCACTTTGACTTTACGTAATTGAGTATAGACTTTTGCTTTCTCCAGCATCTATGTCTCCAATGGGTTGTCAGCGCCCGTCGTTTCCAGGGCGCTTGTAGTACGGCAGAGCAACGGATATCAAAACTTGAGTTTCATCCGTCCTCTACAAAGTGTAGATGTATGTAACAATTGAAATAGGCTGCAACAGGATTGGAACGCTGAACTGTCCTTTCAGGGTATGCTGTAGTAATCGTCTTGGTCACAACATTCGTTCGAGGAAAACCCCTTAAACAGAAAGCCTTCACGCCCGCTCGGTCGCAATATGGAGCACTGTATAGTGTCGCAGCGTACTAAGTGCCATAAAAAGCTGGATAGCGTCTCCATGGAGTACTAAAATCCACATTAACTGCTACTGACCGTCACGTCAACCCATTCCAGCCCAGAATCGTCAACTGACATGTCTCGTGAACTGTACCTAGACCGTCATCTAAGCTGCAACACGGCAAACATACGCTTTAGCGCCCAAGCCGAAGAATCAGCGCTTTGTGATCCAAGGCCAAAGCGTCCCAGTTCAAAGCGTCGTTTTTATCCTTTAACAAGTTTCAACCAGATTGTGTGGATTCAACGCTTTGACAAGTGGCTTTGCCAAAGCGCTATCCATATGCTCAAATAGCATAAATAGCTCCCTTTGACACTGACGTCAATACGCCAGCAACTAACACCATGGACTCTGAGACCGACGAACAAGTCCCAATCAGCAGCTACGAGCTTTACATCGCGTTGCACGGAGACAAAGACGCTGAAAAGAGAACGCCAGAGAAGTCCCAAAGTCTCTTCATGTCTCTCCACGGGAAAAAGAGCAAGAAGAATCGAAGACATAGGTCCCGAGCCTACTATCGTCGGGATAAGAGCACCTGGTCGTTAGTCCTTGTGGACGATAACGCTTTCTTCACCATTTATCACATCATTGCCACTCCCTTTCACGGCGTCAATGGGACCAATGAGACAGGAAGGTTCGTCTACGACTTGGAAAAGATCGAAGGAATTCAGATTGGGTTGATGAAGGATCCCTCGAGGTATCCTAAAACTCGCCTTTTGGAGTATCAGATCGACATCGAGCCAAAACTCAGGTTGCTGCAGTCAATACATGTGGCCGAATTCCCTGTACATAAAATAGAGGAGTTCGAAAACGTCCTGAGAAGGACTTTTAAGGCCGCAACGGTAAACCCTGCGACTTCGCAAGCCGCCGTTAGCCAACAGTGGGTGCCGATGGTGCTCTCTGACTTAGCCGACGCAGGATTTGAGGGTGTATTACCATGGCCCAGGAACGAGATTGCTCGTCAGTTTGACTTACTTCTCGATACCGAGGGGGTGATAGAGATGTGAGAAGCAGACGAAGGTGGACGAAATCCTGCTTATTCCCAATATTACTTATATTTCCTGAATACATTACCCCTATTCGAACAATCGAAAACGCGACGCGTCGCGAAATCTTGGCGGGATGGTGCCAACTAGACCTTGTGAGTGGCGTTCATGACGATGAGAATGAACGAAATCTGAATGTCTCATGTTAATTTCAACCTTCCACACATGAATCTATGCGTAATCACTCCCACCGAATCTGCAAGGAATGGAAGCTAAAGAAAAATGCATCAGCTCTCATAGTATGCAGGGAGCTGCCGCGGGTAGAATTCGAATATTTCAGGAAGTCTTAACTCTCCACACCATGGTACCACTCCAAAGCCGAGTCGGCACTTGACATATGCTCGCTAATCGACCTCCAGGCTCCGTGGCCATGAGTCCACTGTTCCAGTTCGACCCCACCCCACCCATCTCTCCTGTACACCTGAACCTGTTTCACCAAAGGTGAACCATGATCCAGATGCTATTTAAACTCGTTCTGGTCTGCCAGGTGTCTTCCATCCCTTTCCTCCTTTACCCCATCATCACCTCCGCCAGATCTATCCACATTCACTGATTGAACACACATCAACTCGTCGTTTCTCCGATACCTTCTCGCCAACATGGGTATGTGGCCAGTCCGTGCTTTCCTCCACGGTCTCTTGGTGAGCTCAGTCATTGCTATATGTTGTTTCTTCGACACGATTGACATTTTCCAACAGTGGGCATGTGCTGTTGTCCTTCTAGGACTGACGGCTTACCGCATCCACTACACGAAGCGGCGAAATGAGCCTGACGTTCTTACGAATCGCACACACTACTGGGATCCCATTATCGTCGAATTACTCGTTACATCTATCCTCGCCATCCTGGGGTCCTTCTGGTTGTATGTGTCCATTCTTTTTTCCAGTCGACGTTCAACAAGGCTCAACATTCTATCACAGCCTCGTAGCGCTCTGCACTCGCTCCAGATTAGGTGGACTCGGAAGTTTCGCATCTGAAGCCATCTACCTGTTCATCATCTTCGTCATGTTCTTGGTGGGCGCCGCCTACACCACGGTACGTCTCACTGGTCTCATTTTCTTTTCCAATGTCTGACAACCCCTCTTCGACAGCATCATTGGCTGTCACTGAGATGGTGTGACGGATACCGTGTCTGTTCCGTGCTACAGACCATCAAGGCGTTCTCATTCATCTGCTGGGGTCTTACATGTCTCCTGCTCCTTTTTGCTCTCATCGACATGCTCTGGACCAAGTCCACCTGTGGCGACGCCGCTGCAGGAGGCGGTAGTCGAAAGTCAGCTATGTACCCCGCTGCAGGAGCCGCAGCTGCCCCTGCTGCTGCCACCTACCCAGAGACTCGAACGGCTCCAGCTGCTGCACCGGCTACGACGACAGCGGCTCCCGCCGCACGAACGACCGAGACAACTTACACAGAAGTCCGTGCTGCTGACCCCAACGCCGTCCAACCAGTGTAAAGGCTTTTTTCTTGACCTCCTTTCGTCTTCGTCTTTCGCTCTTGTCCCCTTTGGTTATCACCCTTCCCTATTTTATATTCGGAGGATTGAATGATCGCTTTCTCGCTTTGCCTTTGCCGTTTGCCCAAGTTAGTATAGATAAATTACGAATCTGTATAGCTCACGCACCCTTGTAACGTCAGTAACCAAACAAACTTCATTTCCACACTCGTCTGGGCCGCTTCGAGCGCTGTTCGTTCCACTTCCGAGTTCGAGTACTCTATCAGGATGGTGACTTTCCTAAGTTAACTTGAAATTGAATGGATTCTGGATCTTCTCCCCACTCCAGTACATCTTCAACGACCTCCATTTTGAGGCTAACGGTGACAATGTCTGTCAGCATACCAATGCTTCCAGGCCCGATGCAGCGATCTGCTGTCATTTCCAATGTGTTTTACCGACTTATAATCTTTGAACATTGTCCGAAGAGCCCTTGATGGGCTGCCTCTTTCCCCACTCTGGGGTTACGTCCACGAGATTACGATGTTCAGCGGTTAGGACCTTTCCGTGCGGGGTTGTCGGTGATAGTCAAATTCGGGGGCCGATTGGGGTTATGATGTCGGTCAGATGCCAAGCACAGGCGCACGCAAAATGAGACATCGCCAGCGATGGCGATGGGTAGGTCGATGAGACGTTCGCAACGAGCGAGTAAGTCATCCTAAACGCCTTTTACAAACACCATTCATTAACCTACTGCTGTGCATAGTCACTTCGGAGTCCACCCACAACGAAGAATACATAGCAAATCACCTGTGATAATTGCTTTCTTGGCAACTAGCTCCAGAAAAGCCCCGCACCGTTGAAAAGGGGCAACAGTCTCAGAGAAGGGGCAGTCCTGGGCGGTCTGGGAAACGGTCATATGGACATCGACACAAGATCGAGCTGGATGCAAATCATCTTTGGAGAGCTTACATATAGGGCCCCGGCCAGAGGAGGGATGCCCCTCATTCTCTTGTACACGGTTCTCGTTGGGTACCTCATTTCCTGGCGTACATTCCCGTCGTAGCTCCCACTTCGCTGTGGGCCTAATCCTTTCTTCTACCTGAACACGACCGTCTCTGGAGCATCAAGTAGCGACAAGTACGACACAAGAGCTCGCCTCGAGTCCTCGAGCAGCAATGGCGATCCTCTCCCCTGGAATCAAGTTCGTGGGCCGCGGCGTTGCCTACGTGACCGTCTTTGTAGGCGGACTTGTAGGAGCGACCAAGGTTGCAGAGTCCCGAGGGTACTTTGTGCCCATTTGGATGGTATTAACTGGTGCAGTGGTGGCTGGTCCAGCACTAGCCGGGTTATACATCACAGCAGGCGAATTGAAGAAGAAGCGGCGCGCACGGGCGCTGGGAGCACGAGTGGTACCAAAATGCCGAGGTTCGAAGATCGGAAACTTGGACGTGCTCAGCATGACGCTGAAGAACCTCGCTGTTGGTTATCCCGGTGCGTCCTGAAGTTCGAATAATAGCAAGGTTAATGGGCTGATGTCGTATAGGTGACGGCCTGGATGAAATTATCAAAGCTCGAGGGCCAGTGTTCAACATTTGGCTGCTCTGGTCTGATACGCTCCTCACGACCTGTCCTGAACATATCAAGCTCATCCTCGCGACCGATTTCCACAATTATGTCAAGGGTCCTCGGTTCATTCATAACATGGGCTCTGTGCTCGGGTCTGGTGTCTTCAATTCGGACGGTGAGTAGCCTTGCGTCCCTGCGTGGAGGTCGTCGCTCAGTCTCGCAAAGGCGAAATGTGGAAGTTCCACCGTAGCATCACACGACCTGTCTTCACTCGGGATAGAATTGGCGATTTCGATATCTTTGACCACCACACCGACGTTGTGCTCCAAAAGTTGAAGGAACGCCTTCGCGAAGGACACGCCGTCGACTTCCAGGCGCGTTTATCCTTTATACACTCTGCAATCCATCTGACCACTCTACAGGATCTCATGGCTCGCTTCACTTTGGACACCGCGACTCAATTTCTCTTCGGCCACTGCGTAAACAGCCTCGATGCAGGACTCCCGTATCCACCGAAGGCCGCACCCTACGTCTCCGTACAGCAGACTCCCGCGGGAAAGATGGCCGACGACTTTGCTCGCGCGTTTATGGAAGCCCAGGAAGTCATCGCTATCCGTGAACGTGTTGGCTGGATTTGGCCTTTGCTCGAATTCTGGAAGGACAAAACGGTGGAACCGATGAAAGTGGTCAATGCTTATATCGAGCCGATTGTGAAGGACGCTATCGAGAGGAAGAAGAACGCATTGCCCGAGGAGAAGAGCGGTGACGAAAAGGAGATCCAAGAGGGTCAGACGCTACTGGATTATTTGGTCAATGTCACCCAGGACCCTACGATTCTGAGGGATGAAATGTGCGTCCCTTTATTTTCAGATTGACTCTTACTGATCGACAATGCAATAGCTTGAACATCATGATTGGTACGTCGAGGAATGCAATTTACATTATCGATCCAGGCTGACTGGACACATAGCCGGACGCGACACAACCGCTGCCACACTCACCTTCTGTATCTACCTCCTCTCCCAGCACCCCGATGTTTTCCAACGCCTCCGCACCGAAGTTCTCGAGAAGGTTGGACCCAGCCGTCGACCCAACTTCGACGACCTCAAGGATATGAAGTATCTCCGTGCCGTCCTCAACGAAACTCTCCGGTTGTTCCCCATCGTGTATGTATCACCTGTTCGCAATGGATGACAAGGACTAACGACGTGGTGACGAAGGCCTTTCAACGTCCGAGAGACGATTGAGGAGACGATCTGGCCATCCCCTGATCCCAATGAGAAGCCTCTGTATATTCCTCCCGGTACCAAGTAAGTCCAGGCATCCAACGCCGTTCTCTACGTGTGTTATTCACCTTCTGTTTTCTTCAGGACCAGTTATTCTGTCTTCATGATGCATCGCCGCACGGATCTATGGGGTCCAGATGGTAAGTCTTTCCTGCCTTCCCTGGGAACTCCATGCCAATCTGTTCATCTGTAGCGGAGGAATTTGATCCTGATCGATTCATCGACGAGCGACTCAAGAAATACCTCATCAAGAACTCGTTCATCTTCCTTCCCTTCAACGCCGGCCCTCGTATCTGCCTCGGGCAACAGGTATGTCTTTCTTGTTCTAATACTCCCCGTCCTCACCCTCTATCCGCTCTCCGCAGTACGCCTACAACGAAATGTCGTTTATGTTGATTCGCCTTATGCAACAATTTTCTTCGGTTACCCTCGATCTCGATTCTGCTCCCCCTGAAGCTATCCCACCTAAAGTCTGGGCCGAGGCACCCGGACGCAAGGCGACTGAGAAGGTGTTCCCCAAGTTGCATTTGACGATGTACGCCGGGGTGCGTGACATTTTCTTTTCTTTTTCTAAGTTGCGATGTGCTGATGATTCCTTTGTAGGGTGGACTTTGGGTCAAGATGCAGGAGGCGACTGATTGAGGTGTCTAAGGCACGGTTTTCTTTTTGTCTGTATTTCGGTATTTCGACAGGTTATCCCTTTTCGATTCAATTCGTTCAAGTTGTGAATGTATCTAGTTGTTGTTATATTTATCCAGAAGCGGAGGTTCGTCGTACCCACTATTTCGACTTGACCCCACTGGGACTCGCTGGGCGCTTCGTCGGGCTCGAGCCATGGGTCTTCGATCGTTTTTCGCTGAAGGCGACACCGGGTAATCTGGATTGGGCAGTTATATGGTCGTCTAGGTAGCATCATGTACCTCGACAGATCTACCATACTAATGATACTACGAGGGTGACACTACTAATCGCAATGCCACACTGGACCCAGAGGTGTTCCTAGGTCATCTGGCAAGTAGACCTGCGCGATTTAAGATCCAGAATCTGCCTTCTGGTTGCGGGTCTTCGACCGCTTCGATCCCAAGGCCTTGCCTGAACCCGGTGGCGCATTTGAAGCCTCGGTGCCAGGCTGGTACTCTCCATCGTCGTTTGATCGAGGCCGTTTACGTTGTAGAACACTGGTTCGAACAACTGTTTTGTCGCTGCGAGTCGTCAGGGCGAGAGCTGGGATGACTGGAGAAAGCTGCTCAAAGAGAAGGAGGAGGATTTCGAAGCCGCTTCCGTGGAGAGAATCCACAGTATCAGAATCAAGGGTATGTCGCAAGAAGTAAAATAGCAAATGCTCTGCCACGGAATCCAGGCCTGCGGCAACTGCTGTCAGTTCTGGAAGTACATGGGCGTGGAGTCCACCTTGCTGGAAGAACTTGATCCTGGGTGAGTAGCCATTTGCACGAGTATCGTTGACAAATATTCTTCGGCTTAAATCAATGGACGGAGGGTGCGATGTTCGAGTAAGAATGGTCCATACGGCGATCCACCAGATTGACTCCAAGTCATGGAGAATGCTGGGGATCACTGGCCGGGGCCTTCTTTGTCGTTTGATCGGAGCAATAGTGAATGGAGGAGGGTCTACCCTCGGGGGAGGTGCAAAAGGAGCCCCAAACAAAATCTCGCAGGCCATAAAAAACGGCGTACCCTAGGAAAATGGCGTTCATGGAGGAACTCAGCAGGCAAGGATCAAAAAATCACTCACAATTTTTGGGTCTGTTGTGGCGGCGTAGTCAGGAGAAGAGGAATAACGCCTCGCGTACTCCAAGTCGCCCAGTTTCGCCTGGTACTCGGGGTCTACGCCAGAAGTGTGAAGGTGGCCAAGTATATTGCCAGCGCTGATGTCGCGATGAACCCAGCGAGCTCCAAACATCAGCAGTAGAGCTATGGAATCAAGGTCAGCAGATAGTAAATTTCGGGAAGAATTTAGAACTCACGCCGAATGGCACCATCCAGGACGTGAAACACTTGATCCAATCGCTCGATGTCTCCAACAGGAATGCATACCTCCTTGACGAGACTGCGATATTGTTTCTTCGGGGAGAAAAGGCGGGAAAGATTCGAACTGGGTTCCGTCTGTGACAACGGATGTCTCGTGGCAGTGTGGGACCCGGGAGGAAGGATTTGCTGCTCCGACAAAAGGCCACTCCGTTGCCGTGCACCCTTAGGTAGAGGACTGGTGACTTTACCCTCGCAGTCTAACAGAATGGTGAGGAACCACTTCCGATATTCGCCACTGCGGACTTGAGTCTGAAGCTTCCGAGCGACATCCCGAACCTTTTCTAGACGAGCTTCCTTTTCGACATCGACATTGCGCCAATAGTCCTCAATGTCCATAAACAAGGCCTGTTGGACTTGACGCTCCGTCATCGCTGACTGATCGATCCAGACGTCCTTGAGAATGGCGGGTTCTCCGAGCACGGTAGCGTAGGAGGACGTGGAATCGACTTCGACCACCTTCCACACTCGAGTCATGCGGCCAGTGATGCAGTTGGAGCGACGGTCAGAAAGCGGTGGACCTCGTGTACGGAAGAAACGCCTCGTTCCGGTATCGTCCAACTCGTAAATGTAGTCCTCGCTGACGCGGTAGACCAAGGGGTCGTATCCCAGCTCCTCTTCCGTCGAAAAGAGAAATGAGAGCAGTGATTTAACGAGCTTCTTGGGCTCCTGTTGCTCAGTGTGAGGTCTGCATTCGGGCTGGGAATGTGGGCTCGTACCTCGACGAAGCCAAATGGCTGTGAGACAGCGGAATGAGATCGACAATGGTACCAGAACCTAACTTTGTCACTTTCGATGGTCATCTAAGAACTATCAGCACCTGTTTGCTTGCTATCACGACGCTGACATACCCCGTAGCAATACATCCGTCTAACGTCCTCGTTCATGATCTGGACATTGGCCGAAACCACCTCTCGCGCGTTCTGTGAAAGATAGCTCCAGTCTACATCCGTTGGATCAAATCATTCCACTTGCCTGCAGCTCGTCAGTGGATAGTCGCCTGTACTTGACCACGACAGCAGCGTTCGAGGGTTCGAGATTACCCGATGCCAGGCCAGCATGGATCAAGGCGCTCGACCCGAGGGTGCATGATCCCGTGGAATAGGTTCGACAATCTCGATATTTGAAACTGTTCCGCCTTCGCCCAGCCGGAGCAGGACCGTCTTCGATGGATGAAAATATGGCTCTTAGTTGAGGGAGGAATCCGGTTTCATCCTCGCCTGCGTCTCTTGGAGCAATGAGTTCCCCAAACCGAATACTGGCAGCGGTGGCCATATGGTTGATTGTGGCCTCCACATCCTCGTCCCGAGGGTTGAAAGGCAGGTAGGCTGACGCGAATTCGTCGAACGTAACCTCGACAAACTCGCCGTCCATACACTGCGCAACCTTGGAATATAGGCTCTCCAGCTGGATTTCAGACTCGTCATCGGGACAAGAGGTTCTTCTGCAATATTGTCAGATAGATAAGCTCTTCAAAGCAAAAACAAGGAGTTTACCTTTTACACATTCTGGCAACCAAGGAGGCTTTTTCAGTTGCGGTGGATTCTGAAATATTGTTCGTGTCATGACACGCTTACGGCTTCAAGGGAGATTAGAACTCCGATGATGCCAAGATCTCGCGCCTTCAACAAGTACAACGCGTCGCCTATCCTCGGGGATCACAACTCAACGGAACCCTCACCACCAGACACATAGAGCAAGTAAGTTCAGAACTACATCCCGGTCAGGTTTGACATTACGGGACCACTCAAGACACCGTTGGGCGGCCTGACTGTTCTGAAAGAGTCAAGACCTACAATCGTCGCGAATCGTGATCTAAACCTAGCTCGACACAGACATCACAACAATGAGACTTTTTACTAATGAAATGCTACAGGAGGTTACAGGAAGCCTTCCTAGGCCATCTGACAAGTAGAAGTACGCGATTTCGACCCAGAACCAGACTTGTTTCGAGTTTTCGACCGCTTCGCTCCCTTTCCTGAACCCGATGGCGCATTTGAGTCCCCAGCGCCAGGCTGGTACTCGTCGTCGTCCTTTGGTCGACATCGTTTGGAACGTGGAGCGCTGGATTGTGCGATGTTTCTGTCCCCGCAAGTCGTCAGGGAAAGAGCGGGCACTTCCTGTAGGAGAGATCCGAAGACTTTGATGAAGAACTCAAATCCACTGACGTAGATTTCAACGACTTGTTCGGAATCTTGACCGTAAGTCACCCAACTGGTAGTGTGAAGGCCATACAAAGAGCGTAACGCCCTCCCTAGTTTTGTCAGCTCGGTGGCAGCCCCATCGAGACATCGGCCTTGTGGGACGTTGTCTTTGAGTTTACCAAGGGTGAACAGCTTGATCCTTTCGGAACTTGGTGCTTGTCTGATGGCGTTGATGAAAATGGTACGGCTATATGTATTGGCCGTTGAATCCGGGACCCTAGAAAGGATAGACCATGCAGCAATCCACCAAATGGACTCCAGGTCGTGAAGGTGATGGGGAACTACTTCAAGATCCTCAACCGGCGCGGAACTGCCTGCTCGATTGTCAATCATTTCTCGGATTGCTTCAATATCGGCGTTTTCGTTGAACAACCACAGAGGAGCTCCGAGAAGAATTTCGCAAGCCATAAAAAATGGCGTACCCTGGGCATGTATGGGTCAAGGAGGCAAACTGGGAAATCACGATGTATGACCCACCGTTTTCGGGTCACCTCCGGCAGTGTAGTCAACAGGAGGAGGGTAACGTCTCGCATACTCCAAATCACTAAGTTTGGTCTGATAATGAGGGGCTGCACCAGAACCTTGAAGGTGGCCAAGTATATTGCCAGCGCTGATGTCGCGATGAATCCAGCGAGCGCCAAACATCAACAGTAGAGCTGTCGAATCAAGATCAGCGGACGCCGATTTGCGGATTGCGAGATGGATTGATACTCACGCCGAATGGCACCATCCAGGACGTGAAACACTTGATCCAATCGCTCGATGTCTCCCACAGGAATGCACACCTCCTCAATGAGGGCGCGATATTGCTTCTTTGGGGCGAACAGTCGGGGAAGATTCGACGATTCCGCCTGTGACAACGGACGTGTTGTACCACTGTGGGAGGCTAGTGGCGGAACTTCCCCCTCCTTCAGTAAAAGCCCTCTACGTTGTCGGGCACTCTTCGGGAGGCGTCTGGAGCGTCGGCCCTCGTAATCCAAGAAGATAGTGAGGAACCACTTCTTGTACTCGCCACTGCGGACTTGTGCCTGAAGCTCCCGAGCGGTATCGTGGACCTTTTCGAGACGTGCTTCGGTTTCGACATCAACATTCCGCCAATAATCCTCAATGTCCTTGAACAGGGCCTGTTGGACTTGACGTTCCGTCATCGCCGACTCCTCGATCCACACGTCTTTTAAAACGAAGGGTGTACCATCTCTGAGCACTGCGGCATCTTTGGAAGCGGAATCCACTTCAACGACCTTCCAGACTCGAGTCATCCGACCGGTGATACAGCTAGAGCGAAACTCGGAAAGTGGCGGCCCCTGCGTGCGGAAGAAACGAGGGGTAGTCTGGCTGCCCATCTCGAAAATGTAATCGTCGCCGACGCTGGTGACCTTGAGGTCGTAGCCCAGCTCCTCCTCTGTTGCGAAGAGGAATGAAAGCAGAACTTTGATCAATTTCTTCGGTTCCTGGCGTTGAATATGTGAGCTCTCAGTTTGACTGATGTGATGGATGCCCATCCCCATACCTTTACGAAGCTGAACGGTTGCGAAACGGCCGAGTGAGAGCGAGAGTGGTACCACAGCCTGACTTGGTCGCTTTCGATAGTCATCTGACAAAGGAATCAGACCAGCGTCGATTGTCATTTGGTCAAATAGTCCACGTACTCCGTAGCAATGCATGCGTCGAACGTCATCGTTCATGATTTGAACGTTGGCAGAAACTGCCTGATTTGCGTTCTGTAGAACTTGGAATGAGTTTGCGGCGTTGGTTGGTGAAACAGCACTCACCTCGAGTGCATTGGCCACTCGCAATGTGTATTCTGCCACGAGAGCAATGTCCGACGTCTTTGGAGACGCACTAGGCTGAGTGGAAGCTGGCTGTTTGCGAGCAACGGCAGCGTCAATAAAGTTGTTCGATTCACGGCCGTCAATCGACTTTCGAGGGCAATCCAGATACGCGAACGAGTTTCGCACTCGTCCAGCTGGCGCTGGTCCCTTCACAACAGCTGCAGAGATCTTCTGGATGGGAGAGTAGAATTCGGTTTCTTTATCACTGGAGCTAATGGGAGGGAAAGGGAAGTCGCTAAATCGAACGTCACCCTGCGGAGTATGGCACAAGATGCTGATCTCTTCCTCTGGTTCAGACTTCCGTACTACACCGACAGCCTTGGGGCGGGTTGAGCGGCGAACAGGTTGGTCCGTAGAAGTTTCGGTGATGGGTGTAACAGGGGGAGGAGGGTCCCTGCTGGCCGGCGCCATGCTGTTAACAGTGGCTTCGACGTCAGAGTCCTGAGGGTTAAAAGGAAGGTAGACAGATGCGAAATCGTCGAATGTGACCTCGACAATCTCGCCGTCCATTTCTCGTGCAGTTTCAGGACGAAGATCAGTTAATTTGTTCTCCGAGCCATTGGTATGACTCGATGACCCTGCAGAAGATGTCAGCTTATGAAGGTTAGAACTTCGTCCCTGCTGGATGTTGAAAAGGGGTCGTGGTCTGCGCCGCCGGCGGGCGATTAGAAACTCCGATGATGCCAAGATCTCGCGCTTGTCGCGGTCACCGTGACCGTCGTGGTTGGTTTGCTCTTCGAAAGGCGACCGAGTCCACCTACGCATAAGATCATTTATCAAGCTTAGATACTGAGGCAGTGGGTCGGGGACGCATTCACCCAAATGTCACGCGTCGGAGGCATCGGGAGACTGGATCAGGTCCTAACAGTAAAAGTATGCGAGGCAGTGTCCTCCTCCTCGGTTCTGATTCCAACATCCAGTCTCTCCTGTTCGAGAGGATTATGATCCTTTCTTCTTCACGACGACAACGACGCTTTGCTTACTCCGGCTTACCAGGATGTACACAACCAACCAGGCAAAAACGAAAAAATCTTTTTGTGTCCAAAATAATACATAAGTACACACATTCATACCTCTCTTGGCAGCACAGACCTCCACACTCGCACCAACTTCACAAAGACAGCCACCGACGATACAGCTTGTCCGCTAACGGCGTCGCACCAGTGAAGACATAAATCAACGAAAGGTTATACGCCGCTTCTTTCGCATACAAGTCGTCCTAGAGGGGCAAACAGCGAGTCGTGAGTATTTAGCCCCAAACCAACAGTCTCGTCAAAACGAAAGCCGGCAGCCCGAAAAACAAACCAAAGGCAAAGATCCAGGACGAGGAAAGTAACTCACCCCATCCCGCTCAGCCAACTCCAACACCCTCTCGTACTGCTTCACAGCATACGAATACAACCCCAGCTGATGGAAAATCCTCCCAAAATTATATTCCACCTCCCTCACCGTACGAGGGGATTTACTCCGCAGGGCGCGGTATTGCGAGAGGAAAGCCATTCCCTGCAAGTGCCAAATGAGTCAGCCAAGAGATCGAGTGAGTCCGAAATGTGCAAGTGAGGGGGAAGCAGGCAAGATTCCATCACAGAGCGTAGACAAAGTGCGCGTGTATGACAGAATGATGGAATTGGGTAACGAACCTGCGCAATCAAATGGTGCCTATTATCACTCTGCCTCTGCATCGCCCTTCCAACCGACGCAATTGCGAGACACAGACAGATCATGGGATCGTGCGGGGCGTAGTCATACGCATGGAGGAGGTAGACTAGAGATTTAAAGCGTCAGTACTCGATTGTACACGTGAAGATCGTCAATGAAAGGAGAGACCATGACTGAGGATGAAACCCAAAGACGACGAGCGCGGATCCAAGTAAAGCCGCCAAGAAGCCCAAAAGGTAGACGACAACGTAAAAGAAATAAAAGTAACGAAAAAGACTCACATATCCCACTCTGATAACTCTTCGCAGCAATACATATCTGCCCATAAATCGCCACAAGAACAGGGTTCTGTTTCGTGGGCAAATCAGGTGGCCCTCCCACTGCTCCTCCTGTAGTCGATCCACTCCCCGTTCCCGTCGATCCACTTCCCCCAGCACCTCCCACCACCGAGCCCGCACCTCCTAGTCCCGACCCAGCACCTCCCACCCCCACCCCCGCCCCAGACCCCGCACCGCCCTTCCTCTCCCCACCACTAACAGACGCAGCCACAGACTCAACATCCACCTCATCCTCATCCTCGTCCTCATCCCCATCGGGATCAGGGTCGGGGTCAGGATCAGCAGAATCCCCCTTGGACCCGCCACCCACCTTCCCCGCCCCACTCACATACGCATACCGCTTATTCAACGCATTCCATTTCAAGAGTTCGGGTTTGCGGACTGCCACGTCTGCCAGTTTCATTTCCCTGTACGATACGATACGATGGGGGTAGGGGAATGGGGAAGAGAAAAGCGAGTTAGCATAGCATTCATCGTGCTTCGCCTTTCGTGGCTCGTTCGGTCGTCTGACACCAAGGGATGGTACTTATATACCATCCCCCAGGACCGCACGAGCAAACCAAAGAAAAAAAAAATTAATATATAAAACCCACCTAAACAAATGCTTCTGCAGCGTACTCGTAATAAACGCATCAGTAGGCCTCAACCCACTCGACAAACTAGCCAACAACAATCGCAAAGGCTCGTTATTGAACTGGTAGCGGGTGATCAACTTGCGGCATTGGTCGACGATGGTAGGGTGCGAGTGGGCGTGGAGGGCGCAGGCTGTGGTCGATGTTTAGGGAGAGGAGTTGGTGTCGTGGGTTGCGGTAGGGTTGAGGTAGGGTTGAGGTAGGGTTGGCGTAGGGTTGGCGTAGGGTTCGGGTAGGATTGAAGTGGGTAGGAGGCGGGAAGAACACGCAAAACGAACAAAACACATAACGTCAGCTCTCCCACTCATACCTAATCAACAAATATGAACGCACTGATCAACGCAATCCGAATCGCATCCTGCCTCTCCTGCGCCTGGTACGCATTCGAAACAAGGATATGCCGCAGAATCTCATCCGCCAGATCGAATTGGTCGCGTTTGGTAAGCACGAAGCAGTACTGTTTAGTTTAGGAGTGTTTCCAGTCCAGGAAGGATATTTTCATGGGTCGGCGGGGGTCGAGGGATAAGCGAGTTTGGTCGCAGAGATAGACGTCCGTATCGACAGATGCAGGGAAGGACATCTCGGCATATGCAGGGAGGGAAACAGCGCCGGATGCAGGGAGGGACGTATTGATAGTCCACATCACGCAGAGAAGGGAAAAAAGAAACCGGTCAGCACAACATCCCACCCCGACTCCCAACCAGCAAACGAACACGAACCTGGAAAATCATCCTCAACCACTCATCAAACGACACACCCCTGAAATTATCCACGCCCTTATCCGAAGCTTGTTGTTTCGATTTCTGAGTTCGAGCGAGGGTGTCTCGTTCTGCGCCGGGGGTGAAGGGTTGGTTAGTATGTAAGAAACGCGTAGGACAGTGAAGTGGTAGTCAGAATCGAGGAGAAGGTGAAACGAGTAGGGAGTGAACGAGCAGAAGTGAACCACCCGCCCAAAGCCCCAAAAGCAACGACGACTCACCCAAATCCAACTGCAACCGCGAAGCCATCTGGTCCTCCTCAACCTCCGTCCGTTGCCTCTCGCGCTTCTTGCGTCCACTGCGGGGGAACATGCCTCTGAATGGGTTGGCCTGCGGCGAGAAGTATGTGTAAGTTTACGAGCTTTCGCTTGAGTTGGAGACGCAAGTGAGACGAATTTGGAAGATAGGCGTTAAACGGATATATATAGGAGCATGAATAATGGGAGAAAGGAACACGAATAAAGGTGAAAGGGTAGACGAATACGCGTGAAGAGCAAACGACCCATTCTCAACGCGATGTCCACAGTTAAAACCTCGAAGATAGAAGCGCATACACGCACCCGAGAAGTCAAAAACAAATTCCTAGTCTCCCGGAACATATCCACAAGTTTCTCAGCTTCGAGTATCCAGAGCCGTTCAGCTTCTTCTTGGGTCATCTCCTTCCTAGTTTCCCCGTCTCGTTCGCTTGCTCCCCCTCCCCCTCCCTCTCCTGCTTCCCCGACTCGTCGTCCTCGTTCCCCTTCCTGCGAACCTCCACCTCCGCCACCCGAACCTCCACCACCACTACCCGGACCACCGCTCAAACCCTCACCTGCACCACCCAACATACCACCACCAAGCATAGCCCCCCACAACTCCCTCAACCTCCCAAACCCCCTCCTCACCTCCCTCTCCTTCTCAGCTTCCAACTCCCTCAACTGCGCATGCGTAAGCCTGTTTTGGGCGCGTTGGTGCGCCGACGAAGTAGTTGAAGTGGAGGTGGTGGTAGTGAGTGGTTTTTTGGGTTCAGGGAAAAGTCCACCACCGGACCCTGGCTGTTGTTGAGCGTTGGGAGCAGAGGAGGAAGGGTCGGGTGTAGACTGCTGCTGCTGCTGCTGTTGTTGGGAAGCCGCTTTCCGTTTCTTCCGCGAGTCGATAACTGTAAGGGTGGTTGGTTGAAGGGTTAGTTCGACAGTTGGAGGCGGCGAGACGACGGGACGAGACGAGACTGCGTAACACACCTTCGTAAACTAAATCCAACGCCCGCCTCGTCTCACCCAATATCTCGTATATCTCCGCCAGCTTCATCTTGGCGTCGTTGTGTGTTGGGTCGGCCAGTCGGACTGTCGTGACATCGTTGTACCGCACACCGTTGTGGTAGCGTGTCGTGCATCATCGTTGTCGGATTAAGTCGCGCGTCGTGGCATCGCGTTGTCGCATTAGCGCGTCATGGCATCGCGTAGTGGTATTAGAGCGTCGTGGCATCGTCGATTCGTTTGCACCATCGATTCATTTGCATCGTATGAGCAGAATTTGGATTGTGGCGTAATATACCGCGTGGCGTATCGTCGAGTCGAGAGTCAAGTCGAGTCGCAATACAGCGAGCCGTAGTGCAGCGAGGGGGTTAGTCCAGCAATGATAGCACAGCGAGATTAGTACAGGGGGGTTTGGTTGATGGATCATCAGATTATTGGGTAGCCGCATCGGCAGCGCACAGCGTATCCAGTCAGGAGTTGTCGCGTACATGGAGTTGTCGCACCATATACGCAACATGGGCGGGCGTAGCATTAGATATATGCGCCATGGTGGGTGAGGCAGACCGGAAATACGGCGAATAGTCGTCATGGAACAGGGGGAGATATAGACAGAGTGCAACCGTCAGCATTCGGTTTTTCATGTAAAACGCAGACACGGGCGATAAGGTAAATGCAGCGGAAAGGTCGATAAAGCAGACGCAGAAAAAGGGCGACAAAGCAGACGAAGGGAAAGGTCGACAAAGCAGACGCGGGTAAAGGGCGACAAAACCAGAGCAAACGAAGCAAACCAAAATTCACCTCAAGCTCAAACAAGCGAAGCGAAGCAAACGAAGCAAACAGAAAGAAAAGGCGACCAACGAAAAGCAAACCAAAGAAAAGGCTACAAAGCAAAGCAAAAGGCGAAGAAACAAGGATACGCACTATGTTCATAAACCTCAGCAGCCTCCTTCAACTGCTCCAAATTCCGCATACAAGCCGCCGTTTGGAGGAGGACGTAGATGCTGCTCGTCTACAGTGGAGGGAAGAAACGGAGCGTCAGCGACGGTTCGATCCTTTGTTAGCTTCGTTATCCCATAACCAACACCCTCCACACCTCGAAAACCAAAACAACAGTAACAACAAAAATAAGAAGAAAACAAATTCAGAGCTACGCACCGCAGGATCCCCACCCAACAACTCATAAATAGGCCTCGCCTCGGCCCACATCTCGCGCTCGAAATAGGCATCCGCGATCTCGGAGAAGAGCACGGCGTAGTCGAGGACGTCTTCGGAGAGGATTATGGAGGCGTGGCGCTGGGCGAGCGATGCGTGGGGCGATAGAGAACGTAGGGAGAGAAGGGGGAGTGAGCGAGTAGGTGGAGTGAGCGAATAGGCGGAGTGAGCGAATAGGGCGGGGGTGGGTGGGTTGGGCGAGCGAGTAGGCGGAGTGGACGGAGTGAGCGATGCGTGGGCCGATAGAGAACGGAGAGGTAGAGAAGGGAAGAGAGAGAGAAAAGAATGACAATGAGCACTCAAACATAAACGAACCAACAAAGCACACACCTTCCCCTCATCCACATCCCCCATCTTAATCCTCGCCACCGCCAGCCTGTGGCGGGCGTTCGTGTCGAGGGGGTAGTACCCCGGTTGCATCCCCGCGCCCGGTCTGCCTGGGAGTGGGAGGGGTGTTTGCGGTGCGCCGCCTCCCAGGGCTGCGTTTGGTCCCCCACCCACTCCTATTCCTCCTATTCCTCCTGGTCCTACTCCTGGTCCGAGAGAACCTGAGCCAGAGCCAGAGCCAGGAGGAGGGATTGTCGCTGAAACATCTTCGCCAGAGGGAGGCGCGACGAGGGTGTTCCCGTTGGCGTCGCGGATGGTACCGGGCAGGTCGTACTCCCTATCGTCCTCGCATAGATCCCAGTATCGTTGGTCTTCGCGGCCTTGCAGCCATCGTACGCCTAAGTGATAAATGAGTCTAGAATCGAGTATATAAATACGGGCGACGCACCCTTGCGAATGACGTCCACAGCCTTCTCGTACGCCCCCAACGCGTTGTAGAGGTCCGCTAAGAGGAGGACGTCTAGGATGGTGAGTCTGTTCGGGTTATTCTCTCCACCACCCCCCTCGTCCGACCTCCCCCTCAAATGAAACTCGAACGCCTGCTGCAACAGCTGCGCACACACGCCCAATTCCCCACATTCCACCAATATCGGGTGTACCTCCCTCAACACCACAAGGTCGTTAGGATATCGTTTGAGTATCCCAAGAAAACACGACCTCGCAACCCTCCCCTCCCCAACCTCCTTCGCAAAAACCGCCCGATCCCAGAGGTACTCCATATTCTCCGGATCAACCTGCGTCATCTTCCCAAAACAATAAAGCGCCTGCTGTACCAGTCCCATCTCCCTACTCTTCCTCCCCAACCTCTCCCACTCCTCCGCATCATTACGCAAATGCGCTGCCATCACACGAAGTTTGAGGGCGGTGTGGGAGTCGGAGAGGTCGTCATAGCATTGGGCGAGGACGGACCAGGCGGCGGAGGCGCGCGGTTCGATGCGGATGACTTCGGTCATCAGGTCGATTGTGAGGGGGAGGTTGGAGTCGATGTAGGCTTGGTTGGCTTCGCCGATTAGGGATTTGACTTGGTGCGAGAGGGTGGGGCCTGTTGTGCGGCCTTTCTGGAGGGTGGGGTCCGCGGGAGTGAAGGATGCGCAAGAGTGAGGAGGGTCGGGCGAGGGCGAGTGAAGTGAGCGAGGAGGACGAGTGAATAAGGAATCCTTGGGCAATTAAAATACAGGAAGAGAACGCACCTTGCGCCGCTTACGCCCCACTCCACTCGCTTCTCGGAGGTCATCTTTGAATTCGGCCTCTTGCTGGGCGACGAAGGACATGTCCCAGTCTTTGATGAGGGTTGTGCCGGTGGAGGTTTGCGAGCGGATGCCTTGGATTAGCCGGCTGTTCTCGTTTGGGGTAGTAGTTAGATACAATCACGACGTTCTGGTTAAAGAGAGGAAGGAAAGGTACGCACTCAAAGTCCCCATCGACACTCCCACTCCTCTCCTTTTCCTTCCCTTTACCTTTCCCCTCGGCCCCCTGGCCTACCGCCTGCCCGCCCTCCTCATCCTCATCTTCCTCTTCGGACAACCCAGAACCAGACTCGGATTCGCTAAACGATTCCTCCTCATCGGATGGGGAGGAGGAAGAGGAGTAGTGGTCTTCCTCGTCTGGGTCGATGTTGAGGGTGTGTATGGTTAAGGTGGGTGGGTTCGTCATTGGAGGAGGGGTGGTTGGGATGGCAGGGTTGTTCGATAGCTCTGAGCGTTCACTAGTGTGTGAGTTTTGCTTGTGGTTCAACGTTCAACTCGTTTGGTGGTCGCCTCGCGTTCCCAGTTCGCCGCTCTACCCGTATGCAAGCGTTCTCGTTGCCAAGTTCAAGGTAGCCTAAAGACCAGAGTGAAACCCAGAGATAGAACACAGAATCGAGGATACCAGAGAGATAGGCGCTAAGGCGAACGTCGTCAAGATCAAAACGCGACCGACCTATCGGTAAGGAAATCTTGGCGCTTCCAGCTTCGGGAACGTCGGCATACGCCGTGATACCATCAACCCGCCAGCTTCGGCTCAGTCCATGATGGAATGATACCATCACCCCTATACTCCCGGCACTCAGCACTCGGCCCGCCTGGAGTGAAAAAATCCTCCAACGGTGATTGGCTCCAGGCCCCTTACGTTACGGGACGGGAAGGAGAAGGTCGTGCTTTTGATTTTCTCGCGTTCGTTCATTGTCCAGTTGTGTTGTTGACTTCCCGACTCCTATCACATATCGTCCTCCTTCCCTGGAATTGACTATTCCTTTGGGATAAGGGATCCCTCAGGGAACAGAAGCCCGGCGTTCAATTTCGCGCAATCACGAAGACTCTTGAGTCGGGATTGGAATCCATCACGCGCACCTCGTCGGTCGGTTCACGCACGGTTTTGGCTTAGGCTAATCCGAGAAAGGTCAAGGTCACCACACCGGTCTTGGAAGGAGAGAATCAAGGCTTTGGACTACCGAGTAGGCGCTTTGCCTCGTGTTGGTGTTTCGACAAGACAACGAGTTACGGAGCTCGTCACAGTTTGTCGTTCCTTTCGGGTTCCACTCTCGTTCTTCAAGGTCCTGGTTCGCTGGGCGCCCACGGCGCGAGAATAGACTAGGATGAACGGTGACTACGGACCTCCGGGTCCACTGTCCCAGTCGGGTGTAGGGAAACAGTCTGAACACGACTATCCAACCAACCAACATCCACTGCCGAACCACGAAAGCTACCACCAGCAATTGTACGAACATGTATCACCGCAACGACAACCTCTATCCAACGAACTACCTCAACTATCCGACCAACCTCGACCTCAACTAACCCACCTATCCAACCAACCTATACCTCAACTACCCAACCACCAAGCGTCTAACAAACTTCCCCAACATCGTGTACAACCCCTCCCACCTCTAGACCTAACATCCCCCCCAACCCTAAACACCCTAACCTCCCTCCCACCCTTCACCCTCACCCTCCTCGTCCTGATCTACCTCTCCCTCAAGAAATCGGGGCTCCTGGCGAGGATGGGCGGTAGCCGGGTGGGGAGGGTGCTGGTACCGGAGGCGGTGAGGGAGGTGTGGAGGCCTTTTGTTAGGTTGGAGGATGCGGAGGGGGAGGCGGAGGAGGAGGAGGAAGGGAGGGTTGGTGGTGGTGTGAAGGGTGTGTCAGGGGAGGATGGAGAAGCTGCACGACCGCAGGACGCACGAGAGAACGCGGACACGGAAGAACGCGCACGAGAGGACGAGGATGCCGAAGAACGACTCGACACCGAAGAACGACCACGACCCGACACCCGCCCGCTCTACAAAACCGTCCTCCTCACCACACTCGGCATCGCCCAGTCGCTCATCTGGCTCGGCCTCGCGTCGTACCATTTTTACATCTCTTTGAACCCACCACCTGCTGAGTATGGAAATTCGACTACCTCTTTCCCCGACCTACCGACATTCCCAAACTCCCTCCCCGAAATCCCATCCCTCCTCACCAACCCCTCCCTCCACCTCACCCTCCTCTCCCTCACCTGGCTCTACACCGCCCTCCGCGCCGCGCTCAACCGCCAGCCTACACCGTTGTACGATTTGGTGATGGTGTATGCGGTGCTGGTGTGTACGGCTGTGGTGCGCGTTGGGGCGGGTGTTTGGGGTGCTGGGTATTTGGGTGCTACGGGTTTGGGTGGTGTGGGGTACCTGGGTGTTGGTGCTAGTGGAAACGCTGCTTGGAATGGAAATGTTACTTCTGGTCTTGGTGGTCTCGTCGGCCTGGATTGGACAGCAACTATCTCGGACGGTATCGCAGGCCTAGATTGGACACCCGCAGACTGGACAGCCGCATGGTCCGACCTCGTCTCCGCGCTGGTTTGTTTGGGGGTGTGCTTGTCGCTGCCGTTGAATGTGCCCAGTGGGAGGGTTGATGTTGGGAGGATTGTGAGTGTTTTTTCCTTCTTCTCCTTCCTCTTTCCGTTCCCTCTCCCCTCCCCTCCCTCTCCCCCTTCCTCCTTCCCACTCAAACCAAACCCTCGCACTAACTAACCCCTCCTCTCTCCCTTCCACTAACAGGGCACATCCCCCGGCCTCTCCCCCGAAGACTACACCACCCTCTTCTCCTGGCTCACCTTCTCCTGGGTGTACCCCCTCGTCCAGTCCGGGCGCCACAAAACCCTCAATGAGGAGGATGTCTGGGAGCTCAGTTGGGGTTTGAGGAGTCGCGTTGTGTGGGGTGTGTTTAGTCGGATTCGGTGAGTTTTCTTTTTGGTTTTTGGGTTTTGGTTTGTTGGATGTTGAATGTTGGACGGTTTGCGGTGGGCGGTTTTGAGCTGGGGCGTTTCCGGTGGGCGGGGTGTCGTGGTCGGGGTGTACACCGGCTTTTGCGTTTCTTGCTACCGAGTTTTTGATCGGGTATATGCTAACGAAACCTTACCAGGAAACCGACACTGCTTCGCCGACTTTGGGTTGCGAATTCTTTGGATCTCATGTACGTCTTTCTTTACTTTTCTGTCGTCCCTTTGGAGTGAATGGGGTTATCTGACGGGCTTGCTTTCTTTCTTTACACATGATGCCTCTTCTCTACACGATGCTGTCCTACATGATGCTCTCCCACTTCTCCTTCTCCTACGCACGATACTACGCGCCCGACCTCGACTTGACGCGCTAACGCCAAACGACACGTCCAACTCTCACCGACGCGCATATACCCTCACTGATGCGTTTGTGCTCTCACTGATGCATTTGTGCTCTCACCGACCCCCACCCGCACACCACGGCCGAACGACGCGTATACATATCCACATCAAACAGGCTAGACTTCATCCTCACCTTCATCAGTGTCTTGTTCCAGTACTCCACGCCAATCTTCCTCAAGTGCGTATTATCATTTATCCGGTTTTCTCAACGTCTTTTGGGAAGTTGTTTTGCTAACGGGAGGGATGTTATTATTGTCCTCGTAGGTTGATTCTAGATGCCATCGGCGAACGCGGATCTACCTCCTCGTTGGGGAACGATGCGAATGGGGCGTTCACCTCCTTGAACCGTCTACCTGTAATCAACACATTGGCCACTACCTTCGCGTCCACGCTCTCCTTATACACCCCCACCCCCTCCCAAACAACCTCCCTCGCCTACATCTACGCCCTCCTCTCCTTCCTCTTCACCCTCCTCAAAGCCGAAGCGGACGTCCAACACTTGTGGTATGGACGACGAGCGGCGACGAGGATTAGGAGCGAGTTGATGGCTGCGATATATGATAAGGCGTTGAAGAGGCGGGATTATGCGGGTGTTGTTGGGCAGCAGGGCCAGGGGGGTTCTGGTACTTCCGGGTCTGGAGAGGAGGGGAAGGATGGGAAGGATGGAGGGAAGAAGAAGGATGGGAAGAAAGGTTCGAAGAAGGATGGGAAGGATAAGAAGAAAGATAAGAAAGGGAAGAAGAGCAAGGACAAGAAAGGCAAATCCAAAGACGACAAAGCGGACGACCCGAAAGCAGGCGCGGACGTGGGCAAGATCGTGAACCTCATGGCTGGCGATGCGAACCGTGTGTCGCAGACTGTGTCGGGGTTGTATTTTATTTATGGAGGTGCGTTTTGCGCGTTTCTCTTTTTCTCTTGTTTTTTGGGGGAAAGCTTTCTTTTCATTTCGTTCTCTTCTTCCTTCTTCCTTCTTCCATCGTCCCCATTCCCCCGCTTCCCCCTTCCGTGGTCCCCTCTATTCCTTCTCCCTCCTTCCTCAAAGTTTTCCTCTCCTCTTGAAGGACATTCGTGTCACGATGCTAAGACAACGAACGGACGCTAACCCCCGACGTTTGTTTACAGCCCCCCTGGAAATCATAATCGCCTCTACACTCCTCTACCAACTCCTCGGTATTAGCGCTTTTAGCGGGTTCTTTGTGTTGGTGTTGGGGTGGCCTTTGAATTCGTGAGTTGTCTTTTTGGTTCTATCTTTTATCTCTCTGCTGTTCTCTTTCCTCCGATATTCCTTTCTTCCCTTTCTGCTCCCCTCTCCCTCTCTCTCCCATTGAACGATCGAATGAAGGAGAACAATAACTAACACCCGCCATTCAACAGGTACGTCTCCAGACGGAGCATTAGGATCCAGAAAGGTGTCTTGAGCGCGAGAGATGGACGGATGGGTGTGTTGAATGAGTTGGTTGGTGCTGTGAGTAGTTTGTACTTCATACTTTGTCCTCGTCGTGGTTTCTGTTCTTTGGGCGTTGGGCGTTGGGCGTTTGGGTGGCGAGCGTTGCTTGGTGGACGTTGAGTACCTTTCGCAAAGACCGAAGACCGCTCGCTACACGCCATCAACCTTTATCAATCCTCCCGAGTTCATCAGATTACAGCTAGCTAACACACCTCACCCCACTTTCCGCTTTATAGGTTAAGTTTATCAAGTTCTTCGCGTGGGAGGAGAGGTGGATCCAGCGGGCGTTGGATGCGAGGGAGAAGGAGATGCAGTGGATGGTTAAAGGTGTGTTTTTGCTTTCTTTACAGTTGGGGTTGGGGGTTATTGGTGGTAGCGTTTTGATGGTGGCGCTTTAATGGTAGCGTTTTGGTGGTAGCCTTTTGGTGCTGGCGTTGTGATTGGTGGCGGGGTTTGACTGGATGGAAAGCTGACTACTTCGTATTGAATATAGCTCGCGTCAACTCGGTCATGTTTTACCTCCTCTGGACGCTCGCGCCGATCCTCGTTTCCATCATCTCGTTCATGACGTATGTTTTGAGAGGGAACGAGTTGACTGTTAGTGTTGCGTTTACGGTGCGTATCGTTTCTCTTTCTTCTGTTTGCTTTTACAACCTGGCTGACGAATCACGATGTTCGTCTCCATATAGAGTATCGCCTTGTTCAATATGATTCGGACACCGTTGAACGTCATCCCGGCGTGGATTGTTCAGATTCTGCAGGTACGTTCCACTCCCGTTCCCTTTGGAACAATGCATTCTAACGATGCCGATGTCTTGACCACTCCCACCACCAACAACAGACCGGCGTAGCGCTCAAACGAATCTCAGTCTACCTCGACGAAGAGGAAGTTGATGCGCAGGTTTCGTCGCTCAAGGCTCAAGAGGGTTCCGCCTCAGTGACTAGCACAGTGGGAGATGATTTCTTCACCCGCTACGTGCGCGAACAGGATGAACTCGAAAGGGGCGGACTCGGGTTGGAGAATGCGACGTTGAAGTGGAACGAGGTGCCTAAGGAGAAGGACTCCAAGGACAGGGATAACTCAGCGGACTCTGAGCGAGACCAGGCTGGTGCTTCCACTTCCACCGTAGATGCTCAGGACGAGTCGGCTACACCCTCCCCCGATGACGATCTCGAAGCTCAGCTTCTTTCGGACGCGGAAACGGACGTTGAGAATGGCGGGAACGCGGCTGACATTGAAGGTGGATTGTTGTTGTCGACGGATGAAGAGCAGAGGTTCGAGTTGAAGGATGTTACGGTTCGGTTCCCTGAGGGCAAGTTGACTGTTATTACTGGTCCGACTGCGAGTGGGAAGACTGCCTTGTTGGTGCGTACTCCTTAATCTTTCTCTTTTGTGGCTGTCACCTTCTGACCGAAGTTCTCCTCTTCCTCTTCCCCCTTACTGTACTGTCTTACTACCTGCTCCATCACACCACTACCAACAGATGGCCGTCCTCGGCGAAATGACCCTCCTCTCCGGGCGCATCATCATGCACAAAGACCCTACGCTCGTTGACCCCGAAACGGGCTTGACGCACTCGATTTCGTACGCCGCTCAGACGCCGTGGTTGCGCCACCAGTCTATCCGGGAGAATATTTTGTTTGGGCAGCCGTTTGATAGGGACAGGTATGAGGCTGTTGTGGATGCTTGTGCGTTGAGGATGGATTTGGAGGTATGTTCGCCTAGCTTTGGTCTTGCTATGGGTGGGATGGATGGATCGCTGACCGGTGATGGGTGCTCTAGGTTCTGGAAGATGGCGACGAGACCGAGATTGGAGCGCGCGGTGTTAGTCTGAGTGGAGGACAGAAAGCGCGCGTGGCTCTTGCTCGAGCTGTGTACGCGCGGACCAAGTATGTTCTCTTGGACGATCCTCTCAGTGCTGTCGTACGTCTCTTCCTTCCTTCATCGTGCTTGCAAATGACACCCGCTAACCCACGCACTTTGTCGACCTTGCAGGACAGCCACACCTCCCGCCTCCTCTTCGAGAACCTGCTCCAAGGCCCGCTCCTCGCGAACCGCACGGTCGTTCTGGTGACGCACCACGTCGAACTCGTCCTCCCCGGCGCACACTACCTCGTACGCATGCTCGACGGGCGGATCGATACGCAGGGCACAGTTGAGGAGCTAAGAAGCGCCGGCCTCATCGACGATATTGCTTTTGATGCGTTTGTGGACTCTGGGCTGCGTGGGGAGGGAGAGGAGGAGTTTGTGTTTAATGTTGAGGATGCGGATGCGAGTGGGGGTGCTAGTCCCGGCGTTGGTGAGGGAGTGGAGGGGACGATGCCTACCACCCCTGGTGAAACTGTTCCTACTGTTGCTAGCGGTGCCGCTGGCACCCCCACCGCGGCCGCGGCGACAACTGCGACCGCGACCTCCTCGGCTATGAAGAAGGGCAAGAAGAAGCCGCGCAAGTTGGTTAAGGATGAGCACAGGGAGACGGGTGGTGTCAAGTGGTCGATTTATAAGGCTTATTTGAAGGCTTCGTGCGTCTGTGCTAGCTGTCTTTGGTGCACTCTTGTACTGACACCTCGCGACCCATTGCTCTTGCAGCTCGTATTGGATCTGGGCATTCCTCGCCTTTATGGTCGTCGTCGTCCAAATCCTCGGCGCTAGCGAGAAGCTCTGGATCACAGTCTGGGGCGAAGCTTACAAGAAGGATAACAGTACTACCTCGGCCTCCTTCGCCTTCGATTCGCCTGTCTCTACGCAAGAACGCCCTCCTTCTCCAGCCTTTGTCGCCCTCCGGTCGTTTGCGGTTTTCCCTGAACACGACGCTGGTGTCGCTGGGTACTTTGCGCATCACCATCACTACGATACGGTGTTCCAGGCTATCGCTAACGTGAAGGTGGAGGGTGTTGCTCCGGCTCCAGCTTTTGTGGGCGGTTCTCGGTCCTCGGATTTGGTCAATGCTTCAGCCTCTACCTCTGCTACGGCGTCTTCTTCTCTGGAAGACCACGAAGCTGGCGACGATTCCGATGTCCGTGATTCGGATAGCAGCGTCAGCTCCACCGAGTTTTCAAAGGTGAAAGGCGCGTTTGGAATCGATTGGCCGGATGCTTCTGAGCATCCTTTGTTCTACGTTGGGGTGTATGCTGGGATTGGGATGTTGATTGCGCTTGCGAATGTGTTGAGTGTTACGGCGCAGTATACGGCTGCGCTTCGGGCTTCCAGGGTCCTCTTCCAGTGCGTATTGCTTTCTCTTCTCTGTGCTCGAGAATAGGGTATGTTTAACGCGGTTGTGCTTTGGCAGGCAACTCTTGACGAGCGTCGTGCGAGCGACGTTTAGATTCCATGACACCACTCCCCAAGGAAGGATGCTGAACAGGTTTGGAAAGGTGTGTTTCTATATCGGCTTGTGAGGGAAGAGAAAGATGTTGATGTGGGCGTTTTAGGACATTGAGACGATCGATTCTTCGCTCGCTGGATCGCTTCAGGCTGTCAACTCTTCTTTGGCCAGTTTCTTCGCTGCGATCGTGATCATTGCGTACGTCCCACTTCGCTCCGTTTCTTCCCCTCTTCCTACTACATAGAGCCGCTTTAACTAACCCGATGACTTTCCCTTTAGTGTCGTGTTCCCCTACTTCCTCATCCCAGCAGCGTTCATCGGTCTCGCCTACCGCGAACTCGCCATCGGGTACCTCAACACCGGCCGGGACCTCCGCCGGATGGAATCCAACACACGTTCCCCGATCTTTTCTGATTTCGGAGAGCTGTTGGAGGGTATTGTAACGGTTCGTGCGTTCAGTGCTGAACGTAGGTTCTTGAACGGGTTACATAGGAAGATTGATACAACTACCAAGGTCAGTCTTTCCCTCCATCTTACCTCTATGAGGTGGAAGAAACACTAAACTAACGCGGCCTTGTACTGTAGATGTGGTATGCGTTTTGGATGACCAACCGGTGGTTACTTTTGAACTTTGATGCCCTGGGAGCGTTGGCGGTGCTTGTTACTAGCTTGTTTGCGATTTCGACGCTGTCGAGAGGAGCGGGGTTGGCTGGGTTGTGTATTACGAGTGCTATGACGTTCACTTCTTCTGGTGAGTGGTTTGATTTATTTGGAGGGTAGAACGGGTGCTGATGTGGCTGACCAGTGTATTGGGCGTGTCGGTTCTGGACTGCTTTGGAGTTGGATCTCAAGTAAGGAGGCTTTTTTCATTCGCCTGGTGTTGCTCGTTCTGATCCTGGTATCCTCCCAGCTCTGTCGAACGTGTCGTCGAGTAGTACGTATTTTTCCTTCTCCTTCATCCCACTTTAATCACATGGGATTTCGTCGTCAGCCTCGACCTCCCGCAAGAACCACCCGCGATCATCGAGTCGAACCGACCACCCGCTTACTGGCCTTCGATCACCAGCAACGACAACCTAGTCGTCGTCGAGAACCTCGTCATCAAATACGCGCCTGACCTGCCTGCTGTCCTGCATGACGTGTCGTTCTCCCTCAAGGGCGGCGAGCGGATTGGGCTCCTTGGTAGGACGGGAAGTGGCAAGTCGACGCTGGCTATGAGTATCTTGCGATTTGTGAGTGTCGCGTATGTGTTGAGGATGGAAAGAAGGCTAATGGAATGTCGGTTAGGTCGACCCCACGGAAGGCAAGATTATCATTGATGGGATTGATATTTCGACGATTGGGATTCATGATTTGAGGTCCCGAGTTGTACGTGTCCTTTCTTGCAAGTGCTGTCGCATTTCTGAAATGCTCTGGTGTAGACGTTCATCCCGCAAGACGCTACATTGTTCTCTGGTACTCTCAGGGAGAATTTGGATCCCTTCGGTACGTACCTATTATATTCTGGCCACGTTATCCGTTTGCTCATTCCTGTTTAGGTGACCACACCGACGCTGAGTGCTTGGACGTGTTGCGACGAGTGCACATGATCACGGACAGCACCCTCGCTTCTCGAAGATCATCGCGCGAACAATCTGCTGCGTCCTCTCGGGCACCCTCAATCTTGAATGTCGAACGCGAGCAAACTGACGCCACCCATGAAACCGAACCAACGGCTGGTTCTTCCGCCCAGTCTATCATGTCGACTGGAACCTCCATCACCGAGATCGACCCCAAAGCCAAGATCAACCTTGACACCAAAGTCTCTGCTGGCGGCACCAATTTCTCGCAGGGCCAGCGCCAGCTCATCGCTATGGCGCGTGCGCTGTTGAGGAAGAGCGCCATCGTGGTTTTGGACGAGGCGACTAGCAGCATTGACTTTGCTACTGACGCGAAGATCCAGACTACGATTCGACAGGAGTTTGTTGGATCGCTGTTGTTGACTGTTGCGCATCGGTTGAGGACTGTGATTGATTATGATAGGTTGATTGTACTTGATAAGGGCAAGGTGAGTTTATTTAGATTATTGCCTCCTTCTCCCGTTGGCTTTGGTTTGATGCTGATGAATGTGTTTTGTAGATCGTGGAGTTTGATACGCCGTACAACCTTATCAAGAAGGAGGGTGGTACGTTTAGGAAGATGTGTTTGAAGAGTGGGACGTTCAGCGAGCTTGAGGCTGCGGCCAAGGCTAAAGCTGAAGCGGATGCTGCTGCTGCTGTTGTTGCTTCTGAATCATTGTCATGATCGTGAACATCTCAGATGCGCTACTTCTCTGCTATTGCTAGTTCAGATCTCGTATAGTTTTTTTTCATCGCTTTTTCTTGCTGGATATCGTACATAATATAATGCTTCGTCTCACCCCGCCTTGTTGAACCATGAAGAGATGGGGGAGCGACTTGAGTTACAAACACAGACTACCTCGAAGGCTCGAAGGAAATGCTTAGGGTCGAGTCAACCTGTTCCGGAAATGACCAGCGTGTGCCCTGACTGGCTGCAACACGATGCGTCTGAGGTTTCGCTCCTCAACATTTTCTACTTCGGTAGGTTCCTCCGGGACTTCTTCCGGGGATTCGGGAGCTACATGGAAATTTTAGCAACGGGGTGACACCAGGGCCAAATGCAACAGGCTCACCGGAGGCTCCAATTCCCCTGTACGTCGCGACTTGATCGAGGAGACGTTCGATCTGACCGGGGGTGAATGTGTCCATGCAACTATCGTCGGAATAGTCCATGTAGTTCTCTGGACATACAAGTTAGCACTGTTGGGAGGACATGGGAGGGCCGGATGGACTTCGAGATAGTACTTACGGACGGGGTCTGGTCCGCCTCCAGGGCAGGTATCTCGGGCAGTGGGACATCCACTTGCAGGTGAAGCTTCGGCGGGAGTGTCGGCAACTTCGTCTCCCAGGCCAGAGCAACCGCCTTGGAAAGTGTGGTATAATCCGACCCAGTGGCCTACTTCATGCGTAAGAGTCTAGGATAGCAGTTGAGCAGTCAGAAGCGGGACATTGAGTGTTCAGGCGAGCCAATCCCTACCTGACCGAGGTTGAAAGGCTCCGCGCTTCCTCCAGGAAGAGAGGAGAAGAGGACGACCACGCCGTCGTCCTCGGGCGCGGATCGAAATTCGCTGGGGAACGTAGCATATCCAAGCAAACCAGCGCCTCCGCCCTTTTGGAACCTATCGATGAACCAGTCAGTCAAGCTTTTTCAGAACGCTCCCAGTCCGGTATGGCAAGAACCCTACCCAACGGTGTAGACATTCAAGTCTCCTGGGCCACCCTTCCTTAAAGCCTCTTTCATCTCCTTCTGAACTCTCGTCCTCGGTGCTACAGACTCAAACCATGTAGCATTGACATTTCGTGTCACCTCCGTCAACCTGAACTGTAGTCCCGTGGGCTCGAAAGCGGTGTTCAAAACGCTAATCTGCGCTTCGATCGCTTCGTCGCTCACGTTGCCACCTTCTTCAGTTTCGTCGCTAGATGTGACATGGAAGAAGACGTCTATAGGCGCGATGCGGGCGGAAGAAGAGGTCAGGGAAGAGGCGACTCTGTTGAATTGGAAGTCTTCTTCGAAGATAGCCTTGGTGGCTTCATCAATTTCGTTGCCACACCCTCTCGCGGGGGTTTGGCGAACGACGTGGGCGGATGCGAAGAGGTGACTGGAAGCCGAGAGGCTAACCGCCAAAGCTATGTATCTCTTGAACAACATTTGAAATGAATGTGGGATGTTCGACCCAGCGAACGATTGCAGTTGACTGGTGAAAGGGAAGGAGGGAGAGAAGTGGACGAGTGGCTAGAGGAAGGAAGGCAATCGATGGGGAGATGGTAGGTGATGTTCGCCAGTGGAGCCACTCACATGTTAAGTAGTGGGGCGCCTTCCGAAGGCTGTCGTGCGGGACGGTCTCCACGGGCTAGGCGGTAAATTCTGATCATGACATTGTTACCGTTGTATGTATGCGAGTTCTGATTTGGTACCCGAGCACATGCAGAGTCCATGATGGTTTCCATGTCGTAGACACTGACGGTACGAGGAAGAACAACACCTCAGGAGGTGAGTCCTGTACGGCTCTGCTAAGTTGAGGTGACCTCCCTTGATCGAGTTCTACTTGTGTCTTCGACCAGCTTCGACATCAAGGTATTGACGTCGGTTCCTGGGCGACCGAGATCAAAGAATGCGTATCCATCTCAGCTGGGTGGTTCTCGCAGGTCCGGGGAATACAAGTCGCCCTGGTATCAGCCGCCCTTCTCTAGCATCGCATCGCTTCACATCAAATCTTATCAATAGTGCTCACTAGCTCACTATGAACCTCCTGCCAGAGGTGAGCAGTGAAACCTCTCAAGGGAACTAATACGGAAGTGACTGTTCACCGTGTAGTCTTTATTGGTACATGATCTTCTATCCCATTACCGCCCGTGTCTTTTGGGTGTTCCGGAGCCAATAGATCGCAAGCAATGACTGACAGAAATAGGCGCCCATGCAAACATCACGTGGTGTCCGTTCCTCGTCATTATTCCCTGAAATTACTACTTAGATGATGCTTCGGATGTGAAGTAGCCTCTCTGTACCGTAATCGTACATTATCGCGGACCTGGGATTGTTTTTGAATTCGTTGTACCTGGCTGTGCATCATTCCTGAGACAGGACGAGATCGCTTAGGGCCTCAGTCAGCTTCTTGAATTGGACACTGATTCATTTCGCGTTCCACTCTACTTACTTTGGCGGTAGCGGGCGCTGCCGCTCGCCGGCCTTACTACAGGGTTTTATTTAAGTGCCTTGGATAGACCAAAGCTTGAAGCCCACAAACCCTGAAGGATGACAAGAGGACTATTCCACGTACGGTAGGCTACATAGCTGGTCAATTTGCCATGGAGGAAAGTCGCTCTTGCACTCTGCCGTACTTACTATGAGTAATCCATATCGTAAACGGAAGTTCTGGTTCCCCCTTTTATGTTATTTGTGCTTCAATTCTTTTGAATATGGTCGTTGAAGGTGAGCCACCAATGCCAGTTCTTTCTGCATCTTCTCCTTATTGTCTCTCACTTGGGACGGGTGAGCACCGACCCAGTTTAGGCTGGCCTGCTGCTAAGTTCAAAGTTGTGCCAACTTCTCAGCCAAGAAGGTTGACCTGCGACAATTGATGGCTTCGGAATTCTCGGTGATTGCCGTGTCGGCACCAAGACTCAAGCCCATATCGCGTTAATTGCAGTCAAAAGGTGAAAGTAATCGGCGGCCGGCTTGAACCTGCACCCGCCGGTCCTCTTCGACGCCAGATTTGTTTTCCGTGGTTTGTCAATGCGCAGCCTATAACTTCTCACACAGTTTGGAGTCTCTGTCTCCCCACTTCCTTGGTTTCGATCGAGTCGTTTGGACGCTTTTCACCAGCCCGACACGCAGGAGAACACAGTACTCATGGCGATCCTCCCACCTGGGGTTCGGTTTGTAGGCCGTGGGGTTGCCTACATGACCGTCTTTGTAGGTGGACTCGTAGGAGCAACCAAAATCGCGGAGTCTCGAGGATTCGCGATACCCCTCTGGCTGGTGTTAACAGGGGCAGCCGTGGCTATTCCCACTCTTGCAGGACTACGCATTGCAGCAGGCGAATTTAAAAAACGGCGACGCGCCCGAGCGCTTGGAGCTCGAACTGTTCCCAAGCTCCAGGGAAAGAAATTCGGAAACCTAGACGTGCTTACAACAACGTTGAGTAACATTGCTGTCGGTTATCCCGGTACGTTGTCGGCCCTTCTGGTGCCTCCGGAAACTAGCGCTTATACTTGAATTGCAGGGGACGGATTGGATGAAGTCATCGAGGCTCGAGGACCTGTGTTTAACTTTTGGTTGCTTTGGTCTGATTCTATCTTCACTATCTGTCCCGAACATCTCAAGACCATCCTTGCTACGGACTTCAGCAGCCATGTCAAAGGACCTCAGTTCATCCGCAACATGGGATCTGTGCTTGGCTCTGGTGTCTTCAACTCTGATGGTGAGTGACCTGGAGTCACACTTTACCGTCCAATCGCTGATTGGGCGTAGGTGAGATGTGGAAGTTCCATCGCAGCATCACCCGGCCAGTCTTCACTCGAGATAGGATCAGTGACTTCGACATCTTTGACCACCATACGGACATCGCACTCCAGAAGCTGAAGGAACGTCTTCGTGAAGGATACGCTGTTGACTTCCAGGTATGAATATCCCCGCGCTCTGCCTGAGCTCCGTCTGATCAGCCTGCAGGACCTCATGGCTCGCTTCACTCTGGACACGGCTACTCAATTCTTATTCGGCAATTGCGTAAACAGTCTAGATGCTGGACTTCCATATCCAGCCAAATTCGGACTTACCGTTCACCAGACTCTTTCGGGAAAGAAAGCGGACGACTTTGCCCGTGCGTTTATGGAAGCGCAAGAGGCCATCGCCAACCGCGAACGCGTCGGGTGGATCTGGCCTCTGTTCGAGTTCTGGAAAGACAAGACAGAGGAACCGATGAAGACTGTCAGGGCTTTTATCGATCCAATTGTAAAGGAGGCAATAGCGAATAGAGCGACCCAGTCTTTGGAAGAGAAGACCAGCGGCGAGAAAGAAATTCAAGACGGACAAACGCTACTGGATTACCTAGTCAACGTTACCCAGGATCCCACTATCTTGCGAGATGAGATGTGCGTTCGCTTCTTCTGCCATCGACCACTACTGACAGACGACTCTGCAGCTTGAACATCATGATTGGTACGTCAAAGAAGCGATCCCCATCGTTGATCTTGGCTGACTGGACGCATAGCCGGACGCGATACCACCGCGGCGACTCTCACATTCTGTATCTACCTCCTCTCTCAGCACCCCGATGTCTTCCAGCGCCTTCGCACCGAGGTGTTGGAGAAGGTAGGACCCAGTCGTCGACCCAACTTTGATGACCTTCGGGACATGAGGTATCTCCGCGCTGTTCTCAATGAAACTTTACGACTATTCCCCATCGTGTAAGCCCCTTGCCTAAAAGCTGTGTATGCTGACTGACGACTCAACAAGGCCGTTCAATGTTCGCGAGACGGCTAACGAGACCGTCTGGCCTTCCCCTGACCCCAACGAGCAAGCTCTCTATATTCCTCCTGGTACCAAGTAAGCCTCCTTGTTTACGCTGTTGTAATTTGTAAACCATCTCACCGGCTGCTAGGATCACGTACTCGGTTTTCATGATGCAACGCCGCACCGACCTTTGGGGTCTGGATGGTAAGGATTATCTACGTTTAATCCCGACCAAGAACTCATATATTCCTAGCCGAGGAATTCGATCCTGATCGCTTCATCGACGAGAGGCTGAAGAAATACCTCATCAAGAACTCATTCATCTTCCTGCCTTTCAACGCCGGCCCTCGCATCTGTCTGGGACAACAGGTGAGTGGTTTTCCTTTCTCCGTGACGATCACTGAACACTGTTTTTAGTACGCTTATAATGAGATGTCGTTCATGCTCATCCGTCTCGCCCAACAATTCTCTTCCATATCCCTCGACCTTGACTCTGCTCCCCCTGAAGCCCTTGCCCCGAAGATCTGGGCCGAGTCTCAAGGGCGCAAAGCCACTGAGAAAGTGTTTCCCAAGTTCCATTTGACTATGTATGCTGCGGTACGTCGTATAATCTTCCCGTTTGATGTACCTCTGTTGATGTTTGTTGCTTGTAGGGAGGCCTGTGGGTTAAGATGGAGGAGGCTACGGGCACGGATTAACTTCGATTCCTTCTGTAATTGGAACAATCTTTAAACATTTTCCTCATAGAATCTTGCAATAAGCGCCCACTCAGTGCCCACAATCGAGTTCTAGAAAGGTGGGCTCTTAGCGGAGGAGGAGTGGGATCCTTTTACAGAACGCGTACAAAAGGGTCTCTGTTCTATATATACTAGTTGAAGCACTCCCCACCTGTCCTACGACGTTTCTTACACATTGATTCCACGGTAGATGGATATTTGTTCCCGAAGTCGGACGATTTGACCTGGGGTGAAGTGGGTCATGCAGTCGTCGTCCGAATAATTCATGTAGTTCTCTGGTATTACGCGGAAATTGTCCATGAGCCCCCTGTGCTACGATGTGGAGAAGGGGAGGTATCACTCACGGACGGGATCGGGTAGGTCATCGAATGGGCAAGTGTCTCGTCCGATGGGGCACCCAGTGGCAGGCCGTTGCTCAGGTGGGGTATCATCGACCTCGTCTCCAGAGTTGAAACATCCGCCTTGGAAGGTATGGTAAAGACCAACCCAATGGCCAACCTCATGGATAAGAACCTGTAATCAAGCGTGAGAACTGAGCAGGATGCTTAGTAACAGAAACAACACTCCGCACCTTCCCAATGCCGCGTCCAGGTGCTGTACTACCAGGAAGTACAGCATATGAGATGACGACTCCATCGAGCAAGGGGTTGCTTATGACCTCGGAAGGAAAAGTGGCGTAGCCAAGGGTTGGTGTCTCTGTGAATCTACCCGAGAAGGGGGCGTCAGTGATCATCGACTGGGTGATTCGCCTGCAAATGAGAAGGGACATACCCAACAGTAAAGACATTCAAGTCTGCTGGACCGCCCTCTCTAAGCGCCGTCTTCATCACCAATTCCAACGGATGTTGCCAGTCAACGGAATGGAACCAGGATTCATTGACAGTCCTCGTCACTTTCGCCAAGCGAAACTGAATTCCAGTGGGCTCAAAGCCGGTATTCAGGACATCAATTTGAGCCTCGATGGTCTGGTCGTTGACATTCCCACCTTCTTCAGTGTCATCTAGAGAGATAACATGGAAGAAGACGTTAAGCGGGCCATTGGTTAACGATGAGTTAGAGGTAGCCTTCGATGAAGCCCTGGCCAATTTGCGTAACCGGAAGTCCTGTTCGAACCGAGCTTGAGTCGCTGGGTTAATTTCATTTCTACTACAAATCTCGGGGCCTGGAATCTGGTTGCCGACTGCAATCGCATCGGCCAAGATGCTAGTCGAGATAGATAGTGTAGTGACGAGGAAAGCGATCTTTGCTAGGGTCATTCTTGAGAGAGGGTCGAAAAGGGTGAAGATGATTTTCTTGTTCGGCGACATGGAGACCTCTTTTATGTCAATATTCAGCCCAAGCATTAACAATTGTCTTAGCCTTCAGAGCCTCCACATGCACGCAGCGCTTGCCGTCTTCGGAGTATCCCAGGTGAAGTGAGCATCATACCTGCAAACATCCGAAAGATGTGAATTCGCGCAGCTGGCATCAACTTCGATGGATGATGCTGCAGACCTGGGCCGCGGAACTTGGGCGGGCTGTCATGAAACATCCCAGGTTCAACAGCTTTTTACAGCAGTTGACTATATACTTACAGTAAGTGAGCCGGTGTCTCACTTCTATCGTCGATAACGCACATTGCAGCCCCTCAGGTGGCCAGTGCAACAATAGACGCCCGGCGTCTATCCTCCACCCCCATCACCGATATTGATCCACAAGACATTTCGACCGCTCAGATGAAACAATAATTATCTTCTCCGAGCAGAGTCTCCCTGCGCATGAGAGTACTTACTGTCAGAGCGCTAGCTGTGGCGTCTCTCAATCTGAGCCCGGTTTAAAAGATTACGCAATGTATTGTGTGTGCTCGGTCTGACACCACATTCATCGAAAATAGAAGAAATACCGACTATCTGGAAAGTGTAAGGTCTAAAATGTGAGCTAAGAGGGATAACCGCGACCGCAGAGCATATTCTACACAACATCCAGGATCTGCCGGTTCGAGAAACAGAACGGGATGCGCAGTGATAAAAAAGTTAAAATGATAGGAACAACAGAAACACCCCAGTATCACGAGTGTCCGAAGGGGTTGGAGAACAAATGGGTAAGGGGTTTAAACAGATCTAAGGTAGACGAGAGAATGTGGGATAGGGTATGTGCAGGGTGGTCCGGGTATAATCGATATCGATGGTGTGGACCGGCGGTCTAGTTTGTGTGTGTACAATCAAGAGTCAATGTCCATGGTGATGAAGTGGTGGGTGACGGTGTGTGCTGGGTGTGGATGTCCGGAAGAGCCTTCTAGTATCCGCTGGGTGGTAAATACCTGGTCTCGGCGAGAGGGGATGTCCAATGGACGCGCTTCCTGCGAGGAAGCTCCTGTGTCTCGAGAGGGGGAGTGCTGCCCAGTGACAGGATCTGCGCCAGCTGTGTGCCTGACTGGCCAGGGGCGCCACGGAAGTTCTGTCCTCTGCCTTCAGTCAGCGCATTGGCTTGGGGTACGGTGGACCGGATCGCTTGTCGTGGGTTGGAAGGGCGACCTAGTTGAAGAGGGCATGGGTCAGATTCGAAAGGATTGAACCTTGACTGTGATAGTGGGCCAGGAACGCGGACAATGTCCGGCTGGTGCGCGCTGCCTGGTCCAAACACATTGGAGGAGCCTCGATTGCGAACCGGGTCGTTGTCTTGTCCAACCACCGTGCCAGGGAGACCATAACCTTCCGCAAATGTGAGCAAGGCTGGCAAGGGCTGGTCGTTCAACCGTCGCTTCAGATCCTTCGCATATTCCAGCTCCTGCTTCTCACAGAACTCGGGAGATGCGCGATAAGGTACTTCTGGTCCAGTCGAAGTGGCATAGTTGAGGGCATTCTTCTCCAGACGGCGGTACATCGCGTGTGAGTACTCCAGATGGTGGATTTCGGAGGGATCAAGTTCTTCTTGGCGATCATCCGCAGCGAGGATATCCAATGGCGAGTTTGACTTTACTGCGCGAGTGCTTGAGCAGCTACTGTCCGAGCTGTTGGTCCGCGATGCAGTACTGGGAGGCGGCGACGCGACAGAGCCCATAGTGGCTGGGTCTGGGTCCACATATTCCAAGCCAGGGCTCTGAGAACTGACCGAGGGGACATAGTTGACTCGTCCGTAGGAGTACGACGGGAAATTGACGACGTCGGTTGGTGGACTTTCTCGGTCTAAGGTAATGCCCAGACCTGGAAGGTAGCGACCGGATGAACGACTCGGAGAGGAAAATGTTTCTGTGACCGGGGGCGGGATGGGAAGATGTTGAGCGTTCATGCCATAGGGAGTTGCCGACGTGGGTTCCATCCTCGATCGTCCCTCTACCGCACTCCTGTGCATCCATGGCGAAGTCATTGCGGGCAAAAACGGACTGGCGCTATTGTGTGTGCTCGCATCCCGCGTTCGATCTTCCGTAGGGTTGAAAGTAGGGTTGAAATTACGTCCAGCATGGAAAGGGGAGAGCAATTGGTCTTCACGGGGGAAGGCTGTATTGCGTGACTGAGTGGAAGAGGTTGGTCCAGAAGGCTAGCAAGTAACGTCAATGAGCGAACACCCTCCTCGCGTGACGGTCGAATTGGATGTCACACTCACTGCTTGACCAACCACGTGGTTTCGATAACTTTGTCGATCTCGAGTTCGCGGGAGATGTTCTTCGATACCACGATCCAAGCCTCCCCGCCCCCGTCCGGCGGGGGCGAGGGGGACGCCACCAGACGAATTAAAGGGCTGGCTAGACGATGAGTTGGCTGAAAAGCGATGCTTCATTCAAAATGGGCAGTCGGATGTACTGCCGGGTTTGTTGTTGCTTGATGTGACTAGTTGCTTTACGGTTCGGGGCCGATGCGCTGTGGTGTGTTGTTCGTGGTAGGAGAGTGTTGAATGTGGGTCGTTTGTGTGGTAACCCCCGTAGACAAGAGGGTACTTTATAGTCAAAGGTCCAGTCCGGGAGTTCGTTTTCGCGACAGCGAAAGGGCAGTACAAGGTAGCAAACAGATAGTCACCCGACACATTGTGAAATGAAGTTACCTAGGAGAGATTGTGGGTCCCCCTGACTTGAAGGAAAGCGAGACCTTATATTCCTTGACGTGCACAGGACAGTGAAGACAGAACCAAGCCATCGTCAGGAAACGAAGGCGCAGAGACAAAAGTACAGAGGCAGACTTGGAGACGGTGGTGTGGTAAGAGCTCATAAAGCTGTGTCGGATACTGAGATGAGGCAGTGAAGATTGACAGTGACAATAAAGTTGAATTCCCCGTCAAGACTGACTCGTACCCACAAACCACAGCGTCGAAGTAGTACCGTCGAATTCAAAACAAGAGAATGTGTCATTGGTCCGTTGTCAGGATGGCCGGGATACAATGCGCCCGACAGACTCCGATTATATTCCGATTATCTCCGCTCTCCAATGCCGGCTGTGCCGTCGCTTTTGGCTGGAATCCTCAACCGCTAGAGAAGGCGGTTTCGAAGTCCTGAGAGGCCTTTCGATAGTCGAAAGAGCGCTATGTTACCAGATAATGTTGAGAACTGACAATACATGCAAGGCGATGGTGTCAGAAAGGGGGTCCAGGAATAGTAGCAGAAAGCACTTACTCCGTTTCCGAGGAACACTTCAGCCCGCTCTGCCAAAGCCATATCGACGGCAACACCTATGTCTCTGTCCCCTCGCTGAGAGTGTCCACCCTTCCGCTGATTAACTATATCCCAGCCATCACTGGTTAGAGCATCACCCAGCTCGTTCAGGAAATCCGGCCAGCCATTTGAGAGGATCAAAACTTTGGTAAGACTTGCACCCGATGAGTAGCCTGGTGAGGCGATTGATTCTTCCCAGTCTCGTCGCACTTCCTGGGCGCGCTCAACTACCTGTCGAATATCAGGTAAGCATCTTTTCATGTAATACTCCTCCAGGCTTGGTGCAGGGCTGTTGGTGAGGTTGGGAGGCAGGAACGCATCCTGCGACGGAAGTTCTTGCGCGAGGTTGAAGCCCATGAAGCCAGAGCCCCAGCCTAGCAAGCGGCTACAGTGACGTTTATAGTCACCTCGCCTCAAGTGTATCGCAAGGAGGTTTGGTATGATCTGAGCTGCAGCACCCCCGTTCGCTAGTTCCGACCCGGATGTAGACGCCGAAGGATCGACAAGATCGAGGTCATGAAGCAGCTGGTGAACTCTTCGGAGAACGAGAGGCGACCATTTCCACGTCTTTAGGACAGGCGAGGCAAGAATTTCTGGCACCAGACTCCTGATGTGCACCGGAGACATGAAGAAACTAATGGGAAATTTGAATATTAGGTAGGGGAATATAAGCTGGTTAGACTCACTCCCAGTGTACGACACGCTTGGCCAGAGGTTTGCTAATGTCGCCTTCGCGTATCTCCACACATCTCCTCCCTGCTCCTCGCAAGTTAATCTTTTCTACCCACCAGTTGACCTAAAACGGAGGAAATTAACATCGACTGGGATGGCATTTTCTGAGTATATTAGTACCAGTGCATTAGTATCCTTAAAGTCCCTCGGTCTCATCCTGGCATCCAAGACGACTCGATCTTTTGATGAAAGACTTGCAGGGCAAACGTAGTCGTAGTATTCCGATGACACCGAACGGTAGCGCGAGGTGTTCTTGGTTCTGATTTGAATCTTCGCCAAGAATGCCAAAGAACCGAAATGCATAACTCACCGCGTCGAAGGATACACTGTCTCCTGCGACAAATCCTCCAATAAAAGCATTTAGGGGAATCCGGCTGGGTCGCAGGGTGAAGTCGTAGATCGTGTATGGAATGGGGAGCTTCGACCAAACGTAATCCTCAAAAACGTATGACCTTCGAGCTAGATGTGCGATATGCGACGTTACAAGCCTGTACAGCGAGTCAAGATGATTTCAATTGCTGGGGGGTGAAAATGGACACTCACATTTCCTCAAGAACGTTGTTGAGTCCCAATCCGTATAGGTGGTTTGGAAACCTGATAAACCCCTCCATCTCTGTAAGCCCGTTATCAGGGTGTTCTCTCGCCGCTCGTGGATCCAACCACCACATGTGTTGGGGCAACGCTCTTTCGTACTCCCGAATGTCAGCGTATGAACGCGGAACGCCTCCATACAATAGGATAGCTCCCACCAATACACCTGCGGTTGTAACGACAAACGTTAACAAGCAACAAACTGCTCGGGCCCACGGGCTATCAGATCGGATTCTTCCTGGGTGCCTCGTCATACCGCCGCTAACAGGTCTATATCCATTGGCACTTTCCTTCTGAAGGACTCGTTTGGCGGCCTCTACAAGCGATCCGAGGAATCTTGGAATCGACGTCGTCCAGGGTCTTCGTCGTCGCCCCCCAAGTCTAAACGCGGGACTTGGGTCCGTTGCCGAGACATCTTGGCCCCAGCGTTTGAGTCGCGTCGCGTGTTCTTGGCGGCTGTCCTCCAGAAAGGGGCATTCCTCGAGTTCCATAGCGTCGAGTGGGTCGTGGGTTAAAGGCGATGTCTTTTCTGAACTGAAACGCCTATATGGTCGGAATTGCCGGGAGGTATGGACTAGGCTTTGAATCAAGGTGCTACGCTGCGCTGACGTCGGATTGCCAGGCTTTCGGAAGTTATATAATGTTTACCCACGCTCCGGGAATAGACGCTCATGGCTAGGCGCTCCTGAAGGCTGAACAATCACACGGAAACATCGAGAGCTTCGCTATATATAGTACCAATATACGCGCCACACAATAGTATTCCATATAGAGAACTCTACTAGGGACTTCAGGACAAACTCGGAAAATGGCCACACCGGGCAGATAGGCGCCCGAGTCAGACTCGAGGAATGAAGCGCGGGTGATCACTTTCCTAATTTAGAGTCCTGTCCTGGCAAGCCAGTTACCAAGTCGGTGACGGCCGCAACAGTACTTCCTACCAGTGGATTGAGGTCCCGACTAGGCGTCTGCGTAGTCTGTAGCCAGGAGGAGCGCGATAGATACCCTTGTAATCCTCGGTGGTGACCGGAATTTTGGAATTACTGATAACCAAAGTCGAGGATTGGGTCGATATCAACAGAACGTCAGAATGGAATCGAAGAGAATCTGAGGTAAAATAAGAGTCGCACATGAGGCCCGGATCTTTAGGAATAGGCGCCAGGCGTCCCGTGGCACCATGCGCTCGTGTTTGGCGAATTGAATACACCGAGTACCAATGGCATCCTCCTGGTTACTGTTACTAATAGCCACCACTTCCTTTGATTGAAACACTCGGATCCCGTGTGTTAGGGGGAAAGTACGTATTACCACCTGCTCGAAGAACAGGACGAAATCCATGGGGGTCCTGCCTCTACTGTCCAACTCCAAGAATTGCCTGGCTGCGGAGAAGATTGACTTTGGAGTTTCTCAAATGGACCAAAACCCAGTTTCGTGGCGGCCCGGATGTCGCGACGACAGCGTCTGAAGTGCAGTAAAATGCTGGTCGATTAAGACTGCTCATTGCACCCACCCTGAGCAACCTCCAGTAGCTCTCCAAACCGAGTCGACTCGGTCCGGCCCAGTGCTATTGTCGGCTCGTGATAAAGCTTTCTCAGAGAGAAGTTCGAACTTGGTGAATGACTCGGTGAGAGGCAAGCGGGCTGTTAAGTCATAGCTATCTGCATTTCGGAATAAAATGTGCATGTAGAGAAACATGTGGCACATGTGTCTATTGTCCTGAGGGAGGGTCAATTCGGGAATCGAATAAGGTCTTGTCACATAGGTGGTATCCCTTGCTTCTCTACATAACACTGTGTGTGGAGCTGTTGGAGTACGCCAAATGGCCTCAGTGAGGAATAACTCTAACTCCGTCGGAACCGCGCTCTGATTCGTGTAGAGGAGTCCAGCAGCACTAGCCAGTGCTCTGACGTCCGTGCAACAATGGAAGTACGTGTTCATAGCTTAGCATAAAGTTAGCGCCCGTCCATTTCCTCAGCCATGACGCACCTATCCTACCTGGGTTATCTTGCTAGGCCGACGTTAAGGAGGACATGTTAGACGGAATGTGGCGCAGCGTTCATTTTCCGGAAACAGTAGCTATTATCCTCGGTCATAAAACCCTGACCCAACGAATAGCAGATCTCGAATGATGATGCAAAGTTGTCAGGGAACATTGGGCAAGATGGATATTCGTGACTCGACAGTGGAGCCTGCAACAGCCTCTACTAGTAGGTTGTTCTCGGAATTGGTAGTGGGGCAAAGGATCGGATCCTCCAATCCGGAGCGGTCGAACTTCTATTTAATTTTCAGAGACGTAGCTCATCTTCTCCCTTGAATGTCCCGTGTTTCGACGCCGGCGGCTTGTTTCGATCAGAATTTGGACACTTGCCCAATCCAAGAACTTGCGTTTGTGAAGGGCATGAATCGAAAATACCGAAGCGCTCGGTTGAGGCTGTTCATGAGAGGTTGGCTACGCAGTTGATCTAGATACTTACCCGTGGTATATAAAGAACCAGCTGTTGAAGTTGTTTTCGGATACCTTCGTTAGTAGTTACCCAATTCCTTCCTCGACATCGCGCTTTCGACACTTTTACCTCCGTTAATCAAGGCCTTTTCGGATCCTGTTGGCAATCCCTTCCCACGGCGTTTTGCCACCCACCCACAACCTCGATTCATCGAGGACACCCAGCGGGGAGCTGGTTCTTTCCCTGGACCAGCGCGAAGTACAACTCTATTCAATGACATCCCCTCCCAGTGATACCTCTGCTCTGACCCCGCGATTGAGAACGACTTCACTACCCCAATCCACTTCCAATAGTAAATCCGCAGTGACACCACAGGCAGCGCCCGTTGCGACGCTTTCACCGTCCTCAGAATCAAGCAGTGACGACGAGTTCCCGGACTTGGAGGCTTTCAGGAGCAGGGGACAAGCTCCATCTAGCCAATACCACCTCCCACGCAAGCAGTATCCGCGGTCGTCACCCGCTATCAAGATCGATGGGGCTGGCACCGACGTACGGAGGGCACAATCAGCATCTGCATCTCTCGCTTCCAGTCTGGGGAGCGATCTAGGGTTCAACATTGGACGAGGCAGGTCCCTCTCACCATCGTCGAATCCTAGGTCACGAGATATCTCCCCTACCCCTTCTGCTGGCCTGGATGCTTCGTGGTGGGCTTTACCGGAGACGGGGGCACCACCCTGGAAAGACCAACCGAAGCGAAAGAGTAGCATCCCAGCAAGTGAGGTAGATGGATACGACCGCACGAAAGAGGTGAGCTTCGCTCTTCGAACCACACAGTGCCGTCTCCTTTAGGGTGCATCAGTGATCGGTTGACTGACTTTGCATCCCTTCTTTCTGGACAGCGTGTCGCTTTGGCTGTCCGGTCTTGTCTGGGAAACGTCGTGGACGTGGGGCACGAGTTACTTTCCATCGGAGTGGACCTTTTGGAATTGGCCCCAGTACCAGGGTTGGCTCCCGCAGCCAGAACATTGCTGAACATTTGGGATGCTGTCGATGGAGTTGATGTGCGTGTTCCGGTTTACTCGAGGAGCTAAAACCGACTTAGAGAGACTTCCTTCTAGGTCAACTTCAACCGGTGTCTTCGGTTGGCAGATCGATGTGCACGACTACTCATATCAATTCGCGAAGAAGTTCGGGAAGCAGGAGATGCTGTGGGAGAGGAATTGCGAGACCCGATAGCAGCCTTAGAAGAGTGAGTCTTGTGATGGTTCTGACATTGGCTGATAACCCACATGGTCAATAGGGTGTTCCTCCATGTACTGGAGTTCATGAGAAAACAGGTTCGAAGACCGTTTTTGAAGCGTTTCTTGAAGAGAGATGAAACCCAGGAAGATATCGACGAGTGCAATAAGAGATTAGACGACGCTACGAAACTATTTACCGTGAGTTGACCGAACCTTTCCCATCGCTGTTGTCTAACAGCATGCCAGACCTCGATCGTGATTCGTATTCTGAGGAAAACCTATGAGATGGACGCTCAACGCCAGAAAGACACCCGAGCGATCATCAAGACCATCATTAGCTCCAGCATCCCCCAAACGGACCCTCCATTATCCCCCATCCTACTCTCTCCGGAGGATAACCGCCCTACAGACGACCCCTCAAAGGAGAAGCCAGCACCTGTCACCCATTTCATAACCACTTCCAATGCCCTCGGTCTTTCAGAGACCATCGACATCTCGACTATCCCTCCGGACAACGTCATCCCTCTACTCAACAGTCTTCAAGAGAGCCAGAACTCCCTCGACCGCACAAACGACATTGCATCCCTTCGACAGCTCATGCTAAAGGCTATCCAAGCCAGCAGCGACGCAGAAATGATCGACATGCTTCAGGTCAAGCACGAGCAGATGCCTGATGCGATCAAAACTCTGCAAAGAGCGCTCGAGACGATAGAGAAGCGTCGCAACCAGTCACCTCTCGATACAATCCCGCCGGGGGTAGTTATCGGAAAGGTCAAGCGTCGGTATAGTCTCAAGTCTGGCGACAACCAGGAAGGGGGGCTACAACGGTCTAAGACTGTTCTCAGCATCGAAAGCACCACCAGCTCGAAATCGACCGGAGGTTCGAGCAGTGCTGGCGGAGGATCAAAGAGAACGAGGGACACCTTGGAGCAGGAGTTCATCGAGAGTGGAATCTCTGCTCTAGTGCGAATGAGCCAGGGTCAGAACACCAACCTTCCCAGCTGGACGATCACCAAGTTCGAAATCAATCGAGAGAAGAAGATTGGGGTTGGCGGCTTCTCGGATGTCTATCGAGGAACTTGGAAAGGCCGCACCGTGGCGATCAAGGTCTTGAAGATGGAGACTGAGAAGAAGCTGTTTATACGGGAGGTCGAGATATGGAAGACGCTTCATCACCCCCATGTTCTTGAACTCTACGGGGCTAGCAGTGCTCTCGAGCCGCCGTGGTTCTTCGTAAGCCCGTATCAGAAACATGGCAGCTTGGTCGACTATCTCAAGAAGGTGGGGCGCGACCTTCAGGATCCTGCCTTGACCCCAACCTTCCGCCCTGATCGCTCTCCTAGGAAGACGTCCACCATCCCTCTCCCACTGAGGTCCAATCGAGCGACTTCCCCTACGCCACAAAGATCACCGTTATCGGCCCTGGGACCCAATACCGCCAAAGCTCCGCTTCGGGAAGAGTTCAAGGTTCGGTCAGAATGGGATCTTTTGCGGTTCATGCATGAAATCGCGAAAGGAATGGAGTACCTTCATAGTCGCGGGGTTCTTCACGGTGATTTGAAGGCGGCGAACGTTCTCGTGGACGATTCCTACCGGTGTGTAATCACGGACTTCGGGCAGAGCGAGATGAGGTCGACCGCTTTCCGAATCACTGGGAGGCAGCCAACACGTAACGTCCCTCTGACTATCCTGGTCCCCCTATTACTAACTGACATTCCTCTAGGTGGAACCCTTCGATGGCAGGCTCCAGAAATCCTGATGGGAAAATCGGAACTGACAAGAGAAGCAGACGTGTACGCTTTTGCCATCGCCTGTGTTGAAATCATCAATATGGGCAAGCTCCCTTGGGGAAGCTTGTTAGAAGACGAGACGATTCGAAACATGGTCGTCAGTACGTTCTTCCATGTTCGCTGAAATGACTCTATTGGAGACTAACCCCCTCCTCCTCCACAGAAGAAGATAGTCGCCCTGAAATCGCTGAAGACTCTAGATTTAACACGCCCGCACTCCAAGTGATACTGAAAGCTTGTTGGAACCGCGATCCGGACCGCCGCCCCCCTTTCTTTGAGGTGTCGAAGGATTTGAAGCGTATTCGTCAGACGTTTGAAAATGGGGATGTTATGGATACTCCCAAGGGTTCTCTGACACCTTTACCAGAGGAACAACCCCCGTCATCCCCATCGCCCGATATGAAGCCTTTGCCTCTCCCGCCGGTTGGCAGTCCGGTTGGAACCGCGAGTACGTCTTAATTCTTGTTTCTTGAGCATCTCTTCGACTGTCTGACCATGTCACATCAGTTAATATTCTTTGGCCGGAGGCCTCGGGTACGTTTGATTGGTACTTTATGAAATGCTGGCTGACGTCGGGGTTCTGCCCTCAGGTGGCGGCCACAGGGAAGAGACGGTGGCGAATGGGCCCATCGAATTTCCAGTTCCGGTATTCTTCAAAGACTTGACCCCGAAACCCTCGGTCCCAATTAGTAGTGTGGACGACGACGTCTCCGACGATATTGAATTGGTGGACCTCGATTACTACCCAGAAGTCGCGCGTGTCGATGCCACAACCGCAGCCGTTTGGAACGAAAGAAGGTATCGTTTGCTGTTAACGCACGATTTCCATCCTTCACGTAGGTCCTTCCGAGAGTTATTTTAGTTATTCACTCACGTTGCTTCCAGTTGTCTTGCCACTGTGGCAACCTTCGGCCGTCTCCCTCGGTGCAGTCGGGTACCTTAGCAAACCTCGTGGGGAGTTTATCACTCTCTTCAACGCCTTGTACCCGGATAACTCTAAACACCCTCTGGCCAAGAGCTTCCCTTCCATCCACGGCTATGGCAAAGTCGAGCACGGCTCCCAAACTCGTGATACGCGGTCGCTCTCTCAGAAGGGATGGGACTCCATAGCTGGGCTGCTGAGCCGTGCCAATAAGAACGATCACAAGGAGGGTGATATCCCGTAAGCACTCCCCCGATGCAAACAGTTTTGATATTGACTGCTGATCACCGTCTAACAGAATTAGCCGCCGCTTCACGTATCCATTACGCGCCGGTCACGTCTCCGCTCACCTCTGCACCCAAATTACGAAATATGTCTATCTTCAAGATCTCAAGGCGGCGAAGAGGTGGTTCAAGGCGAACATCGATAGCATAATGCACGCCTACCCGACGATACAAAGAGAAGACATCTATCTCGGTAAGATCTTGGCCGTACCCCCTCAATGTCACGGAAGGCTGACAGTGGTTATAGTTATTGGTCTCCTCAACACCCCCAATTACGGGTTATTTGTCAGTCACAGTCATCCTGACGGTCATGTACGTGAACACCGCTTCAGACACTGACACCCCGAGGGGCTAACTCGCGAACTTAGGTTCACTTTAACGTGCATAAAGCCAGTAAAATCGGTCAGCCTTGGGGCACTTTTACCACAGATTCTACTGCCCATGCAGCTCGCAATCAATCAGGACCTTGTTACGACGAAGCTGACACTCGTCCCCGAATCGAAGCAAGCAAAGTATCGATTCACGGAGGAGAGTGGGAAACCGTCTTGATTTCACGTCTGCGGTTCAGAGCAGATGAAGATGAGCCAACGGCGAGACTGTGAGCCATTGTAAAACCACATTGTACTACTAATCATTGTTATCATGCCAACATCTGTACTTACGACGAGACGAACTCGGACATTGTCGCCCATGTATAAGACATACCTGCAGTATATTTATGGATTTAGCATTACAACCAGCATGGTCTTATAACCTTTCGAACCCTCTGGAGGCCTCGGTTACCCTCGAAGATTAACCTACAGGGACACCAGTAAGCTTCTACCGTACCAAGACAGAGTAGGGGGGATACTCAACCTTGCTCAGGCAGCCCAGCGACTACATAAATACCCTAGCTGTATCGGTGGACAAACGACATCCCACACACACACCATGTATATCGGATATCGCTTTGCTATCTTCGCTCAGGCACTCGCCACTCTGCTGCCCGCGTACGGTGCTTCTTTCCCTGAGCTATACAGCGCCCTCGCTGCCGTGGAGAAAGAATTAGCATCCGCCAAGGATGCAGTCTCGGTTTTCTCCCTTCCAGGCGCTCAGACTGCTGACCAGGCTGGGGTAGGTTTTAAAAGCCCGCTTCTGCATAAGTAAAACTCACGTCATTTCCCTCAGACCATCGATGATAGCCTCACCCACCTCGCGGAGGCCATCCTGCACGCTTCACAGTCCATCCCCGTCAGTATCAACGAGGCGAACCTTTGGCAAGCGCGCGTACTGATGTTAACTCCATCCAGGGTGGTTTATCGACGCGCGAAGAGGGAAATGATGTCATGTCCTTTGTGAATGACTACAAACCGATTGTAGAGACAGCCTTGACTTCCCTCTCTTCACAGAAGGCAGAGCTCGAGGCGCTGGGATATGGCGGTCAAATGATCCATGACCTTGACATTTTGGCCAATTCAGTCGAAGATTTGGGGAAAGGCTTGGTGTCTTATCTTCCCGTGAGTGATTTTGCTTCCGCTCATATCAAAGACGCAAACAGCTGAACTTATGGGTCATCAGGGCACTATGCGACCATCGCTGGTCAAATCGGGACAAGAACTTGCATTTTACTTCCGTTCGACTAGGAAGACCTTCGCAGAGTAAGGTACACCTTTCACGCAGCGTTACCAATCCCTCGGGATTGTCGCCAACCTGTCTGTTTTATCTCCGTTCGAGTATCGTCGTTGTGTTTCCAGTATCGACTTCCCGAATTTCCTGAATGGATGTCTGATATTTCTCGTTCTCGGTAATGTCTTTCCTCTTTCATGAGATTAGGAAGTGCACCAAGACGGCTGTGAGAGCCCAATAACCAATGGCGCCGAGATATCAGCTCAAGATGGACATATCGAGTGGCGTGGGGGTGTATCTGAGATGGGCATTTCAAGCATCGTGTTTGACGGATAGCGCTATTCGTGAGGCTTAGAACGCGTGCGGTCCCCATGGGCGGGTAATCACGAGGGATAGTCCGAGGTTCTACCCCCCTTTCCCTTACTCTGGTGAGGGAGGTGGGAATTACGCAAGGGAGTCCCAAGCGTCATACCCAGGTTTTAAGATTAGAAGCATATAGCCTAGGAGATCATAGATTGGTGACAGATTGAGCAAGTCCAACCCAATTCCCATACGGTTGGTCCAAATCGGGCTGATCACCAAGCGCAAGTAGTGAGGTCGGAAACAAATAAGCCTCATTGTCTTACCATCCGGGGAGAAAGACTTTGGGTGATGATGTTAATTTCGAGCTTCTGTAGGGCCAGTGTCCGGACCGATAACAATCTTGTTTTGCTTCTCCCCAGACCAAAGTTAGAACCTATGTTCTGGAAACTGACAACGTGAACACTCTGAACTGCCTACCACGCTACAAAGGTATGTCAATCAAAGAGGCACCTCATTCCTCGTTCCCGTCAAGTCTCCGAAATGAAATGACACGAAACAGGACTTGGGTACTACCGTCGCGAAGTATATAAACTCATCCCGCTCTCTCTTGTGGAATCGGGCAACAAAGCAAGAGTACACCCATCCCCCCACTCCAATGACTTCTTCGGTCGTCACACATCCCTCTCTTCGTGCGTCCAACTACGCTATCTCTCCCATTGTGCAAATTTTCATCCCATTGACCTAGACATCCGCGACGCCCACGATGCACATATCCTGCTCGAGGCTGTTCGCTTGAACATATTACCTCTTATCAAACGACGCCTTCTCTCCAACGAACGCGAGGAACTCAGAAGTGGCCACGTCTACGTTTGGGAGGAAGCGCAAGACGACGGAGGGCTCCTTCGCTGGACCGACGGGAGGCGCTGGTGGGTTACACACCGATCATCACACCACGATAACAGACTAACTCCGTTGACAGGTCTCAGAGTCGGATGCGGGGAGACTACCTCTTCTACGAAGAGAAGATTGAGACTACTCAGGATGAAAGAGACGCTAAAGCAGCCAGAAGGTGAGTCAACCGCCTATCAAGCCCAAGCAAGCTCCTAATCGATCGTTTCAGAGCTACTCGAGCAGCGGATCCCAATGCTATCGTCCCTCCTCCAGTGAGGAGGAAGGATCGTCCATCGAAGCCAAACGGCCTTACGAAACAGACGTATTCTGTTACCGTTCATCTACCAGGATCTGGTCAGACTCGAAAATGGCATGTGGTCGCCTATTTCTCGGTGAGTTCTTTGGGTTCGACATTACCATGGTGGGAAAGACTGACCCGACGACCCTCACTGTAGGGAAATGATTATACCCGCTTGCCTGTTATCGAGAACTATGAGTACCTGAGGAACATTCGCGTTCCTCCGGGCATCTATCTCAGCAACAAGGTACTCTGCGCCAGGCCAGACCGCTTCTCATATTCGTATTATGCAGACGAACCGGAGGCGCCTTACAACGAAATGGTTTCTTCCCCCTACCCTCCGACATCACCAATGTTGACTTCTCCATCACCCCCCGTATCACCAACAGTCGGGCTTCCTCGTCTATTCATGCCATCCACGAACCAGAACAGAATCACCCTACCTCCGATTTCTACTCTGGACAGCAAGGGGCGTGTTATTGCTGCATACGGCGCCACGCCGTCCCCATTAAACTACACGCCACTTTCACCAGAAGATAAGCGTGCGCTGGAGAGCTTCAGGGTTCAGCTATGACATCAATTTTGCAGTTTTCACTTTTCGTTGTTGTCGTGCTTTCGGATCTTTGCTCTCTACGTCACTTGATAGCTCTGGTACATGTTGTAATATAGCCTGTAACGTCCGGTAATAACTTTAATACTTACATCTGAATCCATTTGTTCAGTCTTCACAGTATCACACAAGCTCGTGACGACCTTATCGGAGCCCAGCTGCGTCAAGCCCTTTAGAGCGAGAAGCATGTCCGCCCAGATTGCTCAAAGACGAATATACTCACTTTGGGTCTGGTCGCTGACAGTTCGGCGGAGAAGTAGCTGAGGTATCTCCGAGCGAATTGCGAGGGACAACACGCGTAAGGTGCATCCCTGTGGCACTTTCAGGGAGTTGTCCCTCAGCACCTGAGCGCGCGTCCACTGTTTGCAAGCACTAAGTGACGAACAGTGAAAGTCGTGGGGTGTGAAGACCGATGAAGACCCGGAAGCAACTATTCGCCACTGACCAGCCCAGGCCCTTAACGGCGTCCACGGGGTTGTACTCAATAGCAATCACATCCAGGTTTGGTTTCGTCGAGACCGCAAGGCTTATTCCAAGGTCGAGTCGACGGGCCGACACATGTGTGTGTGTCGTCATCTCCCCTTAATACATAAAGCTTTTGGTCCACAACTCTGGAAATTAGCGCGCCAAACAAGCACTCCCCTGACAGTGGAGACATGCGCTTTGTTCCAGCTTGGAATCCAATCCTAAAATGACAGTGGCCTACTACATAGTCTTCAATCTACTGTTTACGAGTTGGACCTTGGTCAGAGTAAGTGTTAAGCTCGAATTGGATCCACCTACAGGATCCATCGCGCACTGTGTCCCCCACTAGCGAGGAGATCCTGAGAAGGACCCCAAAAAATACAACTGAGCCCGGTCCAGCAGACCCAGTGTATGAATAAGGTTTGACGGAGGACTCGTGGAATGGAGGATAGGTGCAGTTTTGGCACATCTGTAAGATTGGTCTTCCCGGGAACTTGGAATATGAATGTCCCACACTCCCTTGATAATCGTGCTTTGAATGGTCTCGTTGCATTGAAATCATAGAGCTTCCCTGCATTCGTGATTGAGCGGGCAGGGTCAGTGGTCGAACGGCTTTCGAATGATCCGTTGAAAGGCAAGCTCCTTATGTTGCTTGAGCTCGTACTCATCGACCCAACGTTCAGGCGCCTGTGACTTCAGTGGGCGCCCAAAGGCCCGAATTCCGGAGATCCATGTAAGCCAATTTGGCTAAAGCGCTTATTCTGGTGCTGGTTGGATTGCCGACCAGCCGTGGAAACATATCGGCGTTTGCCGAGATGCGCGCTAATTTGTCAACCTGGATGCACGCCGGTTTTTCTGGTACCACTACTACGCCAGAATCCAAAATGAAGGAGATACTCTACATCCAAGCCGGAAACTCTTCAAATTACATAGGAACTCATTTCTGGAATACTCAGGAAAGCTATCTGGCAGAAGAACGGAGCGGAATCGACCCGGCCATTTCTTTCCGAAATTCAAAACAAGTCAGTTTCATGTTTTCAAACTAAACGCGCGTAGCATATCTTGAGACTTCGACTCCAGGACAAACAGACACTTTGTCCGCGATTGTTAATCTTTGACTGGAAAGGTTCGCGCTTAATTCTCTGCTGTAGGACTGTTTAATCACCATGATCCATCCAGGGAACTTTGGTACCGCCAAGCGGACCAACACCCTTGGAGGGCTCAATGAAGAGCCAATAGAGCACGGATTATGGTAAGTATACACCGCTTATGCTATGGTTATCTCCAAGTTAACATTCTGATAAGGAATGGGAATGTTCAAGAAATTCGGCAATCTCCTATGGTCCCAAGTGCTTACCAGCGTCACCTGCTTGATAGCGAGGCGGATGGACCTGACACGAGCCTCACATTCGATAAGGACGACGTGAGATTCTGGTCGGACTACAGCCGAGTGTACTACACTCCCGGAACCATGCAAGAAATACCTGAACCGCCTGATCGCGAACGGAACTGGGCCGTCGGCGTCGATTTGTTTAGGCGTTACAATGAGGTAGATTTCGCTGCTGAAGTTATCCCATACCAACTAACGTCCTACCGAAGGAGTCCGATCTCATGGAGGGTTCCGTCCGGCTGTCCCTGGAAGAGTGCGACACGCTGCAGGTAGCTTCCCGTACCACCGTGTGCTTGACTGGTCTGATGATCAGGTGGCTAGGGGCTGCAATTGATGAGCGACTGCGATAGCTTTGGAAACTTCACCTCCGAATTTCTAACTGCGTTCAAAGACGACTATGGGAAGACCACGGCACTTGTGTTCGCAATGATGTCTGGGTCCGCGATGGAAAACGGTCCTGACACCAGTAATGTGCGAGACGAACGTTTCATTTTTATCCCCGCTCACACTGACATGACGAAATCCAGCCCCAGGGAATCAAGGCTGCGATGTCCGATGCCCTCTCCCTCCGCGCATATCATGATTTAGCTTCCCTGACTATTCCAATCCAACCTCCGCCTCGGTGGGGAACAGAGGCTTTCTCCGATGTCCAAAATGCCAACGTGGGTCGCTACTTCCGATCCCATTTCCCAACGCTAACCAGCTTGCTAGAATGTGAAAACGAATATCTATTATTCGTCTGCGATTCTTGCCACCCACATAGAGACTTCCACGTTGCCTCTCAGGTGGGTACTGCACCCTTTTCTCGTCTTCTAAACTCCACTTGCTCGCTGCCTTTCTCTACTAGATTGGGACATGAAACTCTCCCCAGTTTCACGAGCAGGCTGAATTGGCAAGCACCTAATCCATTTGGAGAGCTTCTCGGGAACTTCCCTCTGTCATCGGTATCTGATCAGAGATTGCGCAACTTCGCCAATTTTACATGGCCAATGGTAATTACCTCTCTTTCCTCTGTTCAAAGTCGCTGGTTTCATGGTGTTCTCCCAGTCGCGGATGGAGGCAGACCGGTATTCCCGGGTCGATGTAACGCGAGGATTAACCGACAACGACCTTCGAATATACGATGCCCAACACTCTAATCTAACCGCTTTACAGTCTGTAGTTCGGTGAGTCTATAGCCCATGCTGTTTCTTCTACTTCAATTGACGCCGAAATGAACGTGGATTTTCTTGGGACGCTTTCCCCGCTAGATTCCATGGCCTCCCATACCCTCTTCCGACCTCGTTCCCTTCTTCGCTATGGTTGGAGAATGCGATCTCGCCGCGGCCCTCTCCTCAGTCCCTGCCCACTGTCAAAGGTATTTCGTCCCTGACGACCAGGACTACTCTGGCGCCGTTCTTCAAGCAATACGCGGCGTTCGTGGACGATTGTCTGCGCCGAAAGAATGCCACAGCACTGGGCATGGGTCTTGACTTGGACGAGCTGAGGGAGGTTGGAAACGATCTCTGGAGTATTCACGACAACTATTCCGAAAACGACGACTTATCTCAAGAATCCATGTAACAGCAGCTGTCCAGTACCTCCTTTTCCAATTTCATTCCGTCCACTCCCGTCGCACCACGAGCTATTATCACTACTGTACGACCTTCCGACCCGGGCTCTCATTCGTCATGCCATTCTCATGCATCCATGCCCCATTACTTCGAAGATGTCTCGAAGGCCTTGACAACGCACCCTCCTCGTGTTCCTTTGATATGATCCTCAAGGTCGGAGTCCAAGTAGAAGTCATCTGTCCAGCAATGTGGTGCATTCTGGTCTCTATACCCGGGAATTCGCTATCTCTCCCTGCCTCATGGCGGATTCAATGTAAGCTGTCCAGATTCTTTGCGTCTTGTTGAAAGATGATATTGATGGAGATTTGGAACGAATTTCCCAACCAATACGGGTGACATTTGCGTGGATGTTCAGATGATCATATTGTTCATGTAGCTTCCCGCGAAGGTCTTCAAGTCCGGCTGTCCCTTTGTCGACGGCGATAGCGTTCACGCCGAAAGGTCGACTTGTCGCCCTCCGACTCCGAGGCACAAAGCCATTTCTCGAGGGGCCCCTATTCCGGGGGATGAAATCGATACCGATCATGCCGTCCGGTCCTCGTCGGAGTGTCGGGGCGCAACCCCTATTTGGGTCTTGACATCATCCCCCTCGACGACGTCACGAACACCACTTGGACAATGCAAATCTTCGTCATGGGCTGGCTAATGAGTTGGAGCGAGCGCCTCCTTCGATGCCTTTCCATCGTATCTGCTAGTATATAAAAGATTCAAGCTCGCTCAGAAGGTCCAAATCAAGCTTTAAACCACCATGTCTTCCACAACCGCGGTCCCAGAAACTTTGAACGGCAACCCGCCGACCCTCAAGACCCCGAACGTGGTTTCAGATGAACCGTCCAACGAATGGGCCTCGAATACCCTAGGCGCTATTACCGATGATAAGACGAGTAGTACTACCACCCAAGAGAAGCCGCAACCAAGTCAGTCTGCAGTGTCCACTCCTGGCCTAGCCATTCCAGGCTCATATCCCCACCGCATTACTGCTGCAGATGTCGAAGCGGACATCGGGTACGTGAAAGGCGTGGCGGCCTCTGCAATCGAGACTGCCAAGGAGTACGTCGGTGCTGCTGGCGACAAGGTAGCTCCATACCTCCCACAGAGCGTCGCTGGCTATGTTGGTAGGTCGACTTCTCAGTCCCATTATTCAATCTCCCTCTCAACGTCCTATAGGGAAATCCCATTCTGGCGAATCCCACCCCGAACGGAACCCCAACCACGGCTTTGACGATGTATACGGTGAATCCATTGCCAAGTGTCCCGAGGAGCGCCGTCTTGAATCTTTGCCTTCCCATGACGACGAATCCCAAACTCCTCTTGGTCATTCAGGAGGAGTTGGCCGTCTTCCAGGCTCTTCTGATGAGACTGGCGTGGCTGTCCTTCCAGACGAACGAAAGGGTGAAGCTGGTGAGTTGGCTCTCTACTCTACCTTTCCATCCGTGGCTGACGCGTTCACAGAGCCCAACCATGGGTTCGACGACGTGTCCGGGGGATCTATCGCAAAGCTTCCTGAAGAATCCCGCCTGGAAGTCTTGCCGTCCCGCGATGACGACCGCCTGACTCCTCTCGGACATACGGGAGGTGCTGGACCTTTGCCAGGCAGCATCACTGAAGCCGGTGTCGCCGTATTGCCAGACGAACACAAAGCCGGCGCCGCTGCAAGCTGTAAGCGCCATCCATCATTACATGCAACGTCATCGAGACTGACCCTCCATCTCAGATCTGAATCCCACTTTCACAGTGGAGCCGGACAGAACGAACCGCGAGCCCTTCACCACTACGCTCCCCAAACCCAAGGCCGAGCCTCAAACAGCTGGAGGACCCGTCGGACCATCCACTCGTACCCAGTTCCTCGATGCCAAACCACAAGATCAAGAACACAAACCCTCGCCTCCACTCGATATGTCGCAAAATGCGAGCACCAATGCCAGCATCAAGACCTTGCCCGGGAGCAAGCTCGGTGGCCAGAGCGACGAGGAGCTCGAGACGTTGCGGGAGCACACCTCTGGGGCTCCTAGGAGTGGCGCTGCGGGCGTCCAGGTTTCCCCCACTTCCCATGGCAAGCCACACGACCGCGTCAAGGAGACATTGACTGAAAAGGTATATTGCATTGCATGTCCTTCATCGAGTAAAGGCTCATGTACTCGTCTAGCCTATCGTGACGACGACGAACGTCCTCCCTGAAGCGACAGCCCAACCCAGGGACAAGCACACCGTCGAAGATTCTCCTGCTACCAAGGGACTTGGGCAGAAACTCGACACTACTTCACCGAACAAGGTAAGCTCGCTTATCCATGACGGCGGGACGAAGGCTCTCTTTTCTGACGACGCCACTGTAGCCTGTCAACACTACTGCCCGGGAACATCCCGTCGAAGGCAATCGACCTCCTCCAGTTCCGGAGAAAGCACAGCCAGACGTACACCACCTCGACTCGGGTCGTGCGACCGCCGGACATAGCACCACCGGTCTCACTGACTGGGATCATCCAACAAGAGTCCAGAAAGCTACCAGCACCCCCAACGCCGACGCCGCTACGTCCTATCCCTCGGGAACAAAGCATACCACTTCTGCGGGTGCTGCTGACCGAGGTGAACACGTCGGGTCTGGCGGCGCTGGATTGTCCGCTGGTACAGCTCGACAACCTCGTGCTAGTCCTGGTAGTCCGCCGAAGAAGCACGGTTTCATGGACAAGATCAAGGGCGAGGCCAAGGTCATCAGTGGCAAGTTGGGCAAGAACGAGAGCAAGGTCGAGGAAGGAAAGAAGCTGATGGGGAAGAACTAAGTAAATGACTGACTGAATGTTTCTCTTTTTGACTTTCGATGACCCGACGTACTCGTAACAATACCTGCAATTATGCGCACCACTGTACTTTTAGTGCTTGCATCCTTGTAATTTTCATTCGGTATCTTGGTTTATGAGTCCTGCCCTGAGTTCTTCCAGTAAACGACGAGATTGAAGACCATCTCGGTTAGACAAAAAATAAGTTAGATAGTGAGTCCATTAGTACATATGAGATGTCCGTCAGTTAGTACAATACCCCGGCTTCACAAAGATTAGATCTCCAAGCGCTGGATCACATCGATCTCGCTTCAGCCATATCCTGTCCGACACCCAACCAAACATCCTATACCCAATCCAGTCCTGCCATACCACCCGCCACGGCGCCGATAACGTCAGTTCCTCAAACTTGGTGTGGAAGAGATAGTTCAGATAGTCATACGCTAGCAAAAAGTTAGCGGTTCTGGAGCGGACGCGAGTGGGTCACGGTGGAGCAACGTACCAACTTTCACTTGAGGGTTGACGTAAATCTTGGGCATCTTGGGCGATTTCCAAAAGTGCATGTCCATCCCGATGAGGTAGCATTCGGACGCTGTGCATTTGTTGCTGGCTCTGAACTTGAGGGGAAGAGGGGAATGCTCGGTCGTTGGGCTGTCTTTGTCGGATTCGCCGTCTACAAGGCCGTCAGATTCAGTGTAAGAGATAAATAGGGCTAGTCACACACCCAGCAAGAACCATGAAGCATCGAAGACGGCAACCCCATTCCAGCAGGTCGCGACCTCGATTGGCTCGCCCTTCCGCAATTTCTTCACCGCACGAGGCTCGGTAAAGTACGGCCACACTTCCTTCGTGGGCCCTCCGCAAGCATCGCGCAGCACCCATCGGTCGTACATCCCCACCCCATCGAAATCCAGTCCACAAGCAAGGTCGTACTCCCCCTCCTTCGTATTGATCAGCCGTACAATTGCTCCTGAAACAACGTCAGATTGATGCAGGACATTGAGACCAAGACTCACTCCAATCAAAGTACACATCGTTGAAGAAGATGACCTTGGAGAACCGTCGCCCGTACCGATTCCCTAGCGTTCGCAGAGGTTCCAAGGCCTTGTTCCTAATCCCGGCCATAAACGCAATCCTCTCGTGGCTATCCAAGCCTAGATGCCCCCTTCGCCCATCCTCAGTCGCCAAATTACTCCCAATCCCCTCCTGTTCGAGGTACTTTTCAAATTCCTGCAGCATCGTCTTCGTGTCGTCCACCGAGTAGGATTCGTGGATCGAAATGTACACATTGTCCTTTCCAAGGTGGTGGATTAGTTGTTTCATTTGTCTCGTCCATGTAGGGAGAATCTTGGCCGAGTTGTAGAGGTTGGCGGCGATAAAGTACGTCCCGTTTGTCGATGGGAGGACAGGTGGCGGTGGGTGGTCATTGCGCAGGGGCGACGACGAAGGGTACCAGGGTGCAAACACGAGGAATAAACACCAGACGGCGCACAGTCTGAGTCGGTTCCTTCTTGAAGATGGCCATCGAGACCAGGTCGATATGTGGGCTGCATCGAATAGAGCGAGCGCTGGTATGCAGACGGTGACGAACGGAAGGTAGATGAGAAAGGTTGAAAAGTATCCGAGGTGATAGGCCATAAATATGGACACGGATAAGCAGAAGGTCGTGCAGGCCGTCAAGGCGGCATAGTGGTAGAAGACGATCGTTGCAAGCGGCCGCCTACGTCGCTTGGAACTCTCGGTGTCGTCGTACATGGCTAGAAAAGGACTTCTGTCCCCTGAAATGAATGATTAGAGGCTATATTGAGACATTAAGCGCCAAAACTGACCTCGTATTTCGTGTTCAGCCTGTGGTCATGAGTGTAGACGACAAACGTCGTCGACGTCGAACGCGAGTGGGGTCAACCTGTGCTGATCGGGGTTTTTCTGATCGTCCGTGGTAATCGGGCGGCTCTTCAGGGGTTCATGCCAAGCTCAAGTTCACGGTGAGCGCTTATTATTTCAAATTAGGGCCCGGCAGGGTTGTAGAGTACATGGATCTCTGCAGAAAAGACTAGCTTGTCAGGGAAGACGATACTGAGACACAGGGGTCACTGACAGTGAATGTATGTAATCGTCGCATGCTAATGACCTGTAAACGGCACGAGGGCCATTAATTTATGAACACGTTGGTCCCTTTGACGTTAAGGAAAGAGTACTGTTAACACAGAGTCAGTTAAAGGTTCAACGTGTTTGAGAGAGTCTTACCTCGGCAAGGTCTGCAGTCTTGGTTCCTTTAGGGTCGTAGTTCTGGTAGACGAGATTGGGCTACAACTCCCAAAAGGCTGTCGCTGAGATCGGATCACTCGTAGTTAAAAGGCACTGTACCTCTGTCCAGAATGGCCGAAGCCCAGAAGCTTCAAGTAGAGTCCACCACTCGAGGAACTCGGGAAACGTTTTGTCCCAGATGTGGATTTCCACTTGAAGTTGGCCGATCGGGAGGGCTTCTCCTGATTCCACATACGGGAGGATAAATGTCCGCAGTGATTCAAACTCCCATCCTTCGATATCCATCTTCAAGATATCGATGTGGGTGTGGTCTGAGAAGAAATAGTCAGCACTAGCAACGGGAGAGCGAAGGTTAACAAACTGTTGAGTTTCATCAAGGTTTCCAACCTGTACATAGGCGGATTGCCACCCGGTTGATCCTCCCCCGCCAGTCCCACATCGCTGAAATGTGTTCGGTTTGCGAGTGAGAGGTGAATCTCTGGACCGAACGAGGGGACACTAAAGTCATAGCCCCATATCTGACAATGGTTCGTCCTTTCAAGTATCTCAGCCTCGAAAGACGATTCATTGTTGATACCTGGGCAAAGCAAGTCAGTAGAGCCAACCAGGACTCAGAAATGTGACAGTGTGGAAATGACTCTTACCAAACGAATATACGATACAATCTTTCCGATGCTCTAATCTCGACAATCCACACGTCCATTTACCGCCATCCCCAAGTACACCAATTCGTTCTATCTCGTGAGGACAGTTAAAGGCAGCAGGAAAGAAGTCCCCTGTAGTTGAACAGGTGAGTTATCTGGATTGACAGTAGCCATACGGATTTGTGCGTACAGACTGTATAAGGTGGCCAAGGAGCCCTATTTGGGGGAAATCTACAGGCGAGTTGGTTAGACGGGTGGATTATCTGTCGGCACATCTATACACACAAAGCGATTTCTTCCTGTGCTGGCCCGAATTTCTCGATTAATGCCCTCCTATTCTCCAGAGCTCTGTCATAAATAATCGCCGACCGCCGCAATCGCCTTTCCAGTTCTCGCTCGGACGCCCACGACCCAGGCTCGACGTCGTGTGGCACCAACAGGTATAGCGTGGTCAACAACGCCACAGCGACAAGCAACGTATAAGCAGGGTGGCGGGACCAGACGACGGCCATTTGGCGAGCAGAGAGAAAGTGGGTTTTCCAAGAGAAAAACCAAGGGCACGATGCTGGCTTTAAATCCTGTGGCGGGGTTTACGTTTGTTTGTGGCCCAAGCATTACCAAATCGAGTTTCTTTGAGCGCTAAACTCGCGTAGTTACGGGCGCGTAAAGGTCTGAGGACTGATACTGGATTGTTTTGGGGGAAGACCGACCTCGAATGTATCAAAGGACAAGTTGACAGTCCTCCTCTTTCTACCCATTGGAAGGTTGGGCGCCAGAGATAGAATGATGTGCTGCAAGGTAATGAAACGTAATCAAGTGGTAATATTGGCCTAAGCTGGCTGCAGCGGGAGAAAAGCATACTAGTAATACACGTGGAGACAAAGGAGATGAGGGAGTACAAAAGCGTAAGGCTACAGACACATGCGAAGGTAATGGTTGCTACAGAAGTCACGGAGGTGAATTGCGAAGTCGAGAACAGCAAATGAAACAAACAGGAAGATTTATAGAAGATAATTAGCAAGAAGAATACTCGAGTAGTGTTGATCGCTCTTTTAGGGTTCAAGGAACTCTGGGAATCTGGATACAGTCGTCGCGCCTTCGCCTAAGACGAATGGGCCACCGGGCAGGCACGCTTGCGACCGGCAGTTCGAAGGCCCTGGGCGACAAGGCCTCGGGTCTCGAGTTCAGTGGCATCATCAGGCGAGAGAGTGCGGAAGAAATCATCTACGTCCTCGTGAGGCTCTAGGTCCAGGGATGGAGCGTCCACGTATTCATCGTTTCCCTCCTCCTCCGCGTCGAACTTGGCCACAGGAGCGGTCTCCGAGTGAGGCTGAGGGCACGACAGAGGGAAGTCAAGCTCCAGGTCTCGGTGGGGACTGACAAGGTATGTGCGAAGTTGCGGAGTGGTCCAAATCAACTTGTATCCCGGTCTGGCGGAAAGGACTTTGGCAACTTTGCGCATGTCCTCCGTGGTCTTGACCTCTTTAACCACTTCCACCAGGAACTGGCGCACGCCTAGTTCCGCAACGGCGTAGCTTCCAGGAGTGGGATGTACTACATCGTAAGCTGGAGTAGCTCTGATGAATACATCAGCCATGGATCGAGGTGATATACGGAAGGTACTTACGCAGGGGAGTCCACTTCACCGAGGATGTTCTCGATGACGATGAGCCACTGCTGCCCTCCAATAAAGGGGGCCAGATACTGTCCAACGCTGGGACTCGGCGGCGGATCATTGAAGACGATGACTGGGTTGCTGCTCCCGGTCGCAGACTGGTTCGGGTTCAGCTGAAGGATGAAGCGGATGAAGCAAATCTTGTTGCAAATGGTGATCACGGCGTGGCCACGCTCGCAGGGTCGGAGAACCGGCTCGACTACGTCGGGGAATGGCATAGAGTTACTCTTGTGACCACCATCCGAGTCGGCTGAGGAGATGTCAAGAACTCGAGAGAAGGGCGTTGGTTGACGGTCGGAAAAAATGGGTTTAATACCCTTGGGTGAGGACTGCGTCGCAGCGAGCAGTTTTCGTCTCGCAAGGTCAACCAAACGGAAGGATTCGCTCATGACGTTGGTGCTGAAGTGTTCCAACGGGCTGGGAGGTGTTCTGAGAGACGAGACTGCAAAGCACTGCTCGTTTTTATGCATTTTCTGTCTCCTCTGCGCCTTTGTTAATCCGTAGCCTGGAAGCTGTGAGCCGTCCTCCTCAAACAATTGTCAAAGCTCCTCCCAGTATGCTTCGTCGTTGTCTTCAACGCTGTGCGCCTACATATTTCTCTGCGGCAGGCGCTATCCGTACTCGTGTTCACAGATTATCGCAAGTCAACAAAGGCCAGATCAGGCGGCTGCTGTCGATTGTGGGTGGCCTATCGGCAAATCGCGCGAACACGTTTTCACTTTAGCCTTTGTCCAGGAAACAGGCGCCCACACGAAGATCGAAGATATTGGAGATCTCAATGACGCATACCACTTTAGCGTGCTGTGGGTCACACGAAGTGCTGGTGCCCAGCGTTCATTCCCTGATATAGGCAATGGTAAAGATGCAACAAAGTTGCGTCGCAGAATCATGTCGCATGGACGCAGTCTGAGCAGTACTTACTCTGAATCAAGTTAGGGGCCGAAGTCTTCGGAGGGTTTTCCCCACACCAGGACCTCACTGATGTGACCATCGCAAGGGACGAGGGAGTGTGATTAGCCCAAGGGGTCAGTAATTATTCGGCGATCAAACGGCAGACGATTTAGGAACGTTATTTCGCACGTTCTTATTGGTCCGGAGGGACCAGTTGCGTCGCATTCGTTCTTGAATCCTTGAACTTGCGCATTGCTCTCCATTGGCCACTTGCGCTGCCCCCTGGCTTGCTGTTCTGGCTCTGAGGTTGCGCATTCTGCTCTGGGGTCTTATTGAACGCGCTGAAGGTGTACCCGATGCCCTCTCGCCAATCCCTTCGTCATCATCATGAACGCCAGCTGCTTAAAAGTCGGAACAACTCAAACATGCAAAGCCTCTTGTCGCGATGACTGGGAAGCTTCCTCGGATAATCTGAGTTCTTTTCATCTCAGCACCGTCAATTTGCCTCTCTTGTGTTGCTTCTAAATGGCTCAAAAACGTTGATAATCCGGGGCATGTACGCCTGACGATCCCCGTTTCTCCCAAGGGCTTGAATCCCCCCACTTTACTCGCACTCGACGACTTTACGAACGACCTGACGACCCAATGACTCTCCCACAACGACTCAAGATGACCCTCCCCCTTCAACTAACACTAATCACCATCACCTTCCTCGTATCCTCAGTTCGCGCACAGCATGAAGGCCACGACATGGACTGGGGAATGCCAGACCACAGTATGGGGGATCACTCGATGACACCCTACCTGCACTTTTCCGTGGGTGATCACGTCTGGTTCAAAGAATGGGTCCCCAAAACCAAAGGAGCCATGTTCGGCGCTTGCCTGGGGCTATTTTTGCTCGCGATCGTCGAAAGATGGCTGGCTGCAACGCGCGCTGTAGCTAATTTGTGGTGGCGGATGCGGTGAGTGTTTCCGGTTCCATCTTGATTGATCCTCCTCGAACTAAATTTAACGGGTCTTCTTTCGGGATTGTAGAACGGCAGAATTGCTGGACTATATCCATGACCAACACGCCACCGTGGAAGAGAAGGGCAAGTCACCTGAATCGACACCGCCGACGTCGATTCGAAAGTTCAGGACGAGGTTCTCAGCGCCGTTTATCACGCTGAACGAAGTATCGCGAGGAGTGCTATATGCAGCTCAATCTCTGCTGATGTTTGCCTTCATGCTCGTCGTAATGTGAGTGCCATCCACATCGATTGGTTGATATCAGATTCCTAACTCGCAGCAGGACGTACCAGGGCAGCTTCCTCATTTCGATTGTCTTGGGGCTTGGTGTCGGAGAAACACTCTTTGGCAGATTCACGAATGCTCATGTGGGATTGTACATTTAATTGAACATTGCTTTTAGACCTCACCTCGGATTAATGCCTCATCGTCTTGGGTCTCTCTCTGGCCTCAACCTCGGTACAAGCTTGACTTGGATGCCGTAGTGTGCCGTTAGACTATAGCTCCCGAGAATGGGCTTGTTCCAAATTTAGTTGAGGCTCCTTTTCTCACTGCATTGCCATGGCGGCTCCTGCGCGCTCGAGGAGTCGATAAGGTGGGCTTTACTCCGTTCCGTTCCCATACTGTAACCAAGTCGTCGACGTCGAGGAAGAGCTTCATTTGTTGGACGGGTAGAGTCCATCGTTTTGAAGGGATGAGGATGATAATCAGAGTCTATCATCAGGGCTCGCCGTCGTCGCCGGTGATGATGAGAGGCCAGAAGGTGGAGCTGGACGCATTGTCCTCGATCATGGCTGTTCGTCGCTGTCGACCGTAAGTCGTTGCCGTGCGGACTAATGCAATAACCATACATATAAAATCGGCTGGGTGTGTTGGCATCTGCTTCCGACGGGGTTTGTCCACAGCCTTCTTTGTCTCTTGTCCTCTCTTTTCATGTCACTCGCTCTGTCTGTCGCCTAAACCGTCGTTCTCTTCCCATTTTCTTCTGTCACATCTCTACCCTCACTGTCGTGTAAGTATTTGGTTGGGGACACTTGTGGACGAGTCATGCGCCTCTCGTCCACCATCCTCGTGTTTTGCAGGTGCTGATCGTGATTTCCTTTCCCTTGCGCAGTTCTTGTGAAGCCTCGTATACCCCACGTTGAAAGCCAGCTGCCTGGTCGCGGTTGCCTTTGGTCGTCGTATAAGCTTTTCGCCCTCGGACCTTGAGCGCAACCACTCCCTAAAATACCCTCTCATTCGACTCGACTTGGACATATTCGTCACCTCATCCTCCCTCACACGGAAAGAGATTCCCAGAAAGGACCGTTCTTGATTATTATCTCGGTACTCGGACGCACAGCGAAACGACGTCACTTGGACGAACTCCACCACCTTCTCTACACTTCCCCCGCACCTTTTCGACGCACGAGATGGTCAGCCTCAAAGATAAACTTGACCTCCCTAACATTCGGATGGGACTTTATGCAGCTTTCGTATGTGCTTCTCTCGATTCAGCCCCTATTGGAGCTGATGGACGGGAATTAGGCTGTATTTTCGTTCTTCGTCTTTGTGTTCTGCTGCGCTAGGCTCAATTATACGACCACCCTGCATTCAAGCGACCCCCTGAACGGAGGACGGACGTTCCATGGTGAGTGACACCTACCCTATGTCACCGAGGATACCATTTCTGACTGTCACCACAGATCCCGTCGTTGCGGAACTGCTTTTCACGACCCTTATCGCTATGCCTTGGAGTGGATTTATGTAAGTCCCGCTACTCCTCATGAGGCAAAAAGTCGCAGCTCTGACGGCGCTCTAGGATTTATACGATCCTCAAACGTTATGAGAACCGATACGTCTCCAAGTTCCGCGAAGAACTCATCATCCTGGGGTTGATTTGGCTGTTCTGGATGGTCGGTACTGGTATCGCCACGGTGCGTATTTTATCCAATTTTTTTAAGATACCCCCAGCTCTGAGCTGACCATGCTTGCGCAGTCGATGTGGGGAAGCCTTGGGTGGTGCCAGCATATCAACGCCTGTCGGGTTCTCACTGCCTTGGTCGCGTTCTGCTGGCTCGGTTGGTTGGCGTTGACCGGTCTTGTCGGTTTGACCCTCCTCTTCGTTATTGCCAACAAGGCCTGGCTTGAACCCTCCCACGGAAAGTGGGATCCCCGTCAGACTGTATACAAGGCTTGATCACTTGCTAGTTAGGTATACCCACGATATTTTCGGGAAACGGACTCTTCGAGATCACATCTATCCCTGTATTTCTCTTTGTATCTTATCTTTGTTTGGAGTGGATGTATCGATAGCCTTCTCAGATTTATTCTCTCCGGGTAGATGCAACCTCGGGCTTGAGCGATGGCTTTGACTTTGATCCTTCTGTGTTCTAACAGATCTCGCTTGGAGGGAGGATAATTATAGTTACCTCGGCAGCTAACGAGCTGGTTTTGGCTCATAAAGGACATCGATACGCCGATAAATAGGAACTGTGAACGAAGGGCGTCTTGGAAATCAGGGGCCAAATAGCCTCATTTAGAGTACGCGTTATTTGGCCTTTGTTTATGTCGAAGGCCGACGATTATGGCGCGCGGGTTGCTCCGCGATCATGACCACGACCGCCGCAACGACGACGACGACGAGGCCACTCTCGTTCCCTTGTTCCGTGAATTTGCCAGAAATATCGAAGATGCGGTCTAGAAACGCTGGAGAGACCTTTGGAGCAAAGGATACTCCAAGCTGATCTAAGACCTGAGACATTCAGAGACAGCTCGAAGCATATAGTCGAGGTTCTGATGCGCTAGACAGCCCAATCTCCCTCATTTGACCACACCGAATACTCATATTTCAATGTCGAACGCAAAGTACAAATCTGAAGACTTATCAGGAACGCTATCGGGTGCCAATGGTGGCGATTTTTTGGACCCGACGAACGACAGGATTGCCCGCTCGAAGAACTTTCCGCCGTCTTTGGAGCGCCATCCTGGAAATGCCGACTACAACTCGATGGCTGATTTGCCCCGTGGAGGTCCTGGGTCGACACCTAATCCTCGTGGGATGACGCCTTCTGCATCCATGTCCAGCGGGGTTTCGGATCCGGACGATCTGATTCCTGGCGCCTTCCACCCAAGAAATGGTGTGTTTTCATGCCTGTGGAGTTTGGAGACGGGGCTGACGGTAACCAACAGAAGGAGGAAAGCAGGGACAAGCTCATTATCAGGCCCATCCTTTCGGGGTCGCTTTCAATACGGCTGGAGATCCCGCACAGACGAGCCACAACCCCTACGTTAACCCTGTTTCCAATGTCGGGGCACCCAAAGCCACTTCGCACCACAATCCGTTCAGGAATCTTCAAGAGTCGCCTTCTAAACAGGAGTTGCCTTCCAAGGAGGAGCCTTCCGGTTCGAGCGTCGGGGTTGGCTCTCTTCCTGGCAAGAACACCGAACCGGGCGTCGCAACTTTACCAGAAGAGCGCGAGCACGGTCGACCCTACGGCCAGTATCGAACAGGTTTCGAAGGTGGGTATTTACCTCCATGACACCCGACATTTTGCTTACGCCCTCGTAGATTATTCGCCAGAGGAAGGGGGCAGGATGCTTCACGAGAACAATCCACAGGAGGACGATTCCTCCAGTGAGCTCGACGCCGTAGGTTCCGACTGGGGTGATGTGGGTGTTCCTCACCATCTCGTACATGAACATGTTCCCGGTATAGAACGTGAGTACCTCACATTTGTATATCCGTCGAAAATCGGAGTAACGATGTCATAGACCATGTCATGAGTAAATGGGAAATGCCATCCACCGAGACTCCCTCAGGGGCTCGTTGCGGAGTTGGGTCGTTACCTGGAAAACGGTGCGAACAAGGTGTCGCCATGCTCCCCGAGGAAAGACTCTTTCCCGCCGGTATGTTAGTCTTTCCCAACTTTTGAATACACCTGACCCTCTTGACCAGATGAGATCCTCGATTCGCATCTCCCACCCCGCATGGACCAAATGCCTTTGGAGGAGCATATGTCCGGCGCCGTCGTTGGAGTTGGTTCACTTCCTGGCAAGCGCAGTGAACAGCGTGTTGCGCTGTGTCCTGAGGAGAGGCTTCATCCTGCCAGTACGTCGTTTCGTCATTGAAGGATGGGTTTGTCTCAACTATCTCCAGTTGACATCCTGATGTCCCACCTGCCTCCCAGAATGGATCAGATGCCCTCAATGGAGCATCCCTCTGGTTCCCAGGTCGGTGTAGGCTCACTCCCAGGCAAGACGGGTGAGGAAGGAGTCGCCATCCTCCCTGAAGAGCGACTTCACCCTGCTGGTATGCATCTTCGCTCTAAATTCACAGTCGAAACTGATGTTGTTGCAGAGGAAATTTTGGCGCCTCATCACCCTTCATCCAAAGAACAGTCTTCCAAAGAACGGTCTTCCAAGCCTGAGCTTCATGACGGTATCCTTTCGCCTTTCTTATCCATCGTTTCTAAGCTAATCTAGATGTAGACCTCAAAGCCCATCACCTCGTCCACGAACATGTCCCAGGCACGGAACGTGAGTACTGGGCCTTTTTGCGGCATGGCCTTTCACGAAGGCGTATTTACATCATGGTAGATCACGTCATGAGCAAATGGGAAATGCCCTCCTCGGAGGTTCCATCTGGCTCTCGTTGTGGCGTTGGCTCTTTACCTGGAAAGCGAAGCGAGCAGCGTGTCGCCATGCTCCCCGAAGAGAGACTATTTCCCGCAGGTAAGCCCCTGTTGTTGTTCTTTTCCTGTAGTTATCTCTAACTTCTGCCAGACGAGATCCTCGATTCTCATCTCCCTCCACGAATGGACCAGATGCCTTTGGAGGAGCATATGTCCGGCTCCATCGTTGGAGTCGGTTCACTTCCTGGGAAGCGCAATGAGCGCGGTGTCGCCTTGACTCCCGAGGAAAGACTGCACCCAGCCGGTGAGTATCTCTCCCGGTTCCATTCTACTGTTGCCTGACCGTCTTTAGATGAAATATTGATGTCGCACCTCCCTCCTCGAATGGACCAGATGCCCTCACGTGAACATCCGTCTGGTTCCGTCGTCGGCGTTGGCTCCCTTCCTGGCAATCGTAACGAGAGGGGAGTAGCCCTCCTCCCGGACGAAAGGAAGGAGCTGGGCCTTGACCATCGTCCTTCTCACCATCACGGCCGGAGGAGATCACATGGAGGTCGAGGCGGACATCGCGACGCCGCCACGACTGGTGGCCGCGGAGGGCACCGTGCATCTTCTGCTGATGGTGTTCGTCGCGAAGCGTCTGGAACCCATGGACAAGCCCACCGCCAACAAGAATCCGCTACGACCGACCGAGGCGGGCGTGGTCACAAGACTCATCATCCTAAACGTCATTCCAAGGATGGGAAGAAGCCTGAACATGAAGACACTGGTCATGATGAAGCTCCTCGTGCAAGCTCTTCCCCTCCCTCTCAAAGTCGTCGTGGTGTGTCGCCTCTGCATCTTTTGATGAGATCGTGACTAATGGCTGTCTGCAGGGAAACATCGCCCTCCCTTCGAGGCCGAATGTCCCATGGACACCTAGTCCCGGTGGTCACTCCCGAACACCCTGAAACTCGAGCTGCCATCTTCGCCGACGTTGCCAAAGAGGGATGGTACCACGTCTTGCCCCTCAAGCGCAACTTGATGCCTTCCACCGAGGTTCTGTCCGGGTCCCAGGTTGGCGTCGGGTCGTTGCCTGGAGGTCGTAGTGAGCGAAATGTAGCTATGCTACCCGAGGAGAGGTTACATCCAGCCTGTACGTATATTCCACCCACCACTTCAGATAAGCACTGATGACCGTTTCCTTCAGACGATATCTTGGACTCGCACCTTCCTCCGGGAAAGGACCAACTCCCGTGCTCCGAGCATCCTTCTGGTTCCAAGGTCGGCGTCGGCTCTCTCCCTGGGACCATCGTAGAGCCTGGCGTCGCGGTTTTGCCCGATGAACGACACTGGATGCAGGAACACCCCGACGACATGCTCAGCTTCTACGCCGATATCTCTCACGTCGGGTTCTACCACGTGAGCAAGGACGCGGAAGGCTACCTCACTCTTCAGTTCACCAGGAACACGCATGCTGATGAGGGCATGTGGAGGCCTCCGTCTCCTACCACCATCTTCAACGCCGACCGAAAGCAAGACCGTCACGCGAAGGCGCGTCAGCAACCTCCTCAACTCTTTCGAACCCATCAAATCAGCGCAAAGGAGGCCAAGGCGATGGAGGAGAAGCGTGCGAGAATGATGAAGGAGCGAACGGAGGGGATGGGTGGGTTTGGAGGAGTCGTGAAGGATATCGAAGGAAAAGCGTCTGAGTTCTTGCATGGCGCTGAGCAGGCTATCTATGGTCTTTTCCGTGAGTACCATTATCGTCCACCTCTACTTCTTGGGCTGTAATGCATCGACTTTAGATCCTGGCCAGCCATCGGGGACCGATAAACAGCAAGAGACTGGCCGTCGCGATCACCCAGCTCCTGGAACCATGGAGCAGACTCCTTCGAATGAGGATATCATCATGTCGGCTGACACTGCTGCAGCGGCCGCTCAGTCTTCTACTACTAGCCCTTCTCAAGCACCCCCACACGTCCGTAGGGCTCCCCAGCCACCGTCTAAACAGAAGCCGCCCATTCCTCCTCGACGAGTGCCCTCAGGCTCTGCTGGTGTCAAGCCGACCCTACCCCCTGGTCACGAGCAGGCCGAAGACACATTCAACGCTGCTATGGCTAAGCAAGAGAAGGCGAAGGAGTACGCCGACGTCCATCCCACCGTTGGGAGGTCTCTCTCCGGGATCGACGACGAGGACGAGGAGCAGAGGATGAAGAAGATCAGGGAGGCTCAGGCGCTGTTGGATGCCTCTATGCCCAAGCATCGAAGGGCTGTATCCACCTCCCCCTGCGTTCATAGTGGGGTAGTGGAGCCGACTGCTTCGCCCGCAGAGCCGATGGTCGCGCCCGCTCCCCGTTCGACCGTCCCAGCCAACGTCCAAACCCAGTACTTCAAGAGCAGTGCCAGCGGCGATGAGTCGAGCGTTGACTCCCGTTCCCTCGACTCTCGCTTTATGACCGACGAGAACGGGGACCCTGTGTATCTGGACGACTACGAGATTGATAGGGAGGAAGTGGGGTATGCTCATGTTGTTCCTGGGGGCGATGCTGCTCTTCGACGAAAGCATCATACTCCGGGGGCCTCTGATGGGAAGACTCTGACCGGTGCTGATGGTGTCGAGTTTAGTATGGGCACGGAGGGCGGGGTGCTACCTGGCTATCCCACTCAAGTTGGAATGAGCCAGTTGATCTCTGATCGCGTTGCTGCAGATAGGATGCGTGCCAGTGGCGAAAGTACGTAGCCGGTCCGACTTTTTACAGAGTACGAGCTCACAAGCTTTCTCTTTCTCTTCTACAGTTCGCCCCCAACAGTTGTCCTCTCCAGCCGATTCGAATGTCAGTACTCAGGCTATTCACGGATCCGTTTCCGACGTCAACAAGCCCTTCCGTTTCGTTCATACCGACATTCCCCTCCCTCCCGAAGATGTGGCTAGGCGCGGCGCTATCAAGAGGCCTACGTCTTCGAATATCTCCGTCATTGACCTCGGGAAGCCATTGCCCAGGGCCTCGTCGGTCAGCCACACTCAGGAACGAGCTCACACTCCGACGAGAAGCCATAACTGAAACGATTAATTTTTTCTTTGTATTGATTGTGCTACATAAAGTAAGTTTCTCTATGCTTTTTGCTCGTGTAACTTTTGCTCTCGTCGAGAGAAACACGTGTGACCCGACCGTGTATGTATTTGTATCCCAGCGACCCTATATTTGTATCCCAGAATGTACTGAACTTGTATTTCCAATCTATGTATGTACAATGGTTTTGAGCTTTTGAGGCTATACGTTTTGGCAGGTTTCTGGAAGGTTCGATAGCACTGCGGTCATTGCCTTCTGAGCTTCGTACACCTTCTCTGGGAACGTGTCCACTGCGAAGCATACAGCAAATCAACCGCAGCCTGTCATGTGGGTCGATTTAGGCGCTCGTCCACTCATATAAGCTTCGAACACCTTCGTGGTGCTCACGGTTTGTGATTCCCCTTCCCTTCCCATCCTTCACGACATGCAGCATCCTTCTAAGCCTTTCATGCTTTCTGAGAAGAGATGTAATCCTTCGCCTAACTTGAATCCCGCGACACGACTCAAACACGGCGGTTACACATTACCGGGGACAGACTTGACGGTACAACAGTTCCATTACGACTTCCCTTATCGTTTCCGCGACACACATTTCAACTTTGTGTCTATTTTGGAGAATGAAGGGCTTCCTCCAGATTATCCCCATCACATTGACTCGATCCGCGCTGAACACCTCTCGAGGAAGATGACCGGATTTCCTTCAGATACACCGTGTCTCCCTTTCCTCGAGGAATTTCGAAAGGGTAATATCCGAACTTATGGGGATAATCTGGCCGAAGCCCCTGCGAAGTATGCATATGCAACCGCAAGGAATCGGTTGGTTTCGCCGCGGTTTGGAGTTACTGCGCCGCGTGGGGGAGGGAGAGGGGGGATGGCATTGGCAGATGATGTGCGGGAGTATCGGAGGAGGAGGATGGGGTGGCAAGGACCACAGCGTCCACATTACCACCCTGAGCCGTATTGGGAGCACGGCCATTGTGCGGAGAGCCAGGCGTTGACGGAGGTGGTGCGCCAATGCGAGGACTTGCGGTTGCAGGAAGTCGAGATTGAGACGTATGCGGTTGGCCAGGATGGAGCTCCAGCGTCCATGTGCGAGAATTGTATCCTGTATATTCGATCTGCAGTGTTGGGACGTCATCCTCGATGGACTGTCACAGACGGTACGAATGGGAATAGATATCAGAAGAAGTTGCATAACTAGTGATTTTTGCGATTAGGCGTGCAAGTTAGAATTACCTGTCGTCTCCTTCTCTCCTTCTGGCCGGTTAATTACCCGATGTGTACATTCCGCCTCCATGTCATTTTATGTACAGTGGGTAGCAAAGCATATATGTCGTTTCTTTCGTTAGGGCAGAAGGTGCACCGTGCCCGAAGCTTCTTCCATTGCGCAGCACCGGTTTTAGCGCACGGTCTTGTCAATTGGTATATAGTCGCAGAGAAACCAAAGCGAGGGGGTAAAGTTCCTTCTTTTATCTCTGCCCTCACTCATAGATGTTCTCATCTCAAACAGGTAGGTGTGTTTTACACGCATATGCGGTGATTGACAATGACCATTTGGTTCAGGTTCTCCCATGTCCTGGCCATCACCCACCCTTCTCACATTTACAGCCAATCACTCGGTGGAGTTTTCGTCTCTCTTAAGCTCCCTAGGACTTCCCCCAGATTACCCCCATTACATCGACTCCATCCAGGCCGAGCTTCACTCGAAGGCAATGTGGGTTCACCCTCTATTCTATATCTCGAGGGCGAACTGCATTGCCTTCCTCGACCAATTTCGCATCGACAACAACTTCAGCTATGGGGGCAATCTGGGGGCAGCACCTTCCAAGTATTCGGTTTCAAGAGCCAACCACACCTCGATCCGACCGCATTTGGGCGTTTCTGGTCCGCATGGGAATGGGAAGAAGGTGTTCAAGGTAGCTGAGAGTGTTAGAGCTTACCGCAGGAGGTTGTCCTGGGGTACTAGTGTCGCCCCTCCGTATTCTGCGGAGCAGAGTTGGGACCATGGGCACTGCGCGGAAGCGCAATCGCTTCCCGCTGTCGTCGAGCAATGCGAGCGGTTAGGACTGGTGCATGTCGAAATAGAGACGTACGCGACGGATAAATGGGGCTCCCAGGCGAGGATGTGCAAGAACTGCGAGCAATACGTGGTATGGAGGGTGTTGCAACATAACCCCACGTGGGTTGTCGTCGATGGTGTCAGTGGGAAGAGATACGCCTGGAGATCTTGCTATGCTTTAGGAGGGTATCAAAATAAAACTAGCTTTCATTCGTATGTACGACATTAAGGTCTTTTATCGTATGGAATGTACATTAGTCGTAGGGCAGTCGTAAACGTCATTAGAGGCTTTAACGTTGTTCGTTCCTCATTCTTTGCTCGTGACTTGTCGTGTAGAAAAGTCGTCAATAATCGTATCTTGATCTAGTCAGGCTTCCTGCAAGGGAGCTACGCGTTTTCGGCGTCGGTGCTTCGACAAAGATGTTTGGTACTGAAGAATCTCGGGAGCTAAGGGTATCCCGGCGGCCCCACCCATTACCCCCGTATCGCTTTCGTTGCATCTGGACGGCGTCGGTGATGTTTTCTAGCTGGGTGATACATCCTCCAATCGTCACAGTTACGTTCATCAGCTGGTCAGCTACGTCTCTTTCAGCCGTCGCTTGCATCCTTCTCCTCGAGTCGCAGGGCACAAACGCAGTAGTTCTATGTGGGTGTACTCGGGCGCTGTGGGCCATTAACTGGAAGTCTCTTGGCCTTGTGATGGTCACCTTCGTCAAGTCTTCCTGGGGATCGGCCATCTGTTTAGACCCAAGAATGGACTGAGAATTTCGCCCGCCCTGCGGCGGATAGCGATTCAGTCCCTGCCACTCCGACTCGGAGGGCACTTTCGCCCGTTGTTGAGCTGCATCGGCACCGCGCACCCTACGCACGCTGGCAGGAATCTTTTCCGGCTCGGTGGCTACAGGCCAAGGAGGAATAGTTGCAGGTGAAGGCATTCTAGAGATCCGTGTTGTACCTCTTCGAATTCGTTTGTTGTCAGTGGGGCTCCCGGTTGACGCCATAGTCGGTACAGTTGTGGGGGGCGTTGATATGGGCGACCGAATGTTGTTCGATTGTTCTGTTGTCGAAGACCACCCTGATCTGCCCACACCTCTACTCGATGATGATACTATCGATAGAGTGGAAGCTGGAACGGCTTTAAGCTTGGCTGTTACTTCCCTGACCTCGCCTTCAGAACCATTGGTATCTTGAGTGTTCGAGCGACCAAATCCGCTTCGAACTCTGTGGTCGTTGGAAGCCCGGGAGCAGCTTCGAGCTTGTGGGCCATTGATGGTGGGTATGATGATAGGAATAGAAGGAACAGGAAAGGTTGGAGCAGATTGGTTGGCTGTCAATTGAGCATAGGCGGCAGCTCTGTGGTAAATCTGTGATGGCTGGGAACTCTGGGAAGTCCCAGCCAAAGGCGATCCTCGTTGTGAGATATTAGGATACCGGTCGTCAGTCTGACATGGCTCCTGAGACGACGGAAGTACGGGCCCAAACTGTGTCGACGGTAAATAGCCACGGGGAATTCTTGGGGGCAGGACCGCATCACTTCCGTCTTCCGTTGCCCATTTTCGCGGGTTCATATCGGAGGGGCTGTTGTCACGAGTGGAAACGTCCCACTCGTATTTGGGAGGCGAGTCCGAGTCTGGCGTGTTCAGAACTACAGTGACGCGCTCACTTCGACTCCTTTTCCAATCATCGTCCGAGTGTCTCGAGGAACGTCCCTCCGAGCGCCCTGGCTTCGACCTGAAGCTGAGAGAGCTTAGAAATTTGCGCATATGTGCTGGATGTGAGAGGGGTCACGTTATACCACCGGCAAAATAGATCGGGTGCTCAGCTGTAGGAAAACTCGTAAGTTAAACGACGCCCAAGTTTGAAACCTAGTAAACTGACCTCTCTGGCTCCTCTTAACTGGGAAGTAGGGTGGCACCTCTGACCTTCTCGTTCTTGATGTTCTCGAGCCTTCGCACTGCCAGCTATATATAAGGGCTGGAAAGAATAAAGCCAAAGAGTTCCCTTTTGTGATACAGGCGCATGAAATGAAGAATATAAAGGGGTGTTATAATTTACAGGACTTATTGTCAAGTGGGACCCTCCGCGACGGTTGCTAGCTTTTATGCCTTGCAGGTCGCCTTTGTGGGCGGTTGGTGTGTATAACTAAGGGTCGGTACAAAAATTGTGATTATAATCGCTTTGGTTTAAGCCGGAAATCATAGTAGGATTATGGAGATTAACGCGCCCACCCAGTCTCTATGAAGGCTGGTCATACCCACATTGGCCTTGTCAAGTCGTGGAGGGATACCTACCTCCGGTACATAACCTCTCGGATCTCCCGGCATCGTGAAAACGATGGCAAATCATGATGGATTGATTGAACCTTCGGCACTGCGGCACTGCGGGCTGCACCCTCTTATTGCACAGACGATGGTAAGGGCGAGCATTGAGCGACTACTATCGCGGCCAGACTGCAGTACTTCAATTCGCGGCCTTTCTTTAGAAGCTATCAATCTCGAGCGCGAAGAAAATAACGAGAGGAAAAGCATATTCATTTAATTTTACCTCGTTGAAGAACTCCGCTGAAACCCATCTTCGTTGCATTGATTTCAAGGATATCATCAAGGCAACTGCGAAGGCTTCTCCCTCGCTGAGATACGCTTCGCACGCAGCCATGGGTGCGGAAAAATAGTGCTCCATCTTCGATACACTGCTGATGGTCGTCGGAAGCCAGCTTCACCGAGCGTTCTGGTGACCAGGCCCCCCGGTTCCTCTGTTCATCTATAAGTTCCTCACAGTCAGACCGAATGTCACTGCCTTCTCAATTCCCTTTCTACCTGCTTTCTTCATTCATTACCTTCGCTGTTTTCGCTGGTACGAATCTACTTCCTTAGATCATGTTCTTCAAGGAATATCTCCGCGCCGCCGTCGCTTTGGCCGCCTCTAGTCACCTGTTTGCCAACGCCGCCGTCGTGAGACAGGCAGTCCCTCGTGTACGAGGCTGCGGAAACGAGATCGACGAAGCCACTCAAGCCCGTTTGGAGGAAAACTTCCAGGCTAACCGAGTAGCTGCCTCTGGTGCATCCCTGGCACCCCCCGAGCCCTTCAATGTCTTCTTCCATGTCATCTCCAGAGACGAAACCGAAGAAGGCGGAAATGTCAGCGAAGAGACGATCGAAGAGCAGATGCGTGTCTTGAACACCGCTTTCGAGCCTACCGGCGTTCAGTTCGCTTTGCAGAAGATCACTCGAACGGTCAATGCAACTTTGTTTGCGAGTGTTGGACCTCTGACCAACTTTCAAACTGAGATGAAAGTCGCGTTGAGGGAGGGAGGTGCAGCTGATCTCAATGTGTACACTGTCGGGTATGTTCTCCATCGCTTTTGTTGGCCTATGTCAACGAGTGATCACTCCCCACAGCTTCGAAGAAGGCCCGGGGGCAGGACTTCTGGGCTATGCAACGTTCCCTAGCGACTTCCAAAACGCACCCGAGGACGACGGCGTGGTCGTGCTCTTTTCCTCCCTACCTGGCGGAAGCACTGAAAACTTCAATCTCGGTCAGGTCAGTGTCCCGGTGTTTCAACTCGGAGGTTCTGTTATTCATCTCCAACAGACCCTTACCCACGAGGTCGGCCATTGGGTTGGACTTTACCACACCTTCCAAGGGGGCTGCTTGGGAGTCGGTGACGAGGTCGCTGATACACCCGCCGAGGCATCGCCTGCTAGTGGGTGCCCAACTGCTCGTGACACTTGCGCCGGTGGAGGGCTTGACCCCGTCCGTGAGTATCCAAATCGGTATCCCTGAGAAGTCTCTTCGCTGACACTTAGAGCTGTACAGAGAACTATATGGACTATTCATTCGATAGTTGCATGGACACCTTCACCCCCGGACAGATCGCACGTTTGTTGGACCAGATCGCAACATTCAGGACCTCACAGCCCGGTATATGATCTTCCTCTGCTTCCCACCTCTGCAAAGACCGAGAAGCTAAACCTGCCTTCCTCACAGGGACGCAAGAAATTCGACGAGCATTCACTCATTCTGCTCAGTTGAGAAATAGATTCTGAGCAACTTCTCGATCATTCGTAGGACGGTCGTATTTCGTTAACAATGTTTCTTCTTCGGATTCCTGTGTTTATCTGGGTGCAGAACGACAGTTGCTATCTTCCCGCTGTAGCGGAGGAACGGTCAATACCGTGCTCGCGGACCTGAAAGTGCACAGACTGAAGAACATATATATCATGATAGTTGAACGGCTCTCCTGATTTTGAAGATTCTGAGGAGACCTCATCAAAAATCTGTTGGAAGGTACCTCGCAACTGCAGCTCCTGGCCCGTGTATTTCATCTGGTGATCACCCTTTCAGGTCAGGGCTTGAAAATTCTTGTCAACGATCTATAGATGATAGTGATGGCTGAAGAAGATGATTTAACTACCATCTTCGACACTGCGGGCACTGCTCTTTGACCCTGTAAATATGTCACAGCGACAGTGTCCACCTTCAGCTCACCAGATCGACCTATTTCCTTTCCTTTGCTCCACTTTCCTTATTTCTGTTCGCTAGGTCGAACATTTCTATTCTTCGCAATGCTATTCAAATCATTCGTTTTCCTCGTATCCTCCCTTTCCTTATCCATCATCTCCGTGAGCGCACTCGTCTCACCGCGCCAAACCCCTCGACGGGGCTGCGGTAACGAGATCGACGAAGCAACCAAAGAAGCCTTGGAGGAAGACTTCCGACTCAACCGAGTCGCCGCATCCTCCTCATTCCGCGCTGCACCTCCTCCCCCAATCAATGTCTTCTTCCACATCGTCTCCAAAGATGAAACACCAGAGGGAGGAAATATCAGCGACGATGTGATCGCACAGCAGATGGACGTGCTCAACACCGCTTTCAAACCGAGCGGTGTACAGTTTAGGTTAAAAGATGTGACGAGGAACGTGAATGCGACTTGGTTTGGGAGTGTTGCTCCGGAGACTGTGGAACAGGATGAGATGAAGGCTGCGTTGAGGCAGGGAGGTGCAGCTGATCTCAATGTTTACACCGTCGGGTAAGTCGGATTCGAATCTTCGAAACGAGCTCACACGGGCGGCTAACGAGCGCGGTATTCCGTTCACGGTGCACAGCTTCGAAGAAGGACCTGGCGCTGGACTCCTCGGATATGCCACCTTTCCCAGCTCCTTTCAATTTGCACCAGAGGACGATGGTGTAGTCCTTCTGTTCTCTACGCTTCCAGGAGGAAGTACACCGGATTTCAACCTTGGCCAGGTGAATGGACAAGTTATAGAGATGATTGGATACCTACTGACACTTATAAATATTTAGACGCTCACTCACGAAGTAGGACATTGGGTTGGTTTGTACCATACCTTCCAAGGCGGATGTTCGGGGTTGGGAGACGAAGTCGACGATACTCCCGCCGAAGCCTCCCCTGCAAGCGGATGTCCGGCTGACCGGGATACCTGCCCTGGTGAAGGAAAAGATCCCGTCCGTAAGTACCATTTCGATCTACTCTCTTCCGCAAGAACGGCAACTCTTACGCTCTTCGCAGAGAACTTCATGGACTATTCGTTCGATAGCTGTATGGAAACCTTCACCCCAGGACAAATTGATCGACTCCTCGACCAGATCGCCACCTACAGGACAGTGGATATGCTATGTGAGTACCACCTAGACCTGCATCCTCTCCTCACCTCGAGTTCCTAATGTTATCCAATGCTGTGACAGCACGAGCAGTCTCAGATTCAGATTCTCCTGCGAGGCGCCCCGGAGTCTCTCGACACCTCAAGAGAACACATCCCAACCACTTTAGAGGCTTTAAGAACTGGTTCAGATTTGGAAGGAAGGGAAGGAAATGATGATTCATGTCTAGTTCTCTGCTCGCATGTCCCCTGTGCAATGTAAGCATCCGACAACATCTGCCCTGCTTAATTAGAATTTTTCCCAACGAAACCGCGGATGATAACGCAGATTACAATCGAAACTAGACTCGGAAGATTAACGGGTCCATATCGATACTGTAACCTACTAGCTAAATAAAAGTCTAAGGATTAGCGTTTAAATTACCAAAGGCCATCGCCGGCGGCTCCCATGGACCACAGCACCACATCGCTGGTCCGACTTCGACGACTTGGGTTCCGTTTCTGCATTAGATGAGTTGGACTCTGCGGAAGTGTGAAACTCCGCATCGTCGCGTCCGCGCTTCCTGCGCGCCGGCTCAGCGCTATCTCCAGAGGGAGCCTGAACGTTGTCTGCTGCTTTGGCTGGGCGTAGGGTCAGGTCAAATACAGGCGCCCACCCTGGAAGACCATGGTTGCAAAGCCTCGGCTGTGGATAGCATTCACAGCGTCGGAATCCAGCGCGGATCCCAAATCCAATGCTCTACCATGTTCGTAGAGACGGTGGCGCAGCTTTCCTCCCGAGTTCTCCAGTACCTCAGCAGCTGTTTCGAGCCCGGTCAGAACATGGGGACGGATGCTGATTTTCTTTAAAAACTTGATCCTCGCCGAGTCCTTACATGCTCTGATGTCGTTGAGGAAAATGCGGTCGGCTAAGTCTTTGGCTGGGCCGTGGGAGATGCGGGTAAGTAGCGTCCATACCGCGATCCACCAGACTGATTCCAAGTCGTGGAGGAAGTGATGAACTATGGGGGCTACGACTTTCTGGCTTACGCCCTGAAATAAATCATCGTCCTCGCCGGCCTCGCCGTCCTCTTCATCCCGAAAAGGGGCGCCAAGTAGAATTTCGCATGGCATGAAGAATGGCGTTCCCTGAAAGCAGGTAAAGGCCATGAATAGTCTACCGCAAGAGAAAAACCAACGCACCACCTTCGGGTCAGTTCCGGCAACATAGTCATCAGCAGGAGGGTATCGCCTCGCATACTCCAAATCACCCAGTTTGGCCTGGTACCGCTCCCCAGAGTCGGCGGAAGCCTCAAGGAGGCCAAGTACATTGCCAGAACTGATGTCCCGATGAACCCAGCGGCCGACAAACATCAATAGAAGCGCTATTGGTATCAAAAGGTTAGCGAAACTTCTCGATGCAAGGTAACAAGCCCACTAACCTTGAATGGCTCCATAAAGAACGTGAAAGACTTGGTCTGATCGCTTGAGGTCTCCGACAGGAGTGCACACCTCCTCGACGACGGTGCGATACTGCTTCTTTGCGGCGAACTGTCGGGGAAGATCGGGCGACTGGGCCTGCGATAATGGGTGTGTAGTACCAGAATGGGATCCAGGTGGCGGAACATCCTGCTCCTTGAGCAACAGGCCCCTGCGGCGAGGAGCATTCCGCGGCGCGAGCCTGGTCGTTCCGCCAACACAATCCACCCTAATGGTAAGGAACCATTTCTTGTAGCCTTTGTTGAGAACTTCGGCCTTCAGCTTCCGCGCTTCAGCCTGCACCTTTTGGAAACGAGGGTCAGTGTCCACATTGACGTCTTTCCATTTCTCCTCGATGTCCTTGAACATGCGCTCCTGAACTTCGCGTTCCGTCGATGCCCCCTCCTCGATCCATACGTCTTTTAGAACGAAGGGCATCTCCCCGATCTTCGCAGCGTTCTCGGAATTCGATATGACCTCAACCACCTTCCAGACACGAGTCATCCGACCTGTAATGTTGCTGGAGCGGTACTCGGAGAGAGGAGCACCTTGTGTGCGGAAGAAGCGAGTACTGTCCGTGCCGTTCAGCTCGAAAATGTAACCGTCGTTGACGCGAGTGACCTTTGGGTTGTAGCCCAGTTCTTCCTCCGTTGCAAAAAGAAATGATAGGAGGACTTTGATGAATTTCTTAGGCTCCTGGAATTCAACGTCAGCCTTATGTTCGTTTGCAGGTTGTATAAGTCCCAGTACGTACCTTGACAAAACTGAACGGCTCGGACACAGCCGAATGGGATCGACAATGGAACCACAGCCTGACTTGGTCGTCTTCGATGGTCATCTGCCAAAGGATCAGCATGAATGTGGTGGAATTTGGTCATAATCAGGAAGCTCGCGTACCCCGTAGCAATGAGTGCGTCGTACATCGTCGTTCATGATTTGAACGTTGGCGGAGACCGCCTCCCTCGCGTTCTGTGAAAGATGGCTTGAGATTGGTGCGTCGAAAAACATCTCTATACTCACCTTGATCTTATCGACGCAGTGTAGCTTGTATTCGCCCACGAGAGCAATCTTCGAAGTGTCGAGAGCCCCCAACGTGGCAGCTCCTGACGCCATCGCGCTATCGATAAGGTTGTTCGACCCATGGTTGCGCCCTCGGATCTTTCTTCGAGGGCAATCCACATAGACGAAAGAGTTACGTTCTCGCCCGGCCGGCGCTGGTCCCTCAGCAACGGCGGTCGCTATTTTTGCGATGGAGGAGAACGATTTTTCCTCTGTCAGACCTGCACCGCCGGGAGCTTGACGATAATGACCAAAGCGAAGGCCATCAAAAGTCTGCTCCAAGATGCTGGTCGGTTCCTCGCGCTCAGCCGTTTGTTTCCTGGGATTTTGACGCGCCGAACGGCGAAGGGGTTGGTCGATGTGGCTGTCGGTGGTGGGAATGGCAGTGGCAGTGGAACTGGGAGATTCCACCGGAAGCAGCAGCCTGTCGACCGCCGCCTCTACTTCATTCTCTTGAGGCTCGAAAGGAAGATAGGTAGAGGTGAAATCCTCGAACGTGACCTCGACAAACTCGCCATCCATTTCCTTTTTCCCCGTGAGTGCGAGCCGTCCGAGGTGAGGTCCTGTCGCAGATTGTCAGCTTGAGCTCAAAGCGAGGATGGAGCCATTTACCTTTTTTCAGTCGCTCCTGAGTTGTTGTCGTTGAGTGTTTGAGGGCGAGATGCCGCGGTGTCTCAGAGTGAAGTGTATGAGGGACGCCTCATGATTCCATGGTGCGTAGTGGTTGCAGTGGCTAGTGACCGTCAACCAACAAGCGTCTAAATGACGATTATTGAAGAACACCTGCTTTCACTTCGGTATTCGCATGCCCCGTGTGTTTACTTTTTAAAAACCCTTCCCGACGAAACGAAACTGCGGATGTGCCAGCTGAGATGACGCTTCTTAACGCAGATTAGAATCGACAGTAGACTCGAAAGATTAACGGATCCATATCGATACTGTAAACTACCTAATTAAAGTCCAAAGATTATCGTTTAAATTAAAAGAGCATCACCGACGACGCTCGTCGACCACACCACTAAACATCGCTGGCCGACTTGGTTCCGTTGCACATCGACGTCCCTCACGCCCGACCCTCCAGCTTCCTCAGACGAGCCTCATTCTCCTCCCTGACACTATCAAACGCCCGCTCCCACCACTTGTCTTTGGGGTCCTCAACCTCCTTCCAACCGCCCTTCAAGAATCGACTGATCACACGAGGGTCAAACGTTCCATATCCTCCAACCTTGGCCCTTCCTTTGCCTTTTGCGCTCGCGTTGAAGGGCGAGCAGGTGGCCCGAACCGCAGGCCAATGGGGTGGCAGACTAGGCTTGAAGTTCTTCGCCGAGACAACCGAGCTGGAGGATGCAGCCGCGCCTTCCGAACTCATACCGCACAACGCGAACACCAATGCTGGGGGGACGGTGATCCTTCCAACCTTGAAGCAGCATCGGGAGATGGCGACTGTGTGAACTTGTGCGCCGTCGGGTTCTTCAATGTCCAGGTGGTCGTGTTCGGGTCGCTTGGATGAGGGCGTCGCAGTGCCGTTTGCGTTTCCGTTTGCGGATTCGGCCTTGGCTTTCAAGAGCTGGGCAGCGAGGCCGTTGGCGCCGACGGGGTTCGGAGTGGCGGAGGATCCAGAAACTGGGGTAGAGGTTCCAGAAGAGACGTCGTCTTCGCAGGAGGGAGTTCGAAGGGATGCCATGGAGTCAGGGTTTCCGTTTCCGTTTGCGGCGGCAGGTCTCGACTTTCGCTTCTTCTTCGACTTGTTGGCGGGCATGACGAATTTCGAAACGAGGTAGAACTGGTTGGATGGCATTAAAAACACGATCTCAGCCGCACGGGGATACAACTCACCCATTTGCCATCCCAAGCACCAAGACTTGTGCGAACTTCGTATGACGCCAAGATGGGAATTTCACAGATGAAATGATATTGCGTAGCTGTGATGGAAAGTGGATTAGCGGGGCGAGTAGCGGAGGAGGGGGAGTCAAACGCACCGGCCAACGGAATCCATCCTCCACCTCGGAAGAAAGGAGTGAACATTTCTACCGCCAGCTTAAATCGGGCAGAATCCAACGTTTTGGCGTAGCTAGAGTTGCTGAGATGCATGTTGAAGTCGCTTTCGTCCAAGCCTGCCGAGCGGGGCGATGGTCAGTCAGAAGCAACCATTGGGTTGTCGATGCAACACGTACTGGCATAGGTGTGATACGACGACGTATACTTGAAGGGATGGGCTCCCAATGCAATCGAATTCTCCACCCATTTGTCCTCCAGTCTCCCTCGCTTCTCCTTCGAGTGCAGAGCAGTGCGTATGCGGAATAGACGATAATCCAAACGTTTCAAGATTGCCCAGCGCCAGATGCGAACTGCATTGAGTCTGTCAGCGCTGCACGCGTCATCGGAAAGATTGGGACGCACCGTGCCAAACCAAAGGCCATGACCGAATGTTGAGAACGAAGACCACGAAGACGACCGCCTTCAAGAGTTTGACCATGGCGGGGTTGAAGTTGAACAGGGCGCTGACTTTCGAGAGCTGCTCGAGGAGAGGCGAGAGGTATTGCTGGACCGCGGCTACGGCAGCTTGCGTGGAGGAGACTGCGGGCGATGCCATCTTCGATATCCTATCAAGGCCTGTGGCTTCTGGGTTGCTGCAACGTCCTGTCAGGAACGTCTACTGTTCCGTTGAGGGCTACGTTCGTTGCTGGCGAACTGGAAGGAAGAAAGCTGGTGACTGGGCGGAAACAAACGACCTTAATGTTCGGGTTTGGTGTTTACTCGACGTAGCTCGAAAACCCCAAGAAACGGTCGGCGTCTAAAATTGTGGTATTAGAAACACGATAAGGTAGCAATAACCGGTAAGAAAACGCTTACACGTGAAATCTGTGGGTCAGGCCAATGGAGTTCTGTGCAACTGCTTTACGGAAGTTGAATATGCCGCCCCAAAGGATGACGAGCGGTGTAAACAGTTCAAGGCGTTGGACTCGGAGGAGGATGAGGAGACAGCTGGGCCGTGCCGTGTGCATCACTGCCAAGTCTTTTCCACGTGTGTCACAGCCGCTTTGTCGCGCAGCCGATGCGGTCAGGCTCGGGCATCGGCGATGTCGGGTGTCAATAGTTTTGACGCGTCGCGGAAATATCGTTTCCTGGCTTGCTCCTGGTCAGAACTTGGATTTCTGAAGTGGCTTTTTCTTTGTCGAAATGATATCACTTGTCCAGTTGATTCGACCCCAGAGAGAAAACAAGGGTGAATCTTGAAGCTGCTCCCCATTGAACCATTAGCAAAGCAGAAATTAGCAGATCCAAAGGAATTCTGAGCGAGATCAGGATTGTTTCGTGCCCGCCCAGACTCCAGAGGTCGTTTGCGTTTGTTCAGAGACTCCGCGTTATTTCGACGCGTGGATGCGCGCCGACTCGGACCTACGTGCACCATAGGGCTATCTCGTGCACGTGGTCGATTGCGACCTTGAGGACCTAGGTATGGAATCCCCTCGCCAATTATCGAGGGTAGGTGAGTGGAGACAGGTACCAGAATGATTGTAATTCGTAGGAGGACCTTGGTGACCAGCGCAGAATTCGGCTGACGACAGTAGGACCAAGGCAATCTCGGAGAACAGGGGTGGGGGCCACGAATTCGATGATCGTCAGTGAAGAGTACCCATCGAACGTCCTGCCAATGAGACCTGACGCGGGGTTCGAGTGCACCAATCGAGTGTCATTCAACTCTGGACCAGATTTCTGCCAGCTCCAAAGTTATTCCAAGACCTTTCCAGTGAATATATGCGCACGAAGAAGAGTCGATAATCATGTCGCCATAGTCACGGGTCCTTAGCCCAGAGCTGAGCCCTGGTCCTGAAGAGAGCATAGCAGGGTTGGACTCGGATAGCGGTAAAAGGAAAAAATGAAGATATGGGGGAATTCCCTGCACTATAGCTTTTAACTCAGAATCAGTCGAGCATGTGATCTGGGCGTGACCGCTCCTTCGCAGTTAATACCTTCTCTGTCAAGCATACATCAAGGGGTATCTGAATCATGGATGTCTAATCTGTTCTTTACTCAATAAAGAATCTACTGGCTCGGCATAAAACTTCAAGCTCAGGTGTTACTCGTGAGTTAACTACTGTAAGGATGTTTCAAAAATCCACAAATTCAATGGTCTGACTCCTTCCTATTTACGATTCCCAATCCGAGGAGACCAGTGCCCATGGGCACCTTTGATTAAAGTGGCATCCAGGTTAAAAATGGGCTCGCGGGCCTCGACAACCTCTCCTCGCTTGGCTGCTTGGTCTTCAATAACTGGAAGATCACGAGCGGCAATCGGCGCCGAGTCAATGCTGCGCACAGAGATAAGTCACGTTAGCTCCCAGCTTCTACTCATGTAGCGTAATTCTGCCCACTCACTTCTCTTCCCTGACCTTGACCTGTTTGGGAGGGAACGTAACAGCGAGTGCGTTAACCTGGTCCAACGCAAACACGACCAACAGAACGAGTGGTACGATGGAAGTCAAGGAGATGGCCACCCTTAAATACCCTCTGAACGGTACACCCCCTGGCGGCGTCCACCGTGATCGTATCTCCACTTATCAGTTTCAGAGCAATGGTATCGTTCACTACCACATAGTTCTTACATTCAATTGACTAGAGCTTCGTCAGTATACTAGAGGCCATAGAGACGATCAGATTTATGGCTATGAAATCAAGGCTGAGAGCCTGTGCTCCATTTTGCCTCCCGAGCGTCAGTGCAGGAAGGCTCTCCTTCATACCGAGCCCTACCTATAGAACTATAAGTTAGATACAGATACGGTCTATGATGAGTCGAGTCAACGATCGAGCACCATCAGACAGTCAGACCTCGCTGGTGATCTTAAGTTAACTAAGAAGTCTTAAGCGGCCACGACCACGCATCACGTGATGTCAACCTTGCCCCTTCCTGCACATTGAAGCCTGCTCGGACACGATAAGGGCTAGCTTTATACATTCAATAGCGGAATGCCTATGGTATGGCCATTGTCCAAACTCATGCCACTGTGTTCCCACCGACACAATGATAATGGCAACATACGTCGCAAGACACTTCTGCCACACCTCAACTGTATAAATGGGAAGCGTACTAAGATTCCTGTACAGTACGACTCGTTTCTTTTTTCCCCTCTCCCCTCATTTTAAGTTGGCCAACATGTCGCACCTCGCTCAAGCAAAACAGCTCTTCAAACAGAACCCCCTGACCATCACCCTGAAGCTCGTCCACTACGCGCGACGATACGGCCAAACCATTGAATACACTCCAGAGAGGGGTACCTGGGCTCTCGCAATTAGGAAGGGCCGCGAGTCAACCCTGACCGTGCTCTACGTTAAAGCATCTCCCACCACACTCTCCCGCGGCTCGACCAATCCGGATATTCCAGCACAACCTCTCTACGTCTACTCGATCGAGAAATTCCAAGTCGACTCTGCCAAGATGGACAAACCCAAAGATCCTCAGTATGTGTCAAAGAAGCAATTGAAAGAGACGGAAGGCGACTTGGCACCCCACCTCCCTTGCCGAATGGATATCCGTCTGGAGAAGTTTACATTTGATTCGAAGGATCAAAGGCAGGATGCGATTGAAAGGCTGGAAGCGACGCTGAGAGGCGCCTTACGCCGAGCTGTACACGGACCTACAGAGCCTGAGTGGATCGTCAGTCAGCGCTGGGTCGGGGTATCGCTTGCTGCCCTTTCTGACGCTGGATTCTCCGTTCCAGTCCTGACATGGGACCAAATCGTGCAGAAGTTTGTTTAAACAGAAAGCATATCTTTCCGATCAGAAAGAACAGGAAAGTGATTGATTGGTTATGATATTATCCCTTGTGCTACACGGGATGAAATGTATTGTAGAGAATATAGAGCTTGAAATAATTATTGGTTCTTGTTCGTGCTTGGACCATCCCTACAAATGTGTGGACTCGGACATGTCAGGTAAAGTCCGCGGTTGCCAGGCTGAAGTCGCATGGACCACAGTTGCCAATACCTCTGGGACCAGCAGTGTCAAAGCGCTGGCCAGCCCGGAGATGTTATAAACGCCCAGTTGACATGTCCCAACTAATAACAGTCCCGCAAATCCATCATCTCAGAATTTAAACATGTCCAGAAAGCAAATAAACGACGCAACAACTCCCACATCCAAGCCAACCAGGAAAGCATCTCTCCATCTCGTTCAATACAGCAGAAATCGCATCGGCGCTCGATCTACGGACCCACGCTTTGGGATGTGGGCTTTCGTTCTCCGAGACCAAAGCTCTCCCAGAGCCATAATCTTCTCCCCGGAGGCCTCTGCATACACAGAACTCGGCGACATCGGCGGTCCTTCAAAGTACAAATTCAGAATGGTAGAGACCAACACCACATTAGCCAAAACCACAATCTTCGACGAAAGGGGTGATTTCGAGAGGGAGATCATCGACCCGTCGACTTTGGCCGTCGCTTTCCACCTTTGCCCTGTCCGCTCAATTCGTCTCATGGAGTTTGAAGCAGACGAGCGCCTGCTTCTCCTGGTCTATTCGGTTTTGGAGATCACTTTCGTGGCCTCGATACACGTCATTACCGAGCCGGATTGGGCCGTCAGCCAACGATGGGTTGTTTTGGCACTCCTTGAGCTGGCTGCAGAAGGATTTAAAGTTCCCGTGGCAGAGCGAGATGAAATTACCACGGTTTTCAGAAGAACGAAAGAATGTGTTGATCTTGATTTCCTGTAAGAAACGGTCTTGTACTATACTCCACATCGAAAATTGATTTGACGAGTGAAAGTGACACGGCGAGATAGTTATGAGTAATATGCGTGCGTAAGTGGTTTGAGGAAGGAAGAGGTACTGCTCTCTCGAAAACAACGAACGGTGGGCGCTTAAATAAGCGCCATCCTTAGAAGTGGCCGAATACGTTCTGAGCCTCATACGGGGACTCCAATTCCTTGATCTCCTCTTCCTCGAGTTTCACGTTGAGTGCGCCTGCGGTATGGTCAGAGGATCCCTGGTGAAGAGAGATGGGTTTTCTACGCACCGAGGAGATCTTCGAAATTCGCGATAGAGGTTGTTCCCACAATAGGAGCAGTTACACCTGCAAAGTCATGATTCGTTAGGTTCCCCCGTTCATAAAAGGTTGAAATACACACCTGGCCTTGAGAGTATCCACGCAAGCGCTACCTGAGCCATCGTAATTCCGCGTTTCTTTGCAATTGACTCGACACTGTGAGATGGATGCCAAATCAGGATGAACCAAATCAGTGATCGCTGTCTAGCTCAACGCACGCGGAGATAATCTTTTGGCCTCCCTCCGCAACCTTGTATCCCTTCAAAGTGCTATTGGAGCGGATCGTCAGGTGGGAAATGAAAGTGGCGCGTGAAGACGTACTCGTCGATGCCAGCTCGAGTAGTTTGATCTCCGCCTTGAAGTGGACGGGCGAGAAGGCCACGAGCGAGGGGTGACCATGGAATGGCGCCAGCGCCAAGGTACTTGATTCAAAGTACAGAGGTTAGTGAAACGATATTGAACTCAGAAGGCCATGCTGCTCACTTTGAGAGTCGGGAACATCTCCCGTTCCTCTTCTCGGTACAGCAGGTTGTAATGGTTCTGCATGGAGATGAAAGGGGTAAGCTTAGTATTGATCGCATAATCTAAAGGCGGTGACGGCAATGAGTGAGCGAGCTTGGAGAGGCTTTAAAATGACAATACTTTGCATAGCTTGGACTGGGAAGAAGAACATCAGGCTTCGCAGCTCGAAAATGAGAGATGCAACGCACATTGCCAGGCCCAACAGGACGACATGCCGATATAGCGAACATATCCAGCTTGGACGACGTCGTGCAGGGCTTGCATCTATCCATGTCCCTTGAGAAACATTGATGTAGAGGCCGAGTAGAAGCCACTCACGGTCTCCTCGATTGGGGTATCGTAGTCAAATCGGTGACCTGTTCATTGGCCTTCAGCGTTACTGGAGACTCGTTGGATCGAAGTAGTACTTACATTGGAGGACATCAATATAATCCATTTGGAGACGCTCCAGACTCGCTTTAACGGAGTCGAAAATGTGCTGCGCGAACGGTCAATCCATAGAGATAGTTATTGAGATACATCCGACAAGATCGAACCTTTCGACTGAGCCCATATTGATTTACGTATCCCTTGCTGTCTGCATCGGACCCGTGCAACGCGTTGTCTCCAAGTTTCTTGCCAACAGCAAAGTAGACCTATATCTTGAGTCAGCAACTGGTTGATCTACAAAATGGTCAATGCTGCAGCTCGCCTTCGTCAAAATGACGATCTCTTCCCGCGGAATGTTGAATTTCTTGATCGCTTTACCGAGTACGACTTCCGATTCTCCATTGGAGTATGTCTGCCATGAGAACGTGAATGAACTATTGAGAGTTACTGATGCTGACGGGTCCCTACGTTAGCAGTATCGAAGGTATTTATGCCTGCATCGTAGCTTGAATCAGATCAGTACCGAAGCTCCGTCAACTGAATCGGCAACGGGACTACGAACGCAGCTTTGATGTGCTTAAACGACTCTTCCTCACCCAAGACCCACCCCTGCCAGCTCGGATCCCCATAAGACATACATCCGAGGATGATCTTTGACACCTTGAGGCCAGAATTCCCAAGCCTAACTAAGGACGACTCGCCGGGAAGCGATCTGTAAGTACTTGCGCCGTTGGAGTAAATCGAAGTACAAATACTCACCATACTGCATAGATACCTTTCCTGACCCGGTCATGGTTGATCAGAAACGCGTCTTTGAACTAGTGGTTTGACTATCGGAGCGTAGGTGGTGATTTGACTCTATGGGAGGGTGGGAAGAAGTGCCAGACAGCTTATAACGGAATTCATTCTGCGATGACTCATCGGCATCCGTCGAAGTCCTTCCCGACACTCTTATGCTGTCAAGACCTCGTCACCGGCATCGCAGCAAGACGAGACTGCGGCGATTATGCGGGCTTGCTGGCGTTTAACAGTTAGGCGCCCGCGAGGTTTACCTTTCCAGGGGATTGGTTTGATTGGTACTATCCAGGTTTTGATGTACACGGCACGGCACGGAGAAAGGGGCTACTAGGTCGATGGACTAGGTGGCATATAGAGACAGACACGAGGTGGGTTGAGTTCTCAAGACTCGTACAGCAAACTACAGTGACTAAAACAGGAGGAATAATTGGCCACAAGGTATGTGCGTGTACAACACAGAGGTAACAGTAATTAAATAAAGGCGATAATATGAACGTGAGGGGCACCCAATTGGGCAAATCCGTTAAGATGCAATGCCATATCAATCAGCGAAACAAAAACGAGCTACGCTCGGGCGACACTTATGTGCCCTTCAGGAAACAAGTCAGAGTCTCTACCACTGGTATACGCAGGAGGGGCCTCGAAGTTGTGATATGAACTGAGACCTGACGAGAAGCGAGAAGGATTAGCGAGGGTGGAAAAAGGACCGCGTCCGCCGTCATGTGGTGTCGTCGCAGTGTATGGAGACATGGAGTCGGATAGTGGCTGCGATTTCTCATCTGCAAAATCGAGGGTCAGTGAAGGGGGGTTGGGCGCCAAGCTGGAGGTGTTTCCTGCAGCCGTGGCTGGAGTTCCGATGCCATTGGCGGTGTCGTCGAGCAGTTGGAATGGCCGTCCAATGTCTGAAGCACTTCGAACCAGTGCTGTCTTGCTCTCTGATGTCAGGGGTCTACCGCCGCTCACTTCATAGGGGAAAAGGCCTGGAGCGTCTTGGAGAGATGCGCCGCATCAAGGCGTCAGTCAGTTCGAGCGTTCGAAAGGGAAACGCAAGGTCGAACTTACCACTATTACCACCGTAGGCATAGGTGCCCCTGTGACCCCCAAGCCTCCTCTTCCTTCTCTGACGGCAACGGTACAAAAGTACCAAGAAAATGGCGAGAAGTATGAGCAGCGCGACCGCTCCCAAGGAGATTCCAACCACAGCTCCAATAGGCAAGCCTGAAGAAATTCCGCCAGATGGTTTCGTCCCGTCCAACGTGATCTCCACAGGCTGACCGGAGATAGAGGTTGTGACCACCTGCAGCTCCGTCACTGTGGTCTGAAGGTCGGCCGTATGTCTACCCGTACTTTCGCTGCGTCCACTAGAACTCCCCCTCTCCCTGCTGCTATCGGTCACGGCCCGAGTCGTCGTCGTCAATAACTCGTCCAGGTCAGGTAATATTGAAGAAGATTGAAGGAGATTAGTCGTTGGCGTAGGAGTCTCCCTCTCACTCTGTGGAGGTTCAGCAATGGAAGAGCTGCGGACACTGCGGCTGTTCAAGAAGTTGAGCGCTTGAAGTTTCTCGAATTAAAACAGGAAACATACAAAAAAGTAGGGGTGGGGGATGACGTTGGTTCTACAGGAGGGGAAGAGGGCGTGTTGGGTGGAGGGGGGTTCGATGGTGCGGGTGTCACCAAGGAACCTTCGATCTGAAAAAAGTCCAGATGAAGTGGAACTCGTGTTCCAACGTTCTGAATAACCAGGGTATGTTCTCTGTTGGGCAGATTCTCTCGCTTGAACCAAGAGTCTCGATAATACGCGCTGGCGTGGCTGGTCCTTTCTAGACGGAAAGGGGTTTCGCCATCCAATATGAAGAGGGCTTCAATACGACCTCCGGCATGGCTCGCTGGATTCGTTCCGAATGCTTCAATGAAGGTCCCTGTATGCTGCACTGAGTATGGCTTATATTTAGAACAAGCGCTCTAAAGTCACCTGTAAAAGTAATCGTGGCGGTTGCTCCTGACGTCGTCGTGAAATGGGTGCGTCCTTGCTCCTGCCGTTCGTTGGTTCCAGAGATTTGCCAACCATCCGAGTACGAGATTCGGGTGTCGTCTATTATTACGGGCATTCACGCTGCATAAAGAGGGTAGGTTGAAGGAGCGACTAGGGTATGACGATCCCGAAGATGGCGAAAGTGTTGGGAAAGAGAGAAAAGCTAACAGCGCCAGGACCTCACCGTGGTGGTGGTGGTCGGGCGGTGGCAAATAATTCCCAACAAATTCCCAACAAATCGTGCATACAACACAGTGCCGGAAAGGGGGTGAAGACGTCTTAAAGACAATCCAAGATGGCATCTGTCAATCACGATACAAGAAGCGCCTGGGAATCAGCATCGACTGTGGTGCATGAGATGAGTAAGTAAGTACTTACTTACGGGTTGGGATGTTGACTAGTACTGTACCTGGAACATAAGGCATCAGCGCCGCCGTCAGAAGCAGTCCGGACGGGCTGCCCTGGAATGGCACTGTGTTTTATTCTCTTCCAAGGATAGATCCCTTGCACTGCGCAAGATTGAAGTAGAGTTCCCATTTCATTGCTCTCGGGACTCGGACATCTGCCTCAGTCTATAAAGTCAGATCACTGTCGGATTTCCACGACGGTTAGCTTACTGTACGGAGGAGAAACTGTGGACAGACTCCAGAGTGGAGGTGTTGATAGGCCACCAGCGCATTGGGTATCACAGTGGCGAAATTTCGAATCCCAGCTGCGGACGTGTCGTGACTGTTGTGGAGCAAGGGGTGAGTTTGATGCGCCCAGAGTCGGTCACCAAGGCGTCGGGAGTCTCCATTTGGCCTGGTCGGATCCGATCCGAATCGCTCGGAATATGATTTCGGTTCTATTTGTTTTCCCCACCGGTTTCATCGTCTTCGCCTTGCGTTATGGAAGGCAACGTCCTTGTCTGATAAGTCAGGTCATCTCTTTCAATTCACTGCTCACCGATATTCCCTCTCTCATTTCCAGCAACTCCGAGTTCCCCAAATACGCCGGGCGATGCACGCCTCGCTGCACCGGTCTGTGATGTGGCACGTCTGATCATGACTGCTGTTGCGCAAGACAGTCACAGTCTCCGCCTCTTTGCAATGTTCTCTTGACGATGGCTCTATCCACAACACAATCTGTGATTGTCTTTGGCTTGATTGGTCTTCTGGTTGTGGCGCTTGCCACCCTCTTCTTCGTGCTCTGGAAACGGCGCAGAAACGGTGCGTTGAACTATGGTTGGATGGTTCAACTGCTGATGGCTTGTGTTTAGCCTCCTCTCTCGAAAATGGGTATTCCCCAACGCAAATATCCCTCCACAAGCTCGTCAAACAGCCGAAACCAACTGGGGATTCTGATACTGAAGGCTTGTTATCCCGGACGACTACGAACTCTGGCTTGAACCTGGACAGGAGAAGCCTACACGATGAAATAGTGTCGATGCTTCCAGAACTCGAACTCTCGGACGATTCCCAGCTTATGTTCGACATGCGCGAGGCACAGGGCATGATGCTGGAACTCAACCGTTTGACGACGCACCCAGGGCCTCTACGACCTGAAGACCAAGCTCGAATCACATACCTGCGATTGAAGCTTTCCCAACTTTCCCCGGAACTACAGGCCTTTGTAAACGGGACGGATTTAAAGGACGGGGTGCGGAGTAGCCCAGCCATGGGTGCGTCGGTTTTCTTCCACCAACACACCCTATACTTACATTTCGAAACAATGTGATCCCAGAGCGGCCAACTCCTTCCTCATGATGGTCAAGACGTACTTCGTGACATGATCATTCGAATCAGTTTCATGGCAGCCACGTTTGGTGAGGGCCACTCCGCGCAGCCCAATCCAATGCGCTCGACTATCCAAGACGCTACATTTAACGTCAATTGGGACGGCTGTTCTCTCCACCACCTTCAAGCTATGCCCTCAGTTATGAACAGACTCTGCAACGATGAATAAGTAGAAGGACGGACTGTCTCTGCAGATGCTATAATACTATAAATCGCCCACATTCGAAAGCGGCAATCATACGACAGAAATATGCGAAGCGGTACTGTACACTGATTATGCGGGAGTCTATCCAAAGCGAAATGGTTGTGGGTGCACGATAATATACTACAACGGCAAAATAGTGTCCGTTTGGTTTGAAAAAACGAGGCGGGAATAACGCGCACTGCTGGCTTTCGAAAAGTCCATAGAAGAGGTGGGAATTGGAAGGTCGAATTTGCGAATATAAATAGAGGTATGTCGAAAGACGGGAAAGCGGCGAACGAAAGTCTGAGAAAGTCGAATACGAATGCGAGTGTGAAGGATGAAGATAGCGTGTCCAGACAAGGTGGGAGATTACTCAGGGGGATGAGGAGGTGAATGCCGTGTCTTCCCCAGCAATATTTTGGCATCCTCGGTTAGAGCCCGAGCGAGCGGACTTGACTTTTTGGGTTGGGCGGTCAGCCGACTCGGATTCAGCGTGGATGTTGGCGAAATGGCTCGTGGGGTGACAGAACCGCTGGGAGAATAGGGTGCCGAGCCGGATATCGGTGGTGGTGTCGAATGGGTATCACCTGGAGGGGATGAAGGGCCTTGACCGAGGGATACGGGACTGGCTGGTGCCGAGCCTGTCGCAGAGGTGGACGCAACTGGAGAGTAGCCCGCGCCGTCTGGCAAAAATGACAGCGATGACCGTGAGGCAGCGAAAGGGTTGCTGTTACTCTGCGAGGAGTATGAAGCGGATGGTAAAGGTGTTCTGAATGGGTCCACATAAGAATTGAAGGACGGGGTAAAGGATTCTGTGGAATGTCGACGATCGTTCGGACTAAGCATGGAAGTCATACTGTCCAACGTGCTCTCCGTTCGTGACCTGCCATGGCTGGGGTGTGTGGAGGGACCCATGACCTCATCTACAATTCGACTGAGGTTGACCTGGCTGCTCTGTTTGTATATGGGATCTACAAGGTCGTCCTGGGGCGGAGGCCATACATCCTCGCGGAAGATGGAACCTGATTCCGAGGCACGAGAGCGTATCGGAGAGGGCGTTGGTGATACAGTCCTGGGCACTGCAGGGCCGGTCAATGGTGTCGAAGGTCCGTATGACCGCATCGCAAGGAAAGGATCGTCATCGTCATAAAAGCCTTCGCCGTCGAGGAGGTTCTTCGTTTCCTTCCGCTTCTTCTCTGCCGCTATAACCGCCTGCTGCCTTCGGCGCACCTGTCGCATGTAGGCGTATGCTCCACCCAAGAGAATCAAGAGAAGCGCAACCAACCCCGTGCTAAGCCCGGCGATTAAGGCCGTGCGCTGTGGATCGCCGTGGACTCCTCTTGTCGATGGGTCTGCAAGAGCCGTTACAGCAGAGGTGAATGTCGTGAGTCTCCCATCTACAGAGGTGGTGACAGTTGTAAAAGACACAGTTTCTGAGGTGATAGATTCAGTGACTGTATCTATGAGTGGTGGCGGCTCGGAAGTTTCATCAGGGACGGATGGGCTGGGCGGTCGAGGTGAAGGGCGGCGGGAGGGGGAAGACGATGACGGCGTTGGTGGCACTGACGAAGGTGCTGAGGGTTCCACTGAGGATGGGATAACCGAACTTGAATCATCGTCTCCGGAAGAGACTGGCGGTCTACGGGAACGAGCGGAGGTTAGCGATGTCCTTTCTGAAGCCTATTCACGCACTCGGAGTTGGATGGTTCGGGTGGTGGAGGGGGAGGTGGCTCGCTCGGCTCTGGGGTGGGGGGATCTGAAGGTATAGGGGGCGAAGGAACGGGCGGCGGCAACGGGGGTTCAGATGGATCAGGTGGGTCTGGGAACGGGGGCTGGAAGCCAAAAGTCAACACCAACATTTACGCAATACGACTCGACTTCATACCAAAGGGATACTCGGAAAAGGTAGGTCAGTTTGTCGTGCAATGTGCAGACGCGGACCCCTCATCTTCCATGAAAGACCCGGTCGCCTGTGAGAGTGGAGAGAGAGGAAGAAGAAAGGAGTGCTTATTCCAGTCTGTGACGGATTTGAAACATCATAACGCCCAAAACGGGTGATCTTGCACGCAACACAGCCACAAAACATAAATAGCAATCCAACATCTCGACATTTTCCAGGGAAGCAGAGCGGTTGAGCACTGAGCACCCCCACAAGAAAACTACCAGAGCCATTGCCTTCAGAGTCTCACAGGGACATCATAGGATGAGGCTTCGTAGAGTGGAGTATGGCTTTGCGCAATTTCCGATGCACCGGAAACCTGATAGTCCCCAACCTCTTATCAAGGTGTTCTTTCTGGCGTGAAAGAACTGGCAACCGCATTGAACTCAGCTTGAAAGAAATGCAATCGATGTCAGAGCTTATTGCTATGCCAAGTCCCATTGTATGAAGTTCAGCTTCATCGTCAGAAGACCCACCAGCTATACCTGAACTCCTCCGTATAATACAGGTGTCAAGACTGTTATCATTACATTCCTTTTACTACCAACGACTATACAAAATGACCCAGACTGCAAAAATATGTGTTAGTGAGAGAATAAATAAATAGTGATATGTGCATGAGTGGAATAAGAATGTAATGCAAATAATAAATATTCATTGCAGATAAAAAAGAGGCTTCCTTCCCCGTTTTTTCCTTCCTTCGTGGCAAGAGACGACCATACTGGACCGTGAATAAGTTAGTTCGTTATCATGGTTGACGTTAGATTGAGGGACATGATAGAGTTGTTGATCACAAAGAACGTTGAGGAGCGAGTTGAGATCGCAAGTCGGGTTTAAAGGGTGTTGACATGCGGGGGGTAGTACCCATCGGCAAACGAGGCTTGTTGCTGATTCGGATATTGTGTAGGCATCGTGGCGGAATGTCCCGCGGGCTGTTGAGTGGCATAGTAAGCACCTCCACCACCATACTGGCCCGGAAGATCGATGTTGTACGGAGCAGGGGATTCCGTTTGAGCCATGAACGCAGGCGACTCCGTTCGATACATCGCCTCCCCGAAACTGTTGTCCGGCGGAGCCATCGACACGTCGCTGCCCATCATAGGCAACGGAGGAGCCCCAACAAAGCTGGAAGCCCTGGACCTCATTCCAGTGTAGTCGCCCGCGCCGCCCAGCGGGATGTTGTGAGCGGCAGGGCTGGAATGTGCAGAGCCTCCCCGAGAAGATGAGTACCCAGCGTATGGATGGTAACCACGATGACTCGATACGCTCGAGCTGGATCCGACACTGCTTGGGGTAGAGCCCGGAATAGCTGGGTTGAATTCGCCGCTACTAGCTGTGGGAGGTCGCCTGATTGGTTCACCGTTTCGAAGGGATGGGGTCATGCTACGATGTCTCCGAATTGGCCCACCCGAGCTCGAGGTATCGTCGAGGATCATCCCTGCTTGGTACATCGCAGGAAGATCAAAAGTCGGTTTATGAACTGGTGCGGAGAGCGATGGCGCCAGTTCATCACCATGAATTGACGAGATGGAAGAGTGCGCTGAATGTCCTTGACCTGACGGTGGATAGCCTGACGGGAGAGAACCCATCGAATTGCGGTTTCCACGCATCTGCAGGGGATTCGGAGTAGGGTTTCCAAACGACGAGTATCCCGTACTGGGTTGCGCCCGAGTCGACCATTGAGGATCGCCGAATCCACCGTTGGTTCCGAACAGGGTCGACGATGCCGGATAGAAGTTGTTCTGGGATTGGTCGTTGTACGCGGAAGGGGAGAGGACGAGTAAGCCTTCTTCATCGCCTTGAACCTCTTGAACGTCTCGCGCCTCGAGTTCGCGCATCGGGAATCCGGAAGCTGAGTAGCCGCCAACCATCGCGAAGGCCGAAGGGTCCATGTTGTTGAGATCCATCGATCCACCATACAAGCTTCCATCCAGGCTGTTAAAACGAGCCAGGGCATCCTCCTCGCTCTCCTCTCCACTCGCATACTCTGTAACCCTGTTCATCCGTTCCGCTTCCTGCTCAGAGTCATCCTCCATGTAAGAGTCACCACCACCACGGTGGGCTGTGCTTTCATCGCCCCCATCGAGATTAGCCGCGGGCCCGGAACCTGTACGATCGTGCGTTCGAAGATGCTGATTGAGGTTATCACTCCTCGAGAACTTTTTGTTGCACTTCGTACACGCAAACGGGCGCTCCATGGTGTGAGTCCGAAGGTGGCGTTTTAGATGCTCCATGCGCTTGAAGAGTCGTCCACAGGAGAAGAGGGGGCACACGAACGCCTTGATCTTCCCATCTGGGCCATGTTGTTCATACATGGCCGTGCTGGATACAGGGGCAGGTTGAGAAGGGTCTGAGCGTGGCTGAGAATTGGGCGCATTTCCAGTTGATTGTGCGGCTGGATCTTGAGTAGCGCCTGAAGAACCAAGGTAGGAAAAGCTGTCAGCGAACGAGGATGAGAGGCTGCCGTGGTAGGAATGGCGATGGGGATGTGAGGATGCAGAGGGAACATCGACGCTTCGAGTACGGGAGTGATTGAAGGTGGAACGGGGACCAGAGCCATCGACGCTGTGAAGGGAAAATTCTGACGAGGCCGATGATGCACTGGAGGGGGGTGGTGGAGCGCCTTCGCTATAGATGATTTCGACCTCACCGACCGGCTGGTGCACCCGTGGTTTCCGTGCGATACCATCCGCGGGGAGGAGCTCTCCTTTAGCTTGCTTCAAGAAGAAATCAGCTGCACTAAGAGAGGGTTCGCTCTGCTGCATTTCATCGACCGATCCGGGCCCAAACTCGTCCCTCATGCTGCCGAAATGAGGCATGCTGATGCCGGCTCGAGAGCGCTCTCGAGATGCGCTGGTGCTTCCATAGCGACCTCCAGAAGTCCCAGGAATGTCGCCCCGTCCTCGAGGTTCATCACCAAGGCCCTCGCTCTCCTGCCGAGATCCCCTTTTTGCAGTTCGCTTCCTGTGTTTGTAGGTCCGGCTTCCAAGTAGTTGAATCTGACCGAAGATCTGCTTTCCGAGGGCGTCACTGGCTGTGCGAGGACGGCGCTCGTCGTCGGCGTCGCTGGGCATATCGCTCTCATCGTCCATGCTGCTCTCATCGCCATCGGTAGCGCTGTCTCCGGTTCGACGACTGTCCTTCACAGCAAGCCTAACATTCCTGTCGAACTCGCTCTCCCCATCGACTGCGCCGAGCATTTTGCTGAATTGTTCGTACAATGGTCGCTTGGGATCATATGTGAACGAAGCTGCGGGCTCCCCTGTCACGACGGTTGTCGGCTCTTGACCCATCTTCTCCCGTTTGAGATCGCGATCCAGGGCATCGAGGAAAAGCCTATCATGTGGAACAGAGAACCTGGGGCCCAGTCAGTCGATGCGGGTCTCGATTCTGAGCAAACAGACGTACCAATAGAAAACCTTCTGCTTTTTCTGCGTTCGAATGCACTGGTACTTGAAGAGTAGATCCAAGAATGGACTCTGTAGGTTAATACGTGAGAATCAAGACTGATTGCGATCGGAATTTAAACCAGACCTTGGGTTCCTCGAGGCAGGCATCGACGCCAGGCTTCAGGTTTCTGAGGTCACTAAAGACGCCCTCTTCGAACTTCTTCATGTTTCTGACAGGGCGGCCGAATGCCTGAGGAAGATGATTAGCGCCTGAAAATGCAGCCAGAATGCCAAATCAAGAAGTGAAATGACAGGGAGGATCAAAGAAGCGCCGTCGGCTACGTTCCAGCTCGCGCCGATCACAGTCTTCGCAGCCCTAGGAAGGATGCGGAAACACGGGAACTGGTACTCACCTCGAAGCGGAAGACCAATGCTCGCACAATGTCGGTTCCCGTAATGTGATAAAGCCCGTTCCAAAGAACGCAGGTTACGAACTCTTGACTCGGCAGCATGAACCGGTTGAGTTGGGGATGAGATGGGGTGTTAGGAGTCGCCTGGGCAGAGAAGCTTCCGTCGACACCCATCCCCGGATACACGTTCACATTTGGGGCGAATGGAGTCGAACCACCAGCGAGAGGCCCGCCCTGTTCAGCATCGGTGCTGTGCCATCGTGATGGAGCGGTTGCCAGGAAGTACTTGAGACGATCCAGATATTCCAATCTGTCCTTTTCTAGCTGTGTGAGTGGGCGTGATAGACCTTTGGATAGGCCCGGCGTCCCAGCGATGTAGTCGGAGCCGCTATCCAACGCGGCTTGCCTCTGGTCCTGCAAATGTTGCTGTTGGGCTTCGACGAAGTTTGATCCTACGCTGGAGGCGGAGCTGAGGCTGGGTGCCGAGCTGAGCCCTGCAGACTCCATGCTGGAGATGGACGATGAACCAGCGGTCGTCGCTGTTGGGGTCACGAGGCTATTCCCGGAATCCGGCATGGGCGGTAATGGAAGCGACAACGAATTGTGGAATTGGGCGTGGACATGGGCATTGCTTGGTCGAGCTGTACATTCGTTAGGGTCATGTTCCGAGGTGGTGTTCGTGGAGACTTGGAGGGAGGGCGTGTTAGGAGTATGGAAGTATGTCCCGGAAAATGATGCGCGGTTCTGGAAACTATTGGGTCGACGTTGTTGCGCCTGCGGTTGCTGTAGAGATGGGGACCAAGATGGGTTTCCGGGGATGGGATAAGTTTGCGAATGAGCGGGATGGGTACTATAGGAGGTCGATGGGTCGAGATCGTGAGTGAACGAGCGTGGCGATGAATGTGTCGACGAAGGATTCGACGATGAAAGATATTGTTGGCTTCCATACGAAGTGGATGGTTGCATGCTGGACGCGTTGGGATAAGAGTCCATCGCTACATTACGGAAAGAAGGACCCTTTTATCAGTCACTCTGTCACGGAAAAAGAACAACGACAACGCGAGTCCCGGTTGAAGGCACCAATCAATCAAAGGCAGATCATGCCCGCCCTCACCGAGATGGTGTGGTCCCAGCAAAATACAACGCCTTGAGAAACTCACCTGAAGCGAATGTCCTCCAAAACCACAGGAGCAGAAAGGTAAAGCGCGGATGAGGGATATCGATACGGGTTTTATGTAAGGAGGCTTGCGTAATTCACCGAGGTGCCCTTTATGGCACTGTCGGACTTCCCAGAGGCTTCTATGACGGAGACGGTTCCGGTGTGCAGGACTTCAGGCTGAAGACGTCTGGCAGAGCAGGTCAGAACGAAGGCAACGATCGATTGGCACAAAAGGGCGCACCTATTTGTATGCTAAACTACTGGCTTCGTACGCTCCTAGTCTAACCAACCCGAAAAGAGCGCTGCTTCTTGGGGTTCCTACGAGAATGGTTCAGGCTTCCGCGGCGTAGTTGAGTTAACAGCGATGCGTCGGGGATTGTCTTTGACTGACTGGAACGGAGGGCGGTGATATCGACGGCAGTGAACCTTGTGCAGTGGCGATGGAGGAGCTGTGGTCGTGAGGGAGCAGCGGCCCTGAGGTCCAAAACGGGGAGGAGCAATAAGTTATGGAGGTGAGGGAAGGAGGAACTTAAGGAAGGGGCCGCGACGCAAAAGGCTTCGTCTTGTCTATCGTCGACGGACCACAACCAGAGAAGAAAGTGAAAGAAAACGAAATCAAGGAGCTAAAAATCAAGATATATCAACCCCCGTCACAGGGTCGAAGAAGTTGAACCATCCATGTCGATTTGTTCGGACTGGACGCTGTGATGAGGCAGTACATCCCGATCTTGATGCTGATGGCTTGATGCGATGCAGTCCAACAAAAATGCAGATGGATTGCCGGGGAATGATCTCGCGCTGAGGGCCGTGGGTGGGTACAGAAAAGGCCTGGTTAGAATGGGAGGTTGGGGAAGGTATTAAAAGGAGTTACGTGTGGATGGCATACATCCTATGTATTTCCCATGCACGATGGAGAATCCCAAATGGTTCTGAATCCTGGATGCAGAGTCTTGGTCTGGTCTGCGAATGAGCCGGTTGCAGAGCTGCTCCGCGTAAACTGACCACCCTTTCCTGTGCGAATTATCTCAGTCGAGTGCCTGTTCGCATGCGGACTTGTGCTCGGTTAAAATGACGTTGGGCGGCAGGGTGTCAACATCCTAAATTAGTCAATACAGCCCATTATCACCAACAACCGCCCTCAACTGAGGCGGCTGAGTAGCGGGCAACCGAATGAGGGATTGCCCGTGTCCTGGGGCTTTGGTAGGTTCAGATTTTCGGAGCTGTAAGAGGCATATTCAACTTGGCAAATCTGAAACAGCACACATGAGCTTTGTGGACATGGATCCAATAAATCTCGTGAAATATCAGCACCAACGCGTTTGATGGTGTTTCTCCGCCTCGCATGCCCTACCAGGTCATGCTAACTTTGCTTGGAAGGATGTTACTGATAAATCCATGACTATTCACACCCGTTCAAATCCCAGAGTCCGCCGCAAGGGTCATCAAGACGAGACAAGCGCTCTTCACATCTAAGTATCAAGTTGGCGGGTGGAAAAGGTCAACGAAATGCAATTGTACTCCGGGGGGCGCTTGGGATGGCCCCACGGACCTACTTCCAAAGAATTGGTACGTATACGCTGGTTCACGCATCTGCTTGGATAGACACGGAGCAGCTCTGGGAATGATTGGCGTCGCCCTTCTGATCCCAGTGCGACTACTTACGCAGTACATAGTGCCCCAATATTTTGACTGAATTGAAGGGAGCGCCGTGATGGCGTATTGAACAGGGTCGAGCCTTGAAGCTAGACGGATTGTGATTTAGCTAACGCAACACGTACATATTTCCACATGAATAAGCAAAACTTGGACTCAGTTGAGTTCGAACTTCTGACCTGCAGCAACCCACCCTCCCCCACAATTTTAAAATTACAAACATAAACTTGGTCACTCCCCCACCGAAGGTGCAAGTGAGCAGAAGGCTCACCACGACAAAACGCAACCTGCCATCCGTTGCCTACTATCTATCTACCTCAGGCACCACCGACTTGGGCACTCAGTCCGTGATCTCACCTCTAGTGCGATGCTTCGCTAACTGACTCTGCTAACACGAACCTGAAGATCGAGGCCACACGCAACTGCACGCGAACACTTCATTGATTGAAAGTTGGACGGGAACTTCTCCTCCTCCATCAATGACCAGTGAAATGACTCCGTGATGATCCCCAGCATCACAATCGACAATCCAATCCAAGGAACTCCCACAAAGCTGAAACAAAATAAAATAAATGATGCTGAGAGTACGTTTTTTCGGAATACCGACTCCCAGAGAACGTCCTGGACCATGCGTCGTTCAACAGCTTTTCGGAATGTCTTCATGCGAAGCGTTGCCTTCTGATTTAACAAGCCTTTCGAGCTCGCCCGCGTTTGAGACGCGTGATCCGCTTACCTCGGGAAGGAGTGGGAAGGCTAAGCGCTGGTCCGGACCGTTGAGCCGGAGGCGTTTCTACGGGCGCTTATTTGGCCTTTCCGTCCGTTTGAGGCAAATCCAGCCGGTTGACCCGATGGTGGGCGTGCATCAGAGCTATCTAATCTCTCTTCAAGAGATATTCTTATCAGCCAGGGCTTCCTTTATTTCGAGTCATTGAATCCCTTATCATCGGAAGCCCCTTGTTGATGCTGGTATAGTACTGACTTGTTTCAAGTCCCTTTATCCTGAGCGCAATGACCCAAGGCGGTGCACGCTTGAGGGGTCGAGCACTTTTGAGGACTCGTGAAGACACTTTTGTGCGTCCGTTGCAATCTCCAATTTACGAAAGAAGTCCAATAAGCAACATGATTCATCCCCGGGCTTCCTTACACATTCCTTCGATCAGTTCTGATTATATCTTCTGAACCCTTGGTAATATCGAGGAGCCTTGTCTACTAAACGTGATGTATGTCGAACCTTCCACTTCGATGCCTTATCAGTGACTTATTGCATAGCACTGCGCGGATATAGCGGCTCGCTCGAAGGAATTGGTGACTAGGGGGAAAGAAGGCCCGTTTCATGCTCATGATAGAAAGCGTAAGGCAGTGAAGAGTGCCCGTAATGTGAGTAAGTATAGGAAAGCTGATAAGTAAAGGTGATTGAAGGGTGTGCTGATTGCACTCGCTGACAGTTCTGCAACTTCCCTAAGAATAGATATAGATCTGAAAGTCATCCAACCTTATCAGGGCTACACTCTTTAGAGCAGCAGAATGACTTGAAGGGGCCCCAGGTCAGATCTAGAGTGCCTCCGAGATGTATACTGACTGTCATTGACCTTTTGAATAAGCTCATTCGCACTATCCATAAAAAGATGCAAAGTCTGACCCGGCCTTCATGGTGAACAGCCTCCGAGTAGTTCCCCTTGTCATCGGGAAATACATAGCATAGACAGACCGCATGCTAGTCCAGATGGATGTCGGCCCCGACAGACAAAGTGCCCAGATTACTATCTGCGCTACACAGGTCATATTGGTTTCTCACACACGAACGCCCTAATAGTCACTTAACCACAGAACCCCATTCGAGCTGGTTCACCAACGAGAAATACAGCTTACAACGGGTTCGCATACCCGCACGAAGATCACCCGAGGATCTCATCCAGCCCTGTCGCCGCAAATCCAGCCATACATCCCAACCTGAAACTTCCCAGAGAGAATCTGTCAACCCACGTTCACTTCCGCCGACGAGTGGATTACCGCCCGAGACCCAGCTGAATGGCATCATTGTCCCAATCGCCCCCTTCCAAACTCTTCCAACGACCTCTTGAGCGCGTGAGTGATCTCCGTCTTTGCCCTTTCAGGGATGGCCGTGAGACCCGAAACCTGAGCGCTTGATGGGAACACCCATGATGTCAGGAAGAAGGGGCGGAAATTGATGGATCGATTCGGAAATCACGCTCCCAGAATTGCGAGGAACGAAGCTAAAGCCATCGTCTTTCGACATGCCTATTCTGCGACGACCCCTCTTCAGATCATGACACCAAGGCCCTGGAGCAACGTTTCTGTTACGAATTCAATGGGCTGCGGAGTAAGTGCTATCAATTATGTATGTCGATATCGCCTAACCACCCCATCGTCACTCGCCAACCAGACTTCATCCCCATCTGCCTGATTTCGCACACGAACGCTGCGTACCGGATCACAGTCCACTCCAACGAGCTCGTCGACGACGAACGAACCATCTGGGCCCAACCTGGTCGCAAATGGAAGCCCGTCACTGGTCGCGATCGCGAGCCCAAAGTCCCCCGGACCCCTGGATGACGATAAGAACGCCATATCCGTAATGCCCCCCTCCTGCCTGACGAACGAAGTTAACGGCTGGTCAAGCGACCGCACATCATAGATGGTAACCACACCATTGCCGGCGCCCGTGGCTAGGAGGTGAATGTTCGAGGAATAGGCAATGGAAGATATGGGCGCGGTCGATGTGGTCGGGGACTGGTAGACCGATGATTTGGTAGAAAGATCCAGAAGCTCGAAAGTCCCGTTCCCTAGCCCACAGAACACACCCTTGTCGGCGACTTCCTGCGCTTCCCTCTCATCACGATGCGTTGCGGTGGTTGCATCTCCGTATCGAGAGAGCCTGCTGCCAAGTGAGATGGAGAGGATGGGTGAGCGCGAAGAGGCAAAGATGGTGTTGATCGTCGTCCCTGAAGGTGCGTCCCAAAGTTTGACTGTCGAATCTGCTGATGATGAGAGGAAATTGCGACCTGGTCCGAGGATGGCCGTCCCTGTTACCGAGCGACTGTGACCACGGAACGTTCGGACGGGTTCCACCTTCTGAGGTTCCGCATTAGGCGCCGGGTCCGGTAGCTCAGCGGACACTATGGATAGGGAGAAATCGAGTCCGCCTGTCAGAAGTACCCGAGAAGAAGGGAAGAACTTCAAGGTCGTGACCTCACTGACATGAGGCCGTGCCGAGACCTTGGATTGCGATGCAGGGGGCTTGTGCTGAAGGAATGATGGCTTCCCGGGGATCGACGAGGTAGGGTACACAAATATGGACCCATCCCCGTAGCCTACGGCAAATCTCGAGACATCCGGAGACACATCGAATGCTGTTATGGGCTGGGGCTGTTCCAACACTTGTGTCAACATACGTCGGATGTCACAGGTCACTATGGTTAACTCACTCTCTTCGTGTTTGTACGATCAAGTTTATTGTACTCTTGACTGGGTAACAGGATTTTGGTTTCAGGAATTCCAAGGGAAGGACAAGACGCTTTAAATTCCTGCAATACAGGTTCAGAGCTAAACGCGATGTAGACAATCAAACTTGATGTGACGTACATGACCGTGTTTCCCGTTACCGATAAAGTCGAATTCAATTCCTGGCTCCTCTTTGGACAGAGTTACCAGGTCTCGATCGACATCATCCAGTACCGCTATGAATTTTCCATGGACTGATGTCTCTGAGGTCTTGTAGCAAGAAATCCAGACCCTTTCGAAAGGTATGATCCCCTCTTGGACTTCGTGCAACACCTCTCCTAGAGTCGGTTGCACTGTAACCACTGGGAGTACCTGTGGAATGGGAGGGAGCATATTGTCTATGAAGTCGACGCTATCAAGCTTTCTGTGGTTGGAGGTCCAGAAAGAAGTCAGTATTGGTATGAATCTTGGGCGATGAATGAGACTATGACGCGGCCAGAAGCCTTTGCCTTGTGAATGCAACACCGACAAACAAGAAGAGGCGCTGAAAACGCCAAGTTGAAATTCCGATCGCGTGTCCCGACTCCTTCCTTCTTGCTTGGAATATCTCGCTCAGAACTACCGGGTTCCATACTGTTCCCTAGGAGCTAGATTGGACTCTACAAAACTGGTCTTATGCGTCTAGCGTCTCCAAGTATGAATCATGATCATAATCAAGAAGCCGTGTGGGTTCTTGCCGCCCAGTTCGGCACTGGCGCTGGCCGCCAACTGGTAGGGCAGCTGATGAGTGTTCCTTTCGCTGAACAGAGATGCTCGTTGCTGATTCTGTGTGGTATACAACTCTTGTCCCAGTCTCGTTCTTATTGTGAGGAGCGCGGCTATCACTTTATGTTCACGGTCGCCCAGCTCGAGGCGGATATCCATCATGCCCACTCGAAAAGCCTCCGTTTCATCATCCCCTTCTGTCACATCAAAACTGATAAAGGCAATACCGCAACGCCCTCCATGATCTATCGTGACGGTGTCGACCTGACGGCGGCGGTGCCCACTTCTTCTTCGTCACAACCTTGTTCTGAACCTAAATAACTTTTTCTAGCTTTATATCTTTTCGATTTCCAGCCCAACGACAACCAGCGCCCCACACCTCAACCCCAGAACCACCGGCACATCCGCAACAACATGACAGACCTTTTCGTGCAAGCCTCAGGCCCTCTACGGACGAAACGAAACTTCAAAGGCCTCGCTCTGAGCGCGGAACCTCCCTCCCCACCTCCTCCAGGCGGAAAGAAGCGACCACCGCCTCTCGGTGCGGCTATGGCGCTCGGAGGCGGCCCAGCACCACTGGGCGGACTCCCACTTTTGGACGACCTACCAGGTGAAAGCCCCGCAACCGGCCGCCACAGCGCCATGCAAGCCACCCTCTCCGACAAGCTCGCCAAACTCGAACTCAAGAAACGGATAAAAGACCTCAAAAACGACGATCTCAAGAAGCTCTCCGATCTGGGACAGGGTAATGGCGGAAGCGTGGAGAAAGTCGAGCATCTCCCGACAGGAACTATCATGGCTAAGAAGGTGCGGGGTATCATTTAAACAAACGATTTGTCGTTTTACGTCCTTGTATATGAGAAAGGCGCTGACGCTTGACATGTACACGTACAGAGTGTTCTGATCGATGCCAAATCGTCCGTCAGGAAGCAGATCCTCCGCGAACTCGACATCATGCACGAGTGCCAATCCGACTACATCATCTCATGCTTTGGGTCGTTCCTGGCAGAACCCAACATCTGCATCTGTATGGAATTCATGGACAAAGGGTCCTTCGACGGGATCTACAAGAAACTGGGACCGCTGCAGGTCGAGGTTGTGGGGATGGTCGCGCTTTCCGTCTTGGAAGGCCTGACGTATCTGTACGATGTTCATCGCATCATGCATCGCGGTACGTCGCCATCTATGCCACTACTTATACCAGCGCTGACGGATATTATCTAGACATCAAACCCTCAAACATCCTCTTCAACTCCCAAGGACAAATCAAACTATGCGACTTTGGCGTGTCCGGCGAAGTCATCAACTCCATCGCAAACACCTTCGTAGGGACATCAGTCTACATGAGCGTAAGTTCCCATCCATACCTCCATTCTCCACCCATTCCCAATTCCCTAACCTCTCGACTCGTTAAGCCCGAACGCATCCAAAGCCACGGCGACGGCTACTCGGTCAAATCCGACGTCTGGTCCCTCGGCATGTCCCTCGTCGAACTCGCATTGGGTGCATTCCCCTTCACAGACCCACCAGACGACGACGACGACGACCTCTCCGACCTCGAAGGCGACTCCTCGAGTCCAAGTCCATCGGACGCCCAACACCAACGCACACCCACACACCGCGACTCGTTCCTCCTCAGCAAAAAGACCGCCAAACGCGCAAGCAAGCGCAGAAGCAAACTCACCTACAACCCAGATGGGCAGTTGTCCACCATGAGCATCTTTGAACTGATCCATCAAATCGTTCAGGAGCCCTCACCTCGACTCCCGAGCGACAAATTCCCAGCTGATGCCGTGGACCTGGTGGATATCTGTTTGTTGAAGAACCCAGAGGAGAGGCAAACGCCGAAAGCACTATTGGTACGGGTAAATCTCAACTGCGAAGCTCGCTCGTCTTGCTGATTTGAATCTCTCCTCATAGAACCATCCATGGATTGTCGCCATCCGAGAGTCAGACTTTGACATTCAAGCCTTTGCCGCCACCGTTTAACCGCCGTTCTGCCGCACCTCATCATCACCATCGCATCTGACACTTGTATCTATTGGGCTTCAGGCTGGAAACCAACCTAGCGCTCTGTACTATATGAATAACTCTCTGTTCGGATTCGTGAATAATTCTTTGATCGTCTTCCCCAACCAATGCACCTTCTCATTATTGAACCTTCGTATCTATGCCCAAGCTCCATTCACCGACTGTTTGTTTTCTACCCACAACCGATTGCACGGTTGAACAATTAGCTCTGACACTGTTTCAGTTTTTCCTACCTCATGATCATCACTATACTTACCACCCCTGTACTGCTTACTGTGTACTTCTATATAAACCCCACATCGTTCTGTAATTGAATCACTCGAAGTAGAATGAATGCATCAGAACAGGGCCAGCCCACCGAATTAAAGCAGAGCGAAAAAAAAGAGTCCATCTATCATTTTGTGAGTAAGTACAACTTCATACACGACTACAAACAAATATGCAAGAAGATTTAGCACTGGTACAACAACAGCACAAACTAGATCATAAGCAATAAGTATATCAGCCCTTGGAAAAACGTAGAAATCGTAAACGCAAATGAAAACAGAACCAACAAAAGGCGAGCAAGCCATCGTCTAAAGGCGCAATCGCAGAAAGAGGGAATGGGAATGAAACGAAAGAGGAGAGTCTAAGCCAAGATCCAGCAAACGTCCATCTTACCCCTATCACAGGCGGGGAAGATCTACTGCGTCCAAGAGGATTTACGCAACAGGAGTGGGCTCGACGCTCCAGAACGACTCGGCGTATTCCAAGATGGCTCGGTCAGAGCTGAACTTGCCCATCTTAGCAGTCGTCCTGATCGACTTCTTGATCCATTCCTCCTTGTCCTGGTAGGCCTCGTCAACCATGGCGAGAGCAGCGATGTCTAGAACAATCGTCGTCAGGAATAACTCGTCGTAGAGGAAAAAAGAGACGCACAGGAGTCGAAGTCCTCAGTGAGGAGGTAGTAATCAGTCTGCCTGATGGTGCTCAAGAGTCTATAAGGAAGACAATGTCAGTCCGAATTGCAGTCGGAGGTCCTTGAAGAAAAAGAACGTACGGCTCGTAGACACTACCATCGCCGAACATGCCAGACGAGATTTTGTTCAAGACATTGGCAAGGGCAGGGCACTTCTGTTCGATGGGAATAGGGTGGTACATGTGCTGGTAGCGAAGATCCTCAACAGCACTGCGAGCCATAGTTAGTACTCGACCTCAGAGAAAAGAAAATCAGAACAAGACTTACGGAGTCAAGTGACCAAAGAAGAACACGTTCTGCTCTCCAACCTCCTCCGCAATCTCAATGTTAGCACCGTCAACGGTACCAAGCAACAAGCCTCCATTGAGACAGAACTTCATGTTGGAAGTACCAGAGGCTTCAGTTCCGGCAGTCGAGATATGCTGACTGATATCGGAAGCGGGGATGAGGACTTCGGCGAGAGAGACAGAGTAGTCAGGGAGGAAGTACAGTTGGAGGTAGTCCTTGGTATCGGGATCGGCGTTGATGACGCGGGCAACGTTGACGATCAGGCGGATGGTCTGTAAAAGCCGTTAAGATTGAAAACCGGAGAGAAATCTTTCGTCAACGCACAAGTTTGGCGATGTAGTCTACATGGAGCGGTCAGTACAACTTCCAATGAAACAGTCGGGTCAGACGTACAAGCAGGGGCAGCCTTTCCGGCGAAGAACACAACACGCGGGTTGACCTTCTTCTTCTGTTCCGCAGACATGTTTTTGAGGGTGAGGTAGCGCTACGGAACGCCGTTAGCCACTGTCTTGCACAATGTAAAGGGTATACCTACATGGATGACACCAAAGATGTTCAACGATTGACGCTACAGCAAACAGTCCTCAGTCCAAACCTTCAACTCGACTCCCTCGCGCAACACGCACCTTGTACTCGTGGATACGCTTGATCTGAACATCGAACATCGCGTCCGTTCGAACAGTGAAGCCAAGGGTGGTGCGGACGTGGTGGGCCAATCGCTCCTTGTTGCGTTGCTTGATGGCAGCCCATTCCTTGCGGAATGCAGCGTCTTCGGTGAACTGAAGCAGGCCCTCAAGCTTGGTGAGGTCCTTGAGCCAGACCTTCTTGTCGACTTTAAGGGTCTTGGTGATGAGGTTGCTCAGCTCGGGGTTGCATTGGTCGAGCCATCGGCGCGGAGTAACTGCACAATCGTCGATGGTAAGCGCTAGATGCAATGTTTCGAAGGATACGTACTGCCGTTGGTTACGTTGCTGAACCTAGAATAAAAGGGTCAGATCATATCGAGTGGAACTAAGGAAATGGTAACATACTTGTCAATGCCCTCAAATTCAACAAAGTCCTTCAAGATGGTGGTCTTGACGAGATCACTATGAAGCTATATGAACGAACGTTAGCTTCAGCACCTACATAAGTTCTGTGACCAACTAACCTCAGCAACACCATTGACCTTTCGGCTTCCTTTTCAAGGTGTCAGTACGAGATAGAAAGAACTTCCACGGAAAGCGTACCGATACAGGCCAAGTGGGCCATTCGGACCTGTTTAGGCTGTCCCTCTGTGAAGCTCCATTCAGTAACCATCCTCCCGCGAAGAGTCAATGCGTGATTCTTACCTTCGATCAACGACATACGGGCCAACCTGTCCCTATCTCCGGGATACTTGCGTTCAACGGCTAAATAACGGAGCAACGGGAGTCAAAGATAAATTCGTAATCATGGAAGGCACAACTTACCTTGCAAGAAGAACCTATCATAGGAGGTAAGGGCCGTAATTGGTGAACTCCTGAGAACCTTCACAGGGTAAAGATGCAATTGACGTACAAGTTCTAGAAAGACGAAAGAAGGCAATGTCAGCAAAGTGAATTGGAACAGCTGGTCAAGGAAGCAGGCCACTCACAATGTCATAGATAATCTGCAGGTGCCTGTAGAGACAGCGGGTCAACACACATTGCCAACACCTCAATGCGGACGAGCGTACCTGGGGAGAACATGCTCAATGAGAGGAACGGGCCACTTCTCAAGCGCTTCCTGAAAGGAGGAAAGACGTCCAGTTCAGCATCATTTCAGAAGACGAAGATGCAGATACGAACGGGAAGCACGGTGTGGTTCGTGTAGAAGAAAGTGTTGGTAACAATAGTCCAGGCTTGATCCCAGGGGAGATCCTCTTCATCGATAAGAATTCGCATCAACTCGGGGATAGCAAGAGTGGGATGGGTCTGGACAAAAAAGGTAGGATGAGCGGACGCTGTATCAAGACCGCCAGGAGGATACGCACGTCGTTCAGCTGAATGGCGACATCTAAAGAAGAAATGGGTCAAATTATCCTTTCCCGAAAGGAGGCGGAGGATGATACTCACAGTCTGGGAATTGCTGGATGGGCTTGCCCTGGTTCTTGAATCGTCGCATGATATCAGCCAAGCTAGCAGCTGTCCAGAAGCTAAAAGATAGAATGAGCATCTCTGGTGCAAAATAGACACAGCTTCCTTACTATTGCTGCTTCAGGCGAAGCTCCTTTCCGACTGTGGGAGGTCAGTACGGTCCTGGGGATGCAGAAGCCAACTGTGCTTACAAGAACTGTCGAAAGGTCAGAAGCAAGCACGATATAAATGAACAAGCATCACGCACGTATGGTCATTAGGATAGAGAACAGAGGTAATGGCATCAGCAGAGTTGGACGACTCGACAGCTCCCTCGTAGTTTCCAGCTATCCCAAAGTCAGCCTATACACGTCGAAAGGTCGCGAGGGAGATAACGCACCATTGAACGAGTTCAAATCGAAACCTCGCTTCGATCGCGACTCCCACAACCGCAAGTTGTTAGTAGTCTTGGTGCCATAACCAGGAATCATCACATCGAAAGCAATAGCAACGACTTCCTGTCCACCAGTCCAAAGGGCACGTCCGCTTCCGTCATTCAACCTCTCCGCAGATCCATAGAAGCGAATTTCGTAGGTGACATCGAGACGAGGAAGCTAAAGCGACGATGATGAACAATGAAATCATGGATGACGCGCGTGACGGCAGCGACTCTTACCTCCCAGGGGTTCTGGTTCTCCAACCATGGGTCCGGGGCCTAATTAGCAGACGCTGGTTAGTGAAAGGAAGTCCGGCGTGATACGATATGCGCACCTCGAGTTGATTCCCCTCGGGCGAGATGAGCTGTTGGAAGATACCATACTTGTAGCGCAAGCCGTAACCCCAGAGTGGAATTTCCTGTCAAGAAAATGAGAACCGAGTAAAACCTGAAAGACAGAGATGTGACCCACAGTAGAGGAACCAGAGTCGAGGTAGCAGGCAGCAAGACGGCCCAATCCACCGTTACCGAGGGCAGCGTCACGCTCCTTGTCGAGAACGTCTTCCATGTTGAATCCGAGCTTCTTGACACCTTCCTTGTACTCGTCCTTGAGACCAAGGTTCAGGAGCTACATGTTTCGAAAATTATGAACGACAACGATTCCGCAATTGGCCTTGGTCCACGTACCGCATTGTCGAGGGTTCGACCCATCAAGAACTCGAGTGAGAGGTAGTACGCCCGCTTGGGGTTCTTCCTGGTGTAGTTGAGCTGGGTCTCATTCCAGTTGACCTGCACAAGGCGATTTAGCCATCCGAACAAAGCCAGGCAACAAGAACAAGACTCACCAAGAGGTTGTCGCGAACAGACAACGCCGCGGCCTGGTATGCGCCCAAATCATCTATGCACACAATCTCGCTCAGCGCCAAATCCAGACAGCGACGAAGCAGCACGTACCGAGGTTGTATGGCTGGCGAGCGAGCGAGGTTTGGACGTGGTTGACGAACGATTTGGTGATACTCTCGACGTCTAGGTTAAAGCGATGTCCGAGTCAGACATCTGAATCGCGTCGACGATGTGTCCCATCAATAGCCGCCGCACCTTTATCAACGCTTCGCATGCCGGCGCGCCAAACCTTCTCCTCGCCGCGGGGCCACTTCTCCTTGCCAGACGCGTCAGTCTCGGGGAGATAACCTGTGTTCGTCGTCGGGGCGTGGTTAGTTCTGAGCGCTTTGCTCGACGTGACAAGGCGATCTTCTTACCCGTCAGAGTTCGGACATGGCGACGAGGACGGGTCGGCCTTCCGATAGTCTTGGGATCAATCGTCGAGGTCATCGTTCAGAACTTTCTGGTCTCGTCGCTGTCGACAAACGACGACGGCGATCCAAATGAGAATAGGGAAGGGGGTGAAGAAAGAAATGAGCCCCTGAACAAGGGTTTTATGTATACGCAAGTCTCGATTCAATCTCAGAAACCCCTTCCCGCGAGATCTTCTTTGCCTGACGTCACATAAGCCGCTACTTCCTTTTTGGGGCGTGTTTCCTGAAATTCGGGGGTGCTCCTGATGAACGCACAATCTCTGCAAGGTTTCTTCTGGCTTTTGTTCTTTGTTCTCATACAGTCTCAGAGTATTGTTTGATAGTTGGGACGCGCGCTCGCAGGGTGCTTGCCGGCCTCTCTATCCGAGAGAAGCGACATCCGTGAGTACGCCGGCGTAATCTCTACCACGAACGCGACTCACAGTTGCCATATCCATCCCCAGCCCAGGACGATAATTAAGCATGAAAAAGGCATTCACATCCAGAGGGATACACTTACCTTTTTCGCCAGCCCTTCGAGGCAACGGATACACATTGTTATCTGATTCGAAGCACGCGTATTTCGCCGTGGTTTGACATTGACTGGTGGAATTCGACTCTCGAGCCCATGTTCGTGAAAAAGGGAGAAAACGGAAGGAAGATGAGGCGAGTATTGCGACCTCCGAGAAGCAGGAATATCGAGAGATTAGGCAGGTAGACCTGTGGTAACGCGATCTGTGTTATCTGGTGTGCCGAAACGTTCGTTCGTTAGGATGTCGGAGAATGCTTCGGCTTCGAGTCAGACAGAGCATCGCGATGCCGGTAAGGTACATACTTGCAGTTAACCCTTCATTTCCGACTCCGGGTTCTTTCGAGACAACATGTACCCCTCGAGCCAGAGCATCGCGAGGGTCCAAGGATTCCGTTGTACCGAGATGGTGGATAACGAGAGGTTCCAACTTCTAGACGCGTTCTGATTCGAAGGCACGAACATATTTTTGACGAGGCCCAGCGTGAAGAGTGGAAATTTTCAAGTTGTCACTTCATAATCGGCAACTGGGGAGGTGATCAGAGAGAATGTGAACCCTCAACGGATGCCCTACACGTAAATAGGATAGATATATACGACCTATGTGGCGAACTCACCCAAATCACCCTCCACCAGACCTTCAAGTTTGAATATCACCCCAAATCTTAGTACTCAATTCTCCCAGACCAGACCAGGGCTACCTTTTCTTTTCTAGAAAACCGCCACCTGAAAGCCGCAACGCACCACACAACCCCAATTCGAATGAATGTTTTAAGCTCATCGAGGTCCGGTGTGATGCTGTGAAAGAGTTCAAAGAAGGGCGCCACTTGGTCTACGGCCTAATTAACTCTTGTCATGGGATCGAGAAGGTGGATTGAATGAATGATTCAAGGACATAACCTAGGTATGTTCTCCTCGGGAATAGAACACTCCTTGGATCAAATGGAGATCGATCGCCGCTGAGTTTCATTCAATTGAAAGGACGCAGACTTTCGTCTCCAGTGCATCGAAGACGAAGCATTGAGCGCAGGGAAGTCTTGGTCACTATGGGAGGAACCAACAAAGCTTACAGTAATAGGTCTTCTATGGCTTATAATTGAGCCCTCAAAAGAGTCCCTACCCCACAGAATGCATGGAACCTCCTCCCAGAGCCCAGAGTCCAAGCCAAAGAGGAGGTGGATATGTCGAACCCCTATGCCGCGATCACGTTCCCACTGCATTCATCGGACGCGACGCGGTTACCGAACTGAAAGCCCAAACAAGGTAGATTGAACTGTATGCTGACAATAAATGAGCATTAGAATTAGGCGTAGTATTAGCATAACAATGGGTATACGGTCTATCACTCTGCGCCCTGCGCAAAGAACCCCTTTTGCTGCAGGTACCGCTCATGCTCTTCACGATGAGCCAACACCTGCTTGTCCACACTCGACCTCCAAACCGGAGTCGCAATCTGTCAAACCATCCGTCATGAGTTCCGTCGGCCTCCCTCCCAGAAGCTCTGAATCCACTCACATAAGCAACAAAATCAAACAACCCTTCCAGGAGGAAATTCGTCCTATACGTGGCACCCCTCGTCGACGCCGCAAACAGCGACGTCAAAATGTCGCCCGAGATATGCGCGTCTCCCCGTTCCATGCCCTTAAACATCGCCAGCGCAGCCTGCTCGCATGTGAGTCCCTCGTCGGTCCCTTCGATGTCTTTCACGAGTTGGGGTTTCGTCTTGTTCTCCTCGTCGTAGCCGGGGCTGTACATGGTAGGCGGGAAGAACACCTGGACGTCGATACCGTAGAGCATGAGTTCTGATTGGAGTGTGTCGCCGAGGGCTGTGGGGGGTGGGTGAATTGAGTACGTGAAGGAGTATTGAGTATGAAACGAACCTCGCAGAGCGTGCTTCGCAGGAGCGTATGACGCCCATCCCACAAACGACATATACCCCAGCATAGAGCTCACAAGCACAATCTTCGCTCCCCTCTTCTTCTGCTGCGCCATCTTCTTCGCCGCTGCCTATGTCATGACCCTGTCAGTCTCAGTCTCATCGCATGACGGCGCAAAGACCGTAACGACGCGACGACGCACCCAAGCAGTCCACGCCTGCACCCAGTACCCATTCGTCATCCCATTCGCCAAATCCCCCTCTGTCATCTCGAGGAAGAACATCGGTTTGGAGGAGCCCGCGCAGGTCAGGACGGCATCGGGCGCTTCGCCGTTATGAGCTGCGCAGATTGCTTCTAGAGCTGCTTTGGCACCTTGAGCTGTGCTCAGGGAGTGGGATCTGGCTTGGAGGATTTGGGAGGGCGTTTGTCGGCATTTCTAAATTGAATTTTATTTTGGGTTAAGGAGTGGGAGGCAGGTAGGTAGGGCCGAGCGCACCTCCATTTCAGCCAGAGCTATGTTTAGACGGTCTTGGTTCCGTGCTACGATGGAGACGTGTGCGCCTCTTTGAACCAAGAGTGTTGCCAATGCGAGACCGAGACCTTGGCTTCCTCCCGGGATGTAGACATGCTGTTGAGTCGAACGTGAAGAGTGTAGATATCCCAGACGTATTTCGTTTCAACGACCGTATCAAAAGCAGAAGAAAACTAATTAGCGCTCGAAGTTTTGGTGGAAATGCAGAAGGAAACTGACCTTACCATCGGGATTCCACTTCTTCGAGAAGAGTCCGAAAACCATTGTGAGCGTCTGCAGTCAAATGAGTGGAAGAGTGTGCGTCGATGCCGTGCCGTCGTGGTCGTTGGGTCGTCGTGGACTCGGAAGAGTCGCGTCACCCGCACCTCAGCCGTGTGAATACTGATGGCGGCATCCAACCGGCAGAGATACACGTGACTGTTGCCCCTGACGCTGGGCGCTAAGTTCGAAGAAACCCCAGCGGGATTGAGAGGTCTCGATAGGTGGCTTCATCTGGGCTTGGGACTCGAAGAGGACCTCAAAACCTGACATGCCAGTGGCGCTAGGGTCAACAAAGACGAAGTCTCGCACAAATTTGAGGCCTGAGAGAGACATTTAGCCGTGTTCTCAAGGGAAAGGGCGTGGAGGTCATTACGCTGGCCGTCTCCTTATGTCTCTCCTAAGTATACTCCTCTCGCCCCTCATGCTCTTCTGGCAAGTCGAAGTTCATCGCAAGTGGTAGTGGGCCCTTCGGAGCGCTTACTCCGGAATCAGCCTTGGCGTAACGTAAGCAATTAGCAATGTCGCGATCACGCGACACCGAGACAAATTGAAATTGAAATTCCAACGCGACCATCAACTTGTGCAGTGACTCACTCGTCCTCCTATCCCTCGCAGGAACGCTGCAGAGGAAAACCATGGACTACATCGCCATGCAGAGCGAAATCGATAGGCTCAAAGAGGTATGTATGGTTCACCGTACATGTTATATGTCAAGTCAAGGAGCTAATTACAATACCTTCACGCGTCTGGGGGCCAGCAACTGAGAGAGAAGCAAGACAAGATCGTTGCTCGAGATGAGATCATCAAGGAGCTAAAAGCAGATAAACGGAGGCTTGAAAGGCAGCTCGAGGAGGTCGAAGCTGCTGAAGATGAAGACAGAGACGACGAGGATGAGGACCACAAGCCGCTTTGGGACGACCACGACCGCGTCTACCGTTGCCACGACTGCTACGGGGAGATCGACGAGGATCACTGTGCATTCTGTCGACGAGAATACAAGGTGCGTCACTGCGTGGATCACGCCCTCCCCGTCTATTTGGCTGACTTCCAGCCCCAGCCGCTAGAACCAACCGAATACAGCTGCTCAACCGTCTCCCAAGCCGAACACCCCGACCGGAGCCTCACCAACCGCAGCTCCACACCCCTCTTCGACGTCGGGCACATCCGCGTTCCACCAAAATGGGAGAAAGACCGCGCAGAGGAGTACCGCCAGCTCATCCAGCGGGGCGCCACACCTCTCATGATCGACGCCTTCCACCTGCGGTTTACAAACCAGGGGGGGATCTACGCCTACGCGGACGAGTGGATCAGGGACGAGTTCGCGGGCGAGGCGATTAAACCGGGGGATACTTGGAAGATATACCTCGGGAGGAGGATTGAGCTGGACGTGGAGGACCATGATGGGTCTGAATTCATTGAAGGCCTCCTGGAGGATGCGGTGCTGTTTAATTCGGGGCTGGCGCGGTGGGAGACGGTGTGGGAGGATGGGGAGTGGGTGACGAGGCCGAAGGAGGGGTTGGGTGGGTTGCTGGAGGTGCCTGAGGGGGAGTGGGTTGAGGGTGATGGGGATGCTACGGATGAGGAGGACGGGGAGGACGGGGACGAGGAGGGGACGGAGGGTGATGGTGGACAGGGGCTTGTTGAGGATCCCAAAACTTGGGTTCGATATAATAGGTATACCACCCCTTATACCGGCGAGACGATCATCGAGAACCGGTACTACGATACCAGCTCCGACGAAGAGGACGCGGAGGAGGAGGAGGATGAAGAATACGAGGAAGAAGAGGAGGAGGAAGACCAGCCAGACTCTCAGCCCGTGCCTGGTTGTTCCTTGGAGGGAGATCCGACGGAGTCCTCCGGCACGGCGGTCATCGAGGGCCAAGCGGACGACGACGACGACGAAGGGGAATGGTCGAGTTGCAACAGCGCCTACGACTCTGAGGATCCCCTCAGCGAAAACGAAGTAAACTCGCTCTGCGACGAGTTTAGGAACTGGTACCCTTCATTCCGAGGGGGAAATATATAGCATATACTGTACCTCGGCCAGATGATCCAACGCTTTAGAAGTTGTTCATGTTATTATTTTATACATACCTTTTTCCGTTATTGTACTCTGCACCATGACTGTTTAAGCTACTATACCAAGCGCTTGCGCTACCCGTCGTTTCGTTCATGCGCTTCCCCCAGTAGATCTGCTTTTATCCCATTCGACTATCGGCGACTCGCTCAACTGGTCCTCTACATCCTTGGTGATCCTCCCACACATTCATAAGGCTGGCCGCCCAGCAGTGAATAAACAGCAGGCAGCTGAAGCGCCCATGATGTGGAATTCGTGTTCCGCTCATGATCAGCGGATCTGACCCGTGGGACATGATGTACATTGCAGCATGTCTTGGATTTAAATTTCAAAATTCACTTCCGGCTAGCAGTCCTCGTCGTCATCCTCGCTGTCGAGGCTGTTCTGCGTCTGGCACGATGTCCACGCCGTATCAACCTCTAGCCCCGCCGGAATCCGCTGCGCTGCGTGCGTTGAGGGAAGACCCGAATGGCGGACGGTGTGCAGTGCAAAACTGCGTCGATGGGTCCCCTGAACCTGTCGTTCCTTGTTATGTCCTTCCGAAGGAATTCGAGGCGCATCATGAGCTCGTAAGTGCTTGAAGGTTTCCTGTTTTTCTGAAGGCTGAAGCAAGCTAACGTAACCACCCTGATACCAATAGATGACCGCCTTTGAGTACAATTTTGGGTACCAGCATATGAGTCTCAATCTTGATACGAGGAAGAATATATTTTTTCGGTACGTAGGTGGTCGGACCCTACTAGGTCCCCATTTTTCTTCCCCCAATACCGTATTATCGCTGACTGACAAGGCACATAAAGTGAGCGCGACGCTGCGAGACCTGTTCGTCCAGGGAAAGTGGGCGTTGCTCCCCGAGCAGTCTGTGCTGGAGCGGTATTATGGTAAGGTGTTTCCTGCTCCGCACTCGAGGAAGTTTTTCCCGGAGTTCAAAGTAAGTGTTGTCTGAGATTAAGGGTCGTCACTCGGCTACCCTTTGGAAATTGGAATTGGAACGCTGACAAGGGGATACATATAGGAGAAAGTGTTCAAGTACACGCTGTTGCGCTGGTCGCAGAGGACCAATTCCCGATCGCGTCCATCCGTCGCTACTTGACGCCTAGCTCCGACGACTCCCGTTCGTGCAGCTCATACACCACCTACACCAAGTTCCCCTTCGACGATTTCCCCACCATCACTTCGCACGTCCACCCAAACTTTGCTGTCTACAGCCTCGGATACACCTCCGGGGTATATACGGGGACTCGCACCGCGATTATCTGGGTCTGGTGGAGAAATATCCGGTGCTGGATCGGGTCCTTACGTGTGCGCGTGCGTGGACTTATTTCTCGCCCAGTGCGAAGGGTGAGGTGGATTTTGGGTATCGTTCCCGGAGGTCGCTGCGTGAGGAGTTGAGCAGGGAATAGAGCCCGAGGTTGACTTGGGGGGATCAGCTGGGGACGTGGAGGACCAGGCTGTGTTGAGCGACGCAGACTCGGATGCCACGGAGACTCAGACTGAGCCTTGTCGCGTTTACCAGCCCCCCAAACGGTTGACCGACAATAATGATGGGGGAGAGGATCGGTATTGGGATGTGGCGCGGATATCGGAATCGGCCCAGAGACGTAGATCTGGTAGGGGTGAATCTAACGATGGGTAGCTCTTACCAGAATTACTTATATTATACGCAAAAAGTCCTCTGTATTTTAATTTATAGATTGCTACACTTATCGACAAGACCACTTAATTTCGGGATCGTGTAGCGCGTTTTGAGCCGAGTTCGATTACTTATACAGAACCACCGACTGGTCACCCTTTCCTTGTCCTCGTTTAACAAAGCAAGTCATGAGCTGAAAAATGATGATATGGATGGAAACGACTGAAGGACGTATTGTCTTATCCGTGAACCTTCTAATAAATGCTATTTCAGTGAACAGTGGCCCACCTTGCACGCCCCTCATTCTCGTTCATTCCCGATTGCAGGATAGGAGGGATATCGCACACAGGGGCTAGTCTACCCGTTTGGGCAGGGGCGGATTTCCTTTCGGAGACTTGCCTTTTTTGGACTAGGTCGCCTCCCCTTTGAGGGACCAACTTTTTCTCAGCAACGTCCACGATACCCGGCGCTCGAGTTGGCCGTCTAATCACTTTCGTCGCCGTCGAGCATGGCATTGACGCGATAATCAGCCGTCACAAAGCGCGCAAGGACCAGAAGAAGCAATTGGACGCCCCAAAATGCTTCAACGGCCCTCGCATATTATCCCACCATCATCATCATCGTCGACGACGTTGCCACCGCAGAAAAACGGTGGTCCAGGAAATAATGCGCAACCCACACTCATACCGACGCCAAGTCGCAAGTCGTCGACTGGGGGCTTCTCTGGAAGTTCAGGGAGCTCCATGTCTGTAGCCGCCAGCCCGCAACCAGTCCAACCACCGACCACCCCTGCCGGCTCAGGATTACCCTCGTTTCGCGCCCTACGATCTTTGCTCCCGTTTGGACCTGGAAAGAATGCCCCAGCAACGACGGCGACACCACCCAGCGTCGGCAGGAGCACAAGCTTTGGGTTTGGCTCTGTGCGCAAGTCGATGACGAAAGAACCGCAGCGGAAAGGGTCCCTATCGAGCCAAGGGTTGCCGCCCGTGATATCCATAGAACGGTCCAAGAGCGATTCACAGCTAGAAGACACGAGTATACGGCGCTCGGTGTCGTTATCACGTCTAGATTCGACCTCCTGTTCCAGCGAGCAAGATTTGACCTCAGGTACGCACCAGCAAGTCTTTTTGAGTTAGCCTCGTCACTAACCTAGAATCCTGTCCAGCACCTGTCCTGAGGACACCTTCCCCGGGCTTACCTCTCTCCCTAGAACTATCCACAATCATAGAAGCGGATAGCTCAGGCATCTCGAAGCACGCACTTTGTTTGACAAGCGATTCAGGCTCCAGCGCGCCTCCCTCGCCGACGGTTGTTGGAAGGAACTTTCTGTCGTCCACCGATGAATCGAAACCGGCACCCGAACCTTCCGATGGTGATGCAGACACCTCCGGCTTGGATCTATCCCCCGCCCAACTTAACGAGGAAGTCCTCGCAGCTCTCAATTCGACCGATTCCCCTTCGGCAGTTAGGGACTGGGCAACCTCTGACAAAGCTGTCATCATCGACGCGGACGAGAGCTTTAGTCTTGAACCCAATGGTCAATCAGTTGACCCAGACCTGGCTGCTCTGCTGAGCCCAAACTCGATCTCCCACCGACGAAACCCATCCCTCCTTCCTAGACTGCGTAGCTCCTCCTCCAGATCGCCGACAGGGTCTCCAAGTACACCGCGCTTCCCTCCATCGCCTGTAACCCCGCCAAGTATCGTAACAACCCCTCAAGCGTCCCCCTTCCACCCCTCTCCAGATCTCTCCCCGACCACGCCTTCCGGCCCATCCACCTCGACTCCCGCGGTTCGACGTACACTGGTAGCCAACCCAGGACGCACATTTAACCCCCCAGCTTCATCCTCCTTGTCTGCATCCGCAGGTGCAAGAATGCTCGGCTCCGACAACGCGATGAATATTGGCAAAGGCAGGCCGCCTAGAACGCTCCGAAACATCTTGCTGGGCCATTCGCCTTCATCACGCTCGGATGCAGGCGAGGATTCATCGTCGTCCAACCTTCCTCTCCCCCGCATCTCTCTCTCCACACCGCCATCACCCACCCGCGTATCTGCTCTCCAACGGGGTTCTCTCGACTCACGCCGGCCTCAGTGGACGCCTTCGTCAAAGTTTGAGACACCACGACGGCCCTCGCTCGATACAGGACGAGCGCACATGGACGGAACGCGTCGACCATCCTTTGAACTTCGTCGAGGCGGGTCGGCACTAGCCTCAGCTAAACGACCGGGTTTGTTCGTCTCGAGAGCTTCGCCCTCACCCGAGCGCAGTTCAGCCACAATCGAAATCCACTCTCATTCCTCCCCTTCAACCCCCATCGACGAGTCCCCTGTTTCTCGATACCGCCACCACCCTTCTCTAGACTCAACCGCCACACGCCCGTCGATCGATAGTCGGCCAGGTTCAGCTCTTCGGACGCGCGAACGTCAACGAACACCATCATTACAAACTGGATCGGAGCACGCTAGCGTCGCAAGTGACGATCGTCTCTCTCCCGGTTCCCACCTCTCTTTCGCGAAAGTGCGGTCCAGAAAGAGGAGTATGAGCGTGCAGGAGCGCGGGCCTCCTCCCAGTAACAGCAGTAGTAATATTTCGGGTATCAGCGAGTTTGGTGTCAACTCGTCGCGCCCGGGGACGAGCATGTCTGGGAGCGCGAGAAGGGATAGGGATCTCACTCTCCCCCCTCGTCCGGATTGGCTCGTCCGTCATGCAGGCAAGGCGTTCCAGGCAGCTGGTCTCCTCGATGAAGACCGCTCGACGGAGAGGGGGAGCACTACCTCCGAGCGCGACAGGGACCTCGTCCTCCGCTCGCGAAACCGCAGTGGAAGCCTCGCCAACCCCGGGAGCGTCCTCGCCCCGTCCCCACTCAGCAATGGTGGCGGCAGCAGCAGTGCGACGAGGTTCAACTCTGTCCGCGCGTCGTCTGAGTACAACCCCAGCCATCCCCGATCGAACTCGCGGATGGCGTTCTCGGATGTTGGCGGGCCTACGAGACATCGGCGGGGGAGTGGGTCGTTCTCCACTGGTCCTGGTGGTGGTGGCGGACTCATCGAGAGCCCCACTTTCACCGGGTCGAGCGGGAGCAGGGAGTGGGATAGCAAGGACACCCCCCGATCTGCGACATCCACTGCTGCCACCAGCATATCAGGCTACTTTGGTCGGGAGAGGAGCGACCGGGATCGGGATAGGGAACGCGAGAGGGAAAGGGAGCGAGAGAGGGAACGCGAACGCGAGGAACTTCGTGATCTCCGTGATAAACACCAGACGGAGATGAGTGCTCTCTTGAGCGCGCTCACCGACTCTCAGCGCACGGCGCGCATGCTTCGGGAGGAGAACGCGGATTTGCGGGATCGGCTTAGCCGGCTCTCGCATTTGGAGCGGGAGAATGAGGAGCTTAGGAGGATGTGTAATGAGCTTAGGATGGAGTGCATTGAGAGTAGTAGGACGAATGGGGAGTTGAGGAGGGAGATTTCGTCGTTGAAGTTGTCGTCGACGAGGGTGCCGCCTGTTTCGGCGGGGAGTAGTAGCTTTGCTTGGAATAACTCGGCACTCAAGACTCCCATTACGAAGCAACATAATGGGAGTGGGTATTTCCGCCGTAGTATGGAATCGGAGCGGGAGCGAGACCGCTACAGCGCGCCTTCCTCGAGACGCAGCTCATACGTCCATCCTTCGCATGACGACTCAGAAGACATCCTGACGGCCGAACATCTAACACCCAACGCGTCAAATTCGACCTCGACGCTCCACCAGGCCCGGCGTCTCAGCAGCTCCTCTTCCATTTTCCCGGTCCCGCCTGCCAACATGACGATGTTGATCAACGAAGACCCGTCGCACGGTTTCGATAGTCATCCGGGGAGCAACAGGAGCAGCATGGAGCGCTATCGCTACCCCGCAAACCAGACCACACCGACCTCAAATGGGAACGGCATCTCACCCCCCACGCGCACCCACTCCCCTCTCCACAGGCACACCCGGTCCACTTCTCGGTCCTCGCTCATCCCGAGGATGCGGTCGCCGCCCTTGATGCAGGACGGCGGGCGCAACCCACTGAACACGTCCGTCTCATCCGCCATGAGCGTGTCGACTGCAAACTTTTCGATCAATAGCGGTACGACTGGGAGCCCTGGGAGTTTGTTTTTGAAGCCGGAACATGAGATGTTCCTTGATGAGATGGAGAGTTTGGATTTGGGCGCCAAGTTGGAGGAGTTGCAGCTTGGGATGGTGCATGATCCTGATGCGTGGTGATGCATTGTGATTGGATTTAGCGTCCGATCGATTCATTGGATCCCTGAGAGGCGGGGTTTGGTTCTTCGTCTTTGGTCGATGATCAAAGCTATTGTGGAACGCCTTCGATTCTTTTAGATCGAAGTGACCTGTCTTCTGTCTGTCAGTGTCCCACCCCTTTTTGTTTCATGTTTCACGCATACCATTTTATGTTCTATTCTTAAAGAAGGGTTCTTTTGCTATACCTTTCGTCGTTCCTTCACTTCACTTTCGTTTGATTGGCATATCGTATGGATGGAAACCCTTCACGTCTTTTTAAGGCTTTCTCAAGTTACTGATTGAATGTTTTCGTTCTTCGTCCCTCTCTCTCTGGTCTTACTCGTCAAGGTTTCCGTGATTAGCATTCCTTATTTTATTGTTCAACTTTTCTTTTAGGTTATCTGCTCTCTCTCTCCCTCTCTCTCTCTCTACCCTTTCCCGCTGTCCTTTGTCATGTTTTGCGACGTCCTTGTTTGTTTTCCTTCCTCTCACTCTCTCCTCTCTCTCCCGTTGGACTGTGTTCATTCCGACTTTTACTTCTTTAACGTACCATTATAACAATTACAACAACCCAAGTGAATCGTGTACCATACTCGCCTGCTAACTATCGTACAAGTCGTTGTCGTGTTTGTTATCGCTATCGACCTCTTTTTTGTTTATTTCGTGATTGAAATCTAGTGTGCCTTTTTGTGGAGTTTGATTAGGTTTGGATTCCAATCTGGAGAAGACCAAAGGAAGAGTGATATGTAAGATATTATTGGATGATATGTAGACCTTCATTTTGTGATGGAACTTTATCTTGTGGGGTTTAGATATGCAGACGAGCTCGACAAAAGGTCGGGACATGTCTATCACCTCAATCTCCGCCTACTCCTACCGACTCGACGAACTTCGATGATGAATGAAGCGTCTTGGTCCTGATTTGCGTCTTGCGACCTCGTGGAGCTGTTAGAATGACGAGAAATGAATCCTCTGGAGCTGTGCTGTCTCGACGTCTGTTGCGTTAATACAGACTTCGCAAGCTTGACATTTTAGATGCGAGCAATGCCCGAGGATTGTATGTCTCCTGCTTTGTGTGAGGGACCCTAAAGCGAGTTGCAGTATCTCTTTTGTCACAGGTTCTTCAAGCCGAAGACCTGTTCATAAGTCCCCTCGACGATTCTCTGTCAGAAAGTGCGAACGAGCCCGAAGCTCGCCCTTCTCAACGCGTCTTTGAAGAATTGCACCCCGAAACCGAGCCCATGATTTCCTTGAGACAGATTAACGCCGGGTAGGGCCAAGATTGTCTTCATTTTTCCCCCCTCTTGATTCACTCTGGTTACCGATTACTTTACCTGTCGTGTGAGCATTTGGGGAGGTTGATTGAATATACAGGCTGGCCGGGGACAAGGTTGTGCCTGGCCACAATAACCGCCTGCGGTGCGGTGGTTTTGCGGAATCATTTCGTCTGATGACGACGGTGGATCAGCCACTTTGATTCCGAGGATATCTTTGGCGAGTTAAACAAGCCTTTAATGGCTTGCAAGATGAGATATTGCGTGCAGATTTCAGATGTTCGCTCTTCCAGTCGACATATATTTAGGGTGCTGTACAGCCGAAGCGGCAAGCCTACAGAAGACCATAGAGTGTCTCGTGGAATCAAGTTCTCCTAGATCGCAAACAGCCGGAGACCCTTCTCCAGCGGATCCAGAGCCTTCCAACTCGAGTAGGTAAGCGGCGAAACAACGGCCTGGCCGCATACTGACCTCACGATATGTCTATTCAGCTTCTTGGAAGTATACCCCCATGTGCTTACCCGACCAAAGATGATTGATGTCCATCGAGGGGAGCTTTGACATGGCTGTACCGTTGATGGCACAAGGCCGTAAAGCTCCCTAGGTCACCGTAGTCCTGCCATTTCGAGACTATAACTACTACTTAATGTACCCCGAGTTCCTTGTTGGCCGGCTTTTCTTCAATCCCTCTTCCCCCCCTCAACCCTGACGTCCCCTCACTCAAGATGGCGCCCAGTGCTGCGGCGTTCCTTGTGCCGACTACCATCCATGAGCGTTTCGGTAGGCTCGTTGGTAAATCGACGTTGGAGATATTGGAGAGCTAACGATGAGGGTAGGTGCTGGGCTTATTGGAGCCCTTGTCAACGCTATGTGGGTATATGATAGCCATCTACCCTCAGCCTTTGCTCAACTTTGGAGGATGTAGGATGTATGGGTTGACGACGCTGCAGGTGAGCGTTGTCTGGGTTCTTGAATTGGATGTGCAGGCGCTAACCAGCCCAGACCTACATTTTCTATCTGTATTATCCCAAAGACAGTCGCGGAAACAAACTCTTGGTGAGTGGCGCTGTGGCGATTGCTGATTGGGATGAGGCTGACCTAAACGTTAGGTTGCCGTAGTCTGGTATGGCCACAAACCCTTTCGATCGGGGATCCGGGTGCTTAACATGTAATCTTTGCAAGGGTGATCGACAGTGTCCACACAGCTTTGGGTTTGTCCCCTCCTGTTCTCCCACCCGCCATCAGGCGCTGACTGCTTCTAAGTCTCCTGGTGCATATACTATTATCTGGTCACGAATTACGACAATCCAGAAGGACTGAAAACAGGGCACTGGTACGTGAATGCGAGCGATGATTCGCTTGCCTCTCGCGCCTACACAGAGACGCTAATCAGGAATTTCTACATGACAGGACGCTCTTTGTAACTACATCTATTTTTATCCTAAGAAGTGCCTTTGCTGAAGCAGCTCCCACGTTCAGACATCCGTGCTGTGCAATGTTCGTCGTCTGCCCGAGTTCTCGCGAGCGCTTAACTGATCGGTGCCCTCCCCGCAGGTCATCGTGGCGTGTATCGTGCAAAGGTAGGTTGTCTCGAGCGGATATGGTAACAGACAGAGTAGCTGACGGACCGTTAGCTATTTCACATACCGCATCTTCCAACGTAAGACGCCAGAAGCATTTCTACACCAGCTCCTAAAAGCTGACATCGACTCCAGTTGCAAGTCAACGTGCTCGATGGTGGTTAGGCGGCATCATCGGACTTACAGTCTTTGCGCACTTTGCGTTTGGCGTTGGTAAGCCTCAGATATCGTTCTTGAGCAACACCTCCGATTCTGACACGAGCTCTCCCAGAGACCGTCGTGTTTTGGTAAGGGTGATTCTACTAGTTACAGAGCAGGCTTCTGATCGCTCGCAGCTTCATCAAGAAAGACTTTGCGCGCCTCCACGAATTCGCGGTAATTAATCTGGGTCTTTTGAGGCGCCTACGCTCTAACAGTTGGCTTATAGCTAATAGCAGCAACGCCGTTTGCAATCACTGCTGTTTTGTCGGATATCCTTATCGCTGGATCTCTCTGCGTGCTTCTACATGGAAGTAGGACAGGGTTTAGAAAGTAAGCCTCCTGGAGACCTTTCGGGACTTACACTGATCATCTGAGAATTTCAGCACGAACCGGCTAGTTACTATGCTCATCATCTATGCTATCAACCGATGCATACTCACCTCGGTCGTTGCCGTCGTGGAAGTGATAATTGTAAGCGATATTCCCTTGCGCTTCCGAGACACACATTTGACGGGCTCCTCCAGTTCTCACTGCGACCCAATGCCTATTGGTACCTGGCAATCGACTTCGTCATTGGAAAACGTGAGTTTGACGGAAAGTCGGCGCAAGCGGGTACATTACTGACCACTGCAACAGTCTACGCCAACAGTTTGCTAGCGACGTTGAACAGCAGAATGGCACTCGCGAAAGCAACAGAGATCAACACAACAAGCAATGCACGGTTCACGAGTGAAATCGAATTCGAAGATCGACAGGTGTGTAGACTCTCTGCGAAATAGGTTCAAAATTTTACTGACCTTTCCTCAGAAACGCGATTCGGTGAGCACATCATGACGGGGGCCGAAACTGAACGCACCAAAGCTGACATCGAGCTCAGAGAGGCCATGTATTGAGCCTGAACCCGGAGAGCACGACAAGCGGGGGTGTAAGTATATCTAGGTCGACCTATGTAGGCGATATCAAAGTTAAGGTAGTCCACTCATATTCCCCGTACGTGTCAACTATTAATCACTCTTGTCAGGATTCCATTTCCGAGGAGGAGAGATCGTTTGTCCTGAGTTCAAAACAAGCTTAACGCCTATGTCACTCATTTAGTATGGACTGTATTTATGATGGCAATGTACTATTAGCACTCTCGTTATCTCAAAATTTGATCCAATCCGAGGTTGGAGGATCCCATAGGCGAGGATCCGGAATGGTCGCTACTCCTCCTGATTGGCGCCCAGACGATTCCCTTGGCATCAATATTCGAAAACCGGCCGCCCTCGTCCCGTTACACATCAGCGAAACCCACTTACCGTTGCCAGGCCTGGAGGTCACATGGGCATCGGACTGATGCATGGGAAGTAGGCCCATGCATGGGTGCTCGCACCCATGCGTGGTCATCTGCGAGCAAACCTCCCCATGTAACGCCCATGCACTCCGCCCAATGCCCATGCACCCCGCCCGATGCCCATGTAACGGCGAAATTTCCATTTATATCCCATACTCTGCCCATGTAGCCCAGCTTATGCTGTGATGTAGGGTGTCGAGGATGTTTCTAGGCGCTAGCAAACGTTCAATTGTTTCGTGAGACCAAGCATAGCGCCAAAACGAAGTCGGTCGAAATATGCAGACTCATGAGACGATAGGACACTGCTCGGTAAGAAATGATAATTACGACCAAATTACGGCCAGTTGCTTATTGTACAGGTGTGACTATGTAACAGTGTGCAGTAAAATTGAGACCAGACTTGACAGAGACAGACAGAGCGACTCGACCCAAAGCAAGTAGAACCCATAGCAGAGAGAACACGACAGCAGGTCCGAAAATGACGATAGCAAAACAAGACCCGAGATCTGAGTAAGAAAACTTTTCTTTTTTCGTTTAGCGAACGTAGCGTTGGGAAGATGCACCTGGAAGCCCTTGACGAAACAGGGCAGCAGTCTCTTGATCGTCCTCTTCCTCGGTATTCGATCCAGGGGCTTCAACACGGAGAGGAGACGGCGATCGAGTTGGCGAAGGCGAAGAACAAGAACAACTGTAGATAAATGAGATGGTCATAGGTGAAGAGCCTGGGAGCCTCATGGGCATTTGGCGAGCTGCATGGGCGTTTTGGGAGTTATATGGGCAGGTTTGAGCAGGATGGGGGCCGGATGGGATGTGACGCACAGGATTGTAAGGGAGCGTCATTGGAACGTCATGGTGATATGTAATGTGACTAGCCAAATTGCATTTCATCCGAATTCCATCCCTCAGGCTGCCTTGACGTCACCAGCGAGTACTATCTGCCAGTCATCTCCTCAATAATCGTTCGCCTTGCGCTGCCTGGGCGTCATAGGTCTCGGTGATATGGAGCTCACACACATTCAATGTCTCTCCTACTCGTCATTAACGAAATTCATGGGCATTTTAAAGGGCATGGACACCGGTCATCCGTTTTTCACGATCTCTCTTCAAGTTGCCAACAAGCCTATCTCCCGTTACTTCCACTTCTCCAACATTTCACCATGACCAAGCCTACCTCCGACTTGAAGTTCAAGGGATACGCGTGAGTATACTGATTTCGCTTGCGCAACAGTACTGGAAGGAAACCCTGCAGCATCAAGGACACCTCGAAGTGGGATCAATTCGAAGTCATCGACTTCAAGCCCAAGACACCTGGCGACAGGGATGTCGATATCAAGATTGATTATTGCGGGGTGTGTGGCTCCGACGTAGGTGGCCTTATCATCTTTGGGTCGAGGAGCAGCATTAATGCAATCGAACATCTAGTTGCACACTATCACTGCAGGTTGGGGCGACGCTATCTTGGTGAGCAGACAGACTGGATGTTGAGAATTGAACAGGAGCTGATTCGAGTCTCAAACAGCCCATAATCCCCGGCCACGAGATTGTTGGGCATGTCGTCTCGGTTGGGCCCAAAGTGACCGAGTTCAAAGTTGGTGATAGGGTTGGTGTCGGGTACGTCTTAAGGCACTCCATCTAATCCGGAGTTGGCGGTTACTGATTATTCCACGCAGTGCACAGATTTCCTCCTGCTTCCAATGCGATCGCTGTGAGAATAGCAACGAGAACTAGTATGTCGTTCGCAGCAGGCCAGAAAGTAATCTTTATTCACGTATTCCCTTGATTAGTTGCCTGAAGCCAGTGGATACCTACAATTCTAAATACCCAAACGTAAGCCATAGACTCTTCTTATTCATCCCAGGAACACATCTTATATGCCCTGCTTAGGGAGATATCGCTCAAGGAGGATACTCCACTGCCATTCGCGCGGATGAGCGATTCGTCATGCCCATTCCTCAGGGTCTTGCTTCGGAAATTGCAGCGCCGATGCTCTGTGCTGGATTAACCGTGTACTCTCCTCTCAAGCGAAACGGTGCAGGGTAAGGGCTAATTGCGATCACCTTCTGCTTTAAGTAACCCAAGGCGGAATTGTAGTCCTGGGAAGACAGTCGGTGTAATCGGAATCGGTGGTCTTGGGTAAATCAGACGCCTGTCCCCTGCGCCACGCTTATCATTTCGTAGACATTTCGCCCTTCAGTTTGCGCGCGCATTGGGTTCGAGTGAGGTCATTGCATTCTCTCATTCTGAGAATAAGAAGGTAAGCGCCAAGACTTCCTCTCGCCGAGCTCCATTAATCTGATGAACTGTATAGGAAGATGCATTGCAACTCGGAGCGACGCAGTTTGTGATCACCCAAGATGATAATTTCTCAGAGCCTTGGGCGGGCAAGATCGACCTCATAATCGTAAGGTCCCTCCATTTATGTGTATCTCAAGCAACTAATGCATTTCTACTTTTAGTGTACTGTAGATGCAAGCAGTGCCCTCCCTCTGGTCAAGTATCTCTCGACTCTCAAAGTCGGAGGGAGGTTTATCATGGTGGGAATTCCGGATGAACCACTCCCTCCTCTTAAAGCATTCGGTAAGTCATATATTGCTCACTCAGCCGGTGTAGCGACTGATGACCTCCATTAAAAGATCTAGTACCTGGTGGATGTTTCCTCGGAGGGAGCAAGATGTCAGTGTGGTTCTGGTTCTGCTGTTTCCCACTCCTGGACTAAACTATCTGTAGCGGAAGCAAGCAAGAAAGCATCGAGATGTTGAACCTTGCTGCCAAGAAGGGAGTAACCAGTCGCATCCAAATGCTTCCAAGTGAGTATCCTTGTCCTACCTTCGAGAATAGGCATCTAATACGGCAGCAGTGTGCAAGGCCGGCGAGGCTGTTCGAAACTTGAAAAGTGGAAAAGTCAGATACCGTCACGTCCTCAAGTAAGCGTTTGCCGTTACATCCCACTTCACATAATATTTACTGATATCCGTGCTCCGTCAATCAGGGTAGATATCTAGCTCTAGCACTACCAAACTTGCCAGATGTCGTCGACATGAGTCAATACAACACCCGTTTTCCTATTAGGAGGTTCCGACTCGGGTTCCTTAGTACACAGGCGTGAAGCTTGTCGCTGTTTGGCATCGCCTTCCAGTTCCACAGCGAAGTTGGCGCGACGTGGCCCTTCGCCTTTCCTTCCTCGTTCCTCAAGCCAAACGTTCTATAATGGACAAGACTCTGCAGAATTACCACGCGGGAGTGGGTGCCTAATCTCTGAGTACGCTTGTTCCCAAAACGAGCAGAAAACCCCCCCGCGTTCTCACCAATCTATGCTTCTATGATCTAGAAAATGGCCAAGTAATGGTATCCTAAATTCGCGTTGATTTATCGGTACGATATTCTCCGATGTTTCAATGGTTTTAAACTCAGTAGCTCTCACAAGGCTTGATATCTATGGATATTGGCCCAAGATAAAGACCTAGCAGTCTTTGGCCCGGTCATTTTCAATTAACCGCGTGAGGGCGGAAAAATCGAAGACTTTCGTTTGGCTACCTCGAGCCCTCAAAGCCTTAGAATTCCTGTCACCTGTGACCGGATATCGCGTGGCACAACGGTTCCGCCAGAACTGGGGACTTCTATTTTTCTCGGACATGGTCCCCATTCCGAAAGGGAAATACTACATATTGAAGTAACAAATGGTTGTGGCCCCTCACGAACCCCTCCCTACGTCCTGTTGCCATCTTGCTTTCGCTCCCCAAAGTCTACAGAATGAGGCCTTCAGCGTCCCTATCCCTTGCCTTCTCTCTTCTTGGACTCCTTCCCTATGTATCAGCTCATGGTTACGTCCAAGAAGTGACGCTCGGAGAGACAAAATACACTGGCTATCTCCCCTACGCTGACCCGTAAGTCTCGCACAGATATTACTTGCTCGCTCTCTCTCACCGACCCTTTCAGATACATCGTCCCTGCGCCCCAACGAATCATTCGAAAAGTGCCCTGGAACGGTGAGCGGTTGGGTTTACCTACTGGTGCCTCAGGTTCTCATTATCTTTATCTTCTGACCAGGTCCCGTCACCAACTTGTCACTGATCGAGTGCGATCACTTTGCGTTGTCGATTTGTATGCCCAACTGAGACCTTTATGTAGCATCCAATGCAACGGCTACACTGCCGGTAGGATCGCGACCGAGCCCGCTCCCCTTGTCGGTAAGGTGGCCGCAGGGGAAACTGTCAAGTTCCAGTGGACTTCATGGCCCTCTAACCACTATGGCCCTGTTTCAACGTACATGGCGAGAGTTCCAGATGGCGTTGATGTCACTCAGTGGAATCCGGGCACAGAGTGAGTCGGTTCTCGTACAGTGTTTTTGCAATACAACTCACCCTCCCCGACAGGGCCGTGTGGTTCAAGATTCACCACGAGGGAAGGACCTCCGACGGCAAATGGGCGTCTGTGGAAGTCCTGAACGAGAACGGTGGCGCAGCGTTTGCCCGAATTCCACCCAAATTGCGACCCGGGCAGTACATCATCAGACATGAAATGTAAGGACGAGGCTTCCTTCCAGTCGATGCTCGTCTGACCCGCTCTATTTATACAGCATTGCGCTCCACTTTGGTACGTAAAAATGCCATTTTTAACTTTAGCAACGCTAAGACAGCACCCAGCTTTCGAATACCCCGGTGCACAGGTTTATCCCAGCTGCGTCCAGGTGGAAGTCTCAGGAGAAGGTGATGCTTTCCCAACCGAGTTCGTTTCTTTCCCCGGGGCCTATACCGCGAACACTCCGGGTATTGTCTTTGACCTTTACAACGGTACGTGGCGATCCGGTTTCCTCATCGTCATCGCTTCTCTAAGAACTTTCGTCAACAGGTCCCACCGTACGTATTTGCCTCTTCTTTGATCCCTGTGAATTATTCATCGCGTTGCGTAGGAGTATCCCATCCCCGGTCCTCCAGTGTAAGTGAGCTTCATTTCCTTTCGTTTGTCGTGCGCTCACCAATGCTTTCAGATGGACCGGTGGCGACGAGTAGATCTAGACCCCGAGTGCAATCAAGTCTACTCAGTACTGTTCAGAATTGTCCCGACCACGATCGACCATCCACAATATATATTTTTCTCATCGCGCCGGACACTCTTTCATGAAGCCACAGTATCGGCCCGTCCAGCTGAACTTCTCTCTGTGCTTGGCACTGATATATGTTGGGCGGCGTGCTTCCTTTACCAAGATTGGGGCGGGGAGAGGACCAGTAAGCACTGAGCACGCTCAACTGAACCTTTAACAGGCCCACAAGTCGCGCTATTATTCCGCGAAAAGCAAGCGGGAATTGCACGCGAGCATTGGTCGCCATATCTGCACGGCTCTCCTGGTCTGCCGACCGTCGCCCAGGCGGATGATGCGCTATGTGGGGTAACATTGGAAGTTCACCCATCTCAAAAATGGCGACTTTCCTTCCATTTAACCTTCTCCCCTGCCATTTTCGTGCAAAGAACTGACCCATTCGCGCGGCACAGGTTGACAAACGGCGCCCGGAGTGGATATGACAATTGTCTTGAACGACTGCAGCACAACAACGTCTATCAGTCAACCCGGAGCGCTAAATCCGGGGAAATCAACTGCATCCATAGCGCTGGTTTTTCCGCCTTCTGGCTGGTAGTGCGGAGATGCTTCGGCCTTATTCAAAACTTTGCATTGCGAAGTACACTGAAGCACGTCGAATCGTGCTATACTCTGCTACAGGGCTCTCATGTTGCAAATCATGGGCTATCGTTGTGTTGGTCATTCGATGACATTGTGCTTCCTTGGCAAGGAATCCAGAAGGCTATAAAAACGCGTTCGCTTTCACTCATGTTTCTCCAGGTTCTCTCGCAATCCTCTCTAGTTCACCATGATCAAGCTCAAGGCCCTTTCTGCCCTCATCCCCGCTGCCATCACCATCCTCTCCGCCACCTCTGGCGTTGAGGCCCATGGATACGTCCAGGAAGTCACTCTCGGTACCACCAAGTACACTGGCTCCCTTCCCTACCAGGACCCGTACGTTTAGGTGGTCAACGATATACGAACAATGGCGCTTAGCACGTCTTCTAGCTACATGAACCCCTACCCCGACCGAATCATCCGAAAGATTCCCAGCAACGGTACAGCACCCTTCTTACCCCACATTTCCCCAGTCTTCTCGTTCTCACATCACGACTTCTTTCTGGTTAGGTCCCGTCGAAGATCTGACCTCCATCGAGTGCGCCATTTTGATTCCTGTAAAGCGTCCAGTAATCTAACCTGCTATACTGTTCGTTTTCGCAGCATGCAATGCAACGGCTGGGCGGCCGGAAACTGGGCTACCGCCCCCAGCAGCATCGTCGGCAAGATCAACGCTGGAGATACCATCAAGTTCCACTGGACTGAGTGGCCTGACAGCCACGTCGGCCCTATGATCACCTACATGGCTCGTGCCCCCTCCGACATCACCAAGTGGAGCCCTGGTACTGCGTATGTTGGAATTCTTTCGGTATTCTATTTCACTTTGTTGATGTTCCTGGTTGGGCAGCCCCGTCTGGTTCAAGATTGACGAGAGTGGCAAGTTCCCCGACGGCAAGTGGGCCGCTACCCACAAGCTCTACGAGACCAACCACATCTACACCGTCCGCATTCCTCCCAACCTCCGACCTGGCCAATACTTGATTCGACACGAGTCGGTTGCGTTGCACGGAGGTAAGTCCTGGAGTTAACACCTCCTGAGGAAGCCATCCTTACAGTTGAACAGCCTTCAACTACCCCGGTATCCAGCACTACCCCAGCTGCACCCAAGTCGAGGTTGTTGGCAATGGAAACGCATTCCCCAACTCGAGCTACCTCGTTTCGATCCCTGGTGCGTACACACCCCAGACCCCAGGTATCGTCTTCGACGTCTACAGCGGTACGTGAATTGTCTCCTTTCTTAGCATCTCATCGCTGACGATCGTCTTTCTTTGCAGACCCCTCTCGCGTTAGTGCCCTGCTGCTTTCACTTAGAATCCGCTTACTAACTTTCCTTGCAGCCCTACCCGATTCCTGGCCCCCCAGTGTAAGTTTCTCTCTTCTTCGGATTTACAAGATCGGTGCTGACTTTGAACCTAGCTGGACCGGCGGCAACTAAGTGGAACTTTGTTGTGGATAGGAAGCTTTGTAAAATTATTTTTAACGTTAGTAATGAAGAGTTGAATTGGAATCCTTGCATTATGAGGGCCAGACGATTCGTTCATGAAAGTACTTAAATAAATGCCCCGGGAGAGAATTGAACTCCCATAGACGGCAACCTGAAGGCCTAGTATGCCAAGCGAAAGTTGAGCTCCAGTTTCAAGCTCAGTCCTCCTTTGGAGCGCCGGTATCGCGTCGTGAGCCTGGGCCATTATCACCTTGTTAATGGATTTCAGGGTAAGCTGCATCTACTCATTTCATATCAAAACAATCTAACGCTTGGAAAGTTACGAAATGGCTCTGTACTGGCTTAAGGAGCTTCTTGTCTTCCACCTGCTGGCATGGTCCACGGACCCCTATCCCCCTACTGCTAGCTCATGTGTTTCATGGGCTCATGACCTGGCTCAACTGGCTCATTGTCTCAACCGGTTCACAGTTCTTCATGGGAGTTACGATACTTTGACATATAACCAAGCCCAACCAACCCCATTGGAAAGACGCGACTGGAATGCTCTGGTCCAGAGTGTCGTGGCTGCAGAAGGCGACTGCCGTGGTGTCGAAATTCCCGCTTCATTACGAGCGTTTTATGGAATCGAGACGTTCTATGATGATGGAACGCGATATTGCCTGCTAGCGGAACATTCGACCATGTCGCAACACGCCACGAGGGGCTGGGGAAGCCTTATCGTACGACCCACAAGCTCCCGAACAATCCACCTATCAGCTCCACATCCTGTCTACGATACGGGGTCAGTGGAACAAGCAGCTGGTCTGTTCAAGCTTTCCGGAGCAAAAAGCTTACTGCTATCTGGACGCGCACGGTCCGCCTTCCTTCAGCCTTCGAATTGTACTTCACCGTCGACTGGGGGACGTTATTATTATCAAACTGACCCAACACACTCGAAGGTAGGTCGTCGAATCACACAATACTCAAGAGTTCGGGTGCTTATTATGGTTAGGACGAGCCTTTTGTAGAAGCTAGTATTGCGATTCATTCCTGGCAGACTAGCCACGGTGGCTGCCCCAATGATTCGTGCGCGTTTATCCAGATTCACGCCAAGTCCCAATGGACCTGCGTGGAAGACCAAATCTTCCTCTCGTCAGGCCTAGGTACGAATTAGACCCGTCTCAGAATGATCATTGTACTGATTAGTGCATCCAGGCAGAAGCAACGCCTCGATCGATTGGTACACCGATTCAACTGACCGTCCAATCAAACGACTTCAGCATGAGCTCAGGAAGTCGTTCCCCTCATGGAACATTTCGCTTCCTCACGAGAGCAATTGCGCTCTTATCGCGAGCAAGAATGTGTTCGGGCGGTACATCAATGGTGTGGATCGGTCGGACCTTTGTACCACGCCTTCGAAGGTGAAGGATGTGACGGGAGAGTTTGTGCACGTCGAACAAGCTTTGGAGGCTAGGGCTGACGAGAACATCGAAGCGTGGGCCAGGGCGCTGAGGGCTGCTTTTCCACCGCCTTCTTCGAGGTTTGGGGAATCGGAGGCTTCGCGTTCGTGGCTTGGTGCCATAGCCCGGACATTGTGGGAGTTACTTTGACTTTGATCTTCGGATCGCAAAACACCTGTACTTAACCTATCAATATGGGGTCCAATGCGGTCCATATGGCTTGGGCTGCCAGGCCAGTGACACAGTAGCGTGTCCTTTGCATTCCAGGGGAAGGAGCTGCCGGAGCTGCCGACCTGGCTGGTTTTGAAATCGTTTTGAACGGAGGATGAAATGATTGATCCGGTATGGTTGATGATGGGGAGATTTGGCCCCTCCGAGACTACAAAAATACCGCTACACGTGTTGTACCTCGACCACGACGACGGACGCCAAACCCAAGCGACGGACAGGACTTCAGGGTCCTGGAAGCGTTCCTGTGAGTACCAGCTTATCCAAGTCGCGTCTTGGATGTCCTCTGAACCAAGTTTATAGCCCTGTACCGTCGCGAATTGGACGCGATGTCCTCATTTTTCTCGAAGGTTTTACGACGTAAACGAGACGACCGGGAAGGCTCTTCCCCCTCGGAAGGCGAACTATTGGGTGGAAAGTTCGAAGATGTGTCGCCCAATGTTTCTCCGAGTGCGGTGAACTTCCCGGAACTCATGACGAACGGGCCAATTAGGGGAAGAGAACGAGCAAGGTCCACAGACAAAGATCGCACATTGAGGACGCTCTTCAGGTCTAGATCTCGAGCAGCTTCACCCACTAGGTCCCCCCGTCGAAGGGAAGAAACCCCACCATTACCCCAACTTTCTTTGAATTTCTTTAACGACCCAACTTACGAACCAGTTTCACCATTGGACGACTCGCAATTATTATTGTCAGAGTCAACCATCGGTGCACGACGATTGACGCCCGTGGAGGCTCTGGATTTGATACGCGCATGCTCTGAAGCTATCGCATTCCGAGGTGAGTTCCACCCCACTTCATTAATTACAGTCTAACCACGATCTCAATCAGGGATTGACTCCCTTGGAATCATGACCCCACACTGGTATTCGGCTTCTCCGGATATTCAACGCAGATTAATCTCTCTATTCATTCATTCATTGACTTCACAAAGCCCACTATCCGCCATCCCTTCTTTCGAATCCGAAATCAACTCTACCAGGTCCCCACATGATGTCGCAGCCGTTTTGCGCTGGGGGTTGCGTCACCTTCAACTCGAGGGCGACACTTTTGGAAACCATCCTCAGTGGTACAACACTTTCTTCGCTGCGGAACGAATGGCAGACCACCCTCCCAAGGCATTCTCAGAGACTCTGGCACCCTTAATCCCGCCCACTCACTTCAATTTGCTCAAGCAAGTCCTCGAAATCTTTTCATCATTCACAATTTACTCCGATACCAACAGTACTTCTGGAAGCAAGCTGTCCAAGGTCTTCGGCCTGTGGTTGCTCAACGCCCATCGCGTTGAAACCAATGACGATTGGCAAACTTTCTATGATCGTTGGGAAAGGACAGGACGGCAACTGGAACATTTGTTTTTTGCTCAAATACGGTTTGTTGTTCTGAACCCTTCCTGGTAATTTTACTGATAATCTTTTCTCCAGCGACGAGGGAGCTCATCATCGCGCACCACTCCGGTTGCTCCAGCTCGTCACGCGGTACCCATACTACCAAGATCCTTCACCGGCGACGGACCTTCAGTTGTTACCGCGACCGACCTTTACTACGCGCCTCTTCGACGCTCTTCTCGTACGGGTTATGACGGAATTGCCCAATGAAGGCCTTCGCCCCAAATCCAATGTGCATCCACTCCGTGTTGTTGCTGAGGCACTCTCGGCATCCAGTTCAGAAGGGGAGCTGGGAAGCGTATGGGCGAAAATCGTGGCTACGTCGAAAGTCGAAGGGACTGGTACTCCACTCGCGCGAATTTTCTCCGATGAAACCATTCGCCTTTTGGCCCTTGTACCCGATGAGGAAGAAACGGATCAAAGTATCCGCTCCCCGACTGTCGCGTTGCTCCCCCTTTCCCCCATTTCTCCCAGAGGCAAACGCAGGTCCTTCTCGCTGAGCGAGTTCACAACAGGCCTACAACGATCCACCTCCACGCAGAGCCAATCGACCGACGAGGCGCCTACCACTGCCATTACCGAAGATTGGAGCGTCTTTTCAAGCGCCGGCTTTAGTGCAACATCACCATATACCCCCCTGGCGTCTACGCTTTTCGGTACCGATATCGAACGGACGTCGCCTCCCCCACCTTCTCGACGGCCCAGTCGCCATGGAAGATCTCCGTCGACGACCTCTATCCCTCGAAAGAGTGTCGATTTCCACCCAGAAACCAGAGAAACGAAAGGCCCCGCACAAGCTGCAGACCACCACGTTGAACTCCAATCGAGAATCGCCTCCGTCCAAATCGTCCAGCTGGATGAAGCGTTCGTCGACTTCTGGAGTGATGCTCTCCTCGACCCAATTACTTCCAACTGGCCTTCATTCGTCGTCTGCAGGATCCGACCCTCCCTTGTCCCGGAACTATCGTATGGCGAAGAAGGAAAGCAGAAGACTGTCGAGTGGGTTGTACTTGAGCAGGCGTTTACCGTCAAGCCTCCACCCTCGCCTACCTCTGTCCCCCTCCCTCCAACCCCTACTCAGGAACCACAGGAACGTCCGGTTTCTCCATCTTCAATGAGCAAGAAGCGATTCGCATTCTGGTCCACCTCCCGATCCAGCTCGTTTTCATCTGTCGTGTCGTCGACAAGGGGCAAGAAGGACAAGGAACGCGCCCTCCGCGTCAGCGAGATGGGAGAGGTGTTGGAAGAAGGTGACAACGGAGACGAGCAAGGTTCTGCACCGCTGTCGAGAGCATCGACGTCTGCCGCAAGGCGGGATAGGGAGAGGAAGCGAGACAGCGTGGTTAGGGTTAGAGTTCCCTCCCCCAAACCGCGCAAGTCGACAGACGTCCCCAGGAAGTCAATCGACGCGGGTATCGCCGCTTCAAAAGCTAAGGACGAAGAGAGCAAAGTGCCCGTTGTCGCTGCCGCCGCCACGGCCGCTGCCATTGGAGGGGTTGCCACGGCTATTGCGCTTGCCACGTCGAGCGAGGAGAAACACGGCGATCCAGAGGTGGTGGAGGAGACGAAGGAGGAGACGAAGGAAGACGAAGAGGGTTCCAAGGGCGTCGCAGAGGAGGGAGCACAGGGGGAGCCCAAGTCCATTTTCACGGAGAAGTTCAGCAGCGAGGAAGTCACACCGGAGGCCGACGTCGATTCCAAGGTCGAGGAACCCCCAGCCGTTTCCGTTGAAGTGGTTGCAGAACCCAAAGAACCTGAGGCTCCCGCTACTCGTTCTCTCGATGTTGTCGAAGAAGAGCCTGTCCAAGAGATGAACCCTGCAGTACCCGTGGACCACGCCTCCCAGGAGCCCGAGGTCGTCAAGGCGGGCACTTCAGAAGGACCCTCTGTTGTCGAAGAAACTGCAAGCCCCGCCGCGGTTACCGAGGTGAAGGAAGAGACTCCCCCTGCCGCTCCTACCGAGTTTGAGACAGAGCCGCACGAAAGCGGAACAACGGCTACCCGTGCTCTCGTCGCGGAAGAGAAGGTGCATGTTGAAGAACAGCAATCCCCCTTACCTGCGGAAGAAGTGGTCCAGGACACCCAGGTCGCACCGCCAGCTGGTGAAGAGCCCGTGACAGTCGAAGAGGCTACCATCCCTACCGCGGTGGAGGAAGTGGTGGAGGAAGATGCTATTCTCGCCCCCGTAGAACCAACGGACGAACCAGAAGTCGAGCAAGTGGCATCAGTTGTGTCCAGCGACGGCGCCATCGCCACCCCCGGTCAAGCTGATGAACCAATCTTGCCAGCCACCTCCACTTCTGAAGCTGACGCCGCACCCGCGGTACCTTTATCCCAGGACGACACTCCTGTGGATGCAGCCGAGGCTCAAGGACCCCAAGAAGACGAACACCAGGAAGACATCTCCCCTAACGTTGCCGACGAGTCCCAAGACCCCGACCCAGTGCAGCATTCGCCGACTATCGAAGGACCTTCTTCGCCACAGAACCCTGTACCCGATGCTGCTGCTCCAGATGTGCACGCGACCACAGTCGTTGATGATGAGTCGACTCCAACCACCCCCGACGAAACTCAAGAGGCTGAGATCGAGGTCGAGACACCGGTTGACGTTCAAGCTGCAGATGGGGTCCTCCCGCCCTCTGTAAGTACCGAAGAGACGGCACCCGCAGAAGAGGTTGTTCCGTCGGTGGCAGCTCAAGGTGAAGTCGAACCGCAACCCGAAGAAGCCTCCGTCGTTCCTGAGCCCAGCACGATCGTCGAAGACGATGGTGTACCACTGCGTGCCAACGAAGAGCCTGAGCACGCGCAGCCTTCGACTGTCGAAGAAGACAGGGCGATTCTCGAACCCACTGAGCCAACAGAAGAGGCACACGCCCCAGCTGAACCTATCGAAGATGCTGCTGATGACACACAAGACGTTCCGGTGCCCGGCGTTAGTCTCGAGGACCAGGAGCCAACAGTTGAAGCCGAGCAATCTGCCCCAGCAGTCGACGAGAACGCACAACCCATCGAAGCCTCTGCCATCGACCTTGCCGATGATCAGGCCTCCGATTCGAATGTGGAACCTGTGGCAGCAACGCTTCAGGAGGAACCTTCTGTAGTTGAGCCTGAAGTGGAAGTCCAGGAGGAAGAAGCAGTGGTTTCGGTTGTCGAGGAATCCGCAGATGACCAACCAAAGGAGGAAGCTGGTGACGCCGTCTTAGAGGCTGGTCAAGAGGAGAGTACGGAGGAGGCTGAGCTGAAGACAGAGGAAACGTCTCAAGACCAACCCGCTGCGGAAGCGCAAATGGCCGAAACATCAGACGAGGTCCTCGAACCCAGCGCAACGATCGAGTCTGCGGAGGTCGCGATCATCGTCGAAGATGTTCTTCCCACCGAGGAGCTACCTCAAACGACAGCGTCTCCAGAAGACGACGCGAAAGCAGAGCTCGAGACGACCGTCCCGCTTGCAGAACCCGTCGACGATGTTACTCCCGTCGCATGCGAACTTGACGTCGAGGCGAAGGAAGAAGCTGACGTCCCATCTAGTGTCTCCCAGGACGAAGACAAGGACGGGGCTCCGGCGATCGAAGCTGTGGCTGAACCGGAGGAGAAGGGCGTGTCGGGCAAAGAAGAAGCGATCGTGGCAGCGCCTGCAGAGAGCCCCGATGATTCTTCCGCAGACCAGGTCGCCGCTGACACAGAAGGAAGCCCCGATGCTGGCCCTTCAGAGGAACCATCCACAGTCGAAGGCGTTTCTCCTGTGCCGGAAGATGTCCGCCCTGCAACGCCCACCGTGGATGAAGAGCTCAAGGTCGAACAGGCCTCCCCAGTCACTGGCGCAACTGAAGGCTTGACTGAGGCAACAGCTGACGTCGGCGTGGAATCGAAGGATGAAATGCCGAGTGTGGACCCTATCACCGAACCGTCTGGTGGCGAGCAAGCAAAGGAAGAAACGGTCCAGGCCATTGTCGAGGCTGAGGATGACGTTGAAGCCAAAGTAGTGGAGGAGGGAGAGGAGGTCGCAACTGAAGTCCCCGTCGTTAGTGACGATGAAGGCAAGGTGGAGGTACCGGATGTTGAACCCGAGGTCGAACTCAAGGAAGAACCTGTGGTCGAACATGCCGCAGAAGCCTCGATCGACGAAGACTCTCTTGCTGCAACAGAATCAGCGCCAGCCCCACAAGACTCGGTCGAGCAGGCTGCCGAACCCACTGAAGAGTCGTGTCGATCCTCCCCGTCGCCAGATCCCCAAGAAGGCCCAGCTGCTGAAGTCACTGCTCCCTCGATTGAAGACGTCGAGCCTGTGACGACCACGGTTGAGGAGACCTCCAAATCGGAAGAAGAGACCAGTTCCGTTACGGAGGTGGTCGAAGATTCGCCTCAGGAACCTCTACAGGAAGATGAAGCCCCTGTCGAGGCGGAAGAGCAACCTGCAGCGGAAGCCATCATCGCCGGCCCTGATACAGACGTGGCCCCTAACGATGAGGTAGCTGACTCTACCACTGTCGAAGACCAGGTGGAGGCGGAAGCTCAGGTGGAAGAAGTGGAATCGTCGGTTCCAGTCGAGGAACCCCCAGCAGTGGAAGGCAAGTGTAATGCATAGAATATTACCGGATTTGCCTGACAGATGACTCCAGCAGCAGTCACAAGCGAACCAGAAGTGATTGAAGACGCTCCCGTGTCCGAGGAGATCTCTCCAACTGAAGTCGCTGGACCATCACCTGACAACGACCTCTCTGTTACAGCTGCAAAGCCTGAACATAATGATGACGAGACTCAAGAACCGGTCCCCGTCGCTGAATTTGCCCAAGAAGTGACGGATAGCGGCGATGCCGAAGAGGCAGCTACCCCAGTAGTCGACGCATCCACCGACATTCACCATCCCGCAGTCGAGTCACAGGATGACCTGCCGGCAGACGGGCTACCTGAACCACCAGCCGAACCAGTCGAAGGATCTCGGGAAGAGGAAGAACCTGCCTCCAGCTCCGCCAATATGGAGGACGTCGTTGAAGGTGAGTCGAGTGTTCCGGTTCCTACATCGCCTTCTAACCATGCACTAGAGCAACCTGCGGCGTCGACTGGAAATGAACCTGCAGTAACGACGGACCTGGAAATCGCTGAAGATGCCCCACAAGATCCCACTCTCCCCGAGGAGGCTACTGAGGAAGAACCACCGAGTGAAGTTGTAGCAGTCGCCGAAGAAGCACCAGGAGAGGATGTCATCGACGCAGTAGAGGCGCAACCATCCAGCATCGAAGAGCCAAAGCTCCCTGTTGACGACATGGACCAAGATGTGATCGTCGAGCCTACAGCAGAACCCGAGGCCAACGAACAACCGCCCATCGATGTCGACGACGGGTCAGAGACGAAGGAAGAATCCGCTGTTCCTGATGAACCACACGTCAAGGACGCGTCCGACGCGGTGGAAGAAGAGAGTCTTGCCCCAGCTCCATTGGTGGAGACGGAACCGACTACCGCAGAGGAGCCCGAGGTACCCGCAGAGGAGCCACAATCGACAGACTCGGTCGAACCGAAGGACTCTCCAGTAGCAACCGTATCGGAACTGCCCATCTCCCACGCCCCCGAGCCCGATCTCCCACCTGTTGAAACAATCGATGATCGTTCCACGACGACTCAACCTGTGGACTCCACGCCAAACGCGGAGGCTGTGCACGATACCCAGACTGATCGCGAAGCAATAACATCTGTGGAAGAGGAACCGGCAGGAGTCACCGACGAACCCGTCGTGGTCGAAGAACCCAGCGAACACGACTCATCCGACCCTCATCCCAATGAAGACGCGAACGACGTGAAGGATGCTCCACTGGTGGAGGAAACTCTTACTACGCCTGCTGAAGAGCCATCCCAAGACCCGTCGCCCTCACTCGACCAAGTTAGCGAAGACCCTGCTCCCGTGGAACTGTCATTGGAAATCGACTCTCAGCCAACCAACGACTCGGACCAGGAACCATCCGAACAGATCTCGACGGGTGATGAGACCGCTGTCGTGGAATATACTGAAGACCCTTCCCAACTTCCTGAACCTGCGGTTGAAATAGGCCAGGGAGATGATGTTGAAGTAATCCAGGATGCCCCCGCTCCTGCTGACGAGGCTGTTGTTGAAGCACCCACTTCCGAAGCAGACGCTCAGGACAAGGCATCCATTCCCCACACCAACTCCAATGAGGCCGATGCCGAACCCCTGACCGCCTCCTCGAAGGAAGACGAACAGGAAGCTCCTCCTACTGGGGATCAGTCTCCTCCACAGTCCGAAGAACCAGATGACGAGGCGACCCCTATTCCTGTTTCTCGTGACGACACGGTCGAGATTGTCCACGACATCGTCGAGGTCGATAAGATAACCACTCCGCCCGCGATCCTCGAAGCAGCAGAGCCTGCGATGTCGCCTGGCGATGGCGCGGACGGTGGTGCAGAACCGGTCGAAAGTGTCGCTGAAGAAGAAACAGCGGTCGACGAGCGAAACGCGGAACCAGCATCAACCGAAGATGTTGAAACTGTCAACGAGCAAGTAGAGCCTGGTAAATAATTTCCATTCATTGCCGTGTCAGTTTATACTAACGCTGTTGTAGAAACCGCCATCGAAGTACCCGTCGACACTGTTTCTGAGGTCCCTGGTGCAGATGAAGTCTCGACAGGTCAGTAAAAGACATCTTCCCGGATCGCCTGCAAACTCATTATTTCAATAGCACCTGAGCCCGCCCCGGAAGTTGAAGCTGTCGACGACGTCAACGGGACCGTGTCATCCAACCCTATCGAAGGGAAGGATGAGGTGGCTCACGACGACCAAGATTCGACACCGACCGTGTCTGCGGAGGGACAGGACGAACTCGCTGACATTAGAGCCGATGTCGTCGAACCTCCTTCCGAGTCTCAACCGGACGATCCCATCGATGCGACCGTTCTATCGGAGGCGGCTGAAACCACCGAGGATGCGCATGCGACGAAGCCCTTCGCGCCCGAGGCGAACGCTACGCAAGAGTCGGATTCACGCGCCTCTGTCGAAGATCAAGCCCCGACAGGAAACCTGGACGAACCCACGCCAGAAGGCGAAGAGAGCGAAACCCCGGCAATGGACACTTCATCCGTACCCGCAGAAGCGGATGAAACGAAGGATGGGGATCAACCAGTAACTGAGGAAGTGCCCTCTTCAACTGGAGCAGCTGAGCCCAGGGTGGAACAAGATGAATCTTCAGCAGAAATCGCTGAACCTATTGCATCAGCACCGCCAGCCGACTCGTCAGCCCCAACCGACTTCGACTCGACCTTGACTGATGAAGCCGTTCCTGAGCACCCTGAAGCCCCCACTGAGGTCTCGCTTCACATCGATTCGACAGGTCTTCCCGATAATCCTGAACTAGAGGTGGTCGCAAAGGACGAGCCCGAAGCAATCCCATTGGAAGGAGCTCCCCCGGCTATGGAAGCTGAAACGCAGACGGATATCGCTACGGAAGAATCCCTGGGCGAGGAAGGTTTGGCGGTCACGGAATCTGTCATTGAAGGCGCTTCGCCTGACACTGCTGCCGCCCTTCCAGTTGCAGACCCTGCGGTCGAAGGGACTGATGCAGCACCTAGCGCACCTCAAACCCCTGCAGCTGAAGTGGCCACTCCTCCCATCGCGGAAGCAGAAGAGCCCACCGCATCGGCGCCTACAGCAACAGATGAGGTCCTCGAGGTACCCTCTGAGCCCAACGCCGTCGAAATGCGAGATAAGGTGCAACAAGACGAAGATCCGGCCCAAGACCCTGTTGAGCAGGTTCAAGAAACGCCTCAGCCGCCCTCCGACGAACAGGAACCTCAAGCTCAAACTCTCGATGAAGCACCCGTGAAAGATGACGTCACGAGAATCAACGATGGCATCAATGGCTCTGCAGGCGAGGACGTCGTTGAGTTGTCCACAGAGCCTTCTGTCACCACCTCGCATTCTGAACCTCAACCAATGTCGGACGTCCCTTCCAGCCCTGTTGTCATCGCTTCAGCGACGCAACGCATCGAACCTCTAAACCTTGGCCCTGACGATGGTCCTGTTGATTTGGAACCTGTACCAGTTGCAGATGCACCAGTCTTGCCTCCCCCTACTAGTGCCAGCGCCGCATTCCCTGACCTCTCCCAACATTCCATGTACGAGACGGTCCCAGTCACGGTCCTCTCGCCTCAGGAAGAGCTTGCTTCTCTCGATCTACCTGAAGGACGCGACTCCCCGGATGCAGAAACTTCCAACGCCAACGTCCCCACCAAAGAAACCGATCCAGCTTTGACCTCATCCCTCGCATCTGCTGTTGATCTTCCCACCGCGATAGAGCAGTTGGTAGAGGCCGGACTCACTCCTAGCGCTGAAGCCTTGCTCGGCGCCGTCCAAGAGAGCCTTCGAGGAAAGATCAAGGAAGAAGACAAACCTACCAGTCCACCGGGCGCCCCAGCTGAAGCACAAGCGATCCCCGAAACTGTAGAAGCCGACGCTGAAGGACAAGAGCCTAGCAAGGTCATTCCTAAACACGTAGCGGAAGCGTCGACTGAATCTGACGCCACACTCGTATCCGGCCCCCCTTCCGATGCCGGGCACAGTCGGGAGCCCACAGTAATGGAAGATGAGCCTTCGGAAAGCCAGGCTGACGTGAAGGCTGTACTTCAAGGTTAGTTAGTATACGGCCCCCCGTTTCTGGTCACTTTGTCTGACTGAAGCTGTCTAGAATCCCTCGTCCCTGTGGAGAAGCTTGATAACGAATCCACTCCCCTCCCGTCAAGTGAGGAGAACGGAGAAGTGAAATCGACTGCCGAACCATCTACCTCAGCCACCGAAGCCACGAATTCCGCTTGATTGATTATCGACAAATAACATTTTCTTTCAGAACTTCCATTCCTTTCTTTATAACCCAATAACCCCTTTACGATTTTGTTACGACATTCACGACTTTGAGACGACAGCACTTCCATTTGTGATTTATGCCTATCTACGATTTCAACCCCCCATTTATCGCCCATTTGTCTTGATTTTATATCCCTGTGTGTACCTCTAGTGTGCTTTATTGTTCTACTAGGCCTTGTTGTATTATCCGTGTCATGTTTACATGTTTACCTTTCATCGTTTCCAGTTTCTCCGGGCTGTACCTGATACTTATTTCTTCTCTGTATACTCTCGGATGGAGGATACCCATTTACACTTGTTCTTCTGCATTGTCAATTGCTGTTCACTAGCGTTCACTAGTCGTGTTCTTATGTACTGTGTTATTTGATATATTCGACGGCGGGCGTCGAGGAGTTGAGGGAAAGATCACAGCTGTAAGCTCCCGATTCGACGAAGTAAATGCCTAAAACGGATTTCACGATGACGGAGTGCGGTGGGTTTTATCTTGAAAAGATAAGGTGCAGATGGTCGCCTTCGGTCAACTGACCTCTTTCTCTCTTGCTTGATTTAAGTAAGACGACAACGAAGTTGCTATCCATAGGCCGTGCGCTCTCACTCATCCTCACCGATCTCGCTACCACTTGGGCATTGACCCGTATCGTATAGAGCTCATGCATACTTCACTCTTCTTCAAGTTAGAGAATATCTAGATGAATTCCAGCATCTATTACATCGCTGCCCTCCACCAGGGGGGGGCACCAAACACCAAAAGTCCAATGCTGCGAGCTCAACCTCCTCAAACAATGGGCGTGAACGTAGGGATGTGGACCGTCGTAATCGTAACAGTAAGAACTAGAGGTCAATCATTTAGTACATAGACTCAGAAAAGGGGGGACACCAAAGCCGGGGCAATGTTACGATGTACTCACGAGGGGTCACCAAAATGGAAGGATTGATGAGACCGACAAGCCTCGGGTCGTGCTGCGCGACCGTGGCGTCGACTGGAGTCGGACTGGCGAGGACCGGGACGGCCCATTGGCATGCGAAGATAGCGGCCAGGCAAGCTGCGACTCGGATGCGATTGCTTGAAGCGAACATGTTTGAAGATTAGGGCTTTGTTGTTTGCTGAAGGCTGGGTGTTTGTTGAAAGGCTGGTGTTGGTTGGGGGACTGGGTGTTCACTGTTGCAAGACTGGCCACGCCATGTCCTCTGTTTTATAGCTGGGAAGAGATTCATTCTTACCTGGGCGCGCTCATTCTGTTTCCCGGAGTCCTCCACGGTTCCGTGCGGACATTCAGTCTCGACGCGGTGCATCTGTGTGGGCGCTCAGTCTCATCGCACTGAACCTATGTCGATGTAGCATTCTCCGTTACCTTTTCACACCAAGCCCGAGACTTGAGTCTCCTAGGGCGCCCAATGTCTACTTGACAAGTCGTAGACGGTGCGATAAACCTTGTATGTTTCGCAACGTACAGCCAGTGTTGCAGCCAGTCGAACACGATCGTGAGCGGAATCGTTTCATGGAACGCTTGCTCCATTCTTCCTAGTATTGTCTTATCGCTCATGTCGGTCCCAGAACTTCCGTCCATTCCTAGTGGACGCAATCACCCCCAGTCTTGACAGGCAAGCGCAAAGAGGTAGCTTCCAGCTTCGTTACTTCAGGAGAGCTTAGAAGAATGGGATAAAAGGCATCAAGATGGCAGTGTCATTAAAATCTAAGCAGTCGTAAGGTACTGTAAAAAAGGCAACAGCATACAATAGTCAAAAATATGCAAAGCAGAAAGCAATAGATCAGAAAAAGCACAAACCATTACAAGTCGTAACATGGGCAACAAATAGTTCCAAGAGATCGTAACATAGATCGTAGCATCATCGAAACTCGGGCGGCCACTCTTCTCGCTTCCTCCACCTCCCTTCGGGGTCGAAACGCGGGTTGACAGGGTAGTCGAGTCCATCGCTCTTGCTCCGGCCAATGGGTACTGCGAAAACAATCCATGAGCAGACGCTAAGATTAAGGACGGAATATACTCACATATCCAACCTAACCAATTCGAACCCATGACGTCTTCCCATTCTCTACGCTTACCCCCTATCCACCACAGATGTCCTTCGGTATCAAGCTCACCCCATTCCTTGTCCCACTCTTTCCGTGTGAGGTATTTGGCCCTAGATCGTAATCATCAGCCACGAGGACGGGTATCTGGCCCCGGTTCGACGTACTGGAACTGACAGAAGCCGAAAGCGTTGTTGAGCTGCTGGCTTTCACGGTGCTTCATCGTTCGGATCTGCATGTTCTCCACTGTGGTCTGGCCGTGCATGATCAACCACGCATGGGATATTGCAAGTGCAAAGGTAAAGATGGCGAACACAGCCGAGCTGCGATCATCGTCAGTTTTGTGTCAATTAACACCATCAATTGAACGTACAGGGCGATGATCACGAATTGGTGTGGGCTGGTATCGATCGATGGGCCTCGGGTATGCGCTATAGCCGTGTAGGCGAGCATCGTGCCAAACACGTACGCAGTCAAGAAGAAGGCTGCCACGCAAAAGTTGAAGAAGAACTATTACACAAATCAGACTAGGCGCGGGGACCCTGAAAATGTACACACCTTGTGGTTGCGAGCACCGACACACTGGCCTATCCCTACACAACTTGTCAGAAATGAATTATTCGAACATTGCTTAAACCTACAAGGGCAATGATGGTCGTATTTGAGGACACAGGTACCACAGCTTCGACAGTGGTGCGTTCTGTATGGCTTCACAAAGCCTTCCTTGTCGCAATAGCGATGAGCAGCGTGGAGGTATGGGGTCATTGGTGGCCGTCGAGCAATCCACATCTTGGGTTTGGGAGGTGCCCGCCTTTTCTTGCGAATCTTGGCAGGGGACTTGTCGTACTCTCCCCGTTCCATCTGGTCGGCGTTGTCATTTCCCTGGCTCCCCCAGCAGCAGAACAACAGCTTCAGACATAAAGGTGTATCCCGGTCCCCAGATTTTCCAGTCTTTCTTCGTCTCCGTTGAGGTGCGGGAACGCTAGGAACGCCGGGCGCATCCAACGTCCCCGCTTGAACCTCGATATCTGGCACAGTTGAAGCAGCCGAGCCAGCCGTTGATGGTCTTGCGGCAGGCGGTGAGTTGTCTGCCGACCACACTGCTGTTCTCTCTTCGTCCGTGTCCTCGTGCAGAGTCGGGTTCGCCATCTCGCCCGCATCGAATCGTATTCGTCCATGACTTGAGCCACTCCTGATAGTGATCGTGCTTGCTGTACGTCCCATCCCTGGCGCCGAGCCTTGTGGGACACTGGCCATGCTGTTAGATTGAGATATCGACCCCGGCGGTGGCTTGGGTGGCGAAGGTGGTGGAGGCCCTGTTGCCTTCAAGATATCCTCGTACGACGGCCTCGCAATGGCGTTCATATCGTCCGTTTGCAGGGGATACAAGGCTGCCAAGGCTGACTGCTGGATCATTGGTTTCTGGGTCTTCTCGACATAGTCTCGAGCGTATCCCGGCGACGTGAGGACGACCTAGACGACGTTGTAGGCCACGTATAACTTAGAACTCAACATTAAGCTATATAAAGGCCTGAACTCACCTTTGCATACGCCCAAACCATCCAAGCATAAAGGACTGAAAATGGCACCAGCAGCGCGATCCCAACATCCCTGCCCGCCACCGTTCTCGGTCGTTCCTCCAGCATGGGCACAACGAAGACGCCGATATAGACGTAGCCAGCATAGCCCATGATGCCCAAGGTGACCGCGACCATCAGTTTGAGGACGAGCCACGGTTGTGGTTTGGGGTCGTCATATCGTCGTGCACGAGCTCGAGCGGCCGACTCCTCCACGACGCCGCAGCAAGAGCGATCTTCTGACATTCCATCCAAAATCTTGCTGCTCGTCGTCGGCGACGTTGTTCAGGTCTGGTGGTCGACGTCGTGGTTCGAGTCCAACGTTGTGGAGAGGAAGAATGATGTCAGTTGAAATTGCCGCCGTTGATAACGTCTCACAGCCACAGCAATGCCCTCGACAATTTGGGCGATGAACGCGAGGTCGTCGTGGCTGGCGGTGACGGCGAGCTCGACGTCCTTGTCGACGTCGGGAGCAAACTAAGGAGCATGGCCAGTACTTTAACGGCGGTTATGTTCGAGTCAGTACTTAAAAAGTCAATTAATAATATGATTATTTTTGGAGGCTCGCGTCGTTGACAGCATAGGCGGCAAAACACGCTTCAAACGCCAGATCTCAAACTAGCTTCTTCCATACGTTTCTCGATTTCATTCGATACTCATTACGAAGACATGAAGCTTTCATTATTTAAAAATGCTTCCGTTTCCGACAACGAAACAAAGGTCGGTCTCAATAACCCATCCACGCGATCACCGCTCTTTATGAAGGAACGCATTGGCCTGGAACGATGAGAAGCAAGGGGCAAAACGCGGTCAGAAAACCTCCCAGTCTGCTTGTAGAGAAACAAACGACTTACTGTACCACTCATTCACCGTCTTACAAGTTCCCTGTGAGCAGAAAGTAGGTCCCGTCCATCCGTTACCTCCACATTGGCCATAGAGAGCTGCACCACCCGGTGCCGGTGCAGTGGTGGGAGCAACAGGCCCCGGTGCGGGGGAAGAGGGTGCCTGAACGGGTGGGTTCACGCCGCCGGCTGGGCACTTGAGAACTGGAGGACCTGGGATCGAGTACGGTCGACCACCGTTGTTGGGTACACTGTTAGCATAGATGTTGATCGTGATACCACTGAAAGGGTATAAGTACAGGGTACTACTATCTGGCAAGGGGTCAATGTTACGCACGGATGGTTAGCAGAGTACGCTCCTGGGAAGCTAACGAGGTCAGTGCCTGTGCTCGTACCCGAACCAGTGACATTAATTTGGGCACATTCCATCTGAACAGCCCAGTCAATAGGGTGAAGGAGCTCCAACAAGGTGGACGCACGTAGAACTGAGCCCCGTTCGTCGCATAAGCACCATGCAAAGCGATAATCTCAACTCGCATGAGGTAATGGCCTGGGGCAACGCAAGTAGGCATCGTAAAGTATTGCCAGCCATTGTTGGCAATCATACGATCGACTCCCCATTGGCCGGTACTCGTGTCAAGGCCATCCTCTGCGATCTTGAACCATCGGAGACCTCGAGCGTTGGCTGTAGCAGCGTTGTCCACCTTGGCGAGGTAGACGATGGTGGGACCTACGATTCAGACGACGGTCAGCACATGGCAGCGTTCGACTTGGGTGAGCTAGATAAGTACCCTTGTGACTTCTGGCAATGGGATGGTCAGGGTCGTTGGGATATTGTGCACCACCGATGACATGTCCCCACCAGGCACCAACACGGGCACCAGCAGGGATGTTGATAACGGTATTATCCTTGAACTGGATATTCTTGTTGCAGGCAAACTCTGCATCGTTTACGTTCTCGATGGGCTATCCTCTGGTTCAGTCGAGCGTTTGGGAACAAACAATTTCATCGACGTACGTAGTCAGAGGTTGGAGCGCGAACTCCTTTCAACTGCCCTTGATCAACACCATTGACGGAGACTTTCTAATTCTTAATGTCAAATGGTTACAGTTGAAAGACTGCGGGGTTGAGACACACCTGGAAGATCGTGTGGCCATAGGCAGCAGCCGCGAAGGCCAATGGGACCAAAGCTGACACCTTCATCTCTTTTGGTCGAGTGAGCAGATGGTCGACTGGCACATCCCACAGCGAGAGACGTGAATTTAAAGAGAAAGCCAAAACTTCTATTTCACCCGTATCAGGGTACCCCGCACTTCGAATGACGAAAGGCAAGATTCCGCTGGGTGAAGGAAGTGCAAACGGATCATCTGGCCTCAGAGGAAGCCAGAGGAGAACAAGCCTTATGGCCTAGTCGCCAAAACCTCGCACAGATAGACTGCAGGTAGATGGAGGAGGAAGAAGTGATTTAGGCCTTCCTATTTGTCCTAGAAAAAGCCTCAGGTGCGGAAGAAGGCGAAAATCCTTCTTGAAAATCTTCTTGAGATTCCATGAAATATCCGATGATGCGCAGTAATGCCTCTCCTTCAGGTACATGATTTACCCATGGAACGATAATCTAAGGGATGGCAAGTAAGCGTCAGCGAATTTCAACGAGAGAAACTGTCGCTCACCCGGGCCAGTTCGATAGCTCGACCAGTTCTGTCTATCCTTGGCTCACGTTTGACACGGAAACCGTGGGTGGTTCCAACTGTACTCGTGGAAGGGTTACTGAAGAATAAGTAGCACACACGCACACCAGAATTCGAATGCAAACGAAATCCGAGATCAAGGACCAAGTTCCGCGTTCCAGTCAAAGTTGCAATCGGATGGCAACGGCTGCGAAACCTGGAAATGAATCTCAGCTTGAAATCCGCCAAGACCGCAACTCAACAGAACATTCCGGTTCCCACGCCGGCGACTAATCGTCGGAGCCTTTCGGGGTCGTCGCGACCAGGCGCGGAAGTAAAAGAGATCACCGGAGGCCGACCCCGACCAGTTCAAGGAGTGCCGGTGGCGATGCTTTTGTGGGTCCACATGTGAGCCTGCAAACGGGAAGGCAAGCAGCCTCGTGGAAGGAAAGTTATTTCTGGCAAGCTGCGAGAGCTCGTTCTACTTAGCAGGCATCCAACTTGCTAAGACGTCAGATCTATCTTGAAGGAATTTGTCGCACCCGCAGGTTTCATCAGCTGGGATCAAAACAAAACTTCTCCGACAGCCTGAGGATGCGCACGAAGTCAACGCTTGGCTCGCACAGGTTGGAAGGAAATCCCTCCACCCGTGGGCAAGACAAGAAGACCCATACCCGGGTAGCTATGCTCCTTGAATCTCCATGTTGACAACGCGCCTGTACCTCCTCATTGTTCCTCCGACAGCCAAGCATCCAATTTTAGTGCAATGCTTGTGTGCTGAATTCAATGAATGTTAGGTGTCACAGTCACTGGTCACACTCGAATGACGAGATCATGGTGCCGAAAGAGGTCTACTAAAGGGTTCTCCTTCTGTCTTCCTCATTAACCACTTCAACCTTCTTTTTTCTGCTGGATTTCTTCGCCGATTCACTCAACAAGTATTCACTTTGCGTGCATTTCGAAAGCAGGAAGGATTAATACATCGGTGAGTCTCCTCCTCTTCCCAGCCAACACACGCATCTAATCTCATCCTGCAGCGTAACAGAGGTACCTAGCCATGAGTGACTCGGGTACAGTCGCCACAAGGTCTCGATTACACCTTGCAGTCAAGGACGTCGCTAAACCGAGAATATCTCAGATCTAATGGAGGGGAACTGGCTCATGCATTGCCAAATGATCCGGGTACGTCTTCGAGTCACCTCCAGTTCGTCGCCAGGCCATTATAACTGACGGTATCATGACTTGGTAGAAGAGAGCCCCGCCCTCAATTTCAGGGGCTCACTGGTCCAAGGGAATGCAAACATCAGCGGTCGCGACAGCTACAACGCCCAGAACCACGGAAGTACGGTGTCGAATCTGATACTATCAACATCGGCGCTGAACGAATCCCTCCAGCCATAAACTACAACGTCAACTACAACTTTCCCCACGTATATGGAAGCCCGACAAGTTCACAAATCTCGTCACCCACCTCTGTGCATACCGCTAGCTCTACGCGTAGCGCCAGTATGCACGAAGCCAGCCAATCGCCGACCCCAAATCCACCGCTACATATGAATTTCGACGAAGATGTCACCCCCGTAGCCAGGGAGTTGGAAGAAGCATTGACGAACGCGATCAAGTCGTTCCAGGCCAATGGATTGAGACGCCTATCGCCCAACCATTCTGTGGCAAGGAATGGCAGAGTTGTGAAGCAGTAATACGACCTCCTTCAATGCACGATGAAGAACAACAACGTTCGCCACATGTACTCTGTCACACATTTTGTAAATATCGAACCGAGCCACATTGTATCTCATAGTGTATCTATAGTTCTCCCAACTGCCCGCGGTATTGTCCCGTTACTGGCCTCGCGCAGAGACCCTCGACACATTCAAAATCGGCGCTGACACATTTTTTCCTTCTCTCACAATTCTGAATGATATAACAGAGGTGACTGCGGGCAGTCATGGGATGAAGTTTTTGTGACAGCCACTCACTCGCTATCTCTACTGTCTGTTCCCCTTCCATCGAGCAGCGATATCTCACTACAATCACCATCCAGGGTTTGCTTGGAGCGGAAGCCGCCTCGAGGATCGCATCGTTCAATGCCAAGAGATCAATTTTGATAAGACATTGACGCCGACAGGGCAAACACTCAGGCTGCTCCTCTCGAGGGTTTTTTTTGTTTCCTGCTTGACAACGATGCTTCAAGCTCGACTTGGACCTGCCAACATTCGCTGTGTTTGAAAAGGGGGTGTCGGTCTTGTAGGGAACCTGCGATTATCCCCACCAAGTTGTACAACCCGGTGTGTCCTCCAAATCTCCGAGTTCGGATCATCCTCGCTTAGGCGGGTACCGGAGAGTGCACTTGGGAGAGTGACATTTTGTTCAGATTTCTGTGAAAATCAGCGGAGGAATCAGAAAAGACTCTCATAAAACCTGGAGTCGAAGGTATGAATACCATATTCCATGTTCTGAGCGGACGAGGCAGAAATGGGAATGCTCACGTCGATGGCAATGCTCATGTGGGTCCACCGTGGGTCCAGGACGGGAGGTGGAGGCTGCCATGTGTCGACTTGTCACCTCCCGTCGCTGGGAGTCAGAAATGGTGGAGTCTCCCAGGATGTAAATCCTTTGAGTCGACCTTCCTTCTTCCAACAATCCCAATCTTCATTCATTGTAATCGCGCTTCAATCAGGAAACTCCAGGCGTACGAAGGGATCAAAACGGTCACCAGGTCTCGAGCTCGGAGCGACAACAATTCTTCCCAAAACAATGCCTGTGTGAGGGTGAAGTCCTTTTACCCCGATTCGAAGCGGTTTCATCAAACTGGAGCCTCAAAACTGTAGGCTGTGGCCCCTAGCGCAGTCCTCTTGTTTCCCGCACCCCTTCGAAATTCGAACAATCCATCCATCCACCAGAGGACCATTAACTTCACTGTATAGTCTCCCCTGATTGGACGGTCAGTCTCTGTTGTTACAACTGAGACCTGCGCAGGTGAGCCGCCCGCCATGCCTGTGCCTCCTCATCCTTACCCTGACCTTTACTTAGGCTATTGGTAACAGTCGGTTCAGAGCGACGATTTGGATGAAATGTCTATCATTCAAAGTTCTTCGAATCTGGCGCCCAAACAATGCCTTCAACCCAGAGCGATTTCGGCAATGAAGTCGGAAGCTTCGTCCTCGATGTGCGAGGCTCTGACATATCCGGGCCTGCAAGAGTATCTGCGGGATCCATGGCCATGAAACTCACGGCAACCCAATTACGAACAACTACCACGAACCCGTTCAACTTCTCTCTCCTGTAGCTTCACCCACTCCGACTCGAACGTCTACATTGCAGCTAGATCCTGGCGGTACAGAGGAAGATGAGTTCGAAGGGAAATGAGTCGACTTCTCTGCGTTCAATGACCCTGACCAAATCACAGGCGGAACTGCGCAGGCGTTGGAGGAAGAATTAAGGGCGGCGCTCGACTATTTCCACAGGAACCGGGTCAACCTTCTGTTCGTTGAGCAACGAAGCGAACGGGATTTTGAATGAAAACTAAACGTGCCGCTCTCGCATTCAACTTTGTGCATCATCCAAGGCATGGTTTGGTTGCTTCGACACTCCGTATGTGCCTACTCACTTCTCTCCGGACAGTTCACCACGCAATATGCATTATATCATGCATTCAATCTACCTATTGAAAGACCCCAGCAGGTCTTCCTGCAATGTAGAAGATGCACAATGTCTTTCCGTCAAAATCCGCCCGGAAGGTCCAAACCATGATCCCTGTGTCGCGATCGATCGCGGATAACCTAGCCAACCTACTCGGCCCAAGTATCAATAACTCAAACCTCACCTTAATCATTTATGCAGAGTGCCTACACAGCCCATCTAGAAGCACACATCTTCACGCTCCGAGTTAAGTGGGATCAGCCTCGAGGCATAGTGATCAAAAGGGGAAGAACGAGTGGCCACTGGTGCCACTCCCACTTGCACCCATTCGACTACAATGTCAAGTTCAGAACGACTTCGGGAGAGTGAGGCTCCGCAATCACAGGTCACTGTCATAGCAGGAGGACAAGCTATAGCCAACCAGAACGATTACATTGATGGCTCCACTCATAACGAGTTCTCCAGCGACTCGGCGGTGTATCAAGCGGGGGTTAACGTCGTTGGTGAGTATCACTATGCCTCCATAACATCTAGCACCGACCCCTCTGACTACGCGTACAGTCATGAATGTAGTCAGCCCAGAAGGAACCCCGACAGGGTCACCCTCTCATACTCCTCCCGGAACGCCCCCAGCAGCAACGCCCGCATCATCTCGTCCCTCAAGTCCGTTTCCCCCAGGAAGTTCGACTGGGCGCCCGTCGCGACCGGCCATTAACGTTCCGGTCTTCGAGTATGGCTCTGACTATCATGAAGTCTCGCGCGAGCTAGAGGACGCTCTCAGTCAAGCCATACGGTCGTTCCAGCGGAATGGACTAAAGAGACTGACACCCTCGTATCGGAATCGGGATGTGAACATGCAAGGGCTGGACGTCGATTCAGGAACGGCCAATTCATCCATGGACGAAGACATTACTGTTGAGCCGGAGACTGGCAGTCGATCCAGAGGTCTGAGAATGTTTCAGGGGAAAACCAGAGGTCGTTAGAGCGACAGACGACGGATGACCAGGCTCAGGAGGGTATGAAGGGAGGTAGTTGGAATCTATAGGGGGCCAGCTGATAGTAATAGATGGAAAGGAGCGTAGAATTATTACAGTTTACTTTACATTGGTCGAAGGGTACATGTCATGAAGAGTGAAACCCATCACAAAGCCATCCAGCTCGTCTAATTGCGCCCAGCGGGAGCGGGACCCTGATACAAGTCGGGATCGACGACTGTGGTCGTACGCTGGGTGACCTTGGTCTTAATCAACTCAGGGTCCTTCGAGTGGACGGCCGTGGTAGACTGCGGGATCGTATTAGCACAGCTCATCGCCGCCAGAGTAGAAGTTGCGCACCTCCTTTCCCAAATGAAGCCTCTTTTCCATATCTTCGGCGACACCGTCAACAGTACGAATACATTTACCCTCACGTAGGAGGGTCTTCTCAACAACATCGGGGGTGGTACCTCCACGGAGCGCGCCTCCACGCTCGACGAAATGGTCCATAGGGATAGGAGCATGGGTTTGCGACTGGTGGACAATAGGGGCTTCTTGAGTAACCTCGTGAATCGGGATCGTAGTATGGATGTGCTGGCGGTCGATTGCTAATTTCCATTGGTCAACGTCAAGCGCGTGAAGGAAGCCGGGGACACCTACTCTCTTTCTCGATCACTGGTTGGATGACATGGTGGACGTGGTGGTGAACATGCTCCGTGATTTTGGTTCCTTTGTCGACGACGGTACGCTCCTTGGCACCATGTTCCTAGTAAGCGATGAAAAATGAGCAGAACCCTCAACCGTATACCGAAACGCCAACGTGCCAGAGTATCATGATGCTGCCTCATCTGCCCGTCAAAGAGCGCCGCATCTTCCGGTTTGTTGGTGTGTTGCTCTTCGATGCGAGTGACCGGGTGGATCTAAGGCAAGTCAGAACCTGGGCGAAAACGAAAAACCAGTGAGCTCACGAAGTCCTTATGACCTTCAGGCAGATCTTGACGGGCAACAACAGGTTGGGTGTGGTGCTGGACGTGGTGAACTAACCCGTGGTATTAGCAATTTGGGCCACACCGCCTTAGCGGCGACATACCATGTCTTTCGAGATCCTTGATGCGCTCCACTTCCTCAGTTTCGAGGTGACGTATATATTCGTGAGTGACGGCTAAGACAACGGTTGGAAGAGCAATTCAATTGGTCACGAAACAACTCTGCTCACGGTTGAGTTGACTAGTGTCCTCCTGAGTGTCGCCAGTTGGCATGACGTCTCGTTTTCGGTGACCAGCTACATGGCGGTCGTCGAGGACTAGATACATGGTAAGCTGCAGTTGAATAATACAGTTTGAGGTGAGACTCACCTTCGCGATGTTCACTGCGACCAAACTCGCGAGTGACAGAAATGAATTCACCGGGACGTGAGCCACCACCAGCATCAGGGTTGGCGATAGTAGCAGACTGCTTGGTACCCGGGATAGTGCCCGAATGGGTGCTTCCAGTCGAGGACCTTGCATCTAGAAAGCAATCAGATCCAAGGAACAATGCGAGCACGGCCAATGAACCCACTACTAGAGTAGGCACCTTGATGGGCTCCAGCCAATGACCCGCCGGTCGCTGCGGCTGCGTCGGTGCCATAACCCGCAATGCCTTGATCACTCCTGGCTCTATCCAAATCATGTTCCATGACCCTTTCAGATCCGACCTTGCCTGTGGTGCCAGGCCCTGTGCCGGTGGGTAGCTTACTCGATCTCGAAGGGTCGTTCAAACCTTCACTGTCGTAGGAACGACCCCCTTCACGAGTAAGCTCCTCGATGTCTCGACTAGACCGGGAGGCGGTGTCGTCCTTGAACATATGCTTCATAGTGTCGCCGATACCTTTAGATCAGGGTCAATACGGAGTGATTCCGAGATCAGAAAGGATGCAGCGTACCCATTGCGAATTAGGATGACTGTTTGTTCGGTAGAAAAATTGGGAAAGAAAGGGAAATTGCAAACCTTTCGTCTCAAACAACTGGCTATATACGCCCAAGCCCAGACATGTTTCTGGTTGTCGTCATGTCCACCCCCACCCCCTTTTCGATTGGCACTGTCTGGGAAGGCTCCATGTGGTCGTAAAAGGAAATCCGCACTCCTGAAAAGACTAAGCACATTTTAGGACCTCGTATAGTAACCCCCTCGGGTGAATTTGTGCCCCTTGGTTGCGAGAGACAGTGAACTCGAGACGCTGACGAGGTCGTGATGGTCGAGAACGAAAAAGGGGCGTCGGAGACTCGGGTCCCAAAAGGAGAGAAGGAACAAACATGGACAAACCTGCCAAGGTGGAGTCCTTGACGAAAATGGGGTGGAAATTGCCTTAAAGAACGATCTGCGCTGGTTAAAAAAAGGGGTACTACTAGAAGTACATTGATTGAGACGGCACTATGTTTACAGGGTTTTATGGGTTTTATCTTCAGACCATACGCGTACAGGCTATCAACAGGCAGAGACGGGGTGCACAGTTCAGGAACAGCCCCAATTATCAACCAATGTTCGTGCGATATAGGTGCCTTTCGCACAAACGAACTTCATTGCTTGCTTAGACGTCGATGATGATGGGAGTGCACCCAATAGAGATGAGGCCACCTGTCGAGGCTGACTGAGTACTGTCACAGGACAAGAGACCGGGAGATATTACCGAAGTGGTTGTTCTGGCAGCAAACAGTTTGGGCGTTGCTGGTGGGCCGAGTCAGTAACAGCTCGAGAACGTTCAAGGAAGCTAATGGCATACCAGCTGTTACCGCCTCCAATGAGGGAGATCGGGTTGCAGGTGAGACCCACGAGTCCAGTGATGTCCCCAACGGAAATGTTCAGCAACCCAAGGAGCGTGCCGATAAGGCCGCTGTTAGTTGGGGCTTGAACAGAGTTGCAGCATTCGAGGTTGTTGGGAGCGTTGCATTGGTTGGTGGGAGGCGGGTCAGTGGGGACAGCGACGGCAAGAGTAGCGAGAGCGACGGTGGTCAAGAACTTGAATTGCATCGCGTATGAGTGTTATGGCTTGTGAGGGAGCTATTAGAGATGTTGTCTCTGCCGTTCTAGGTGGATTTCTTCTCCCTTTTATACCTTTGAGAGCAGGAAAATGCCGATTATTTTCTCAACATCGAGATTGACTGTTCCTGATATTATCCCTTGCGTTGTATCGCCTTCCATACTAGTATTTAATTTTCTGTCTACGCTTATCTGCCAGAGCTCGCCGGGTGGAACCGACGAAGGAACCGAGGGCTGAGTAGAGGCTCAATGTTCTACGTACCACGATATCTGAAGCCGTAAGTAAGTACTACTTTCAGGGGCCCAAGTTGTCCACCGCTAAGACTTGAACAAATTTGGTCGCCTCATTTCTGATGCAGGGGCAAAGCTGGATCGGAGCTCCAAAATAGAACGACGGGTATGTACGTACATGGCATGAAAACGGGTCGCCACAGTCATGAAGTAACAACTGGGATTTGTTCTGAATGGGAACTCTGTGCGAGCCATGATAATGTCCTTACCGAAAGTGATATAACCTCATGTAGTGTAGAGCGGGGGTCACGAGGGCCTTTTGGATATGGCCCTTGCGATTGACAATGGACCAGAATAGAAAGTTCTCCGGTTGCCAAGGTCAGGAAGGTAGAGCAGGTTTGGGATTTGTGCTCAGGTTGCGAACTGAAGGTCAGCATTTAGATGCAGGATTCATACACCGGCTTAAGGCCTCCCACAACGCACATTAAAAGTCAAGCGGATAGATGGAATGGCATTAATCCGTATCTCCGGAATAGCTAAATCGATGCACGCTACAACAATAGCGCTACTACGATTGTACAGATCGAACCATATTTGAAGTGGGCGAAAAAGTAGGCATACAAGGGAGCATATCACATAACGAGGGAAAAAGACAATTGGTGATGGTTATTGATTGGTTACTTCAGATTCGAGCGGCAGGGAAATGGATTCGGAGCGCGGCCCTGGACGGGGCGCTCGACGAACTGTTATTTGGCCACTTGATTAGAGGTTGATGTTGATCGGAGTGCAGCCAATAGCAATGAGGCCGTCTAAAGAGGTTTTCGTTAATACGGAATATCGGAGTACCGGGCCTAGAGAGAACGTACTGAAAGAGTTATTCTGGCAACAAACGGGTTGGGCGTTGCTGCATCGTGCACAATGTCAGTACCGACGCGTCGTTCGAGACGTTTACCGACTTACCAGCTGTTGCCAGGAAGGCCGATGATGCTGATTGGGCTGCAGGTAAGACCGACGAGGACGTTGAGGTCCTGGAGGACAATGCCCAACAATCCCAAAAGGACTCCAGCAGCGGGGTCAGACGCCTTGGTGACCGCGTTGCAGCACTGGATGGGACCAGTGTTGCATTGGCTGGGAGGGATGGGGGCAGGGTCACCGCCAGTGGGCGCAGCAACAGCGAGAGAAGCGAGAGCGAGAGTGGACAAGAATTTGAACTGCATGTTGCTGAATAGACTTGCTTGGGACTGTTAGAGCGACTGACTCTGTCGATTTCGAGTGCTTCTTCCCTGCCTTTATATCCCCAACGTCGGCGGAATACCTCTGCGATGCTCCACTTCGTCTTCACATGGTGCGTTTACAGTACAAGTACACAGTGAACCCACGATTAGATACGGGAGAAGACTGTACCACTTGTTAATCTGCCAAAGGTGGAGCGTCGGTGGAGCTGAATGTAAGGTGCATAAGACAACCACTATGCCCGTAAACGGGGAGTGACGAACCAAGAGCGACTTGAATTCGAGTTTATGACGAATGTAAACTGTCTGTATTCACGCCAAGGACGCGGTTAAAACGTCTAGGTGGAGTAGACCATCCTGAAGTAATGGTCAGATGTTACTAGGGATAACGAGGGTGCGAAATGGCGATCGTTCGTCGAATGTCCTATAAATGTTATTCCTGCTCCCGTTTCAAGCGGTGAAGGTACTCAAAAGAGGATTATCGCGTGGTTGACTAGCTTGCAGCTTCTCTCTGGAGCGCTCGACACATTCAGTCTACTAGGGGGAGCATATTCTATCTTCCAACGGACATTGCGAGGCCCAGGGTACTCGATGACGGGTCTCTGACGAACTAAAGAAAATAGAGCCCTGGAAATGTCAAGTACGAGGCCCCATCTTCACAACAGCTTCAGAATGAGAACCAGTCTTTTACGACACTTCCACATATCTGGTTTACCGCGGTGAAAGTTGCTATCATTCACTGTCGCAAATTCAAACCCCGTTCAATGAAGGGGCGTAGGATTGTACTGAAAACCTGAGCTTCGATGACGAGTGTCGATGTAGTACGAACACCTTAATCAAGAAAGGCTGTCATTCCTCCGATACGCGACAGATTAATTAACGTGTGTGAGCCCGAGGCGTGTCGTTCTCTCTAAACTTTAAAGCCAATGGTACCGGCATCGAACGCGTGCGCCACGAACCTTATGTAATACCGGCGCTAAAGCAGTTACTGATAGCGCTTGACCTTCATGAGCAGATTGAGAGTGCATGAAAGGCAGGTCTAGCAGTATATTACGCACATTTCAACTAATAGAGGATCAGGGGGAAGAGGAGAACCAGTGTCATGATGGGACACTGCCCCACATAACAACTACATACACAATGTAACGATGCCTCATGTCCCAGTGACATCGGGGGAAGAGAGCCCTTACCACTCCTTTGGTACACGTCTAAGGCCGCAGAGGAATGAAGATGCAGACGCATGTGAGTTTGTACCAAAAATAGCCCTCTCCACACTCCCGCTCATCTTCGGTCCTCGTTGCCGGTTTGGTCAGGCTTTTACAGCAACCGTGAGAGATGTCCGTTTTGGAATAAGTTCCAGAGGACTTCTGCTTTAGGAACTAGTCGGACACCGATTTTGAATATCGGTGTGAGATTCTATTCAATTTACAGGGGGATTGTCTCCGAGGTGGAGCTTCCTGCCCCTTGGTGAATCGTGGCTCCGACGGCTAGGAGGTTCATTCGGACGAAGGGTAGAACTAAGAATGTGCGCTATTTATTTTCCGGATCAGTGGAGGATAATCACGAAGAGGCTTTTTTCAGTCTGAGAAATGGCAGTAGCGAGTCGGGCAAGATGACCTGCGCTCTTGACGCGCCCGACGAAGACCTGCTGGTCGTACTCTGCGCCTCAATAAATGACGTAGAGGGTGCCTTCCTTTCACGCAGCGGGCGAAATAGCGTCAATCCATATGCTGTAATGTGTGCAGCTCAGCCCTTGTTTAGTCCACGGATCCGGGGAGATGATTCGGAAATTGAGTGAGGACGAACAAGTTTCTACTTAGGACAAGCGTAGTTCATAGAAATTGGAATGGTCCCTACATCGAAGATGGGCTTACGACTTATTGGATCGGCCCTCGCTCAAACAAAACTGAGGAGCTCAATAGAGTCAAAATACGGATTGGTGAACTATATCTCTTGGTACAACCACATTGGTGCGTGCAACAACAAAGAGTGACTACGAGGTACAGATCCAAACCAGTAATACAACACAGTAAATCCACCAGGATGTATTTATTTATGATTTATTTCATGCAAGACTCGGACCATGCGGAGGGCGACCTCGAGCACCCTCGACTTGATAGGTGTGCGCTTAGAGGTTGATGTTGATGGGGGTGCAGCCGATGGCAATGAGGCCGTCTGGGTTAGTCGGTTAGTACCTTCAAGCGCCGGGAGCTGGATGAGATACGTACTGAAGTTGTTGTTCTGGCAGCAAACGGGTTGGGCGTTGCTGTATCGCGCACAATGTCAGCGCCGGCGCGTCGTTCGAGCTGTTTGCCGACTTACCAGCTGTTGCCAGGAAGGCCGATGATGCTGATTGGGCTGCAGGTGAGACCAACGAGGACGTTGAGGTCCTGGAGGACAATGCCCAACAATCCCAAGAGGAGGCCAGCGACGGGGTTAGACGCCTGGGTGACCGTGTTGCAGCACTGGATGGGACCAGTGTTGCATTGGCTGGGAGGGATGGGGGTAGGGTCGGTGGGAGCTGGCGCAGCGACAGCGAGGGTAGCAAGAGCAACGGTGGACAAGAACTTGAACTGCATGGTGCTAGATGAGGCTGCTTGGGAGGATGGGACTGATAGAGGCGTTTGTCTCTGAGGTTTAGTCGTCTCTTTCACCCACTTTTATATCTTTCGCAGACCAATGACTAATCGCAAAACAAGCTGCCAAGGCAAGCCATCGAGAACATGCTCACGTCTCGTATAGCCTTTATTTCTCTCCATGTGCAAGTCTGCCTGGATAGAAGGATGTCAAGCTGCCAGAAATGTGGAGTGGGTGGAGCGACGAAGATTGTACGTGACATCCCCGAAAACGGATAGCTACGATCCGTACATATCAGAGAAGCAGAACCGTTAGAGGAAACATGCTTTCTTCATGACATTAAGGGTGGATTCCTGTATGTAGAAATCAGCTACCTCTTCTGAAAGCGACTCAGAGCTGTATTGGATGATTGAAGACCAGAGGCGCTTATTTCATTCATCCATTTATGTCGCAAAACATGCCATTTCAGTGCATTTGAATGAAGGGCTGTTTTAAGCACGACACAGGTCACCAGATAGGTAGATCCTCATTGGACGTCGGCGGGAGACCACTTATTTGCTATCGAGCGGAGAATGCCATGATTCCACGAAAGGGCGATGATGCATCATTATCCAAGTGGCACAATGTAAGTGAAGGACAGGGGTGTGAGCTGCACTCAGAGGAAAGAAATTGAATGGAGGGGAAAGAACGCAACCGAGATACGGAGAAACGCCAAACTCTACGAACAATCGTCGGACGTCGGATGCAGAAGATTGGGCGAGCTAGGACCCAGACGAATATGTTTCAATCGGGAGACTTCAGCCGCCGTGCACATCCTACATACTCGAGAGTTTGTAGCGCACACAAGGACTTCCCGAATGGAACCTGCTGTCGATCCCACTGAGCCGTGGGCGGCGGAAGATTGGCATTGAGGGATCAATAGAAATCCCTTTTCGCAAGCAGCCATGAAAACCTCCGCGGTGGGGTTGTCAGATAGGAACATCCCAGCGGAATATTCCGAGGATCCCATTGGATAGGCGATGTCTATTCTAGAGGCTAATATGACACGCTCGAGGCCTCTGGTGACACCAACAAGGAAAGACTATCGTCTTGTTTTGTGCAGATTCGGAATAAAGTTGGTGCCCATTGCCGGCAACCGTGTATCAGCGGCGATACATGAACGTTAACACACAGAGAGGACGCCATGCAACTGTGGGTGGTCGGTGGAGATGGGCGTCGCCGATGGAGACAATGAGTGGACTCTGTCAGCGTCGCGGGGTTCGGAATGCGACAGAAGTTGACCTCGGCCCATGGCCCTGCGCTAGAAGTCCGTCGTGGTCCCTTGTTACCTTAATCAGCGCAACGTCCCGGAACCGGACGGTGGGACAAGGACCCTCCACAAGTAACGAGAGCCTTGTCAACATGTCACCATCGCCTGGGTGCTGCGATGCTAATCTGTAGCGCTATCAGATAACGCACGCCCGCTCGGAGTGCGCTGTGGCCGCAGCCCTGGAACCAATCGGGGGAGGACAAAACGTTATTGCTTCATTGTCGACGCCATGCCTTAGCTGCCAAGGGAGCAAATTCCAATGCTCACCAGGGATTGGTGGATACTGAGCTTCTGGGATCTGTCAAAGGCATCGGACATTGAAATTTCTGGAGCAGGGACAGGTTTTCCTGACGGATGACCGCAAATTGGTCCACAATGAGCGTTGCCAATAGCTGGAATGCATCATTCTTTTTCCCAGAGTGAAGACAGCAGTACTGAACGAGACGCCGTAAAGGTTTGGAAAAGGTGACGGTTCTGTGCGATTGACAGGCGGAAAACCCACGAGGACCTCGCAAGACAACGCTAGAGCGAGCTGGCCCCGAAACATGGCGAAGAGGGATAATGTAGACCCTATCCCTGTTCTAGAAGGTGATGTCGTGGTTGATTCAGACATGGTGTAGGGGCCCCGTTTCCCAGGAGAGAAAAGTCTTTGACAAGAGTTGGCGAAGGAAAAGTGACAACCGATTCAACACATCAAATCTGTCTTTGCCTTTATTTGGGCCTATAGGGCCACGCCTTGCTTTGCCTTGGGTCGGCGAAGAGAGAGAACGGGGAACACCATCGATTCAGGAAAGAACAAAGGCACAAAGTACATACAGTAGGTGGAATAAGTGAGGGATGGAGTACAGATAGGGGAGTACAAAAATAGGGCAACAGTAGTAGTAGTAGTATTCTCCGCCGCGAACCCAGACTAAGTAACATGGCCCTAACTACTTGTTATCTTGAACCCGTTAATATAATCACCCGAGTGGCGGATCTCAAACGTTGATATTGACGGGGGTACATCCAATAGCAATGACACCCTCTGCAGAACAGTCAGCTTAATCTAAACGAATCAAGTTATGTGGTGCGGAAAAGGCTCACTGAAGGAGTTGTCCTCGCAGCAGACGGGCTGGGAAGAGCTACAGAAATATGGTTAGCGTCAGTCCGAATGCAGCGAATGCTTGGAAAAGACATACCAAGAGTTTCCAGGGAGGCCGATTACAGAGATCGGGCTGCAAGTGATACCAATAGGGATGCTCAGGTCCTGGACGACGACGCCCAAGAGGGCAAGGAGCGTAGACGCAGCCACGCTGTCAGCCCTTTGAACACTCTCGCAACACTGGATTGGACCGGTATTGCACTGTCCTGGGCCGGGTCCGGGAGTCCCTGGAGGGGTGGAACCACCTCCACCACCGCCGTTGGGAACGGCAGCGGAGACTGCAGCCAAAGCGAGAGAAATGAGAGCTTTGAATTGCATACTGAGCTGAGAGGCTGTGGTCGACTATGAGGATGCTTAGCTTGTTCAAGCTGAAGAGCTGGCTACATCGTTCCCCGCTTTTTATACCCTCTTCAACGCCTCTAGTACCAACGCCTGGTTTTACTCGACATTACCCCGACGCGACGGTAAAAATAGCGGGTATGAGGTCAACTTTGTCGTCAGTGCTAAAACTAGAATGAGCGACTTCTCGTGATACGGTGGAGTGTGCATGGTGGGTGTGGGGCGCAGAAGCAAGAGAACCGCTGGGGTTCCTCGCACAGGGCCTGACGATCGCCGCCGCTGGGGTCGATCGCCAGCGGAGGTTGGCAGGCGCTTCTTGGTCCCGGGAACACGGATTGATTCTCCAAACGATGTCCAGGACTCCAAGTACGCCTTGAAAGGCCGAGTGGTTGCAAGAGCACGAGGATCATGACGACAGTGCGCTAACTGTCGACAGCGATCGAGTTCCGCACTATTCCCTCATGCGCACCAATAGAACTGACATGTTCTTCTTCCAACATCAACTGGGCTTCGCACCTTGAATATCGCAGGAAGGACGACTCACACTGACTCGGTTTGTGTCATGGACTTCTCTTTCGCGTCACGGAGCTCCAACTTATCCATCCTTTCTGCAGGACGCCGAGCTTCAAATTCAAATTCAAGTGCTTCTTCAGGGAAAGGACTGAAGCTTCCACCTAGTTCGTGACCATGGACTGTGCCTCCTCACGGCAGTGACGGCGCGAGAACATGGAAAGAGGGAAAAGGCTGGCTCCAGAGAACTTCCGAGTGCATTACATCAGACAAGCTTTCAGCTCTCACACACAGCTTCACAGAAATAACAACGAGGGGTAGGTCTTCGATTCACGGAACATATAAGCTACACAACTACAGAACCCTAGTAATGCAACGCCACTTGACATGTTCACCAAATCAACAGACCCATTCAAACTCAGAAATATTGTACAGCTGCTCCACTCCGTGTACTCAAACATCCCCCACATTCTTAAACGTTGATGTTGATCGGGGTGCACCCAATAGCAACGACACCGTCTGCAAATATATCCGTCAGCTCGTCCGATCCGGAAGAACCAAGTCAATAATAACGGTTCAAACTCACTGAAGCTGTTATCCTCGCAGCAAACAGGTTGAGTCGAGCTATTCCGGAACGTCGGTTAGCGCTCGTTCTAAGTTTCTTGGCACAACCAAACGCGCCGCCCACTTACCAAGAATTGCCGGGGAGGCCGATGACAGAGATAGGGCTGCAGGTAAGGCCGATGGGGATGTTGAGGTCCTGGACGACGATGCCCAAGAGACCGAGCAGCAAAGAGGTGGCGGGGTCCTTGGCCGTCGAGATGCTGTTGCAGCACTGAACGGGACCAGTGTTGCATTGGCCTTGGCGGGCTTCCAAGGGGCCAGCGGCGGCGGTGGCGGCGAGGAGAGCGAGGGTAGAGAGAACTTTGAATTGCATGATGTTGAGAGGTTTGGTTAAGACTGCGCTGGATGCACTGGGTTACTTTGAACGAGTTTGTTCGAAGTGAGGAACGATTGACCGTCTCCCTACCTCTTTTATAGCCGCTCGAAAGCGCGTTTGACGACTGCAAAGAAGTATAGTTCGTCAGAGCAAGAGTCTATGACAAAATCTATGACCTACCATGATACCAAGTGGTGGTGCAGCGACTTTCATTCTCTTGCTGTCGACCCCAGGTCGTGTCGAGGTGGAGCACCAGGGTCGGAAAGGCGGAGGAGTGGCGACCGACACGCTGTCCTGGTTATCCCAACATGGAAGTCAACCCTTTCCCAGACGGTGTATATGCGGGAAAACCAGTTGTCGTCCCTTGACAGGACAATTCCGTAACTCTGGATGAACCAAAAGGAAATAGCAAAACGTGCAGATCGAACTTAGTACTAGTACTGCTCCACGGAGCCAAAGATAAAGGTGTGATAATGTTGGACATGGCAGAACCCGTAAAACGTCAGCGCTGAAGCGGAAGAAGAAGAGGAACTTGGTTTTGAGCTATTCTAGTCCCCAAAGTCGAAGAATGGCTGGAAGACGCCCCTCAGCTCGAAGATCGCGCCTCGTACCGTCTGGAATACAAGGGCGGGGTCACGAGTTAGTCCTTCAGGCTGCGGGGAGTGAATTAGTGACAGAGCGACGCGGATCGAACCTTAATTGACGTTTGAATATCAAATTCGGGAAACGGTCCTGACTAGATGGAGAGGGATTTTCCGCATCTGAAAAGAAAATACCCACCGACTCTCACTCCACCAAAAACAATATGAAGCTATTGTCCGTGTCCCTCGAAATTTTCAGGACAGGCTGGGGTCCTCGGCTCTATACGCAGAAAGCGAAAGAGGGCGTCCGTTAGCGTGCAAAAGAGGAAAGCTCCAACGAAGGTGGTAAACGAAAACCCATACCAAACTCCAATCAATCCGAAGCGTTGCGAAAGGCTGCGAGCTGGGTATATAGAGCGACAAATGTCCTGCAATATGACCCATAATGGCAACCTATGAGCGCATGCCAGAAGTGACAAGACGTCCGACACGGTTTCTTCAAGTTCCACAATTCAGTTTTCCCGTAGTGGCCCCAGCAATGATATCGATGCTACTGGAACACCACACGTATAACCTGAGACGACCTGTACAAGCCAGCGCATACGAAGCACTTCGTACAAGCGGTGCGACATAAGATCGACGTCATGCTAGAGCCTCTGAGGGTCATACTTCGACGGTGGAAATAAACAGGAGATGGGCGCTGACAGTCCCCAGCCTAGAGCCAAGCCGAGACGCGAGAGAGCCAGTCCAGAGTGTCCCAAGTTGGTAGTCACGGCCAATGAGAGACTGCGATCAAGAAGAGTATCCCTGGGTCTTCATCGACACCCCACGACAGAGAACGCGGATGTTGGATGAGCAGGGACAACGTTCGACCGTACCCCTCGCGGAGGAGAACACCATCCGTCTTCTTTGTCGATCATGGAACAGGACTGGGCCTCTAGAGGCCCGCAAGATAGACCGCAGAGAGCACCTGAGAGGAACGTGGAGGGTACCGACGCAGTGCACCGTCAGCATGTCGGTTCTGGCGCGATCCACCGCTGTGAAGGCGAGGAATTCGTGGAATCAGAGATTTCCCACCCAAGCCCCAGCATGAGAGCAGCAGTAGCTAGTCTCGCGTCTCTGCTTTCCAGGAGGGATACAGAGCCTATCCGTTTTGGTACTCTATGTCACTACCCAGAGTCCAGCGGCAACCAGTCCAGTTCGCCATTGGCGCCTCGAGCTCCCAGGCCTTCCCTTCGTACTGTCGAGATTCACGGACGGAACCGCACAGCATAAGAATCCCAGCGTGTCACTGCTCCCTTAAGAATGAGTCAAAGCCTGCGCGCTTTCTTACTCTTGCATGGACCGCCAATCGCTGCTCTGTCCTCGTCGTCGTCGGTGGTGATGCGGATCCCGCAACCTCCGGCGCGAACCTCCCGCCGACATCGTGTTTGTACCAGCTTGCTACACCTTCCGATCATCTCGGATAGTTCGGCGACGAGGTGCCAAGTTCGTTGCGTGCCCGGTCGATCCCACCCACTGATAGTGAGTAGTCCAACAAATGTCCAAAAAAGCGCTCGTGTATACAGTAGGTGTAGGAACATAAGCGATCACAACAGACAACGTAAATCACAACAGCCAGAACGTAAAACACAAAAAGACACACAGGCTCATGAATATGTATGTACCCGAGCAAAGTTAAAAGACTCAGTACCCTAAAACCCAAAAACAAAAACAAGATTAAAACCTTGAAACCCATCGGAACATAAGAGATTTTTGACAAGAAGTAAACAAGAAGTTGACAAGGAAAACCGAGAAGAAAGAAAACCAAAACCTAGCCCTAGGCACTCCGCGGGTGGCTGCAGGCTCGGGTCTCCCAGCCAATATACCATCGAAATACCAAGGATAGAAGTTAGTAGTAACCAGGCAATTCGCGAATGGAGTTGAAAGAGGAGTATAGTAGCTATCGAGAGAGAAAGACCCTACATACAAACAAACCAGAAAAGAAAGGAACCAATATATGCGTACCACTACCTCTAGACTCGTGAACCAGTCGGTTCGGTCCCCTCAGTTCGAATAGAAAAATGATGAACTGTTGATGAAGGCGTTGATGGTGATGGCGGAGAACCAAAACCATCAGTGGATACGTGATCTCATCACCCTCTTTCGTCAGAACCGAGCTGGTTCACGAGCCTACACTACCTCACAAAGAATCCAACAAGTCTGTTAGCCGGGAACGCCATCGCCAAGCCAGAATCCATCCTGCCCTGGTTCCTCGAAGCGCATAGAAATTGCAATTGAATAGACGTCCCAAAAAAGGTCCAGCCAAGCCACCACATCTCGGGCCCGGGGGCAGCTGACTCTGAGCGACCGAATTTTCCAACCTCTTGACTCCGTCTTGGGTATGTACCGGGGGACTTGGGTAGCTGAGTCCTCCGAATAAAATCAGCCGCTGGCCAACGCCAACAGAAATCCGCCTTTCGAAATCCCAAGAGCTCGGAGGTACGAGTGTGAAAGAGTGTGTAGTAAAGAGTTGTCCGCCGCGTCCGGACCAGAGAGCGGATAGGATAGAATAGAATTTCGAGTCGTCCAATCCGAATCGCGGGTTGTGATCAGTGCATAAAATAGGGGGGAGGGGATGACGATGGAAATAAACCATAAATCGGCCAAGTCCTGAACCACCCTACCCTAAGCCTTAGCCCAATGCGAACCCGGACCCCTCCACGTCGCTCGTCGTTCTTGTTCATTACGCGCCCGGGCCTAGTGAAGTAGCGCAGATCCAGGGACGGCCTCGGACAACGGACGACTGTAAACTTTAGAAGAGCTTGAAGTAGTACGCCATGGTTGGAACTTGGAACTTGGAACTTGGGAGGAGGCGAAGGGCGAGGAGGTTATACGTAGTAGCGAAACGAGGTAGGGTAGGTGAATAGCAAAGTGGTACGTGGTTACTATGTAGCCGCCAAGAAAGCCCAAAACCCATCGAAAAAACGAAAAATAAGGAAAAACAACAATGCGAACGAGGGATGCTGTGTGCTAGGAATGAAGCAAAGGCTGATGATGGCAAGGTGGTGGGTGGTGGTCGTCGTGCATGGGGTCGTAACGAGGAACAAGTCATGAGAAAGTATTAGAGAGAGACTCAACGAGAGTAGAGAACAAGGGAATTGAAGAAAAAACACACCTAACCGACTAAAAACGCAATGCAAAAAAAAAAAAAAGAAAACATAGACATGGTATAGATAAGAAAGAACGAAAAAAGCGGGGAATCAACCAGAAGCGTCCGTATATCAGCCCAATATTGCCTACCCCTCGGCGACGAAAAAGAACAAGACAAGACGAAAGAGGTGGCTAGTAAGAGAAGCAAAAAAGAAAAAGAAAAAGCCAGTCCTCCGGCACCAGAATTCGAAACCAGAACACATCCCGCCCTCCATAGACCGATTCCTATAAAAGACTAGGATTCCGTCTCTGGCCCTGGCGTTGGCTCCGGTTCTGAATCTGGATCTTGTTCTTCGTCGATTGTATCCGAGGGTGAAGGCGCTGGTGTGGAACTAGGTGTCGTGTCTTCCGTCAAAGTGACCACCACCGTCTCCGTCTGGGTGACCACCTCCGTCACAATAACCGTCGAGAAAGCCCCACCAGGTCCCACCAGCGTGCTACGCTTCCGCTCCGTCCTCGTCTCCGTCTCCACAAACGTACTCGTCTGCACCGGCCCATCGTCACCCGTCTTCCGTTGCGACATCTTCCCGCCGACCGCGCCTCCGACCACGGTGCCAATGAGAACGAGGATGATGAAGATAAAGACGAAGATGCCGGTCTTGGATTTCCAGAAGGGCGACAGCCGGTCCGCCATTTTGTACGGCGTCTCCTTGAATACGGCTTCGAGGTCGTCGTCGTCCTCGTGCTGGTCGCGGTCCCGCCGGTGCTTCGATGATCTCCTGCCTCCTCCTCCTCCTCCTCCTCCCCCCAACACATCCTCCTCCTTCGATAGATCATACGGATCCCGAAACGCCAGCCCCCCTCCTCCCCCTCCTCCTCTCGATCTCGTGTCCTGCTGCGAGTCCCGCCGATGCGTCGTCTGCGCCAAAATTGTTGAATTGGTCGGTGATCTGGATTTGGACTTGCGTGCTGATGTCCGCGCTTTTGATGACGATGAAGAGTCTTCTACGCCCACTGTGCTCCGTGATAGCGGTCTGTTGGTGACGATGAGGGGCGTGGTCGGGGTTGTCGCTGTTGGTGTCGTCGGTGTTGAGTTCACGGCTACGGCCGTCACGGTTTCCTGGTCTATTGATAGTGCCCGCTCTGTTTTCGAGGTGTCGTCCTGGACGGAGTGTGTCAGGACTCGGGGCGCCACCGCAAGACTGGAGATTAGGCAATCAGGAGTACGTACCTCAAAGCCACTCTCCCTGCTCGCCTCTGTACTCGTTCGTGCTCCTGAACTAGACGGCATATCTGAAGCTCGTTGTTACCAGCGGCACGCGAGTGGCATTAGGAGATACAAGCAATCCCGAATTAATTGCCTTGCTGGACTTGAAAGAATAAGGAAAGGGGGAGCCTGAATGCCTTGAAATCAATACGGTACCCCGAAAGCTTCCTGAGAAACGCGTCCGCTTTGTCGCCGGAATTGATTCGCAAAAAGCTGTGAAAAACCCCTGGTTCGTCGTCGTTGCGGGTCCGGTGTCGTCGTCACCGCACAGAGTCGCCAGCAAAGAACAGGTTCGAGGCTCGTGTGCGTGCGGAACTAGCAACCAAAAGTCTGCGCCGTGGTCCAAGCGTTGAAGGTACTGAGTCGAGTGTTGTGTGTCGTCGTTGGCCGTCGTCGAAGAGCACGGCACCGGTGTGCAGCGTGCGGGCAATCCTGAAAAGTCAAGCAAGAGGTCTAGGCTTGGTGCACCATCAATTAGGGTACTTGCTTACAACGTCCAATAGTCAAGCTCAATCCACCCACTCGCCCCCCTGTCGTCTGCTGATTGTATCGAGTTCGTCGTTGGCGTTGGCGTTGTCGATGGTGGCGGCAGCTGTGGCCTTAAGCAGCTGAACGTGTGCCCTTCCCGAACGAGTCTGTCGCGGTCATCGTCAAGAGCAAAACAGGGCACCTCGACAAGGCCGCTTGGGGCGATTGATGGAATGATGTGGCGCCAAACAAACACCGTCCTTCCAACCTACACACTCAAATTTCATGCTCAAACTTTACGTTTCTTCGAGAGTTTTTCTGAGTTGCTCTAGTGGTTGTCTTAGAATTGGTATAACTTTGTCTCGAGTTGGCTTTTTGACAACAAGGCTGGGTGCTTGAAACCACTGAGAGCAGGTTATATAGAATGGAGAAGCCGGCGTGTTCCGTGATGGTCAATGGGACATACCGAACACCGTCCGCGCCCCAACCCCTGCCGCGCCCGACATCAGCCCCTGTCTTTGGCCTCGAGCAGAACTCAATAGAAAACCTGCCATCCATCGCCGCCTCATCAATAGAATAGAAAACACCTGGGTAAGACGGTTGATATAACATAAGGCGTGTACTCTACATAACAAACAAAATAGACCACTTATGTCCGCACCCCAATTTTTCAAGTTCTATGCAGTGTCAAGAAGCTGGCGATTCAACGCGCTGGAAACCTTCGAGAAGACTTTGCGATCGCCACGAGGCTGCCCTAATTTTCCTCGCCGCAAGATGGGATCGTTGGAAGAGGACCCTGCTTTCTATATGCGACTATCATGGGGTATTTGCAATTATGATGCGAGCGCATTCAGGGTTAGTGAGAATTTGCAACACGAGGGTACAGGGTCTTAGGCGCTTCGAGGGCGCTTAACCAACTGGGTGTGGAGCGAGACGTTTCCTCTTCAATTGATGACTAAATGGACACTTTTATGTCGGCTACGAGAGGAGAAAGAGTGGTCTTGAACAGCCATACTTAAATCAAGAGGACTTAAGAGTGCACAACCTTGCGCTGAGCCCTAGCCGACGGCACTGTCCGAGTTAGACATGAAAACGTACATGTACTTCCAGTTGACAGCAGGCGTGGCTGAGGTACACCGAGCGGTGCTTAGAATTATGTGCACGAGGACAAAGTACTTATTTAAATCGCCTTTGCGATCGGAGGTATGTCGATATTCCGACGGGGTGAGGCGACTCAGGCTGGGTAAAGGAGGGAGGGGCACAGGATCTCGTCTACATATCCACGGCTGGAACCCGTTCACTTGCACTGAGTGAACGCTCATCGCAGAGCGGTGACACTGAGCCACGCGTCCTCCACACCTTGAGTTGAACTTGACTATCAGCGAAGCTATATTTTCCACCTGCACATAATACACATGTGATACTAATGATGCCCATGAGGGGGCGCCAGAGCGTGAATGAAGTGTATTCAGATGGAGTGCGGAGACTTCCACGGGAAGTCGATGTGAGATCGAACGCAAATGGGTAGCACAGAAGTAAACTGTGTGAGCACTGAGGCTTCGTTAGCCCTCTTTAGCGATGTTGCACGACGGTGATACCCGCGTCTTTACTTCACGTCTTTCCACCTTGGTTATCACGACCCATGGACTCAAACGGAGCAGACAGACGTGCATAAAAGAACGAAGCAGTCTCCATACGTATTCCGAGGGCATGTTTCTTGATTGGAAGGGGAATAAATAGTGGATGATCATACCACAGAGATGTTTAGTGTAGAATTGGAATCCAGTGAGAGCACAGCAACAGAAGCATTGGCAAGAACACTTCTTAGCGCTCATCACTAATTAGCCTGTTTGCAGAACAGCCATGCTGATACATACATACCCGCACCTTCACTCCATTTTCGTGATAAGCCATCACCGGCCCTCGACTGCTCCGGCATAAATACAAACCTGATTGAGACGCTATACAAAACGCTGGAAGTCTCTAAGGTTATCCCTGATATTCTCCCTAGCGTACATAGTTCTGCAACCAAGTAATCCTGATGAGCGTCATCGAGGAGTAATCGAGCTTCTCCGAAATGTTTAGTAACAGCCTCGCTAAGCGCTGGGTCTACGGCGAGCGCTAAACTCCGAGCCCATCGCGACGGAGACTACCCTCTTCCGGTCGAACAAGATGACAATCATCGACCTGGCTTCGAGATCGACTGCAGGCTGCCCCAGCGGTAATTAGAATTTAGACGCGCCCGCGCCCTCACGGCCTCCACTTCAAGAGCTCGAGGCAGTTCCAAGAACCCCCTAACAACTTGCAAATTCAATTCCTTGGAACCCCTGAAATAACAACGCGTGGCGCGCCAAGACGAGGCGTTCTGATCGCTGTTTGATCACGTTGCGATGTGAGGTGAGAACTCTCCTGTCAGTGCGAGGGTTTCCCTGTCTGTCTCCCTCCGCCCGAGGGACAAAAAGATTCGGAAACAAGGTACAGCTTCTCGCGTCGCCGTTAGACGGGGGTTGTCCCAGGATGGTTATCGTCACAGCTTCCCTCACCCGTTCTCACCTTCAACTTCTTCCTTACACACATTCCTTCCTTATGCCCTCCTGATCCACACCCCTTCGATGTTGTTTTGGCATTATATCCTTCCCTTCTTTTCTGTTTTCCTATCTGTGTGTTATTCATTCGAGTTTAGTCACAATGAGCCTACGGAGTGTGGGGAGTTGACTGTCGAGTGGTCGGGTATGTCACGGTCGTTTGTCTTCTTTACCATTAGCACTCTGAACTTTAGCTCACCGTGGTCGCATCCATTAATTAGGAGGCTCGCCGCCCTTCAGCTTGCTGATCATACCAGTGAGTACACCCATTCCTGCTCAACGCCGTTTCTGAACGACGACGCGCGCTTTCAGCCCGGTTTCCCTCTTCGAAACATCTCAATACCAGATTCTAGTTTTGTAAATGGCGCGGGGACGTTTTCGACACAGCTGGACTTGCCAGCCGACAGAGAAATACTGTTGGCAATGTCAGATTCGACGGGGACCACAGCGGGCGGGATAACAGGAGCAATAAGGGTCGGGGCAGCGCTGGACGGTGCTTCGTGTGACACTACAGGTCCAGGTGAGTTCCCAACCCGTCTACTTACAAGCGCACTTGGGCTAGGGTCTTATCTGCCGAATGGTCTAGCTGCGGATTTCTTTTTCTCGTTGGACGGGCGGTTGGAGCAATGCGGGTACGTTCGAGCAATTCGTCGATTGAGTTAGCGTCTCAAAATGTCACCATTTCAGGGACTATCCGTTCACAAACTACGACGGCGCAACGCGTCCAGTAACCGTCTTCGTACGTTCTTTACAACCATCTTCAAGCTATATATACCCCATGTCGAGTTCTCAACGCGAAATTTGGATACTAGGGCTTCATCCCAAGCGGAGAATCATTCATTATCGACCCCCAATCCGACGACGCCTTCGACTGGAGAGTCATCTTCCGAGCTGGAACTCAGATTACTTTCTACATGCGCGACGCGGAAGGACGAAACGGCGGGACTTCACGAATCATCTCCGTCGAAGAATCGAGCGACGACTCGTGCTTACCACCACCAACACCAACGACCCCCAGTACCCCTGCGTCCACATCCCAATCCTCTTCTGGTACAGGAACCCCAAGCCCCAGCGGTGTGAAAGGCGGATCCACCAATGAAGACGACATCAAAGGTGGCGGCAGCGGTGGGAACACGAGCAAGGACTCAAAGAACGAGGACGGGCCAAACATCGGCGTTATCGTAGGCGCAGCGGTCGGCGGCCTCGCGTTCCTCGCCATCTTCGTCTTCCTCGGAATATTCTTCGTCAAACGTAATACCAACCCGCCAGCCCCGTCGATTCATACGGGGAAGTCGATTACGGATGTTGGGACCCTTGCGACGTTTGGGACGGCGCCTACTGTACCGCTACCGCCACATGAGGCTTTACCGAGTGTTCGACCGTATGATGTGGGTGCGGGTGGGGGGATGGGAATGGGAATGGGAACGGGAACGGGGATGGACTCGCAGGGTGCGGTAGCGGGAGGTGGACTCTACGCGAGTTACAAATCCTCGTCCAATCCGAATGGGAATGGTTATGGGGCGTACCAGCGCGTTCCATACGAAGCTTCAAGCCCGAACTACCAAACAACGCCCGACGTCTTCTCGTCCCAACAAGCCGAGTTCAACCCCTACGCGCCTGCACACACCGCTTACAACAGCCACTCCTCGCAAGGCTCGACAGGGGCTGGCACTGCTGCTCCGACCGCCTACGGCTACAACCAACCACAATCTCAGCCAAATCAAGAGCCGTATACGCATTATCGCCAGGGCTCACATCCGTACTCGACACCGGCGGCGTACCAGCCGACGTACGAGCCGTCTGATAGCTCACCTACGAGGCCGAGTCATCAGCAGCAGCAGTACTCGCCGCGGCAACAGACGAGCACCCTTTCGTCGTCGGTCCACCAGTCGTCGCCGCGCCCGGTGGTGCGGCATCGCGACATTGACGATCCTGGTACGCCTGAGGACCTGCCACCGGAGTATTCAGATAGACGAGCTCCGATACCTGGTCTGCCCAATTCGCGAATTACTTGATTAGGGGAGTAAATAATCGGATTGGGATGGGGATCTGAGGACTCTGGAGAGACTGTTGTGGACAACTGACAGTTGTATTGGTACAGCTTCGTTTTCTAATGTTTCATTTACTTGTAATTATATTCTGGGCCTAAAGAATCTCTGCAGTTACATAGCTCTGCGTCTACTAGTAGTGGCACTCCTGGGTGTGTTAGGAAAGATGGGAAAGGAAGGAAACACGAGTCCTGGATTTCCCATATCTTTCAAGCCTTGGGAACCACATTCGAATTTGCTTTGCCAATGAGTATGGCAATAACCCTACTCATGTCCTGAATCCTGTCACAAATCGCTTCAGCAAACCTGAGTTCGTAACTTGAAGAGCGAATCCTAAGTGCAGCCTGAGTAGGCATTCGACGGCATCGGCAAATCCCGCTGATGCCTGATTTGCTGCCGTTGATCACCGATGACTGGAGGACAGTTCGTGCCTGACCATAATGGCCGCCATTCTCGGTGAATGGCCGGGGGCAGCGCTCTCCGCAAACCACTAGCAGCGAGGCTGTGGTGGTATTGTTTTCCATCCTCATACCTCTGTCTATCGTCCTCAACGTCGTCTCCTGGAGTCAGAGTGAAGTTGAATAGGGTACATTATTCTGCAGGTATGTCGTTGGAAAGACTTGGAATTTGGGTGGTTACATATTGATGTGTTGGATTTGTGGTTTTGTAGGTTGAATTATTGATTTGGGTCAGAGCGAGCGCCCTTTGTAGCTAAGAGCTTCGTGGACTAGCTTGGGTGGTCGAAGCAGACTACTTGGGGTTTTGAACGAGAATTTGGTCGACGATACGACTGTTGGACGCCTAGTCTGCGACTTTGGGGTCCAAGTTAACCTGGATACTACGACATGGCTTCTTCATCCTCATACGATGCAAGCCTCCTGAAATCAGCTCCTGAAGTCGACAAACGGGCTATCCAGGTGCGCTCCGTTTCAGCCCAAACGTACCTGCAAAGCTAAAGAGTTGGTCTATCTAGGAAGGATACAGCACAGATATCCTGAAAGAATCGGAAAAGCCTTTATTACAACCACCATCTCGAAGTAACTCCGCACCCACACCACATCCGCCGACACCCCAACGAGGAAATACGAATACGAATACGGACGGCGCGTCCCGCGAACCTAGTGTACTCGAAGCGCAGGCACCACCAGCCAAACCCAAACTGTTCTGGCGGACGACGAAGGGGATAGTCATCATCGGCGTCGTCGCCGTGGCTGTCATCGTTGCGGCGGTTGTGGGGGGCGTCGTCGGGTCCCGGAACAGCAAGAACGACAATAACAATAACGGCGACAATGGAGTACCGGTTGGAGACGAGCAGGGAGGTGCACCGGATGCTGGGGGTCAGCCGACGGGAGGGGGAGGAGCGGGCGGGGAGGAACAAGTCGGGGGCGGCGGGGTGGTGGACGAGCCTACCCGGAGCGCGACTGATGCAGCGGCGCCGCCTCCGGATGCAGCACCCACACCGCCTCCTGGTCTCCCCAGCCCCGACGATATCCCTACCCTCTTCCCGGACGCCAGCGGGGACCCTGGCCCTGGCACCAGCGACCCTCAGCCTGGCGATACGGGATTCACTGCCGCAGACCGCGAAGCACTCGTCGCTCATGCTGCTAGCGTCAACGCTGCTGGACTCGGACTCGGTTTGGATTGAGGCTTGAGGCTTGAGGTGGTGACCGCTTTCTTTGCTTTGCATTTTGGGTTACGAATGGACTGTTATGAATACTATTATTCACGATCTACTTACTTTTTTGTACAGTTTATTCGACTTGCAATTGGTTGCCATTGGTGCGATTCTATTCTACCTTTATGGGATGAAGGCCTCCCGTGGTGCAGTGTTGGGCGCTAGTTGGCATTCCTGTCACCTGGGACATGTGGAGGCATCCCGGTGTCGGAGGGATGTGATTCAGATGGAGCTTCGGGCGTAGCGCCCAAGGACGTAACTCCCACTTCTATTGAGGCTATGTTTTCGATACCCCATCGTTGCCGGCCGGGATTGAATGCGTTTCTGCGTTTCAAAGGTGCAGCGAGCGCTCCTTGGCGTTAATCTCTGACGTGAATCAATGGTCAGTTCGTCCCGGGCAGTGTGTATGTACATGTGACGACCCTGATCCTCGCTTGTTGGAGGTCTCTCAAATACATAACAGGGTGCCTTCGTAGCCCTGGATCCGCCGGTTCTTTCCTCTTACCCTCCCTCTGCATCCCTCACTGATGGCGCCGCTCGTCACCGTCGTGGCCTTGCTGGCAGCGTCGAGCCTGGCGCATGTCGCCCGTGGATTTACGTTTACGTATAGTGCCCCCACCGAGTGCGGAGAGTTGACTGTGGAATGGGAAGGTGAGTCCCTAATATTCTGCTCTGTAAATCGACGGACGTTGACAAACTGTTTGGCAGGAGGAACGCCGCCCTTCCATCTCATGAAGATCCCTGTGAGTCACTTCTTTCCTGAGTCCACTGACCATGCAATGTTCTGTTGACACTTGATGACCTATTGTAGTATGGAGGGACCCTACAAAATATCTCGATCCCAGACTCCAATTTCGTCGATGGGAAGGGAACCTTTTCGACGCCGATGACTTCCCGAGCAAGTCGGATGATAGCGCTCGCAATGTCGGATTCGACGGGTTTGACGACGGGCGGTATCACGCAATCTATGACTGTGGGCCCGAGGCAGTCTGGTAGTCAGGCTTGCAACTTGACGGAGTCTGGTACGTTTTTTGTATCCACATAATATCCTTGCGAGATACTTGGTTTTATTTAACTTGAGGATAGAACATGACTTTTACTGGTCCTGGGGTAGTCAGAGACAGTTGATTGAGCAGTGCCAGTACGGAGTTGTCCTTTGTCTTCTGTGTCTTCTTATTAAATCTAACTTTCTTCTGAAGAGATCTCATATTCACCGACTTCCAAGATGCACGATTACCAGTCACCGTCTACGTACGTCCACATCCACATCCTCCTCCTCCTTCTCCCTGAAGTTCCCAACACCACTCACCGCAAAATATGTACTAGGCTTTCGTCCCCGGCGGCGAGTCACTCATGATCGGACCCAAAGCAGACTCCTCCTTCACCTGGAAACTCGCGCTACCCGCGGGCACGCCTATAACCTTCTGGATGACGGATGCGGATGGCAGGAACGGCGGCCTCTCGCAGCTGTACACCGTCGGTGCGTCCAGCGACGACTCGTGCCTCGCAGACCGGGGTAATAACAGCAGTGGCGATTCGGACGACGACGATAAAAACGGAGGTGGAGCGCCGGTTGGAGCCATCGTTGGAGGCGCTGTCGGAGGCGCTGCGGCGCTCGCTATAGCCGTCTTCCTCGCTGTATACTTTTCTCGACGCCCGAAGGCCAAGGGGATCGTGCAGCCACTGATGGAGGAAGGAGGTGCGCATGGTGCGCATGGAGCTTTCACTGGTGGTGCCAGTGCATACTCGCCGAGTCCCAGTGGTCCTGCCTCGCCGGATTACAGGCAGAGCACGTTCACGGCGAGCAGCCCACCGCACGACTCCTCCAATGCGAGTTTTGCGGCTTCGCAGATGGCGGCTGGACAAATCTTTGTCAAGGATAGAGGCGGCCACGGTGTTCCGCCGTCGAGCTACCACAACCCCAGCGACCGACATAACTCGTTCTATGCCTCGAGCGATGTGTCGTATCAGGCTTCGTCAGGCTCGGGCTCGAGGGGGTCGCAGTATCCTCTCGCTCATGGACAGGTTTCGGAGTCGGGTCGTGTTATTGTGCATTCTGACATTACGGAGAGCTCTAATGCGGTTGAGGAGCTCCCCCCTCAGTATTCGGATAGTCGACCGCCTATTCAGGGTCTGGGGGAAGGGTCTTCGACCCCGGTTGGGGCTGGAAAGTCGTAGTGGAATCTAGATGACCTGGAACGTTCGCTCATGATGCTAACGAGATTATTTATGAAATCATACCCCCTTTTTTCTGGGAAGTACGAACTGTAGTGTAGCATTTCTGTACGTTGCCCTCGAAGTTCTGATTTTTGACGAGCTTGGTAACGACTCTTGTCATGTCATGACTCACTGTATTCTACTCCTTACGAAGCCTATCTTGTCGTTTAGCTACTATATTTCTGATGCGGCCTCTAAGACTTGGATCAGCGCCGTCGGCTCGGTGCACAGTGCCACACATTGAATACGGGCGCTAATTGAGACGTTAACCTCGTGTATCGATCGGGTTTCACGGTGTATCAAGGACTTAGGACGGGATGTGATCAGTTGCTTGTGGTGGGTATCGATGGCAATCAACGTCCCTGTGTACTGCCTTGCCTCGAGGATTGGGTGTGTTCGAGGATAGATGGAATCATGGGTGATCCCGCGGACGGGGACTGCCCGCCTGGAAGTGGCCGTGTTGGGAATTACAGCGGTAGTCACCCCTTACAACGTGTGTTGTGACTATACACCCTCTTCCAAGCTCCATCACAGACACCCACCAATCTGAAGGCTAAAACTGGGCGAAGGTCATGCTGCTGCCGCTCACATACTTCTTATTCTCTTTATTCTCTATTCTCCCAACATCCGTGTATGGCTTCGACTTTAACAGCACAAATCCGACGGAATGCGGGCAGCTCACAGTTACCTGGGCCGGTACGACGATTCATCCCTCTTGTTTCCCAACGAAGCGCGCGTTTGCTCACAGATAATCGATAACCTCAAAAGGTGGCACGCTCCCCTTCCATCTACTAATCATCACCCCCCTCCGTCCTCTACAAAACATCTCGATCCCGGACACGAGTTTCAACTCCGAAACGCAGGAGGGAGAGTTTACGTTGCAGAGACTTGAGGTTGAGGCTGGCAAGGATGCCATACTGGCGATGGGGGATGCTACTGGGGACACCTCGGGAGGGATTAAGCGGGCTGTTATGGTCAATCCGCGAGGGTCGAATCCGGCGTGTTTAGGGACGCCTAGTACGTCTTTATACTTCCTCTTTCTGGGTAGAAGTGGGACTGATATTTGACTTGTAGGAGTGGATTTCATTTTTAGAGTGGATGGACGACTCACACAATGCGGGTACGCCACTTTCTCGAGTGCATTGCCATGATGGAGGAGGTCTCATCGATGCATCCAGGGACTTCATCTTCACCGGGTACACGAATGCTACGAAGCCTGTCACCGTTCGGGTATGTTTCTTCTGCTTTTCATCGATAGATTCTATCCTAACGACCCCATGTTATGATAGGCATACATCCCCGGCGGAGAGTCCGAGGTGACAGAACCCAAGACCGACGACTCGTTCAACTGGAACATGGCACTGCGTGCCGGTACGCCAGTCCTTTTCTACATGACCGATTCCGACGGGCGAAACGGCGGTGTATCCGACCTTATGACGGTGGGCTCCTCAACCGACGACTCCTGCCTCAAACCTGCCAGTGGAGCTGGGAATAAGGACTCGGAAGACGGAGAAGGGCTAAGCGTAGGCGTCATTGCGGGCGCGGCTGTAGGTGCTGTGGTTATGCTGATTATGGGGATCCTCGTTGGGGTGTTCGTAATCAGGCGGAGGCGTACCAAGACGGTGCAGTTTGTACAACCGTTGATGAACGAAACTGGCATGGGGTACACGTCCCCGACTCAGGGCTTCTTCCACGGTACATCCCATGCTTACGCCCCCGTGCCGTCAACAACGGGATCCATGCACGATCGTCAACAGTCGCTCTCCTACTCCAATAGCCAATACTCAGCCGGCGGGCCCAGCTCAGCACCTTTCTATCGGAAATCGTATGGACCTCAGGCAGAACTCGTTCAATCAGACGCGGGAGCTTCATCATCGTCATCTGCACCGGGCCCATCGCAACCGCGCGTCGTCGTCCACCAGGATATTTCGGAGGCGCAGGAGGCTGTAGTGGAGCTCCCTCCTCAGTATTCGGAAAGTCTCGCGCCTATCCCGGGACTGAGTGGAGAGGGTAGTAGTAGTACCTCCACACCTATCAGGCAGGGGAAGTCTTGATCACCTCTTTGACTAGTGGAAACTTTTTTCTTGGATTCTAGTCGACACTCTGCTCGAACATACCCTTATGTATATTACGATGGACTGTGTTTAAATAGTCAGTATTTTTTAATCACTGTACACTCTTGACCGGGTACTCATTTCAAGGAATGCGATCCTAAGCACGGATCGACATGGTGCGCTCAACTGGTGCACGCATGGAGCAGAAGCGCCGATCATGTTTGTTAATGTTTGGGATTTGATCTCAAGGTTGAGCTCGACCTTCGAAAGGTGAAAAATCGAACGAAAGAAATCATAATCTGGTAGCATTCGTCGGTAGAGTCTGGTAAAGAATAGCGACAGGTAGGAGAAAGTAAAAGGAGGTAGAAAACCGGAAGGCGACATATACAGACGAAGTAGAGCTAATGGTACGATCAACGAAGACCCCAAACGGTAATCCAAACTGCAACTAGTCCCTCCAGAGCCAGGTCCTACTGAGTTGGCAGGGATCTCCTTTGTTAGACAAATTGTGCTTAGACGTTGATGTTGATTGGGGTGCATCCAATAGCAACGACACCCTCTGCAATGCGAATCAGTAAGAATTCTTTTGGTGAAAGTCAATGGGTTACGCACTGTACGAGTTGTCCTTGCAGCAGACGGGTTGAGTAGAGCTACCGCGTAGAAGGGTAAGAGGGGGTACACTATTATTATACAGAGCTTAGAAAGATAGACTAACCAAGAGTTTCCAGGGAGTCCAATGACAGTGATGGGGGTGCAAGTGATACCAATAGGGATGCTGACGTCCTGGACGACGATGCCCAAGAGACCGAGCAGCTTGGAAGCGGCCTCGCTATCAGCCCTCTGGACACTATTGCAGCACTGAACGGGTCCAGTGTTGCATTGGCCCTGGCGCGCCTCCAAGTTGGAAGGGGCGGCGATGGCAACGGTGGCAAGAGTGAGAGCGACGAGAGCCTTGAATTGCATGTTGAGTTGAGTTGAGAGTAGTAGGAGGCTTGTGGATATGGTGGTACTTGAACTTTTAGCTTGTTCGAGTGAGGAATTTGGATGGATTGAAGGCGCTTTTATAGCTTTTTGGGACGCGCATTGTACCGCTCAAATCCCTCAATACTATGGTTTGAGTTCATGGCGAACATGGCGAAGCGTCGTAAATGAGGTCAGCGTCGTCACCCTCGCGCATTCAATACACATCCTTCCCATGTCTAGGTGGAGTGCGCCAATTGTATGTGGGGTAGAAAGGCGAGAGGAGGTACGTTTCATCCACTAGACCAACAGATTTTCCGAGCGGTAGTCTCTGTTGTCTGTGCGCTATCGTCAACAACGACTCGTTTATCACTCCACAGAGAAGCTACTAGATGCAGTTCTATTTTCAGCACTGGATGCCAACCCTCTTCGTCATACATACCCGCGATGGACTCGCTGCATTTACCGTACATCTGGATCGTCCTTCCAGCTTGTCGTTGTTCTCGCGTCCCTCCAGGCCCGAGTCGGCCGTAATGGTCAAAATCCACAGCCATGAGGTGAGTGGGAGATCAGGTTCTGGGGTATCAGAGAGCTGGGTTCGAAAGATTCAGAGTGACTGCGCCGTCGTCATATGGAGGGGATAGTGCGACGATCTGCTGCAGGGGCGGGATGGGCTTGCACACGTGGGCTCCAAGGCGCAAGCTTCTTCCGACATATTCAAATACAAAATCAAAGTTGGCGTCTCACGCCAATTGGTTCTTTGAGCATCATCATCCCACTCCAAACGGTACTTTTGTTGATGTTCTGCCAGCGCCTGACCCTGAGGCGGTTTTGTTTTGTTTCAAAGCAGAAGGGAAAGAGTGAGTATGGACGACGTCAGCCTTCAAGTCCTGATAAACTTTGCTCTCAATTCTGATTGTTATCACTTAATCCCCAACTATGACGCACACTGCTATAACTGACCCTCGAAGAGCTTCCAGGAACCTCACTTCGGACACGTTGTTCAAGGAAAAACCCAAAATACGAAGGCTGTCCATTCCAAATCCAAACGAGCGACTGGGGAAACGGGACTACTGCCAGAACGGAACCTAGCATACAAGAAAATCGAACGACGGAGGTAATAGCAACTATGAATAGCAGCATCTCCAAATCCGAACATGCATACACGCGGGGCAAAGATCCTCGAACTCAGAACGCTAAAGAGGCTCCGCTGCCGGGAGCATTTAGGCGTTGACGTTGATGGGGGTGCACCCGATGGCGACAATGCCGTCTGTGAAGTAAAAAGGCCACATTAGTTCATTGTACGAAAAAGAAAAGGAGAAAAAGACTGCTCTGGAGCCTGTACTTACTGAAGTTATTGTTCTGGCAGCAAACGGGCTGAGTGGAGCTGTCGGGGTGAGAGAAGAAACGAAACCGAGATTAGAAACGACGATCCCAATTCAATTGAGTCCCAAAAAGCGATCTTACCAGGAGTTTCCGGGGAGACCGATAATAGTAATGGGGCTGCAGATGATGCCGATGGGGATGTTGACATCCTGGACGACAAGAGACCGAGTAGCAACGCAGTGGAGGGGTCCTTGGCGCTCGAGATGCTGTTGCAGCATTGGACGGGACCTGTGTTGCACTGGCCGCCGCTCTGGCGGGCTTCCAGGGGGCCGGCAGCGGCGGTGGCAGCGAGGAGAGCGAGGGTGGAGAGGGTCTTGAATTGCATGGTGGATAGGTGAAAGTGTAGGCTGGGGGTGCTTGCTGCGCTGGATGAACTGGGTACTTTGAACGGGTTTGTTCGAAGTGAGGAATCGACGGAGGTGTTCTCTTAGTTCTTATATCCCAGCGACTGAGGAGTCCTCTTCCATTCCAAACGACACGAGTTGGAAGATAGAACTGGGCTTGACGGAGGAGATGACCTGAGATGATCACAGAAAAGTGGTACAGAGACTGTACTCTCCTGAACGTGCTCTCATGTCGCGTCGAGGTGGAGCGCAGGGTTGTTGAGCGGGATGAACTTCGAGAAAGGAGTTGACGTCCTCCACAAACACCTGTATCAGAATGGGACGGACAAGCCCCGATGGGGCGTCTCTGCATCTACAATGCACGCAATTAGACATATTAGGGGAAACCCTCGCGCAAACTGCCGTCAGAGCACAAGTCGGGCCAGTTACACCTCTTTGAGAGACGGGCCTGATCCTGCATACCTCATGTACCCCAATTCTACCGATAACGCCTCCGAAACATCGCAACCCCATTCGCACTCCAAGTGCCTTTTACGCGATGGGAGTGTTCTGGCAATCCACAGACGCTGCAAATAGACAGGAAGACGAACCTATAAGTAATGCAGAATGAAGGACGCGGAGAAGGCAGATGGCTGTCATAAATGGAACTGCAAACTAATCATGGACGTACGAAGACAGAACAAGAACAGAACGCTACAGGAAACAGGGTCCTTGACGCACCTGATCTATGAATAGAGCAGTACCCTATGGCGAAGTGACGACTGTTCAAGGTATATGACGCCCATGGTCGGATCGGTTCTTGCTGCGAGCTTCCGTGCGGTACTTGTCCCGCACTATATTTGACGAAGATGTTCAATTATCAGAATCGAACCAAACCGGATTGCTTGGGCCGGAATGCTTGGACGGGAGGATCAGTATGTATGTCACGGTGCCAAACTTGTTAGGACCCTGACTACAGGCAAGACAATCAAGGTTGAAGGAACTCTCTCACTCCATGACATGCAATTCCGAGGGGATTTGACTTCCATAAGGAGGCGGTGGGACGGTTCTGCGTAGGCTAATGGACAAGTGGCAGACAGGTGTGCGTCCCGAAGACGAGATTGGGAATAGAGAATACCCGAAATGTTGTCAAATGGTATCTGCGGTGTCGAGAATGCCCTCCAATTACACCGCCGTGGCAGGGTGAGGAGTGCACAGTATATTAGCACGGAGAGAATGATCTGTCCGATAGCCATAGTACGTCAGCCCTACCTTTTTACCAACGGAAACTCCAAAGCTAAACGACGTATTGTTAGGACGTGTCGCTGAGGTTGAATCGCTGGCATCCATGAGAAGGACGATGGAGCGATTGGCGCATTAGACAAGTACCAGGGTATGTCAGTAGAGAGAAGGTCGACGTCACACGGGTGGACATAGGAAGGCCACGAGTTCTCGGAATGGAGGCTAGAGCACTCGAGGCAGCGTTAGAAACCGCCGACCGTAGAGACGAGAGCGGTGGACGCCTGGTAGGGTCATATGAAAGCACCCGCCCAGAGGTTACGCGGGCTCGGAGAGAAGACCATATGGATTGGTAGGCTCCTGGTGTTCTGGCTGCGCAGAACCCCGCGACGCAGAAACGAAGAGACTCGGGGCCGTCCAACTTCCAGGCAGTCCTTCCAGCGAAAGCGAGAGCTTTCCGTGACATTGAAGCTGCTATCGCGAAGGTAGGACGAGATCACTCCCTGTGCGAGACAATGGAAGATTTCCCGCTTTCTACCTGCAGTATCGTGGTCGCTGGTTGGGAAGGTACCCGTTGGTCAGGTCTTCCTGGCCCCTGTAACTGTGGGAGAGTTGGATACGGGTAATAAGCTGTCCGCAGGCTTCACCCGCGGATATCCACCCTGGCTGAAGTCCGAGGGCGTGCATGATCGGGGCAGAACGTCGGTAGTCGCACAGTGGAGTGGACGGACTTTCGGACGCAGGTCGCAATGAGATCTAATCTTATCTTATCGACCGCGGCCCTTGAAGCTGAGCGGTACTGTGTACTTCGCTACATCTTCACGGTGCTTCGCGAATGGGAAGCAGTAAGAAATCAGATACTTATCTTTGGACAGGGTAACTTTACTCTCACCTGGGTCCCAATACATATATGCACAAGGATGGTCACGCATGGATAAAGCATTCGGGACAGTATTCCAACGAATCCTCCCAAAGTCGAGTAAAGGTGTGGCATTGGTGCATAGCAGAGTCATAATCAGTAGCTATGCATGAGTGCTGAAGCTGAACCCTCCCGAGGTGACTGGCGCGCTTCTGACAGAAAAGCTGGCGCTATGCAGCTCTTTGTGGACCATTCGGGAAATTGGACTCGTTGTATTTGATGTGGATGACGAGGAGTCACAGTAACAGTACAGTTGAGCTGCTATCAGGAGGCAATCGAGGTCGGCGGAATTGGCGCTCGTTCTCCTGGTCGCGATCGGATCTGGGCTGGTTGCAGGTCCCAGATTCCAGAGACACTGTTGACGATGAACGCTGGAGGGTGCAGCTGTTCGCAGCGACATCTGCCAGGACCCTTGTAGTCTGACTTGTCGAGCTTCTCCGCTACTTCTTCTTGCCTTTCTTTTTCTTGACACCTCCGGATTTGGGACCAGACGACTGGGGTACCGTCGAGCTAGGCGCTGTCGTAGCTTCCGAAGCGGCTGGAGGCTCTGGAACCGGGACTTCCTTTGGTCTCTGGCGGTTCTGCATCTTCTCCATGAGGGAGAGATTCAGCGATTCGAAACGATTCAAGAAGATCGACGAATATGTTTTGAATTTCAGGCACTGGTAGGCGTTCAGAACGTTGCCAAAGCCCAAAGACAGCGTACTCACCGTGACATTGTCTGTGATTTTCAATACCAGCTTTCCCTCTGACGATTTCCATTTTACACAGTACCGAGTCTGTCGTGGACGATGTCAGCGACATATCGAGACCGATGAGCAGAATGCGACGTACCTGGTTGGGCGATTTGGCATACAAGGCCTCAGCAGCGTCCTGGAACTCCTGCCAGGACTGGATGTAGACCATTGTTGCGTGGTCGCTGTCGACGACGACGACGACGCCCAAGCCGACGATGAACTCGGGCCTGGCCTGCAGCGTGCGAAACAGTCATGCCAGGATCACGTTCACGGTTCACGTCACATGCGCCCCTATTCCACGTGCCCGCGAGATTCGGATTTCGGAGCTTCACAGTGACCCCAGGCCCTAAAGGCCGACTTGTTCTTGAACCACGACAATCACAGACCAACCAAGGACGACGACGGCGACGACGACCACGATATGGCCACAGAACACAAGCCAAAGCGTAGGGGATTTGTTCTGCTATACAGCTGGAAACTAACAGCCTTGTAGCCCTGCCATTCGCTGCCAACTTCGCCGCCGGAGCAATCGCGGGGATTTCTGAAATTCTGACTTTCTACCCCCTCGGTAAGTTGGTCGTTTGTTGGACCTGGATAGAGAGACTGACCTATACAGATGTTGTATGTTGAATCGGCCAATTGTTATCAACACCGTCAATTAATGGCACACGATAGGTCAAAACACGAATCCAGCTCGATACAGGCAAGTCCCAGGGGCTTGTGGGCACGTTCAGGTCCATTGTGAGGGAAGAAGGGTGAGTAAAGAATGGTGTTTACTGTTTCAAGACAATGTACTGACGTGTCCTCAGTGTTGGTCGTTTGTATCGTGGTACGGATGGGATTCAGTGCTAGGATCTGCCTTGTCATAACAGTCTCTTCGCAATTGCCCAGGCCTGGTTCCCCCGCTGCTTCTGGAAGCACCAAAGCGTGCTGTCAAATTGTGAGTACTGTGTATGTCTGCGGAGGGAGGTCTGGAGGTGTTGGAGAGCGCGTCGACGAACGGTTCGGAGCATGCCCCATCAATCCAAACCCCTAGTCGGTTTGCCGAGCTCTGTTCATATTCTGAGCACTTACAGAAGGTCTAAGGCCCTGCAGTGGGACGCGCTGACGCGCTTTCCGCGCTCCTGACCTCCTTAAACCCCCGCAGTTATTGACCAGAAGCTTACCCGGATCCCCTTCAGTGCTGCAAATGACTTCTGGGGAAAAACATATCTCGAAGCGTTCGGTGAAGCCAAGATGACCCAAAGCATCTCCGTTCTAACAGGAGCCAGCGCCGGAGCAACCGTACGTCCAAGTTATTTGTGGTGAATGCGGTATGCTGACTTTCAATCCAGGAAAGCTTCGTCGTCGTACCATTCGAACTCGTCAAGATCAGGTATGGCCATATTGAAATTTTATGATCGTTTCCATGTATCCCCTCATGCCAAGCAACCTACTAATTGCTCTCTAGGCTCCAGGACAAGACAAGTACCTACAAGGGACCAATGGACGTCGTAAAACAGGTCATCCGCAAGGAAGGCCTTCTTGGTTTGTACGCTGGAATGGAATCAACGTTCTGGAGGTGGGTCACTTGTCCCTCTGATCAGCAGGAAGAAGCTTAACCTTCCCCTCAGACACGTGTACTGGAATGGTGGATACTTCGGTACCATCTATCAAATCAAAGCACTCCTCCCTAAGCCCCAGAGCAAGGAGAGCGAACTCTTCAACAACTTCGTGTCCGGTGCTATCGGTGGTTTCGCCGGAACAGTGCTGAACACACCGTACGTTTCCCAGTCTCCCCTTAGCTGAGTCTGAAAGGTCTGACCACGACAACCCTATAGATTCGACGTTGTCAAATCACGAATCCAAGGAGCAGAACGTATCCCAGGTGTCGCCCCCGCATACAACTGGACATACCCTGCATTAGCCAAAATCGCGCGCGAAGAAGGTGTCGCTGCGCTCTACAAGGGTTTCATCCCCAAGGTTCTCCGGCTGGCACCGGGAGGAGGTGTGCTGCTGCTCGTTGTGGAGTTCACGCTGGGTATCTTCCGACAAGGTGCGTCATGGTGTCTTTTTTAAGCGTGATTGTTTTTTTTCTGATGCTGACTGGCTTTTTTTCGTATGTGTAGCCCTCGGCCCTCCTTATATCTAAAAGCATTTAGACCCTGTCTGGGATTTTGTATTCGCTTTGGTTTCATAGATGCGATTGGCTGGTCCCGCCCTAGATGGATTTTCCCGATACCCTAATTGATGGATTTTGGTGTCGACCTCTGCATTGACAACGCGCATACCTGTCTTTGAACGGAGTTTGTGGGACTGTTGCGCGATAAGAACTCTTCATTTTATTGTGATGTTCCAATGCCGGTCGATGCGAGCTTGTGCTCACCGTCGACGACAATTAGCTCACTTTGCCCACCATCGCGTATCTCTTTCTTCCCTCCTCCCTTGTCCAACTCTTGCTTTTGTCCCTCTCTCTTTGACCTCTTCCGCCGCCATTGGGTGCCTTCGAAGCCAGTGATCCTCTTTGTCGCTCCATGGACAAGCTGTCGTCTCAATGCTATGTCTATTCCCAAATTAGCCCTTCTTGCACTGCAATATCCTTTCTGAAGAGCCATGCCTGCCTCTGAGGAGAGTTGCATTTCTGGTAACCCCAATCTCATGCCCCATGGCAGAGTCGGCCTCTCCGTTGTCTGCGAGAGGATACAACCATCGTGCTTTGCCGACGTCCCTCGCTCTCAATATAAGATAAGACTTAGATTGAGTCCCAAGATCACATCTTATTGCATCCGAGTGTCCGGGCATGACGCGATACAGAAGCACGAGAGGCCTGGCACTGAGTTCGAACCCCAATGTTCTCGAATAACCGCTTCCCTTATCGACATGATAGGCTACCGCAACAGTGGCGGGTCACAGATCTCCAGACAGGGTAGCCAAGTCTCCAGCACCACTGGTCCACCCACCGCTATCGACGATAAAGCCGTTGGTCCTCGACGAGTGAAGCTTCGCCCGGGCTCGACGGTGACAGCTACCACGAGTGGGAGCGCTGAGGGGTCGGGGTACCGCACCCTGAACGACGTCCAAGAACAGGTCGCGCAAGAGATAGCAGTTCGTTGCATCAACAAGTCCGAGATCGTCGACGGTTTGTCGTTCCCATTCGCAGCGACGAGGGCGATAGCTGAATCGAGGACCATCCAATAGGGGTTCGAATTGGCGTGTATGTGTCCGTCGACTCGAGAAACGAGGAGGATTTCCTGCGTCGAATTGCAGCGAATATCACCGAGCAGCTGAGGTTATCCACCTCGTACCTCTTCGTGCTGGCGTCGTCTGTGACGAGCGCCGAGGTGATCCCCGGAAGCCTCCTCGTCGTCGGTGCAACCGATGACCTCGTGCAGCGGGGCATGCTCCTCGTATCATCAAAGTTCGTCGGGCGGATCGTTTCTTCCTTCCGGGAGGACCTCCAGGCATGGTCAGCCGTCATTCAAGAACTAGGCAACTCTTCCTACGACGACAAAGCCCTCTGGGACGTCGTGCGCAAGGCCGCGAGGAAACCTATCGACCCGCTCCTCCCTCCCCCAGGCTCCAGAGGTATCGACCAGATTCTCGCCGATGCACGCTCAAAGTTGCAGAGGATAACAGCGATCGAGGCTTGGCGCGAGCTGAAGGAGAACCAGGTCAGCGCGCCCACGTTCTTGGTCGACATACGCCCCACGGAGCAGAGACAGAAACATGGTGGGATACACGGGTCGCTGGTTATCGAGAGAAACGTGCTGGAGTGGAGGCTGGATCCGCGATGTGATGCCCGTTTGGCTATTGCGGATAGATACGACCTGCGGGTTATCGTGTTTTGCCAAGAAGGGTATACCTCCAGGTGCGGCTCTCTCGAAGTTCGTCTTTCTTATTGGCTGGTTATTGATCCTCGAAACCAGCTTGGCGGCTTACTCTCTCCATAAACTGGGATTACTCAATGCTACGGATATCATTGGCGGATTTGAGGCGTGGAAAATGGCCGGCCTTCCTATCGACACAGAAGGAAGCCGCCCTGAACCCCGTTCGTTGGCTTCGCTTGCTGGTTCGGTCGTCTGAGTGGCCTCGTGACGCCTGATTGGCTGTATGTGGTTGGGATGCGGGTAGAAGAGGCATATTGCTACGTCGCGAAAAATGCAAAGACGGTTGTGTTTTCCGCCCTCTCCCTCCGCCCGTTCTGCGATGACGATAACTAAAGTAAAACTACAAAGCCAGGTCTGTTGGTACACATGTACATGCACGACTTCGTAAGAAAGGAAATGAAGGAATCCAAATATCCATTCGCTAACCTCAGGACTCGCACTTGATCCAGGATCCCAATAGCATCCCATGTTCCACTTTGTGGTGAGTTTCTCCGATTGGCCCATCATGCATTTTCCCGAGAATCCGACCTCGATCAGCGTACCCCTGGCGTATCCAGATCCAACTGAAGCCTCGCTTAGAGCAAGAAACCTCTGGCGTAGCCCTTGTCTCGCGCATATCTATGTAAATCGTGCTTGAGAGCGAAGCAAGAACCATAGGAGGAATCTACCTAAACCGGTATCCGGTTACCCACTTTGGGATCGAGGCATTAAACGTACGTACGAAAGCGTCGAACGCCAAGGTATGCCAGATCTCGGGGCAACAAACCGCGCGAAACCATCCAATCGAATTCACCCTAGATTCCTCCCTCTCCTTTGATTGGCTGCAATCCAGAATTCCAGAATGGATGGCCACTCCTCCCGTCAAACGAGTTGAATTCTACAATTGAGTACCGGAAATATGTTTTCCCTAATCCTCGGTCTTTCGTTGGCACCTTCGTCCCTCTTCATCCTCACCCGTGTCCTAGACCAGCCATAAACGACCATGTCTTTCAAATCCACCTGTATCACGACTTCCGGCAGCGTGGGTCGTGCTGGGTCGTGACATACTGACAAAGTTTCCCAGTGTACGCTTTTCCATAATGGGTACCCGAGAAAACCTTGAATTGGGGATTCGAAGGCGAGACTCACCAAGCCTCTCGTCCATCAACCTTAGTACTATCATCGGTATCGAGATGAAAGATAGAACAGTAGTCCAAAAGAGCGCTGATGTATACCGGATTCCATGTCTCTGCTAGACTAAGCCTCCCTTTCCCCCTCGAGTGCCAGGGCCAGGTACTCGAGGATGCGTTTCTCCGATTGGCTCATCTCTTGCTTCGACCAGTCCACAGCAGTTGCGTGCTCGAGCCACCCGACTTCCATCCTTTCACAATACAAGCATCCTTGCTCCGGGATACCTCTTCTTTGCTCCAAGTCCTCCAGACTATGATCGCCTTTCAAACCCATCCCTTCGTACCGCAATTCTGGCTGAATAGTTTTATGACACCGTTCGCTTTTTCCGATTGGAAGGAAGCGCCGTCGATAATGAAAAACACACTGCATGACGAAAGAGCAAGAGCGGATCCGTGAGTGAAACCATCCATTAGGGTGTATCGGATAAACGCCAAAGCGAGTTCTAGCTGATAGCGCGTAAAATAGAGGTTGACGGTGGATTAACATCGATGTGTCGATAGTACATCGCCAACGAAGTTCTGCATTCGGACCCGAGGGACAATTCAATTGCCCTCGGGCTGGCCGTCCCAGACATACCCAGCGAACACGTTAGGCCACCAGCGAACCTCCACACCCGTCCCACTTCCACCCCCGACAATCGCTGCTTCTCCGACATCGTCCCGGCAGAAGTCGCCTTCCTCTTCTCCTGCCTCGATCATCTCTCGAACGAGAGCCACGGCTAGACCCTCGTCGAGAGCGACGTCCATGGTGGTCTTTGGGCCGTTCATGACCAAATAACCCGAGAGACGTGCGGCGAAGGCTGCTCGAGCATATGGTGGGGTGTGCAAGACTTTCAATCCCGAACTAAATGTCCGATGAGAGATCGGTGGGTCGGTATATTGCGGAAGAAGAGGTAGAATCTGCAAGAAAGTGGATGGTGGGATAAGAGCTTCGAGACGTATTAGCATACGAGATAAACATTGAGATGTAATGGGGTCTCACCAACTCCACGCGCACGATTCCAAGCACCCCAGACCTCGTCCAACGCGATGATGCCTCGTTCTGCCATCATTCCTTTAGATCCTTGAAGGATTCGTGACAGTTCTCGTGCCAATTCCTCGAACCACTTCCGCTCATCCCTGATCATGTCTTGCGTCACGGGTGCATTCTCCAACTGCAGCCCTAACTGGGCCAAGGAAGAGCGGAGAAATGCTGCCTCTTCCGGTTCGGGATTGGAACCGAAGGCGGGAGACGTTGTACGAGGGTTTGCGCTAGAGAGTTTCTCGTTGAGCTCTGTGGCCAGCCGAGCCATGTCTTTGGCTTTGACCATCAAGGCTTCAAGGTCTTGCAGGGCCTCCTGTAGGTCATCTTCGCGATTCTGAGCGGACGATTCGACCGTCTTGAGGATACCAGCTAGAGGAGATGTCAGCTTTCGCGCTGAACTGCATAGATGATTGCGTACATATTCCGGCACCGAAGTTCTCGCCCTTAGAAGCTCCCGAATAGTTCTGTGCACTGGATTTGGGTTTAACAGTTTCCAACTATTCGAGCTGTTAGCTATGGCGCATGAAAGCGATAATCGTAAACATACCTCCCATGCTTTCCCCTTCAATCCGCTCTTGAGTGTTGCGTAAAACGCCTTGTCCCCGCCCTTCCTGAAACTGAGTTTGATAAAGCGTTGAGCGGGATCATCTTCCCAGTCTGGCGACGTCGGTCGCGAAGCCGGTGCAGATTTGAGCACTCTCCGCGACTCGGATGGACGAGGTAGTGGGGTGTCACAAATCTCGCAGTTTCTCAGGGAGGGGTGGTTGAGGAATGTGCAGGCAGGACAAGCCGTGGATTCATCCTGGACTGTGGGGTTGGCTGGGGTAGAAGAACGAGATTGAGAGGCAACACCCGATGATGGCAAGGAAGCGGACAGGTGGCGTGTCTTGGGTCCTGACTCCTGGTGGTCGTCAGAAGGAACCGCCTCGCGGGGGACACCGCAGAGCCCACATATCCGTGCAGCAGCGGGACTAAGTCCCGGTGGGTTTCGATATGCACAAACCTGACATTCCCAGGTATCGAACCCGCTGGATTCAGATAATGAAGCGTTGGGCTCATCTGACCTGGGCGATTCGGCTGATAAATGTAGTGTCACCTTTGGGGACGATGTGAAAAGCCCCGCGTAATATTCCGTCTGGGATATCGCTGCTAGATCCAGGGAGAAGGACCTGGTCTCTGGGTCATGGCCGTCAATATAGAAAAGACGGTGGCTCGTCGCATGTACAGTGCCATTCTGGTGCTTTAACGATTTCTGGGGACTACATTATCAGCCTAAAGGGCAACACTATTAGGGCGACCTTACCCATCGTAGATCCCGACCCCTTCCTGTGAGCCCGAAAGCTGCTCGTCATTGTACAGTAGAGCTTGAACTGGGATTGTTCCGTCTACACTGCTTGTATATCTAGTCAGAACCATAGTTTGCCGTCGTCGATAAGATGGTGGTGGTCAAAGAGATCTCGATGACGGATGCCAGGATCAGCCTGTGGGGTTTATTTGGCTTTGTTGTTGCGACATCGACGAAGGGGCGAGCGCGATGACGGCGACGTTGACCACGACGATCATGGCGATCAACTCGCGACTTCGCTGTCGAAATCAATGACAGGGCTTTGCCTAAGACTCTAGCGATGCTCTGAAGGATCCGGCTTTCCATTCAATCCAGTTTCGACTCTGAAATTTGGGAACAGCGAGTTTGCGGTAGGCACTGCATTTTCCTCTCTAAAATTGCTAGCAGGGGCTCTCCACGTACAGACGAGAAGAAGAAAGACGAGTAAGTCCCCTCTGTACAGCTGTGTCAAGATTCCACTAAAGAAGACCACAGGGAAGACCACAGGAAACCTTGTTATCCACCTGCTATCGAGAACCCCGACTCTCCGGATTCTCCAATAAAGAAATGCCGCAAGCACAGGCGGTAATTTGCCGTCAGGATAGAGGCGAAAACCGAGAAAAGTGGCCGTCTAAACCACAGACGGACATAAATGGAGGAAATCTCTCAGCACCGAAGCTTCTGCGCGCATGACCCGGAAAATCTCTATTCGCAGGCACGTAGGCTTGGGTCTTCGGTCCATCTAGTTCGTGAAAAGAATCATTTCGTAAGTAATAGGTAAGTATACTTAGGAGAACGCCTGATCCATGAGCGTGGTCTCACGCTCGTCCATCTCCCCAGTACCTCCAACTCCCCAGCGTCCGCCTTGGAATCCGACGTTTTTCGACTGTGACGGCCGTGGCGATCTAACGGGTCAACTTGGTGTGGAGGGCACATCCTCTTCCTTGCTATTATGCCGTGAGTCCGACAACCATGTTTTTCTGAACAAGTTCTGACTGATCTCTGGTACATCTCAGTTATCGAACGGGAAACTATTGGTTGCAGTTGACGATATTCGTATCATGCTGGTTTAGAGCTCTGGAGGTCGTGCTGGCTGTAGATGTGAACGTGACAGTGGACGACACACACCCAACCATTCTATACCTCCCCTCCAACGCCTGGCAATCCAACTATGACGGACTTTGCACCAGTTGTTCAGACATCGACCCCACGTTTATCCGCAACGCTTCCTACCATTTCGTTCTCCCTCAAGATAGCCGGAGACGGGATAGGCGACGCAGGTCGACATCGTCTTCAAGCCTCAAGCGGAACTTACCCATAGAGGCACTCGCATCAATTGGCCGACATTCTCTCGATCCGACCAGACCTCACAAATTGGAGCGACCGCAACATGGGAGCCACGAGAGAAGATCACCAGTCTCAGATGACGACGCCAATTCACAACGGGATCGGTCCTCAAGACGGAAACCTCCAAGAGACTCGTTTGCTGATGGGGAGAGTGGGGATGGAGACTTTCTGTCAGAAATATCCGCTACGTTACGCTTTGAATTTATAGGTGAGTCCCGGATTGTCGCTCTCCTTCGGTCATTGAAACATTTCCATCGGAACAGGGTCTGCGATTTACCTATTCGGAGTACAGCCTACATCATCCTCGACAACGCCCTCCTCAACTGTCGTCTTCGAGATTGACGGGACTCGTTATCCACAACCTCCACTACAGGACCCTCGAGCTTCATCGCCATACAATGCCACCCTCTTCGTTCAGACAGGCCTGTCAGAAGGCCCCCACGCACTCACAGTCACAGTAGGAGATGGCTCCGAGTTCCTCTTCGACTATCTCGTATACACTCAATCCAAGTCACCCTCTGGCGTCCATCAATTCATGGCACTTCCGCCCAACAGTGCCACATCCGAGCCCACCGCAAGGTAAGCACTTGCATACCATCGTTATATCGTAGATGTCGTCCCTGTTGCGTTGCCCGTTCGATTTCGACAATAGGACCATCATTCTTTGTCCAGCTGACAAAAAGCTATATCCGCTCCTTCACCCTTGCCCGCCTTTAGATGCGCTTTCTGATCTCTTACTTATGTTATGGTATCCTATTATAGCTCGAACAGCAAGAAAAACGTCACCACATTCGCCGCGGCCGTCGGTGGTAGCGTTGGTGTTCTTGCCATCCTCTCCGCTGGACTCGCGATCAGCCTTATACGCCGTCGGTACCTTGCCCGTAAACGCGAACGCGAAAACCGCGAGGGCGATCCCAACGATCCAGAACGCATACGTCAACAACAAATGGCAATGGCGGGCCCCGATGTCTTCATCCCGAGATTCTTCCCTGGTACCGAAATCCCTCCAGGTGACCCACCCACGTACCACGAAACGGTCAACGCAGATCGTATCAATGCAGGCAGCCATCCCATATCCCCAGGCGCACCTGGCCCACCAGCGAGCGGGAATGGATCTGTGTTGCCCAACCACATCGCCTATCCGTATCTTCTGTCGATGGGGATGCAGAACTATCCATATTTACATCATCCGCCTCCACTCGGGTCACCTGTTTCGCAATTATCATATGCGGATATTCCACCCGACTCACCTCCACCTCCCCCGGACCTTGTGTTGAACGACGACGACGACGACCATGGGCTTGATGGGCTTGGTGGACGTCGCGTACCTGACACTCCCCCTCCTCCCCCGCCCCTTCCGCTTCCATTCCCTGAACCTACACAGGTACGACATGTCGATGTCGGTGTAGGAGGAACGCAAGAAGACTTGGCGATCACTCCCCAGCGACCGCCAGCCCTGGTGTTAGACGGGCCAAGCCATCCCCCTGGTATCGTACCTCAGGGACGACTCGAGCATCAACGTTCAGACAGCGAAACCCCCCTAAACCCGACCACAGGTTCTAATTCAGGGGCTGCACCGACAGTTCCAGTGGAATCCGTTCCGCTCCTCAATCAAATCCCTCATTCAAATAATTCGAGTTCTGATTCGATACCTCTACGTCGGACAAGAAGCGCGTCTAGATAGTGTTTTAGGGGTTTCAACGCTGGCGGGATTTGACTTGGGAGGTATGTGGACAGTCCTCCGGTCGACGTTGGATGGAGGTTCTGAGGACCTCTTCGTTCTCCAGGGTACTTTGGATCATCGGGCTTTAAGTTATGGCTTAATTACAGGATATGGTTGGGACGGACTGGTGGCGTTCACGCGGTTTACCCTCCTGCGCCTGGTTAGCAAGCTGCAAGCTGGAGTCCGCCTGACACTTACACCCGACTAATCTCCTCATCCGGTTCTCTTGAGTGTCGTTTTCTCTTACCTCTACGCATTAGCAACACCGCATTCTTGCATGTATTTTATGTATCATGACTGTATGTACCCATGTAAACTAGGATATTAACGAACGGGACGAATCCCAGCGCAAAGATTTTGGGCAATCCAGGAAGAGCAGGGACTACTGAACGCACCAAAGTAACCGAACGAAGTGGAACGTCAACGTTGTGAATATCGATCTTCTACCTCTGGGTGCAGAGCCAAGTGTTTCCTCCGTGCAACGAGGCATTCGGATTGATAATGTAGAAGACTTCTCGCTAGTGCCGGGCACTTCTTTACTTCCGATGCAGTACTTAAAAGGCGAAGTCTTGATCCTTCGACTTCGAATGTGATGGTTTTGATTAATGGTACGGAATGTTTATCCGACCTATGTAAAGGTGGAAACAAGTTGCTTATAAGATTATGTACTAAAAACGCTGGTGAAGGCTCTGACATCGTGTAAGACGCTTACGCTGGAATACCACCACATGGACATGGTCACTTGGAATATTCCACATGACCTTCAAACTACTTGTTTTAATCAGAACTTGGAAACATTAAAAGACAGGTCAGGCGTGGTACAAGGCATTGGTCAACCCTCGGCAGCCTGAGTACCTAAGATTCCAGCGTCTGATAAGCGCGCGTCAGGCAGATCTTATCTTATCTCCAATGGCCAACTCTGATCGCCACCATCAATGACGTCTGCGGTCTCGAGTCATTCCCCCGCATCCGGACCTTGACAGGCTTAGCTCTTGTTTCGACACATTCTCTCACTAACTCAGTGCTACATCCGCCCATCCGCAGCTACCATGTTCAGCGCCTGGAGAAAAGCAGTTGTAAGTTGAGTTCAAATCGTAAAGAATTTGACTGACAGGATTTGTGGTTTGCCAGCCAGCCGTATCAATATTGTATGTCGCAGTCAACCCCACCGTTTCACAATCTCCTTTCTGACATAGTCCATTAGCCACCATGCATCCTCTCCACCTTCGAATAAAGCCCTGAACATACTTCGCTCAGCAATCTCTGCTCCGTACCCACCAACCAAGACAGATGCCCCTCCTCTCGAATACAACCTTGAAGTCATCGAATCCCCGCCGACGATTGACCAATTGAAGACCATTATGTCTTACCTACCTTCAAAGGCCACGTCACCGTCCATGGCATTCTTGTCAGCTCATCCGTCTAGTGGTTCAGCGTCCGACCGCCCCCAGACCATCGAGGGTATCATCGAACTTGCTGGGAAGAACCCCCAGGCGCTACGGTGGCCTATCGTTGTAAATTGGAACGACGGACAGGTGGCTATTGGAACCGTGGATGGCGTGAGGGATATCCTGGAGACAATTCGCAAGAGGAGAGACGGAGAATTGAAAGAGGAAGAAGTTGAACAGCCTAAGGGATGGTTTACGTAGTAAGTACGTCTATACATATCCTCCGTGCGAAGGTTCAATTGACTAAACGACAGGGCTATGAGAAATGGGAATTAGGTCTGACAACTATCATATCAGTTTTCAATCGCCACTCCAGTTCATATCACTTCTGCGTAAGGCTTGGTATCCCAATGGGTGGAGGAATTTCAGAAATTTCTCGAACTGGCCTTATTGGGAGCTCAGGTTGTGTCTCGGAATATTCGGGGAGCGATTCATCAACTGAGTTCATGGAATTGACTTCTTGCTGGATAGGGGTAACATTTTGCAGTTGGCGAGGGGTATAACGGTGATCGTACGGCGTGGAATCGTATGATGGGGCGGGGCTTGCACTGGCTGGCGGCGCGTCTGTCCCCATGTCCCTATCATCGGGGGAGGCGAAGGGGTTGATTTCTTCACGGGCCCTCTCCGTATCCTCGTTCCAAGACAGCACCTCCTTGGCACGGGCGACAGTTGGGGGCAACGCGTCTTGGTTTGGGGACAATGAAGCAACGCGTCCGGCATCCACCCAGTCATCCTCTGGGTCGATATCGATCACAGGTCTATCTGGAACCTGGGGGTTTTGCGCGCTTTTGCGACGTCTCATCAGACGAAGAAAGGAGAAGGCTAGAATCGCCAGGATCGCTACTCCACCGGCCGCAGCGCCTGCGATAGCGCCAGTCGGAAACCGTTTCTCCTTTCCTTTGCCATCGGTGTGAAGAACTCCAAGGCAAGAATCATCTCCCGAGTCTGTGACTTCCAGTAAACGCGTGACTCCGCTATCCCTTCCGTCCGCGTCTGTCGCGAATACGGCTACCTGCGTACCAGCAGGCAACCTGATCTTCCTCCTGAGGGGGTTTGATGATTGTGGCCAGACTCGGAAGACAGCGCCACCGTTGGGCACGAATCCCTACTCCCAGAATCAGCGCATGACATCGTACGAATCTCGTCCACTAACCGTTACCACGACAGGCCGCGATGAGAAGGGCATCTCCCTAGGACGACTGTCAGCTTGCGTTAACCCAAAGAATGATATCCTACCCCTCCTACCTGCATTGTGATAACTGCAACTCAGAGACGTCGAGCGTGAAATTTGCGACTATTGGGTAGTTTGTCAGTTGACGCTAATGACCTGACCAGCCTGAACTGACAGCGTCGTGGCAACCCAATTCGCTCGACTCTGCTGGTGCAACCACTAACACGTCTGAAGTGCCTCCTGTCGCCAAACCCATCGCGTCCGACATAGCCAAAAGGACTTGTTGGTGTGGCAAAGAGGCAGCAAAGTCGGGAAAGGAATGTGAACCCACCCCTTCGACGGGCGAGAAACTTGAGTTGGGTATCGACATGTTGTGTATAACTCGTCCGTCTTCATTTAATGGTATCACAGAAAGATAAAATGGCGGGGTTCCTCCTGAATTGTGAGGGAAATGAGTATTGCGTCTGGGAAGAGTGAGGCACAGACCCACCCCACCAATCCAGGTTGAGCACAGCACACTGTTGAGGATAGCTCGCCCTGAATGAAAAGCAGCTCGCGGTTTGGAGTTTGCACAACGAAAGGATAAGAAGAGAGAAAAGGGTGAAGATCATTGAATTGTAAGGAACGTGAAGAGAAGAATAAAGGAAGTAAAGGAGGGGTGATTGGGAACGCATTGTGACCTGAATTGTTTCTCTGAATCGTTCACGGTCAGCGGACGCCGTTTTCGCTGCCGCCTTACTACTTCACTGAGATCATGTACGAGAGAAAGAGGTCAGTTGTGACCGAAGAAGACCATCTGCACCTTATCTTACAAGATAAAAGTGGATGCTGACCTTTCCGGGTTCGAGCATGCCGCACAGATGCATCACGTAGAGACTGGATACATTTCCTGAGCGCCGTGTGTCCCCAGTTCCTACTGTTACTATCACAAAGGTTCACGCCCATTGTTCATTGCGGTCGCCGTATTTGCGTTCTGTAGTGGTACCGTCCCTGAAATGTCTGCTTCACGACGAACGGTGTAGCGTGGAGGGCTGACGACAAGCCTGTGCATTTTGCAACATATGAATCTGTACTTCGATAGTACTATGCGGCTTCTCCAAGTCGTAATAGTCGAGCGCCCTGGGACAAATGCGGGCTTGACCTGAAAAAGCAACCTTGAATCACAATCTCTGCACAGGGAGCGCCGAGACTAAATGCCCGCAGAGAAACGTCGCAGATAGAACGAACGCGCCCAGATGAGAATCAAACAGCCTCCAGGCATAAAAATCGAGGTTGGGACGACCTTACTCTCTACAATATATTCCCAGCTCGAGTCGTCGCCATGTTCCCGTCGTCGAGTTTCGCAGCAGCCGTCTGTGCCAGTCTCTTCCTCTTGACTCCATGGGCGGCTTTAGCCAGTCCAGTCACGGTGACGCAGAAACCAAAGCTTGTCGCCGGCATCAACCCTATTCTGGTGTCCCCTGGTGAGTAGTAACCTTGCTTCATAGTCGATGTCCTCAATCCTGAGCAAAGGCCACCCTCCAGTCCCAATTCCTAAAATCATCATCCCGAAACTACCAGACCTCGAATGTGGCCGCAGTATTTGTATTTGAGATTACCCCTCCCGGGGCATCGAATTAGTCTGGTCGAAGAGCTTCAATAGTTGATAATAGAATGAATACATCTAGATGTAGCTTGAGCATGGTACAAGGACAGCAAGAACGCAAGCAAGAATGTCAATGAAACTAATACCCAAGAATGAAAACAAAAACAACGATGGTACTACCGGAGACGAGAAGGTCCAGCAACGGCATTAACCCGTCCACCACGAGAGATGAACGGATTGTCCTCATGTCGAGCAACATCTCCCATCTCAATATCTTCAGAAGGCGTCCCGCCTTCCGAGGGAGGGAGTAGAAATTCAATATCCTCATACATATGAGGGAAGAGTACAGCCAGCATGTCATCCACCCTGGAAAACACACGTGTCAGTTTCAGGCGCCAACGAACAGATAACACGGGGCGACGTACCTGAAAATGAAATCTCCCTTCTGCCGTTTCTTGGCAGGCGAATCGACGACAGCCTTGTCAGCTTCCTGTGAGAAGGAAGAGACATCTAATGTTCCAGCTGAGTTTTCTTTGGTATACAGGGATAACCCCTTTCTCGCCGCCAAATCGAGGATGTTGCGCTCGACGGTATCTTCGGCGTAGTAGCAATAAACTAGCATGAGGAAAAGGTTAGCAAGGGAAAAAAGAATCTCGCACGACAGGAGGAAAAACGGACCTTCAGTAGGCCTCGTCTGACCCATACGATCAATACGGGCAATAGCTGGAAGAAACCTTTAGCTTCATAGAGGGGAACCACCGGGGGTGGGATACCCACCTTGAAGCTCGAAGCTGTGGTGAACTACACTTTCTAGAAGGAACACCCGGGAAGCACAAGTAACATTGAGGCCCGCATTTTCACGTTCACTGTTGAGACGAGGGTCAGACTGATCTAAGGGAAGCAGAGATCAGTGGAGCACGAACCCATGGAGCAGTAACACGAGTATTTCTTCATCGGTCCTGAACTTCTTAGCAGCGCTCTCTCCTCTGGAGTTTTGGTCGATCCTCAGACATCTGATACCTATCATAGAAGGGTTGAATTCCGAATCTTCCGTGAACGGAGAAGTGAATCTCACCATTCTGAGTCAAAGCCAGCTCGACGACTGCGCGACAAGCACATCAGCCATACAGCATCCAACTGGTAAAGGTACCACCACTCACTATGCAAAGAATCAGCCCAAGCAGAGAAGACGATGCTCTTGCTTCCAGGATCGGTCGTTTGAACATAGAGCAAGTGTCGGATTAGAGTTTGGATCTTGCTTCCATAGTCTCCATAGGACTCCATGTTTTGGATCTGGTCGTATACTTCCCTGTCTATCAAAACACAAAGCGTCAGAAATGTCATGAGCAATCATGGGACAACTAAAGCAATCCGTACCTATGGTATTGTAGGCAATCTTTCGACGGGACATAGGGACGGTTTCTCCATTGATAGGCTGTTTGGGAGCTTCGTCGGTCGGATCGGTGCTGACAGTAAACCTCTGGACGGTATCAGGGTTGACAGCAACCCTGGATCGCTAGGGTCAATGCATCAGGAGAGCCATACAATAAGCATGACGAACCTGCAAACAGGGCACGTCTTCCCTTCTCGTCGAGCTAACCAGGCTTTCATGCAACCTTCACAGAAGATATGAGCACTACAGCAGAAGCGTTAGTGACAGAATTGGAATAAAACGTGAAGAAGAACCAACCATTGCGTGATAAACCCACGAATGAAATCACAACGACAGAGGATGCACACATTCTCCTCGTCGTCCTCTCCCGCGTTTCCCTCCTTCGAATCCACGAGATTCGTCACATAGCGCAGCCGAGCTCGACCGGTGTTGATCCTCGCATCATGGTCCTCCCTCATCTGCGCACAAACTTCAATCGCCATCTCCAAAGTAGGTTCCTCCCATTCGACTTCAGCTACGGAATCGGAGATTTCTTGGAGTTGTCGGAAGTAGAGGATACGCTCATTGAAGGCTTTGCGCATGAGAGCGAGGTCGGCATCCAGTTTGTCGTGGAGGGTGGCTGTAGGGTCCGGTTAGCGGGTAGCAAAGATGACAGTCTCATGAAACGGACCTTGAGTCTGCATTAGACGTCGAATAGAAGCGACAGCTTCATTCACAATCAGCCGCTCTGGGTCCTTCTTATTCGTAATACGAGCAGAAACGCCGTTCAGATCGATCAGCACCTGCAAAAGCCACAGATAAGAAACAACTCGACCCAGAAGACGGAGTGAAACCACTCACACTCTTAATAGCTCTGCCACCCAACGCAGCGACCAACTTCTTCCTCGCATCCGTCATCTCCTTATACTGAACCTGGAACTCCGCATTCACTTCAAAGTCCTTCGGGAGCTGCAAAGCAGTATTATACTGGTTTTCCTTCAAAAAGTCCAGGGCCAGAGCAGCCTTGGAGGCAGCCTTTGTCTGTCGGAGGCGTTTATCCCGAGCGTCGTGTGCGGCCAAGAGAGTTCGTTCGTTCACCAATGCTTCACGACGATCGGCCAGGAGGGCAGCGTATGCTTGAAGGAGCACCTCCACCTCGCCCTGGTCGTCGAGATTCCGCTCGTACTCTCTGCCGTCGGCTTCTTCGCCCGGGTTCAACTTCTTGGTGAGCAGTTCCATGATGCGAGCTCGCCATTTGAAGAGGAGCTTGGTTTGAGGGTTCAAAACGTCCTCGATGATCGTGTTGACTTCTTCCATCTAATTAACCGCGGAATTAGCCCTGGTATTTTGGTCGTTTGCCGAGGTGCGCGTACCAATTCAGATGAGCGTATCCCGCCTTGACCAAAGAATGGCACCGGCAACTTGAGATCAGCCTGCGAAGGCCGCTGAACGCTCGCAGGCCCCTCCTGCAGAACAGTCATCGCTCGTGTAGCTTCGTCCTCCGTCGCTAACAGCAGCGTACTTCAGTCAATTGACTGGGCTAGGGAATAGTACAACATACCTTGAAGCAAGTCACGTCGAATCTTCTCCGCAGCTTCATAAGCCGCGTCCTCGTCCGCCGCATGAACCTCTCCCAACACGTGGAAAACATCACCCTGCAAGAACTTGACTTGATGCAGGAGAAGCTTCCCTTCCCTCAAGCGAGACTTGAGCGCCTGCGTCTTGCTGCGGTGCTCCTTGCCAGCGGGGGTCTTGGGTAGCCCCTTATCCTCCGCATGCTCTTCGTCGCTGTCATCATCATCGTGGTCATCCTCGTCAGACGTCTCCTCAGCCACCGCCTTCCCCTTCCCTTTATCCGTCTCCGAGGATTCCGATTGTGCCAGTTCGCGTCGTCGTGCGGCCGCCTCTTTCTTCAGAACTTCGCCTTTCGCCTTGTGCTCCGCGAGCGCGTTGTTGATCTCTTCAATATGTTTGTTGGCTTCTTGTTCCGCCGCTTCCAGAGCCTCGCGGGCGAGTTGGTGTCGGTTGGGTCGGAATTCGTCACGTTGGATGAGTTGGGCATATCTGGTCATGGCATGGATCTGTGACACGATGGGCATCCACATAGGCTTCTTAAACGACGACGCATACCTTGGCCTTCCAATGTTCCATTACATGCTTCCAGCTTTGGTCCCTCATGCTCTGTATCGAAATGGTAAGGTGCGCTGCGTCGCTTCATAAAGCTAGAAAACGAACCTCAAGAACAGCGTCCATCGTCTTCAAGGCCCCCTTCTTGTACATGTCACCCCGTCGCTGCAGCTGGCCGACTTGCGGATGGGTACAGATACCTCTCAGCCTTCGAATGGAGGATCGAAGGAGAGTGGGATCCACCTCCCACCCTTCCGTTGCTGCCACTCCTCGAGCATCGAGCCCGAGGTCTAGGAGGATAGCTTCGAGAGTCTGGTCGTAGACATGTCGCTCGACTTTACCGAGCTCGATGGGGACAAGATATCGAGTCTGTTGCGGGATGGTAAGCTCTTGCTTGACGCTAGCCTTGGTGGTTCTAAAATGGCGTCAGGTATGCCAAAAGGCAAGTACAGCAAGGGTGCCTACCTGATGGCGTAGGTTTGGAAGAACGCTGCGAATTCACTGGCGAATCCGGGTTTGAGCAGTCGGTGCCAGAGCTTGCTGGAACCAATGACATCATCCACACGCAGGAACCTAGTGGACGCCTGATCAGATAAAAAGAAGCAAAAGCAGGCCGGGTAACCCACCTTAAGACATGAATCATGTCCGAAATTTGGGCCTTGGCCGGCGTGCCCGACACGGCAAAGGATGAAAGACGAGGGATCAAGGACACCATATCCTCAACCTTTCCACCACCAACCATCTGGACTTCATCCATGATGACCCGGTTCCATTCCACCATGACGAGGGGACTCCGCGGACGCTCGATGTTGAGATACACAACGTCCTCTCGACGAGGGCGCAGTGGGGCGGCCCTGGCGACGTTGAAGTCGGTCTTCAACACCTGGTATGTGGTGATGACAACATCGAATTGCTGAACGTAGTCGCACCACTCCAGAAGATGGCCGTCCTTGTCCCTGGCCAACTCCTCTGCGAGCACCTCTTCGTGCGTGGGTGGTCTCGTTTTGGTACGGGTCTTCTTCTTCGCATTTGTAGTAGTGATAGCTGGTGCTTTCTCTTTCACCTTTGGACCCTTGGCGCGCTCTTCTTCAAGTTTGGTACGGGTGATAGGGACTTTGACACTGGACCAGCCATCGTAGACGAGTACCTTGAGGGACGGAGCGTGTGCACGAATCTCGTCAATCCATTGCGAGGCGAGAGAGACGGGTGTGACAATGAGCGACGTCTTTCAAACGGCCGTCAGCAAGAAACAGGGAGATATGGTGTAACGTATACGTACCCTGACCGCCTTGACGTCGAGACGAGCCTCTGGATCCCATCGAGTAACGCTCGGGTTTCTGGAGTCAGGAGCTGGATTGAGAAGAATGAGCGAAATGGTTTCAAGTGTCTTCCCGAGGCCGGGTTCTTCAGCAAGGATGCCGCCAAAGGCGGGAGGAGGAGATTCAGGGGGCTCGGTAGTGAGCTGAGCGCTCAGGCGGTTGAAGTACCAAGTGTGGTTCCCCTCGGTGATGGTATCCCAAAATGAGTACATCAGCCTCTCAAGGCTGGCACAAGGAACAATAGAGCCATCGGGCAAAACATCCCTCCCCTCTCGCCCTAGCAGCCAACCGACACTCCGGCGTTGAAAAGGCAGAAGGGTGGGGTTGAGAAGGTCCGGCTGCATCGCGTCGTCAGCCAGTTTCGAAGAGAGGTTTTTGGCTGCATGAAGAATCGAGTAAAAGTGGGATATGTTGATATCGTTGTTGACGGTGCTATCGCGATCACCGTAAACATAGCTGAGCATCCGCCTTTGGGCGTTTTCGACGAATAGTATGTTCTTCTTCGTTGCTTTGCGATGCAGGGAAAGGAAGATGTTGGGAAGAACAAGGGAGACGACGAGCTCGACTTTGAGCTGAAAGCTGCTCGGTTCTGAGGGGTCCATAACCACCGTCACGTTCCCCTCTAGCTCGACCTTTTGGGCGTCCCTCAGGACCACACATGCGGCCAGAAGGTCGGATACGGCTGGCGTGGTCGAATAGTCGTAGTCGTCAGCATCTTGGGAAAGGGAGGGCATGAAGAGCAGCCAGCGTCCTTCGTCCGTACCAGCAACGACGTGATCGCCCTCTTCGAAAAAACGAACGGCGCCGATGTCGAGGCTCTTCTGCTCATTAACCTGGGTAACCAGGCGGGCAAAAGTCCGTTCGTCATCCGACCCCGTTGGGTTCAGCTCGCTGTATTCGATAACAAACACATGCCTCAAGATGGACACAGATTCCTCATCCCGACCCCCAGGTTCCAACGTGAACGACCGCTGATTTTGGGGGAGATACTGGTACCCCGTCGCGCTACTGGAGGTTGCGACCGCGCCTGAATCGGTTTTGACGCGTTTTGAGGCATTCTGGACATCTTCAGGTGACCTCCCCCGCTTTCTTAACGTTCTTGACGATCCTTGGGCAGCCTTCAGGGCCTTTTGCACCAATTCTTCCAGCAGCTTGAGGTTCACGCAACGGTGTTGAAAATCGTCTGGTCGACGAGGAGGAGGCGTTTGCACAGACTCATAGTGTCTTGTAGTTGTGTCCAGCATCAGGGAGTTATGGGTTTTGACGACGCCCAGGGCGTGCCTTTTAGCTGGTCGACGTCGTGCTCGATGTCCAAGTCAGAAACGCGGCGCCGGGGTCCGATCAATTTGCATCGCTGACTCAGAAACTTCCCGCGCCTGTCACCTAAAGAGGGAAGCGGCGGCTGATGGCGGGTGTGCGTAGTCGGCTTCCCCTCGTGGCGCCACGCAATTCTCAGTCAGTGCCCCACGCATAAATCACATAGCAAGGGGTTTACGCGATACCTGATGTCAGACTGTGCAAGTCCTGCGGATCAATATATGTAGTGAGATACAGCACAGGCTATGAGTCGGGCAGTGCCAGTGACCAACGAAATAAGCGCCCGTCTTCCATTTCCCCAATCTCCTTGGTGGCGATCGACGCCATGATTGCCGATTCCCGAAGCTTTCGTCGTTGAGCACATATTATGACTCAGATCAATGGACTAGCGCTTACATTGACTGCCTCATGGGCGGTTAATTAAACTGCGTAAGTTCCTAAGGGCTCCTCAATTCTAAAAGTTCAATTCGAGTTCAGTTCGCAACGAGTTCAATTGATGGCCTTTCCACGCTTGTCACTGGACTAAGGTCATTCTTGCAAACACTAGCGTAACCAGAAAGCAATCGTATCTCGTCGAAAGCATTGAGATGCGGCTTTAAAAAGTAGATTAGACTTGTGTACAGTATATTCACTTCCAGGAAGACGAAAAATATCGAGCAAAGACCACCGATTTGTCTGTCGAACGCAAGAACTCAGAACGATCTTCGGGCTCTTGGCTGGAGGTACTACTTGATGAGGAGCTCATTGATCCCGACATCACATCAATCGAACTCGTTGCGAACTGAACTCGAACTGAACTTTTAGAATTGAGGAGCCCTCTACAGCGTACAGGTACGGTCTCAGTAACGTTGACAGCTTTGCTCACTTGCTGACTGTTAAATTTTAATCTCTCTCGACAGCCTCTGTCACAGCACGGAGAATCAGACCACCCCGTCAATGGACGACAGAGATCAAATGTAAGCGAAGTTGACTGGAGATGACAATAATCATCTCCGAAATGTAGATCGGTATGTACACACCTCAATAATGGACATGCTGCCTAGTTGCAGCGTGGTAACGTCCCGAGTCTTCTCAAAAAGGAGTTACTGTAAGGGCTAGGTGATAAGCGCCGACGATTGTGCCCACGGAGGCACAGCCTTTATCGATCACGACTTCAGAATCCAGATTGTGGGGCACCCACCAGTCGGAGGCAGTGTAGGCTTCTGACCAGAAACCACCACCTCTTCGCTTTGTGTTTGGCCTCTCTCGCTCGCTAGGGGCCGCCACACAATACCAACGTGCGTATACAACAGCTTCGAACAGCACACAGCAACGGTAGCGTAGCATTCCTTTTTATCACCCTTGGACCTTATTCATCCGTATTTTGAACAGGATCTACAGCGAGCCGAGCCAGGGCCCTGCCTTGTATCGCTTTAACAACAGCACTTGAGGCGCTTGTACTATAGCGCGCCCACGCCCCCACGCCCCTTAAAAGCGCCAGAACCAGAGGGTTTGGCCCCTCCTCACTCCATTTCCCAGTCTCCCCTCGCAACCTGCTTCCAACTCGTAAGCTCTGTAACAGTACACAGGCGATATACAGGCGCACCAATGCCTATCCTAGATTCCTCTAGTAACGTAGGCATCAGCGGCGGCAACTTCATCGACGTTAACGGGTCCATCTACAACACCGAGCACCGCACGAACATGAACATGATCAACTCCGGAAACACCCATAACGTCCAAATCAAGGACTCCTTCAACGACTACTCTACAAACGTAAGAGGTTCGATCGAATCATCGTACGGTAAATACCCTTTCATTTCACCGATATCGAATCCAAGATGCTAAATGTTAGGACCAACAGATTACGGCAGACACAGCTCCTCGCGATCGGGGTCACGAAGAGACTACCCCAGTCACCGCTCATCTTCAGAATCCGACGACTGGGATACCCCCGGTTTTCCTTTCGATCATGTACCTGTTCCTCCCGGGTATAGAAAGCCACGGCCTCCAGTTGCTGCGCCCCGCTCTTCGCGGTATCCAGATCAGGCAACACCCTTCATCGAAGACGCCCACAATGCATTTGCCGAGGCGATGAGGAATGTCGCACAAGCTGCGCGTCCCCCAATTGCCACACACAGCTACTCAACAACCACCAGGGTTCGCCGGAAGAACCCGTCTTCCTCTCATTCCTTTCATTGTGAGTCTTTAAATCGCCTTCCAGAAGCCACCTGCTCACTTTTTATAGATCGGTCTGCATCTGCGGAACCGGCTTTTGGAGACGTCTACGAGGATGATGATGATCCTCCATTCCCTACTCCCCAACATCACAGCCCTGGATATCTTCTCCCGGAAGTCCATCGTGCTCCCTCGAAGAGGCGAGATCGGGAGCGGCCTCGTTCGTCCCATGAACCGTACGACGAGCGTTCGTCTCGACAGTCTGACATTCAGCTGCGATCGAGTACTTCTAGACATCGCAAACACGAGACTCGCTCCCAAGATCGACAGCCTGCACGGACATCACACCAGGAGCCCGAGTATCACGATTACGATGATGATGAAGTCTGCCCGTACTGCAATGACTGGAGGGACCAGTGTCGATGTTACGAGGGCCAGGACTACCAGGAGTACAGCGACAACAGGACGAGTCGACGGACATCGAAGCGGAAGGCGAGAAAGGTTGAACAGTACGAGTGTGAAGAAGAAGAGGTACAAGGCTATGATGCCTACCCAGATCCAGTGCACCTGCTTCCCGAGGAGCCTGCGCGTCGTGATCGAGGTGAGCGCTCAGGAGATAAAGGAGCTTCTCAAAGGGGATCGCGCACCTCCCTCCACCGCGAGGAGAAGGACAGTCGTCGAGAGTCGCGCACCTCCTTGCTATATGAAGAAGAGGAGTATCGAAGGGTGTCGCGCACCTCTGTGCCGCGTGAAGACAAGGACACTCGGAAGAAGGCATCACGCACATCCGTTCGCGATGGGCGTCACTCGCCGGCACCCAAACCCAGCGCTACTCCTCCCGTCCGCCGGGAGAGCACTGATAGCGCTCTGAGCTACGGTAAGCCGATTGAATTCCCATCATCTTCCGCACGTCTTTCTCAACGAAAGCCATTAGTCTCCGCTCCTGTTCCCAAGAAGCCAGAGCCCGTCCCCTACGGGAAGTCGCGCATTGAAGTGCTCGCTGAACATTCGAACAAGCGCTCTGACTCTCCGAGCTCTGATACCATGAGCACCAAAGGTTCTGACCGCACCCCATCCATTCGCATTCGGTCATCGTCTCCCATTGAGGAAGCTTCTGGCAAGGGCAAGGAGCGAGCCTCCCGAAGTCGACGAAGCAGTCCCACGAGGAGCGACGCTGGTTCCGAAGCTCCCAAAGTCCAGATTCGATCCGCTTCCCCAACGGCGTCAGAGACTGCGAAAGACAATAGGATTCCAAAGGGTGTTGGAAGCGACTTCGAGGAGGGCAGTCCTTCCCCGGTTCGTTCGGAGTCTCCAGAGCCCATCACGGAACCTGAAGGCCAGAAGGTCACCCTTACACGCCAGAGCAGAGTTCCAACCCCGGTCAAAGAGGCTCGAGTCGACAAGACTCCTAAAGATACCCCTGCCCCTCTATCAGGCGGAGCAGCAGGAATCACAGAGGAGCTCCAGCGAGTAAGCCTGAACAGCCTGCCGCCCAAGGCATCCACCTCGTCGCCTTCCCTTCCAACTCAAACAAGTTCCTCTACGTCTCCACCGGGAGGGCAGAAGGGGGACTATGTTGGTGACATGTTGGTGGAGCTGTTCGTCCCTGGGAAGGAAGGCGAGGCCGAGGTTGAGGCGACCCTTGGTGCGAGCCTCTCCCGGGCTTCTGGCTCCAACCTATCCCTTAACTCGGACGTCAGCGACACTCCGAGTTCGTCTGGGAAAGATAAGAAGAGGAATGTCCTCAAGAAGCTCTTCAAACCTAATAAGAAGTGAGCGGCGATTTGGGCCATGTTGTGGGCCAAGAGATGGACTTGGTTTTTTTGTCATTCAAATCGTTTGTTTCTCTTGTGATTTTGCTTCGCGATACACGCCCAGCTTCATATATCTCTATACCCCAAATCAACGATACTTAGATGTACTAATATACTTGTTTCAATCTCTATCAGTGTTCACAAGACAGTCGGGAATTCGGGGCAACGGGGCTTTGGTTTTAAGGACAATGTACCATCGGTCCACGCCAAGGCTCCTTCTGAACCGGTGCCCGACAATCCCAGTGATTCCCCGACCAAGGGACGGGCGCGCTGTTCGGTGGCTTTTGGCACTCTAACAGCACCAAATTCCAATCAGATGTTTCACGGTGGCTATCGACTCTCAGGCTGCATAAATTTCAGCTTGCCAGATGCAATTCGACAAAAATCTTTCTTCCCGTCAATTCCGTCCGCCCCCTTCGTCACAGTCACTCCCTTGCAGACTCTCATTACTTATCTACCATGGCGTCCAGCCAGCCGCCAACTTTCGTTCAAGGATCAAGTCGAGATGCAGCGACAATGTCGCATCCAAACGACCCTCCCACCCCACAGCTCCAGGATTCACAAAACGCGCCTTCTTTACAGCCTCTCCCTGCCTCGATCTCACAGGACCACGTACAGAGGGATAGCTTAGGCGGTCACACCAATCAAGCGCCCGCGGCGACACCCCTCCACACGCCGGTTCTGCCCAATGTGCAGCAACATGACTCAACCCCTGGCGGGATGCCTCAGGGCTCGGTTCTCCTTCAGAATTGGCACCCTAATCAAGCTTTCGGCCCAGCCCCAATCCAGCATCCTCCTAATTGGCAATGGCAAGTTGTGCCCATCAGAGTCATCCCTCCCCGGGTCTCGTCCATCAACAAGTGCCTCATTGGAGCCCTCATCGTCTCCCTGGTCGAAATCCCCTACCTGGCCGTGTACCGAGGATACACCACCTACTACGTAGGACCTATCGCCATCTGTCTCAGCGCCATCGGCAGCACCATTCTGCTGATCAGAGAGAGACTCGAACGGAAACGCGAGACCAAGGCGCTATATAACCCTCCCCCGACCCCACAACTCAACCATGTTCACCCCTACTTCGGACTCTTCACCATCATATTATGCTTTACCATCGCCGCGGCCTGGCTTGCTTCAGGTGGCGTGGTTATCTACGCCCTTGCGAGCGGCAAGTCGATGATCAAGTCTGATACCAGGTACCGGAACCTACCTGGACTTACACCCGGTGACTTGGAATACCTGGAACATCGGAAGGGCAGGAACGAGACCATATATACGATCATTCACTTAATCGTCATTTTCGTCCTCGGTTTACTGTGGATTTCGATTGGGGTTATGGCCGTTAAGGGTAGGAAGGAGACGCTTCAGCGTAACAGGATGCTGGAAGAAGCCCAGTCTAGCCCAACGAATCAGGCAACTGTTCCGATGGGGCAAGTCGAAAACATGGTTGAACAGTCTCGTACCAACGTAGCTATGACGGCGTAGAGGGAAATCGTCCGGATCGTCTTACGGGGTCGCAACTACCTATCCTATACCTGTTCCTTTGTTACATCCTAATCATATCGACCTGCCAATCGGACGATCGGATGGAGTGGAGTGAGAAGCTTTGACGCTACGGTGGGATTTTAGCGCAGTGTGTGCTCGGACTAGAACTAACAGTCGCCAGGCGCTAAGTGCCGTGTATTATGTAATACGGGCGCTTAGGGCAGCAAGAAGAAAAGTGTAATTATAACGAGTAGCCTGGGAGCTCTGAGTGGGATGGTCAGCTAGACCCGCTTATTAATTTTTAATGGCCTTCCGAGTAGTCGTAAAGGACTACAGCCTCAGTTATGTGAAGGAAGCACGCCTTACGGAAGAGGCTCATGTCCCACTGACATCGAGGGACACGTGCTCGTACCACTCTTGCGGACGACAAGGCTGAGGTCTGAGAGTGTCCGTTCCAGAAAGCCCGTTTTAAAAGCCGGGCACGGGAATACAGCGAGGAGGGAAGAGCAGCAAAGTGTCGGTGTCCAGAGGATTTGGACCGCCAAGTTGCCCCTTTTTAATCAGCGGAAAATGCCGATCCGTGAGAAAGATTAAATAGGGGCACGCGTCGGTCTGGTGGTCGTCCGGAACGCGCCTTGTTCTCGACCGCCACGACCACCGCTGCCAACCCACTGTGAACGACCACAATCCTAACTCTACACTTACCTCTTTTTACAATGAGGCGATGAGCCCAATGTCTACGAAAACGACAACAGCTAGCTCGGACAACAGACGCAGCCAATCCCCTCCAGGCCTGCGACGGCGAATGCACATTCTACACCGTACTTCAAGCCTTCACGGCTCTGGAACGAGGCGTAAAACCCCTGTCCACAATTCTTCGTCGAATATCGACTACAAGGAAAAAGGCGGGGAGAATGAGACATCGAGGCCAGATGACGTCGAGGAACCGTCGCCATTGGAGCCTAAACATCGGTTCGATTCCTCGGACGACGAGCTTGACTATGTTGACCAGGATACCAGCTACGAGGCTATACAATCCCTGGAAAAGGACCGGCATGTCTCTGTCGACAATCAGCCTACCGGACATCCACAGGAGATCTATTCGAACCCCACCAGGGGCCCTCCAGCACGGCCACAGTTGGATACCGCAAGCCTGAGCGTATCGCCGCAAGCCTCCGGAACTAGTGGTTCTCGTGATTCAGGGCCTCGATCCCCTGCGTCCTCCAAAACATGGTACGAATTCGACTTGGCTGTGGTCGTGGCCCTGGTCTCGCCAATCGGGAATTGGCTTACCGGTGGAGATCACATCAAGAACCTCCTGCTGGTGGTCCTCCTTATATTCTATCTGCATCAGATTATCGAAAGTGTGTTGCTTTCAAATCATCCAGACAAGATCTAACGATGCTCTCAGTTCCCTGGACATTGTACCAGAAGGCTCGACCTCGTAGACGCGGGCTTCCCCTTCCTCCGGCGTCTACCGACTCACCCAAAACGCGTTACGCACACCTCGCTGCCACAGAACTCCGTCGCCTAGAACTCTTCTTCCTATTCCTCACTCTCGTCTCTCCCTTCCTCGGAGCCCTGCTCTTACGATACGGGACCGCTTCAGTGCTCGGTGATGCAGCCGTCTCCTGGTTCAGCACTGGCCTCTTTGTCCTAGCCACAGGAATGAGACCTTGGAGACACCTCGTCGACCGGCTGCAGACTCGCACCGCAGAATTGCACGATTTCATCCACTACCCCGAGATGTGCTTCAACTCGGAGGACGCCAAGGAGTCGGAGAAGAGGCATCGACAGGAGCGGCAGCAACAGATCATGCAGGAGGAGATCGCTGAACTTCGGAGGAAGGTGGAGAAACTGGAGAAAGGGGTGAAGAAGATGAGGGGAGAGGTTGTGCATTGCAACGAAGAGCTGGCGGAGTATGTCGAGTCTGGGATGGCTGCTGCTATTCAAAAGCAGGAGTTGAAGTGGGACAAGTACGAAGGGAGGGTGAAGGGCTTGGAGCACGTCGTGAAGGATATCCAGCTTCGGGGCATCGGTGCCAGAGGAGGGAAGGATGCGACCAGGGTGCTTATCCAATTCAAAGAAGCTTTTCTTGCTGCTCTACACTGGGTCGTTGAACTCGGCTACACGCGCAAAATCCCCGCTGGTCAAAAACGTCGAACATCGCTCTCCAATCAACGACGGCGAGCAAGTTCGACCGGCTCACTCACTGACACGCTGGAAACGATCGTGGAAGAAGACGACGCCAAATCTCGCTCTGTCGCCGAAGACATCCCGTCTCCCGAGCGTCATTCCTCCCGAAAGCACCACCGGTCATCCAAGTCTACCTACGGGTACAACTGGTTGGGGTCCTTCGTCGCCTTTCCTCTGAATCTTTTCACTTTTGTTTGTGCTCGGGTTTTTAGTATATTGACGCTCCCTTTGAGGGCGGTTGTCAGGATGGTGGTGAGGTCTGAGACATCGTAGATGGACTCGTAGCATGTATTCTCTTCGCATGGATTGATTAGTTGTCAAGTAGCCTTTGTGTTATACAGTAATTCTAGTTTTCGCTGTCGTGTAGCTATCGTAGCATATTGTAGCCCTCGTAGTCATGAGCGTTTGTTGTAGTCTAATCGCAATTTTTATGTTTCTCTTAGTTCAACTTCAGGATCGAACTCCTCTGTAATAGAAAGTCAAGTCCCTTCAATGACAACGAATACTTGTATTAAAACTCTACTGTCCCAATTCCGAGGACGCCTGTTCTTACACCCTTCACGGTGAGTGACAGTGCCATTGGTCCGACTGTCTTGACGTACATTTCAGGCAGTGCGATATCTACAAGTACTATTGCCTTGATAAGCGCTGCCCGTCTTGCTATACTACCCCATCCTGACCGGCATTGGGCGAGCGCCGCCCAATAGAGGACGTCTTGCTGGGGCTAAGTATATGAAGCACACAGGCTCATTTAGCAGCGAGGAAGATACAGGACACCCCCACTCCATTCCTGTACCTCCTCCAATGTCGCAGAATTTGTGGAGAGCCCAATATTGAGGGATGGTATTGGAGGAGTCCTCCAAGATGATACTTAACATGCGTGTACCACTATATATACGTGGATCCGCTCGGATTCCGAGTCTGTTCCATTTGAATGGTACAGAAGCACGAATAAGCGCCCGTTACGGCGCCATCGCCATATCTAGAACAAAAGGGTGTGCCCACGCCCGACTTAAGTCCCCCGTCAGGCTATACATGTCACCGTAAGGCTTCACACACATGGCATTGTTCTGTGAAGTGTCTACCGAGCAATGTGACTTGCAGCGGACCCACACTATGCTGTACAGATCAACGTCTTCGACTTATAAAGACCTGTCCTTAATCGATGAAGTAGGATAAGAGACGATTCTGTTCACCCACTTCTTGTACTCTCACTTTCACACTCACGATGAACGTCAACCACAGCAAGCACACCAGCATCCAACGAGATGCTATAATCACCTCGGGCGATTACACGGATACCGATAGCGTCTTGATGGTCAACGGCCAACGTGTGGCCGGAACCACCGCACCCCTGCACTTCAACTCGACGGATGGCACGCCGATTACACTTGCCAATAGTGCCACCATCGCTAGTGGACCCGTCGTCAATTATTCAGGTAAGGCCCCCCGTCGTGCGCAGCTTAAGCTTGTCCTTCAGTTGTGGGGGACGTGGGTCCTGGGACTCTGTGGGCTGACACTACAGCATTTGCAGGGCGGCAGCGTGGATCGACTCAGGGCCAGCCTGGCACGAACTCGCCGTGCGGTATTCCTATCTACAACTCTGCTGGCAAGGTCATTCGCAGTGGGTAGTGTTATCTTCGAGTCTTGAGAGCCTCTGTGGGCTGATATCAGAGCTACAGTCAAGCACGGACCGGGTTGGCAGGGCCCGCACGCGAGCTTTACAGGTACTCCCGCCTTCGATTCATCTGGCAGGCCCACCCAGGGTACGTATTTGTCTCTTCATATTCTAGGAGCTTGTGAGGGCTAACATAAAACTGCAGCGAAGCAAGGATATCCGAACCAAGCCCAGCGCAAGTGAAAAGCGCACTGTCAATGCTGTACTTGTACACCGCCCTGACGGCCCAATATTCCTGTACCAACAATAGCTCTGTATATATTTATCCACGGCTTCTAATGAGATAAATGAACGAAGTTCGAACGAGTCTTGATGCCAAACAAGTGAATACCTTCAGATGAAGAACAAAAATATGAGCTGCCCCAGTGAGGCTCGAACTCACGACCTTCCGATTGCCACGCGAACGGGCGCTTAATAACAGTCGGACGCTGTAACCAACTCAGCCATGGGGCACGTGAAAGCCCCTATTTCATAGTCCTTCGCGATGCGCAAGTATGTATTGTAGACGAAGGAAACAAATGCATTGAAATCCTTACTCGTAATGTGCTATACGGAACCACCCTGCGTACTAGTGGATGTGGTTGTTAGTAGGTGGTGGTTTATCGAACACGAACCGCTCCCTCGATTCCGTGGACTTGCCAGTGGAACTTCCAGTAACATAATCCGCCCTCTGGCTTGACGGCTTATTACGACCTTTAGCGCCTCTGGGATGGGGAAACGGCTCACTGTGGATTACCGTGCTAGGATTTAGAGGGGTGAAGCCATTGCCGTTACTATCTCTACTATTCCTCCGTTTTTGGTGTCTGTTGGGTTCTTGTCTCGGACTCGGAGTCGCTGCGCGTGATTGGTGGTCTGGGCTGAAGTAGGATATGGCGATTACAAAGAGAGGGCCTCCGAGCCTAATAATGCTAGATCTTCCTGTCATACTTATTCCGACGTCGTTTCTGGTTTAGATCTAATGGTAGAAGCGGTGGGTGTAATTCTGTCCCTCTCTCAGCCTCAAACATGAGAGCTTTATATCTCAGAAACAGAAGTCAAAGCGTGCATGGATTCATGGAAACGGATTTCACCAAAGTCGTGACTCGTCGCGGATATACCGGTCGATTATCACGCTGGTCCAAGTGTGCAAACGTGAGCACCCAGAACAACAAAAGCACAAGGCTCGTAACGACTTGTTTACAGCTCATCGATTGAGTGGTGGGCGCGCGGGCTATAGTTCTCCCCATTCCATCTCACAATACACAGCAGTAGTACGGTTGGTAGACGTGCTGTGAAATTCAAGACAACGGGAATAAACGGCCTCCAGGAAACCTGAAAGAAACCGAACTCGATTTCGGATTCGAAAGAATCAAGTATTCTTCCCATTTTCGAGTCCCGAACACCCTTGTTCCGTTTGATGCTTCCAAAGATACCAACGAAGAGAGAAAAATGCGCCACGTCTCTACAGACCCGATTCTACGTAGTAGTACGTGCGCCCCTCCTCCCATTCCAAGAGAGAAGAATTCAGATAATAGATTTTCTAGGGATTCAGCTATTCCCATATCTCCCAAACCGTCCATCTCTACGCTAACTACATACCTCCCAGTCGCGGGAGGTTGCACCCAGGTTCGATATTTGCACCCTGAGGAACCATACCGGAGTCACCTCGATTGCTTGTACCAAGATCACCTCGAGCACTTGTGCCGGGATCACCTCCAAAGCCTGTGCCGGGGTCGCCTCGAAAGCCTGTCCCATGATCACCTCGACTCGTACCGTCAAGATGCGCACCACAGTGACCATAGTCCACTCGCATTCCGAAAAACGGATTGTTCATCACAGTGTTCAGCGAGTGTTTCCGTCCTACTCCTACAGTCCCCTTCTCCATTAAGCGCTCATACTCCCCTGAACCCCAGCCATAATGGCCATAGCCAGCTCCTCCGACCCCAAACCGGAGCGGATCCTGGGGCCAGTGGTGTCCCTGAAGGTGATCATTTCCCGGAGGTGACAGTGGGGGAAGCGGCGTCGTGGAGAGGTTAACATTTCCAGCTGAGACAAGGGCGAAACCGCCAACGATGCAGTTTTTCATTATAATCATTGGAGATTCATGTGTCGCTGTTGATTGGGGTGGGTCGGTGGTGAGGTGGTTGGGCGCTTCGCGAGGACCGGGCATTTTGGATCAGTGATTACGCTGGGTACCAATGAATATGTCGAACGACGAATGGAGGTTATGTTCGAGGGTGCGCGGTGTCGTGTTAGGATGTATATGTGTTGTGTCTGATGGATTTCGAATCTGGGATACTAAGGAGGGGTTATATAGGAGTCCACCATCTCGTGAATGCGATGACGTCGCGATACAAGGGAGCTGTTGTCTGTGGAATGTGGAATGAAGAAGACAGTGTAAGCGGGGGCGCCCACAGGCCCCTCCGTGCGGACACACGGCGTTACCACCAACCACTCGCCCGCCTTGTGTTCCTCCACTGGCGCGACTGCCCGCCAAGCTTATCCGGGAGTTGGAGAACAATTAGCCCCTTGTACGGCCAATGAAGCCAGGTCGTCAAGTGCAATTCCATGTCATTAGTTACGTTGCTACATGACTCTCTGGAACAAGATAACGACGGTCAATTCAGAGCTGTAATTGTAGTGAGTAAGGAGAGGGCTTACTTTGGACACTACACTGCTTTATGAGTAGGCCAAGGGCAGACACGGCAGTCGATCGTTGTTTTCCCATTCAGTGTGCAGGACCTCGGGTGAGGATATGGCAACTAGATTAAGGGGAAGGGCCTTTATCGAGTACCATGAGACAGCGAAAATGGCGATATCCCGTCGACGTGAACGAAAGACGACTCTCGGTGTCCTCTTCTCCCTCCTCCGTTTCACACCCCAATTATACACCCGGGCGGTATTGACTTCAGCTTGAAAGTCATTCTAGATGGCCGTCCACGAACCGAACACGTGTGGTCAGGATCATGGGTTCTCGTCCACAGGGGTGCGGATATACGCTATGGTATCCTGGAACGTCTACAGGGTAGATTCGACGGGGCCGTCTGGTCCGCGTAGGCATCATTCTACGCTGGCGTAGCAGATGGGGGTGGGAGTGCTAGGTTGGAGGATTGGAATTTTCGGTGGTGCCGTCGCCGTCGTTTGGGGCGCACTTCGAGCCTTGTTGGCCAGACTTTGTCGACGGATGAACAGCAAACAGTTTGCTCCCAGCGCTTACATAGAGACAACTTGGAAAGCCGAAAGCCAAAGACATCCGAGCATGTTCGGCCGTATCCGTTGTTGCAATCAAGGAATTCAATTCCCGCCCGCACATGGCACCGACAACTTGATTAAGGTTGAATCGAAGGAGAACGAGGGTACTTTGCTAATCCTCGCAGTGCTTCATTTTTTGAGAGAAGAGGTATGTACATCAATTAGAGAGTACGCTATATAAAATCCGGACTGATACATTCAGCCTTCTAGACCTCCCTATTCCTACTGGTAAAAAGACATAACCGAATCCTGAGTCGTCGATCAAGAGGACGTGCTGCTCTGAGTATCCTGTCCGGCGTCTTCCTCCTCCAAGGTGGCCTGTGAGTCATCGTCAAGGCCCGTCTTTCGTCCTTCTTCGACTACAGGCGACCCCTCCTTCAACTTGTCGCGATCCTCCATGACATCGTTCGTTGGCAAAGGTCCCATTCCATCTTGCTTGACCGAGTCCGTTGCTGAAGCGCCCGGCAATTGGACTTCTGAAGTACCGTTATCCACATTCGGTGCATCGACAGGGACCCGTTTCAGTGTCAACTGCCCTCCACCGGTGATAACTACGTTGTCCTTAATGGAACTGTTCTCGATCACGACATCGACGGCGGGCGGAGGAAGGCTTTGTAGAGCTTTGTCGAGGTTGGGGAATTGCATGCCGCTTTCGTGGACCCAGTGTATGGCGTTGGTGCCCTTATTGCTTGATGCTTGCGATTCCCCTCGCCTTGCTACGACGCCTCCTGCGATAATGCAATCTCCTCCGGCGATTACTCCGTTGAGAACGAGCGTTTGGTAACTTGGGTTTGGCTTGAGGATGCTGGATGTGGGGGGTTGGATTGCGTTGTGTTATGAGTCCAACCAACGGATGGCGAGAGGGCTTATATACCTCGACATCCGCCTCTCCGTCCTTCAAGTTTCATCATCCACACTCAAGGTGGTTGCTATGGCTCAGTTCAAGAGACTCCTGTTTAGAGACCCGTCGGCAAACGACCTACCTACCACAGACAATGACAGGGGTGAATAGAAATTTGGAATGGGTGTGTACGTGTAGGCTTCGCCCACGTCGCGCCATTGGAAGAACAACAAAAACACAAGGCTCGGAACGGTTGTTTACAGCCAAGCGATAGAGTGGGTGGCGCGTGGGCTATAGGTCAGTAATAGTGCTCTCCATTCCATTTTCCAGTCCACAGCAGTACTACGTGTAGTAGGCGCGGCGGTGGGATTCAAGGCAACGAGTATAAGGCGCCTCCATGCCTAGGTGGCCCACAGCCGCTGTCGGACTCGCTTTCGTCAAGACGCGACGACTTCACAGCAAGTGAAATGCAGAAACAATTGACGTCTTTCTACACCTCTACTGAATCCACAGAGAGACCCACAACCTTCACGATTGCCGAACAGACGATTGTCAATCACTCCCCCTACTAGCCGTTGAGACCACCTCTGAATTTCCACAGACTCCAAACCATCCGAGTGAAGCCACTAACCATCGTGCCGGTCTTCTTATTCGTCCCCGAGAGGCTCTCCCTCAGGCTCCTCCGTAACAATTAGCAACACTCCCCAGAACGAAATATCGAAACCTTCTCCCGATAACTCATCCCCACATCCAAAGACGAACACTATTATACACATCATACACATACTAAATACAACAAGACTATGTAAGCTCCCAAAATCGGAGCGCTTGTCATGAAAAAAGACTGGCAATATCGGATATCCTACTCGCAGTTCGAAATAAGCGCCGAGGCCCATGTAAGCGGCTTCAAGTACCCGCGCCGTGCGAAATGCCATACGATAGCATGGCAGTATATCCAGGCTCCGTGCTTCAGTTGTCGTCTCCCTCCAATGGCCTTCCATCCCCTTGCCTCCCTTGAAGGGCCCCAATGCCCGCCAGACACTGCCCTTCGTGCTCTCGCAGCAGGGTCCTTCCCTTCTAGCCTTGGATCTTTCTCGAGGCGCCGATGACGATAATTAATCCTCTGTCAAACTCCAACTCCCTGACGGAGTGAAGTTCCCCACTCGACACGTGTGAAATCGATGTCTCAAACTCATCGACGATACGGCGGCGGCTGGCTGTTCGAACATTGTCCACAAGCACACTGAAAGGACGTAATCTTGCTTGCCGCATCGACATAATTGGCGGTGCACTTCCTCCCACCTGTAACCAAGTCCAGATTGAAGTTAGCTCACACTGACCTTGGCCATGTAGGATCGGAAAACCTGAAGCACTCACGCTGTTCGTTCAACCCCCAATGCTCCCGACTAGATTGAAGTTCCCTCCTCGAGCTCTCCGAATTGTTGAAAGCCCAACCAGAAGCGATGATCAGGAAAGGGATATATCGGCAGATCTTGCATCGTCGTGGAGCCGGTGGTCTCAACATCCTGTCTAGTAGTCGCGTTTCGAGTTTTGAATGTGGAAGGATGGAAAGATGGTTCGAAGTGGATGCTTGTCGGGAGGTCGTCGTAATCTCGTCAGGGTTCGTAAAGTCGTCCGAGTATTAACGGTGGGCGTTGACGACTGCGGGGGGCCTCTGAGGCTCTGAGGCGTGATCCAGGGTAGGTGGTTGTGCCCGATCGATACAACACCCTTCACGCCTTTATACCACCACAACCCCACGAGGCTGTACACCGACAACACTCATCTCCCCCTGACTAGCCTCATGACTCAATGACACCCCGAGACCTCACAAAACGGAAGAAGAGACCCGCCAATTACGTATCAATTGGGAAATACAACGCCCAGCCCAAGTAATCAATCATTCATGGGTCCAACAACAAAAAGAAACATTCACTCGATTAAGCGCCCACCGCCCATTTCCGAACACACAACTTCCGAATTGCCACTCCCATAATTTATTACCATCCACCCAACTTCCAATGCATAGAAAACCTCACCGGCGCAATCCGTCAAAGCACAGATCGAAACACCCCAACGGGCGATTCGGCGTCGTAGGTAAGTAATCGACGTAACACTTTCACCACGTTGCCAAAACCAGACCGGCAACACCTATTCAGAGTCTGTCTAGGCGCTTGCCTCCTTTCAATTGTACCCCTCGGCGCTGGCACCGCCCATTTACAATGTACTCGCTCGGCCAATTCGGGAGTATCAAGGACGCGAGGTACTTAGTACCACTCTTTAGTAGCGACAAGAGAGAGCATAGGGTCGAGGGCTCGACCTCGATCGTCCTCGAAGAACGGGGTAAAGATAATCGTTGAATGGACTAAGTACATCGAACTCGATGACGTAGCCCGAGAACAAAGGTGAAAGAAAGCTTCAAAGAACAAGAAAGTGAGGACGCGATTTCAGCGGCGCTGTGGACACTCCTTCCTGTGTGCGCAACGGTAGACTACTAGCGGCTCAAAAACAAAGACAAGAGGCACATTGCTATTATGCAGGTAGTAATTCGAAATAATGATCGTTGCAGATAATAAGTAAAAAGGGAAGATACGGCGAAGTGGGAAGGATCATGCAATGATAATAATTAGTATGTGACTTGTCAAAGGAGGAAAATGGCTGTCGAGGAGGCACTGCTCTAATGAGGAAGAACGGATTAACGACGAGTCGTTGCAGTCAAGTAATGCAATGGGACGATGGGAATCGAAACACAGTTAAAAACGCTAAATAAAACGAGACCATAGTAAAAAAAAAAAAAAAAAAAAAAAAAAAGGAAGAGTTATCCATCGCGATATCACAACACGGATAAAAAAAAACTGGAGCCATAATAAAACACACAAATAACAGTGAACGAAATTCGAAGATGCTAAAAGACCTTTTACACTCCTCCCCCACTTCCACCACCTACAACACCACCCCATCACTAAAGCACTACAACACCATCCCATCCCAACTAGCCCTCTTCCTCCGACTCAAGCTCTCTCCAAACGCCCCTCCTCCCCCACTCGGCCCATTACCAGTCAACTCCTGCGGATTCACAGTATTAACACTATGACTCTGCCCCCGATGATGACTCTGCGACCTCCCTCCTCCACCCGACAATCCCTTCCCATACGGCGACGTCACCACCCCACCTATAGGCTGAGACACATGCATCCTCGTCGCCGCACCTCCATTCGCCGACGTAGAACCCGACGAAGCCGTAGTGGCAGAAGTAGCGGTAGAATTCGCAGTAGCAGTAGTATTCGAAGGACCAGCAGGAGAACCACCAAACGCCTGAATAAGCGACGCAGACGACACACTATGCCTCGTCGTCGTCGGGGACTGTGGCGGCGGAGGGCCTTGACTCTGAACGCCCAAACGGTGTTGCTGGTGGTGCTGCTGTTGCTGATGCAGGTGTTGTTGCTGCTGCTGTTGGTGCGTATGCGTATGCAGATGGTGCTTCATCGCCAACGCCGAAAACGGGGAGAACATCGAGGTGCCAAGTGCACTCCCACTACTACTAACGGAGGCAGACCGCGCCAAATCCAAAGCCTGAGCCTGTAACTGCATCTGCTGCACGCTGGGATCCATCATCCCCGTCAAATCATCGTTCCCTCCCCCACCTCCCGCAGCAGCAGCAGAGAGCATTGCAGCACCCGGATGCAAAAGACCCATCCCCCCAGGTCCATGCCCGTAATAATGCAAATCAAGGAACGGGAGGTTGTATATATCAGCCGCAAGACTCGCAGCCGTACTCCCCCCACCACCAATCCCAATCCCATTCGCACCCGTAGTCCCACTCAACCCACCACCACCACCACCACCCAAAAACGAAGGCCTCCACACACCACTATCATCCATACTCGACAACGAACTCGAACTCGAATGGCTCGACGAACTCGCCGACGTCGCCGACGTCGCCGACGACGAGGACGACGAAGACGAAAGTGAAGGTGCCACAGGCGTAGCAGGCGGAACCGACAACAGGTGTCTCGAAGCCAAAGTGGGGGTTTGCGGCCTCATATCCGAACCGTCCCCGTCCCCATCCGCATCGCCGTCACCATCAGCGTCACCACCCGCGTCACCGTCCCCCCGCCCTCTTCCTTCCCCAAGCGCGGTGCCACTCCGAGGCTCCCTCCCCCGCCTCTCACCACTCCCACCTCGACTACTCGGACTCGACCGCTGCTGGCCTTTCTGCCCTTGTCCCGTAGCACCCGGTGGCGACCCCGACCCCGACGACTGCTGCGCCGCCGTCCCCTGCCCCTGCGCCTGGGCGGTAGCACCCAACAAACTCTGAAACGGATTCCCAAATTGCCTAAGCACTGTAAACTCCATCTGCTGCTGGAAATGCTGCACCAGCTGGCTATGGGTCTGATGCTGAGCCTGCTGCTGCTGCTGCTGTTGCCCGGACTGCGTTTGCTGCTGCTGCTGCGACGCCTGAAGCTGCTGGTGCAACAAATGCTGGTGCATCCCATGTACAGCATCAAAATCAATCAACGCACTCGCATACCCTCCATCCACCTGAGGGATATACAGCGGGTTCCGAAACTCGGACGGGGGGACTGAAATCGAGCGCGCATGCGCTGCCCCTCCTCCTCCTGTCCCTCCTCCACCAATTCCTATTCCCCCTCCCGCTCCGATTCCACCACTCCCACCCCCACTCCCACCAATCCCCTCCCCGTCATCAAGCCCCCCAAACCCAGGAAACTGATGCAACATAGACCCACTCGACCGCCTCATAGGCCTCGGATGCGTAAGCGGCGTAGCAGGCGGCGTAATATGCAACTCATTCCCCAAATCCACGAAGTCGTCCAACCGAAACTGCCCCGGCGAGTGCACGCTATCGGCGTATTGACTTGGCGAGTGGACCACGCTATCGGCGTATTGGCTTGGTGAGCGGACGACGCTATCCGCGTATTGGCCTAGAGTGTAGAGAGTAGTATGTATCAGCAAAACTGACTAGGTGAGAGTAGAGAATGCGTATACTGACCTGGCGAGTGCACACTATCCGTAAACTGTCCAGGCGTATGCACACCGTCACTAAACTGCCCCGGACCAGGCGTATGCACACTATCCGTAATCATAGCAGACGGCGACGAAGGAGGCGGTATCGGGATCGACGTGGGTACCACACCAAGTTTACTCTCATCCTGTTGTTGCTGCTGCCCATGCTGTCCATGCTGGTGCTGATGCTGATGCTGCTGGGATGAATCCTGCGACGGCCCCTGCTGCCCATCCACAACAGGCGGACTCTCATCCCTCAAATCCAAATCCTCATCCATAGCATCAGGCGGGAGCGGGATACCAAGCGGGTCAGCCTGCTGCGCACCCTCCCCTCCCTCCCCCTGTACCCCAACCCCATTCCCGGTCGCCGCACCATTGCTGTTCCCCTGCTCATCCGAAACGCTAATCCCCACACCAGGCCCCACACCCTCATCAATCCCCTCCAGCATCGAAGGCCCATGCGCATGCAACTGCATCGGATGGATGCCCGCACTCTGCTGGGGTGGCTGCTGCTGTCCAAACGCCGTGCCCACTCCTACACCGCCCACACCAACCCCCACACCCGCAGCTCCCAACCCCAAGTTCAGCCCCAAATTCAATCCCAACCCTCCAAACCCAAACCCACCACCCCCACCACCACCTGCAATAGCACTAACAGCCGCACTCGACAAACTCCCATAAAACCCCTGCCCCTGGCCCTGCATCTGCGGCCTCGCTCCAAAAATCAAATCACCCGCATACGACGAATGGTGCGTGAACCCTCTATTGCCCTGGAACAACAAATCATCATCGTCCGAAAAGGTAGAATGCGTCTCGCCCACCCCGACCTCGCTTGAAAAGTCGGTGGGGAAGGTCGTAGGCCATAGATCGTACCGGTCGAGTACACCGTGGTGCAGGTGGTTGAAGGAAAAGGGTGACGCAGGTGAGGAGTGGTCAAAGTACCCTCCTCCTCCCCCTCCTCCATTGCCACTCCCCGACCCACTCCCATTGGCATTCTGCAGATTACTACTCGAAGGGTCCAGCCGGGGGTTCGGCGAGAACCAGTCCGTCCCCCACGCAGACTTGCCAATCATGCCAAAGTTGTTGTTCGGGTTGGTGTGGCGGTGGAGGAAAGGTGAGGTCGGGTCGTTGCCGTTCATGAGAAGGTCGGAGGAGAGGTGGCTTGAAGTCGGGGAACCCGCGGCCGTCGACCAGTGGTTCGAGTGCGTCGGGGTGTTGATACCAGAGGACCACTGCCCGTCTTGGTCCATATCCACCGTCTGTTGTGTGGAGCTGCCGCCAATTTCGGGTAGGGAGAGTGCTTCGGTGAGGGGTTCGAGCGTCATCAGGTTCATCTCCTCGTCTTCGTCTCCTGCCACAGGCCGGTCGGACGACACAGGCGGACCGAGCGACGAGAACGACGTCGTAGGTAGAGGTTTCTTGGCAGCGAGCGAGGGCGGCGTCGGGGGAGCCTTGAACGAGGAAAACAACCGGTCACTCTCAATATCACTATCATCGTCCTCCGAGCAGGCCGTACTCTGGGGGACACTCTTCGTCCCACCCCTCAACAACCCCTGATGCGTATGCGCCCTCCTCCGACTCCTCACCGGCCCACCCGTTGAAAGCTGCTGATCATCCATTGCCGCCTTCTTCGTCTGCACACCCCTCTCAGGCGTCGAGGTGCCCGCACCCGACCCCCCAGCAGCAGCAGTCGTCGTCGTCGTCGTCGCCGTCCCTTTCTTCTTCGTATTCCTCGGTTTATACCCCGCAAGTTGGTAAAGCTCGGGAAACGCATTCCTAAACCTATCCCTCAAATCCGTCGAGCGCCTATTCTGCTCCTGGAAAATGGGGTAGTCTTTCACGATCGTCGCCCACACCGTACCGTACTTTTCATAGCCTTCTTTCAGTGCTCTATCCTCCTCCTCGGTAAACGGCCGCCGGCGTTTGGAGCGGGTTTTCTCAAAGATGGACGAGCCGTCTGGGAGTGTCGAGCGCACTTTGCTCGAAAGGTGTGTCTTGGCGTTGGGGTAGTGCTGTTTGTAGGCGTCGGGGAAGTAAGTCCTAAACCGGTCTTTGAGGTCGACTGGGGAACGGTTGTCGAATTTGAGCGTCGGGTCGCGAAGGATAGTTTTCCAGTTGCCTACGCCGTGCTGTTACACGCCAGACCAATTCATTACTGCTGTTAGAATATGAATCTAATAATACACACCTTGTTACACCCGTCTACAAGCATCTGAGTCTCCTCAGGAGTCCATTTCTTGCGCGGCTTCTTCTCGGGTTTAGGCGGGGGTGGCGGCGCCGTCGTCTCCTGCTGAATATTGCTCTGGTCACCGTCACTCCCACTTCCCGCCGTGGCAGGCGTCGACCCCGACGACGAAGCCACCGTCCCACTCCCAGCCGTCGCCGCCGCCTTACCCGCCTTCCTCAACCTACTCGTGCCCGCCCCCGCCCCCGCATCCAACCCCGTATCATCCCTAAAATTCCACCCCTCCGCCACCCTCGGCGTCTCAGGCAGCGCAAGCGACACACGGCGCTGCTTCAATGGTGTACTTGCTGGCGGGGACGTCGAGGACGACGAAGCTGAGGTAGTAGTAGTAGAAGCGGACGCGGGAGTTGTAGGGATCTTGAATGAAAACGTCGTCGTCGTTGTCGTGGCGCCATTCCCCTGGTGCTTCACGCTGCTGCTGCTGCCACCGCTACTCGTACCGGTCCCGGTGCTGGTACTGGTGCTGGTGCTGGCCCGACCTAGAGGCTCGTCCCCCAACACCCTCGTTTTAGCCACAGCAACGCTCATAGTTTATCTCCCAATCTCCTCTATATCTCTCTCCTTGTCGTTGTACGTAGCCGTCCCTTGCGGTAAATCTCGTCGCAGCAATTGTCGTCACCGTGCTGGTGCTGGTGATCGTGTCGCAGTTATCGGTATCGGTAATCTCCAAAATCTCGAATCTCTCGACCTTGTTCACAAGGTTCAGGTTATCGCGGCTGTTACGGGCTTTCTTTTCCGATAGGGAATAACCAAAAACAAAACCTCGTCAGTACGTCGTGTTTTATCAGCTGCCGTTATGAACACCGGTGTACGGTAAACGGTAAACATAAATAACTCTTCCCCCCAATGAAAACGAATTCGAAACCGTGACAAGTACTGGCACTATGTACTCACTTCGTATGAATATCTGAACAGCACCCTGCCGAAAGCGAACCCAAAGGATTTTTTCTCGTCAAACACACCACCTCGTTGTCGCCGCGTTCCAGGAATCCGAATACGAACGACCAAAAAGCCGAGTCAGTCCGTCAGTGGGACATGCACATAAGTATGCCAGAAAGAGAAAGCGAATTCGAAAACTGGAAATAGCGCCGCGTGGTTGTTTGTAGTCGGTTTGTATGTGTAAGTATGCGTTCGGGGTGGGGACAACACAAAGTGACTATGTAGTGACAAGAAACAACGAGGCAACCACACCCCTTTTGATGATGATCGAAACGGTCATATGTCCTATTTCGCCCCCATCATGCAATCAATTACTGCTAAGTATTCCGGCATTCTTGCCGCTCGGGTTTAACTTCGCATCGTGCCGGACTCCAATCCACGATGCATCAGGACATGGGACAATGTCAGGGTCCAGCAGCGAATTTCGGAAGTCACAGTGCACGGTCAGGACTGGGAAGAGGAAGGCTCCGTATTAGAACACCGGTCTAGAGAAGAAGACCCTCTCGTATTCTTCTTAGACTCACCCAGACCTACCACTGGCAGAACCACTTGACGACAAATGCTTGTCAGTACTCGATTCCAAAGTCCGATACTCGATACCTGGCCACGTCCAAAAGCCAAGCATTGGAGTAGGCAGGAAACTGACAGGACAACCAGGGACAGACCAAGTGGCGTCCCGAGTCGAGCTTTAGTCGCACCTATCTTGGTCTCAGTTTAACCAACGTTCGTCGACGCCTCAGGAACACAACCAACACCAATGACGCACTACAATGACTACACAGTCTGCACTACGTAGACCATACTTGCAGAGGTCTGGACGCTACCATTGCTGGAACAAACGAAACACATAACCCAAAAAATCGGTCGAGATGGTTGTCATTTTACTATATCACCACTATGGACCCCACAGACGCCAAACTTAACCAGAGGGTTGACGATAGAGTAGACAGCATTGAAAGCTCGCATTCACCCAAAACAACCACACACGCAGCCGACAGTAAGAAAAAATCAATTGAATTCCAGATCATATGCATACAGTACCACAACGCACAACACCCCCCCCCCAACACCCTCCAACACCCTCCTCTACTCCAACTCCTCCGGATCCCCATCCCCCCTCCCCGGCATCTCCAACTTCCTCTTCCTCCCAGGCAACCCCTTGCCTATCGTCCCATCCACACCCATCCCAACACCAACACCCACCTTCCTCCTCAACACCTCCAACTCCTCCTCCGTGCCCCCTAAGCCCGCACCCTCCTCCTGCGCCCACTCCAACACCAAATGCCTCCCAAGCAAATGCGTATGTCGAAGGGCATTGAAAGCATTCTCAGCTTCATGCCGACTAACAAACTCCAAAAACGCGAATCCCCGTGTGCGGGAGTCGAATTTCCTCGGTAGACGTACAGATTTAAGTTTCCCATGCGCACCAAACAAGTCCCGGATATCCTTCTTCGTAGCTTCAAACGGTACGTTCTTGACAATCATCTTCGTCGTCCTACTCTTCCCTGTTGCATCGTTGGACGTGGCAACGCCCAACTCCTTCGCAACCTCATCCCGTCCCCTCCCAGCCACCTTCACATGCAGCTCATGCCCATCCACCACGAAACCCTGCAGCGACTTGAGCGCCTTCCTCGCACCCTCGACGTCTTTGAACCCAATAAATCCGTACCCCATACTGAGCCGTGCACCGGGACGTTTGGGGTCCGGCTTCGTCTGGATACGCGCAAAGGAGAAGGAGGGGAGGTGCGAGAACAACGAAACGAGCCTCTCCTGCGTCGTCGCAAACGACAAATTCTTGACGTACAGCGTCGAACCCGCCACCGTCTCCTGCCCCTCACCTCCAGCCGTCTCTCCCGCACTATCGGTAGTTTCAATAGGTAGGGCTTCCGGAACCTTAATAACACTACTCTCCAAAAGCCTCCTATCCTCCTCCGTCGTAACCCTCCTCTTCTCCACCTCCTCAGGGTCACTCACAAACATCCCAACAGGCCCCTTCTCCAAATACACAACCGAATTTCCAAGCCGCCTATACGCAACCGCTTTGAAGGCCTTGGCCGCCTCCTCCCCCTTAACAAACTCCACCACCGCAATCGTCCCCGCCGGCGGAACCAAAACACGCACCAACTCCCCATGCGGTTCAAACATCTCCCGGATCTGAGGCTCAGTCGTTCCATAGGGGATGTTTTTGACTAGGAGGATCGTGTCCGAGCGGACTTTGGAGGTGAAGGACGAGAGGAGCACGCCCTGCGATTCGAGAAAGGTTTTGGTTTCGGTGATGATGTGCGTTTCGGCTAGGGCGAGTTTGACGGCCGGGTTGGTCGTCGTTTCGGATGGGTCGGGGTTGAGGATGGAGGTTTTGGGGATGTTCATCCGGTCTGCAATGGAGGATGCTACCGCGTCGCTCTACAACACCAACACACCAGAAAGGTTAGAACGGACGAACAAATATATTGAAAGGTCAACTAAACGCACATTCATGTACAACATGCTCCAATTGAACTCCTTCCCAGCCAACGCCTTCCTCTTCGCCGCCCTCTCCTCCTTAACGCTCTTCTTCCCCTCATCTTCCGCTTCGGCTTTAGGTTTCCGGTCGACAGCGCCGAGGATGTGCAACAGCCGACCTTGGAAAGGCTTCTTGTCGAGGGATTTGTACGCGGCGACGGCGGATTCGGGGGAGGAGAAGGTGATGTAGGCCATACCCTTTCCCTGCTTTGTCGTTGCGTCTGTGGGGATGTGCGCCTACAAACGGGAGTGTCAGTAAAAATCGAGATGACGGAATACGAGGAAGGAGAGTCAGAATAAATTTCTACTATCGATTCCATAGGAGTTCAGCAGTTCCGAAGAATCTGATGTCCCTATTTACGTTTTGCATCATATCGCTGAACGAAACCATGTACTAACCTGGAAGAGAAAGGTCGTCAGTAATCGATTCAATACACAGATTGAAAAGGGTTGAAAAGATCAGAATAAATTTCTACTATCGATTCCAATTGGTACTCATCAACCCCGAAGGATTCTGATGTCCCTAACTGGTTTATCATCATAAAGGAGTCGACCGAGGGCGGTCGAAGGGTGGGGACGAGATGCTCACCTTTACGACATTGCCGAATGGACTGAACAACTCTAGTAACTCCTCTTCCGTGCACGAGAAGGTGAGATTTCGAACGAATAACCGGGCGGTTTGGCGGATCGTTTCTTCCGTTGGGTCTTCAGGCCGCGCTGGTGCAGCCTCTACAACCTCCTCCTACATCCGCGCCGAGATCAGACCAATTTACAAAAAGGCGTGGAAGCGAAAGCGAACGTACCTTCTCACCAGCGTCCTTCTTCCCATCCTCTTCATCATCCGACTGCTCGAACACAGCTGTATTCACTTTATCCACATTGGCCGTCATGCGCCGCCTCATCCACTCCATATCCGAGAGACCCTCCTGCTCAGCCGACGCTTCAGGTTTGTCCTCCATCGATGCATCCGCCTCTTCAGCTGGGGCCGCAGGGACAACGGGTTCCGGAACAGCAGCATCGTTCGCCCATGACGGGCCCTTGTTGCGGGGCTGCATGACTTCTAAGAAGGTATCGAGGTGTTTGTTGCTGTTGGACGTCGATGGGGCGGTGGAAGAGGAGGAGGGATCTGAGGATTTGGACGGTTTACCGAGCTTCGTCGTGTTCGATCCTGAACTTGGTTCGTCGCTCGCGAGACGGCGTCGTTTATTCGGTCGTGCATCCGGTTTATCCTAGAAACACACCAACCTCAAGATCAGTCCCCCACCCACCCACACTCAAACAACACAGAAGAACCACTCACCTCAACCAACGCAACACTAATCCTCGCCGAATCAATAAACGTCCTATCAAACCACTCCTTGGCTTTCACCGCCTCCTCAGGCGTCTTGTACCCCACAAACCCGAACCTCCTCGAGGTCCCATCGGGTTTGAACGAGACTTTGACGTCGGTGATTTGGCCACGGGGTGCACCTGGATTATGTTTGCCTTCAAAATGCTGTCGGAGGCGTTCCGGTGTGCAGTACGGCGGGAGGTTCTTGATCACGAGCCGTGTTGAGCTCATCGTGGGCGTTCAAGATCTCCTAGGAAGCTTAAGTTTCGTATGAAAGATGGAGATCTGAAGAAAATAAAGCCTTTTTTTTGTTAGGGAAAAAGGGATAGGGAAAGAAGGAGACGAAACGAACCTTGGAAAAAATTATCTTTGGAGAAATTGATGGCGTTTTTCTAGTGTGCGGCGGGAGTTGAATTTGTGTGATGTCAACAGCGGATTTTGCCGCCCCTCTCTCAAGATCTCTTGGCGTCGGGGCCCTGCGATCGTGTTTTGATACGCACACCCAGCGAGCGCGTTTGGACTTTGCTGATCGCTGTTCCTCAATCGACAAAGTCTGGTCAAAAAGACTAGAATATCAGGCTACGAGATGGCACAAACACCCAAAACAGTCTTCTCTGAGGAGAAGAATCCACGAGGGATCCCTAAAGCTCCGTTTATCGTGCGTCCTCACCGCCTTCATCCTATTTGTGTCCTAACCCCTGCCACCTCTATCTCCTAGGCCGACGTAGAAGAATACCTAGGCGGACCAGACGGCGACGTCGAAGCAACACTGCGGACATTCCAAGATGCCATAGCGTACGTCCGCACCTCTCGCCATTAGCATGGCGGACGAGAATCATAATCCTGACCTTTGATTTCCAATGGGAAGCCAGAAAGTACCGGTACATGGACGGTAGTCTGACTCAACGACGCGCAAGCCTTGAAGAGAAGATTCCTGATATCAAGAAGACGCTTGATATGGTCGAGTTTATCCGGGATCGAAAGGTGCGTAGTTGGCACCTTTTCCGCGTACCCCGTTTGTGCGTCGCGGTGGACTGGTGCTGACTCGGATACCTTTGGATGTTAGGCGGGTAAATCGAAGTCTGAAGACGACGAGGACGATTTGGATGATGAAGAAGACGACGGCGAACCTCAACCGTTCAAAACGACGTTCGAGCTGAACGATACGCTGTATGCCGAAGCAGAGATTCAGGATACTGATACCGTTTATCTCTGGCTTGGGGTGCGTTTCTACCCTCTCTCGTCCCTCCATCCATCCCCTCCCTCTAACCCCCCACCCATTCACATCTATACTAACACTAACCCCCTCCCTCCAGGCAAACGTAATGCTCTCCTACCCCATCCCCGAAGCCATCTCCCTCCTCCAATCCAAACTCGACGCAGCCAACCTCACCCTCTCCAACACCATCGAAGACCTCGAGTTCCTCCGCGAGCAGCTGACCATCATGGAAGTCAACACCGCGCGGGTGTACAATTGGGATGTGAAACGGAGGAGGGAGAGGAGGTTAGCGAAGGAGGCTGAGGAGAAGGAGAAGGCGTGAGGTGCATGACGAGGGGGAGTAGCAAGAGAGATAGGATGGAGGATAGGGGTGTGGTGAGATGGAAGCACAAGAATGGGCCCGGGAATTGGCAGTAGGCGAGTGAAAATAAAAATTCGGGTTTTCGATTACTCTGTGGCTCTCATTGGCGAAGAATTCAAGTTGGCTGGCTATTTTTGGCCCTCCCTGTCCGTGAACCATAACCACGGTATTGTATACAGTATACTGCAGCTTGGCGGGGAGGTGGTGCCAGTGGAGGAACACAACAAGGCACATGGATAGATTTGTAGTGATGCTTGTGTGTGAGTAGGGCTTGTTGGGGTGCCCGCTGCGGAAATTCGGGATTGAAGGCCATCTCCCTCTCCAACCTAAACTCGCCGGACCAACCGTAGTATGGACGTTAACAGTGACATGTTGACACTGCACTCGCGGTGCATTGGGATGCGAAAGGAAACTTGCTGTTAGCGAAGGAGGAAGGGGAGGAGGAGGAGGAGGAGAAGGAAAATGAGAGGAGAATACGAAAGGAGAACTTGAGATCCGATGGGCCTGAATGCCCTTGGACGGATGGATGGAATGGCAAGATGCCTACTTACCACCAAGTCGGTTGGTGAGAATTCAGGCTCGCCGTGAACCAAATCGTGGATACTCTCGCTCCCAGTCTCCTCTGCATTCCACAACTTGAAGACAACTACAACTAACAACTAACAGCTGGTAACCTAGAAGTTCCCCCCCCCCCCCCTCGGGGAATTCGCCCGATCATTCTATTCCATTCCCGCTTGTACAGTCTGAATTCATTCTCTGACCAAATCCTCTCTCAAAACCTGTTCGTTTACGACGACCTGATAATGTGCTGTAAAAGGCTGAAAGCCAACCACACCGTGTTTGTTGTCAACTTCAACTTGTGGTCAAGCGCGCGGTTATTCAAACGACCCTGTTTCCAAATCGTCATAGACATCAGGGAACAAGGATATTGGGAACCCCAAAACGAGGGAACATGCTTTATTCTTTTGTGAGTAGATTATTTTGTGTAATTTTCGTCGCTGTGGGTTCTCGTTTCTCGTTCTCTGTACGGCATAAGCCGCCTGCAACCGTGACCGTGGAGCTGTGAAGACAAATGTCGAGCGGGAGCGGGGAATGGGCTGTGTCCACAGCGGCTCTACAAAGCCACTAGCGACAATTCAAGTTGATCTCCATCCTTACAGCCTTGTAAAAGCCAGCACAAAGCGTGTGCGCATGCACCCACTGTGCTGTGGTGTCAGGGTATAAAAGGTGCATAAACCGCTACCTTGCAGAAACCAGAACAAAAGCCAGAAACTCGATACCATTCACCACTACCCACCTCAGCCTCTCAGTCTCTCAATCTCACCAGAGTCACAACGCCCATCCCTCCCCCACTTTAAATTCATACATTAAGCACCATGACAGTGTATGTCACAGGAGTAATCACCGGGTTTACCTGCATCGCGCCAACCATCCGCATCGGCGCCGACCGCGACCACCCCGACGCAAAGGATCCCAACAAAGTCCTCGCCTACCAGGACGAGCGGGGTCGGATATACACCACTGCCCAGGAGGCGCTCGAAAGTGCCGGGGACCGCGAGGTTGGAATAGGGAATGGGGATATGGTTATTAATGGCCCTATTACTGGGGGTATGTACTGTCAGAAGCAGATCACGGAGGTGTGGATTGATAGAGAGCGGTTGCCAAAGAAGGGGGGGTTGGTGGATACTGCTGGGGGGTCGATTGTGGAGGTTAGGGAGGAGGACGCGAGGTTTATGGAGGAGCGGGAGAAGCTTATGGAGGAGTTGGCGAAGCTTATGGAAGAGAAGGAGAAGTTTATGGAGGAACAGGAGAAGCTTATGGAGGAGCTTACTATGGAGGAGCAGGAGATGATTATGGAGGAGGGGGTGAAACTTATGGAGGAGGCGGCAAGACTTATGGAGGAGGCGGCGAAGCGTATGGAGGAGGAGGCTGTGAAGTGGCGGGAGGCGGATGAACAGAGGAGGGATACTAGCAAGGCCGACGAGGAGAACTTGATTCCGACCACACCTTCGGCTTCCAACCGCAGTTCTCCTACTAGGCGGGTCGGCGCCAAGGTTGCGCAATGGCTTGGAGTGCGTCGATCATGAGGATATCATCAACAGCTTTAGCATGAGTGGATGTTTGACGACGGGGCTTCGCTTTGTCAGTTTCCCGACGTCCCGATTCCCGAGTGTTCAAGAGTGTTGGGCGCGTTCTCTTCCGTAGCCTCAGAACCAGGAGAGGTGTAGATCCGTTTCTGTCTCGTATTTCTATCATGTACTCTGTAGATTATCTGTTCTTCCATAACGTACTATCTAATTAATGTGACATTTTTCTCATAAATGAAGCGCTGTGAACAGTCAGAATAATGAAGGTGTTGTGATTACGTCAGTACGCGATCTTAAGCGCCGTGGGCGCTCTCCGAGTCTTCATTGACGAGTTGTGGTAGAATGGCGTTCACCGTAGCGTCTATACCTTGGCATTATTTGAACAAATACTAGTCGGTCTGATTCCAGATGTTTCTATAAGGTGTGGTTTTATTTAGGGCAGGTAACCGATAGAAATTGACCGCGACAACCGTTGTGGACTCTGGCTCGCGACAATATGGCTCGGCACGAGCCCACCTGATATTGCTGGCATTGCCTAGGCCTGTCTTGAATTCCGCTGATATACTTCAAATCTCTCTCCTTACGGTGTTAACCAGGCTCCGCCCCGACCCTCACTTGTGGTCCCCTGCAGTACTTCCAAGGAAACCTCGCCATCATTTTGCTATATTCCTAAGGACATCGTCACAAATTTAAAAACTCCTCGACCGGCCTACAATTTTGCAATCAGCTGTAAAACGGAGAGGAAGGATGCATGCCTCGAACAGCAGTGTGGCACAGTCGTCTCTCAGGGCCATCTCTGACAATTAATTGACGAGCTGTGGACCACTGATATGGTTGACGACGAAATGAGTTATTCGTTCATTTTGGTGGGCATACGATGCACAGCAGCACACGACCCTGCCCCGATCCAGGTATAAAGGCCCTGGAGGTCGTCCCTCGAATGCATACTAACCACAACCCGCCACCGCTGTTTCACTTCGACCTCCTGAAGTCAACTCACAACTGATCGAACAGAACCATGACCCTCACGATTACTGGAGCAATCACCGGAAACGCTGTGGTGACCGGGGGCATCATGTGGAAAGAAGCAGATTCCAACGATCCGAACAGAGACAAGCCAAACAAGGTGCTCGCCTACAAGGACGACTTGGGCCGAGTTTTCTACACTCGCGAAGACGCAAGGCGACAGAACGAGCATCGCCGTTTGGTTATTTGCGGAAATATTACTAGTGGAGTCCACGGCAAGGTGATCGAGGAGGTGTGGGTTGATGACCCTTCTAGTGCACCTGAGCACAGCTCGCTCGACAACACTCACCCATCGAAATCGACTACTACAGCCGTGGTACCTGAATCTGGCAAGGAGACACTATCTGGCAACGGAAGTCATTCTGAGGACGACGAGACCTCTGACAAGGAGATTGCCAACCCAAAGACCTCTGGCGAAAGGAGCGCGACGGCGAGTTCGCCTTTGTACTACTGTGTTGCTATCTGGCTTGGTATCTCTCTGGCTATCTGGCGTTGGCTCCGATGATACGCAAGGCTCAGAGCTTCTCCAATGGATAAGGGACGACCGGTAGTAATTGAGCACTGGGGCTTACACAAACGCCTTGTTCGCCCATTACGACGTCGACGAGGCTACGACAATAGCTGTGGGCGCTCTGTGGTGACGAGTGGAGAGGTAGAGGGCGCTTATTTGTTTTTCTGCATTTTACTGTTGTCGAGTAGTAGATGCCTTGGTTTACTGGCTCCGTAATTTATGTCACCGTATGTATTCCATGAATAACAACACCTCCGAGTCTGCTCGTACTCGTGAAGCTTACGGTGCTGTGTGTGCTTATCTTGTTCGAAATGCATCTCAACCTGTTATTATGGTGAGCATTTGGGCATTGGCTTGTAAAGTCTTGATTATTGAACAAGAAGAAGCAATAAATAGGTAGACGCCGATTCGAGCTTCATTCCGTCATACCGTCGGCTTGGCGCTGTGACATGAGGCTGTGCACCTGCCCCGCTCCCGAAAGGGGCTGCTCTTCTGCTGTTAACCGACATGCCCTGAACAAAACACAGCCTCAGGCGCACACATTCATGACGATCTGATATAATAACCTGCGCAAATACCGCTACGTCGACACCGAATCTCTCATCTTATCCACCACAAACCACTCTCACAAAACTATACATCGCATGTCCGCACAAGCCCGCGCCCGACTGACCGCCCTCTTCCCGGCGCTCATGATCGCAGCGGCAGCATACAGCGCCTCCGACCCCGATACCCACTCCCGAAAACCGCCCGCACACGTTCTCAATCGGAATACCAACCACCACCAGCAGAAACGAAGGGGGAATCAGAGCAACGGCAACAACCCCTTGCCTCAACCGAATCCGCAGTGGGGATCTAGCTCGTCTGGTACGAGCAGTTTCAAGAGGAATGGGGGGATGGAGAGCAGGAAGAGTGGGAGTGATAACTGGACGATAGGCCTTGATTCTGGCTACCGGTTCTCGAGTTTCCGGTGTGCTTGTGGACGGTGTTCGATGGATCGACCGCCTACTTATCGACTGTGATCGTTGGAGCCATGGACGGTGTGCTCCGAGCTCTCGATTTACTCCCACCTTGCTTTCCAATCCTCCCAGTGATCCCTCCAACTCTGAGGGCATTCTATTCCGACGCGATACACGACTCCTTCAACCATACCCGACTACCTGATACTACCCATACCGACCTACCCACAATCATTTGTTTCCTCTCTGCTCATTGGTCGTCGATGCTTGGGGGGCATAATAGTACGAGTACTGTACGGGTACCGCCATAGCCTCGAATCGACTATCATACGGACACGCTCCTTAGCCCTTCCTTGAAACTCCTACTGCTGTATCATCTACCATTTGTATTATCATACCTTGTAGCCATAACCAATGATTCGAGACCTGCGCCTCGGCTCTACCAGCAGCACCGGATCCGTGCTCAAACACTCATGCATCATGTCCAACCTTCATGCTAGCCTCGTTCCCGTCGCCCGATCATTGAGCTTGACGCTCGGTAAATCCCAGGGTTAGGAGTTCCCAAGTACATTGTATCCGAGTCGCATACCGGGCTGCCAAAGCTTCATAAATTTACTAAGGAATAGCACATGCGAGTTTTTGAGAATTTACAGCAGCTTTATGGTCCTGAAGTGCAGCAGTTGTATCCTTAGGGGGATTCCTATCACTGCCATCTCAGACGTGGACAACGTCCACGGCGGTGTCATCCAGGACTATCTGGGTTCGTGCAGGCTCAGCGAACACAGCACTCGTCGCTGTCGTTCCTAGACAGGGGCTTCGTTTCCCGAAAGGCCTGACTTGGCAAAAAGCAGCGGGAAGGGGCCAAACAGGAAGGCGTCTTTGATGCGCCATCAAACGGTCCGTGCGCGGAGTTGAGAGATTGGAATGCCGCGACAATCTTTTGGTTTCGGACGACGACGACGACCACCATGGACGACCGTTGCGGTCACAACAACTGGCGCTCTAGGACATCGACAGACCAAAACAGGGGCTCTGGGAGTGAGCTGAATTGTGCCAGTCTAAGCGCTCGCCATGTTCAGGTGCTACCTATAGGCCCGCTGGAGGCTTTCGACTCGCTCCGTTTCTTCGTGACACCGTTTCAACCTGTGCCGCCATTGCCTCGACGTGGAGCTGTCTTGGTCTACACAGAGACACGAAGATAATGAGCTGACTTCGATGCGCATTCGTGATGCTGGCCAAGCGGGGGTTCATCTACTACCCATGGATAAAGAAAAGAAATCTGCAGCACCTCCAGGCGGCAGACGGTCTATGACCTATAATCTTGTCGGTCGACGGTTACGGTTGGGTCGACTATCTTCGACTTCTACCGTGGTCCACGCTGCCGATGGGACAGAGAGTCTATGACGGTCATCTCGATTCTCGGTCTATGCCTCACACGGAGTGAAGCTTGTCTCATCGGTGCGGCCTCTAACGGCAACGGTAGAACCATAGGCTCTCTGAAGTCAACAACTTGTGACTCTGTGATCATGAAGACGACCGCCCACAAACCCGCTTGACGACCTTGTCGGCCTACTCTATTTCGCCTCTTCAAATATGGTGCATCGAATACGTAAAAATCTAGCAGACTTCTGTTTACTGAGTCCTCAAACGACGACCCCTTGTCATTGCCAAATCAGACGCCACCGCTGCCAACATCACGTTGAATGTTGCATGAAATCCAGTCATCGGTGAGCTCTGTCTACTCCACTCCCATTCAATATTACTCGGATCACCTTTCTCTATCCCACCCAGCTCTGGCCAGCAATATGCTGCAATTCGGCGGGCGAAATTGGTCCTTGAGTTCGGGCGACAAGTATCCAGTTGAACATTCATCCTCTTTTTTCGTGGTTAGGCTTTCACTCTTCTCACTTCTGCCTCTCTCCTTCCTGAATCTGTTCTGTTTCGTTTATCCGACCCTCGCTACCCCTCTTGGGCAATGGTCATTGACATTACCGCTGCGAAGCAGCGCAGTTCCAGGCCCTGTCACGTGGATTTCCGTCACCTCCGAAAACGGATGTTACCCCACCTAAAAAGGAAGCCACATACGGTTGTCCAAACTGGGTTGAGAAGTCGCTTGAAAATGTGGGCAATAATTGGGAATAAACGCGATTTACCAATTCCGCATCCGCTGTTCCCTTTGTCCCCTCGAGTCATATCGTCATCCCGTCGCATTTCGCACCGCAACATGCCGTTTATGTAAGTCTAGTCCCATCTAATTTACCGTTTCTTCTTGGGTCTGACAAGGTCCGCCCACTAGATGCCCTTGTTTTGAAATGGGCGAGGTATTTGTCGACTTTGAGAAGCGGTGGTCAAGGGACAATGGGGCTGTCAGTCGATTGAAGAGAGTGATTGGATGACGGTCCATCCCTCCGTTCTCTGTTCTGACTTGACATTTCCATGTTTGGTGCCAGCCCGCTTTGAATCCCTTGTTCCTTGTTTTCAGTCGGTACTTCATATACCCTCTGTGCGAATGTCGAGCTTCTGCGAATATTCCTTTCTTCGTTTCTCCCTTCCTCTTTTTTTTTTTGTTAACTCTCTCTTTTCAAGGGCGTGGACCCTGGTCTTTGGGTCGCTGGAGTCCTCATAGGGATTAACGGCCTTCATTGGTATCGCTCAGGACGGCCTTCGCCCACACCGACCTCTACGATGACTGCCGCCTCCATGATCGCACTATCGACCCTATGGTCAATCTTGCTGACGGGGTTCCTACCCATCAAGCGCGTTTACAGCGATGTCCCAAGCCTAGCGCTCGTCGTATGGTTCCTCACCGCTAACTTCATCCACGCTGTCAACTCTGCGGTATGGGCGGGGAATGTGGACATCCACTCGGAAATCTGGTGCGATATCAGTAAGTGGCCTGAAATATAATCGTAGCTCTCTCCGAATCTGATTTTGGGAAATGATATCAGCGACAAAGTTACTGTTAGGTGTGAATGTCGCAATCCCAGGTGCCCTCCTTTGTATCGCAAGGCAGCTGGAGCTGGTGTCGTCCTCGCGCAAGATTATCGATAGCCCGATCGTCAAACGTAACTCGACGATTTTTGAGGTTATTTGCTGTTATATGATCCCTTTGATCTATATGTCCCTTCGTAAGCTCAAGCTTTGCTTCGGCTTCTAACGCCCTTGCTCACCGGGTCGCAGATGTAATATCACAGGACTATCGCTTCAACCTTGCCGCCGACTTTGGCTGCTCAGCTTCGATTCACCCGTCCACTCCGGCGCTCGTCACCATCTGGACTCTTCCTCTGGCGCTGTGTGCGATTACGATGTTCTTATGCGGTATGTGGTATTGTCCATAGACTTTGTTCCTGCAAGTAACTTTGGGACATCTGTAGGCCTTGCCATCCACCACTCCTTCCGACACAACACTTCCGCCTTTGCTACCCACCTATCATCCCGAAGTACGACTATCTCGTCTTCTTCACTTTTCTCTCGCAAGATATTCGTCGTCATGTTCATTACTGGGGTATCGGCCGTCACCACCCTCTTTCAGCTCTTCTCAATTCCTACCCTGAAGGAATGGACGAGTTGGGACGAGGTGCATGCCAAGTTGGGTGAAGTCGATATACTCTCACCGGAAGACGCTGGGAATGTCGCGGCTACTTGGTGGATCCTTTTCACTATCTCGACCATATTCATCGTCTTGACCCTCGCATTTGGGGAAGAGACGAGGGATGCCTACAAGTCCTTCGTCAAGAAGTGGAACAAAAGGGAGGAAATCGCCAGGGAGGTCAAGGCGGCATGTAAGATCAGTTTCAGGTTCCAACTCCCTGCTCGGTATGTGTTTATCCAACTATGGGCGTTCATCAATGATATTAACATCATTTGGATCTACAGGCGTCCTCGAACCCACCTTCCGCAGCCCATTGTCTGTCGATCAAGATTGGATTCGAGCGCGCGCCCTCACATGGTCGAACTCAAGTCCGGATGGGACGACATGTTGGACTTCAAGTATCCCAAGAGCCCCTCCCCGACTAAGCGCTCACGGTCCCTCAAGTCCCCGCCCATCTCGCCTGTGTCAAGTCGGAGTCCAAGTTCTGCTTCGTTCCGTGGCGGCGATATCCAGAGTCCCATCACGCCAAGCACAGGCCCCATGTCCGCTGAAGAAACGGCGTTCATGAACTCGACAATTTCATATCTTGGCTCCCCTCCCGCCCACACGTTGGGCGTTTCGGCTCCGTTGCAGGCTTCATCTCCGAGTCCGGTCACCGTCCGCCAACCGCCATCGCATCCGACCATCCCGGCTTACCACCTTCCCCGCCGACCAGTTCCAGTGTTGAAAGTAGCGATTGTTGCAGACCCTGTCCTGCCCCTCGCTGACGCGGCTAAGCTTCCCGCCACCCCTGTGGCGAAGCTGTCTACGCCCCCCAAAGCGCCTCGTCCTCAAATTGACTCGGTCTTCCAAGCTGACTGGCCTGTCCCACCTGTTTCACCTTCTCCCACCGCGAGTGTTAGCTCTCGTTATGAGACAAGGTCGCCTACCCTCTCGACTCGCTCTTCTATCGGTGCATGCTCGGATGTTCCTTCTTACTATCGCCAACCTCACACCGAAGGAGGGAGACCGTTTGAAGGGTCGAGTGTTGCCATGCATTCGCCAACACCTCAGCGGAGCCACGGCCATCACAGGACTCCATCGCTGAAGCCTAGTCTTCAAAGCCTGAGGGCCAGCTGGGAGAGGATGAGGCACGGTTCCAGTCCTGTCGGCTATCCTGGTGAAGGCATTCACATGACGGTTGTTCAAGAAACGGTATAGGTCTACTACTCATCTGGCTTCGTTCACGGTTTTTCACGCTTCTTATGTTCATCATTGACTCGTCCATTCTTTCTTAAGACTCTCATTTTCGCAAGTATGTATTATCTTATGCGGAGGATTGAAGGATCGTATTCGCATTTCGTTGTGTCTGTCCTCCCTTCCACCTTTCTGTATCTCGTTGGTTCTGGTTCAACCCCCCTTGATGTATCCTCCACCTCTCATCCTATTCTGTGTAGCATAGATCTCTCTCCGCCTCCTCTTCGTTCTCACATTCTGTATCATAGCATACCATGGGGTTTATGACTTCCTATGTCTCCCGCGATATCCGATTCGTCACTTCCAAACGTACACAACTTGAAGTTTTAGATAATTCTGTGGTCAAATGCAATATAGATATGTTGCTTCATATGATGATCCCGTGGCTACAAGGCTATTGTGGTGCGCCTTAGTCGAAACATGAAGTCGAAACCGTTTCGTCATGAACCGCTCATCCCTTGGGCGCCTCCCACCTTATTGTCTTCGCGTTCCCGATTGGGCAGCTGACTAAGCATGAAGACAATAACGAGTGGCTCGTCGCTGGCGTACATAGGCAGCGACCTCTTCTTTTGGGCGACAGACTGCTTTCATTCCCCTGCGCCCTCATACACCCTCAATCCGTTCAGTCTCTATCGCTCTCCTCAGTCCCCAAAACCCGGAAACTCAAAAATGGCCACGATGGCGCTGGGATCGACACCATCAGGATGGATTGGATTTTCGGACGTAATGGGAAGGGCTAGCGAGGTACGTGCGCCTTCACAGTCTAATGCACGACTTGTCTTACCGTTTGCTGTTGAGAATAGGCAGCTGTGTGAGGGGCTTGTTCAAGATTTGTTGCAATGGACTCCAGGGCTTGTTCTTCGAAGCAAAAGTTGACAGCTCGTTCGTCGCCCGTGCCCTGGAATTCTTAAAGTCCGCCTCAAAACCACAAGGAAGAGCCCGTTTCCAGGTGCGTTGCTATTCAAATTTCGAAATCGCCAGACCCTTGTGCTAATTACTTGGGCTTGAAGGACGTTCCTTAACCTGGATACGCGCTTGTGCTCGGCGACTTAACCTTGTACTTGTGGGTACACGTGCTATCGTTCCCAATCGGGAAGCTACCTTGATATTTCTCTTCAAGTCCTCCTTCGCCGAAACTTGTCGCACTAAATGGCGCCTCCGGAACGGCTTCCTGCAATTAATTACCCACGTTTTCTGAAGGAACAGGGTGGACGGAGATACGTGTGTCAGCGGCGGGATGATGGGTTTGAAGCGATACAAGGGGACCTCCGAATTTGGGTGCGCTTCTCCTGGCTTGTGATCCTTCGGTTCCCGCCTAATTAGGAAGTGACAAGCTCGCCTCCAAATTAGGCATGGGGTTTTGGGCGATTGCTGGAGGTGGTGGGTTATTGAGGACAAGGGGACGACCTAATCCGCGTACAAGCAGGAAATGTCAGAGCATTTCGCTCTTAAAACTGCGGGCGCTGGTCGTGATTTTTCACCAACCGCCCCTCAGCGACTCTTTCCTCCCTGTACTCATCAGAGTTGGTTGGGCCCCTCCCTCGTCTCCATCCCCCAGGCGTCACCCCTCCCTTTCGCACACAACTACACACCAGGAGACGGATTCAAGATGGCTTACCCCGCGGCTTACCCGAACTGGGTCTTCTCCATGTTCGCCTTCATTGGTTTCCTCTGTTGTGCTATTCCCTTCCCCTGGCACTTGGAAGGTGAGCACCTCTCGTAATCTACTGATACAACTTCAAGCTGACCTGCCTTCAGCTTGGAATACTGGGACATGTCTTTACATGTTTTGGACGGGCCTTGGGTGCCTCTTCCAATTCGTTAACTCGATCGTTTGGAATCGGAATGCAATTAACTGGGCTCCTGTCTGGTGCGACATCAGTAAGTCTATCATCGATCATCCTATCGTACTGTTGCTGACAGTCTGATAGCTGCAAGGTTTATCGTTGGATGCTCTTGGGCCATCCCTGCTGCCTCGCTTTGCATCAATCGTCGCCTCTACCACATCGCCTCTGTGAGGTCGGTCACCATCTCCAGGGCTGAGAAGCGCCGTGCCATCATGGTCGACTTGGCCATCGGCTTGGGTCTCCCCATCCTTGGAATGATCCTCCAATACATCCCCCAAGGCCACCGCTTCAACATCTTCGAGGATGTCGGTTGCTACCCCTTCACCTACAACACCCCCGTCGCTTTCGCCCTTGTCTGGTGCCCTCCCGTCGCCATCGGCCTCGTCTCCGGTGTCTACTGCGTCCTCAGCATCCGGAACTTCTGGAAGCGACACAACCAATTCTCGGAACTCCTCTCCAACCACAGCAACCTCACCTCCAACCGTTACATCCGCCTCATGGCCCTCGCCGCCACTGACGTTCTCCTCACTGTCCCCTTGGGCAGCTGGGCCATCTCCCTCAACGTCTCCATGGGCATCCACCCCTGGTTGGGATGGGAGGATACCCACCGAGGCTTCTCTCGCGTCGACCAATTCCCCGCCATCCTCTGGCGAAGCGACAAGATCACCGAGATTTGCATCGAGTTCACCCGCTGGAACATTGTCGTTTGCGCCCTCGTCTTCTTCGCCTTCTTCGGTTTCGCCGACGAGGCCCGCAAGCACTACAAGTCCGCCGTTTCAACCGTCGCCAAGAAGATGGGCTACTCCACCTTCTCCTCCACTGGAAGCGGTACTGGCATCTTTGCATCCACTGGCAGCCGCTCGCAAGCCACCGACAGCATGGGCAAGATTCGACCTATTCCTCCCATCCACGTCCACTCCGACATGCTCCAGCGCCACCGCTCTATCGATTCGTTCACCAACGTTTCTGTGACCGACACTCCCATCGACGAGAAGGAGAAGGGATTCTCCCCTACCGCCTCTTATGGTGCTTTCACACTCTCCGACGTTGGCGGTACCCTTGCCGACTACTCGCCCAGCACCGGGTCATCGGCTTCCAGTATCTCTTCCCCTGAGCAACCCCGCTCTCCTTCGAGGCTCTCGAACAACGACCAGCCCACCACCCTCGCCGTCCCCGAGCCGGCACGTCACCAAAGTGACAGGTCTGCTGTATAAAACACGCCCTTAACATTCAGCACGCTGGTTCCGTTGTTTATTGCTTCTATTATTCCCCCCTCACACTGTATCGACCGCCCGTAATGTGTTTCCCTTCCTTTTGTTCCAACTACCCACTCTTCATCTTCGTGACAAACGCACTGCATACCCACTTTGGTTCGTTTTCTGATGTAGCATTATAACTCAACCCACCACCACTGTAGCTTTAGTATGACTCGATTGGGATCTTGGATTATACCAGGCCTAGTACATTTCTCTATCACTCTGTACACGGTAGAAAGTAACTCCCTAATAGTAGGGGTTCAAAATATGACTTGCTTCAAACATACAGCTCCGGAGTGACTGCAACAAGTTGTTTGCAATTCGATTTGCTTGAACTTGAGCGCTACGGCTCGCGTCCTCGAAGTTGAATAGAACGCAAGGACGATTGGACTTCTGTGGACCGCAACTCCGGCTCGACTGGGATGACTCTCTGTACGATGTAGCCTCAGACTGCGGGCAGGTCAAAATACTAATCACTGTCGCCACCTTTCAATTCACGGAGACTTCCAGTATTAGGACCGTCCTCCGCGTTCCTACTAGTGAGGCACGGGTGTTGGAGGAATACAAAGCTTTTGGCTAATTGAATGTGTCCACTTCACTGGTATATCGCTGCAATTTGGAAATTAAAGCTGAAAACATCTGCACCTCATTGACAGGTCGGTCAGCTCGACCCAAAAGCCACTTCGTTCTTAATGAGGTTGGGAATCCATTGGCGTGGATGTACGGCGAACAAATAGAAGTGACTCCCGGCCGTAACCAAAAACTGGACAGGCGCGGACCTAATTGTCTTCCTAGTCAAAGCGACTCGCCCAACATGGCGTTTTCCTCTGCGTGACGTTCTGTCTGTACAGAAGGGCAGGTTGCTCGTGACGAGAAAGGTTGTGGCTGCCCAGGACCTACCACAGAAAGGCTATAGCACTAGAAAGGCAGGCATGACTTACGACCTCATTGACTACCTATACTCATGAAGGTACCTGTAAACGAAGCTTGGTCCAGCACAATCGAGGTTCTCGAGGACAATGGGCACGCTTTTGCCATGTGTGGCATAAGCGCCCATAATCCTCGTGATCATTGTGTGGCTGTGTGTGAACTTTCTTCCTTTCTGACCAAATGACAATGAACAAAACTTGTTCTGTGATCCCATTTCAAGGGCCGACGCCTCTTTCTTCCTAACCACAACCATACTATTTGACACCCTTCTCGTACTGAATTACATTTGGAGGAGATCCATCGAGAGTTATAACAGAAGACTGGTGCTATGAAGCCCACGACAGAGCCGATGTGAGTGTTTTCCGATATCTACCCCCAATCGCTGAGTGGCATCGCTAACAACGACATACCAGAACGCCGAAGCGAGACCCGGTGGCTCAGGCTGCCTTTGGGGCTAAATCAGCTCCCGTCGGGGCGACTCCACGAACAGGGCAGGACATCACCAATGTCGACGACACGACGACCACACTTCGCCTCGACATCGCACGGTTGATGAACGCGGAGATCGTCCTTTGCGATCCCGACGCCTTCCTCAACTACTATATGCCGAAGTGCGACGCGGATACCGCAAAATATGTATTAATTCGCCTGGCCACTGAGAAGAGGTCAGACGGCACTACCGTTCTTGTACCACGCCACACTTCCAACACCCCAGTGGACTCCAAGCAAACGGGCGACGATGACGAGGTATCCGTCAACGCAGACGGTGAAGGCTATGAGGAAGGGCCTGAAGCCTCTGACACAGAGGATGAGACGGACGACGAGCAGGGAGCCACATCGATTTTCAGGAAAAAGGCGAGAGTGACTTTGGAGGAAGCCGAATTGGACGATGGCGAAGAGGAGTACCCCGACGAGTTCGAGCGAGAGGCGACGGAGAACCTGAAGGACAGAGGAGACACGGGCTGTATGGAGGATTTTTGCCCCTACGGCCTCCACGACTTCAAGTACAGGCCGTCAATGGTGAAGAAGACATACCTCGTCAACAAGAAGAAACGAGTTGCCAATTTGCGCAAGGTGGACGAGGACTCGCTCTTCAGTACTCTGACTGGCATCGGAAACGCCGTACGCGATGCCCTTCGTGCCAGAGGAGTGGTGGTGAATGACTATCACATTTTAATGTGTCCTAACACGAGATTGTCATCCGGAATTGGCGGATGTGATCAGAGAATCGATGCCGCCCTCACCAAGAAGAAAGATGTCAAGGGCATAACAGTCTACGACATCATTGTACCATTCGAATTCAAGGTGGATTGCAAGAACAGCATCATATTTGAGGTATGTGACTCTCCGGCTCTCAGGTGATCATGTGCGCTGACCTTGTGACCATAGAACCGGAGACAAGTGGTCTCGCACGTCAATCATACGATGAATGACGACCCTCGACGGCTGTTTATGTATGCGGTGAGTTGGACACCTTTGGTCTTCGAAGCTCATGTATAACCTTGGTCCAGATCTCTATTGAAGACGACCTTGTGTCCGTTTGGTACTTTTCTCGGTCGCATTCGGCCAAAGCCGCCTGTTTTAGCATGGTCGAGGTGCGCGTTCTCTCGAATCTGATACGTTATACGTCCTGACTTTGCTTGCGGCTCCAGCGACCCGATATCCTAATCAAGGTTTTTATCTCGCTTTTCTGCGCGACGGATCAACAACTCGGCTTCGACCCATATGTCACCCTCGTTGAAGACCACAGATTTGTTTACGAACTCCCGCCCAACGAGTATCGCTGCAAGTCTCTCTTCTACCGGACCATCGAATCCATCATCAACCCGCGCGCCCTGCGGCTTCGTGGACGATCAACTCGAGTTTGGAAGGTCGAGCAGGTGCAATCGAAGAAGGGACCACACCCGTGTTGCTGGGACGGGGGAGATGATATTGAAGGATGTCTCGCTGAGCTCTGATACGGCAACAGAGTTTGACATTCAGAATATGATGTTCAATGATATGGACAAGTTTGCGAGTGATCCGAACTGGCGCGAGCGCGATATTTTGAAGCACTGCACACCGGAGCAATTGGACGAACTGGCGGGTGTTTTGGAGGGCTGTCGCTTTAGAGATCTGTTCTCGTGTGTCAAGGAGCACCATATAGGTGGCTCTGGTCTTCTCGTCATTCCCTATGCCTGGAGGCTTCCTTCAGTCTTTATGAGGCCGATGAAGCTTAGCCAACCCTGCAACAATGTTCGCACCAACGTTGCTGCCGACTTCCCATTGAAGGATAGTTTGTCGAACCACGATTCGAGCCAAATGAAGGAGTCAACGCCAGCGGTGGAGATGCTGCCAACACAGGCATTAATGCCTCGGCGACAATGTCGACTTGTTTTCCACCATGTCTATACACCCCTGTTACATATCCGGACTATGGGGGATGCTATGGATATCTTGAAAGGATGCGTCTTAGGTATGTGTATTCCTTGGAATTTCTTGCGTGAGCAGTTCATTGATCTTCGAACACCAGCTCTTCGTCTGATGTTCTGCGCGGGATGGGTCCACCGAGATCTCAGTCCTAGTAACATCCTCGCCGACCGGAACTCTCCCAGTGGTCCTTGGCAAGTCAAGCTCTCCGACCTAGAGTACGCGAAACGGTTTCCATCTGATTATTCTCCAAGTTCCACGCCCAAAACGGTGAAGTTCATTAATTCGGACCTCCTTCATCGGCGCACTAGAGACTTTCCGGAAGCATCTCAGAGTGGAGTACAAAAGGCGGAATGGCCGAGGCAAGCAAAGGGACACAGGAAGCTACTCCTGGATCATCAGCGGCACTGTCCGAGCGTTCTTCCGCGCCATAGATAAGTCCCGACAGGATTGGGCGAGCATCGAGTTAATTGAAGACCCAAAGCCAAAACGCAAGATCGCGAAAATGAATGAGTCCTCTGACAACCTTGATGCTCCGCCTCCGGATCCACTCACCGGTCAGAAGCGCAAGTTCCCGCAGGTTGCAATTCGATTTCAACTTTCTAGCAGTATCAAAAGTTCTAGCAGTATCACTACGGGCCATAGGGTCACTGCTCGCCTTCCTTCGCGCGCAAGGGAAAAAGCACCTGCAGCACCGACATTGCAGACATCGGCGGAATCCACTTTGCGTTGTGTGGGAATCGGAAAGGATGTGAACGAGGAGGACGAAGCACAGCAGGGACGAACAAAGAGAGCCCGTCGTTGACCGTGGTGCATCTTTAGAAGTAGACAGTCCCTCCTCTTACTGCATTGTCCATGAAGCTTTGTGCAGGGCTCGGACGCTGGTACATGGACACCACGGTCACATCGTAACACCTGTGAATGTGCTGCCAGGTTAGTTAGCACAGATTAATATGTATTCACCGATGTTTCCAAGTACAGTCAAATACCAATCCCTATCACTTTAAGAAGCATGAAAATTTCAATTACTCCACCTTGCTGAATGAGGTATCACTGGGCCGTCTATTCACTAGGTAATGTCCTTGGGCCCGGGGACCTTGAAGACGAAAGTCAGGAGCCTTGAATTCGCCCTATAGGTGTGCCTCACGGGTAGTTACCGAATTATCCCAGGCATGTGGGGCGTCCTGAAGCAGATTAGACCAAATCTTCGGTAACATTCTCCTCATTTACTGTCATCGCGCAATACCTCAGCCAACCCCATCTACTCGATGATTTCGTGGAATGCCACAGGCCGATGGAGTCGGAGGTTGGACGCGATCGCGTGACGTGGGAACTTTGGCCAGAATGGGTTACGTGCGCCATCACGTCCGTCGGTTGCCTCTTGTCTTTGAACCACAACCATCGTTTTACTGAGCAAACCAACTTTCTAACTTTAGCCACCCCTCCGACGACATTGGTTATGGGAAAGGAACTCGTTACATGTCCTGCAGAAGGATTCATTCAAACTTACCTCCCGAAGGATGGTTTGAGCAACTTCGACCGAGTCATGGCAGAGCTGAAGGCGCAAAAGGTCTTGGAAGCTCATACACGACCCCTCACTCAACCCGCTTCAGCTGAACCTCGCAGCACCCATCGATTCAAGGCCTTCAAAGGGCTATTCCGATCTGGTCATGCTAAACCGACTCGCGTCCTGAAGGCGCTTCAGGCAACATGGAATACCGTGCGCAAGGCCATGGGAAGGATCGCCGAGACAGACATCAACAAGTACTCTTTCAGAACTATTGAGGGGGAAGATGCCACTGTTGATACCTGCCTAACGATTAACACGGATGCGTCTCTGAGTTCTACCGACGTGGTGATTCCTTTCCGTGTTGACTCTGTGACCAGTTGCAATGGCCAGGTACGGGATAGTTTTTGCGGGCCCATCCTCTTCAGCTAACCATTTGTCGGCGTTAGAACCATTCCGATCCCTTCTCGGACTTCTTCCGTGTGATAAATGAAGACGCCCGCCGAAGCCACCTCTACGCAGTAAGTACGTCGACTTTGGATTCGTCCGCGACCTGATTAGTTTCTTTGCCATTAGATCACCATTGAAGGTGCTGATTTGTCGCTATGGTATCTATCTCGATCAGAATGTGTTAAGTCTACTCCGTTCAACATGGTAGAGGTAGGTGTCCCCATCACAAATATCAACGCACCCAGCTAAACGAACGATATTCAGCGCGCCGACCTCCTCATCCAGGCGTTCATCTCGCTGATGTCAGCCACGGATGAGAAACTCGGTTATGATCCTTTGGTCACCCTGCTCCCGGACCTTACCTACGTCTACGAACTGCCACCAGATGAAGGTAGAAAAGACGCTCTCTACTACCAGACTGTCGAGCTCGTTTCCGAGTTCCACTCCGACGATCCTGTCGGGCGCAGCGCGCGGGTTTGGAAGGTGAAGCAGGTGGTCTCCCCCACTGATCTGAATCGCGTTCCCGAGACTTCCGACAGAATCCTCAAAGACGTTTCCCTCGATGCACGCATGAAACCCGAGGTGGATATTCAGCGACAGCTCTTCGCTGATATCGCTGCTTTCGGGAAACGTCCTGACTGGCGTACCGCGAACGTTTTGAAGGATATGCGAGACGAGGATGTCAAGACGCTCGCGGATGCCTTTGACGGGGACAACTTCAAGAGATATTTCTCGTGCATCATGGCAAGTCACGTCGGCAAGGCCTACTCCCCGGCTATTCCCCTCACCAACAACTGCAGCCCGAGCTGTTTGCCCAAGCGCCGGTGTTTATACGCTTACGAATTCGTCTGCACGCCGCTCCACGACATCCCTACACTCGGAGAAGCTATCGACATCCTCAAGCAGTGTCTGACAGGTAAGCTTTGTTGCGCTAGTTGGGTTCCACGGTCCACTGACGGCTTTCGCAGCAATGCGGCTTATGTATTGCGCTGGGTGGATCCACCGTGATATCAGTGTTGGAAATATCCTAGCCTCTCGTAACACGCCCGGGGCTGTCTGGGAGGTGAAGCTGTCCGATCTCGAATTCACGAGGAAGTTCCTAGACCCAGAGATTTCCAGTGATGAGAAGCCAATCGTAAGATCCGATTCGTATTCTCTGCCCGCCAAGAACTAACTATTGACTTCTTGAAGGGCACTCCATTTTTCATGTCCTGCGAGCTGCAAACTGGCATTCCCATTACACCGGACCCAGATCTCGCTGCGGAGCTCGACCGCGATAGAGACTCCGAATGGTCGGAAGAAGATTCTGAAGAGCTCCAGCCAATACTACACAACTTCCAGCACGATCTTGAATCTATCTGGTGGATAATCCTCTGGCTTGTGACCGCCCGGCTTCGCGGTTGTTCATCGCGCGAATGGAGCAGTAACTTCTTTAAACAAACAAACAGCCACTGGTATGGCAGCAGACGTGAATCGCTCCTGTGCGGTGTAAAGCCATTTCATTTGGGAACGGACTTTCCAAGGGATCTTCCAGCGAGCCTTCTCGGGGACCGCTTAAGCTTCATACGATGGCTTGATGCCTTCAGGCTTGATCTGTGGCGCTCGTACAAACTGCGGTACAAAACAAAAGGACAGGAAGATCCAGGCAGTTATTCGTGGATGATGGGCAAGGGCGCCTCCAAGTTCTTCCGCGGCATTGAAAAATCTCGGGAGGCGTGGGCTTCTGTCCAACTCATTGTCGAGACAAAGCTACGGGAGGCTAGGCAGACACCCCCTCAGCCACCGCCGTCCAGGAAGCGAAAAGCGGAGGTGGTAGTGGGAGTTCCCAGTATTGGTAACCGGGCCCCGGCGGATGAACAACGTGAAGAGAAGCAGCCTCATCGGCCTCGAAAACGACTGCGACTCGCAGCGCCCGACTCCACCGCTCAGAATCACCAACGCTCGAGACCCGTGACGAGGTCGATGACGAGGGAACAACGCAACGCAGGCCCGACGACGAGATCCATGACACGCCGCCTCCAGCAATCCGCTTCTGGCTCCTCCCGACTGACGGGATCCTCAAATAGGCGAACTCGTACATAGATCCATATTGTTCTTCTGCTTCACGTACATAGTATAAACGGTCACCGGCACCGCGTTATCCCGTTCCCATGCGCCATGCTTAAGCTTCGTATAGATGATAGATGCTTGTAACTGATACATATCCGCACCTCTTCGTCCTCATAGAAGGCTCATTAGATTAGCCGACTCTGCGATACTTCTCATATTATAACCTCCTGTTAGCCTTTCAGGACCTCACTTTGTATTTTACTTTCTATATCTACATAGGATGAAACCGCGACTGAAATGAACACTTGCGAAGGACTGCATGCATCCCTCTGCGTTCATATTCGCTGACTGGGACCTCCAAGGCGAACCTCGCGGCATTTATAATTATACCAGCTTCGCTGGCACGTGCCTGCGGCACGGGTACGGTGGTTAGGGTCGGGCTTCGCCCTCCTGGCGCGGTGTACTCGCTGGGCCTCAGCTTCTGGAGAGCGCACAAGTGTTTGAACAATGAGTAAGACGCGAGCTGAGCCCCTCAAACGATTCAAGGTCCTGCATGAACACTTGCCTTCGAACCACGACGTTAAAACATGACCTCAGGGGTCCCTTTCTCTCCAATTTTGGACTTCATCGACACCTACCTACCGAACACTAGCGGTTGATACCGTCATGAAATTAGAAGGCCTGATTACGAGCCTGTGGATCTTAACTGAACCACCCAATAGCAGTACCCTAGATCTAGACTATCTATCCACCCATTGACCATTGGAGGAGATCGGATTGAAGGCGTCAAAAATCAATGTGGTCGAAGTGTGAAGAAGAATACGCTTCATGGAATGCGTTAAAGACATTAAGGTAAGGTACTACAGCGTGATGGAGAAATTCATAACAAAAAAGTATCGTGTATCCACTCTTGAAGGTAGTCTAGATGGTTGGCTTTCCTCTGGGCTCGTATGGAACCAGGAGAGGAAGGATGCAGCAAGCAACGGTAAGTCCACCACCAACGTAGGCAGGGACAGTGCTTTCAATTGGGTAATACAAGACGAGCAACGGTGCGAGGACACCAGAGATACGGATGAACATGGAAACAATTGCGTTTCCTGTTCCTCGGTTTTTGGTGGGGAAGACTTCGGTGGTGAAGGCGTACAGAACGCTGTACAGGACCTTAAAAGCGTCGCATGTCATCAGCACTCATGTTTAAAAGAGAACAGAATGGGACGAGAGACGCACAGCGCTTCCAAACTGGTAACCGCAGTTCCAACCGAGAAGAGCGTTCGAGTTCTTGGAAGTGGTGCTTGCCAAGAGGAAAGTGCCGGATAGAGCTGTAAATGGTATCTGGGTTTAGCGCCAGCCTACTCGCTGGAGAAGATGGTGCTCACCGCAGCCAATGGCCAAGGTCCCTCTGCGTCCGAGGAATGGGATCTCAACGGCCAAACTGGCCAAATAGGGGGCGATGAGACCGCAAGTCGAGATAATAAATTGCTGCGAAGATGATTGAGTCAAGGAGCATGCAGCCTCGACGAGGATGCTCACGTTACGATAAGTGATGTCAAGTGGTGTGCCGGCGCCAAACTCCTCTGCGCGAAGAGAAAGTCTGGAGGCAATGTGTCAGGATAAGCATATAGACAATCTCCTTGCTAGACACTCACAGGTAGGGCAGGAAGCTGTAATAGAGTGTAGTGGCAAGACCGATCGCACCTAAAGAAGATTTTAGATCACGCCCAAAGTCATTCAAAATAGCAACTTACTCCAGAGGACAATCAAAATGACGGTCGACAAAGCCATCCTCAACGGCTTGAACAACGCGACAATACGTTGGAAGACATAGCCAAACTTCTGTCCAACTGTGGCGGGTTCTTCGGGACGCCCGCTGCCAACCTTCTTGAGGTCCTCCACGGTCAAGGAGCACTCGACTCCATTGTACTTAGCGATGGCCTGTACCACGGCGACAGCCTCTTCGTCCCTTCCTCGAGCGAGGAGGTACCTGGGGCTTTCATGGATAGGGAACGCGAAGAACCGGACGAGACCGAGGAGGAGGGTAACACTTCCGAAGGTGAACATCATATACCTCCATCCCATGTTCCCCTCCTTGGTACAAGGATTGATGAAGTCGCAAGCTCGCTTGGGGATAAAAGCCCAAGCCAAACCAGCGATGAACATGTTACCAAGGATCCAGAACGTTTGCAAGGCTGTGAGGAGGTAGCTATGCGACGCCGGCATGAACTCTGGTAAACGCATACGTTAGACAGACATTGAAACGGATATGGCCTCTTTTCCTTACCGAGGAAGATTGCGGAGTCAATGGGGATGTTTCCTACAATCCATTTAACCGTATTAGCACTGTTGGAATCTCGATAGTACTCCTATTCACCCACCTCCTGCACCAAAGCCGAAAAGACCGATGAGAACGGCAAGCTGGGTGAAGGTGTTTGCACCTCCTGCCGCCGTGGCAAACACACCGGCGACAATGAGGGTGAGGTTGAATGGCCACCTTGAAGAAGGCTTAGTTCTCAGCACCCCTTCAGAAAACGCAAACACTCACACTCGTCCATAGAGATCAGACATGAGTCCCCAAAAGGCGGCTCCAACGAACAAGCCGGCATAGACGGTGATGACAAGATACGATGGATCGACCGTGAAGAACTCGGGGAGTGTGGTCGGAATGAGGAGACCCGGAAGGAGCTACACGATAACGCATAGTGTTGTCAGTATCTCGTGTGGGGTATCGACAGCGAATGATGCATTCGCTCACCGGTAACACGCTATCACTATTGCATTCAAGAAAAAAGGTCATCAACTATCAGAATGGCCTTTGACTTGCGGTGATTGACTTATACGTACAGGAACCAGCCAAAGCCAGACACCACGAAGAGCAGGCGCTATGAGAAATGGGCTCAGCGCTTTCTGAAGCGAGAAAACAACTTGAGATAACATACGTGATATTTTCCGAACCCAACGCTCTGCATGGCGTCGTTTAGGACCCTGAGCTTGAGCTCAGTATCGGACTCGTGACCGAGTCCAGTAGCAGTTCCCTTCTCTACCTCTGCCCCATGGCTTTGCGTCGTCTTGAGATCCTTTGAGTCCCGTGAGTTTGAGCTCACGCTCGCAGCCTTCTCCGGAGCAGGGTTGTTCGTCGTAGAGGCCATGACTCTCTGCAGTGTAACACGAGACGGAGTCACGCAGCAGGAAGGGCGTCGAAAGGAAGGAGCTGCAGCAATAGTGTCAGAGGTACCGTCCGTTTTAAAGATGACACCGGCGGATATGATTTTGTGGACATGTCGTTACTGAAATCACTGAATGTGTAAAATCAGAAGGGTGAATTAGAAGTCCGTTTGTTTGTTGCATGTAACGTCAGGTCTGAGCAGAGAGTCTACAATTGACGTTGGTCAAAGTCTTGGTCTATGGGAGAGGCTGAGTGTAACCGGAGTGTTCGGTAACGTTATCTTGATGTGCGTATCTGCTAATAACTCACTCTTACCTCACGGTTCCCAGAATTGTAGCATCGGCCAACATAACACTCCTTTTGGAGATTATATGTCTCATGAACCTTCGAACCTCCTCCTTTTGGTGCGCATTAGGCCCTTGATCCTGTGGGCACACATCGATGGGCTCGACTGTTTTAGTCTAAGTTATTGGCACTGATAAGGAGGGGAAAGGGGGATCGACTTAACCCTGACGCGATAGACTATGATATATTGGGCCAATCAATTATTACAGCTATGTGTTCTTTGCCCAACCAACGAGCTCTCCAAGATAGAACTCCTGCCACGCACTGAGAGCGATGGTGGGCGCTTATTCAGTGCTGTTCCTGACGCGTGGCAAACGCGAGGCTGGATTGATGGGCGCTGATGGCGGCGAGAATACTGGGCATCTTTGCGGCTTGCCGCTCCCGAAACGGACGGTCCGGGGGCTCCAGAGGGCCTCAGCTATCACATCCGTTAGTAGGTCCTTTGGATAGCCCACAGGTCTACTTAACTCAGTTTCGTCTTGACGCTGGCCCCGTGTCAGGTGCACCTGGTGCATCCAATGTATTCTTCGTCGCCCCTTCAGGTTCCCCGTGAGTGAATCCATGACGTCCGCCAGCCTGTTTTCCCTGACCCCCTTCTTTCACACCATTACGGCGATAACTTACATCAACTCCCAAGGCAGGCATGAGAGAAGTAATTGTTCGTTGACATTTGTGTTGCTCAATCGCTTTGTTTTGTCCTCGGCCCTTACTTACGGCCTTTGGCTTTTCATTACCATGGGAAAGATGTTGAAGGAGGAAAAGCAAGGATCATTGTTTTAGCGGGCATCCATATCCCATACCGTAGTAGAACCTAACCAGTACCCGAAGGTTTTCGAAGTATAACCATTCAAGAATTTTATTCTGAGCGCCATTGCCGATAGAGGATTTCTCGGACTAGGATCGTTTTACAAAGTCGATTTTGCCTCCATGGATGCGGCTTATTGCTCCTTGCACAGGCTCGGCCTCCGGATCCACCGGAAGCGCGAAGAGTCACTCTCGGACACCATGGCTCGGCTCCGACAACGCTCCAATGCCTTCATATAAGCTCAATCGCAGAGCCCAATGCCAACAAGTATCTCTCATTCTTACCATGGCGAAGTACGCAGGTATTTCATGGTTTGACTTTCTTGGATTCGCAGGGACATTTGCCACATTGCGTATGTCTCTATTGCTCTTTGCTAGCACTCCTACTTATCTATCCCTCAGCTTTCTACGTGTTGTGGAGCGTGTTGGTGACTGCTTTGAAGAAACGCCGGCTAACTGGCTTGCGCAAGGCTGCATTAACCTCCAGCGCGAGGTACATAAATACCAGATCATCTGTCGCTCAGCTCCAATACCTGTCCGGCACATCGCCTTCTGTGTACGCGTCATGGGCGAGGCGCCATGGCTTTCCGGCCGTGATAGAAGATCTGAGGCACGATGCACGGCTGTATTGGCTAGGACCAAAAAGAACTGACAAAGTCATTCTCTACATTCCCGGTGGGTTCCATTTCACGAGTCCATAAACCGAACCGGGTTTAACAGGAAGTAGGGGGCGCCTTCTTCGCCCCTATCTTGAGTGTCGCTCTAAGCTTCTGGAATTATGTGAGGAAGTCGATGGGAGGCGAAGGCGATGTCGGCCTTGTCGTTCTTCAGTACTGTAAGCTCCAGGCGCTTTCAACCTTTCCAGCTTACTGACCCACTCGCTAGCTGTACTTCCGGAAGCAGGATTTCCGACACAACTTCGTCAAATATGCGGAGCCATCGATCACCTTCTTCAATCAGGAACACGACCCGATAACATACATATTGTCGCGGACTCGGCGGGTGGTAACCTCGTCCTGCAATTCTTCTCCCAACTTCTACACCCTCTGGAAAACGCGAACGTCGAACCTATTCCAGCCTTGCGAAAGCCCTTTGGAAGCGTTTACCTCCTGTCTCCCTGGACCAATCTCCAGATCGCAGAGCAGAGAGGGCAAAAGAGCGCCGACGTCATCAACACCAAAGTGCTAAAGGTTTGGGCAAAGTCATATATAGACACTATCCCCAAAGGACAGGAACATTATGCCAGCTTTCTGACCCCTGGAAAAGAAGATTGGTTTACAGGCTTGGGTCAATTCTGTAACCGCATTATGGTGTCGTTTGGAGGAGACGAGTGCATCAAGGACGATGGGGTGGATGTTGCGAGATCGCGACTTTCACAGGATGGAGTGGATCTGCGGCTCGAGATTCAGGAGGGTGGTGTTCACGATGATCCATTTTGGGACTTTACCTCGTCGGACAACCCTTCGTCGGTTGGCACTCTGACACCGATCATCGTCGAATGGTTAAAGGAAGGGTTGTATTCCAGATCATAGATACAGTAGGCCCTCAGTGACCAATGACCATGCATATCTTGTGGAATTCGATATACTTCTCGTGCTTCGGGTGCGCTAAGTATTGCAATTCGAAGTTCAACCCTTCCAAGCAGGCTGATCGTCTAGCGAGACTGTCGACCTCTGGGCTCGTACGGTACAAGCAGCGGAATAATACCGGCGACAACTAATAGACCACCTCCGATATACGCTGGCGTAGGCGTTTTCGCATCCACTTTAAGGGCAATTAGAGGTGACTGGTTTGGGGATGATGTTAGAAATGCCTTGGAAGGCGTTCGTCTTGAACCTACCAGAACTCCAGATATGCGGAGAACTGTAGAGACGATTGCCATGCCAGTACCCCTGCTACTTGTTGGGAAGACCTCTGAGGTGAAGCTGATCAGAAGACCATACATTGCCTGTCGGGTAGTATGAGCGAACAGGAAGAGAAACAAACAGAAAGGTCGCTCACATGGTTCCACAGCGAGAACCCGCAATTCCAACCAAGCAATGCATTCGAGCTTCGGGAAGTGGTGCTTCCAAGTAATAACACGCCTGACGCGACTACCAACCCCGGTGAATGTGAGCAAGCATTTGGGGCGATGGACATGGATCAAGTTCTCACTGCATGTAATGGCCATGGTTCCTCTTCTTCCCAATAGTTTGGTTTCAGCAGCTTTGCTCGCGACGTACGGCGAGAAGATGCCACATAAGGCGATGAGGACTTGCTAAATCGAGGCGTCAGGCGTGGCTCCAACTTGAAAGGAAGATGGTCACGTCACATTCCGATATACGACGGAAATTGAAGCATCCCCGAAAGCGTCACCGCGGGTGGCCAAGAGATAGGGAAGAAAATTGATGTAGAGAGTGGTTGCAAGACCGACCATGGCTGTCGACGAAGGTACGTTAGAGCCAGCCTCTTCGAGTGTGTATAGCGCATACTCCACAGTAAGATCAGAAGAACTGAAGACACGCCCATCCGGAATGGCATGAACAAGGTCTTGACTCGTCGCAAAGCAAGCTTCGCTTCCTGGCTTAGTATGCCTGGTTTCGGTTCCGCGTGCGACTTCTGATGACCGTCCTGTTCCATTGCCTCCAGACCGTGTAGGGAAAGGGGGATGGGTACCCTATTGAAGGTTGCAATCCGGTTGACGATATCGACGGCTTGTCCCTCTCGTCCTCGACCAAGCAAGTACCGCGGGCTTTCATGCATGCGAAAGACGCACATCCTGAGGAGTCCAAGGCACAGTGTAGTCCCACCGATAGTGAACATCAGATATCGCCAGCCCATATTATCTGCCTTGCGACATTCGCCGGAATCATTAGAATCACAAGAATAATTTCCAATGAGAGGCCACGCGACGAGAGTAATGGCGATGTTGCCCAGTACCCAGAAGGTCTGTAACGCGGTCGTGAGATGTGAGTGAGAGGAAGGCATGAACTCTGCGTGTCGTCAAGTCAAAATCAGTGAATTCTGGCAGGTAATGTGATGGAACTATACCCATAAAAATTGCAGAATCAATCGGAACATTGCCTGTGTAATTCAAGGTTTTTCTGCCATTCTCTTTGCCTGAATTCACGAGATCCTCACCTCCGGTTCCAAACCCCACCATTCCCACCAAAACGGCCAAAGTAGTAAAGTTGTTCGCGCCTCCCGCAGCGAGACTGAACACCCCCGAGATCAGCAGAGTCAGATTAAATGGCCATCTTCGTGCAAGATTAGTAGAAAAAGACACGGAAAGACCAGCTCGCAGTGCTCACACTCTCCCATACATATCCGCGATGACGCCCCATACGAGTGAACCAACAAGGAGCCCAGTAAAGATCGTGATCACAAAGTAGGCTCCGTTAACATGGAATTCTTCAAGGAGAGGAGGGATGAGAAGACCGGCGAGTAGCTTCATACACGCGCACTAGATTAGATGCTATATGGTTTAAGGAGATGGGATTGCTTACCAGTGTTGCGCTATCGCTATTGGATTGGATTAGCGACCGCGCTCTGGAAGACAGTACCGCAGTGCGTCACTTACATAAACCATCCGAACCCGGCAACAATGAAGAGGCGACGCTACACCAGGAATTTAAAACTCTGAAGTGGAAGCAAGGGGCATTGAACGTACATGATACTTCCCAAAACCAATGCTCTGCATCGCGTTGTTCAAGACTGCCAATTTCTGCTCGTATACTGAAGCTCCATCCTTCGAAAGTTCGCCACGCTCGAGGTTCACGGAGAGGGGTGATGGATATTTCTCTGGTATCGTTTCATTGTCCGGTGGAGGAACTGTTTCGATGGAGGTTTCGAGAATCTTCTCCGTCTTCATAGTCGACATCGTACGACGGACACCCAAGAGACTTGTTTTTTGGGCCGATTGGCAACGGTGCCGCGGGAGTAGATGGAGGGGGAGAACGAGAGAGAGGGAGGCAGTTAGAGGCCAGCCTGAACGTTTGAACGCCGGGTAGTTAAATGAAACTTCGGAGAGATCTTCGGTTGCAAGATAGGCTTCCCTGATGGATTCACCCGACGATCTAGAACTCTTGTGTTCGCAGTCAGGGTCGGAACAGGTAGACCGTGTTTTTGGATTAGTCCCTATATATACATTCACTTCCCTATATGACCTCTTTGCCCCTAGGTTCGTACTGGACCAACAAAGGCAGAATGGCAGCCGCTGTGGTCAACCCACCTCCAATATACGCAGGTGCGGAGCCTCTGACATCGAGATGAAGTGCAATGAGGGGAGCCTGAAATAGACTGGGTCAGCCACCCACTTCCGTGGATAAAGGGCGTTACATGTATAGACTACACTCACGATGACATTCGATATCCTCCCAAAGATAGACACGAGAGCATTCCCCGTCCCTCGGTTTGGAGTGGGGAAGACTTCGGAAGTGAAACTGTACATCACGGCATACATGGCGTTACTCGCGAATGAGTACCCACAGTTCCAACCGAGTAGGGCGTTCGAACTTCTGGAGGTGGTACTTCCGAGCAGGCACGCGCCGGACAGGACTGTCGATTGCCCATGAGCGGACGATCACGGATGCGAACGAGAGATATGACGAACCGCAGGTGAAAGACATCGTCCATCTCCGTCCCAGATAGGGCAAATCGACGGCTTTACTGGCCAGATAAGGGGCTAGTATCCCACAAGTGGTTATAATAAGTTGCTGGAGAGGATGTCATTCATCGAAACCGCCTAGGAAGGAGCGTATACTTGCGTTTCTGTAGACGATGGACAGAGACGCATCTCCAAAGACCGCCCCTTTTGAAGCCAACAAATATGGGAGGAAGCTGTAGTACAGCGCGGTCCCCAAACCAATAGAGCCTGCGCAGGAGTTAAAATCTGATCGCGAGATTAAATTGACGTCCGGGCTTACTCCAAAGTACGATCAAAATCACCGTCGATACCGCCGTCTTTGCGGGCTGGAAGAGAGCTTTCACTCGCTGTGCCACGAATCTCGCTTTCTCGAATATGGAAAGCGTTTTGGTAGCGTCTTCTCCGCCGTCATCGCGCCTTGCAACTCTGAAGTCTTCCACCGAAAGAGACGTTGGCACTCCATTGAACGCAGCGATTCGCTGAACGACCTGGACTGCCTCCTCTTCACGACCTCTGCCAAGCAGATACCTCGGGCTTTCGTATATCGGGAATAGCCAGAACCTGATCGCCCAGAGGACGATAGTGCAGGAGCCGATGATGAACATCAGATATCTCCAACCCATATTGTCCTCTTTACGACAAATCTGACCTTCAGCCGCAAACTCACAGGAGTAATAGGTCATCAGAGGCCACGCGGCCAGGGTCATGAGGATGTTGCCGAAGATCCAATACATGGAAAGAGTGGTCAGAAGGTTGGCGTGTGTTGAAGGCATGAATTCTAACGCGGGGTTAGCATGGCAGGCAGCCTGATCACGGAGATATGGACGAACCGAGGAAGATAGCCGAGTCGATGGGGATGTTTCCTGGATTCCAGTTCATGAATATGTCAAGTCTTGAGTCCCTGTGTAGCACAAAAATGAAAGGACAAACCTCCAGCTCCGAATCCCATGAGGCCAACGAGGATGGCCAGCGTTGCGAAGTTGTTCGCGCCTCCAGACGCTAGAGCAAATACCCCGGAGACTAATAGAGTCAGATTGAATGGAAGCCTGTCGCCACAGATGAGACGCTTCGCAGATAGCAAGGCCAGAGAAGGTACTCACACTCGGCCAAGAAGATCGGATGCGACTCCCCAGATGCATGCGCCGGCAAGCATCCCACTGTAGACAGTGACGACGAAGTATGCACCGTCAATCTTGAACTCTGAGATGAGTGTAGGGATGAGAAGACCAGCGAGCAACTTCAGATCGGGAGGAATTGAGCTCGCAGCCAGTCAAGTTCAGTGGTATGGCGTCTCACCGGTAGCGCGCCATCGCTGTAGTGCCCGGAGATAAGTCAAAAAACCTTTAGTGCGTTGTCCAGCAGAGAGCTTACATGAACCAACCAAAGCCTGCTACGACTGCAAGGCGACGCTGGTACAGGACAGGATCGTTAGAAGGCTTTCGTTTGCCCAGAGAGATACCGACTCACATGGTACTTCCCAAACCCGATAGTCTGCATAGCGCCGTTCAAAACTTTCAACTTGTGGTCGTATGGGGAATCTTGGTAGGGATATTCCTTCCCTTTCTCAATTTCAGGGGATACCACGGCGGCGGTTGTCATCGGTGGTGCATCCGCAGTCTCGAGGGAGGCGGTCTCCGCGTGTCTAGAGGGTTTAGCGTCTGTACCTTTGGGTTTAGCTGTTCTGGTCATGGAGGAAATGGTGAAGGATGGGTGACTGGTTTTGGCCTAGGTAATAGCCGGGAATGAAAAGACTGGCAGTGAAGACAAGGTCTATCTGATCAACCTTCAGTCGAGTCGCGCCATATGAAAGCAGGATAGCAATGCGAATCGGGTCAGAAGCCGTCTGAGCATCTGAGCATTTGGCGACTGGTGTCGGAGTGCAGAATCCACATTCGAGTCATGCTAATTCGGGCGAGATTCCAAGGCAAAGTTTGACAGGGTTCGTATCGGGAACTGTCGCGAATGTAGCAACATCTTTTGTTCTGTGAAGTCGTGAATTATTTGCCGACTTTGAAGCGAGTATCAACTCGTGAGTCGATTCGTCAATGGGCGTCTGGGGACAAGATGGAAATTAGTTCCCGGCACGTCAGTGTGAAATACGAGGGCGCGAGAAAATGATACTGATGGCGCATTGGCGCATCAATCCCGCCTTTGCGGACTTCCGGCAAGCTTTGCATAAATGGATATCGAGTCGAGGATCGAGATATCAGGTTGATATCAGGTGTCCTGCAATTCTGGCATATTCAACCTATACGTATACAGGAAAAAATCAAGACCAAGTGGTCGGTACGTCAAGTCCGGAAGTAACACCTCGGTCATTGTGCTGTTCGGGATTATTCCAGATATACCATAATCAATTCGCTCCTGGTTCCTTGAGCCCTTCAATCTAGGATCACGGAGAGCTTGGATATCACTGAACTACTTTGGTTGGCAAAGCAGGTTCGCAGTTGAATAACCATAAGACTTCCGATCTCGTCCTGCAAGGTTGGACACCAGAAAGAGGATTTGAGGCTGGTGCTGACGCAGAGAGCAGATATTGGCGAGCTAATTCTCATTACCTACGAGTGAGGATTGACCATAGAAGTTGCCCAATGACTTTGAGTTTTAAATATGCTCCATGCTTCCAGAAATTTTGCTCAAAGTGAGAGCACCAAGGGGGTAGCCCGAGTATCACTGCACAGAGTCGCGTCAAAATTTGAAACTGACTTTCTCAGATACACTCTTATAGAATGTGACTGAAGTAGATACGACAAGGCAAAAAGAATTCCAAGTTTCATGGCTATTTCGTTCGCTGACCCCTCTGCCAAGCCTCCAGCGACCGATTGATGGAATCAACACAACCAAACACTGAACCAGGCATGACGCGTTCGTCGTAATTGGCAATCAACCCGACGCGTATCTTTCACGACGACGACGAAGAACGAGCGTAGACGACGATGGCCAGCACACAAGCTTCAAAGCTCAACCTCGACGAGTTCATCGGGACAGCGTTGTCCGCGACGCCCTCAGAGCTGCACCCATTTTTCGAATCGTTCAGATCGTTGTATTCAAGAAAGTGAGTAAAAGACTGCAATTTCTCATTGTAACGTCTCTAAATAACGTTTCCTTAGACTATGGCACCAATTGACTCTCAAACTATTCCAATTCTTCGATGAACCGCTCGCGAGGCCGTTCCGAGTGGACGTCTTTGAGCGGTTCGTGCGCGATTTCGAGACCAAGATCAACCAGCTGCGGCTCGTTGAGATGGCGGTCAAGGTAGCGAAGGATATCGACAGTAAGTACGTCTTTGAAATTCTAGCCAGGAGTTGGCGTTTGACCTGTTGATCTTTAGATCCAACAACCCATCTCGCCTTTTTGACTTCCCTTGCCGAACGTATCGACACCGAGAAATCAAAGCAAGCGCACGTCCTTTTGCTGGCTAGCATTGCCCACACGAAACTCGTCTATGGAGACTTGGAGGGCACCAAGAATGACATGGATTCCGCATGGAAGATCCTGGATACGCTAGAGGGTGTGGAGAGCTCTGTGAACGCTGCATATTATGGTGTTGCGGCCGACTACTACAAGGTATGATGGTCAGTTCATCTTCTGCGTGCTTCTACTGACGGCAAACATAGGCAAAAGCAGAGTACGGCCCATACTATCGACATTCCCTCCTTTACCTCGCCTGCGTCGATCCCGAGAAAGATCTAACACCAGAGGAGCGCCTTCTTCGAGCCCACGACCTTGGAATCTCTGCTTTCCTGGCAGAAACAATCTACAACTTCGGTGAACTCGTATGTTCTTTGTCTTCGATCTGCACTCGCACACACAGTGATGATCCCCTTCTAGTTGATGCACCCTATTCTCAACGCCCTGGACGGCACGCAACATGAATGGCTCAAGAAGCTCCTATTTACGTTCAACGAGGGCAACATCGGCAAGTTCGAGGCATTGGCACCGCTTTTCCCTCAAGAAGTGCGAGACTTTCCTTTTTGTTCGGTGTCCCTGATCGCTTATGTCCCATCTCCAATAGCCGATCCTACAGGAAAACTACGCTTTCCTCCGGCAGAAGATCTGCTTAATGGCCCTCATTGAAGCCGTCTTCCAAAGGCAGTCGAACGACCGAACGATGTCTTTCCAAACCGTTGCAACAGAAACGAGGCTACCACTGGACGAGGTCGAACATTTAGTCATGAAGGCTCTGAGGTTCGTCCTGTCTTCTCGATCCCTCTTGCCTATCACTAACCCGACCACAGTCTGAAACTTATCCGGGGGTCCATCGACCAAGTCGACCAGAAGGTCACAATTACCTGGGTTCAACCACGCGTGCTTTCGCGAGAGCAGATTGGAGGCCTTGCACAACGGTTGGAGAAATGGGTGAACGACCTTAATGCGGTTGAGAAGAGGATTGCACCGGAGGTTCTCACTAGTGCATGATTGAGGAAGATGTGTAGAAGTATGTATCGTTAATGATTTCCTTTTTCTTGGTCAGGATATTCAGGGTGAATGCTCAATCCGACGAGGAAGCTCGCTGTTCCCGTGCACATTGCAGACTGCGTCTATTCTACTATCGCAGTCCTACGCCGTCGTCATCTGGTCCTAACAAAGAACCGCCCGACGCATCGGGGCGCGTGGTCCGCTTAAGGTTCTCCGCACAACAGCAAAAGCTAAGTACAGCTTCTTGTGCTGGAAACAACATCCACGAATTCTCAATATGAACAAAAGGCGCCTTGTCTCTGCAGCCTCGTGGCTCTCGAAAACATACCGTGAGATATGATGCACAGCACTGGGTTGGACCCACACAACTGCGAATGGTTATTATCTTGTCCCCCATCTATCGACCAGGTTTGACTGCAGTTTCTCCCCCTCTCTCCTGATCTCAGTCTCTATCCACTGCGAAGAATCCCAGATTAAGATGGCTCGGCCCCGTGCTCAACCTGACGGAACGGGACACATGTTTGCTGCCGCGACGGACACTAGCATCCACGGCGGGAATTTCGTCTCTGCTAAGGATTATTATGACAAGGTCACCAACAACCACGGTCCACAAGTCACCACCAACAACTACGGTGTAAACTATCGCGACTATCGAGGTAGTGCTGCCCGAGCTATCTACAACGACAATGCGCGGCACAGCGTATCATATTATGGACCTGGGAGCGCGGCCGGGCCCGAAATCACCTACAACGTTAATTACAATGGTGAGTTTTCACCGACGGATGGTCAAGGATGGACTCAAAGTGCTAAAATTCTATTCGCCCGCCTGTAGGACCATCGAACTCGTTGCCTCCATGTGAGCATTCGCATCTCTAGAGCGATCTGGGATCTTTGTGACGCATAAGTAGCCGGGAGTGACCTCGATGCCTTCGTACAAGAGACTTTGCGCAAGGCTGGGCTACAAAATTACAACACTGGTACTTGGCAACCACCTGCAGGTCAACATCCACCTACGAGCCAACACCCACCTGCGAGCCAATATCCGCCTACGAGCCACTATCCACCTGAGAGCCAACATCTGAATCCACCTCCAAGTCAGCATCCTCCTGCGGGCCAATATCCAAATGTGCATCAACACCCTGCAGGGCCTCCACCCCCAGAGTGGTGGCAGCCTCCACCTCGTATGTACTCGACTTTGTAGATGCAAGCTGAGTATGCTGACATTGTGGACCGAAAAAGACCCAGAGGAAAGCGTTTATGAATACGATTCAAGCCCTAACAGGCCCCATCCTCCAAGGCGACGGACTCATGGGCAGCACGAACGCCCGAATTCATACGAGCACCCCACTGGCCACGGATACGAGCCTTATCCCCACCCTCCTCGCAACGCAGCAGCACCACGAGACTTCCCGCCCGACCCCAGTTGGAACAGAGGTACGATTGATGTCTATCCTTTTCGATGCAAACTCACTGGGTGCGTAGGGCACCATGATGAGGACATGGATTGGGAGCCCGAGCCAGACTATCCTCCGAGGTTTCACCACGCTGAGGAAACGAGAATCCGCATGTCCCAGAATATTGACATGACGTCTCGACGAGACGAGACTCGTTCAGGCTACCCTCGAAGCAACTCTGCTTCCCCATCGCCTGTGCCCAAGTTCAAGAGCAACAATCCTTTCAGGAACTTGAATATGGCCGTGAATCAAAAAGGTACGTCTGCGTTGTACCTGGTCGAAGGAGCAGAAACTCACCTGCTATGTGACAGCTGAGATCCACGCGCACGTTCCATTCGAGGGTCCTTGGCCACCGCAATCTCGATGATCATCTGTTTGGGCACGCCTGTTTGGCGCTGTTAGAATCCGAGACCGTCACCTTTAACCGCCCGATCGCGCTTCTCGGAGTAGTTTTCTTCGAAGCCTTGACTTTGTACTTCTACGTTACTGTTCCCTTGTCTCGTTCGAACCGAAAGCCTGTCCCTCGAATTTCTATCTTCTGCTTATTGGCTGTAAGCATGCTCCTGCTAATGGGGAAACGCCTTTTCTCACAACTCCGCCGATGAGCACTCCTCCCCGAATGAGTTGGCCACGCCTTTACAACAGCTTTCGCTTTTTCCGCAAATAGGCAAGTTGAGCCAAACTCGCCTCTGTAAGGAGTAGTTGAAACTCGCTGTTGTGACTTCTTACAGTTTCTGTGGTCCACGAGCACAACACGCTTTTCACTGGTATGCACAGCTTAGCGTGTTGCACTGCAGCTCTTGGTGCAAGTTGTCTGGTGACTCGTGGTCATTAGCGCTGAAGAACGAGCTGTAAAACACAGCCCAGAGTCATCCCCACATGCGCAGCCTCTCGGTTATCGATGTCATCTAACACCCTCCAGTAATAGCAGAGGTGGCGTTTGGCTCAAGCGACAGAATATGTCGGTGTGGGTCCACGCCATGAGACTGACAAACTGTGCCATTCTACTATGTATGCGTTGTTGCCATCACTTTGGCAACGTTCTGTACCGCTTCCTTTGTTGTGGAACGTGTATCGATGGAAATGCGCGTTGTTTTGCCACTCAAGGCGAGAATAGGTACCTACAATATGTATTCGGCCGGGATGGTATAAGAAGTGCGTTACCAAACTACTTCCAGTCCGATCGCGTTTATCCGACCCCCTCGCTAGCCGTCCTTTGGAGCGCCTCCGCTCAATTTGGGATAACGGTCATGTCTGAACAGGTCAGAAATTATTGCGGGCCCAACTCGAGCATGTTCCAAGGGCACAGAGACCCATATGCCAACGGCGACAACTTCAGCGCAGGACGCGACCACAATAACGGGGATCTGCCCCGACACTCTGACAGCACTCCGAGTGTATCAGCCAACTACTACTCAAATAACGCCAAGCACTCGCAGAACACTTACTATGGCAGTACGCATATCGACACGACCACCAACAGTACGCCGCGGATCCAAGGAAATCCGTCGCTGTGGTCTGGGTCGACGAATAGCAACGGGCAGAGCAACTTTCCGTTACAGCCAGGGCAATGGCTGGGTTTGGGAGGCGGAACATCGCTCTCGTTCGACCCAGCGACAAATCAACCGCTGTTGCTCGTGAACGATCCGCACCCACAGGCAGGTGGGTTCGTAGGATTGAACGGGTTCCCAATCCATTCGAACACCGAGGGAGGCACGTTAGGTGAGCGGACTGATACCCTTGCCAAACCATCCAAAACTAATTTGGCGATAGTCACCCCTCAACAAAGTTCCCCAGAACTGCAGACATGGCTCCATGATACCCTCCGTGCCTCCAGAGTTGCTATCCACTCGACACCAGCACCCGTTTTTACTCCACCTCCTGAAGAAGGTGCCCCTCGTACGTCCGCCTTTGGTTTCATTCACCTTCAAAGCTCGACGAATAACTCGTCAATCCAGCTCCTCCATTGCCCGCTCGACAGTACACGGTCCTACTGAAAAATGGCAAGTTTCTCGGATTTTACTCGTCTGATAGTGAGCCGCAAAAGCCCACGCCTGGAGCTCCGAGATCAACTAGAGTAAAGCGACCACCTGAGCTTCGAAAGGCCAAAGCTGCTCCCAAACCCTCGCCGGAACTCAAGGAAGGTGTTTATCGACCGCGCTCGAAGAGGTTGCACCAAGGTTTGGGGGCTGTGGATCTATCGGGTTAGCCTTTCTACCCACCTTTCTACTGGCTGGTCGTCGGAAATGTTTCTGAGTTCTGATTCTCTGTCTCACTACAGATCCCAATGAGCAGTCGGCCAAGCGAAGGAACCTGGGTCCCCGTCAGGAGACGTCTCTCCGTCCTAGCTCTGAAATCGCTCAGCCTTCGGCTTCGGACAGTCGCCCCAAGTGCGAGCTGAAAAGCAACAACCCTTACCATCCACTGCGACGTTTAGAACGAGGTACGCCGTGTCGGTCAAAACCTTGCCTCATTGTCATTGACGCTGTTTCAGAACCGATGCCGACTGGAGAATGGAATAAATGGGCTGGTGTGGTCGCATCATTACCTCCCGAAGGTGAGTAGCAGACGGACAGGCTGCTCTTCAAGGATGAAGACTAATCGATTCCGATGTAGCATCTGAGGAACCGCAGGCCTCTTCCTCTTCGACCAGGCCTCCTGCAATTGAAACCTCCCAGCGGACCATTGGCTCTACCACCTACAACTATGCCACTATCAACCATCGTCGAGACAAGCCACAACGCGTGAAGGTGAATCTGAACGATCTCCTGCGACCATCACGACCACCTGCTAGGAGTGCAGACTCCACAGAAGGTTCGGTCGCATCGACCAGCGATCAAGAAATGGAGGAAGTTGAAGAGATCGTTTTGAACAATACAAAACTCCCCGGCAGCGACGCTACAACGCCATTGTCTTCGACGACGGGCAGATCGGATAGGTCCAACTCGATCGGTACTCCTCCTGACGATAAGAAGAAACCCCGATGGCATCGGCTTTGGTGGCGTGGCTGAGTCGTCCTTGAAGCTTGATGGGTTAAGCGGCAGGTTTTCAGTTGGACGGTTATTTAGTGCTCAGCCAGCAAGGGGTAGCTAATACATAGGTTACATGGATTATAGCAGGCGTGATATGTTAAGAACGTAGGCGTTATCATCAAACGAACGGTTCTCTCGATGTTGGGAAGGAGTGACTATACTTGAGTAAACGAATGGCGATATTTGAGGGAAGGAGTGGTCTGGGTTACACTAATCCTTGAATAATCAGTGTCGGCGTGTCGAGCCCTCCAAATCAACAGTTGACTCTCCCTGAGACATGTACGCAGTCAGGGCAGCAGTACTGGCATTCGCAGATGCAACATCGCTGCTCGGTAGCTTCCTATCCAAAGCCCATTCCTCATCGACGTAATTGTGAAGAGGGATGTCTTTCATGAGAAGGGAGCACAGCAGTCCTAAACCGGCGATCCCAGTTAGGACGTACCAGATCGGTCTGAGGCTTTCTCCAAAGGCATGCTGTACGCGGCCTTTGAGAGGTTCAGGCAGCTTTTGGATCTCAGGAATGAGAGCGTAGACTTTCTCGACCCCGCCATCAGCGAGCTTTACGAATTGAGGGGGAAGTTGTTTCTTGAGCTCATTGGTGAGGATGGCACCTCCGAATGCGATGCCCCAAATCTACGAGATCGTTAGTCCAGTCAAAGGATATAGTGATAGGGCAAGTAATAGGGACGCGCCTGTGCCATTGACCGGACAAACGCAAAGCAAGCGAGTGCCTGCGCGTTCAGAGTTACTGGGAGGGGTGATAGAACAGGGAAGTAGGTGACGGCTATAGCTTCTGGTCAGGCGAGGATCTCCATGCCACCTACTAGTGTGAGCAACGTACCAAAGATTATTCCAGCACCCGAAGCAGTGATAACGCAGATTCCGATGGAGTGGGATAACGGAGACGACGCGTCTACGATGGAAAGGACACCCATACCAACCGTGAGGAGGATCCATCCCACCCACAATTGCGGTCTGTATACTTTCCACACGGTGACACTGACACCCCCGAAGACAATGAAAGGCCTGTATTCACACATGAGTAATACTGAACCACGAATTATCTGGACGAACGAACCCAACGGTCAAGGTTCCACCAAACATGTCGATACCAGACTGAATGGGACCGGCGTCTTTGCAGGCTTGGAAGTAAACTGGCATGAAATCTACGGTAGATGGTTAGTGGCCTATCTGGGCCGACACAGATAAACGTGAACTTACAGACCCATGCTACCACCACGAGGGAGTTGACGAATACTTGAATATATCTACAGGAAGGTGTTAAGTTTGAATACAAGCACGAACTTGGAAAAACGGTTCTGCCCACCCCGAAATAGTCGTCCGATTTCCCAGTAGTTCAGGTGCCACCTTTCAATCTAGTCAGGTGCGTAATGAAGATGTTCTAGCTGAAGGGACTCACAGTCGGATGCGACGCGAACTTAACCTCATAGAATAGCCATACAATTAATCCTAGAATCCCAATGATGAGGGGAAGCAAAACCCGAATGTCTCCCCATTGATATCGAGCTCCTCCCCAGGTCAGGGCGAGGACCAGAGCTGATGAGCTCGCCAGTACCAGAAGATTCCCGCTAGTTATGTACAATCAGTCCAAGTGCCCGAGAAATGTGGCAAAGGACTACATACAACCAGTCCATCGCAGATAGCTTCTCCTTCAAAGTGCCTTGTGGAGTTGGAAGGGACATGAAGGCGACGATTAGCACCAAGGAGACTGCGCAAACGGGCAAGTTCAAATCTGGATCAGATGTGACAGTCAGCTCAGACGGAGATAGGAAAAAAATGGGAGGTTCAGAATGCATACAGAAAAGCCATCTCCAAGCGTTTTTCTCCGCGAACGTACCGCCGACGATAGGTCCGATAGCCACAGCGACTGCCCATGTGCTGGTTTGAGATGAGAAGGCATTAACCCAAGCACGCCTGTGAATTGGACCTACAGCCCGAGGAGTCCATTGTACGTGCCACGTTCTTGAAGGGTCACCTAGAGCCGTTTGTGAGCGTCTTGTTATCGGCGGTCGCTTGCAATACCATGCGCACCAAATCACTTATTACAATCGCCGACAAGGAGATGATAGCGCCCCCACCAATACCCTGAATAGCTACGAAGGCGTGGTTAGCTTGAAATGGATCCAGGAATGTTTTATGCTCACCTCTTGCAGCGATCAACCAGTCCATAGATTGGGCAGCTCCACAGAGCGCGCTCCCGAGGGCGAAAAAGAAGAGGGCAATAATGAAAGCGATCCTCCTGCCTACGATCTGTGAAAGGGTGAGTTTTTTCGAACGTGTTTCGGAACGACTCCTTTTCACCTGTGCTAACCCGCCACTCATCGGCAAGAACGCTGTCGAGGTGAGCTACAATTGGGTTAATCGCGTTGTGGAGCAATCACCGAGTTGATAGTGAGCATACCGCATACGCAGTGCCTATCCATGCGAAATCGGAACCCTTGAGCTCATGGACAATGACAGGGAGAGCAGACGCAAGCGCTGTCTGATTTTGACCTGTTAGTACTTCGCTCAATCACCAACGGCTATATGCTTACATAGTCCAGTGCACTGAGAAAAAGAGTGACACAGAGCGAAACGAAAACGAGCCAGAACTTGGCACCTTTCTTCGTGGATCCGACCATGGTAATTGGCGGTCAAGTTACAGATAGCAGGGGTGGGGTATAAGGGACGAAAGGGGTATGATGTCAAGGGTGTTGTCGATGTCAGAGCCTATAAATCACTGCATATCGTCCCTCTGGAGGACGGTGAAAGGCTAGCACCGAGCTCCAAGAAATATGGTCAGGAGAAGGGCCGCATTTTAGACATGCGAACCTGGTCCATGGAAAGGTAAACACCCAAAGGGAACACACTTTGAGTCACTACATTCCGGACAACCGCAGATGGTGTGCGGGCGACAGCGCTGGGAATCGCATCTACAGGGAGGCCACCGGTTGCACGGAAGATTCTTATGCGAGGGGAGACACACGTGGGTAAACATATAGCATTCGATGATCCTTTCTTCCGCGGTTTAGGAAGTCGTTTCAGTCCGTCGGTGTTTGTTGGTCGGTGTTGAGCGACAGGCCCAAGGACAATACTTTGTGGATACGGGTAGACAGCGCTCACCCTTGCGCCGATGACGGTAGTCTGTGACAGGACCTACAGAGCCAAGGTCCCAGCGCCGGCATCACAATAGGTCATTCCAAGAGTCCCAGGGAATAGACAAGAAACTAGTGGGAAGTGCCCCAACCTAAAGAGAAAAGAACCGTGGGGGTAACCAGATGCCGCCGGGTGTAACCAGAGAGGGGAGTTCAGTCGCTGTTATTCGTATAAAAACTGAGAGAATTTCGACAGCGTAGAAGCAGGAAAGCAAGAGGGAGATATGGCGCTGAATTTTGTCTGTCCGATGTCCTCCAGCTCGACGGCTTTGTCAGTGTTTGGATTACAGGGCACAAGCAACCAAACCGACGAGCCCAAACAAGCGCCCAGCTCAACACCATTGGCCACCCGGTCGAGAATGTTGATGCATAGCATATACCTATAGGTGTACTACTACACAGAAATGGACAGTAGACGATACGGACGAGTAGTAATTAGGGTATCTATGAAAAAAAGATGTCCGTGACCCTGTTGGGGATGAAGAAAAGGAGAATACTCTAAACGGGGGCATCCAGGAAACCCCTCTCCAGCCATTCAATAGTAGTATTTGTCAGGCTTGCGACGAGAGACGGGTTGTCTGATACGAAGAAGTCGTAATAGGGATTACAATGTAGACCTCCCTCCTGGAACTCGAACTGGACTTCTGTGCCCTCCCTTGTCAATACGGCATTCGTAAACCGGCGAGTTTCCTCCCCCAACACCTCCTCGCCCACAGAAACCAGAAATCGATCCGCGAACTGAGGTAACCTGTCCCACCAAACGTCCCTGGCGTCGAATGGTTCCGCATATTGCTGCCGAGACGTCGGGATAGCATTCACATAAGCGCCCATCCGCCTCAACGAATGAGAGACGTCGACAAGACCTTGGAAGTCAGTGCGTTTCGAAGACTCCGATCGGCTTTCTGCTGTAACGAGGGGAGACATCAGGTAAACACCGCGGATGGGTGACGAGAGTTTCGTGATTGGCCCAATGCTTTTGATGGGATGGAGAAGTTGGGAGAGAAATTGCATAACGATGTTGCCGCCCATCCCATCCCCAACGATATGAAGGTCTTTGGGGTGGGTTCCAGTTGCCAGGAGGTGATCTACGGCAACTGCGAGCTGGCGAAGTTGGGTAGGGAATGGAGCGTCTTGTATGGGTGCTACAATAGTTCAACAATTAGACTGCAAACGCGAGCGGTGGTCCTGGCGAAAAACAACTCACTGTAGTCGAGGAATGCTACTCCAACCTCAATGTGGCTGCGCGAGTTTAGCTGTCGTCTGACATAGTTCCAAAAGCTCATAGAGCATTCGGCGAGAGGAGCGCAGAAGCCACCACCTATATCTAACAGTCAGTAAACTGAGAGCTACTCGGCAGATGAGGAGGGGTTCTTACCATGAACGACTAGGATGACCCTATCCTTTCGTTTGGGGCCAATCCAGAAGAGGCCTGAATCATCCACAAACTCTTCGACTGTGCCAGGTAGCTGATGTCGTCTGGTCCAAGAAGAGTATATGCACGAGGATGGCCCCGGGAGATTGGGAAGTTCGTGGTTGTCAGACCACGCTTCATCGTAGTAATGGCGAGAGGCATAGGACATTGTGGAGTTGAGAGCTTGGTATGGAATAGAGTGGGATAACAAGCTGTGATCGAGGACAATAAACCTGCAAAGGACGAAAATTAGCACTTGGGAGCAGCGGGTTTGTAAAGAGAAAGTAACGACGAACACAGTGAAACGTGAGACAGAGTCGTGTCTTGGATGTTTAGTGTGGACTGGAATCTGGAAAGCAACGGGATATATATAGTCGAGCGGAAAATTTGATAACTGATCGCTGAAACGTGGGGAGCAGGGTCGGAGAGGACTTGTTACGGATCTTTTGTGAATCCTAGCGAGGACATAAGCCCGTGTTTCCGTCCATCCAGGCAGTGCGGTAGTTCGGTCCCTCAGCCGAGAAGGCCGGGGTCTAGCGTCGGGGCTTGAACTAGATCGAGCCCACGAAAAATCAGTTTAGGACGTCATTTTAATACTCTGCGTACGCGTACGGTCGAAGGCTTCCAAGGCCAGCGCTCTTGGCCAAGTAAGCACGTCCCATGGAACACCCCTTCGGAAAACAGAGGGTGTCCCATTGCTCCACCACGCCGGCCACGGTGCCCTCGGTAACGCGGTACGATGGACACCTGGTTTGTTTGGGCCTCAAGATGCCGACCGATCATGTCCGGGAGATAAAAGGCAGAGGTGGATAGTGGGCGCAGTCGCGGTATGGACCCTTAACCCCAAGGTTCGACATCAGTCTCGAAGAAAACGTTCGCGATCCTGGCTTAATCACGATAAGATAACGTCCGCATCACCAAAGCTACGGCCTTGTCTTGGCGACTCGATCGATTCCCATTCGTTTCAAGGCTGCTGGAGAATAGCACACTGTCAGATATGGAGGGCGGTAGGGAAGGGTGAGCCCATACCTCTACGAACGACTAGTTACTTTGGTATTGGGACCCTCGAGGGAATGCATAACACGACGACTGCACGCAGCACGAGGCGCGGTACGAAGTTGAGCAGAATCATATGCAAATGAAAGGTGGGCGGATCTCGTTGAAATTGGTACGTAGCTTCCATGCGAATGGACTCCATATCCAGAGCCTCGACGAACACGCGCTTCTAGTTGGGGCTAGTCGATGAACTGCTGTCTTCACTTGAAAAGACGACTTCGCTTCGAGCTTTCGCCAAGAATAAAATTTCCAATGACTCGATCTTCACCCAGACCAACAAAATCGAAGGATATTCTCCCAATGCCTCCAACAGATCTTCTCTGTGCACCAATTCGAGACGACACGAGACCCTAGACTCTCTGCCTGGCGATGTTCGTCAAGCACACCAGACTGGTCAAGACATGATCATGAAACGAGGTCTTGATAAGCCGGTAAAATGTCCAGATTTATCAGAGCCGAAACGATAGAACACCTGGGAATCTCCAATAATCGGTAAAGATATGATTCTGGGATTAGATGCAGACGACGCACCAAGCTTCTCTCCTCCTCCTTCGGCTCGAGCTAGAATTGCATCGCCTCGGGAATTTCACGTCCTTTGGGCCCAGTTATTCAGAGCTGTACATGGTCTACGTGTCCCCACCGCCTGTGTAGTCAGTGTGCCCTGCGGAGGGTGCTGGTTCGAGCTTGCCGTTTTGGAGTATTATCGGCGGATTATACAAGAATTGGCAACATAACGAGGTATTTCATCGAGTTTGCAAAGTAACCGCGAGGGAAATAAGCATGGAGCACAGTAAGCTGCGACCAGCATTAGATTGGTTACGGGGAACGGAGCGAGAGCGACATGGAGTCGGACCCAGTCGGATGGTGATATCGGCTTGTTTACCTATGCCTTCCTCGTGCTTGGTTCAGAGGATGTCGGACAACGAAGGCAAATACTCGACGGCGCTCGGCGCTCTGCAGGGAATGCTTCTACAGGTAGCGTACCACTAATCTACACTCTTCTTTAACCCATCCTTGAGCCAACTAATAATTACAGGGGAAAGACTAGAGACCAGAGTGGGCCTGTCCCAAGCCATGAAGTCGTAATAAGGATCATTGTGAACACCTCCCTCCTGGATTTCTAACTGAACGTCAGGACACACTTTGGCAAGTCGTGATTCCACAAATTCGACGACATCGTCTCGGAAGCGCTCCTCCCCTCCTACGGAAACGAGGAACCGGCCCGCAAAAGTAGATACCCCTTGGAACCACGAAGTGCTCGACTTCAGAAACTCGATATAAGCCTTTTGCGAGTCGGCGACCGCGCCAGTGTAGAGCTTGCTCCATTCAGTCAAACTCTTCCCATTTACGAAGTCATCGCTTCGCGTCTGGGTGTAGGAAGAGCTGATGCTCTCGAAGGTAACCCATGGGGACATGAGGTAGACACCACCACAGGGCTCCGATAACTTGGAGATAGGGCCAATCTGCTCCATAGGATGCAATAGCTGCGAAAGAAGCTGCAGGATAAGGTTGCCGCCTGCAGAGTCGCCCACGAGGAAGATGTTCCGCGCATGCGTCCCCGTGGCGACAAGGTGATCAATGGCAACCGCAAGCTGGCGCAGTTGGGTAGGGAAGCTGGCTCCTGGAAGTAGGGCTACGTATCATGGTTTTAGTTCATACAGGCGAGAGACGAAATCGATTCACGGAAAGGCTTACAGTAATGTAGCGCAACAAAACCAGCATCCAGTCCATGATTGCCTTTGAGCTGAACTCTTGTATAATTCCAGAAGCTCAGGGCAGAGTCAGTGAGAGGTGCAAAGAATCCGCCGCCTGCCATGGCATTCGAAGTAGTCAGCCCTAAGGACACTTTCGGCAATTGTGCCACATACCTGGGACGTATAGCACCACCTTGTCACGTCGTTTGGGACCTATCCAATACAGGTATGTCTCATCGACCAAGTCTTCTATCGTTGTGTCCAGGCGCTGACGTGCAGCCCAAGACTCATACACCTCCCGTGAGTCGCCAGCCAGAAGTTGAAGTTGAGATATCGTTGCTGTCTCATTCAAGCGCCGGAGAGCTCTTACGACTACTGGTTTGGATATTCCACTAATCCGTTTTTGCTTTAGAGCAGTCCCGATTAGGTCCCAGGTTATCGCGAGCGCTGTGCCAGAAGAGCTCCCAAGGTGAGAACGTCGTCGCTTCTGCGGAGAAAGATGAATAGTGACTTACGCATCTTAATTATGGTCGTGACGAGCCCGGCGAGCTCAGCCCAAGAGAGTGAATATCTGGTCATATCAACCGAGGAGGCTGTAGAGGAGGTATGGTGGGGCGTGTTGGGATGGAATGAGGTTGAAAGAGATGGCTTCTACGGGGCTGAGCGCTGAGCGCCGAGAACTGAGAATGCGAAGGCAAATCCAAATCGGACTTACAGTTACCATCCGATTCTGATGTAGTATAAATAGCTTCTTGGACGGGGAATAGATGAGATGCTATCCGTTGTCCATTTGCAGTTGGCGCAGAGGGCGCTGGAGCACGAGGATATGGTACCAGCTGCCCACACGGAGGTTACACACTGCACGAGAAGGCAAGGGCTTCGTGGGTGCCGCGCCCACAGACTGGGTACATCATGATCTCGAGAATCCCGCGCGAGTGACCTACAATTGCTATCGACGCAAACAGTTTGTGGAGTATCATCGGGGCTCTATGTGTACGTGTTGGGGAGACGTATAGCCTTGCTCTAGAACCTGCTAGTAAGCACTTACAAGGACTTCCGTCGTGGTTCGAACCAAAGAACACAGCTTTGGAAGACCTGCAAAACAATTGGCAATCAGACCATGGAAAGGAGGAAATAGATTAGGACCATCTACATGTCCGTGTAAATATTCAGGAGGTAGAATGTCTAAGGAGAATAACATCATGAATGCGTTCTGACGCTGGTATAGCTAAGACTGTATGGGTCCACAACCCTACAGACGTTCAAGCTGTAGACGCAGCATCGTTAGTGTGGGCATTGAGGCCCTTCAGTTCCACAGTGGTAGCAGGCACTCCTTCGTCCCTGTTCTCATCTAGCATCCACTTTTCGTCGACGTAGTTGTGCAAGGGAACATCTTTCATCAAGAGTGAGGAAAGAAGCCCCAACCCAATGATGCCGCAGAGCATGTACCAGACTGGGCGCAAACTCTCCCCAAACGCGGTTCGGACCTGGCCTCGCAGAGGTTCGTCTAGCGTGCCGATGGCTGGTATGAACGCGTACACTCTCTCGATACCTCCGGCTGTAACTGAAACGATCTGGTTGGGAAGACGCTTTGCTAACTCGTTGGTTAGAGCCACACTGCCGAACGTGATGCCCCATATCTACAGGGTCTGTTATCAGGATCATAGATGTGAAAATAAGGAACCGCAAGCTCCACGCACCTGAGCAAGAGAGCGAACAAAGGCAAAGAGGGCCAGAGCGCTGGCATTCAAAGTCACCGGAAGAGGCGACAACACTGGAAAATAGGTTGCAGCTGGGATGGAAGGAATCAACAAGATTAATCTCGAGGATATTGAGGCCTAACTTGTACGCACCAAAGATAATTCCTGCGCCACCTGACGAGAGAACAGAAAACCCTATTGCATGGCTCAAGGGGGAGTCCGCTTTCAGTGTGCTCATGGCAGCGACGCCGACGATAGTCAGAACCCAGCCAAACCATAGTTGTGGTCTGTATACCTTGAAGGCCGTAACACTGACCCCTGAGAACACAACGAAGGGGCTGTTGTGCGGAATCAGTAGCCGCTAATGAGAGGGAAGGAGAGACAGTGAGCGTACCCAATGTTCAATGTACCCCCAAACATCTCAATTCCGGAGCGAATAGGTCCTGAGCCCTTGCAAGCCTGGAAGTACACCGGCATATAGTCTGATGATCCCGTCAGAAGGGGAGGGAAATAGGACGCGCGATCCACTTACAGACCCACGCGACAACTCCCAAAGAGTTGAAGAAGACTTGTAGGTAACTATGATTGCAAGGTGAGCCTGACACCTCGAGCATTGGGGGAAATGAGATACCCTGAGACAGAAGTTCGGTTTCCAAGTAATTCAGGCGCCACCTAACCGAAACTTTAGATCTGAATCGATTACAAGAACAGCAGGACGCACCGTCGGATGTGATGAGTATTTTACCTCGTAGAACCACCATGCTATAAGGCCAAGTACCCCAAGAATCAGGGGAACAAGGACCTGGGCCGTGTTCCAGGGATAACGTCCTCCACCCCATGTAAGAGCAATGACCAGCGCGCTCGAGCTAGCAATTACGAGGATGTTTCCACTGAGTGCACGATCAGGGCCGTACCAAAGACTCTCAAGAAGAATAGTACCCACATCCAGTCCATTGCGAAGAATTTCTCTTTCAGTGTTCCTTTTGGAGTGGGAAGGGCCATGAAGAACATAACGAGAACGAACGAAACCCCGCAAACAGGAAGATTGAAGTCTGGGGCCGAGAATTTGGATCTGAGAACCTTCCGAGGGTCAACGATGGCGCTGGAGACTTACAGAACAACCAACGCCAGGCTCCTTTCTCCGCGAGAGAGCCACCGACTATTGGGCCCAGGGCAACCGCTACAGCCCATGTCCTAGAAATTCGGATTGAGTATGGACCGAAACCAGAGAACAGAATACCGAACATTCCAAGAAGGCCGTTGTAAGTACCCCGCTCTTGAAGAGTGACCTGAAAAGTGGATTGGTATTACTACCCCCCAAAATCGGCGATAGCACCTACAAGGTCGCTGATGACAATACTGGCGAGTGAGATAATAGCTCCTCCGCCGATCCCTTGTATAGCTGAATGTGACCGCTGTAAGTTTGATAACGGTAATCTTGGACGACTATACGCACTTCGGGCGGCGATCAACCAATCCATAGTCTTTGCTGCGCCGCAAAAAGCACTTCCCAGAGCAAAGAATGCCAGGGCTATGATAAATGCAATTCTTCTCCCTACGATCTTGAATGATGGTTAGTCGGTATCTCTTGTCTGAAGACGACGCTATATACTTGAGTAAGGCCCCCGCTCATCGGAAGGAACGCTGTGGATGAGAGCTACTCGAGAACTTGAGATATTGTGGTCGCACCTGCCACAAAAGGCTAACTTACTGCGTAGGCAGTGCCGGCCCAAGCGAAATCCGAACCATCTAGCTCGTGGACAATAATCGGGAGCGCGGACGCGAGAGCGGTCTGGGGGCCTATAATGTAAGCTTTGCAGCGACTGGATCGAGACGAAAACGTACAAAGTCAAGGGCGCTGAGGAAGAGGGTGACGCTAAGAGAGGCGAAAATCAGCCAGAACTTAGCTCCTTTCCGTTGAGCTGCGCCCGTAGCATGGGATGTATGCCGACCGTCAGAGTTCTCAGAGTGAGTGACGCTCATCTAGTAAATCGTGTTATCGTTTTACTAGCGCAGAGAAACAGGAATGAGGCAAGGGTTCCAGCAGGTATGGTGCGTCACTTTCGGTGTCCAGCTGTTAGTTTTCATTGTAGACATGAGCTTTAAACTGCTTCAGGAATCAGGCTGAGAAATTCTGAGTGTACCGTGTAACTTCGAGCATCATCCACGATCCCTCCTTTTGCGCCGGCCCCATTCGCTAGGCCCACAGAGAATTGTAGGTGCCAGGAAAATTTCCCAGTACTGATCACGGTCGTGACAACCATCGACTCGGAGGTCTAGCAGCCCCCGGAGTGTCCATGTCGGAGTCCATGAGTACGTGTAACGTGGATGCGATAAGAGAAAAACAGATCAGAGAAAACAGGGAGGAAAATTGAGGGCTTCTGACTTCAGCCATCAGGTCCTGGGCTTCAAGGTTATCGTCAGAGAGCACGCCGCGTTAGCCATTGGCGGCTGGCCTCACTGGGTAATTCCGATAAGTACATCATCCGGCATCATGGCATGTACCAACCCTGCTCCAGGTGGACAGGAGGTTTGAAATGGACAAATGTGTACTTCTCGTTAGTCGTTAGATCTGGAGAAGAGCAATTGTTGGCATGAGAAGCTGATTCCTCTTCCAAGTATAACACGAAACCTCTTCTTCGCTGATGGTCCCGGCGATGGTAGGCAAATGTGGGCGCTTAATGGACGCTCGCTGCAGCTCCCATCACATCATGCTTGCCTCTATGGCAATTTAGCCCTTCTTACTTCCGATCTTGTTGGTCCCCTTAAGGCTTATTCGCAGCTTCCATATGAGCGTGAGTGGATCTGACAGGATGACACCACTGGTGGATTTCCCGCATCTTTCTGCTCGCGCGGAATACATGAAATGTAGATCAAACCGTAGATGGTGGCCTTGTTGACCATCTGACATACTACGAACTATATAAGAGTGTCACCTGGGCGCGGCCTCAGCGCTCAGTGCGCACCTCCCGCTGTTAGAAGCAATGGCTGACCACCGCAGAAACGCCTTTAGGAACACCTATGGCGTTTTACTTTTAACCACGCTGCTCTCTGCAATGTAAGTGATCCCCTGAGTTCGTAGTCGAGGGCGCCCGTGGCTGACCACACACTGGTCAAGGCTGTATGGACTGACGACTCACCAGACTTACCGGTATTTCCGTCGGTACTCGAAAGACAGAATATCCCTCAAATTGATGGTATGTGGTCGAGACGCGATAGTACCGGGAGATCACCGATCTAAAGGGACACGTCAAGGTGGCTTTCCTATGGTATGTGTTACCGTTCCTCCCCTTCCTAAGCAGATCTAATTCTGAAGCTTTTGAAGGATTGCCGACAGTCTTTTCACGGCTGTGTCAATGCACTGGTGGTGAGGCGATCACATTGAAACTTACCGACAATGGATATGTAGTCTCATTGAACCTAACAGTTACTTTTATCTAATTCTGAGCTTTGGAAACCCTGTGGGCCTTCTTCACACTACATGGCAAGTCCCGTTTCCTTTCTCGCTGTATGTTCTACGTTACTGACTCTCCTCTCTTGCATCGTGTAGGTCAATAAGAGTGCGTTTCCGTGTTTCGATGCTATCTATTGACTTACCAAGTCCCCAAGGCTGGTGTGGCAATCTCGGTACATTGGTTCCCCCCTGCCTCTCAAGTATTTTGATAATGACGAGCACTGGGGTAGGCAATCCTGGGAATAGGATCGAACATGTGAGTCTACGTTCCTTCGCCTGAGTTGAGTATAACAGCGGTTCGCCGAGCAGATTTTACGTGACACGAATGCATATGAGTAGGTGAATTCTTCTGTTGACAAGCAGAATTTTGCGAGCTCAGCACCGGTACTTAGTGGGCCTGAAAGTATCCATCGCTACAGCAATCGTCGTAAGTAACTACTTCGGTCGACGAGACGCCCGCTCAGAGATCATTTTGCAGGTATGCATCATCGTTCCGAGAATTGGTACGTTTAATCTGTAAAGGGAAAATATGCAGGTCTAAAGATAGCCACGGGGCCGCATACGGCAGGATTTGAGGTCGGTGTGTACCACTTCAGGTTCAAACTATCCACAGGACGCTGACAGTGGGGAAGCTCTGATAGTAGAGCTGTATGTCCCATTAACACCGCACGGTAATGGCTAATGCTCAACAGACTGGTAGTACGAAACGTACTGACTTGGAGCGCGTGGATGAGATCCGAGTAAGTGGGCGCTCCCTGCTCGACCATGTGTATAGCTCTCGTTAAGCAAGCACGTTGTGTGCAGTGGATTATCGAGGTTTGCTTTGCTCTCGCTGGTGCTTCTGGAGCTGCGCTCTCCGCCGGACTTTGCTACGCATTGCGCATGAAACGGACGGGCTACTCGAGGTGAGTATCGCTTCCCCATTTTCGTCGGGAAGTTTCTTTTTGGTTGACATGAGGCAACAAGGACGGACTCTAAGATCGATGTTCTCATCGTCTACACAATCAATACTGGCGTGTTGTCAAGGCGAGTCAAGCTCACTGTGTATTGCGTATATTCCAACTTATATGATGGGACACAGCGTGCTCTGCTTTATCGGCTTATTTACTGTACGACGTTCTTCGTTCTTCCCTGCCGCTTGCATCTCAGCTTGAGCTTTTATTCCAAGGCGTTGTTTGTCAAGGATGGCTATCCTTTCGTCGGAGCTCTCGTCATCTTGACCAAGATCTACGCCAACTCAGTCCTTGCAGTGTGAGCTAATCTTAATCTCTATGGCGATCTGCGCCTCATGTATACCACTGCCAGTCTAAACTCAAGAAGACACTCGTCAAAACTAGACGAGTCCGTCTACGAGCTCGCCGCCTTTGAGCCAGCAGGGAGAGCAATAGATGAGCCCCATCGACTTACCTTTGCCTCCAGTGCTAGACATCGATCATTTGGTCAGGAAGAACGAGGACAACTCGGTCCAGTGGAATCAATGGTGAGTCCATCCGAGTCTTTCTATCAATTACGGAACGGCGCTCTAAACTCCCTGGTGGATAGAATGCGATTCAGATTCACGTTTCGGAGACAAAGGCAGTGTACCATGAGGATGGCTTAGACTTGTCCCGTACCCGTACATAGGTCGAATGGTCCGCGAATAAAGCTTGTCCGAAAGTTGGCCTTTCGATGATGAATGAGCGAGAACTCGGGAAGGTTAGGAAATACATTCAATGTCATATTTATGCAGAAGGTCGCCTTAATTATCAATCGTACTTGGTATTTCATGGATGACGCGACATGGGCTAGGGACAGTTTGACTGAGAATGCTTAAGACTGTGCACCGCCTTAGCCTCGTCCCCAGCGCTTTTTTGGAGGCTCCCGGCAGGCAACGTCTGGGTACGAGACTTACACCTGGGCGCCTTGAGAAGGGTCAAAGACAAATTGACAATGTGGTCATGGAACACAGAGCAAATAGCGGTACATATCTGAGGCTATTTTCTAGTCTACGAGTACAGGGACTTTTGTATTGTGGATACAGCGAGCATCGGTCAACGTTGCGATTGACGTTACATCGTAAGAATCGTACATAGAGCGTTTCGTGATCAAAGGGCCGAGGCCACAGGACAAAGGAACGAAGATGGCTGGTTTGCTTCAGGAGTGCCAAAGAACAAAAAAAAAGTCGACTGGGGAACAAAAGGGGGGTGGTTTCAATCTGGACGGTTAGTCAGTCATCGACGGAGTAGAGAAGCAGGATGGAGTCGTACAAATTATGAGATAACATATGGAGATGGTTGGGTAGCAGCAGGCACCAGCGAAGAGGTCATGCGATAACGCAGAACCAAGTCTGGCCGCTGCTACCTGCAGTTCGTCGCTCATGGTCGACTGGAAGGTCGATCAATTCCTCCAGAGTAAGTGAGGTATGGTCAGACGGGGCAGTTGATGTTATCTCGTTGGTGGTTGAGTTCGAGAGGCGAGGCGTCGGGTCCTCGGCATAAGCGTTGAGTGTGAGAGTGTTAAATGTGTCGCACATTGCGATGAAATCGAGCGGTCAATGGGAAGATAGCGGTTGTGTGAGAGAGTGAGCCATTGAGATGCGAGTGGCCACTCATTTTATACGGGTAACGGAATATTATCTAAACAAATCACTTTATTGTTTTATATTTGGTTTTTAGTATTGTTTCGTCAGCGACAATACCTTTGTATGCAAACCATCGGTTTGGTCTGGCTTGGGTCAGTCACATCACCTCAATGGATAGAGAGCCAATCAATTTAATTAGTCGTCCTGACTCATAACAGCAGCATGGTTGGCTTTCGCCCAGCCAAAAATCGGGGATTGCATGGAGGGTGGTTGGACCCTGGAGCAATAGGGGCTGATCTTCCGATTTTAGCGGTCAATGGAACCAAATGCGGAGTTGTAACTTGAATTCATTGCTCAATCGTCAACTTGATTTGCACGTCAGTTCGATTTGGCATTGTTCCCTTTACGGGGATAGCGGGAGGAACGCTCGCAGGAAGCCAGTAGGACCGGTGCCAGCTGCCTAGCCCTGGACTTCACCTCAGCTGGAAAAGGAGAATCGTGCTGTGAGCACCCATGGCTCGCTGCTCATGGCCCCTGACGCCCGCCCGAATTCACTGGCGGATGTCAACAAAGTAAAGCGAGGTCGCTCAGCGGCCCCGGCCGTGTGATCCTGTTGTGCGAAGTCAGTTTTGGGCCACGGAGAACATTAGAAAGGTTGAACTGTCCTAAGCAATTTACATTGGAAGATGGTACAACAATTGAGCTACACTACTAATGATTGGTACAATGCGATACTAGCTTTCCTACAGTATTCATAAACACGTAGATACATCATGATACGTCGTGACATCGGGCAAGTGGTCAACACTGCGTTATAGGGAAGGGATACTTGAGACAATAAATAGCGCAGACATAAAGAGGATTGAGATAACGAAAGGTGTGTCGTGTCTTCGGGAGCGTAGATGGAGTGAGTCAAAACGATAAAGGCTCGTTTCGGGCTCGCCATCGGTGGATCGCTGCACGGAATCTGGGAATGGGTTCAGCATAAAACTGGAGAGCGATGCAGGTGTGTCACATACATTCCGTGGTATAAGAGCTGGCGACAGCCATGTGGGGGATGCGATCGGCACTACGCGATAGTGCAGAACCAAGACGCGCCTCCCCCACTTCGTCTCTCGAAGTCGGCAAGGACTCCGTCAAGCTCTTGGGTGGAGATGGACGCTTGCTTTGAAAGAATCTCGCAACCTTGACTTTCAGTGGTCGCGGATAAATTGGTGTCGAAACAGACGCATCCATTGTCCTCCGTCGAGGAAAGGAAGAGGTCCAGAGACGCGAAGAGATCGGACATCGGGGTGAATGCAGTTGGTCGGGGGTCGAAAGCACTGGATGTGTTACAATGGTTGAGGTGCGCGAGATATTGGTGGACGATATGGGTTGAAGAAAGTTGGAAGTGCGGTATTTTGACGAAAGATATATTATAATTATTTGTAGGGTTTTCAGAGCTACAACAATAGACAAACACTCGGCAATAGGCGGCCATTGTTGTCCGGCAATTAAGCTCCCGTCCCGGCGCTCACAAGGGAACACCGATGAAATGCTTCTCACGCATGAAAGTGTTTCGAAATACTGAACAGGAGTGAAGATGAGTAAGTATTCTGTTCTCCTCGTTTTTCGATCTGGAAGATGCGATGCAGGGAGAGAATAGTCATGGGAAATAAGCCCGGCTGCAGTCTTCCCGAATGTCGGGGAATCGGAGCTTGAACGCGAATGATGCCTCGTGGTCTGCCTCGTGTCCACTGCGCGCCAGGGTAGTAGGAGCGCTCAATGGTCCAGTCGCTGCGCATGTTGCTGCGGACTCTGCGCGTTACGGTTCCAGAATCATTCCAAGAGTAAGTATGTGGGTCAAGGTTAATCCTGGCCAGAGTAGTTCCGTTCCGTAGTAGGGAGTAAAACACTTCAGCGGCTTGTGAAACGAAAGGAAGATTCCTGGAGAGCTTAACAAGCCAAAGTCGTGTCCAGGACCCAATTGCAAAAACTTTAACGATCTGGATTCTGAGTACAGCACTGGTCCTGAATTACGTTGAGAAAATTGGCGTCCGACAGAGCTTGGCTAATGTCAGCATGCCTGGAATGGTGTTCCAATGGATCTTGAGGGCTAAAATACTGGACACCAGCCCTTTTCCTACCAGCGACGTATTTCCCTGTTCATTCACAGTACATCTATATTATTCAATATCAGAGCTCAGTGTACTTGTAGCTGCCTCTAAGGAGAACCGGTCTGTTGGGGCTTCGGATTACCATTGTTGAAAAGAAGTTTGAGAGTTGCCTGAATGATTAGAATATATTTCATGCGATACGGACAGCTCAAGCGGTGAATTAGGTATAGTACAGTACGTGTTCTATTATATGGGTCGGCGTCAACTATTATACTTGATACAACTAAAGTTTACAGTTTCGTACGGAGTCGTCGCAATGAATCGTCATTGAGGTTGGGGAAGAGGGGAAGGTGTCTTGCATGCATGGGCTGGTACTAAGTTTAATGTCATCGAGACGGAAAGAAGAGGCAACCTTCGTCGACGAAGAACTGTTGCTTGAAATCGAAAGGGTTCGCGTGAAATTGGAAGGCTTCTCGCTTTGAACCGGGCAAGCGGTGTCAACCGAGCGAGGCATGTAAGTTGGAAGAGGCGGGGCGGGCTTCTTAGCATGTCTGTATAAGAAATTAGCCAAAATCCAGACACATCAGAAAATATTCGAGCACGTACACAAAGACCGTTTTCTTCTCATTGGAGGAAGAGGGCTGAAAACCAAACTGTTTAACAATGAAAGTGAAGACCTTGCGGTAATTTCTTCGTGCTTCGTCGGCAAATCCGAAGAAGCCGAAAAAGAGGAACGCGCAAAAGACGAGCGACCACCTGCTCAGCTCCAAGGTGACAACATGCACCGGGTTGTTGCCCCAGAGAACGCGAGGGAAGGTGTCGATAATGTGCCAGTTGTGATGGATGTCGGACCAGCTAGTCCAAGGATAGATGGGGCGGGAGATGTTGAGGTACAGGCCATAGGTCGTAATTGGGAGGTTGAAAAGAAGTTCGAGCGTCGCAAGCGACATCAAGCGGAAGTAGCGGTTGACAGTTAAAGAGCTATTGGAAGAGATAAGCTGGCTGAATTGCGCTCGGCGCTGCATGAAAGCACGGAGGGTAAGAACTGAACATCCCGAATCAGCACGCATTGCAAATGGAAAATATCTAGTACGCACTGCAATAGATAGCGGACACAAGCCCGATGACGGTCGGCCACAGCAAGGTCAGAGGATAGGCGGGTGGAGTGTTGACCGTTGTGGGATGGCACCCGATGTCTTGATAAATATCATATCGGTGACCTTGGACGACGAATTCTGGGCGGAGGTCAGACTAGCCGTGGATAAAGGAGCCGAACAACGTACGAAGTGGCATTTGAAGGAATGGAATGCCGAGGCCAATTGCGAGATCCACCATAACCGCCCGTCGTTTCTGAAGAACGATGAGCTCGACAAGTCCTAATGAGGGTTCGAGGAATATCTTACATGGGCTCTGGAGATAGAGGCAGTTTGACACGATGCGATCTTGTATAGTCGGCGATTGATGCATAGAGAGGCTGCTGGAATAGCCACGGATATTCCGACCACAAGTCGAGTCGCTAAAGCGACAGTCAGTTAAATGTGAAAGGCCAACAAGAAAGGGCGACGTACAGATATCACACCAGACTGGTGCCCAGTCGATGGCATTCCCGTGCCAAATTAAGGAATTTATGAAAAGGTTGAGGCAGCCGATGGCGGTCCAGATCATATACAGACACGTCCCCGAGTTCCATGCTTGGAGGTGCCACGGCAAAGGAATAAGAACGAGAACGAAGCCAATGAAAGCAAATATAGGGAATGCAGGATAAGTCGGGTCGTCGAAGCTGAGTCTGGAGGACATGATAGCGTCGTGGCGGTGAAGGTCGTATAACGTGAAAAGCAGAGAGGTCGTAGTCGAGCGGCACCAAGAGACAGGTCCTATCCAGAGGGAAAAGGAGGAGAGGAGAAGATGTGGGTCGTAAGCGGTGCAGACGTGTGTCTCGTTTCCTGAAAGCCTTTCATTTTTGAGGAATTCGCTTCGCCTTTGTTACAGTAGCGTGTGAGGGTCGAGGACAATGCCCAGTCGAGCTCAATAGCTGGCTATTGATGATGTAATTTGTCCGATCAGTTGAATTCAAACTCCGCGGGGCATTGTTCGAAGGTGACGTCGTGCTTTAGCGCCCGGGCACGCGAGGTACGCGTCGGATTTTTGTGATAAAGTTGAAAGGGAACGCGTAATTGGATTTTGGCTGGGCTGGAGGTATTTCTATCAGGCACAGATTATACAAACGTTGGGAGTGATCAAGGAAGCGGTTCGCTTCTAAAGCCGAAGCTATTGCACACGGCTCAGCATCTTTCGCCAAGTTTGTTAAGGTTCTGCGCCTCGACCTGGCCAGCCTTAAGAATGATGTAGAAAGTACAAAACTTACCCCTCGAGGCCAATATTCAGCGATTAGTGGCCCTCACTCTTTGTCCCAGAAATGCCTCGCGGCGCTGTTCCATTCCGCATACCTTCTCCTTTGTCACCCTTGAGAATCAAATGTTCGATTTTTCTTCTTCGATATGACCAAGTGGGGATTATGTATCCAGAAGAGTAATCTGGTAATGAAGTGTGAAGAGGCAACTTGACTCCGAGACAGCGATGGCGTTCGTTATCTGGTTAAGGAATGCCTTTTTGCCAGACGGCGGGGCAGCACTCATCGCGTTCAAACTGCAGGAAGCCTCCCGTCGAATTAATTCATCCATCCCATATTCCCTCCAAGGCTACAGCATCTGCATCGTGTACACTGATAACGCTTAAATCTACCTTGGACAAACGCGAAGCGAAGCAAAACGTTATGTGGGAAAATCGCATCAGACCCTGCATCACCGCCAGCGCAAAGCGAGGCATTGTCCCCTCGAAACCTCATTGTTTCCTATTCCCACCCCCTAAGCGCTATGGAGCGATGTCTGTATGTATATACCACACTTCTCTCTCCGGACTGAGCTTCCGCGCTCACCATGCACGCTGAACTCCCCGTTGCGTCCTTTATCTCTGCGGCCTTGGTCTTGGTCCCGATCCCTTGGCACTGGAAAGCGCGGAACGTCCCAACGCTTTCCTTGTGCATTTGGCTTTTCGTTTTGAATGTTATCAATGGCGTTGGCTCGATAGTGTGGGCTGGTAATACAAGACTTGTTGTGCCCGCGTGGTGTGATATTGGTGAGTTCGCTGTTATGTCTGGTCGCTGGGACTTGAAGCTCATTATGTGTCGCCTCCAGCCACGAAGCTCATGATCGGAGGGAACTTGGCAATACCCACTTCTCTGATCGCCCTCTGTGTTCAGCTCGAGAGACTGGCCTCTGCTCGTGATGGAAGGCTTGGTGTGCTAGGTCGTGCTCACCGACGACAACTACTCGACTATGGCTTATGTTTGTTCCTCCCGATCATGTACATGGTACTTCGTGAGTGCACTAATCCTTTATCTTTGGAACGCTTATCTGACCTTCTTCGCAGACTCCATTGTACAGGGTCACCGGTTCGAGATCTTTGAAGACTTCGGATGCTACCCACATGTACACGTCTCGATCCCGGCCATCTTCATCCTCTGGCTTCCTCCGTTGGTATGCTTGGCCGGTTCAGTTGTTCTACTAGGTGAGCTTCACCTTCTATCGCCCCTTCTTCGCGGGTCTAACTCAAACCAGGGTGTACGTTTAGACACTTCGTCATGCACCGCATCATCTTCGCGGGACACCTAGCCGAATCCAACACGCTCTTTACCCAATCACGGTTCTTCCGATCGCTGTCCATGGCCGTTGTGCAGACCGTCGTTGCGTGCGGGTTCACGGCCTTCTCCATCTGGTTCTCAGCGAGGGATGGATTGAAGCCATGGAGCAGCTGGGCTGAAGTCCACGCGGAGTTTGGTATCATTGGCCTCTTCTCCCGAGAGTATTTGCGCCCTGGAGAGTTTCCCATGCGTTACATCCTGTGGTGGGCAGTCCCAGTCTCATCGATGCTCTTCTCCGTGTTCTTTGTTTTCGGCGAGGACGCGCTGGAAGACTATCGTGCATGGCTATCGATACTGCCGTGGTGTCGCCCTCTCCCTCGCTCCGAGCGGAAGTCCCTTCGACCTCTCAAACTGTCCTCTCGGTTCGTGCCTTTCACTTCCTTGTTGTATAACACAGTACTGATGGACTTACAGAAGTAAACGGCAAGAATCTGCTTCGAATCCAAACCTCATATTCGCGCAGCCATTGGAGGTCCAGGTCTCTGTTGTGCGGCATTGCGACCAGTCACCATCCTATTCCGTTCCTTGTCCAACCTACTACTACATGGACTCTTCGAGCGATGAGCCGGGTAGATCCCGGGTATCGCTACCAACCTGTTACTCGGCTTCCTCTACATACCTCCCTTCTACGTTAGGTCACTGAAAGGCTGAAGGGGCGAATTAAATGCTCAACGGCGTTGGGTCATGTAGTTAATGAATAGATAGATAGAAGTAATCCATAGTAATTGTATTATAGTTACGAATCTCATGAATTAGTAACGATTTTCATGAATTTACGACCGAGTGGCCTCTCAGGTCTTTGTCTTGAAATTCAGTCTCTTTGCCTTGTTTAAATTCCTCGATAGGTGAAGACGCCAGGGTCGCGGCGCGCCGACTTGGTACGACTGCCACGGTCGCGGAATAGGGGCGTGGGAGTTGGCTTGGCGGCAGACAATGCGGGATCAATAGCCAGTCGGCCATTGTTTCCTGGCCATTGACGCTGTCCTTTGTGCACTCTCTATTGAACCTATGCTAAATATGCTCAAATACTGTGCGAGGATGTATATCCGTCGCTTCGATAGACGAGAGCCCATCATCCTCCCCTCACCCTCACGACCTTCACGATGACCGCCCTTCACCCCGAGTTCGCACCTGTCGCTATCATCGCATGCCTCTCACTCCTGCTCCCTCTGCCATGGCACTGGCGAGCACGCAATGTTGCCACTCTCTCCATGATCTTCTGGCTATTTGTCTCCAATCTCATCTACGCTGTTAACGCTCTCATTTGGGGAGATAACGTCAAAATCGTCGCTCAGGTTTGGTGTGATATCAGTGAGTTGCCTCATTTTTCCTCCAAGGAAGATTTTGTATTCTGACGAGATTCCTTTCAGCTACGAAACTGATCATTGGTGCCAACTTTGGTCTACCAGCGGCATGCTTCTGCATCAGCATGCACCTCGAGAAAGTCGCGTCGTTGCGCAACGCGCAGAGCTCCAGCGTCGAACAACGTCGTCGCCGTCTGATTGAAGCTGCTTTGTGTATTGGTCTACCATTTGCTTTCATGGGACTTCGTAAGTTCCTTACTACTACTCCATTACTATTCAACCTCCTGACACGCTTCTCAGACTTCATCGTCCAAGGACACCGCTTCGACATCATCGAAGGCTACGGCTGCCGTCCGCACACCTACTACTCCATTCCCGCCATCTTTATCGTGTGGCTCCCACCTTTGCTCGCATCTTTCGGATCTCTTTGTTACTCAGGTACGTCACATTATTTTTCTACTCTCCCTTATCACAATCTAACCTCCTCCCACTCCAGCCATCGCTCTCCGCCACTTCGTCGTTCGCCGTCTCACATTCGCTGCCCATCTCAACTCGTCCAAGTCCGGCTTGACCACCTCCCGCTACATGCGCCTGATCGCTATGGCTGCCACCCAGATGATCTGGGCTGTCACTGTCACCTCCTACTCGCTATGGTTCACCTCCATTGCCATTCCTCTTCGCCCATGGACCAACTGGGAGGACGTGCATTCGGACTTTGGCCGTGTTGACCAGTTCCTCGACTTCTTCACCCCTCCTCATATCAAGCATTCGTTCTATGTCCTTTGGTGGATGGTCCCCATTTCCGCCTTCCTCTTCGTCGCATTCTTTGCTTTCGGCAAGGACGCCATGGATGAGTACAAGAAGTGCTTCACTTGGGTCAAAGTCAACATCTTCCGCATCAAGCCCAGCGATACGTCTACCAAGAAACCGTTCTCGTTCGTCCAGTTCTCAAGGTATGTTTCAGCTGCAGAGCCGTCCTGGACTAGGCTAACTCCCCGCTCTTCCATCAGTGGCAAGTCACCTGCCATTCTCCCCATCTCTAAACCCACTCTCCAAGGGTCTACAATGACAGAATCGACACTCACGCCATTCTCGCCCACCCAGTCCAGCCGGTTGTCCCTTTCGACGCTGCGCAACTCGGACGAAGACTGTGATTTCAAACCCTACCAATTCGCACTGGGGAAGGCCATCGGCTCGTATACGGACCTGTCGGTCGCAGAACGCGAGCCCATTTCGACCCCCTCTACTGCTGTAGGGTCGTCATCACTTGGGCACGAAAAAACCTCGTCCTTCAAGTTCGACTTCCAACTCCCACCCCTCTCCCCTCCTTCACCTATCACACCCCCTCCTCCCAATCCTCGTCGATTGAGGCCACTCATGCTCGGTGCTTCCCGTGCGGAGGCGCCCACGAGCCCCAGACCTCTGACATACCCCTCTCATGAGGCGGCAATGCGCGGTCTCGACGCTGAAAGCCAGCGTCAGTGATCATCCTGTTTGCGTTTGCATTCCACAACCCTCATTCCTATCCTTATTCTTGACATCACTTCTTCGTCGAGCTTGAAGCTCTGCCTGTTGTACCACCACCAAAACGTCTTTACACACGATCTTTTCATGACTTTTTTTGTTCAGACCTCCCGTTCGTTCGTTCGCACCATTCCATACCATTCGGATTAGACTCTTTCACGTAGCATCAATTTCACACCTACAGTACTTGTACCATTATTCTCATGTACGAACCTGGAATTACCGTTGACGACTAACCTCAATGACATGAATCTACCTGGAATTGAGTGGGCCCTTTGGGTTTTTGGATTGCGAACTCCCGTGAGAGGAAACGGTCAGTTCACGGCTTTGCTTTGCACTACAACTTCGATTACTTTCGCAATGCCAGTCCCCTGTGTGGCACTCTGAGTGTATGTTAGACAGAGAAACTTAAGAAAATAACAAAAGGAAGAAAGGCGTACCCCATGGTGAGTCTTGGTGACGTCTACTTTCACCCTTTACGGAGAATTGAGGGAGTCTTTCGGCGTCTTGTGATCCAAATTTCATCCAGACAAACACATGGGTATGGGTGCACTTGATGAACACTCGAGTAACGATAGAACCTCCTGGCATTTAGACACTACTCATAGAGAAATGGTTGCATACGATATGAATTGCAACGACTCCCCCGCTTCAAGTTGGTCTGGACGACGAAGGGGGAACATTCAGTACTCAGTCCTCGACATCTCGCGAGTTACTACTAGGACTATACATAACACTTCTTGTAGTGTTACACCGACAGTCTATGATGGCACACATCACAATGCCGGAAGTACAATGGGATCCTGTTAACCGACGTTATCGCCGACCATTGTCCCGTGGGAATGGCATCTCTCCATTGTCCTCTGTGTCCTCTATAAATGCCCAATCGCCCGGGGCATAGTATCCCTCGAGCACGATAGCCACTCGCCACTCAAATCACTCCTAAGTACTCTCGACGTCTTCCGAGAATCGCTTGCGCCATAGCTCTTACACGCAAAGTTACACCATGGATAACTTCTCCACCATCGATCTCGCAGCTCTTTGCGACGAACTTGACTTCGTTCAAGACGTGGAAGCTTTAATGGCCTCCTCTACTATGGGCGACGCATTTGTGGCGGGAGAGGATGGCCCTCCTGCTAATCACGAGCGCCCCGGGGCTGGCGTCAATCGCGCCTTTTGCGTCATTGCCTGAACGGATGTAAGTTCTTTACGTATTTCAGTCATCGCGCCTAGTTCACTCAGACGCAAGTCATCTTCAGCTCCCTCTGTCTCCATTGGGAGATAACACGAGGTCCAATATTTTGTTTCTCCGCCACTGACTATTCGGTTCGTCCCTTTGCATTAGACTCCGTCTTTCATTGCGGGCTTATCGTTCGCGGTTCAGTTCACCAACGTCCTTTTGTCATTCCCCTACTCTATAGAGTCCCTTTCCTCCTCTTCAATAACGACTCATTCACGCTCATTAACGAATTAACCTTTGCCACGACCTAATTATTTCTATTTATCCAGCTCACATTTTTGTATTCAGTAGAGATAGTTGTAGTTAGTAGTACGGAATCTGGCTGGACCAACGGCAGATGTATCATCGTGAACCCAATGTATTTGTATTGACCTCATCCATCGCATAAGATTCGTCAGAATGAGTGAACCTGAGCCGGTCCAGAGTGTTCGCGCTTTCATGGAGGGCTGGTGGCCTCTCACCATTCGATGCGCACGCTTGCTTAAGGACGAGACGCCTGCATCGAATGGGTGAGATGGGGGGTTCCGATAATCGCAGTTCTCCTCCAGTTCTTTCTCTCTCTTGCATATATGCCGGGCCACTCATGGGATGGTGTCTGTCAAAGAGTGTCTGTCAAAGAGGCAAACGGGAGTTGCTGCACAGTGGCTTTGGAGTGACTTGTCTCCTCACGGCTATAACGTTGAGATCGACAACGATAACCGCCTGGGTCGCCCCCATGGGTATGTAGACATGTCGCAGACTATTTTCTTGATGTCCCTCACTCGATCACAAAGACCACTGTTACTAAGAATGACCACCTCCTCCTTCAATAGGCGCCAGCGTCAGTGCGATTGGCGGTGCGTTCAATTTCTTTCGGGCATGCACTCGAAGTCATGGTTCTCGCGCAATAATTTAGTACATTTGAATACGGAATACAAATACATTGGATTTGAGTTTCAGCGTTACATGTGACACACACATTGCAGTCGAGCTGCGACAAAGGACGGGAGATAGCTATAAGCCAAGGCCAATAAATGGGGCACACCGCCAAAGGAACGAAGGTCAGAACGGTCATAAGTTCATAACAGAGGGAAAGAATCGATGTATCTGCGAGAAAGCGTCAGCTTACTGTCTATTGACACAGAGGAAGGCGGGCACGTACGACATGGGGTTGAGGGTAGGACGAAGACTCGACGTTGCACAGGTGATGGAATTCATTCGAGTCTAAGGAAAGGAGTGAGCGACCGGTAAGAGTATGCCAATCAACCGCGTACTTACCCTACGCGATAATGCAGAAAGCGCTAAGTTTGCCACTCCCCGGGCGCTCGAAGTTGCGAGGGACTTCGCTGCTTGCCGCGGCAGTCGATGGAGCCGCGGCGGGCTCATTGGTGGGTATGGGTGTGAGCGTGAGCGTGAGGGTCTCATCGTTTCGGATGGCGTCAAGCGATGTGAAGGTGTCTGTTGTCGATGCCATTGGGATTTGGAGAAGCTTGGTTGCAAAGTGTGAGCAAGTGAGACGGTTCAGAGTGTCGAGGAGTCCGAGTCAAACCCAGCAGGCTTTTATAGACAGACCTCCGGGGAAATTCCGAGAAACGTGGCCGTTCCAATGCTCTTTCAATCCTTAGAATCCCTTAGAATCCCAACGTCAGCACAAAATCTTCATTTCTCGAAAGAATCCAAGGGTCTTTCAACACTCACTGAGCTCAGCAGGTCCGGCAGTAGCCGCCTCCCGCAGTTTCGGGCTTTGGGCGCCTCGTGTTTATCCGTAATCATCGGCCTATTGGTACCGCACGAACGCGCCATTGTGATCCAAATTGGGCCTGACCCGATTAATCGGCCCCTGTGGTAGAGGGCTTCAGCCTTCCAGTGTGAACAAGCGTCTACCATGGAAAAGGGGGGCAAGGCATCATGCATCATGATCAATATTCATTCAAGGAGGCCAAGCGCGTTGAAGGAAAAGAAAGATCCATTGTATCAGAGCCTACTATGCTACAGTGGGTATCGCCAGTTATACTAGTACATGGTTAACGCTGGTGTACAGGAACCTCGTTAAGAGTGAGATTTGCGAGCGAGACAAATGTATGGAGATAGAATAACAATAGTCTGGGGACTGCAGTCCTGCTGCGAGCCGGGAACAGAGGTCGTTTAAAGCAAGAAGGCCTTTTCAAGGGAAGCTCTTCGTCATAATCCTGTTCCAAAGCCTAATACATCAGCTCCGGGAACAGATTGAGCGATTAACCGTAGACATGTACCATATACTTTTTAGTTGATAATGCAGAATGCACCCATCGTTCCAGCACCTGGTCTCTCCTCGTTGATAGGTGGTTGTTGATCTTGGCCCGGAATGGGTTGTGGGATGTCGATGGCGAGTTGAAGGAGTTCTTCGTCGACAACGAACGCATCGAGAGAGCTGAAGGAGTCCATGGTCGTGGTTACTTCGAGAAGGAGTGATTGGGTTGGTAAAAGAGTGGATGCTTCAATAGCGAGAAAGGGTGAAAGGCGTCAAAGTCTGATGATCGAGAATATTGTTCTAGCTTAGGTTTTATAGCAAGGTATATGTTTGGGCCTGCTTTGGTGACAGGCGTCCCTACTCTCTATTCAATGCAGCTTTTTGGTCTATTATGGCCTCGCTATAGCGAGCCGAGAGGGCTTGGCCATTGTTTTGAAGCGCCATTGTTGTTTGCACAGCCACTTCGGACAGATTCGGCCGCATCGGCATTCGTGTACAAACAAGTCCAAGCTCAAACTCCGAATCTCTCGGCCTCTTACCTTCCTCAAATCCGCTGGTCGACTACTTTGTTGCCTGCCAGTGCTTGTCGCCTCTCCACCATCGACCGATGATGTTTTACATGCCTTCGATCACTGTAGTCGACCAGACCGGATCCGTTCCCAGTTTCTTTGACTCTCTGGTTGCTGAGAGCAATTTCTGGTGGCCTTCATCTCAACTCGCAAGAGCGTCTAGGGCCACCCCAGCACCATTCATCGTGGCGACGCAGAATGGCAATTGTGCTAATCCGCTCTCTTTATTTTGATTGGGAAGTATATGCGCAGGTTGGCGATATGGAGCTGATGGCCCAACTTGAACGTGCGGCGGGATCTTCACACCCGACCTGGCATTGGAGTATTCGAACGTCTCTGGAAGCGAACTCGAAGGAGAGTAGGAAACTGTTTGGAGGGGGTAAGATGAAACCTGTGTCAGAGTATGATCCAGAAAAGTGATTGTGGCTCGATGCGTAATGGCCAATGACAATCGCGGCGATTCCTGGAGGTCTTGTCGTTCCCTATGTGGGTCGTAGGTGGCCGCTACCGTCGACACTGTAAGGGCAGACACCCTGCTCTTCCTCGTAGGTTCGCGCTGTAGTATTGTGATGTTATATATACTTTGTCTCTGATTTATATTACATGTCAGTCAACAAAATCTCCTGAGAGAATGGGATTTAAGGCAAACTGGTTTCCCTTCCTCGGTCGGTTAAAGTACCCTCGGTATTGCCAATGTGTCGGATAGGTGACTTCCTCTGACAACGGGGAAACTCAGAAAATGGAGGCACGAATGCTGTAGCTTTTCCATTACCCTTTGTCTATTTCCTGAAGTGATTGAGAAACTACTTGCGGCAGTTCGAGACCGTGGGAATCCTTCCGAGTTTGGGGTATGAGGGGGTATAAAAGGTTCGTATGCAACGCAGTCCTCCGGTAACGCTTGGTCAGAACCGCCATTGTTTCACGCGCCACCACCTTCGACGAATCTTTCATTATCCAACACACCTTTCGCGATCTACAACACGCCTTTACGACCAACATGGACAGCTTCACCACGCTCACCGCCCAATCCGTCTTTGACGAGCTCAATCTCGACGTTCAAGACGATGTCTCTCATCACTTCGGCTTTCCTTCTGAAGAAGAAGCTGCTACTGAGGTTCCAGCTGATCAAGAGAGGCCGGGAGATGGTCGAAAAGCAATGGGTGCTTTCTGTGTGATCGTCTAGGCGCCGGGAGTTTAAGTACGTTGCCACTCTTTTCATCTCTAATCGTCGCTGTGATCTCAACGGTCTCTCAGGATTGGCCTCCCTCATCTGACAGATACAAGCTTACCTTTCCTTTCTACTATTTATTTCTTTCGTTCGCGTATTCCTTCTGCTCCTTCCCACAGGTGCTGACCGCCCGCCTCCAGTTCTGCGCCCAATATATTCAAAGAAATCGTTTATCGCCTCTCATTCAACAGCATAACCCCAACCGCTCTCAAGCACCTCTCCCTTATCTCTTGTATTTATTTTAACTCTCTGTAACGACGCCTCGACGACCACACTCCTTTCATTTCCCAAACAATCCAAATCATGTATTTGTACGCGCGTGTAGTAATATCTATGCATATAACTCAACCAATAAAAGTATTTATCCCACTACGTGGGGCACTGTATCTACTTGGTGCTACAGCATGAGGTTATTTGGCACGATCCGGATACCATGTTTGACGGCTTTGAGGGAATCGCTCTGAGTGAAACCTTGCAATTGACCTGTGGCCACTGGTGGGGAACCAGCAGTCAGGCGGGAGCAGTCGTTGTTCTGCGCAGCACCGTTCATCGCAGAGCACTTGGACATCGTGAAAATCTTTCTGTTTGACATAGGGTATCCCATGACCTCCTCTCGAATCTGAGGATTCAGGGTTCAGTCAGGGTATCGTTCAAATAGTGGGAAGCGTCGGTAGCGGAGGGGCGGGCCCATGGCCGCAAGCCCAGCCTTTCTTTCGATGTAACAAATCAGCAGAGATACATTTTTCCTTCAAACTGTGACCATGGACAGTACCAATACCTCGGATTGTGGGCGCTGCCCGCTCAGGTGAACTGCTTAGGAGGAGGATGAAATTTTCGTTCTTTGTTACAGCTGACGAAGCCTCAGGATTCGAGTCATTCCGCATCAATCGTCAAAGCGCACTGAACACGAGGCTTTCAAGGGATGTTCGGGGGACCTTTTCATTCCCTCCTGTATGCGCCTCTCGCATTTCAAGTACCTCTATGCGCTGTGGTATATCGAAAGTCATTTCAACCAAGCGATGGTTGGACCTCGCAGCGCGTTCCCAGAGATCCCCGCTCACCCTTCGCCAATCTGTCACGCGGGCGCGGAGATCCCATGATCCGCCAAGAAGGGGTCTAGATACCCCAAGACTCACATAACGCAATGTTTCCTTCTCGAACGTACCCTTTCCTTCTGTTCTGTTTTCCTCTGAGCAACCGCAGCAGAACACGAGGCTGATGTGGAGTAGTGCGGGCGTACTGCGCTCTGTGGGCGCTGTTTCGTTCGGAATGGAACATCGGGAATCGCCATTTGCGCCTGGATCTCGTTCTCATGCGCTCCTTCGCAAAAATCGGTATCGTCCCGATGTTCCTATCCATTCGCACAACGAGGATAGCCCCGGCTTCATCCTTGAGGTCCGTTTCAGCGATTGGAATGGAACAGTAAGGGATCGGAAAGATCACCCGGACTTTCCAGCTTTTGTCGGTACGCTGCTCGATCTTACTTCACCGTCGAATCCCACATCTCTAGGCTGCATTTGTCTTCATCTTCAATTCCTTGTCCCATCCTCAATCCAAGGTCCAGTGACGGAAAACCTCGCTATGGATGAACCCATTACCCATCGGCGTTTCCCATTTCCCCGCCACCCGGGTTAACGAGAGCTCTCCCAGTGCGCATCGCAATATCCGTCCCATCGCAATCGGCGAGCGGGTGCGCAGTCTAGCAGGACCCTGTTCGTGCGACCAGCGAAAAAAAATTAAACCTGTGCGCGCGCACTTCAGGCCAGTCGGTGGGCGGGATATCCCGCGAATACTGCAAGACCCTGGCAACCCCCAGTGCTCACTGGAGCATGGGTTATCTCTCTTGATCATACCTCATGATCATTGAGTGCCCACAGTCGTATCTTGGGCTGGAAATGCATTCTTCCGCGCCTTCTCACTGGGTCGGGACCCCGAAAACGTTGGTCGGCAAGGAGGAGATCTCTCTAAGTCTGAGGTATACCGATCGACGTGGTCCGCGTCGTTTCACGGCGGGCAGGCTTCGGGGATCCCAGTAACTGCGAGCTGGTCTAACTCTAGGTGCAAACACTCCTTCGAACTCCTCCCGAATTCCAGACTCAGGAGGTAGTTACTGGTAGATGTGCCCATTTCGGGGGGCTACGTCGCAGCGTTCGAAGAACAGCTGGGACGCTAGCATCTTTTCTTTTTCTGGCCTTCATTTCTTCCCCACCAAGTTGTTTAGATGCGCCTAATCGTTCTGACGGGATGCTACTAGAATCCCGCTTTGCAATAGCTATCACTCTTTCCACCAGAGGGTACGGCCCTTTGGAAAGGAATGTCTCATGCTCTCGAGTAGGATATAGACTCAAGTGCGAGTGCAACGCTCTATCTCCCGGGTCTCCTGAAACGCAAATCTCTGGCTGTTGCTAGGTCCGTGATTCTCTAGGTGCGGAGAATAGTGTCCTATGTATTCTAGTATTCAACGATCGACAGTGCCCAGCACTGGCAGGCCTCGTCTGGACTGACGGTCAGCTTCCGCGAAACGGCGTCAATATGAACTCTATTTTCTCAATCCAAAATTCCGTTCAATATTCTCGCCACACAGCCCAATGCATTTCATGATCCTCTATGCATACACTTCCCGTTGGGAAGGTCACCGAGCATTGCGACAGCTACCCAAACATCGATCAGACACCATCTCATGCGCTTATCTGTGCCGCAACAGGGCTATACGACTCCTATATCAGCGCTCGGGACGAAGTTTCTCTCTCACAATCATAGCCAGGGGATGTTCCAGATAACATTCCGAATCGTGTAGATACAGAATACAAATACAACAAGGTGCCAGCCTTCGGTTTCTAAGAGTACATGGGTGTGTTTATACTGAAATAGTGATAATAATGATAGTCGTCGAAAATAAGTCGTAAAGACTGGTGGGTATCTTGAGAGAACGAATGGCGGGGCCTTTCCACCGCGGGGGGTGAGCTGCTTATCTGTGGGAGGCGATATAAGCAAAGCCAATGTAGAATCAGAGTCGGATAAGCTTACGAGATAACACAGGCAGTAACAGGACGGTAGGGGGTATCCTCGTCTATTGGCACGTCGGTGGTGTTGGACGGAAATTCAGGTGACGAGTTCATCATGGCAGTGAACTCTGGGGGGAGCTCGGACAGATTGAGAATGACTGTGAGATCGTCCATGTTGAATGGGTCGTAGGATGTGCTGGTGACCTTCGCGTGTAGTACTTTCGAGAAGCGAGAGAGTAGAAAGTAGTTGTTTTACTTCGGTGTTGACAATCCACGGAAGGGAACGACGAGAGGCGTGCAAGGCGAATGACAGAGAGAGATATAGAGACTTGGAGTAGCAGAGAAAGATGAATACGCTTGTTTTGCTCTTCTCCTTTTTCTATAGGATTTGTTTGCATTCCATTGTCGAGGTAAAAGTATTGTTTGCGTAAGCGATGATAGGGGCTATTTTCCTATTCGGATGTCCGGCCTCCCACGTGCCGGAATTCCGGGGCCTCAGATTTATTTTGAGCTGTTTGGCCAACAATCGTCACAAAGGCGCGTCAGCGACCATTGTGCAAGTTGTGCGCTTCCATCAATTCATTGTCTCGCTCGAAGGCAGAAATACTAAAGAACATGGCGTCGATTCCCCTTCACCGCTTGAGTGAACTCTCCCCTCACCTCTGTGCTAGCCACTTTAATCGTTCTTATCATGGCGGCTTCCTCTGATCCAACCTATCCCTTGTATTCTGTCTTTTCTTTCATCGGTTTCATTTTGGTCTGCATCCCTTTCTGGTGGCATATCCAGGCATGGAATGCGGGGACTTGTGCCTTTATGATCTGGACAGCTCTCTCGTGCCTCATTGGCTTCATCAACTCGCTCGTTTGGAAAGGAAATGCTCTCAATCCGGCGCCTGTCTGGTGCGACATCTGTGAGTTCGTATTTCATTCCTTCGATTCAAAGTCGCTTACGCTGGCTTCAGCATCCAAAATCATGATCGGTGTCAGCATAGGAATCCCAGCAGCCACTCTTTGCATCAGTCGTCGACTCTACTGCATCACCTCTTCTCCCTCGGCCTCGGTCACTCGCGGAGACGTAAGCATTTTCTCCCTTAGCCGTAACTCTGTGCGCTGAATGTACCTTGTAGAAACGGAAGATGGTGGTCATTGATCTCGCGATTGCATTCGGTATCCCCGCGCTTGTCATGGCTCTTCGTGGGTTTTCCATTTCCCTCCAGTCTTTCTCAACCCTTTTCTAAAGCACGTCACCAGATTATATTGTTCAAGCTCACCGCTTCGACATTTTGGAGGATGTAGGCTGTTATCCTGTTGTTTATAACACCCTTCCGGCCTACTTCATCTATTTCATGTGGCCTGTCCTACTCGGTGCCATCTCGTTCGTTTACTCAGGTATGGTACCCCTGCCATCATTGGGGTCGAACACGTCTGACATTTTCCCTTTAGGCTTGACCTTGCGCACTTTCTGGGTCCGCCGCGCGCAATTTTCCCAACTCCTTGCGTCGACCTCTGCCATGTCTCCCAGTCGCTATATTCGCCTCATGCTGTTGGCCGTCATCGACATGATGTGCACCGTTCCCCTCGGCGTCTGGTCCATTTACCAAGGAAACAAGGGCGTTGGTTTGGCTCCTTGGATCTCCTGGGAAGAGACCCACTACAATTGGTACAAGGTCCTCCAGATCCCTGCCTTGTTCTGGCGTAGCGATCCCAGCTTCGTCGCCGCGGTCGAAATGACGCGATGGCTGCCTGTATTCTGCGCATTCCTGTTCTTCGTCCTCTTTGGCTTCGCCTCTGAGGCACGTAGACGATATGTAGCTGCATTCTGGTTCTGCGCCAAGCCCTTTGGTCTCAAACCGGCGGAGAAAAACAAGTCGTCTACCACTCTCCCAAGGTATGTAGCCTCACCCATTATCCCGCCATACATGTACTCATTTGATTACAGCTGGGCCAAACCTCTCAAGATGGGCACTAGTGCCGCCACTCTTGTTTCCCCTCCGGCTTACTCTCAGCACGGTCCCCTTGCTTCGTCGAAGAAGTCCCTATTCAGTCCAATGTCGTCATCTAAGTCGCTCGAATTCGAGACAACGTCAGAGAAGACATGCGCCTCAGTCTCCCCTACCAAGCCTTTCAATGGAGTCGACACCAGTAATGGCAGCGAGAGCGGTGTTTTCTCATCTCCCACCTCCACCAAAGTCAATTTTGAGCCTTTGGACATTTCCCTCTCTCAGTCCCCTCTCAAATGCGACTTTAAGCGCGCCTCGGTGCCGTCTTCAATCAATGACGTTGATTTGGAGTCGGGCTTGACGCCTTCGGAATGCGCCGAATCTTCCACATCCCCATCGTCTCCGTACCTGCACCCTTCGCCCATTGCTCAGCCGTCCCCCCGTCGACTTCTCGATCCTGACTCTAATCCTTCCTTGACCTCCTTGCGAAGCAGGTCTTCAGAGGACCGAATTTATCTCGACGGCCGAAGGACACCCACACCCTCCCCAGCGCCTTTCACCACCTCCTTCGCCGAGCCTGTTGTCCAAACCGGTGCACCTGCCTTCCACAGGCCGTTCTCTCCTCCCAACGAGTACCCGAGGAGTGTCGCTCCGCATCCCAACTCGGCACCATTGGCAATTCCGCTGCCAGACGGTATCTTTGTGACTGTCCACACCTCGACGTCCACGTCGAGTCTCCACTCATAGACGAAGCACGCCCGAGTTCCTGCAGCATGAACCCATACCCACTCACGTCTTGACGACCTCAGCCACCTGCATTCGTTTCCTCATATTGTTTTACTATCCACATTTTCATACACTTACACGACTACTGGATCTACAGCCATCACGACTTCACTCCCCGCATGTGTTTCTCCAATCTGATTTCCTTCGATTCTCGTCAGGTTCCAACCGAACGATGGGCCTGTGGCCCATTAGACCCTTTTATCATTATTCTTCTCTTTCATTTCACTCTTTCAATCCGCATTAATGACCTTTTGTTCTCCTCCGTGCATTAACAGTACCCTACTACGAGTCTACGACTTGATGATCCTTTGACCCCCTTTCACGCCCATTCAAACCAAATCTGTATATTTAGCACGAACTATGATGATAGCTTTACAGTACTGTACAGTTAGTTATACTTGAATCGATTTTGGTCATAGATTGAAGTGTTTCCGGTGTGATGTAACAATAGGACAATAAGTTGAGAATAGTCGACGGTAGGGTGATGCGGCGACGGTGCGATGGGGTGAGCGGACTGCAGGGAAGGGTCTACGGACATTACTGAGTGTGAGACGACTATATGTGAGGAACATTAGCGCCCGATGTGTCCCTTGAGGGTGCAATCCGCCCGGTCTTTGGGATTTCGAGAATGCTCGGCTGAACAACCTGACATCTTCGGACAAAGGCTTTGTCACAAGCAGCACTGCCCAGGCCGTGCTGTACAAGTAAAATTTTCAACAAAAACCAGTCAGCAGACCCTGGAATCGTCTTTCTTCCATCTTTTCAGGACAGCGCTATGACTGCCCAAACAAAGAAGAAGCTCCGACGGGTACTGTGGAGGCGGCATGAGAGCGGAAAAATCGTGGGAACGGCCCCGACTGTGCTAAATCGGGGTGGCAATGGTCTTTGATGCCAAGTCCCAGAGGGGTATGAAAAGGCGGACGAGAGCGTTCAGGTTTGGACAGGCCTCAACCACTGCCATCGTAGCTCCCGTTCTTTGCTGCAGCGCATCCTTTAAGCTCTCTTCCCGTACTTGCATACTTTATCATGCATCCCCAAGTAACCATGGATGCATTCCTCGACCTTTCCGAGTACATTGCTCAGTGCGATATGGCGGAGACAGTCGAGGTCAGCGAGAACGTCCCTCGCAATGAGGACACTCGCTCCCGACCCTCGACTATATGCACGATTGCTTAAGCTTCATGGTACGTCCCGCATCTCTGTCCTCATCGATGATTGGTTTTAGATGTTCAACGCCGATACCTTTTTAGCCACCGACTTAAGCGAGCGTCGATGCAGTATCTTCTTTGGCCACCCATTTCGTTTTTTACCAGCCCTATTTATGGTACGTACTACCCACCAGAGCTTCCCCCAACTCTCTTACCGACGTGCCTTTCAGATTACTTTCCTTCGACTCCTTTCGAGACGCGCGTTTACCGGTTGCTCACTCGTGACGACGACGAGAGACAAGCGACCCGCTCCCGACTCTTGTCACGCACCGAGGAACGCCATTATCGAACTACACATTTAACAAACGAACAACGCCTCTCATTAGTCCGTTTCTCTTTGGTATTTATTGTCGTCCGACTGTCACGACCTTTCACGATCACTCCCTACCACTCCCTTTGTCCTTTGAAATTTTCAAACCCAATCGACATAGCACATCAAGCCAATGTATTGTATATATATCGAGAAGGTAAACGAAGCAGTAGTTACTATTATTGTACTTGTGTATGGAATGTGTTATGTATAGCAATGAACATTAGTTCACGCTAGCCTGTTTCTCTGGCACGAGTGGTTCTCAGTCAACATGGACACCAGGGTCGCTGAGAGAGGTATGCGAACAAAGGTTCTGTGGGAGGTTCTTTGTATCCTTGTGGCTCTCTAAACAGCCGTATGATGCTTGTCTATTAATGGCGTGCAGCGGGCGAATCAACATGCAACCCCTTTATCTCAACCGCTGGAAACCTGCTCATAACCTAGACTTCGTAACATCCCATGATCGAACAAACTCCTTGATTACCCACCTTGAAAAAGTCCCTGCCTCGCCGTTATAATACGTTTGCAAATTGTCGACTGTTTCTGTTTCAGTGTCCTGGTCACCGCCCCGCATCATCTGTCATCATGTAAGGGAGACGCCCGCCCCTATTCACCCTGTTTGTCTGTGTTAGCATCAGAGGGTTCCGAGGGCTCATTACCGCGCCCTCAGGCCTCGGCCCCTCTTCGTACCTTTAGCCTTGCCTATACCATCCCTAATGTCCATACTCGTACACACGTAGCTCCGATATACATCTTGGTCGTGCTTAGTACGGGTGTGAACTGGGGATAAGGCATTCGAGGCTCACACAACCCTTACACATCAACAAGCCTGTAGCCTTTAAAAATCCTTGTTCGACGTCGATGACGAAGAGGCTTGAGGCTCACGATTCTGGCTGCATATCGACCGGAAACTGGTTTCCGTTGCCCATCAAAGGCCCAGGTACCATCGAGTATTCAATCTTGTCCGCCACAAAGCAGGCGTCCAATGCCAGGAAATCCAAACAAACAAGTTTGCTCTGGAAGCCGTGGCCCTCTACATAGCGCCAAACAAATCTCGCTTGCTCGACCCTTTTCTTGTTGAACGTTCGACGTCCGACCTTGGTTCGACCGCACTCTTGCAATCTGGCTATGTCCTCAAGCTTACTTTTCTACAGAATGCCGAGACTAACAGGATCCGTCTCTCACTGACGCAATTGGTTAGTCTCGATGAATGGATCGCCAACCACACACCCTACAAGGACCACGGTGTTCTGTTGCCGTCTGGAGCCGGTGCAGATGCTGCTATGACGATGAACTCCAAAAAGAATTGCGACCGCATCGCATGGTTCCTTCAGGCCTTATGACTTTTTCCTCTACTTCCAATCCCTCATCCTCACCTCCACCACGGACATTTCTCCATGTCGAAGCCACAATGGGGTCTCTACCACCGATTACGCCGCGGCAACGAATCCTGCACCGATGCATCTACGTTTCCCTGGGGTTGAGCTTGATCATCTTCGCTCTGTCGATGGTCTTTCTAGGACTCCTATCCTTCTTCCTCAGCATCGTCGCATTCGCGTTCACCCTCGCTTTCAACATCACCATGCTGGTCTACAAGAACAAGGAGGACAAGATCCGATACGTGAGTGATCCTGGGGATAACGCTCCTATCGCCCTCGACCAAGTTGGATCACAACCATCCAGTCACCCGCCCAGTTCGCGAGCCCATATTCCTGCCATCTGCCGCCTTCCAACCATCATCTCCAGCTTCGTCATAAGCGCCTTTTGGCTGGCGGCGTTCGGGGTTCTCGTTTACTGGGTGGTGAATTTCTACAAATTCGAGCCCTCGGACGACGAGTACAAGATGCTGGGCGCCACTTACGCCGAGGTCGTTTTGGTGTTCCTCGAAGCAGCGCTCGTGGTCTTCATCGGTATCACGGCATTGAAGGAGAGGAATCAACTGCTATCGAATGTCAGTGGGAGAGCGTAGACGTCACCAAGTCGCCCAAACATGATACCCATCTCCCGGGCAGTGCTCGGTCGGATTTCATTCAAGCCTCAGCCTACCACTCCATTACCCGACTCTCATGCCAGCCTATATATCTGGCCCTATATATCATACAGCGACGGCAACCGAGCCGCCGAGGTTTGCCTTTTCGCGGGTACTTTGGAGTAGAGATAGTGGCGTTGGGAAAAGATTGGCGGGGCGGAAGTTTTGGGTGATGGAAAAGGAAGAGCGGACAACGACCACGAGCTCGGAAATTATATTCGAATCCATAACCCAGTCGTTCGTTTCTACACCATGCGGGTCCTCTGTGGTACCATCCTCCCTGCGACCAGGCTAGTGAGAGGTAGGGGGCTCGAGCCTCGAGAAGCCATATCGATCATGATAACCGACTAGCTGGTGGCTGTACCCAGTGCGGATCATCATTCACGGGCGTTTCATGGGCTTTCCGGGGTTCTCGAGGGGTAATCGTTGGCACTTTGTCGTCTTGGTAGTTGGAAGGTTTGGGATAGGTGGGAGTGTATATACTCCCCAATCCTTCCTTTCTTTCCATATTCAAGGCCGATTTCCGTGCTTACGGTCTCCATGCTTGTCTTTGCACTGAACCCAAAGTTGGAAGCCATCGAACCCCTATCGGATGTCGTGAAACGAATGTCGACGCGAGGGGACTTCTTCCCGTCAATAGGCAGGTCATTCCCGGTGACAACGGAACAGGTGATCACGTCTTCTCGGGTTATAATTTACTGTACTGCTACTGGCAAGGCGTTCAGGACTGAATGGCTCGGAGAGTTGCGATCACAAGTTTCTTCGCGAATGGACTTGCTCACAGTTGATGCTAGCATCGGAATGAGCGCCTACCCATTTGGTGTTCCTATTCAAGGAATAACCTATTCCGTGAAATGTCTTCCGTTCCCCGCAAGGAGCTGTGAAAAGAACGGAGCATGGCAATGATGACATGCTTCGGGTCTATACTGGGTCCGCATCTATTTTCCCTATAAAAGCTCGCGCTTGCTTCCATTCATTCCCCCCGACTCAGCTCCCATTCTTCCCCCATTCCCTCACCACCAACCATGTCAGGCGAAGAAATATCCTCCGCGCCAATAACGATCCGACGGCAGGCGCTCTATGGGTGCACCTACGCCGCCTTGGGCCTCGGCGCGATCATCCTTCCCCTCTCATTGGTCTGGATCGGATACATGTCGTTCTATCTGAGCATCGTCAGCTTCGCATGGACGCTCATCTTCAGTATCGTCATGCTGGTTTACAAGTATAGAGAAGCCAGTGCCCGCTATGCACCCCTTTTCGAAACCTCAACTACCTCCACCCACCCAATTGAAACCCAGATGTCCAAGACCAATTCCGAGACTCCTCTTCAGCCATCTTCGCCTACTCTCCGGCCTGCCATCGTCCGCCTCCCGACCGTCATATCGTGCTTCGTTATCAGCGCGTTCTGGTTCGCAGCGTTTGGGGTGCTGGTGTACACGCAGATCATTTTCTGGAAATTCGAACAATCGCAGGATGGATGGAATATGTCGCGGGCGATGACGGTGGAATCGGTGTTGGTGCTCATCGAGGGTGTTCTTTTCTTGACCATGGGTATCTTGGGGGTGCAGGAGAGGGAGAGAGCGTCTACCGCCCCCAGTTTCGAACGACCATATCCCATCCGAACTCCAAGAGAAACTGCCATCTTGGAGTGTTTCTGGATTTCGCTCGGACTGAGCGTAGCTCTATTCGCTTTATCGATGGTTTCCCTCGGGAAGAACTCAAACTATTTGTGCGTCGCCGGGTTTGGTCTGTCAGTTATCGTTTTTGGAACGACATTTGCGTTGGCGGGACGGCAGGAGAAACGGAGGTTGGCGCAGAGAGGAGTGTGGGAGGAGAGAAGGGGAGCATCCGGGGAAGGAAAAGGCTCCATTCCGCTCGACAATCTCGTTCCCAATCAAGAGGAACAGCAACCTCCCCTCGCGCTCGAGAGTGACCAAGGTGGACACCCGGTTCTAATTACCCGACCAGTCTTGTACGCTCCTCCCATCCTCTTCCTCATCTGGCTTGCAGCATTAGCTGCCATCATCCACCACTTGGTCCAGTGGCTCTCGGACCCTTACACCCCGGACGAGGAATTCAACAAGCTGGGACCCGAGACAGCCGAGATCTGCTTGTTGGTGGGTCAAATGGCCATATTGTGGGTGGGAACGGTACTCGTCAAGAACGAGAGACGGGATGTCATGAAGGCGATGGCAAACGCGAGAGCCACAGCTTGATGGAGGAACGAGAAAGTCGAGATATTGAATTTGTGTATGATTTTTACGACCTGTTATTTTACGAATCGTTTATGATAGTCCTTAATTACCTCTTTGGTGTGGAAATAGTGCATTAATGTAAAGGAATACGTACACTGCCTATCGGAGACGAGACGGTGGTCCACGGTACGCCCTTTCCAATCGAACATTGTCTCCGAGGTTCAAATCAGATTCTGGTCGTCTTCGAATGCGGAATTTGCCTTCCTTGGGATGATATTCATCCAGGTATTCTACGACTTCTGCGAACGCAGTCCGAGTCAGATGCGGGGAGTACTAGAACAAACCTGAGCCAAGAACTCACCCTGAGGCAATCCTATCATCGTCATCTTCGACAGATCCACCATCTTCGGGAGCATCTCCCACCGTTCCTCGTTATACGCCCAAGGGTATGGATCTTCCCGCAGCTGAAGACCCATGAATTTCCAGAACCCAAGCGAATTTACAATCAATCCTTGGTTGGCGATGAAAGTGCTTCGATAAGCAGGACTCGTCCATCGCTTGAGGGCATAGTTCTCGAGGTTGTGTTTGTGATACCGGAAGTCGATAGTTGAGAGAACTCTGAAACCAGTATCGAGCATCTCGAAGGTGCGTGGGTGAGTCTCCGGTGTTGGTATCGCCTCCTCGCCAGTGTCAGAATCGAGTAGGGTGAGCGACGTGGATTCTTCCAAGGGATCCAGCACGAGAGTGGTGAGGAGCACGAACATATTAGGAAGAATAGGGGTGTTTCGATATGGCCTTCGTTCAAGCTGAGCTTTGAAGTGTTTGAAAAGCTGGATCCGAAGATCTGGTCGATAAAACGGGCTGATCAGCTGTCATGTTGCGAAAGACTAATGGGATCGCTTACTCTGAGGTAGTGGAAGGATAGCGTCCGTATCCCGCCCTGTCCAGATCCTCGGGCACGCACTCTCAACTGTTAACCGCAGATTTGGTGGGAGGTCCTCAAGTAGCCTGACGAATAACTCCAGTCGATTCAGATGCTCCCATTCCAGTACAGGGACCTGTTTCTTGGCGAATTCGAATACCAGAAAGTCCTTGGCGACTTGAATGGGCCGCTCGTTGGGGTTGAGAACATACTGGAACGTGCGGCGAGTCTCCTCTGGGAGCAACCGACTAGCTTGGTGGATCTCTCCAACAGACATCACGTTGCAGATACAGTGGTGGGCGGCACGTGCGATGTTGGGGTCGGTTTCTTTGAAGGTTTCCGCAATGGATGACAGGGCCGCCATATAGTCATCTCGCGAGGTCTCCCTCCACCATCGGTCGTATGCACCCCAGTTGGGACAGCTCTTGGCAACAAAGGCTAGTTCCCGCAAAGTAGAAGAATAATGGCCGAGTCGCGCACAAGCTTCCGTCCAGAGAGCAATGACGCCACTAAGGAACATCGTAAACCCCCATGCCTGCGGTGATTTGTACGCGCAGGAGGTGAGCGATGCTGTATCGGCGGAGGAGGATTTATTCCTTCCACTCTTGTACCACCAGAAGAAGAGGCCAAAGTCGTGAAGGCCAGGGAGAATGGTAGTTCCGACGACAACAGCCATGACCAGGGCCACCGACACGCCCACGACCCATCCAACCATCCGGTTCATATCATAGTAATAGTCCACAAGGCCGATCGAGAAAAGAGCAAAGGCGAGTTGGAGGAGGACAGGGAGCGAGGAGATGATGAATGGGATCCTCCACTTTGTCAGCGATTTGTAGCGCGAATGGCGACCAGCGATGGATTCCTTGTGCGATCTGCCAGGTTCCTGACGCTGGTACTCTCGTATCCATTGAAGGCAAAGAATACCGATTGCAACGACCGCGAGGCTGAGTGTTAAGCTGATGAGCCAAAGGACGTTGACGCGGAGTGTGCTTGCAGTCGGGGCGAAGGGCTCTAGTTCGGGGAGTGGAATGGTAGTTGAGTTGAAGACCGATTCAAGCTGTGATGAAATTCGGACGAGAAGCTGGGTATGGGGCGCTTCTGGAGGTTCCTGGAGCCCTGAAGCTGCCTCGATGGCATAGGCTCCTACAATGGCCGAGAACAAACCAGCCTAAAAAAAACAATCAATACCCGGCACATATTCATCGCAGTCGCGAACGACATACGAAAATCAAGAGGTTCTGGATCTCAGCATCCCATCCTTCACACATGTCCTTGTCAAGGTCGTCCAGCAGGTTTCGACAGGTTTCGAGACTGCTTGTTTCGTCGGGTATCGGAAAGCGCAGAGGGTCCCTGCAGCTCCATGCTTTCTCTTTCTTCTCGACATCGCTGATTAGAAATCTGAAATGCAGCTTTTGTGCTTGAAATACACTCACCTCCCAAAACGGTGGCAGAGATGTGGGCGCGTGTTGCTGAGATTGTGCCGAGTCGCAGGCAACCATTGGCTCTGGCCAGGCAACGTGAGTTGGGATTATAGAAGACGAGTCTCCCCTACTGTCTCTGTCGCTGGAGTGTGCGTGAAGAAGAGATTCGTTCTCGTTCATCTGGATGGGCAGTCGACCGTGGAGTGAGTAGAAAGGTGGTAGCTTCGGTCAAGGAATTCGTGTCTGGTGGCAGTATGAACCGGCGATGTGCTGGACCGTCGATAATCGATAGATTTCATTTAACTTGGTCGAAATCTTTCCGACATCCCCGAAGTGTTTCGCAGAAACGGGGTCGACATGGGCGGCAGTAGGCGGATAGGCAGGAATAGCAATTTAACACGTCTATCAGAGTGGTTATAAGCGTATCTTGTCCCCAGGAGCCAGGAATTCGCAAACGAGGTGTTCTCCGGTGACGATCCCCAATCCTTCGCGGGGTTAATTGGGTTGAGGGTCACCGTATTCGATTTCGTCGAGGCCTTCTGTCCTTTCAGGCGCGCATCGCTTCACAAATCTTTCCGTATCCAATGATTTCAAGATCCCATTTCAAGGTAGCGTCGGAAAAGAGGAGAGAGTGGAAACGAAACCTCCTTTTTCCTGCGCGAGCTCGTTGGCAGTCTCGTTTATGCCGAGATCAACGGATCAGAAATGACTGATGGAGCCCCTATGTATAGAACGTCGGGCTGGCGAGTGGCAAATGCAACGACCATGTATCTCTGTATCTTACATATTGGCATTGGTAATACAGTGCTTCAGTTAATATAACATCGCTCGAACTACTTCTACCCCCTAGATAACAGCGGTTGGATTTCATTCACCATCGAAGATGGCTGCGTAGTACTGACAGGCGTTTTGAACTGGAATACCCCCAACCGTAGTCGGTCTTCATCCAGGAAACATAGCACGGCTATTCCAAAGGATACGCGTGAGCATGGTACAAGTCAAGGTAGACAGCAAGCAATACTTACATTCGGGTAGATCAATCGTCATTCTTGTGGCATCGAGCTGCCATTGCCAATGAGGCCACCACCACACGTCAAAACTAGGCCACGATGGCTGAGTGCGACTTTCAGGTTCATCCTTTAGCCAATTTCCCATACACTCCCAGAAGGCGGGCGAGTTGAGAAGAAGGGCCTGGTTGGCGACGAAACCTTGCCGATTAGAGGGCAGCGTCCAATCCAGCACGCAGAAGGCGAAGAGATCGGGAGCCACAGCCGCTGCAGGTCCTGCTCGAATGTATTGGTCCGCAATTGTGCGAAACCCGGCTTCGATCATGGAAAATGTACGAGGATGGGTCTGCGGCGTTGCCTGTGGGATCACGCCCATCGGCGTGTCGGAGTGCTCTAGTTCCGATGCTTCGTTGAATGGGTGTACAACCAGAGAGCCTAGAAGTAGCATCATATTGTACTGTGTCTGGGACCCACGATCGCGGTGGTTCTGTCGATCAAGCCGGGTCTTGAATATCTTGAATAGCTGTATACGAAGCTCTAAAAACGTTGGAATGAGAGACGGAGTAACGGTTCAAAGGCAATGCGCGCTTACCGTCGGGCAAGCGGGGAATCGTCCTATTCTCGCTCACTGATCCGTCTACAACAGCGGGACATGCAACGAAGACCTCTTCCAGGAAGCTTTCAGGAAGGTTTTGGTACAGGCGTACAAACAACTCCAGACGATGGAGGTGCTCCCATTCTCCCATCGGAACATGGAAATCTTCGGACGACGAAAACATCTGGAGCCCGACCTTGTACATCACATAGTCCTTGATCAGGTTTACTTGGGTGGGGTCGAAGGTCTGTCCTAGAGGGCGCTCCTGTGGCCCGTACATGTACCGGTTGAAGTGATCGAGGTCTTGCACAGTCGTGAGGTCCCGGACGCAGGAGTAAACCGATCTTGTCACGACGGGATCACCATGTTGGAATTGGCGCGCCATCCTACACAGTCCCCAGATATAGTTGCTCTGCACCTCCGATGTGTGGCTCCACCACCTGTCATAGGCGCTCCAGTTGGCAAGGTTCTTCACTTTGGCAAAGCTGCGTACAGGGCGGCTGGCGTTTTTGAAGACCATGCACCACAGCGCCACAATTCTACTGCAGAGCATTGTAAAGCCCCATGCCTGAGGTGATTTGTAGGCACAACTGACGGGAAAGACGCCGGAGGAGTAGCCATATACACTGCCGTAGTAGTAGAAAAAGAAGTCGCAAAGTGCCGGAAGGATTGTTGTGGCGACGACAAAGAACAGGGTTGTGCCCACCAGTGCACCCAGGACATAGCCGATCGTGTGGTTCATGTGATAGAAATACTCCACTAGTCCAATGAGGAATAGGGCTACAGCGACCTGGAGGAGGATGGGGAGTAGGGTGATGATCAGAGGAACGTGCCACGATTGCAAAGAGCTGTTCCTGGAGTTACGCGCCGCGATTGCTTCCTTTAGGGATCTTCCGGAGTATTGGCGCTGGTAAGCTCGTATCCATTGCAGACATAGAATGCCTATCGTCACGACCGCGAGGCTGCTGGTGAGACTTATCATCCAGAGGAGGTTGATCCGGACCGTGCTGGGCGCCGCGACGAAAGGTTCAAGTTGCGGCAATGGGATATCCGTTGGACTGGAATTTGCCTCTAGTTGAGCCGATATTCGAGCCAGAAGTTGGACAGAAGCGGCCTCGGGAGGCTCCTGAAGCTCTTTGGCAACCTCGACCGAGAAAGCAGTGACGATTGCGGAGAACAGACCAGCCTTCACCGACGTCAAACAGGCGACTGGCGGCGCATAAAGCTGAATTCGACTCACGAAGATCAGCAAATTCTGAATTTCTCCGTTCCATCCATCGCACATGCTGCGATCGAGACTGTCGATGATTTTCCGACAGGCTTCTAACCCGTTTCCTTCGTCTGGGATTGGAAAGCGGAGCGGATCGTCGCATCTCCAAGGCTTTTCTTCCTTAAGGACAATGTTAGTGTTTCAAGCCCTTCGATACGTCATTGTCGAGAGAGAACCGACCTCCCAAAATGGCTTGGGCTCGTGTTCACCGCCATTGTCTGGTGCATCCTTCGACGATAGCCTGCGATCCAGGTGACTTTCGGTGGGTGGTTGTGAATTTCGCCCGTCGGGAAAATGGCTAGCCATGAAGGAAGAAGCAAAGTCCGTATTGAAGCCCCGCTGTACAATCGAATACAATACTTATTGATGGATATGATGGTTGTGAACAGCTTCACTGGGCGCTCTTCCCCGTCGTTTCGGGGCGGGCCTCATTGTCCCTCCCCCGATAAGCGGATCACGATCGTCGGGCATCTCGGCGTGCCAAAGGGCTGCCTGTGTCCACGACTGGAAATGCTATAGCCTCGGTCTTCTGGTGGTCTAACTCTAGAACTGATCCTCTCGTATAGTCTACGCTCTCTAGAGGATATGAGTGCAGGCAGACAGCGCTACAGGTTTATCTTGCGCTACAGGTTTATCTTTCTGCTCAGATGGCTAACAATGGGCCTCATTTTCCCATTGTCTTGGTACCAACGCGACCAGTTCCATCCGACTGCCACAGTGATCAACGCTCCCTATAAAACGCAGGGCTTCCCTGCACAAGTCCAACATCCACTTCTCTTCCCATCCCCCGACTTGCGAATCCTTCCTCCCGGCGAGTATCGATTTTGCAAGCCTTCTGAATAACGTTTAGTTCTCTCTACAACAAGCAACCAAGCAAGCAAATATAATGTCTACCCCAAACGCACCATCCGAGTTCTTGCTAAAGCTCATCGAGGACATGGGCGAAATTCAGCCTCGCTCTCGAGCACCAGCGACTGATAAGGACACCACACCTTTCCCGTTCGATTCGTTGGCTCTAGAGATTCAGTACAAGATATTCGAGCAGGTCGTCGGGCCTGACTGCGTCAGAGTCTCCGAAGACGACACTCGACAGTACCGCGGTGTTCCCAAAACATTCAACGGACGGGCTGCACCCACTGACGTTGCTTCCAGCGGTAACCCTATGACCCTAGCCCAGGTCTGCAAGTCCTGGAAAGCCAAAGTAGACGAAAACAGCAACCTCTGGTCGACCATTCGGATCGACGACCCATTGCCCGAGGACGTCCCCTACTTCAAGGCTTGGTTAGAGCGCACTAAAGAGGCGAACAGCTTGTTGAATCTCACCTTTGAATACGGGCGCCGCGCCGGCAACGTCTACCTTTCCTACCCCCTCGCAGCATCGAAGGGTACCGATTTCTTTGGTCTTATTCGCCTATATCGTCAAGCTATCTGCGAATCTGTGAATGCGGCGCTGGAGCAATCCGAGCGTATTCGATCGCTCACACTCCACATGCAGACCAATGACAATGATAGTGGGATCCATTGGAGGGGAAAGTCCTTCCCCGAGCTTGTCTACGTGAGCCTTTACCTTCGTCGATGGCCCCAAGATTCTGTGATCGGACTCTACAACACCATCCTCAAGTCAGCACCCAAGCTCAAACACATCGACATCGATTTGAGCTACTACTTGCCTGGGAAGCCGAGAGGTTGTATTCCGTTTGGTGACCTCCGCATGCCCTGGGGCCAGCTCAAGTCGCTCTGCATCCCTCTTCGCAGCCTCGGGATGATGTTCACCATTTTGCAGGCCTGTCCTGAACTCGAAGAATTCGATATGATCGGTCGTTACGGTGCCGAGGGTCTGACCAATGAACCTGCAGATGAATCGAGAGCGGAGGCTGAGCCTATCCCCGCCCCTAAGCTTCGAACCTTCAAGCTCCTGATCGACGACGAGTTCCTCTTTGTCTGCCAAGCGCTCCGCATCACCGCTCCTGCCCTCGAGACACTTGTTATCAAAGCCAGTATCGCTGGGATCACCTGTGAAAGTCCTGCTCCGGAATACTTCAAGGACGCATTGGTTGCTCTTGGACGCCGATCGGGATGTCGGCTGAAGACTCTCTCGTGCTCCCTGGGATGGCCAGAGGACGCCTATCAAGGAATTCACGTCATGCTCAAAGACCCCATGTTCCAGTACCTCGAGAACCTGCACTTTGGTGAAGAGGATGGCATTAATGAGCAAACTTTGCGAACGCTGACGTTTACAGCAGAAAACCGTTTCTTACCTCGACTCCGTTCTTTGAAGGGGTGCTTCGAGGCACAGGATGGCGAGTATGCCAGAATGCTGTATTCTCGAGTAGCTGTTCCTGACGAGGAACGTACCCTTCGTGTTGTGGATGTGGCCGTACGGCGAAAAATGCAGCACTGGGGTCAGGGCTTCAATAAGGATGGAGAAGTCATGAATCTGGTAAGGAGGCTGAAAATTCTTGACTTCTTGCGCCGTTAGAGTTCCGAACAGTGTTCGTAGTAATTATCAATATGTTAGCCAGATTGAAGCAATGACATCAGAATCATGATAAATGCAATGTACAAGAATACAAGAACAATACAAGGATGAAGAAAAAACAACAAGGATCAAGTATGCGTGAACAATGGTATCATCCAATATCAAGTCGTAAGATTTGTCGGTCATGAAGTCATCAAGGGCGTGAAGAATAGAATAGGTGTGCGATTGAAGCCAAGTGAAAAGGAAACTGATGTATGTGCGTGCGTACGATGGTGACGTGTCCGGGGTATTGCGGACAAGCGATTCGTTGTCCAGGTATCAGCAGTTGCAGCCAGTGTTGTCCGCCTCGTGAGCGTCCAAGGGGAATGAATCAGGGTAATCGCTGAATCTGAAGACAGGAAATCGTTTGGCATCAGTGGGATGTACAGAACCAGGAGAGAGGACGCACAGTTGCTCTTCCGACTCTTGCTCCAGCGCCTTCACAGCGACAGTCTGGAATGCTTGTTCGACATTGATCGCTTCCTTTGCCGACGTCTCGAAGTAAGGAATGTTCCCCTTGGCTTGACACCACGCTAGCGCTCGTTTCTGGGTGACCTGTGGGCAGAACATTGGTAAGAACACACACACTGTCCACGACCGATTATACTCGCCTGCCTCTTCGACTCGTCTATGTCCACCTTATTGCCCAATACCACGAAGGGGAAGTTCTCCGGGTCATGAGGACTGGCTTGAATCAAGAATTCGTCCCTCCAGCTCTCTAGCGCTTGGAATGATTTGGCCGAGTTGACGTCGAAGACGAGGACGCAGCAGTCTGCACCGCGGTAGAATGCGACACCGAGTGATTGGAAGCGTTCTTGACCTGCTGTATCCCAGAGCTGATTTAGGTTACCGAGAGTCGAGTCGACGTCGTGTTTGTATGTGTGAACATTCACCGATAGAGGTGGCGAAGTGCAGAGTTAGAGAGAGGGCCAGCGAGGACGTCGTGTGAGTCGGTTGTTGCTAACTGGGCATGAGACGGGTCGTCGCACCTGCATCGTAACCGGTCGCTCTTCAGTGTCGACCTCCTTTGTCAAGCTAGCGGCAGACTCAACTGTTAGACCAACAAAGGGGTGGCACGAGCAACGACGAGCACTCACAAATCCGCCCCGATAGTGGCCTTATACTGCGTACTAAACCTCTTGTTCACATATTGGTTCATCAGCGACGTCTTCCCGACACTAAATTTCACACAGAACGTTTAGGACTGTCGGTTCTATCGACCCATCGATGCTGAGGCTCACCCACTGTCGCCCAAGATAATCACCTAGCCGAGTCATCGTTCCATTAGCATTTGACCTAGAGTCAAGTCCTGGACCATATAGAAACTTACTTTAAGTAGGGCGCTTCGAGGCATTCGTTAACAACCTAGTAGTATATAGAATTCAGAGGAATAAGTTATGTAGAGGACTGGATAGTGTGTGGGCGGCAGGAGAGTTGTTGAGCACGCAAGCCAAGCGACGGACCCGACCTTGGACCGTTCGGATCATGCTTTCTGGGCGGAGCCTAAATTTGGGCCTTTCTCACCCCTATCTCTTCGGCGCTTAACTCGATGGAGGTGCTATCCATTGAGGGCTCTCATTGCATTGGGGTTCGGGAAGATAATATGAGACCATGTACTTGGACGTGCAGGGCGGTCACCCCCAGGCATGAAGAGTAGGCAGGATGTTGACTCATGAATCCTGCCTTACAAACGGGCGATTTCGTGATGTAGCTCAGATATCTGCCAGCCGACAGGATCAACGCGATAAGAAGTGAGCATAATGGCATATTATTTTGTATTTATAGTAGCTATAGTGTCAAATTATAACTATACATGTTGGTACATGGAGGGTCGAGGCATAGGGACGATGCAATGAAACATGATGGTACAGACAGGAGACACTACTTATACAAAATTAGTACAGATGAGTTCTGTTAACAAAAGGAAATGATAAGCATGCAGGGGTAATCAGGCTCTTCAAAGCGACAAGGCGACTGTCTTCGGGATCTTGAAACAGCTCATAGTCTTGACAGAGCACGTTCCCTTCCATGCGCACGGGTGGTGGCAGGGACATTGGCGGTGGTGGGACGGTACTCCTTGGCGCCATGGAACATCGGGTGCTGATAAACGGAAGGGTCGATATTACCATCGAGCGGTACGGACCAGTGGAACGTCTTGAGTTTGCAGCCAGAGCGATCACCCAGTCCGCGCAGAGAACGAGCGAACTCGATGTGCGAGACCTTAGATTCAGCCCCTGGGGTGCGGATGATGGTGAGCTTCTCAAGGCCGCGCAGATTCAGCAAATCCAACGGGACAGAGAAGCCAGTGGATTTCTTGTCAAGCACAAGGACGAGCGACTGAAGCTGCCTGTGGACCAGCTCGACGCTCCACTTGTTGATCTTTGGATTCAATCCAGAGCCAGTGACCTCTAACTCCCGTAGCTGAGGGCATCTCGCCATTACAGTGAAGAAGAAATGAGGATCAGAGAACGGCCCCTTGAACGATGTGAGCCGCTGCCATGGAGTCGCTTGCCGGTCGAGCGGGGAATGGATGTTGCCGAAGATATGTGCACTCCAGGTTGGTTCGGACCCCAAGTCGATCTTGACGAGTTTCGGCGCATTGGTACAAACCATGTCGTAGAGCGCTTTGTTCGTGTCCGCAGGCCAGTCAGGAAGCGAGAGTCTGAACTCGACCAAGTTGGGGAAAGAGTAGGTAGCACCGCTCCAAACGTTCTTGCGCTGGCGACGATCGGTCGATAGAACATTTGAGGCGATTGTAAGTGATTGGATTCGATTGGAATAGGCGAGGACCGCATCCACGAGAGCCGGGAAAGCAGAGCCAGACGCATCGTCGGTGCCGACTAGAGAGTCTACCAAGATCACCTCGTGTAGCATGCTAGCAGAACGCTCGATCTGGTCCTTGATCATAGAAGCGAAATCAAGGCTCGGGTTGTTGAGGCGAATACACAAGGGGTTTCTCTCTCTGGGGGAGGGGTAGGCACTGTGAAGTTCACCCATCGAGTTGCGATTGGATTGGAGTTGAAATGATATAAGAAAAGGTACAGTCGAGATGCACGATATGAGTGACAGATAATGGTGCAAGGGGCGTTTCCGAGTCAAAGCGGTTCACCCGATACTTATATAGGGATCCAGCTGTGCCACTGGAGGACAAGCGATCATTCGAGTTAAACGTTAAACCTGTGGACTGCGCCGGTTAAATACCACATATGGAAGGAAATTGACCTCGACAAACAATGACGTACCTTCCACCTTGACCGACATGCCCGTCCTTTGACCGTTGACCTTGTTGGGCTTTGATCTCTATAATACTTAAAGCCACAGACAAGTCGTAGAGAAATGAAATCGAAAGTCCGCGCTTTGACCTGTTCACCGCTGACGTCATCGTGGCCTCCATTAAGCGCTCGAAAGGGTATATGGCCTCGGGGCTTTTGACTGGCGCGGATGATCAATCTCTTTCACGTCGTATTTACTTAGTATGGACCGGTGACAACGAGTCTATAGACACAGGCCACCATGACTTCATATTTCAATTCCACTTGAAGCCTGGTAACAAGATATGATAACTTCGCTGGAGACAATGTGTCAAATAACAAAAGTCGGAACTAGGATACATTATCCTTCCAAGCATCACAGACTTGGCGTCTACTCCCGGTATTCCCTGAAAGTGTTAACGAAGCAACTTGAGGTTGAGGCGGTGGCCAAGAGCCTGAGTTATCTTTCAGATCCGCGAATTGCGGTTGCGACGAGCTGGTACTCGATAGTCGTAGATTCTTAGCACCGTGCATGATCTAGATTAGACCACTTGTCGTCGTAGTAGTGGAGATGGCAACGACAAAGCTCGAGGACGATTCACCACGAGAGGCCGGATGCCGCCAGGCATGATCCCATCATCACGGCTATCACTCTTATCATTCGCCCGAGGGACAATGGACTTAGTTGGAGGTGAAATCCTCACCAACTCGTAGCCGCTCAGCGAGTATTCCGAATTCTCGACACCTTGCACTTGAAACCTCTTCGCAATCAGAAGTTCGCGTGCTCATCTATCGAAGGGGGCAGAGTGCAGATTCGAAACGGAGACCGAGTTTATATCATAGGTCGACCATTTTCACGATGATCCCATGACCCAGTGAAGGTCACCTACGACCACTCATTGCATTCACGATCAAAGCTTCGGGAAAGTAATGGAATTGTGAATACTCTCGTCTTGGCATTAAGTAGGTTTGGCTTGAAGCTTGAAGATTAAATCAAGATTAAATACCTTTTCGTTTCACCGACGCAAGTTTCCTGCATGACATACGCCCCTATGTTCGTCTTCATGAGGATTACGTAACTTGTTATCCTCTTTCCTCCTTCCTCCATCTGCTCTAGGGATTCCTGGGTGGTTTTCGTTCTGTTGAGAAGGATATCGGTATGTACACTGAACTCGCTGAAATACCGGTCCCGATTGGAGGACAGTTTGTCGGTCCAGACGCGGATAGTGAGTCCAGCAACCGCAATTCACTCCTATCCTGATTCTGATTTAGCGCTCTCCGCGTCATCTCCCGATTTCTCAACTCGACCACGTTCGTACACCCTTCTCCAGCGGTCGAAATCACGTTCAGCGTTCGCGATCACGAACTAAATCTCAAGAAAACTGTCGTCAAAACGATTGCAAACATCCAGGGAGAGAAACCTTATGTTTCCCCGCCTGTCCAAGTGGATTCGCAAGTCGCGGCGTTGTACTCGCCTTCGGGGAAGAGAAAGGTGGTGTTGAGAGAGGTGAACAAGAAGGGCGATACGAGGAGGGTTGTTGAACTTTGGAATGAGAGCACGAAGGTGGCCTCGGTTGATGTGACCGAGAGACACGACAAGTTCTATGTCGATGGTGCGTTTCATATTGTGATGAATATATGTGACTTGATCGACATGGTTCCGTCTATAGAGTATATTGGAAGCCTGGGCTTCAATGCTACAGAAGATGCAGTGGTCTATACGGCCGAAGCCCATCTCGACAATGATTCATCGGATCCTTACGCCAAGTTTAGGTATCGGCCTGATTTTGGAGAGGGGCTCACAGGTCAACGAAGACCCGCGTTATTCATCGTCAAGCTCCCAGGATCACCGTCTAGTGACGATAAACCAGTAGTTTATCGTCTCAAGTCACCAGCCAACGTGCGGCTAGGGCAGGCGGTCTTCTCGGGCGCATCTACTGTCGATGAAGTGGTTCTGTACGCGACTGGGTACGAGCTCCAGCCGGATGGAAGGCTACTGGGAGTAAAGGGCTGTTTCAACCGCCCGACCGGCATCTGGAGGGTTAAGGCTACCCTGGGCGGAGACCCAACGGTTAATGACGTCGATGCTACGGCAACCAAACTCAACCCTGGACACATCTCCTGTCGCTCGCCTCGTGTCGTCCCTCAAGGGAAAGGAGAGCAACTGGTCTTTCTCTCCTCTGCTTCTGGCGGTCCTCATGTCACTACTGCGTCTCTACAGACGTGGAAACCTACTGGCGACGGCAAGGGCGAGGTCAGGGAAGTTATTGGTATCGTGGAGAAGCCAGCCCAGGGTGATTGGTTCCCTGGTCTCTATCCACCTTACAATCTCCCTGCAGCCCCGTACCTATCCCAAACGGGGTCGTTAGCTTTCCACTCGCACGTGGGGTCCAAAACGTGGATCGTCCTTGCTGGATTGGATGGGAAACGCAGTGGATGGGATCGGGTGCCCGAAGATTCGGATGAAGGCGAGATGTATAGCTGGAGTGTGCTCGCGACGGACGAAAAGAACAGGATTCTGTGCTGGAGGAGCTCTCCGAGTGTTCCCTACGAAATCGGAGTGGCGGATGTTCGTGATGGTGGAATAACTTCCTGGAAGTCGCTGGACAAGCCTAAACTCCCCGAAAGAGGTGAGAAGCCTTTCTCCGCAGATTGACAGAGGTTAACTTTTGTGAGATCTAGTCTCCAAGGCGTTGTCTTCAATTCGTACTTCTATCCACCAGATCCCAGACCGTGCACCAACTGAAACCCTCGTCATTACTTCGACTCTGAATGGAAAGGGCGGAAAATTGCCTCCCTGCGTTCTGGTACCTCACGGAGGTCCCCACGCTACGACGACCACCGCCTTTAGCCCTGCCACAACCGCACTAGTTCTTGAAGGATGTAAGCCAATTTACTTCCGTCACGCTGATATACTGACTCTTTTGCCCAGTCACATTGGCCCTTCCCAACTATACCGGTAGTTTGGGGTACGGAGAGGCGCCGATAAGAGCGTTAGTTGGAGCCTGCGGACGTACGGATGTCGACGACTGTATCGGAACTTTGGACCACCTCGTTAAGATCGGCATCGCCGAAGATGGACCTGGAAGGGTCTTCGTCCAGGGTGGAAGCCATGGAGGCTTCCTGTCTGCCCATCGTACGTCATGTCATTTATAGTCTCAGGATGCAAAGATCCCCTTTCCAACGGCTCTCTAAACAGTGATCGGACAATTCCCCGACAGGTTTTCCGGCGCAGTCATGCGCAACCCGGTCATCTCAGTTGGCGAAATCTCAACTACAGACATCCCAGATTGGTATTTTTCAGAATTCGGATACGAATACCCCGTGCTCTCGTCCACCGCAGAGTCAACCGACTCTCAAGCGAGAAATGGTGATCCTGATTCGATAGCACCGCTAATGACAGGTCAAACGTTCACGCAATTGCAGAGTGCGTCGCCGATACACCATGTCGACAAGGTGAAAGCACCGGTCTTGTTGCTGGTTGGCCTCGCGGATCGTCGTGTTGCGCCTACGCACGGGGTAGAATATTATCACGCGTTGACAGCAAGAGCGAGGAAGGTCGAGTTGTTGACATTCGAGGGAGAAAGCCATCCGTTGGATGGAGTGGAGGCTGCAAGGGTATGCTGGGAGGCGGGGAGGGACTGGCTCAGGGCCTTAGCCTCTTAGAGGAATGGGACATCGTGGTCGTGGCTATCGTGTTAAGTACTGGGGTAATTGAATCCTACGTAACATTTTTCGGATGTTAGTTGCGGCAATGGTAGATGTTGAGTCCTTACAGAGTATCCAGCTCGATATCTTCAGAGGTCCTTGGATAATGGCGATTGGCAATTGGGAACCTGCGCGAACATCGTTTGCCGCGACGGCCATCAAATATCGCGCGCCAAAGCCACCGACGCGACCAAACAACCTCCTGCTCGCGACCAAACACGGTCGACGATGTCTGATTCGGCGAGCTCCTCATCAACCAAGAACCCAATCTCGCTCAGGCTCTACAAGGTCCTGAGCACCAACTTTGACGACCATGGAACGAGAGAAGCTCTACAGACCCTGTCAGAACTCTATGGTATCCCAGAAACCGAGGCGAAACAGCTCGCATCATCGACAACTTCATCGACATCGACGGGCAAGGTAGCAGGGAGTGTACCAGGCGAGAGCTATCCTGGTGAATATGCGGCGACGACAAGGAGGAACTTGAAGAGGGACATGGAGAAGAAGCTGGCTGAGGGAAGCCAGTCGTTCTTGAAGGCACTGGAGGAGGTTGATCAGGTTCGTAGCGCGAGTTCGTCGTCGTTGGTTATCATAAGCTGAGCTGGGGACTAGAAACTGGCAGAGATGCAGGCGCATATTCAGGATATGGAGGCTGCATGCCAGCAAGCTGAAGATCAGCTCAACTCGACGAGCGAAGCGAGCAAAGCCGTCCTTGAACGAGCGGGCAACCTGCGAGACGAAAGGTGCTACATATCTCTGGTTATTGGCAATCACAGACTGATCAGTAGCAGGCAGGAAGTTGAGGACAAAAAGTCTATAATCACCTTGTTCCTCTCCCGGTTCACCCTTTCTGAACAAGAAGCCGAAGCGATTACATCTCGCGACGTCCCAGTCTCCCAGCGGTTCTTCGACGCCATGGACAAAACTGAACGAATACGCGAGGATTGCCGGGTGCTCATGGCTGGAGAGGACGGCGCGCCCACCAAAGCCGGTCTCGACATTATGGCGTCCACGTCGAGTCACCTTGAACAAGGCTTCGACAAGATCTTGCGGTGGATCTCGAACGAATTCAGACAAATCGGCAAGGACGGGCAGTTCGAACTCGACGTGCATCCGGTCATGAGGGAGGCGGTGGTTAGGCTGAAGAAGAGACCGGAGCTGCTTACTGAAGCCCTGACAATCCTCTCGGAAACGCGACAGCAATCCCTCCTGTCTTCGTTCATCACCGCGCTCACTCGAGGTGGCCCCTCAGGTCTACCTCGTCCCATCGAACTTCACGCCCACGATCCCATGCGATATGTCGGCGACATGCTTGCCTGGGTGCATCAAGCCATCGCCGCCGAACGCGAATTCCTTGAAACTCTCTTCGCCGTCAAGAGCGATAACCGGATGGTCGGCAGCGTTCGCTCGTTTACTGAGAAGACAGAAGAGGAGGAATGGATCCAGGAGCTGATGGACTTGTCGGTCTCCAAGCTATGTGTGCCGCTGAAGAACCGTGTTCTGCAGACGGTTAGGTCTCAGGAGAGCAGCATTGTGTCGTACAAGATTGCGAACTTGCTACAGTTCTATCTTGTGACGATGAGAAGGACGATTGGACCTCAGGCTTTGCTCACCAAGACCTTACACGAGTGAGTCCACCCCCACACCCTTTCAACTATTTGCCTCTGATCATTGTTCCAGGATCACAGACGTGTCGTACAAGGTCTTCCAAACCTCTATCGAAACGCATTCCCAAGCCCTCGCTCGACTTCCTCTGGACCCCGACGATCCATCACTCACGCCACCGCACTTCATACTCGACCACGCGCAGATCCTCAAGGAAGTTATGAACGTGTATCAATCCTCTATTGTCGACGGGGAGGGAGAAGCGGAGACGGAAGAGTCGAGCGCCGTTGCGCCCTCGTTCGAAAACGTACTCGACGTGTTCATTGATCCTGTGGTGCTGAGTTGTATCTCGAAGAGCGAGGAGAAGATCATGCTGAGACCCAAGTGGGATGGGAAGGTGTATACGATTAATTGTTTGACTTATTTCCAGGTGAGTGTGGCAGTTTCTGACTCCAGTTTCAATACTGATTGATTGTGTGTAGGGCCTTTTGGAACCGTTCTCGTTCACGAAAACGAAGCAAGAGAATTTGGCCAAGGTGATTGAGTATAGGGTGGAGGAGGTTATTGAACAACATGTGCGTTGTCGCTTTCCTTTGTTCTGAGCGATGCTTACCTAGTCTCTAGTTTGTCGACCTCATGAACGATGCTGGCCTCCATTCGGTCTACCAAACGTGTAGAGATCCACCCACCTCCGTACGTGACATCGCATTTTCTCCATTCGCTCTTGTTAACTCCCTCCTTAGGAGCCCCTCTCGCGTCTCCCACCAACCCAATCCCCGACCCTCCTCAACGCCCTCCACACCTTCTCCCTATGGCTCTCCTCTCCCGAGGTCACGCACTCCCCCCGTCTCTCCCACCTCACCTCCCAGAAACTGGCCGACCAAATCCACCGGAAGGCGTTGAAGCGGATGGTGAAAGCGTATGAATTTATTTGTGGGTGTGTGTTGGATGAGAAGAATCGGTATGAGGCTGCTGCTACGTTGCTTGGGAGGGAGAGGCCGTTTGGGCGGGTGTACCTTTTGAAGCAGATTTTTGGGATGGAGGAGGGGGAGAGTGGGAGTAGTGGGAGTGAGGAAGAGGAGAGTGAGGAAGAAGATGAGAGCGATGAAGATGAGAGTGGAGAGGACGAGGAAGATGAGAGCGAGGAGGAAGATGAGGAGGGTGAAGGAGATGCAAGTGTGGAGGGGACATCGTCTACGGCACCTAGACGTAGTTGATTTTTCACTAAATGGCTGTAATACAATTTTACTGAGTCTGCACGAGCGTGATTTTGGAGAGGGCGCAGTGTCAGTCTTTCCGCTCAGATACTTGGACGATCGACTACCGGATCATTGACACTAACGTTATTGTCTTGCTAAAACATCGATATCGATGGTATCGTTGGAGAAACCTGCGTCGCATAGCACGCCCCTGCGCTATGACCTTTCGGCGCTCCAAACACAATTAGCCTTTTACATTGATGTCGCCGTCTTGTCGGATGCGGCCAGGAAAGCTAGGGAAGTATAGTGTCAGCAGCCCAAAATTCACTTCCCTAGGGCAGCTGTAACAGACAAGTCCCTTACAGTGACTGGGGAACCATAAGGCATACCAAATCAAAACCATTACGCAAACGTCGTCATTTGTGCCAAGACCCCTCTTAAGCGCCGATAATAGGTAGTTCCCACGATCTTTAATTGTCCTTGCTTGGGCAGCGCCGGCACATTCGGCATCTCAACGGCCCTTGTGCTTGTTTGTAGGCGGCTGTCTCTTGTCCTTGTACTCTGACCTTGTCTTTGGTCGAACTTCTCACTGGCATGGCGACATAGACAGGATAATGGGGAACCTATACCACGATTGGCTGTTGCCTTGTTAGTCTAAAAGCCAAGCCAGCGAGTTATATACCATTCCCTGCATTGTTGGATTGGCGCCCCTTGACTTTTTTTTCTTTTTCTTCGTAACGACCACCTTCGACGACTAGGAAACCTCCCATATACTCTACATTTCTTACGATAATTTAACGAACTCTAGGTAAGTCTTCATCTGGATGGCTGGTCGTTTCAGATGTGCTAACGATATTCAGATAGCCATGGACCAAGTGCGATCATGGTTTTGGCAGAGACCGCGGTCTCTCATCCAGCGCTCTGTCGACGCTGCTCTTACGACGATACCAGCCGTTCCGAGGGCCATTGGTCGAGTCTTCAGGTCTAATCGGTCCGCACGCCAGTCACCTCCATCCACGCCCTCCAGAAGGGCACGCAAAAGGGCTCGTTCGGATTCGCCTCTCACTCAAGAACAAGCTTCCCAAGGCTCCAGTCGGCAGGAGCCCGTCGAATCAGAGGCTGCTGCGCAGTCTTCCCCCTCCCGTCTTCTTCCAACTCGTACACCATCAGCGACGACGACAACCCTCATTCGCAAAACGACCCACCCGAATCAGCCGGCGATTTACTCTCTTCCGCATGATGTCCTCGGGGAGATCTTTTACTTTTATATCCACGGAACGGGCTCGAAGAAGAAACGGAAAGTGGGTGTAACGACGCATCGATGGCAGTACGAGACTCCGCTTGTCCTGGGTATGGTGTGCAGACCGTGGCGGCAGGTCACCCATGCCTACGCGTCTTTGTGGTCCACGATCCAGGTCACCTATCCCCGGACCAAGGACGTCCCGCAGCTGGCGCATTGGCTAAAGATGTCGAGAACGTGTTTGTTGGATATCACGGTTCTGCAGCATAGGAAGTCGACGGGTGTTGATGTTGGGCTCCGCGAGACGCTGAAGGAGGTGATGGCTCATGGTCCGCGGTGGAAGTACGTTGCGTTCAAGTTGACCAATATGGAGGCTCCGCCTGGCGAGGATGAGCTCGCCACGCTGGCGGTGGAAACGCCTGAATTGCTAGAGTTTTCTCTCGGTTTGCCGGCGCCTAGCAGCAGCGTCGTGGCGAACGAGAATCTGAACTTTTGCAAGTTCTTGTATACTGCTCCAAAGCTAAAGAGCATTCTCTTCGGACGTGGACTTCGACCGTCGATATCGTCTATACAGGAAAACGCGGCGTTCTGGGAGAAGTTGGAGCATGCCAGCTTCTATACGCTTAGTATGCGCGAAGTCCTCACCCTCCTCTCCACTTGTAAATCCCTCACCAGCTTCTTCGTCTACGACCTCGTTCAACCTTTCCTCGACTCTGACGAGATTGGGGAAAGGGTTGTCCACCCGATGCTTCGCTCGCTCACATTCACGGCCGTGATGTCCCTGGACCATCTCTTGGATCGGGTTACCCTTCCAGCGCTCACGGACCTCAAACTCGCTGCTGGATTCGGATGCCCGCCTGCACAAGGGTGGAAGTCGCTCAAGAACCTCTTCGAGAGGTCGGAGTGTACCCTCAAGTCGCTGGACTACCGAGACGATTGGGAGGGCAACAACGAACCTATCATCGCATACCACCTCGGTTCTCCGAAACTCTACGGCGTCACCCACCTCACCATCCACAACATCGTCAAAGATATCACACTGCAATACCTCACCATCTCCACCAAAGACGGGCGACACCCCCTCCCCAACTTGGAAGTTCTCAATCTCCCATGCGTCTCAGCTGCAGATGGCGTGTTGGAGCGGATGGTGCGAACGCGGTTGGAAGTGGAGGATCCGAAATTCCAAGAGCTGAATGCGGTGGTGATGATTAATCTGGACGATACGATTGAGGATCTGGCTGCGCGGTTGGCGACGGATCCGGATGGGAGTAAGAGAGCGGAGAGGTTGAAGGCGATGGTGAAGAGGGATTTGGGGATGGGAGAGGAGTTTCCGCATGTGAGGTTTAATGTGCAGGTTGATCCGCATTGTTTGAACCCGCCGCGGTTGTGGAGGGGGCGGCTTGTGTAGATGGGGTGATTTACCCCCGGGTTTTGTGCTGTTCAGTTCTGTGCTGTCTGTTGTTGTATTTTATATCTTTGAGGGATTTTTATGATTCGGCTTTCTGTCCGCTGTCGTTTTGTATCTTTTCTGTATCATAGTATCTTTCGGTCTTCTAATGAATGTACTCTATGATTGGTTGGTACTCAGTCCCTGGTGCAAGACTTGCAGCCAAGTACCTTAGGACGTTTCAAAACTCGAGTGGTCGGGATTATCGCGTGGGCGTGGGACTCGAGGCTGTTCAGGAACTGTTCACCACTGCACCACTGCTAATTAGCCCGCTGTGGACGTGTTTGCGCCGAGATTAGCACCACTCCTTAAACTTCTCCCAACTCACCATCCTTCAGCGCCGAGACAGGTACAAGTTGCCCCTCCCCCTCCATTTGACACAATCCCAGATGAGCTTGTGTCGAAGATTTTCGACCACTACGTTTACGACTTAGACGTCCTGGTCACGGTGCCTTCACCTCTTCGCATAAGTGCAGTACACTAGTATAACACCAACTCCCCCCTCTCTCTTATAACCAAAGTCTGTGCCCGATGGCGAGCGATTGCCACATCCGCACCTGTCCTATGGTCCAGTATCTCCGTCTTCAATCCAAGACCACAAGATGTCTCCGTCTATCGACGATGGCTTGAATATTCTCAACAATCCCTGCTGGAACTCACGATTCGTGTCATCGGCCTCAAGACTGCAGCGATCGGGTCCATCCTCGCGGCTACCCTCACAGAATCACATCGTTGGAGGCGTATAACGCTGCACATCATGTGGGAGGACATCGAAGCGCTCGAGTGGGAACGTATGGTCCACCCGGACAACTTGGAGTTCTTTGATATTTACATCTCCAAGGGAGAGGGGCGGGCGTGGCGCAGGTTTTGCTCCCTCCTTGCTTCTTCAAGAGCCCTGCGATATTTCAAGGCCACACCGCAACTGTTCTCTCCAACCTGGATAACCGACATCCATTGGGCCAGCATCACGACTGTCCAGATTGCGGACCTTATGGAGACGCAGAAGGTGGTGGAAATGCTCCGACAAGCACCTTCACTTCAGCGATGCATTCTGGACGTCGTGGGGCCCCTTCTGAGGGATTTCCCGGCGTACAGCACTCCGATTGAAGTACGTTCGCTTGAGGAGCTACACATACGCGCCGTTCGCCCTCGATTTCTGGACTTCGTTGTCCTTCCTTCGCTGATCAATCTCTCAATTGGAATCCCGTGCTATGCTGGCACCGACTCTTACTCTTACGGAGGCTGGGACAGGGATGGTGTATGGTCTCCCATTGAAATCCTGGGCGAAAGGTCGAAGTGGAAGCTTTCTACCTTCCGGATCGCTTACGTCGGAATAAAGGACGATCTTGACATTGGTCCCTACGCACCCTCGCCGGTATTTGAACACCTCACCAGCTTCCATCATGGCGGAGGAGTCTCCTGCGAGACAGTGAACGCCCTGGCCTTTCAAATTTCAAGGCCGATCGAAACCGATGCCTCAGCTTGTCGAGCTGTCTCTGGACATATGCACCGCACCTGATGGCTTTGTCCCAGATGATTCTCAGCCGGACGAAGATGGTCGAAGATGCTCCTTTGTGTCACGTCGGAGTCGGGCTGGCGGGACCTCTCTCCGAGTACCCTCAAGACTCCGCTTTGTAAATTCCTGGAGTGCTCATACAGCGCTGGTATGATAGATTCCAGGACGGCGGTTATGGTGGCGTTGGTGAAATCGACTTTGAGCTAGACTTTCGCATCCGGAGCCAGGCGAATTTCTGGAAAGTTTGACAACCCGTTGGATATGATTTGGGACCCAGGAAACGAGATGGGAATCATGTTCGATGCACGATGTACACTCTGACGTTGGTATCCCTGTTCTGAATCGTAGTCGCTTCGCTTTCTGATAACGTACTCCTCCTTTTCGCTCTCGAAGATGTTCCTCTGAGTCCCAAAGACAGGTCAAATTCCATTCGACTTCCATAGGGGTTGATGACCCCTGGTATCTCGAGTATTCACGCAAATATTTAGTCAATCTCCAAGTATCACTCCTTCAAACTGTTTCCTGGGGAAGAACCACCAACTTCGTCCCAGAAACAGTCCCCTCCTCCAACCTCTTTAGTCCAGCAACGATTCCATTTAATCCACCCGGGAGGACTTCCACTCGAATGGGCTAAAGATCAGGAGGGTTAGTATCTTAGCTTGACGAGGTACGTGTGGAAATGGATTTTATCGCACCTTGATTACCCTCTCCTCCAACAATCCCGTTAACTTGGGGTATAGTTCAGTCAATAGTTGGTAAACGCGAGGGAACTCTTTGGGAGCCCGTGCGAAGATGACCTCCTTGCCATCGGAAGCTTCCACCTCAGGGGGAAGAGTCAGAACTATCGTTCCGTTGGGAGCTAGGATTTTGATCCCGAGTTCTTGAGTATCCTTAGTGGAGACGGCGTCGTAAACCAGGGTCACAGGTGTGGGGACGATCGCTTTGATTGCCTTCTGGGTGTCCTCAGAAGGAAGCCCTCGGTCGACTACGTGCGTCGCACCGAGGGACTTGAGGAACTCGGTGTGCTTGAGGGATGATGTGGTGACGATTGGGTTGAACCCCGAGAGGCGCGCTACTTGGATCGCTGTAATGGAGCAGTCAGTCCACCTGCACTCTTCCACCAAGGTCTCAAGTTTTGATTACACACCGAATTGACCGACAGCACTCGAACCGCCAAGAATGACGATCGGCTGGTTGCTGTAACGACCCTTGCCGGTGGTGAAAGCGTTCTCGAGACCAGCGCCGAGTGGTTTCTCAAGGAACAGGCCCACAGGAGAAGTGATGAATCCAGCAGGTATGGCTGCAGCCTCAGTAATGCTGATGTTCGAAGGAATCTAGATCGTGGTCGCCGTCAGTGTGAGACTCACCTGAACGGAGAAAATTCGCCCAAGGGTGCGTACCTTCGCGATGGTGCGAACATCTGTAATAGTGTATTGCTGGAATCCTGCATTACGGTATTTGGCATCGCCTTCAGCGCGCTGGCCTTGGAAAAATCTACCATAAACTTCAGCAATTGTGTCGGTAGCGAGGGTGGAGCTGGCCTACACTTTATCTCCCTTCTTGACGTTCGTAACCCCTTCCCCGAGCTCGACTACTTCACCGGAAATGTCGACTCCCAGTATGGCGGGGTAGTCTTTGATGAACTGCCCGAATATCTTCTGGATTTTCCAGTCGACAGGGTTAAGCGCTGTTGCTTCTATCTTGACCAGCACTTCCCCGGCTTGTGGCACAGGGATGGGCCAGTCAGTCACAACGAAATCGCCGTTGAGCTTCTCAAGGACGAGGGCCTTCTGCGTGTTGGTCGACATTTGCAAAGTAAGAGAATTCAGTGATAGAGGTGAAGGGTCTTTTTCTAGGGGATGGGAAGAATAGCGATGGTTCACGCATTGGCGAGCTTTAATACATCGGCGGACAATGTATCCGTTATCTGTTGCAGCGCCATTCCGTCTCGGTTGAATTCACCAGGCTACATAACGTCCCCAATACGGGTGCCTCGGACACGTCTTTTGTGTTTACCTGGTGACACAGGACCATGGCCCATATCCCGAAGAAGGAAAATGCGACATTTATCCTGGGTCTTTTTCTCAAGGTGACCAATGCAATATAATTCCTGAGTAAGCCTAGCTGTCGAAACCTTACAAATCGAGAGCGCTCGCAATGATGAAGATTGCGCAAGTCGAATCATGAGCGCGATATCTCACTGGTCTTTGACGAAGAGATAGATAAGTTCCGGCGACCGGAATGCATAATGGGGATATATTATGGAACAGACTCCACTGGGACTGCAGCGTAATTGACACGCGTCACTAAGGGAGGGCGCTTATCGGGCGCTTAAATCGAACACACTCGTATTAGTTACACTGGGAACTGTGTGGTCCTGCTACAGAATGCTATAGAAGGTATATCTCGCCCATTCAGTCCAAGTCGGTCTCAATCTCGATTCCTAAGCACTTTCGAGTGAGGCGTACTGCTCCCCGGGCCTCCATTTCTGCTATGAACTCAGCATCAAACAGCCGCTTCAAGCGCTTCTGTTCAGCTAGTCTCTCCTTTTCGTCAGGTGGAAGTTCATTCTCTTCTACCTTTTCAGTGAATGCCCGCTTGTTGGCGAGGGTCACACCGATGATTTTTTTAACCTCCTCCAAAAGTCCTCTCTCAATCCCCTTTTCATCGCACATTGCCTGGAAAGTATCGGAAGAAGCATCCGGGCTCCATAGACTCAGCCAATATGCTGGACCAAGGGCCTCCCGGACCTGCCGAACTTTTTTACAGAGCTTCTTATGTGGTGCGATTTTGTTGTTCCAGGCCTCCTCTTGACACTACCGGTCATAGAATTAGTTGGATGCTTTAGGGTGAAAGTTGGTCTGTACATACCTTCTCGCCACAGTACCTGACAACGTTGCACCCACCACAGAGCCTACCGTGCTTAGCTTCTATCCTGATATGGGCTGTACATTGGATGTGGAGGCATCCGCCCTTCCGCACCTCCCCCAATGCTTCAAAAACGTCGCCATGGCAGGTGGTTCCCTCTTGAGGCGGGGGCATCAGGACGTTGTTGCGCCTGATCTTATAGACTCCAATGCCCGTTTCATAGTCGAACTCGGCATTGGCGTAAGCGGAATATAACCACACCATTCCCATCGCTTTCCGCCACTTATCGTGAGGTTCCAGGCCGGGGAGTATTTCCTCGAGGCGCTTGAACACATCTTTGAGGCGCATCGCGGTCACCCCCATCATTTTGTTGAACTTCAGGACGTCGCACCTTGAAAGGGTATCCCAGAAGTCAAAGATGGTGAAGATGGGTGCGTCGAATAGCTGGTGAAGCTCCTTGGAGAACTTCGTCTTTTGTTCTTCTGAATCTTTGGTCTCCTTGGCGGTCGCATCCCAGAGGCTTATGGCAGCGTGTAAGTATCCCATGGCTCGGATGACAGCAAATCTTCCAGCCATCTCGGGCTTCAACTGGACAACGCTGTTGGCAAAGGGTGCGTAGAAGGTCGCCAGGGACCCCGCCAGCTTGTAGATCCTGCATCCTAATGGGGCCTCGTACACCCAGAACTCCAGTCTCTCCAACGCCTTCTCTGGTCCAGGGGGTAGTAAATCTTCTGGCCCTTGGGGCCAAGGTTGACGCATCGAATCGACTTCCTCGGGGTTCAAGTTACGAAACTTGTGTTGCGTGAGGTCCGAGAGTGCGAGGGATATCAACTCGCAGAGCGTTGATATCGCATCGAACAGCATCCACGTGTTGGATACCTGCACACGCCCATAGCGGTTTTCCCTCCCAGGGGGACGGGTGTGTAGGGCGAGCATCCTTTGAATGTCGCTAGGTGATGTGGGGCAGTTGCATTTAACGAGCGTGTTGACTAGGGTGATGTTGTCTTTGCGGGTTGGGCTTTGGGTCAGGAACCGGATCCCCACCCTCAAGAGTTCGGGATGGAATTTGGCGAGCTTGACTTTATCGGAGGTGCTGGTGAACGCCTCGAGCGCCTGGTCAATCCTGTCTGCTGCGACCCCAAGGCGAGCCCCACAAGTCTCGGCAGTTAGGGGATCCTTGAAGGCGGTCGTTAAGGCCTGAAAAGCGGCCTTGAGCGATAGGGGTTGTTTCGAGCTCTTTGTTGAAGACATCCTCCGTGCTACTGGTGACGTCGATTTGAGGTAGTATGATGATAGGAGACCGACTTACAAATGGCAGTCGACAGAGTATAAGCAGTCGGCCTGAGTCACTGAGCGCTGAGCTTGGAAAGGAAACCAACGAACGACGTCGAGGACTCACACACACGGCATTAGTTGCCAACTCAGAAAGGATGCTTCCATCACCAAAGCTATTTTTAGCCTTGGACAGATGATACTTCAGAGATATCGCGTAGTCCGAATAATTACAGGTTTTTATTCAGCGCTCTCGAATGATATATACAACTCGGAATGACTAGCTTTCATCCTCAAGGGAATCATATGAGAGCCTACGCTGTCGCGTTCCTTGATAGGGCTTGCACTACCAACTTCCCAGGCGGAACATAAGCTCTTCAAGTGTTTCATCGCCCACTACGCAGTCGCGTACACCCAGACGTTCGAGATGCTGTACTCCAGGGTCTCGCAAAATGGATCTAATGCCGTCATCAGTATCGATAGCCCAGCCAAGCGAGAGATCAAGCTTTCTCAACGAGAACTCCGAACGCATCGAGAAATGTCCAAACGCACGCGAAAAAGCTGCAACATCCTCCTCTTGCTCCTGAAGTGTTTTAGCGTGTGGTGGAGTGTCCCAAATTGCTCGAGAAACCGAGAGCGAGCTGAGATTTGGAGCAGAAAGGTACCAGAAGAGCTGGAATGGGAGCCTGTCAGGTGGAGAAGCAAACTTGACCGAGAGAGATTCGAGGAGAGGGGCGATACATCGCTGCCGCCTGTCGTCTCCGTCGCCGTTGGAGACCCACTTGCGATCTAGAAGTTCAGTGTCAATACACCCCACACCCCATGTAACTTCCAGTCTGCGAAGCGACCTGCAAAGGGTTAGAAGCTCCAGAAGCTCATACGTACTTGTCATCGAGATCTTTAATTCGATGAGCCGGGTCCAGTGACTTTGAATGCCTCCTAGTCGAGGATAGATGGGTGACTCGAGAGATCCGCCCATCGCCGCTTTAGTTAGGGCCCGAGATTGGCATAACGCGGATTGGAGAGAGAATCTGGATTCCCTGTCCCACCACAGCTCCGAGACGTCGAATTCCGTGAGGATAGGGAACTCTTTACCTGTCCAGTCTAGCCCTAGATCACGTTTCCCAGAGGTAATCTTTATCGTCAACGTACGTATTCGATGGGATTGAGCCATAACCATGTTGAAAATCGATCGAAACGAAGTCTCAATTTCGTCGTGGAGCGCGCGTCGATCCTCGTCGTCCGAGTTATCTTCATAGTCGAAGTGGCAGAACGCCGGGTCGACGTACCCGTCTTCTTGTGCACTGGTGTGGTTTCGAGGGGGAGTCCAGGTCGGTGCGGTAGACAGGATGGAGTGTTCAAGCGTGATATCGAGAGGCCTATTTTTCGACCGCGCAAGCCAGGTTTCAACTGTTTTGACGTCAATTGGGGTGGGATTCTTGACGGATAGGGATGTCCACAGTGAAGAAGTCGTGACCGCGGTGTACCGCCATGATCGACATACTTGGCTTAAGAGTAACGGGGAATCGATTTGACCAGTGGGTAGAGTAGTCAGGCGGTCGATCGTCCTCGTATCATCCGGTGGGAGCTCGGGGTCGTCAGATGGAAGAGAACGTTCGTCAGAGATGTTCTGGATGTAGTGGCGGAAGACCTCGCCAATGAGTTCGACAGGAAGGTTGGATGCGTTCGGCCGAGGTTGAGGATAGGTGTGGTGAGAGTAGGACATGGCCTAGTTGGACAATAGAGTAAAACGCTAAGGACCGTCGCGTATAGGTCGGGAGAGACAGGTGCGGACTTTACCGAGTTCCAGACTATTTATACGTTCGGAAACCGGTAACAAGTGGGCCAGCGGAAGACCTTCCTAGTACTAGACACATAGTCAAACGCCAGGACCTAAGGTTGACCGCGAGGAGAAGTCAAAGCGCCTCCCTGGTCCTGGCACCAGCGTTGGCACAGCCTGGATTAACAAAAATACAAGCTATGACCATGATAGAACAAGTGCAGCTCTGAGTCCTGAGTTCGAATTCAAAAAGAAAAACTTGCGTAGACGATTCCGACAGGTTTGATCTCCGATTGAAATCTGAGGTTTCCCGCGAAATGACGTAACCAAATGAGCCCACCTCCCGCGTCGTCGTCGCCGTCGACGGTCGTCAACGCGTCTCACCATCGACCACGATGGCAGCCTCGCCATCCTCGACGATACTCGTTGCACCTCTTGCAGATGGCTCGTCTACACCCATAGCAGATGCGCTACAAAGCCCAGGCCTCACCCTTTTGCTCAAAACCTTGCCCTACCTCCAAAATGCAGCTGTATATATCTACCAAACGACACTGGCTGTCCTGCGCTCATCGACCTACTTTATCGGTCGGAACCTCTACTTGCCGATACCCATCATCCTGTTTCTGCTGTCGCCAGTGACGGTCTTCCTGAAATACCTGCTTTGGGTGTTCGTGCTAGGCCCATACCATGCTCTGGTCTATCTAGCCGAAGCGCTGCATCCGATATACGTGTTCTGTGGGGTGGCATGTTTGACTGGAGCTGTTATCGGGCTTGTGGGGAGGACGCTGACCGGGATGGTGGTCGCGACTGTGCTACCACCTGATCCCGATCTGGACGAGGAAGAAGAGGATGGAGAAGAGAAGATATCGAAGAAGGTGGATTTGAAGGGCAAGGGGAAGGCAAGTTCGGTCAAGGAGGAGGAGGGAGAGGAGGAGTTGGACTATGACGAGGAAGAGGATGACGAGAGAAAGCCCCTTTCAAGACTGGCGAGGATGAAACGAGAGCTCGATGATTGAGCCAACACGGGATGCGCACATGATTGCCGTCGAACGAGCTACAGGACTTGGCACCCCAGAAGAAAACCTCAGAGACTACCCCCTACCCTAATTCAGTACGTTTTTGACACATCCAATCTCTTTCTCCGTCCCTCTTGACTAACGAAATGATGTACAGTGTATATCTTATAACACACGCAACCCGCTAATGATACCCTTGTTCGTACATTGTATGTAATCCCACGTCTGACAACGAACACAACGTTTCCCAGTGCTTGAGATTGCAGTACTAGGTGAGCCTGTTCCCTCACCTGATAGTAGCGCCAATTTATCTTTCTTGCTCATGTTTTCAGTGCGATTGGATTTGTCATTTGTAGGCTTCCTTGAGCGCTTACGACTATTAGGAACAGGAGCGATCTTAAAAGGATGGTACGTCTTGACGTTGGGGAATATGTACATAGGATGATGCCAAAGATACCAGGCCGTTAAACGTGAGTGCTTGCCTTTCGTTTTCCTTCTTACGGTTGGGGCAAAATAGGAATGATCGAAGGTCTTCAATGGAGCGAATGTGCGGGCCCTGGTGGGGTCGGTGTACTATCTGCGGCCCGGTTTGGGTCAACATGGTTCGAATTCCCACCCGTTGCGTCGATGCCTGAGGCGTTGTAAGTCCAAAGGAGAACGCCAGAGGGTCAATAACTGAAGCTTACCGCAACTTTCGACGTACGGCCTTAACTCGGAGTCAATTATCGATCGACGGTGCTCATCCAAGTACGGGCTCTGCGATATCAGCATCTCCAGGACGGGGCGGTAGTGCTCGATAAGAAGAGTCGCGTTATTAAACGTTACGAGCGCCCGGTCGCGCGCTTCGATGAGGTGTCGACGGTAGAAAGCTACCATGGCTAGTTGGCTAAGAGGCAAGATATTCAAGGCTTGGACCTGGTTTTCAAGCTCGTATGTGCCCAACGGAATTGTGTGTCCCTCATCGAGGGTGAGGGTAGCAAGCAGTTCAGCATTGGAGGTATGCCGGGGATAGGGAGAGGATGAGTCCTCAGGCTGGAAGGTGGCACGGAGGGTGTCGGTGATGTGGTGTTGTTGGAGGCTGGGGTACTGCTGGCAATGTTGTTTTGGGATTTGGGATCGCTGGTAAGGCTGGGAGGGGGCGCCTGGTTTTACACGAGCGATTAGTTCACGTTCAACTTGAAGACTGGTCTACTGTCTCCCGTACTATCATTGTCACAGAGTTGAAACGAACCTCACTTTCCCTTGAATAACTCACGAAGTATGAGGCTCTCACTTCTATAATTTTGCAAGTGTATGCGGCTATTATTTCTCTATGTTACTCTCAATTTTTTGCCACATCGAAGAGGCTGCTGCTACGCCAGACGAAAGCCGGCGAAGGGTGCCTCAAAATCAGGGAGTTGAAATGAGTGTGACATCCCTGAGATCACTCCGCTGTCACATCATTCGCGACTCCGAAGCGAAGGGCGTGACAAAAGTGTGATCGTTTGATGGGAACGAGCTGCAACCCGGTGCAAATGGTCCCTCCTACCTGTCACGCTCGAGTACGTTTGTTCTCCCTCTCCATCGAGTACAGTCGGAGACCTCAAAGGTACTAGACTCAAAACAAAAATACCCTGAATCTGTGTTCCAAGTGTTTTTTCGCTCCTCCGAACTCCTGACCTTTCGAAAAGTACGAATTACGTGAGAATTTTGCGTGTGTCGCAAAAATTCTACCACTGATAACGCATTCTTCCAACCACGGATTTCCCTCTCGTTGTAAAGAATGGACTCAAGTAGTCCCCGCATATACTCACACAAGAATATGCAAGAATTTGGGCCGATAAGAAAGAATCCAAGCCACGATAAGAGGTGTTTCAACTCTATGCACGCGTTTCAACCCCATGACAGTGATAGTAGTCAGACTGACGAATGTGTGTTTAGTAAGGCCCGCCGTTGATGCCATCAATGCGCGGCGCCCAGCGATCGGCCAAACGCGGTACCAGCACCCGGTCACCCCTGTTCGTCAGTGCCAACAGTTCCTCCTACCACCGCCTTGTTGAGAAATGAAACCGATAAAACACAGTTCGAAATGCTTTTTCAACGTGTCGTACGCAACTTGACGCGCCTCACCGTCCTCTTCTCTCTCCAAAGAATCCTCAGGGACACGGTGCCTCTGATCGTGATCGTTCCGACAACAATTGCGACGGGAGGAATTTATTGTCTGCGACGGAGGCAAACGCTCACAAGGGCCGTCGCCTAACAACTTATTTGCACACCCCCACATTCAGCTCCTGTCTGTATCCCGTCCCTCCTTTGGTTTCGACTTCTCTATTCTTCGACTTCGCTGTCGCTGTCGACATTTTCTTTCCTTCTAGGCTCCCTGTCATTCTTTTTATAGCTGACACTACTTCGACGTCTGATTGCCGTCGTGTCGTAGGCTTCCCCACCCCACACTCCTTGACGCGAATCCCGCTGGGTTATCGCGGCGTTTCCCTCCTTTTGGTGGTTTGAAGAAGTTTTGACACGTACCAGTCTCCCTGTACCCTCCAGCTACCGCCAGGCAGCAAACTACGATTCGAGGTATCCGCTGACAAGATAGCGCTCATCGAGGATGCTTCTCCGCACATTTTCAAGGCGCGATGCCTTCCTTATCCTCGTCGGCGCGTCTTCAGTCCAGCTTTGGACAATCCTCCTGCGGTCCTTGACCTTCGAGCCCGAATCCATGAACCAGCTTAACCAGGTGCGTCCTATCGCTCGTCGTCCAGTTGAATGCACCTGACGTCCGTTCGCAGGTCAACCTTCTAAACCAGGTGAACGAGGTCAAGGTTCACCATACGACATCTACTTCCACCGTCCTTACGACTGCTACCTCCACCAAGACCGTCACCACGACCTCCACCGAAGCCCTGACACCACAATCGACACCCATCCTCAACTTTGACGAGGAATGGCACTACCACGACCTCGACAAGTTCCTCTCCTCTTCCTCCGACGGAACTGCACATCCATTCACGATCCACGACGAAACCGACCCGAGCGACCCACTTCCACCATCCCGACTCGTTGCGCATGCGCCTGGCTGGACGCTCATCCGTAACCTCTACATGTCCAACGGTACCCTGTACATCCTCCTTCCCGACGGCGTTAACCCAACTACACCCTCCCTCTCCCCTGACCACCCCGAATACTATGGCCACGGCGGTAAAGATATTTCCTACGGATATACGAGCGCCCCTGGGTGGCCGCAGATCAGGCGAATGACGAGCCCGGGCAAGACGGCGTATGCGACCGCGGAGAGCGAGACTGAGCGCGAACCCTCGGTTTATGATATGCAGTTTGTTGGCATGAAGGAGGGGAGGACACGATGGGGCGGGAGGGTGCTCAAGAAATCGGCGAGTGGAAAGGAGGAAAAGGAAGAGAGGGTATGGGTCGTCAAAGGAAACACAGTACGTTTTATACATCTCCTCTTTAGAATGATGACTTTCAGTCTCATTGATGAATGGACTGGACGGGCGGCTGATGCCATGTGTTTCTACAGCTCCTATTCAACGACCCACCTCAATTCCTTCGACACTACTACCACTTCGTCGCCGAGCTCTTCCTGGGTGTGCAAGCCTTCTGGAGCTCCGCCTTCTCCAAACCCGACAACACCAACCTCGCGAACCATTTTAGCACAGTCTGGGAGTCGTCCCAGGCTGCGTTCCTGTCCTCCTCGCCGTCCACGCCCAATTCACCGATATCCCCGACCTCGAATGCAACCACTGTGCCGCCCATCCACCGAGCGATCTTCATCCATTCCAATTGGGATGGGTGGCGTGATGACCCCGGTTTCAACGCGTATTTCCTCCGTGGCGTCTTCGCCTCTCTGACAGTCGAGCACCAAGAGGACTGGCAGGACCGTGTACGCGCCAGCGCCCTCGGCGTGTCCGACGGATCTACAGGCGAGCGCGTCTGGCGATTCCCTCTCGTCCTATTGACCGACCGCAGTGCTGCCCATCGAGGCGTCGTATGCGGCAGCCGAACCCAACGAACCGCTGCAGAGGCTTGGGACTACATGCGTCGTATGGGCCGGCTAAGGGGTCTCGCCGTAGGAGGTTGGTGGGCGCCTATCCGCGAAGCCATGTGGCGCTTCGCCGGTGTCGATGGGTGGAAAGAAGACGGAGGCGTTATCGACGGCGCACAGGTGATCGAACGGATGGACGAGAAGGCTAAAGATGACATGCGCGTGATCGTCGATCGCACATTGGACGAGATCGAGGAGTACGAGAAGAACTCTTCTCTTTTGGAGGGGGAGAGCGAGAGCTGGGAGGAGAGGAGCCGGCTGTTGGATGTCCGAGACGAGTGGCAGAGCGTGCTGCCGATGCCTGAGGAGGTGGTTATCACCTATATCTCGAGGCAGAGTGCCAGGCATAGGAAACTGTTGAAGGAGGACCATGAAGGACTGGTGAAGGCACTCAAAGCACTCGTTAAGCGCAAGAACGAAGAACGCGGAAGCGACACTCGGTCCTCCAAGCTCCCACCGAAATGGACACTCGACATCCTCGAAGCCGAACATCTCACGAAGGACGCACAGGTACACGCCGCGGCGCGCACGACGTTTATGCTCGGCGTACACGGTAACGGCCTGACTCACCTCGTCTGGATGAAGCCCACCGCCATCTCAACCGTCATTGAATTGTTCTGCCCTGGCGGGTTCTCGCATGATTATCAGTGGACGTCGAGAAGTTTGGGGATCAACCATTGGGCAGTGTGGCATGACGAGATTAAAGGTGGAAAGTTGAGTGGGGAGGGGAAGCCGGATGTTAACTATCCAGAGTGCTTCCAAGGAGATGAGATTCCGGTTGATGGAGAGTTTGTGGCCAGGATGATTGAGGAGAGGGTGGAGGAAGGGGTGAGGCGGGAACGAGAGAGAGAAAGGAGGTAGTGGATGGTTCCATTGCGACCAACCAGAAAAGGTTATTGGGCGAGAAGTCACACTTTGGTTTGGCCGATCGTCCGTTGTACTAACTCACTAACTATATCCATTCTTTCCATCTTCGACCGGCTTCCAAACCCGTAGAGGATAGATTCTTTTTGTAATTTATACTTCACTACTTGTGTTCGTCTGTGACACTACCTTAGTCGTACAGCCGTATCTTCCTGGAGGACTTACTTTATGTGTTGTACGTGTACGTTTAGACTAGTTTTCGAGGTTACTTTCACTGGGTGGATGGATTTAATATTATATTAATTGTTTATTCTGCTACTTCGGTACTGCCACGGTCATTTCAATGTCGAATGGCTCTGACTTAGATTGGTAGCATTGAGGCACTGGGACACCATTTTATCGTACAATTGAATTCCAATCACAAGGACAGGGAATCTGGGATTTACAGGGACGTCGAAGGCGGGAAGGCGTTGGTGTAATGGTGACGCTGTTGATCACCGACTCGAAGTCCAGCGCTGCTCCTAATTGAGGCCCCTGGCAGTTACAGTAAGACCAGGGACGGTGGGACCTGCAGCGAGACCGATAGTGTCGAATGCATGCGGAACGCCCTCGCCGGACAGCTTCAAGCTCTTGACCTTCGAAGACTGGAGGGACATAGAATGTCAACATTGAAAAAGACTCGCTGAAGAGGGAGCATTGGGGTTTACCTTCAAGCCCTTCTCAACAATCATTGTATAGGTCGGCTCGATTACTTTGTGCGTGTTGACGATTGTGGCCTTCAGAGTTATATGGACTTGGCCGGGGAGGATGGTAATCGCATGTACCCTAGAAAGCACGTTGGGAAATTAGCAAGCGCCAGTCTAGTACTCAGAGTGACTACAAACGTGAAACTAATCTGATCTGCCCCCTTGAAAAGCCAGGCATAGTGTGCCTTCAGAGATTCCTTCCCCGCAACGGGCGGATATCCAGGAACTTCGAGGACCCTGTTGTCCTCGTACCACTTGTCGACAAAATCGCTGGTTTGTTTCTCGTAGTGGGCGATCACCTGGTGAAATGGGTCAGGATCACATATCAAAACATGTAGGACAGGATGGTGTACTTCAGCGACCATTGCTTGGTCGTTTCGACGTCGGCTGCGGGAAGGTTTGAAGTGATCTTGAGGTTATCAGTGAGCTTCATGGTAGTCGAGATAGTTGTAGATAACAGCCTGTGGACAGAAAGATAGGAAGGAAAGTTCCTGAGGAGAAATCAGAAATGGCTAGCTCTTTTATATGCTGACTTCTGACGGTGTAATCGGAGTGGGTTACAGTCTCATGGTACGACGGGTTCAGTCATTTGACCTCCCTCCCTTGGTTTGGCTACCACCGAGGCAGTGCTCGACTGAATTAAATCAGGTCACGAGTTGAACGATAATGAATGTGTTTATCAGAAATTTTTCAGCCGCATTGTGGGCGGCAAACCAGAAGTATACTCAAAGTATACTTCAGATAATCCACCGGCGTTCCCTTTACTCCGAACCAAGAGTTCATGAATTAGAGCCGCAATGATGTATAATTCGAATGATTACATGGTTGCGCGATAACCAAGTTTCGTTGCGTTTCTCTGGGCCATCTGCAATGGCAAAACTGGTTACTTTTTCCTGAGACTCGAACGGCAGTTGAACGATTCGGCATTTGGCTGGGTGCGAGGCGCATTCGGATGTCCGGACGCACCCTGCTTCGAAGCATCGTAGTTCCATTGCATCAGGGCTTATTAGAGTCCCGAATCTCATCTCAGGAACTTGAACCACACATCACTAGTTTGGAATAGCAAGCGGGATCCTGCACGAATATACTATGTTGATAGAATACGGCGTTAATATAGTATGCACACCACATCCAAGTCTACACACACGGTCCTTAACTAACAAATGTCCACACTACCAGAAGCTGGTATATCCTAGTCCAGACTCGTACTCCTCGGATGTTCCAAGCTTCAATGTAACTTTTGTTGGATCGAGCTTTTGCTCGAGGCTTAGGTCCTCGGACCGCTCCTCGGGCGACCCTCCAAATACAACAGAGACTTCTTTGAGGGTGGTGTCGCCCGAAGTAGTCCTGCTGAGTATTGTATTCGAAAGCACGCCATCGGTCGAATCGCAACACTCCAAGTTTAGGGTCTTGAGGCGGGGTAGAGGTCGCAAGCTGTCCTTGAAGGCAAGGGCAGTGACGGTAGTGTCTGTGACCTTAGAAAGTAGGGACAGCTCCAAGACTTCGGAGAACATGGGAAGGTTAACGTTGTCCCCCATTTCGTGATCGCTGTGGCCGCCCTCGTAGGATGTGTTGTAACCATACTCGAAATACTTGAGTTTGCACAGCGACCTAGCCCCAAAATCCTTTATTTTTCCCCAGAGAGAGGAAGCCCCATCGGTGCCTCGCTGAGCACGGAGTATCGAGAACCTGAAATCTGTCAGAGAAGGAAGGGCTAGGTAGTCAAGGAACTGGAGATATCGCTCGACATAAGCGAGATGGAGTAAACGGAGTGTTGGCACCGTCACTGTCGTACGGTGTACACTTTCCGAGGGAGATAGAAACATGATATTGACCATGCATTGTTCAATCAATGGACACATTGCCAACATCTTTATGAGGCCTGTGGTGTCGATGGTATCTATGACCACGCTCCGCAAGCTGTTCCATGCTGGACCGGCGACCCATGTGGGCTCGATGGAACACGCTTCGATGCGACACTGGATAAGGACGGGGGATGTGAAGATACATTCGTAGAACCGGCGCTTGAGACCTCTGTCGGGTATCTCGTGTATATACTGGGCATGTTTGAGGTTTGACAGTATGAGGGTCTTCGGGTCGAAAACATCTTCTAAATCTTCGTCCAGAACGGCAAGGTTTATTGACCTCCATCGCGAAGATTCAGCAGCAGCGGACAAAAGGATGTTGTGGAAGGGAGCGCCATCGTTGCTTTCCATGTTCCGTGATAGGGTGAGATCCAACAAGGCCCCTCGAGAGCGCTCAAGCCATTGCTTGAAGATGCCCACATCTCGCGGCAAGGGGTTCCTCACAACGATCGTAGACCATAGCCCGACTGTGGAGAGAGCAACAGCTCTCCACCGTGAGCTGACCCATCCCAGCAGGACGGGACTGTTGGGGCTATTATCGACAGCTTCGATGCGGCCAATTCTCTTCGATGGTCGTGGATCATTGGGTGTGTGCGAAGCTCGAACGTAAAGCGCGAAAATATTGCTGAGAAGCTCGTTGGGAAAAGCATCGATTGTTATCGGCTGGTCTTTTGGAGTCGACATCTGTGTAAGAGTCACTTTGTACATGAGATACTTATCCGGGTTAGAGGGCGATCTAGGATGTGCTTACTGGTTCCCTTTTACCGGCAAAATAGTAAGTACAGAAGTAGCCGTCAGCCTTTAAAATTATTGGTGGTGGCGGTGGTGGTAACGGTGCTTAACTCTGGCGTGAGGCTGGTGCTGATCCCGTCAACCCGGCAGCCAAGCAAGACAAAACATAGTATACATAAAGCGGGAATTAAAGACAGTCTGACAGAGCGTAAATGCTAATCGCGAACATAACCTTCTCCGGGGACATACTCTTCGCATACAGCGAGCTCTAGCTCAATTCTCTGTCCCAGCTTCTGCTCTAAACCCAAGTCCTCCGTGCGCTCTTGCGGGTCGTCTCCTTTTCCAAAATAAGCCTTGACCTTTTTCAGGCGCGAATCCGTGGAGTTCATCCTACTGAGGACCATCTTCGCCAGGGCGCCATCTGTCGTATCACAGGTAGTCAACTCCAAATCTTCGAGGAGAGGCAGGGGTTGCGAAACATCACTGAACGTCAAATTGGCCACGGTGACGTCCGAGATTTTCGAGGTGAGGCAAAGTCGCCGAAGTTTCGAAAAGATGGGTAAGTGGACCTTGGAGCCTATTTCATAAAGACATGATTGATCGTCGGCATAGCCAAATCCGAACGACTCGAGCTGGCACTTCGACCGTTCTACAAAAGCTTCGATTGCTTGCCAGATAGGTGGATTCTTCCTATAAGTATCGGGATAGACGTCGGGTGGGGGAGCGTCCTCGTCGCTTCTCTCCACTGATATCTTGAGGTCGACAAGAGAGGGAAGAATGAGGCGGTCAAGGAATTGGGGATACCGGTGGACCTGTGCGACGTGAAGGGACTGGAGGGTTGGCGCCGTCACAGGCTCAGCGGGAAGCTTGGACGAAAGGAAGATCCACTCCACACGAACTCGTTCTATTGTATGGCAGATTCTCAGCACCTTCAACAAACGAGCGGTGTGAATGGTCTTCAATTCGATATTTCTCAAGGTGTTCCATGCAGGCCCGGTTATCCAGCTGGGATTGAAGCAGCTATCGTCGAGGGAGATGGTTCGAAGAACGGGGGAAGTAAATGCGCGTTCGAAAAGCCGTCTCTTGAATGTATGAAGACCCATGGCCAGGTACTCGAACTCGATGGATTCGAGGTTTGGCAGCGCCAGGGATGTAGTGTAGAACGTCTCTTCCACCACCTTAATGGTAACGGTCCTCCATCTCATGCACTCAGCAACGGCGGCCGAAAGGATGGCTTTGAATGCAGTAGCATCCTCGGAGTACCTGATGGAATCGTGCTTGTCGAAAATGTACCGCGAAAGAGTGAGGCCCAGCAAGGCTTCTCCTGAGCGCTCGATCCAGAGCTTGAAGATTGGCACGTCACGCGGCAACGGGTCTCCCACCACGATTGTAGACCACAGCTTCACGGTGCGCAGAGAAATAGTCCTCCATCTAGAGCTGACCCATCCCAGGAGAATGGGGTTATTCGGGCTGTCAATTTGGGCCTCCACACGAAACTTGGTTCGCTGTGCTGGACGTTGTAATCCCTTTGTCGGATGGCTTCGAACGTAATGTATAAAGATATCGGCCAATATCTCGTCCGGAAGTGATCCAATTGTGCCTGCTGGTGGTTTTTTGGAGATTGTAGGCACGACTGTGGTTATAGTTGTCTCCATCTGTCCTTCCAGCTTTTTAGTCAGTGTTTGGTTTCGCAAGGACGTTTACAGATACACTTACGGGTTGTTTTACTCTGTATATTTGTGCTCTATGTGTGAATTCTCTCGGTCTAGTCGAGCATGGTGCAGTAGTGATACTTCTAGAAAGATCGCTCTCCTAAGGATCCATCGACGGATATCCCCGTGATGAACAGTGATGGCGCAAAAACCTCCGGTTTGCTTCCGTCCTTGTTCTCGTTTTGCCATTCCCTTTGCTCTCCTTCGACTTCACCGAAATGCTACGGATGCTATGGCGACAATGACTGAACCTTCAGAGTACAAGGAATAATCCACAGATTACGAGAAAAATGTAGAGACTTGTTCAGTTTATAGCCAATGCTGCCATGAGAAGAGGACGAATACGGACGTTGAAAACGCGGTATATGGTTCGTTGTGGTTTACATCTCCCTTCTTCTCGCATAAACTTACACTTACCTTTTCTCCTATTCCGGTTTCTGCAAGCAGAACTTTGTAGATAGAACCCATTGCTGTAGAGGTGAGTATCGCGCTCATTTTATCAGCCTCTCGACTATCTCTAACCAGATTTTACTACAGTCTTCATTCAATATTCACGTATAATGCTCCCTCAAACGCTCTGGATAATGCCTCGAATTGTAGACGAAGATGTCGAAATGCATGATGAACCCTCCCCGGCCTCTTGGGTTCCCCACTCCTCCATCTTGAAAGCTGGTCGCCAGTTATCTACCTGGTTCTTCTCCAACCCAGCATGTACCTTCCCAGCACCGCCAGTAATCGGCGCGCAGAACACAGAACGGACAGACTCACCGCACAGTCTCCCTCGCGATGCGCCTGTGGATATGGATATCGACACTGCACCTCCGCCGAAAGTGCATGTCAATTCGCTCCCGGTCGAGATGCTTCGCGAGATATTTTTCCATTACACCCATACCGTCAACTCGCCCCTTCCTGAAGCCGATATCCGCCCTGGCCGACATCGAAAAAGCCTCCTTAAATCGGGAAGAGTTGGCGTCAGGTGGAAGGCATCGACCAATCCAATGACTTTGGGCCACGTTTGCAGTTATTGGCGCGCCCTGGTGCAGTCCATGCCTACACTGTGGACCACCATCTCCGTCACCTCTCCGATGCCGTCTGATGTGTCCTACTTCGCCAAATGGCTGGAGCTTTCCGGAGACATGCCCCTTCGGCTGGTTATTTCCGATAAGACCCCAGGGGGACACCCAGACAGAGGAATTCGTGGTGTGATGCGTCTTGCATTTGCCCACAGCCGCAGATGGAAGGACGTCTCCCTCCACCTTTGCGATGCTATTGGTATGGATTTCTCATCCTTTATCATCCCGGCCACAAGGACCGACTTCCACCTTTTGGAGCACTTCGAGCTGGACATTGCACATGCGACTCCCGAACAGGTAGCAGCGTTGTGTGCCACGGTGTACTCAGCCGCCCCGAAGCTGGAAACTGTCCGCTTCGGCGCGTCGATGGTCGACGTCGATATTTCGTCAATGCCTTGGGGTCGTCTAACCAATGTCGAGCTCAACGTCATCAGTGGATCCCAGATACCCCAGGTTTTAGCAGCAAGCGGAAACCTGCAAAAATTGGCGATACAGCTCATCAGCGGTCCCACTGACTCCCTCTCCGACACCTATACCTTGCCTCTCCTCGAAAGCATCGCATTGGGCAAGGTTGATGATGCAAGCAACATCCTTGCTGCAATCCGAGCCCCTTCCCTTCGTGAGCTTCGCCTGTTGCGCGGCTTTGGTTTATGTCCACCCAGAAATGCCTGGCTCAAAGCCTCTCCGGCGTTGATTCAAGCTGGGTGCAAGTTGGAGTCTTTCTACGTCGCGAACCTTGACATGGAAGAGGGGGAAGACATTCTCATCGACATGCTCCATTGCCCCGCCATGGCCTCTCTTCGAGCGCTTACCATAGCATCTAGGGTTACCGACAAACTCCTTCGGTCCCTTGTCTCAACGCCAACTCATCCAAACACCCTACCACTCCTTGAAGCTCTGACCCTATCTACTGTAACCCCACCTGACGGAGAACTTTCTGCCATGATTCGATCCCGGACGGGTCACAACGGTGCACTACGCTTCGTACATGCTAGTCTATACAAACCTCACCACGCATTGTCCTCGTCGACTCGATTCCCGGGTGTACAGATTACATTGGAACACATGCACTAGATAGATTTAATAATAATGGTCTTCCTGTCTTCGACGCCTGGGTCGGATTCCACGGCACACATGAGTAAGCTCGAAGTTGGGAATCCTTAGGACTTCGGCGCAATGGTGACGAAGCTGAGATACCAGTCCTTCCGAGAGACTGCCTCTCAATTGGAGCGATTGGAGTGAAGTCGATGAAGGAATCAGCTGAACGGCTTGGTTTAAATCCTTCGGATTCCCCTCCCCGAAAAGGCGGAGGGACAGCGTGGCAAGTCGTGGAAAGACAATACGGTCGAAAAGTGGAACGAGAGACGCAGTGGCTGTGAGTGTCAGAGAGCGCAATGTGTGGCTCCCATACGGATATGTCGTGGAGGCTCCCATGGCCAGGATGGGGTCCTTGTCTGTGACTTCACGGACGTCGAGGATTTCGAGATGGGGGCAACCTGAAAGAATCCAGAGTATGTCCTCAACTGCGATATCACAGTCCCTGATCGACAGTCGGGTAGTCATCAGGGGTAGCTCGTTGAGAGTGCCTTTGAGGTTTGAGATCGGGCCGTGCCACCACAATCGCGTCTCCACAACCTCGCTGCTCCTCCGGGGGTGGTGAGCGGACAGATCCATGCCCTCCACCTCAGGCTTCAGAAACCCAAAGGCACCATGGTCCTCCGTCAAGTTGGCTACGACCTCAAGCCGAACCGGAAGATCGGGGTTTCTGAAGACAGTGATGGGGGATGTATCTCGCCGTAGTGCTTGACCCCTTCCTCTGGGCATAACGGGAGGTGGCGGAAGTGGCGCGGATACTGGGGCTTCGACCCTGCGGACAAAGTGTCGGCGAACAGGGTAGCGAAATCGGAAAGGGGGCGTGGAAGGGACAGTGGCGACTGGGTGGCCCTTCTGGCTATCGGTTTCCTCGTCGGCCTCCATCGCGTCGATATCGATGGTGGCATTGAGTACGAAGATGACATCCTGTGGCTCTGGGGCTGGCGTCGACGTCGAGAGACGTGTAAATGGTCGGTAGAGTGCTGAGACCAGAATGCATCCCACAGCGGAAACCACTCGGACGATGAGAGTGAATGGTCTGGCGACGACTAACAAAGACGCGTAGGATAACGTGAAGATTGAAAGGGCGATGCTAGTGACGAATCTTGCAACGAGATGAGGATAGCTGGTAGAGCCATTTTGTAAATGATGTGTGTGTCGAGTTGGAGTGTGCTTTCGAATGGGAAGTCCGTGGGTGTGGATTGGGCGAACACCGCCCTGGAAAGAGACTGATTCCTGTTGTAGCCGGCGCTGGCTTGAGGACGACATTTTCCTGCTGCGAGGGTATGTGGGTCGAAGCTCGAGTGTTACCGATGTAATAGGAAGCCTTTCCGATAGCCTTGAACTGGGATCGTGTCAGTTAGTATAACTAATGAAAGGTAGAGCTGCATGCAACTCACATATGTGGGCGATGAGCCCTCCAGGAGCAGTTGTGCAGTGAATCGAAACCCTTCAAGAGTGGCAAAGGCCCAAGAGTTGGTGGGCGAAAAGAAAGTGGCTTATCATTTCTGCCTCGTTGCCCATATGAGTTCTTTCGAGGTTGCTATGTCTAAGTCCACATGTCGCCGTCTATTGTTTCTTTATTGTCTAGTGGCAGAAGATAGGGCGCTATGTTTCCGAGAGATTGACGGTTGTCTGTTCAAACATTTTGTTAGTTGCTTTTTAAGACGGTGCGTGTCCACTTTCAGTGTGGAATTTCTGTCGCCCTGTCCGAAAGATCGTCGAAGCCTTGAAAGTCCAAGGAAACCCATGGGCGCTCTGTGCTGATGGGTGAGCCGGTTCCGCCGCGTACACATCAGTCGGAAGTCAATTTTTGAATGATGGGAAGTCTCCCGGCCGTCTTGCAGAAACGGTTTCCCATGGTTGAAGCTGCAGTGAGAGCTCAAAAAATACTCTTTTGCATTGGGAAAGTACCTCTTATTACATCGTATGAGAATTCAGCTCATGAGAAAGAAAGTGACAAACACTGAATTCGTTGCTCAGCGCTCAGCTGTTCGGAGTTTCAAACCCACGTTCCTCCAGCGATTGTCAGCAACTGACTCCCGGTGAAAGCTCTCGCCGACCCTCATTTGGATTGTTTCCAAAGGATAGATAGGTGCTTTTACTCGAGGATTGCTAATACAGGAACCCGGACCCTCTGGTAACTTTCTACTACTTCGCTCACCATAGGGCCAAACTGGATGGTACCTGGTTAGACCAGCGAATCACGATAGGGATCGCATTGACATCCCCCTCGCCGGACGCTGGCGGCTAGAAGCGATCTAAGTCGACCGTGAAGCATCAGAATTGAAAACATACTCCAAGCGTACATCGTTTCACGCTGATCTCCAGAGGCTTTTCCACTGAGGCTGCAAGTTTTGGCGAGTCAACTTGCAAGGTGTCAAGGCGCCTCCTCGGGGGCGCAGTCGGAATAGCTTGGTCCATGAAATCCAACCATCATTGGTTGGGCTCACTACTATCAAAGCGCACGAGAGAACGCTCATATAAATAGGTATCCCCCAGTTGCCTGAATATTGGCAAGTGAAACAGTCACCAGAACAGCATACTACCACCAAAAACCCCAAGTCGCCATGTCCGCCACCAACAAGACCACTGTTACTCGCTTTGAAAACTCGGGGCTCCTTGAGCTCCTCAACAAACCGAGCCTCCACGTCCTCCAATACGGCAGTATCTACCTCGGTATGCGACGCATTGAACCGCGTTTGGGAACTTGGGCACTCGTCCTTCGACAGCCAAACTCGCCATCGTCGCTCATCTTCTACATCAGCGCCACCGCCTGTACCCCAGTCGGCGGTGCTGCCGACCAGCCTCCAAGGTACATGTACAGCCTCAAATCCAAGGGCGCTATACTCTCCAAGCTGGCAGTAGTGGACGAGGCGGGGAACGTAGAGAAGGAAATCATCGACCCTGCCGTCCTGGAATTGGCGCCCCACCTCAGCCCTATCCGCTCGGTGTGCGTAACGTACTTTGAGGTGAGGCAGATCCTTGAGATCCATATGGCATTGGAAAAAGCGCTAAAAAACGCAGTTCGTGTTAATACGGAACCGGAGTGGGTTGTCAGCCAGCGCTGGGTTGAGCAAGCGCTCCTTGCGCTGCAAAGTGCGGGGTTCGCCACGTCTATTGTAGAGAGACGTGACCTTAATCGCGCGTTGGGGAAGTTAACAGTCGGAGATGATGTCCTTCTCAACTTCCTCTGACTTAGAACTTGGTAGACTTCGTTGACTCTCTAACTTACTTAGAACTTACTAGACTTTGTTGGCTCGTGGCAAATAGAATGTAATCAGCCTTGACTGGAAATCCAATGTGAAGTTTTGCAATCACAACACACAACATCCAAGTGTACAGATAAGTAAAAGATCCGACCAGAACTCGGTAAGCATGAACCGTACAGTATTCAAGTTATATGTACCTATTAAACTCTTCCTTGGTTATCAAAGCCTGGGCACGAAACGGTAACTCAGGGCGATCCCCACGCGCAGCGACTGGGACAACAGGTCTCGCAACACGTCGACAGGTCGCCTCAGCTGGGTTTGTTTCCCATGTGGCATTCCTACTCGAGGCTTGTTGTTTTGGGCTCTAGGACAATTGACAATTGTGTTTACTGGATTTTTGACCTGGAGCTGGATAACCGGTGGATCACATCACGATCCTGAGTCGACATGCGGCTCGAGGTGGGTACGGTATTCCTCAGCGAGTCACCCACGCGCCATCAAGACTAGATAGCAGTCCTTTCGAAGAAAGTATTACAAGGGTGCTGTGATCTTCGATCCCTACCAATGACACTGTGACAAGGCAACACATCAGCGTGGGGAGCCAAGAGCGTCAAAGCGTCCCCTCGGGCGCTCAATGCAAATTCAAAGGCGCTTTGACCATGAAGTCAAAGCGTCGGTTTTAAGATTCCAAGCCCGCAGTCAAAGCGCTCAATCGCAAGTTCATATAAAATGCGGTAAGAACGACTGGAGTATCGGCAAGTACCACACACCCTCCAGACCGTCACAACTCCCAAAGCCACCACAATGTCCAGCTTCGCCACCATCACTCACATCGAGCACGCAAAGCCTGCTAAGAAAAGCCTCCACCTCCTCCAATACGGGAGTACCCACGTCAGCACGCGCCGCACCGAACCGCGTTTTGGAACCTGGACCCTCGTCATCCGAGAGCGTGGCTCGCCTTTTGCAGTCGTCTTTCACGTCGAGGCTACTGTCTGCACTAAACTCGGGGGGACCACTGTCGACCAACCACCAAGGTACCATTACAAGATGAAAGCCAAAACCCTCAAACTCTCCAAGAAGAGGATAATCGACGCGAACGGAAACCTGAGAATGATGATGGACCCTGAGGCGTTTCAATTGGCTCCCCACCTCACTCCGATCCGCTCGTTCCGGTTGACGTCTTTCGAGGAAGAACAGACTGCGGGTATCTGGGAGGTATTGCCAAAGGCACTGGAAGATGCCGTTCATGTCAATACAGAGCCTGAGTGGACTGTTAGTCAGCGCTGGGTCGAGCATGCCCTCCGCCGCCTGCGAGACGCGGGGTTTGACGTGCCTGCTGTGGAGAGATCTGTGCTTAATCGCGCGTTGGAAAAGTTTAACGTGGTGGGAGGAGATGATAACTATCTTCTTAACTTTTTGAACAATGAATATCGCTAAGTTTGAAGTGTTGCGATTGTAACCTGTAGATTCTGACAATGAAATTGCTCTGTAGTCACAAAGTCCGATCGAGATGCTAGAGTCGAGCCAACCAGGGCTCCGTAAGAGATAAATTTACAGTGAAAGGCTATAATACCAGGGAGCTCTACATACTGGCATGTGGCTTTAGACCAGCGTTGATGGAATGAGCCGCTCAAAATTCCCTATGCCTAGATCTGAACTCTTTCTTCAAGGTGAGCAAGGGCCGTGGTACCAAACGCCCACTAGCATCCAAACCTCGCGCAGAGACCGGAATACCAGGTCTCGCAACGGAAGCATGAAACGCAGGCTTCACCATCGACTTCCTCCTCCTATCATGATGCCGCCCGCCTGGGGAATTCGAAGTTTGACGCGCGACAAGGTAGTCCTCGAGTGCGTCGAGGAACTGGCGTGCACTGATTGGCTGGTCATCAACTCGCCCTTGTGTCTGTACGCTTCCAGCCTGGGCCCCGCTGTCCTATAGAGGAAGGAACAGGTAAGTTGTGCGGCAAGCAGATAGAGAGGACAGAATTCATAATTACCTTTGCGCCGAAAGCGGGCTTGACAATAGACTTCTTCGGCTTCACGGACTTCCTCCCGCCTCGAGCTTTGGTAGGTTTCTTAGGCCCACTATGCGGTTTACTACCACCCTTAGGCCCACCCTTAACCCCGCCCCTCTTAATCTTAAATTGCAGATTATCATACGCATTCCTAACAGAATCCACAGCGCCCTTTGGCTGATGGTGATCGTTCACCCACTCTTGCTGTTGATGATGATCGGGAGCCCACTCTTGTTCTTGTTGAGGGGAATGGTTCTGCCATGAAGGTCGAGAGTCGGGCGCTGCTTCTTTGGTGTGTCCAGCGGCTTGACCGACTCCTTTTGAGTCGTTCTATGTAGCAGAAAGGTAATTTCGTTATGAATCGAGAAGACTGACAGACAGAAGGAATAGGAATAGATTTTACCTGATGGTGACCGTTGACCAGCAACGGAGAGATCATCGAGACGAGGATAAGAGGGAAGATAGCGAGAAGCTTCATCGTTTGTAAATTATATTAGCGATCAACGCAGAAGAGAATATGGATGAGAGTAAGAGGTCGTGTACTGAGCGATACCAGCCACCCCAACTACACCTTTATACCCTTTGAACACCTCTGTACTGTGGACGAGCTCCCCTCGATCCATCATCCGACTCGGATCCTCAGAACAGCAGGAGATGTTCGTCTCCGTGCAGTCGCCTGCACGTACCTACTTAATCTCTACGACAGTCAGATAAATTAGACAAATCAAAAATGTCAGTAAGTATCACGCTGGAAATACTTGGCTTATGCACTGCACCAGGTCTCGTAGTAGCGTTCACAAGATATTAAGTTGGAGGACCCAGGCCTTGTGATGAGGCACTGTACTCCCCTCGAGAGACATCTAGTAGCACCTTCACTCACGGCACCGCTCGTAAAAGACCAACAACTTCGAATTCGTGCCTCGCTTCGAATTCTTCCGCCAGTCCAACTTCCAACTAACCGCCGACTTCCCAGCGATGTACAAAGACGATGTAAGGTCAGAAGACTCAATTCTTTACGGCAAAGTATGGCCGAGAACCAGGAAGCCATGGTTCCGAACGTAACCAAGGCGCCAACAACAAGGGTACACCCACAGTCAACCAGTCTTCGTTCCAATCGCTGCGCAGCGCCTTGAGCGCAATCGTTAAGGGGTATCCAGACAACAATCACATAGATTCTCAGACCTCAGAAAGGCCTACCTAATTGAAACTTGAATGTATGCTACCAATACTACTACTTAATGGTTAATAACTGTAAGCTTGGAGAATAAACAACATAAAAAATTGTGTCAATGTTACAGAAAATATGGGGTGTTCGAGTGCGATGTATATGGTTCTTGAGCCTGAGTGAGAGAGATAAAACGAGGAAGAAGTAACAGTGCGATGGGGTTATATGTGTATGTGGACGAGCGAAAGAGATGATGTTGATGACGAACGATAGTAGACGTGATAATAACTGATTGCGACGAACGGAGATGGGAGAAAGAACGGATGGGATGATCATGAGTCAAGGAGCGAAGATGCATGGAACCTAAGATTCGTGTAACTAAGAAGAGAACGCACGTATGTAAAATAACCAAGCGAGTCCCAGCAGAGAAATCGTAACCAAAGATTGGTTCGCAGATCGTTCGCCTCGCTCATCTTCTGGCAACCCGTTTCCGCTCTCGGCCGTCTTCTTCAATGTCCATGGCTTCCGAAGGCGTAGGGATCACGTTGACGTTCTGGTTCTGGGCTTGCGCGAGATTACGAGAACTCCTTGTCCTCCGACGATGAGGGAAGGTAGATCCAGAGTGGTTGAGGGGGTTGCTTCCGAGTGAGCCGGCGTTGGAGCTGGGTGAGGACACGGTGGACCCCGCGCTGACGACAGGGGACGCCGAATCCATCATCATCATGACATGACGGCGCTTGGCACCGACGAGGGGTGCGTCGGGGAAGGGTGTGGAGTTGGCGGAGGGGGAACCGAGTGTCTCAGTGAAGTTGAAGGCGGAAGGAATGATGTTGGCAGTCTGCGCGTTGAGCGGGGTGAGGGGGTCGACCTTGGCTGGTGTTTTGTGCTTGGATGAACGGAGCTGGTTAGGTCGGAGTACGGTGGATGGCGGCGGGGAAGGCGATGACGGCTCTGGCGGTGTGCCGTTGGTTTGTGTTATGGGTGAGCTAGGTGTGGGTAGAGATGATGTTTGCTACGGGGTATTTAGAACATTGAATACCGATAATAAAGCAAGATATTGACTTACGGGAATCTTGAGGGAACTGGGCCCAGGCACAGCAGGTTTGCGGGCGGGTGCTGTTGTGTGTGGTCTGCGCTCCTTCTCCTCGTCCTCGTCGTCGTCGTCCTCCAGCGCCTTGATGGCCTCCAGCCGCGCCTCTATCCAGTCCATGACCCTCCCAATCGTCATCCCTCCACCGTCGACAGCGCTCGACGGCCCTGCCACGGTCGGTTCCACGCTCTCCGCAGACACCCCTTGCTGGATGAAATTCAGCAAATCCTGACACGCAGTCGCATAGCCAGTGTTATAAGCCCGTTTAGCGCTCTTCCTCGAAGAACGATAAAGGGTGGTGATGCTCAAAGCAGCAGCTAGAATAAAGGAGAAGTCAGAACTTGAAAAGATCTCCTGATAAGCCGGAAAAAAGGTGGATGATTACCTTTGAAGTTATTCAATAGTTCTTTCTCTGCATTCTGTTGTCCTGCCGGTAGTGAGTTTGCTAGAGTGTTGAGATTGAGAGATTCCATTGAAGGAATAAGGGCAAAGGCCGAGTCACGACGGTCAGAGAGAAAGGCTCACACTCCCACACGGAGGAATGTGTTCATGATTGATTATATAATATCATACACGTGCTGCCAAGCACCGAGTCGGACACCCAGATAACCAAGTCATATTCACAACTGAGGGTGGACAGAAACTGCATAGATAGGTAGATAGATTGGATAAATAGCTAAGAGGGATGATGAGAGAGCAGGATGTACCATCTTCACCAGATCAAGGCTGAAAGTGACGTCAGGTACTGTCAGATCACCCAAAAAGGAAGTACTCACAGCAGGAGCGAGGGAGGGGAGAGGGCCTGAGGCGGTAGCAATTTCAGGGAAAGGCTCGCTCGGGCACTATAGCGCTTCATCAACACCTGTTAACTGCAAGAAACCGACTGGAAACTTACCGAAACCTCAATATCATCGACAGTAAGGCCACCAGGGATAACAGGAGCAGCGTTGTTGGACACAGCAGAAGGAATAACGTCAGAGCAATCGGTGAGGGCGTTCCTGTCGAAGCCGAGAACAGACATCTTGGCCATGGCGGCGCGGTATCGCTGGCCCATAACTTCATTGCTGCCTGTCGGTCACAAAAATTAGAATTTTGGCCAGGCTAGACGGACCAAAGGAGAGGGAACTGACTGGTCATGGATTGCCATCGGCAGGCGGTTCGGGAGTCGCGAGCCAATAGAGCATCGGACCTCATGCGGAATTCGCCAGGGAAGGGGGAGAGCTCCTCTGCAAAGCCGAGAGAAGGGCCAGGCTGAGTGGTACCCTTGAGCAAGGTCTGCATGACATTCATGAGTTTGAGAAATTCGTGGATTACATAAACACCCGACGCACCTCAATGTAGAACTGGGTATCGAAAACTTGAGGGGTCGAGTCCAAAGGAGACCTCTATTTCAGTGTTAACACCAATTCATAACAACGCACACAAGAAAACGTACGAAGATAGCCGAGTTCAAACCCTCCTGAGAAGCCAAACTATGCGCAGCAAGCAAGTCAACGACTTCATCAGGGCTGAAGCCTGCATCGCCCATACGATCCAAGATGGCAGTGACAATGTTTCCGGGACCGGGGATCAACGAAGGAGGGGAGGGTTGGGAACTGTTGCTCCTGCCCGTCAAGAACTCAAGTCGGGGAGAGCCAGGGCAGTTGGACATGCCGACGGCAGTGGCGAATTGGATGCTACAGTGATAGAGCAGATGAAGTGTCAGAACTCTGTCATTGTGAAAGTGATGAGAGGGTTCCCTTACAGATCGCCGAAAGAGACACCGTGGTTGATACCGACCGCGCGGAGGGCTTCGATGGTGTCGGTGAGGCCGCCATTAGCCGCTGTAATCGAGGGGCCAAGTAGTCAACATCCGCCAGGTCTAAAGCTCAAGACACCAAAACGACTTACGGAAGGCCAATTCGATGTTCGAATGCGCAATGATGGAGCCATCTACAAGTTCGTTCCAATTGAGTCTCTCGGATAACCTCGTGGGACTGCCAGTGCAAGATGCCTACCAGCTCCTCCACCACTATAAATAGACCACCGTAATCAGAACGGACCGTTCAAGTTCAGGAACAGACGCGAAGTATACGCACCCGAATTGACCAGCAGCAGTCAACGCCGGCGAAAATCCGATCGCGTCATGGAAAACAATCTTTAGAACACCCGTCATCAGAAAAGCGAACTAATGATAGAACATAGAACTCGAAAGACCCACTCTAAGAATCTACAAATTCGCGGGTTAGGATATCGGAACGGTGTAAAATAGGAATGATGCTCCACGTACCTTGCGAACAGGGCTCTCTGCACGTTTGAGAACGAAGGAGATGATCAGTAAAGACATCCGAGATCAGTCAAACGCGTGGAGCGAATGTCCTTACCACACTTGGACCCTTGGTAGCTATAATTAGAAAGGTGACAGTCGCGTCGGTGAGAATGCGGAAAAGGATTGTTCGGAGAGAAGGAACATACAAGTTGGTCTGAAGATCGTCTAGAACGTCGAACCAGACGCAGCACTGTGGAGATAGAAGATTGGTATTAGAGCTCCTGTCCGAGTCGGCTGATCCAGAGGACGGTCGAGGGGCTTACCTGGCTGTTCGAAGTGGACTGTCCACCGGGGCAAGTGACTGACCCGCCTCCTCCAGGACCCTGGGGGAGAGCGAGGGCACCGATGATGACAGCAGCGAAGGTGGACAAAAGCGAGAGCTTCATAGTTGTCGTTCTTGACGTCGGAAACAGCGTTCAAATACAAAATGGAAGAGGACTAGTAGTAGAACAGGTGGGTTTTGAGTGGAGACGATTAGAAGTAAAACAAGTGGTTCTGTTCTGCTTTCCACTCTCCTCAAAACATAGCGCTTTTATATGTTCTCTGGATTCCCATTTCCGGTGCATGGAGGGCAGGAATCACCGCTAAACTTCGAGCTCCTCGGAAAACCCTGATCGCAAGAGCGAACATAACAGCATCGATTTGTCGATAACGTACCCTTTTCAGGTGGGTACCTTGCCGTTACTTTACACCATCTCCTACCTTCAAGTCATAACTTGAGATTTAGACTTGAGTAAAGGTTATTAGTACTTACCGTTATTCTATGTATTCACATCATTGTACGACTGACGGTCCGTGCGTAGGCTTGCCACTTTGAAGGAATATGACAGCCTTAGTACTCAAAAAGTCGAACGTTAGCCCTAGTTCACGGAACTGGAACGAAAGGACGCAGTTAAAACGCCAGCGCTTATTTTTACACCGTGACCCCAAATCGCACTAACGGCATACGCGCACATCCATGTGCACCCTCGTTTACTTGGTTCAACCCTTCGATCATGTTTCACAGGGGTGGAGATCCAGAGCCGTCGGAAACCATTTCCACAACGCTCAGTCGGGCAGAAGCCTCAGGGGTTCGAGGTGACGCGGACGGCGCATACTTGCCGGTCCCCGACTCGGGGATTTAGACGTCCCCTTCGAAGACCGCCGGTTTGGGCAAAATGCAACGTGGTATCACTGCTAAGTGAGGTATGGTCTCCAAGACAGCTTTGAGCTTGACCTTCAAACCTTCACGACCAAGGTTGGACCATGCACAGCTCTTGTTTCGAGGAGGGCGAGTTGGGCGAGCGCTTGATCCAACCCGCCTCGAGGAGACCGCTTTGTGAGATAATTCCTCTGAGGTCAGATGGTAGATACTACGTTATCGAGTGCTTCTTTCGAGATACTCATCATATTTTGCAGTCCGCTTGTTTCTCGGGCTTCTATGTGCCGGTGAAGATAGCCATATCCCACATTCGGATATCTTTGGAAAGAAATTAGGGTAGGCTAATCCCAGTGAGACCCAACCTCATCCGTTTGGGCAATCTGTAAGGAGGATGTCTAGTGGGACTCCTAACCGGCTCCCAACATCCGACCGCCACAAGGGCTCACGCAAACCAAACCCCATATAGTTCGAACTTACCTCTTCGAGGCTGCGCAACATGAGACCACATCACCACCAAATACATGTCAAAGTCCTTGTCTTCAGGAAGTGGACGTTATCTCCCCACAAGTGGAGACTGGGAAAGAGCTGTAAACATCAGAAACACCACGGGCAAAAGGATGTATGATTTGGTAGGGCTTTATGTTATCTCTTTCTCTGTGCGCGTAGGGATGATCACTGGCAGTGTTTTAGAAAAAGATTGATTGTGATTGGTTTACTCGGGATACCGGACTGTGACTCGGACTTATTAGCAGTCAAGTTGTTCAGGAGTCTGAATCGCTCTTGTATGTAGTATGTCAGATGGCTGCGTTGAGTATATTCGAATGCGAAGGATGCCCACCGAGAATAACCAGGGGCCGGAGGAAGGTAAGAAGGTACGCAGATCCCACAGGGACGAAATAAATAGAAGGAAGCACTAAACGTTTCTCAGGTACCAAACCAGTGGAGCACTCATTAACAAAGCGCCCATGGCTTCTCCCAGCGTCCCTTGGAGCTACCCGTGTCAGCCCCTGTCCGAAGCCCTCACGAAATCCCATTGCATGCATTTACCTCACCTCGAACAATGACACGACCTCTTGACAAAAAAAAATCCCGTCAATTGGCTAACCTGTTAGCTGACTCCAGGCTGAGGCTGCGCATGTTCATGTCATTTATTATACCGGCTTGTAGAGCCCATTGATAACCATCGACATCCGACATCTAGCCAACAACAGCAGCGACAACAACGACGTATTCGACTCCAATGCCGTAGGGTACCTATGCTTCTTTGTTTGATCTCCTGTTCGGTCTTAATTTGTTGTCCAAAACCTTGGATCCCGTCATCCGGTACTTGACTCCCTGCTTTACCGTGATCCCTTGAAGCCGGTATGGTTGTCCGTACGGTGTTATCGGTATGGTTATATCCCATCGAATCAGCTTGAACGGTGACTTCTAATAAGCGAGTCTATCGCTCGGAGATAACATTCCAGACTTCGTAATGATACTGCTGAATGGAAGCTCTCCAAAGTCGGCGCCTATCATGCTAGTTAGAGTTTGTGGACCGCTTACTTCGATATGAAAAGGGAAGCGGAAAGAAGGATTCACCCTTCTTCTTGTCACAAGTCAGTTATTTCTGTATCTTCGGCAGGCACAGCGCTAGATGAGCCCATGTCACAAAAATCGAATCGACCGTGAATTCATGAATCAGAGGACAGTAGTGAGCAGGTATCGCTCGCCCAACCTCCACCCATCCCAAGGCGGGCTCGTCTCCCCTATTCATAAGTTACCTTTCCCCTTCGGCATACGACACACTGTAACCTTCACAACAGAAAGCTAACCACACCCTTCAAATAAGCTTTTACGCAATACCGCAACCCCGGTTCAGGCGTGCACCAACTGTCTTCAAGGTCCGACGGGAAAGCTCGAGCGCTGGACGACTAATGACCTGACTCCCTGCCGGAGACCGATGGAGGGACGCGTAATTTCGTGCCGCGGGTTGAATCGCCTAATTGTGGACTTGCAAGAGCGATGGAGCTACTACTTAGCACTCGCGCCGGGGCATACGCGTAGTATGGAAAACACAGAGTTCATCCCCATTCCTTCCTTCCTTTCTTGTCCATCTCTGAATTTGAATTTTGAAGTCAGGACCACGCAGCCTACGCGCCCCACCCCTCAGGCCAAGTTAGTGCCCACGACGACCAGAACCCTCACCTCAAAAACCACACCGAACGCAGAAACCAGGGTCAATGATTACTCTATCAATACACAGCGCATCTCTACCACAACCCCTCTACAAATACCACCCCGCCTTCACCTTCCTCCTCCCCACAACAGGCCTAACAACCAAAATCCCACCCACCAATCCACAAATCGTAACAACCAACTGCGCTTTATTGAAACTCTCACTCAGGACGTCAAACGTACCCGAGGGACTGACGCGCGTGAGGAAGAGGTCGAGGGAGCCGTAGCTGAAGACGAGAGAGGTGGATTCGAGGAGGGAGGGCGTGGTCAGGATGTGCTGGGTGCCTGCGATCTGGTTGGGAGGTGGACGGTTAGTTTGTTGTTAGAGTGTTGAGAGGGTGCCAGAGGGTTAAAGGGATGGGGGAAGAGGCGAGGGAAAAGGAGCAAGAATGAATACACACCTGATAATAATGCGAAATAACACGCTTAGGATCATCAGGAACCACAGGATCATACTGTATCAACCCCTCCTCCATTTCCTCCGATGTAGGCTTCCTATGCGGTCTCCTCGGGTCCAAGTACCGACGAGGGAAGGACTGCAATTTGTTGTTCTTCGTGGCGACTGGAGCGAAGAATTTAATTGAATGGAGGCAGCAACATCAGCCCGAGTGAGGGAAAAGATTGTCAGAGTGAGCAAAGGATTGTCAGATCGAGTAAAAGAGGAAAGGGAGAAAGAAAAACGGAACGCACAAATCATATCTTTACTCGTAATCCCAAACTTGGTCATCGTAGGCGCCATAGCAGTAATCCCGTGCGGGAACACAAACGATTCTTCATACACCGTCAAATCGAGCGTCGCATTTGAGTAGGCGGACATATCCGAGCTGTCATAGCGGAACGAGTTGGTTAGACTTGAACCAATAAATATTCAGAAGGAACGAGCAGACTCACCTCCTAGTCTTCTCATCAACCCCACCGCCTTCATAAAACTCCACCGAAACAACCCTCCATCCCTTACTCCCCAACCCATCTTCCGCACCCTCGTAGTAATGCCACACCAACCAATTCTCCGTCAAACTCGCATGCAGATCGCAGACGTCGTCGTAGGACGCGACCTCGCGGTGGTAAATTACGCTGCCTTTGGTGGCGTCGAGGACGCGGATTGCGCATTTGCCGGTTGATTTTTTGGGGGTGTTTGTGCCGTTTTGGTTGTCGGTGGTCGATCCTCCTTCCTCCGTAGCGTCCTCCACACCACCTGCGATGGATGCACCCGAATGCGTCCTCGAAACAACAACAAACAACCGCGGATTCAAATACTTGTACAACGTCGTCCTATTACCCAGGACCTTCCCAAGTGAAGCGACAGGCCCGTTCGTCGAAGGCGGGAACATCTTCTGGACCTCCTCGCCCTCTTGGAGGGGGAGTGTCCACGCCTCGTAGGCCCTCGGTTTATCAGACACTGCGGAGGAAAGCGTGAATTGGTACCCGGAAACCCGATGTCCGCCGGTAGGGCTGGCGACTTTCATCGGGAAGGAGAGTTGTTTATGGATAGAGGCGAAGGAAGTGGTGGAGGATGGTGTTGGAGGGTATAAGTGCGCCTAGGTGAGTCGGTAGTCAGTTACTCGGAATCAAGAAGAAGATTTGGAATCGAGGAGATGTGAGAATGGAGCGAGGAGATGAATGTGGAGGAGATGTGGAGAACAAATTCATCCCATCTCAACTCAACCTCCCAAAAAAGAATACAAAAACCCAAGAAACCCACCTGCATGAACTCGTCCAAAACAACCACACTCCGCCCATCCGGGAGGAGGAACGACTCCGTATACGGTCCTTCGACCAATTCGATGCCTTCGAGGAAGCCGGGTGCCGCAGGGCGCCTTGTCTCTTCGTTGTTTTCGCTATTGTCAGAGGAAGATAAGGGGACTGAGACGTCCTCCCCCGTTAGAGCGTTAAAGTGGTATATCATCGTCGTAGCTTGGCCCTGTAAAAAAATAAAAAGTGAAAGGTAAAAAGAAAGGATTGAATCGTTCGTGAGTAAGTTATTCGAGGTAAAGAGAAGAGGAGGGGAGACGTACGTTCGAAGCTCGTCGCTCAGCTACCAACACCACCTCCGCTCTAACCTTATCCTTGCCCTCCTCTACACCCTCCCCAACCACAACATCATTAACACCCCTAACAACCCACACCTTCCTCGCACTCACACTGCCGCCCATCCAAAACGCGCTCCCAAGCCCTAGTGTCCTCGTCCATACAATCTCGCCGTTGCTAGAATCCAGAGCGTAGATTTTGCCGGGGGCGGTGAATGTTAGGAGGATTTGGCGGAAGGAGAAGGGGTCGCGGAAGAGAGGTGTTGTTTGGGGTGTCGTTGTCATTGTTGTGTTGGTGTTCGTGTTAGTGGTTGCAGCTTCCGCGTCAAGTGGGATGGAAGAACCAGGTATGACCACCGCAGCAGACGTCGCACTCGCATAATCACCAGTAACAAACCGCCTCACGAAATTCACTATATACCGCGGCAAGTCCCGCGCTTCGACGGCGTGTCTCAACAGTCTTCCTGTGAATCCTTCGGATTTGGTGAAGTCGGCGGTGGTGGAGATGACGAGGGGTTCGGGGAGTTCGACGAAGGTGGCGAGGGTGGTGGTGGCGAGGGCTTCGTGCCGGGTCCAGTGGTGGTTTAGAGCGTCGGGGGTGGATGGGGATTTGGAGTCTGATGTGGTTAAGGAGGGTGAGCCGAAGAGTTGGACGGCGCCTGAACTTGCTGTCGTAAGCAGGTGCGGGGCACCGGAGGACGGGAGCGTGAAAGCGATGTGGTCGAGGATGCCCTCGTTGTTAGTGTCGAAGGGGACGGTGTAGGTCTGTGTTTGGTCAGTCGTCGACGAGGCGTTTACGACGTCCAGTACAATCGTCTACGACCAACACCCCTAAGTCAAAACCTATCAAGAAAGATAGAGGGAGAGAAACGCACGTTAAGATCCTGCGACCAATGCGTCCGCGCAACGTATGGTCGTCCTTGGTCGTCCACTCCGCCGTTAAACAGCACACCCAGCCTCTTCGAGTCGAATTCGTATAGGGACGAGGCGGTTGTTCCGTCTTGGGATACCTGGAGGAGGCGCGAGCTGCCGTCTGGTAGTTGAGCCAGAACCTGCCCGTGGTTCGTCAATCCCAGATCGAGGAGGTACATCAACTTCTCCGCAGTCTTCACGTCATGTGGTTTATTCGAGAGCGTGGAGTCGAGGACGAGGGATTTCAAAGATGTGTTTTCGACCCATACGAGGACAGGTTCGGTTGTTTTGTGGGCATCGTAGAAGGTGAAGACGTCGGTGAGGGTGTTGGTTATCCCCGAGGGTATTTCGCGGTCGTGCAGGAGTTGGCCGGTGGATGCGGAGAGGACGACGACGTTCAAAGAGAGAGAAGCGACACCTTTCGTAGCTCCCACTACATAGACTACGTCTTTCCGTGCTACGACCTTCAAGAACATCGTCTTACTTCCCTGGTCAGGCGAGTACCATGTCCACAGTGTCGACCCGGTGTTTCCTTCGAGGAAGGAGACGGTGTGGCCGTTGGAGAGGACGTAGAGGCCTTGAGAGTCTGAGCTGAATGCGATGGACTTTCCGAGGGAAGGTGGGTGGACGAGGAGGCCGTCCTGGGGAGCGTGGAGGGAGCGTTCGATGAGGAGGGCGCCGGTTGCGGTGTCGAATTTGCGGAGGGTTGAGCCGCCTGGGCCGGAGAGTGTTACAACGACTGGGGGACAGGGGTTAGATTTATAAAATAGCCTTGCGGAGGGATGGGGCACCTCGTCTGTTTGGATAAAACCCGATAATTGGATCGTCCGCTTCGAATATATATCTCCAAGCTACTCATATCAGCACAAACTCGACTCTTGACGAACGAAGAGTACACACCAACAGACCCGTCCCTCACATTCAGCCCCGCCAAAACATTACTCCCCGTAGCAGTCACCACGACATCCTTGAGTACAAACGTCGGCGCTGTAACCGGGGAGAGCGTCACGGGGACACCAACGAGCTCCTTGCGCCAGTCGATGACGCCCACGTCTGACTCATGTAGGGCAAGGCTGGATATGGATAGCGCGCATAGAAGCCAGAACCACGCGAGTAGACGCATAAGAAGGGAACGACGTTGTGGGGAGAACGACGAGAGAGGGATGGGCGTGACGCTGACGAGGTAGGAGCCTTTTTGGGAAGGTTGTTCCCGCCGGGATCAATCAATTGTCGCTGTCCTCCTCTTATCTCTCTCTCTCCTCATTCCACCAAGATGCCGTTCACACCAGACGAATGGATAGAACAACTCCGCCAATGCCAGCACCTCTCCGAAAATGACATGACCATCCTCTGCGACAGAGTCAAAAGCATCCTCCTCGAGGAATCCAACATCCAGCCTGTCTCCAGTCCAGTCACCATATGCGGGGACATCCACGGCCAGTTTTGGGATCTCATTGAGTTGTTGAGGAAGGGTGGAGAGGTTCCGGAGACGAGTTATATCTTTATGGCACGTAGGTTTTTGGTTTGCGTTGAGTTGGTGAGGGGTGTGTTGACTCGATTCGGCTGTGCTTCTTGGGCTGCGGTGGTGGTTTCGACGTGCGTGTGGATTGGCTGGGTGGGTTGGGATTGCAGGGCGATTTTGTGGATAGAGGGCACTACAGTTTAGAAACTGTCTCCCTGCTATTCGTTCTCAAAGCCAGGTTGGTGCGCACTCCCCTCCCTTCCCAGACTCAACCACCTAAATTGGGATGGATGCATAAACCCGAACAGATACCCAGATCGCGTTACCCTACTACGAGGAAACCACGAGAGTCGGCAGATTACGCAGGTTTATGGGTTCTATGGTGTGTCTACTCTTCCTCGTTCGCTTGGGCTCGGGTCTGAGCGTACGAACTAGATGAATGTCAGCAAAAGTATGGCAGTGGGACGGTGTGGAAGGCGTGTTGTAGCGTTTTTGATTTTCTGAGTATCGCAGCGGTGCGCGGACTCTTTTCTTCCTCGTCTATGGCCTTCGCCTGACCTCAGATTCCAATGCCCATCTCATCCAACCACCAATGCCCACACCACTGCGCGACCCACAGATCATAGACGGCTCAACATTCTGCGTCCACGGGGGTCTCTCGCCCGACATCCGCACCCTCGACCAAATCAGAGTCCTGTCCCGCTCGCAAGAGATCCCGCATGAAGGCGCATTCTGCGGTACGTCCCGCCTTGATTGGTGATAGGGAGTGTATGGCGACTGATATACCCTCTCCGATTGCTCTGTCGTTCCTGTCTCTTTTATCCTCGATCTGCCGCCCATCCTCAATCCACCTCGCGTCCACATCCCACTTCACATTATCTTTCAACGTCGCCTATCCCCACTCCAACCTCCTTTACCTCAACCCCCTCCAACCAAACGTGAACCCGACATGTACAGACCTGATGTGGTCAGACCCGGACGATATCGAGTCGTGGGCTGTCAGTCCACGCGGGGCGGGGTGGTTATTCGGGGGGAGTATTGCGCAGGAGGTGCGTCCTATCCCTACTCCTACCCCTATTTCTTCTTCCTCTCTCGCCCTGTGCCTCCTATATTCCTTCGCCTGCCTTTTCCTGCCTTCTTCCTCCCTTTCTTCCTTCCACCGCCTCTCTTCCCAAAGTCCCTCTCCTTTCCTTCCCTCCTTCAATCCCACCACCCCCTCCCTTGAAACGCTAACCACGGACGCCACACTAACCCAACCTTACCTTCAACACAGTTCAACCACATAAACAACCTCTCCATCATCGCCCGCGCACACCAACTCGTCCAAGAAGGCTACAAATACATGTTTGACGAGCAACTTGTTACTGTGTGGTCTGCGCCTAATTATTGCTATCGGTGAGGGTTCTCAAGTTGTCTTGTCTTTTTTTGACCTCGTGTTCTACTACCATTGTCGAGATCATTGCATTCTGTCACCATGGTGGCATTCTACCACTATCATTCGCATTCTGTCACCGCATCGCATTCCACTGCCATCCCATCCTACCACCATCGTCATCGCATTCTGCCCCAAGACGGATTACTGACCACGATTTTCCCTATTTTCAGATGCGGCAATATGGCAGCGATAATGACAGTACACGAGGACGGGGGGAGGTCGTTCAAGGTGTACGATGCGGCGGAGGAGAACGAGAGGGATAAAGGTGGTAGGAGGATCGTGAGTGTCGTTTTCTTTCTTTTTTGTTATTTTCTTTGTTTGTTCTTTTTTCTGTTTGTTCTTTTTTCTGTTTTTGGGTGTGTAGTCGTTTGCGAGGGGGTTGGAGTTTTCAAAAGGGATTGGATTTGAGGGAATTTGGATTTGGATTTCTTGGTGGACGTTTTGAGTTTTTGGGTGTTTGAGTTTTGGATTTCTTGGTGGACGTTTGAGATTTGTTTTGGGCGTTTTAGCTTGAATTTTCCTTGCTGCATCTGAGAACGAGGGGCTGACCACTTCGCGCCTTTCTTCTTAACAGACGAATATGCCGTACTTTGTATAATATAATTATAATACCCGGTTATGACTTTACGACGATCGTGACTCGGACTGCGTTTTGACGACGCGACTACGTTCAGTTTTCGGCTACGGGTTGCCTCTTTCTTGGGAGACTCAGAGGCTAGGTATGTAGGCGAATTGCTGAACCAGACGCTGACCATTTGGATTTCGCGTTATAAAAAGATGCAGGCGGTGGGATGGGATTTGAAGGGTAGGACCCTTGCCGTCCTTGTGGCCTCGACTTACCTCGAGCGATTTTTTGACCCATTTTGATGTGTTATGGAATCTCTCTCTCCTCTCCTCCAGCTTTAGCTTCATCTCAGTATGACAAAGGCAAAACCCTCTGGACGTCACAGCATTTGGGCCCTGTGGAATGTACACGAGGGTCTACACCTCGGATTGGAAGCTTCTCTTCTCTCCCTTGCCGGTCGGCGTACCACTTTTCTGTAATCCCATATCCCACTATCGTCTTTAATCCCACTATCGTCTTTAATCCCACTATCGTCTTAATCCCACTATCGCTGGTATGTGGTCTTTCCTTCTCTCCTCTCTCTCAACGAACGACTGCGACTACCAGGAACTACTAACTAGTACGAGGATGGGATTGCAAAACGCGGGTCCCAGTGGCAAATTCATGCATCCATTCATCTTTACACCCAGACTTTCTTGAAACGGGGCGGCGTGCTCTAGATAAGCAGCTTCAAGTTGCACGTTCGTTGTTCGTTAGTACGCGTTGTGTATATACATGCCAGTGCTTATTACGCACGCGGGTAATCCCTACTGCCATACGCAAAGGTAACCGCAGTCAGTTAAGCGCCCACTGGCACGGGAATTGCCGAGGGTTGAGTAACACCCCTATCTCGAGCAGTGTCAGGGTTTGCTGGCATTCTCAGGCTGAACGTGCCCCCACATAGTTATCCTCGGGGACCTCAGCTCTATCCCACTCGCTCGACCGGGAAGGATGTGGCCAGGACAAAACAATGTCGACAATTCGGTGAGCCGATTCATTTTTGGCAGAACTTCGAATGGACGATACCAATGAATATTGAATACTCACGTCCGATGGTGCATTCGTTGTTCAAGGATTCAGATCTCTGTTTCGCGAGATATATCACTACCCCCGACGTAGGCCTCGAGAATCGAAGAAGAAAGATGCATCTCCTCAATGTGAAGGATCATATCCTGGAGTGCGGCACGATGGAGAGTTGGTTTGAAGCTTGTCTCTCGAATCCGGCGGATGAAAGGTGGGGTGAACGAAGTTCGTTGGAGGTTAAGGATCGACTTGGGATGACGCTTCCTTTGGTTGAAGTTCCGGGAGAAGGAGGGGATGGGTTTGACGGGGAATGTGTTAGTCGGGATTCACTCAACTTGGCGTTCTCGAGGGTCAGAGAAGCGGCACGCGAGACGCTCAGTCTCGATTCCGACTTCTTGGGGGAGACAGTTGCAGTCGACATATTCACTCCAACTCGGACGACGGTTAATAACATGCATGGATCCAACTTGAAGCCTAATGGGAGGATCGTTGTCATGCCTGCTGTTGAGCCTCCAGAGTTGGTGCTTCGCCGATGTCCCCCACCAGTGGCAAATTCAGGCCATGTAGTTCCTGAAATACCGCCCCGTCTAACCGACATGGTGGTCGCCTCGCTCCTCGAACATCACCCCAATGTTACAGATCAATGGACTGTAGGACTTTGCTTGCATGACACGATTGCCCAGTCACGGTCATGTTTTCCACAGAACTGCCGCCGGATGCTGGGTAGTGCCGCTTTCGTCTTGTACAACGATCCCCGCCGCACTCGCCTATACGGTATCACCATCGAAAAGACCGTAGCGCGTTTTTGGCATTTCGATCGTGGGCTGGTACTCATCAGCCCTGTATTCGATTGCCGAAAGGTGGGTGCCAGGTGTCTCGCCGTCGTGTTTCTCGAATCTGACAACTCGACTCTCTCAAAGAAACCGGAGCATTTCATTAGATTCTCGCTGTACTTGATGTACGCGAGTCCTGTGCAGCTTGGCTACGACCCCACCGTGAAGATGGTCAACGACGGGAAGGAAGGGATCCGGATGCCTGATTTCATCTACCGCATCGGGGAGGGACTGTATCGCACCATCGGACAGCCCTTGTCCGAGGAAGACGCGTTCTTCACCATTTCGCCAGGGCTACGCATCTGGCGTGTTCGAGCATGTGATGAAGAGGGTGTCGTGCAAGAGGGGGCGGACGAAAGGATGTTGAGGGACCTATGGGTGCCCGAAGGTACCCTCCACGAGAAGGATATCCAGGCCCAGATCCTCCAAGCTCTACCCACGGACCAGGCTGAGGAGATGGGGAAGCTACTCCTCGGTATATTGGACGAGGTTACCCTCCAAGGCGAAACGCAAACAACGCTCGCCAAGCCGCCAGATGCAACCCAGTTTCGACTGTTCCTACCCAACACTGACCCCATTTGGGAGTACCCACTGACTTCACTAGGGCTACAGTTCAGGAGAACACAACTGGACTCGTTCACTAGGTATATGAACCGGATCGCACCTCCAAAGCCCCGCCTGTACCATAGGCAGACTCACCGTCGGGTCCTACTTGAGTGTTGTCTCCCGTTTTACGAGGTTCCGAGTCCCAGGGTCGCTTGGCAAGTCAGCAAAGAGTTTGTCAGAGGTGTGTCCAAGTTCCAAGGTTCTCTAAGTCCAGTGGTCCACGGCAGCTGACAACACGGGCGAACCTACTAGGCTTGGACTTGTTCCGGCGTGCAGGATTCATACACCGTAATATCAGCGGCGCCAGCTGTGTGCTTTCATTCGACCGGGGCGCGCAAAGGTACCAAGCAAAATTGGGCCATTTGGAGTATTGTGCGAGGTATCAGACGGCCGAACTTCACGATCATATATCCGTGAGTATTTACTCTTTATCTCCTGCTTGCTAAATATAATCCTAACCGTCTAGGAACCGGGGGCCTTCTCAGCCATCGAGGTCTTGAAACGGGACTGGCGAGGAAAGGGCATAGATTACGACAGACTTCCTCCGTTCCATCCGCACTACTATCACGACCTCGAGTCGTTCTTCTGGCTCCTAACCTGGTACATCACGACCTATCTTCCCATCGGCGACGGAGACAACATGGACGACATCGTCTCTAAAATCTACCTGCTGGAATGGAAGGAACGGGTTTCAGATGAGCTGTTCCCAGTGGAATACCACCTCCGACCAGCTCACTTCAGAGTGGACCTCGGCCTAAATCCAGTTGTCATGGGCCGTCGTTTGGTTCGTGACGTCGGATGGCCGATCGACACAGTCGAATGCCTCCAGAAAATCTCGGCTCTTGTGGGGCAGTTCGAAGACGCGTATGCAGCACTGCAACAGAACCCGCCGGGGAGTGGACAAGTCCGGTGGCCTGAGGCGAGTTTCGATGATTTGCTGTATGGGGAGTTCAAGAAGGCTCTGGACGTCGTTGCGGATTGCCTTGCAACTGGGGGTTGTGTTTCAATGTGGGAGTTGATGAAGGAGGGGATGGCGATGTGGAATCATGATGAAGGCGAGGATCAGTTGGAAGGAAACGATCACTAGGGGGTGCAACGGAGGCAGGGTCTGGCCAGTGCAGAAGGGGGACAGTAGTTGCCTTATCCAAAAGCGACCGACGGTCTCCGCTGTATTCATTTTCTTTCTATCAGCTTCTTCCGTGGACTGTATGTTTATTCCTCGCCCACAGCTGCATTTCCTTCCTCATTATCTGAGTCCCCTCTGTGTCCGCTAGTGTAAACATGCATCAGGGCGGAGTCATATATATATTCCGCCGAGAAAATTCATAATTTTAAGCGCCCACCTATTTGTAGGGCGCTAAGTGTACAATAGAAATGAAAGGTGACCACTGATTGCCTGCTACTTGGCCATCGTTGGCAGTATCTAGGATGTAACACGTTCCTCCCGATGGCATCTCAGGGGGTCTTCGTTTCGGAAATTTAAAGCAGCAGGCTTGGGACCAGCACTGGATCTACAGTGAAGGCTAAGCCAGCGTAAAGTTATCGAACGAATGGAAGTCATGTCTGCATACGTGCGTGTCCGTCTGTTTTCGTGGTCACGTAGGGCAAGTTATGGCGTCAAACCCCTAATCGGTAGTAAGGATCTCTCAGCCTGGCATCCACCGTTCCGGAGGTACGTGAAGTCGCCAGAATTCCAAGGTCAGCCGTTCATGATCATCCTCAATTGTGTTTTCCTAGGTACTCCACGAGCAGTATACAGCTTGAAGAACGACTCTCACTCATCAATGTCGAACGACGTGAGTCTGGATATCACTTAGGTCCATTACTAGCCTTACGTATTAACGTTTCGACTGTTACCTAACGGCAGGAAAGCGCCTGGGCGCTAAAGCTATCGTCGATTTCCTGGCGATCGATAGCAAGGAACACATAGGGGAATGGATATGTTGTGGACTCACACCATCCAAATACGTCTCAGACGTCCATTAGTGACATAATCAACGACCTACATATGAGTATCCATCCACGGTAGACATTGGTATCTACGAAGGCCACCAATCCGCTTCCTCGACTGTGCTGGATCTTCTGTTTACGCCAACCGCCACAGTTCACCCATCGAGATCTAAAGATCAATTGCTAAGTTGTGAGTCGAAAGGGGAAGTCAGACTAATAGTGCGCCAGGACCTTAAGCTTGGATGTTTTCTTCTGTAGCTAGTAGCAGTGTGGCACACCTATCGATTTCGCCGTTAAGATTGCCAAGAGATCATATAAGCCCAAATCAATTCGGGTTGAATTTGTTTTTCGACACCCACACAGACCCACGATTCTCCTGCACGTACCCTCGCCTTCCACTCGTTATCCTCGCTCTCTCTCTTGAACTATATCTACAAGAATGGAGACAGAACAGTTAAAAGCATCAGAACAGGTGAGCTATTATCCCATCCCCCTCCCATCCATCGATTCTCCCAATGGCCTCGGAATTGAAACCGAATTTAACTACTGAATCACCTCCAAAGGACCAAAACTACTTCGACAGTCGCACTGCTGCGCAAAAGGACGCAGAGGAACAGCGCAAAACCCATCTTTTCAATGTGAAAGATCACCTTTTACAGTGTGACTTTTCCACCTGGTTCGAAACCTGCCTTTCGAATCCTGACGATATGAAGTGGAGCGAGAAATCTGCTTTGGATGTCAAGAGGAGACTTCTTACATTGTCGCCGCCCGTCCTCACAGACGAAGGCTGGGTGCCATTGAAGAAGGCCTTGGGTGAAACCGACAAGAAGGAGGACACCGTTTACGCATCTATGACGGGTATCATTTCGAAAATCAAGCATGCGGCGGCTCAGGAACTTAAGCTTGATTCCGATTTTGAGGGACAAATAACAGTCTATTCCTCCACTCCCACTCGACCAACTACTAACGACGTCCATGGACCCAACTTGAAGCCTGACGGTCGCTTTGTACTCGCACCACCGCCGCCTCAGCCTCCAACTCATGTTCTCTACCGCCGATCATCGCGGCTAGCGAAAAAGATGGAGGAGGAGGCGCGTAGTCAGAGGAATGCCACTGCAAGCAGCAACGTTTCCGACATATCCATGTCTACGTCTGATTCGGTTGCGCTCTTTGAATACAAGCTCAAGGAGGCAGATCAGCGACAGGTGGGTCGTTGGTTCCTCAGATTACCAGGCCCAAAGGCTTATTGAGTCATCGCAACAGAACTACCGGCAAATGCTGGGAGGTGCAGCTTTCGTGCTGTACAACGACCCACGTCGCACTCGGGTCTATGGGGTCACCATTGAAGAAACTACCACGCGGCTGTGGCACTTTGATCGCGGAGCGGTCCTCTTCAGCCCTACGTTTGACTGTCAAGAGGTAGACTTTACGGTTTATTCATCTTTTCCAAGCTGACATCTATCCAAGAAACCTGAATACCTCATCAGGATCTGCTTGTATCTGTCATACGCGAGCCCGATACAGCTTGGCTACGACCCCACCGTGAAGAAGGTCGAGAGCAAAAATGGGAAAGGGCATTCACCAGACTTCATCTACCAAGTCAACAACAAGTACTATCGAACCATCGGACAGCCACTGTCTGAAACAAGTGCATTCTGGACAATCTCGAGAGGAATAAGGACTTGGGTCGTCCAGGAGTGCGATGAGAATGGCGCGATCAAGCCAAATATAGCCGAGGCCGTTCTAAGGGACCTATGGCTGTATGAAGATGAGCCTGACGAAAAGGCTATTCAGACTGAGATTCTCAGTCACTTATCCAGACGCAACATTCCAGTCAAGGCGATGGAACAGCTGTTCGTCCATATATTGGAGGATGTCACCCTTTCAGGGAAAGAGCAAAGAACACTGGCCAAACCGGTGGATGCATTCCAATTTCCATTCAACCCTGATTCAGGTATCCCGAGAAAGGCCCCACCGACAGAATCTCGAAAGCGGTCAGGGGGGGTGGAGCAGGATGTATTCTCTGATTATGAAGAGGTCATCCAACCACCGACTCCTCTCCAGCATCATCCACGCACCCATCGTCGCACACTGTTCAAGGAGAGGTGTACGCCATTTTACGGAGTTCCGAATCGCCGGGTTGCATTCGAGGTCTGCAAAGGCCTCGTTCGTGGTGCGCGATGAGCTCTCACTCACCCTTGCTTACAAGACTGACAGCACAGCCAGGGCTGGATCTTTTGCGACAAGCAGGATTTTTACATCGGAATATCAGCGGCTCCAGCTGCGTGTTCTACTACGACAAGGATGCCCAAGCCTATCAGGCTAAACTGATCGAGTTGGAGTATTGCAAAAGATATCAAGATACACGTTTCCATGATCCCAAATCGGTATGTTTCGTATGTTCTTCCACGACTTGCAGCTTTCTGACCATTGGTCAAATGCAGGTTCCACGGGAATTTGCCGCTGTTGAAGTCATGGATTCCCAGTGGAACCTCGCGAAGACCGGTCTGGATGTCCTCCAGTTGGATGAATTACTCCCCCCTTTCCACCGACATTATTACCACGATCTGGAGTCGCTCTTCTGGCTATTAACCTGGTACACAACCACGCATTTGCCTATCGACAGGGATGAAAATCAGGAAATCGTGGCTAATCTTGACCTTGTCAGTTGGAAGACAAAGGTCTTTGATGTTTTGTTCCCGCGGGAATCCCATTTAGAGCGCCGCCGAAACCTATGGGAAAGACCAAACCAGGTTTACCGTGACTTGAAGGCTGCCGTCGGATGGCCAATAGACACGGTCACTATCCTCCTCAGCCTCAGCAAGATACCTTCTTACTTTGATTCGGAATACACGGCACTTTATCGGAATCCTCCACAGGATAAAGCAGTGCGGTGGCCCGATGCAAGGTTCAACGATTCACTATACAAGAAATTTATCAACACTCTGGACGATGTCGCTGCTCGTCTTGGAACAGTTGGTTCTGTTTCAATGTGGGGTTTACTGAATGAGGGGAGGATGAAGAACAAGAGGCCCGGGAAAGAAAAGGACGAGACTGACAGAATCCATAAGAAGCGGGGATGAACAGTGGAGGTTAGCGACAGTCGGAGTCGGAAACGGTGAAGTAATAGGCGCCCGTTCGTGTCCCAAAGTCCGCCTGATTAATTATGCATCGTGGCGGCGATATATTGTTACTGGCTGTCTTTACTTGGAAATGTGACTAATGCCCACTGTAGTCCCCAAAGTCCGTCTGGGCTGACGGCAAGACGCGCATTATTACTGTATTAGCAGAATATCATACTGCCATTTGAAATTGGAACCTTGAGCGATTACCCTCAGATTTTAATAATTTATCAGCATCCTAGACGATGTTGCTACCAAGGTGGGAACTTTCATTCTGTCTCAATGTGGGATTTTAAGGAGAAGAGGATGAAGTGCAAGAGGCCCGGGGAAGGGGTGGCCTTAGGCGAGTTTCGATGATTTACTGTATGGGGAGTTCAAGAAGGCTCTGGACGTCGTTGCGGATTGCCTTGCAACTGTGGATTGTGTTTCAATGTGGGAGTTGATGAAGGAGGGGATGGCGATGTGGAATCATGATGAAGGTGAAGATCCGTCAGTGGAAGGAAATGATCACTAGGGGCGTCGCGCAATGGAGGCAGGGTTCGCTCAATGCTGTCTCTACCATTCCGCAAAGCTCCGGCGAAAGCTGGTGATAGTCGCTGCGCCCCAGCCGCGGATACTATGTCCTTGTCGCGAGATGGCTGAGGATAAGATCGAACGGTGCGGTTTTGGGTTCGACGCTCGATCTGTGACTTCCTGGGGAACTTTAAATACGAACCCTTGGTGGCAAGAGCCTCTCCGTCGATAAGATTAGATCTGGACAAACTATTCCGCTGCCTTCACCTTAACATCACCTCTCAACACCACCACTTCGTTTATCCGCTTGCAGAGACATTAAGTGACGTCCAGAAAATCCCATGTATTCCCCCTACATCAAAACCCCTACCTGAAAGTGTAAACCAAGCCGCCGTGGCCCGCTATTCTTTGAACTTTGTCAAGCCTTGAACTTACATAATTGAACGCGACCGTCATGCGTCACGAACACCTGGCCTTCATGCATCATGATTTCTGCGCCTACACTTTAATCAGTCATCACCTCGCCTACAGTCACCTGGGAAAGATTCTTGATCTCTACCCTACTCTAAAAGATGAAGGAAGGACAATTAAACACTGAATCGCCGGTGAGCTCGGGCTAGCGATCTCCATGCCATTCGGTCCTGATTCGTTCCCGGGCATGCAAAGGCTTCACCAACCAGGTCGGAAAAGCGCTCGTTGGGAACACCTCACCCTGTAACCGACAGTTATTCCAAAGTCATCGAACCTCCGACCCCCCTCCGGCACCATTCACGTACCCATCGTCGCACATTGTTCACGGAAAGGTGCACGCCTTTCTACGGAGTCCCTAATCCCAAGGTTGCATTTGAGGTCTTCAAAGACCTCGTTATGGGTACGCTACGGGCTCTACCTCGGCGTGCCCTTCAGAGCTGACGGTAGAGCCAGGTCTGAACCTTCTGCGAAAAGCAGGATTTTTGCATCGGAATGTCAGCGGCTCCGCCTGCATGTTGTTTTACAACAAGGAGGCGCAAAAGTATCAGGTTAAACTGGCAGATTTGGAATACTGCAAGCGATATCAAGCGACAGGTTTCCATGATCCTAAATCTGTATGTGCTCAACATTCTATGGATGATCTACTACTGTTTGACCATTGTCCTAATCTAGGTCTCCCGTGAATTTGCCGCTGTTGAAGTGTCGAGTAAGCGGTGGGTGTTCACCAGTAATCCGACCCAGGGATATCCCAGGTTGCGCACAAACATGCTTCCCCCTTTCCATCGGCATTACTATCACGATCTGGAGTCGCTCTTCTGGCTGCTAATCTGGTATACGATCACCTATTTGCCCATCGATAACCCGGAAGCAAAGCAGGACATTGTGGCTACAATCAACACTGCCTCGTGGAAGACAAATATTTTTGACGTTTTGTTCCCTCGGGAACATCAATCACAACATGGCAGCAGAGCACACTTCTGGGACAATCAAACTCGCGTTTACGATAATTTGGCGGTCGAGGTCCAATGGCCAGAAGAAACTGTAGATGTCCTCGAGAGACTCAGCAAAATAATTTCCGACTTTCATTCAGCATATACAACACTTCATCGCAATCCCCCCAAGGATAACGCAGCACGATGGCCCGACGCAAAGTTCAGCGATTCACTATACGAGAAGTTTACCAGCATCCTAGACGATGTTGCTACACACGTGGGCACTCTCGATTCCGTCTCAATGTGGGATTTAATGAATAACAGGAGGATGATGAACAAGAGGCCTGGGGAAGGGGAGGACGATAGGGCCGTGACCAAGAGACGATTTGACGAGTAGTACTAGTGGTCGGCTTAACAGTGACGAGAAGTTGCATGTACCTTCAATTTGTTTCACAAAGTCCGCCCATTTGCGTATTGCGGCAGCGATGTCTGTATTAATATTGTCCTCGTTCTTATTTGTCTGTACGGCACTTGTAAACTGAACTCATGGTCGTCATGAGTCCCTGTAGGCCAACGGCAAAGCACGCCTTACAACCAAATGCTGGCCCCTCTGAATCATTATGTAAAACGCGAACTGCGTCATAAACACCTGGCCTTCACGTTTGTTTTCTACGCCTACACATCGAATCACCGGTCATTACCTCCCCTATAGTCACCTGGAGGATAACTCGCCTACCTGTTGCCCTCCATCTTCCTCTAAAAGATGAACGAAGAACACTTAAACACTGTATACCCTCCAGCACTGACTCGCTCCTGGGCATACAAGGTTGTACCAACACGCTCGGAAAAGTGCTCTTCTGGAATACGTCAACATATATTACGCGACTATTCAGAAGTCATTGAACGTCCGACACCTCTCCAGCACCATCGATGTGCCCGTCGTTGCATGTTGTCGAAGGAGAAGTACACATCCTTTTACAGTGTTCCGAACCACAGGGTTGCATTTGAGGTCTGCAAAGACCTCGTTAATGGTACGCCACGATGTCTGGCTCGGTGTCACCTTCATGTCTGACAACAGAGCCAGGTCTGGACTTGTTGCGGAAAGGAGGGCTCTTGCATCGAAATATCAGCGGCTCCGCCTGTATGTTCTTTTACAACGAGAAGGCGCGAAAGTATCAGGCCAAACTGGCTGATTTGGAATACTGCAAGCGATATCAGGCCACAGGCTTCCATGATCCCAAATCTGTAGGTGCTCAACGGCCTCTGCGTAGTCTATGGTATGACCATTATCCTAATACAGGTCTCCCGTGAATTTGCCGCCGTTGAAGTTTTGAGTAAGAATTGGACGATTAGCCCGCGGGATATTCCCAAGTTGCGGGCAAATGGGGGGCTTCCCCCTTTCCATCGGCATTACTACCACGATCTGGAGTCGCTCTTCTGGCTACTAATCTGGTATGCAATCACCTACTTGCCCATCCACGACCCGGAAACAGCGCAGGACATTGTGGCCAAAATCAATGTCGGCTCGTGGAAGACAATGATTTTTGACGCTTTATTCCCGAGGGAGCGTCAGTCACAGCATGGCAACAGGCAACTTTTCTGGGCCGGCTCAGGGAGCATTTACATTGATTTGATGGATGAGGCCCAATGGCCAGAAGAAACGGTATACGTACTCCTCAGATTCGACGAAATAATTTCCGAGTTTCATTCAGCATACACATCACTTCATCGCAGTCCCCCCAAGGATAACGCAGCGCGATGGCCCGACGCACAGTTCAGTGATTCACTATACGAGAAGTTTATCAGCATCCTAGACGATGTTGCTACCCACTTGGGATCTCGATATTCGGTCTCGATGTGGGATCTGATAAAGTAACGAGAAGCTACGTGTACCTTTGCTTTCACAGAGTCCGCCCATTTGTGTATTGCGGCAGCGATATCTGCATTAAAATTGTCCTCGATATAATTTGCCCGTACAGTACTTGTGATTTGTACTCATGTCCAGTGCACTCTCCCTACATCCGACCTCTCCCAGATATGTCAAGCAAGTCGCCGTTACCTCTTGAACTTTGTCTAGCTCTGTGAATCATTATGTAATACGCGAACTAGGCCATGATCACCCGGTGGCCTTCGTGATGTTGCTTCCTACACCTTCACCAGTCATTACTTCGTCTAAAGTCACCTGGAGGCTAGGAGCTAAAGCGTCTACCTCTCGCTGTTACCTCACTCTAAAAGATGAAGGAAGCACAATTAAACACTGAATCGCCGGTGAGCTCAGGCTTGATCTCCCTGTAAGCCCTCCGGCACTGATTCATTCCTCGGCATGCAAGGCTCTACCAACACGGTCGGGAAAACGCTCTTCTGGGATACTTCAACATACATTACACGACTATTCAGAAGTCATCGAACGTCCGACACCTCTCCAGCACCATCCACGCACCCATCGTCGCACGCTGTTCAAGGACAGGTGTACGCCATTTTACGGAGTTCCAAATCACCGTGTTGCATTTGAGGTTTGCAAAGACCTCGTTAATGGTACGCTACGATGTCTGGCTCGGTGTCACCTTTAGATCTGACAACAGAGCCAGGTCTGGACTTGTTGCGGAAAGCAGGGTTCTTGCATCGGAATATCAGCGGCTCCACCTGCATTTTGAACTACAACAGGGATGCGCAAATCTATCGGGCTAAGTTGGTAGATTTGGAGTATTGCAAGCGGTATCAGGAGACAGGATTCCATGATCCCAAATCCGTTTGTATCCCGATGCTCTGTGTGACCCGCCACCGTTGAACGTTGACCATTGGTCTAATCCAGGTGTCGCGCGAATTTGCCGCTGTTGAAGTCATGGATGGCGAGTGGAACCTCGCGAAGAGTGGCCTGGAAATCCTCCGGTTAAGAAAAACACTCCCTCCCTTCCATCGACATTACTACCACGATCTAGAGTCGCTCTTCAAACTACTAACCTGGTACACAACCACATATTTGCCTATCGACAGGGACAAAAATCAGGAAATCGTGGCTAATCTCGACCTTGTCGGTTGGAAGACAAAGGTCTTTGATGTTTTGTTCCCGCGGGAATCCCATTTAGAGCGCCGCCGAAACCTATGGGAAAGACCAAACAAGGTTTACAGTGACTTGATGTTCGTCGTCGGATGGCCAGAAGAAACGGTCGCTATCCTCCTCAGCCTCAGCGAGATACCTTCTCACTTTGAATCGGAATACACGGCACTTTATCGGAATCCTCCACAGGATAAAGCAGTGCGGTGGCCCGATGCAAGGTTCAACGATTCACTATACAAGAAATTTATCAACACTCTGGACCATGTCGCTACTCATCTTGGAACAGTTGGTTCTGTTTCAATGTGCGGTTTACTGAATGAGGGGAGGATGAAGAACAAGAGGCCCGGGGAAGAAAAGGACGAGACTGACAGGATCCCTAAGAAGCGGGGATGAACAGTGGAGGTTAGCGACAGTCGGAGTCGGAAACGGTGAAGTAATAGGCGCCCGTTCGTGTCCCAAAGTCCGCCTGATTAATTATGCATCGTGGCGGCGATATATTGTTACTGGCTGTCTTTACTTGGAAATGTGACTAATGCCCACTGTAGTCCCCAAAGTCCGTCTGGGCTGACGGCAAGACGCGCATTATTACTGTATTAGCAGAATATACTGCCATTTGAAACTGGAACCTTGAGCGATTACCCTCAGATTGTAATAATGTATCAGCATCCTAGACGATGTTGCTACCAAGGTGGGAACTCTCATTCTGTCCCAATGTGGGATTTTAAGGAGAAGAGGATGAAGTGAAAGAGGCCCGGGGAAGGAGAGGACGGACCTGACAGGATCCCTAAGAAGCGAGGATAAATGAAGGCTGCCAACTCAGTAGCTAGGAGCTACTGAGTCGGAAACGGTGAAGTTATATATATAGGTGCTTAGAAGGAACTGGTTTCCGATGTCCTATTCCCAGTAGAATGCCTCGTCCAATCAGCGCACTGCAGAGCAAACCTCTGCCTAAGTCGAATACATGGTCCGTGGCGTAGTTCGCGACACTGGATGACCGTTAAACATAATCGAACACCAGGAAGATCCCAGTCCTCATCTGGGAGCTCGAAGGCCAAAAGGACACTAGACAAATTGCAGTGCCTGGGGTGTGGGGACCGTGTTTCGATGTGAATGGCCACAAGGGAGGCAAAGGGGAGTTGGAGAGAAGAAGAAACATCTACCAGACGCTCAGGTTCATTGGATCATGACGTCGTATATTGCTTGACAGGGGGAATGTACCATGAACGATTACAAACCAGTTTCGTTGTCAGTAGTTAGACTTGTAGTTCTTTGACGCGTTTTTCGCCGTAGGCCGAGGAGCCTGCTCCTCTCACTCAATTCCTCCTCCGATCCTGGACAAAAAAGTGAGTTACAAAATGGCAGCTACGAGGTTGGATGAGGCTTACTGTTTTTCCGATGTCGTTCGGAGTCCATTAAATCACTTACGGGTAGGTCATCGACAGAGGTGCCAGAATATCTTGCAGTGCGCCGCAAGGCGTCGATGGATTCCCATAACAGGGATTCTAAATCGTCCGTGACAATAGTCCGGAGTTTTCTGAGTCGTTCTGCGTCCTCTGGGTCTTTATCGGATTCGACCGAAGGAAACGTCCAGCCTGGATAGACTTTACCATTCGATCCCCGTATCGAGACTGGGTCAAACCCGACATTTTCCAATCGATCGAAATAGATGGAGCATGGGACGCAGGAAGGTTTCGAAACACCAGTGTAAGGAAGAATGGACAGCCTCTCGGTTTGGATCTGGCGGAGTAGAAACACTTCATAGTGTACGCACATCGTTGGGGAGAGATAGTTAGCCTCGTCCTTTGCCAGTGCATCGGAGAGTTTCTTGACTATGTCATCGTCCGTGAGGAAAATCGAGCCAGGTCGTTCCATCTCGTACTTTCCGCTGTACGTTTGCTTGAGGTACATGACGGTTTCCAGCAGAATTCTCTTAGAACACTCGACCGTTTGCCCGCCGGGCGCGTCCTGGAAATATGTCTTGATGTGCAAGTCGCCGAACAGAACTGCTCTGGAGCGTATAGACATTGCCAAAGCCAAGAGTCGTCGAGCGTCGATGTGGAGGGAACAGAGCTTTTCCAGCCAACGAGTGATGGGAACCAAGTTTCCTCGTGCTATGGATAGAATTTCTCTAGTAAGACTGACCAGTAACCATCTGATCAAAGAAATCACCTACATTCCAAGTACGCCTCGAGTGACTGGTAAGCCATGAAAAGAGAGCTGGGCGGGTCATCTCCTCTATCGACCAGTCCTTTAAACCGTTTATATACTCTTCCCCCACAAACTCTGCGGCATGGGTGGCGCCTTTGTTTGAACCGAGTTGAATCATATGATCCAGCCACTCCAACCAGGCAAGCGTATCTTCAATATGTTGGAAATGTCCCGGCTTCATCTGGGAACTTCGCTGGAACTCCTCCAAGAGCGATACAGCTTGCGGTATGCGCTCCGACCTCTCGTGATAGTAATGGCTAAACCGTTTCCATCCATGGCGGTAGAAGGCGGTCATAAAATCAGCTTCGTTGACCCTGTCTGGTAGTTGCATCGCCGAGTTGGACGCTCCCTGAACCACCTCGTCGGTGAGCCCTTGGAGGTCCTTTACGATGCTCCGTATACGAGTTTCGATCTGCTCGTGCGTCGGTAGTTCTCTCCCAGGCCCAGGGATCAGGGAGATGTATAGGGTGGTGCGGAGGTTGGCCGACCTGGGGAGAGGGGGTTCCACTGAAGCAGTGACAGCAGAAACCTGCTTATGGTCTGTCAGGATAACACGAGAGAGAATATCCACATGTCCCGGTCGGCTGCAGGCAATGAGGGAGGTAGCTCAAAAGCCAGGAGTCGATGGTGATCATGACTTGGTGGGAATCGGGACTGGGTTGTTTCTTTTGTCGCGAGGAGGCCGATAATGAGGTCGAGCGACGGGGCTCTGGCTTCAACCGGCGTCATGGTGGTAGCTGGAAGTGAAAAAGTTGGTGTGCTCATATTGATCCGGGTTCACGTGACGTGGCGGGCGACGCGGGATTTTGGGAACGGCGCTAAATACGGTTGCCGCCCAGTCGCGAATGCCTCCACCAGAACAGGCTCTCTGGGCCACGGGTGTGCCAGCTATTGCTGGCGCGCATCAGCAGTAGATTCGACGGAGTTGTGACGTGATGTCCCACTTGACGTACCCCATTCTATCGTTATGACGTCCACCACTCCTGTCTTTTCTCCACTGCCCCCAGGCTATATCTGAGACCTTACCCAACCCCATCCCTCCCCCTGTATACCTCACCACTGCGTCCAACAGCGCGAAAGGTGAATGGACCTCAACGAATCCATCCTCCACAAAACCAAGAACACGCTCGACGCCATGTCTTCAACCTCTCCCTCTAACCAGCACTCCGGTTCATCTGCAGCATCCGGGTCAGACGCCATGCAGCGCACCTCCGAACTCGCACAGCGTCTCTCAAAGGACGGCGCAGATCTCGCCCAACGACTCTCCAAAGACGGGTCCAACCTCGCACAAAAGGTCGCCTCGAACATCAACGACCCCGTGCACAACCCCATCCGCACGACCCAGCGTACCCTCGAAGCCTCCCGGAACATCTTCGCCCAGCGGACAGACCCCAGCCGAAGTGGCAGCGGACACTCGAGTAAAGCCCAGCGCATCGTCTTCATCAAGGGCGTGTTTGACCTCTTTCTGGCGGCATCGCTGGTGTGGATGCCTGGCTTGCTGTATGACGGACCTATTTCCGGGTTCGTATCGGCCGTGACGACGCTCCCGAAACCGAATTGGGAAATGGATACTGGGAACGCGTATGGGCTTGCTTCGTTGATCCTGGGGGCGGGCATGGCAGGCATCTGCGCGGCTGAAAGCACTAGTGATGATGCGTATAAAGTCATTGGTGAGTTTAGACGTCTCTGAATCCTTCTCTGTCCCTTGTTCTACAGGGCACTTCCCGTGACCATGAGCATCACTGACACAGCCCTCATACAGCAACCCTGAACGGCGTGTTCGCAGCAGCTGGCCTTCTGGGCTGTATCTTCTCTCCCCACAAATTCGGCTCATCGTTCCTCCTCCTTGCTGCACTCCAAGACGTCTTTTGGTTCTTCACCATCGTCAATGCGGGAGGGTACGGCGTATTGGAAACTTTAGGCCTTTCTGCCAAAGCCGTTGTCAACGAGGAAGAGAGGCTGGCGAAGCGAGACGAACGGGCTGCGAGGAAGAAGGGCGAGATTGACGAGAACGAGGGGGCACCGACGGGTAGTGAGAGAGAAGGTGACTTCGAGGGACTGAACAAGGGATTGGAACAGGATTTGAGAGAGGATAAGAGGCGGATGGACCAGGATGAGCACGGTGTTGCGTTCGGGACGGGAGACATTAACAATTTCAACGACTACAAGAAGACGAATATCAATTGAGTTCGTGGAATTTTCAGTTTTGCTTTGATTTACCTGGATACATGGTATTGCGATGTAGCGGTTGGGACCTGTAGCTGTAACTTGTAAAATCCTCTAGGACTCCTCGTACCTATGCTTATCATCTTCTGACACCACTTCCTGGTTGACCCACAGTGGTCCTGCACGTGAAAAGAAATCTATCAATTCTATAACGGTAGGACAGGATGAAGACTGGAATCAAACGAGGCGCTTAGGCTCTTTCTCTTCCTTCTTCTCAGGAACAGCTGGCTCGGGAGCAGCAGCAGCAGGTTCAACGGGGGCCTCGGTCTGCGACTTGGCAATGAGAGCCTCCTCAGCCTTCTCGACCACACTCCTCCTAACCTCCTCCACCGCCTTCTTGAACTCCTCCCTCTGCAAACCAAGCGTCTCCTTGATCTTCAACCCGGTTGCACCCTGTACCTTATCCACAGCACCCACGACGCCGTTGCCAGCCTTCTCCCGAAGTTCCTGGGTCTTCTCCTTGAGCATCTCCCAACCCATCTTGCTGTGCGCCTTGGCGATTTCATGTTTTTGAGCGAGAGTGGGGAAGTAGTGTTCCTCCACGGAGCCGAGGTAGTTGGAGAGGTTGGTTGTGGTTTCGGGGAGGAAGTGGTGGGCGGAGAGGATGAGGAAGAGTGGGGGTAGGGCGAGTCGGGTGAGGATGAACCTGTTGCGGGCGATGATAGAACCGGTGAGGGTTGAAACACCAACGTATAGGAGGCCCGGAGTGAGAGGCTCGTTGGGAGAAATAATGGATTTTACACGGTCTATTGGTGGATTGTTAATTCCGTCATAAATGAAGCAAGTAGGAAGGACGCACTCTCAACAGCCTGTTCGACCTCAATCCATTTGGAAACCCATCCCTGGACATAAGCATGGGTATCGGCGTAGGTAGACTGCAGGTGGCGCCTGTACACCGCGATCTGTAGTGACAGTGGGCTGGGTGATTCGACGAGGACGATTTGAGGGTCCGGAGAGGAGTAGATTGAGAGCTGCAGTTCAGAGTCGTTCAGAAATCCGTTAATAGTAGAATTCCAAGTCAATGTGTCCATAGATAAATCAATAGTCAGTCTAGGGAACAGCGTGTAGAGAATCAGCACACGCACCTTCTCCCGAGGCTGCTCGTGCAGAACGAGGCCTGTAGCAGCAGCGCTAGCAGCCAGTGCCGCTCTCCTGGGCTGAGAGCACACAGTCATCCTTTAAGTCGCGTTCTTTCATACAGAAAGGAAGAAAAAGAGACGCACTATACGAGAGGCTGCTCGATACATGGCCGGTCAGAGTTTTGGAAAACGGGTTCAATGCCAGCCCGGAGTCGGACGGGCGCGCTGTTGATGGTGTTTGGCTGCAGCCTTGGTTACATACAACATTGAACTGATGCAATTGGCGCGCGTTGGAGAAATACTGGGATGAGACCCTTTCAGTCGATATTCTGGATCTTCCGGGTCAGTTCAGGATGGAGTACTCGACGATTCATGAAATAGAACAAACAGAATGAGGAGGGACTCGCTGGTCGGACAGCCTTTCAACTGAAGACCTTTACAACATCTTCGAAAAGGCTGGTGCTTGGCTGAAGCGACGGTTCCAAACAAAGTTGGGTGATGGTAGGCGCGCGTCTACCACGTGCACGTCGTTGGCTACTATGGCGGGCGTTATTGGACAAAAATGTGGGCCATTTCTCAATCTCGCGATGTGCAAAGGTAGGGGTATGAATCCTTCAAATGGTAAGCCGGGGGTGTGAATGAAGCAGCGAGAGATTGCGAGGGTGTGAGCCAAGCGACCACACCCCCTACCATATCTGGATACGCCAAGGTTCGTGCAATAACATCGGGCTGCTGTATCAAGCACCCTCAGTCTCATACAATCGGTGCGAGGGACCACGTCCCGAGCTGTCTTCAACCTAGTGGAACTCAACAGACCTCCTGGAATTCCGACCCACGTACAATCCAGGCCGTAGTTGATGAGCTTGGAGTCCCACAGGGGCACCTTGTCCTCAAGCCAAAGGCTAGGGGATTTGCTTCAGCAAAGGCAACTTACGCCGCCTTAAAACAGGACTTTGGACATGTCACTGTTCCCGTCCAACGGAACCTGCAACGCCAATTGCGGAATCGCCGACGATTCGTTACACTGGAATCCTCGACGTTCTACAAAGCGCCTACTTTTTTTGTGGCGTGCCAGGCGGTAATAGACTACGTTAAAGGTGAGTCCCCACGTCCACGTCGGTCGCCTTCACCTGGACCGTCCCCTGACCTCTGGTACTATGTGGTAGCCTTGAATATACTCAGCCACGACCCCCAAACGAGCGAATGGATGGGAAGAATCTCAGATCTGGAATATTGCAAACGGTACCAGCAGGCGAGCGCCCATGGTCCTCTTTCGGTAAGCGACCAGTACCTGGCCTCAGCTACACAGAGTTCAAATGTCTTAAATTGCGACGCTTCTAGGGTGCACGGGAGTTCATGTCCCTCGATGTTCGCAGATGGGGATTCATGCACATGGTTCGACCGAACAATCTTCGAAAAGAATACCCCGAAGTGACTTTCCATCATCATTATCTGCATGACCTCGAGTCGGTATATTGGTTACTCATCTGGTACATGGTCTCCCATGCGCCTCACAAGGAGGGCGTTCCCCGTGTCATCGACCACGTCTCCTGGGCCAAATTGGTGGACGATTTGTTTGGAACGGGAATTGATAGCCAAGAACCCACCGTGCATTGGAACAACCAGTCTGTCACATGTACTGCTATGATGAACTTCTGGGATGATCAGGACAGTCTAGAAGGCGTCTGCGATATTCTGAACCTGCCGGTTCTTTTCAAGAAGGAGTACGGAACACTTCAAACAGCAGAACAAACGGAATGTGGAGAGACTCGCTGGCCGGACAGGGTTTTTACCGAAGGTCTTTACATCGCATTTGAAAAGGCAGTCAATGAAGCTCTGAAGAGCGTTCCCAGCGATTGCCAGTGGCTCCCCTTATGGGACTCTCTCTCATCCCAGTAGTATACTTAACAATCGTAGATTTCATAGTGTTTGGCAAAACATGATAAGAGTTGTTGGATGCCAGTCCTCCGCACTGGTCCTAACTCTCGATATGGCATCGAACACACTCTTTTCGGCCACAGATCCGGCAGCTCTGCCATGGTAAGTTCGTCAGACCTTTGCCCAAGTTTACCCAAGGTATAGAGAGAAGACCTACATGATGTAGCTGATTTTCACGAAGAAACACTCGACACTCTGTTCCTTGACACTTTCCGGAACTTACTCCCACTCCCCAGTCGTGATCCCTGCGGCTGCAGGGCGCAGTCCGTCGAGCCCGAGTCTCGCGGGTCGGGCGCTGCGCGTTGCTCCTCTCCTCTTTCCTTCGACTGCCCTCCGTTGTGCGATTCGCCTGCCTAAGCCAATAGACGCATCGCCAAAGGTGGATATGTCCTGGAGGTGTGCCACAGTCTGCGCACACAACGGATGCCTCATCCCAGGCACCCCCGGTGTCAGACACCGAATCATCGTCGGTCGAGGACTGGTCGTCGGACCATGTATATGGTGGAATTCTAGCTCAGAGGTATCAGTTCTCAGGTCGCTTGCTACGAAGTTTCGGAGTACATACACGGGTGGTTCTCGCGTCTGCGAATAGGGGGAGCTGAGATGAAACAAGGCCGTGTCAGTTTCATACAGAGTGAAAGGAGAAAGTGCTCACTATGATTCTTGAGGGTAGAAATGAGGATAACGCGATGCTCCATGTAGTCCTTGACCTCGCTCCTCTGGTGTATACTCAGGAGGTATGAACGGTACGCTATGAAAATTCCAATTAGAGGTCGTCACACGCGGGAAAGGTGTGGTTGTTGACATACATTGAGGATTGATTAGCGCCAGCTGAAGAACTATCGGGGCGGGCATGGGTTAGTGAACACCGTCAGCCTTTTCAAAGGTGCACTTACTTGGCGTAGTCTCTGGGGTAAACCTGATTCCTTCCCCACTCAGCTTCGCGCCCGTATCCGTGTTGTGGATAGTCAGGAATGATAGGGACTCTTGCCTCCGGGGCTGACGGACAGAAGGCAGTGTAGCCAGATGTCGGATAGTAGTTCATGGCTCGATTCAGAGGTTCCCTACTTCAGGCGGGAGTGGAATATGGGGAAATGACTTGGAGTAGAGTGCACGATGGAGGGAAAGAAACCCGGTGTTAAGTGTTGACCACCCCTCCACCTCGTTTTCAGGTTATGTAACTAAATCAGGCGCCCACCGCACCGCTCCGACCACAGCAATTCTGGACGATGATTGACACAATTAATTCTATACACTGCAATACTGACAACCTTCTCTATAGAGATTCCCAAGCGCGTTTGCCCTTCTTCTCCACCAGTGTTAGCTTTCGTAGCATAGCTTACTGCTGTTTACGAAAGCTAACAGATTAGAGTCGGTTGAGGGAGCATCGACGGCAGACCATGAGATTGCAGTTACGGCACATCTAATGCGGATCGTCAGCTGGAGCGTCACGATACCGAGTACAATTGGACAGGACGAACCTTGAGATAGACTGGAAGATAGTCACCGCATTCCTCGCACACGCCACCTCCCGACCTGCTCGACCAGCGATGCCAAGTACACCCATGATTCACTCGTAGATTGTCGACGGCACGCTGCACCTGCTGGGCAAAATTGACTGGCTGGGCCTGTCGGGCTTGAGCACCCATGACGTTCTCCGCACGAACTTGGGCGGTTGCAAGCAAGCGTTCCTCCTCCCACTGGGGGCAGCGACAGTTCTTCCACTCGACTCCGCAGGCATAGCAGAACTGTGTGCGGCATCGGCATGTCATGTGGTTACAGCCATGGTGAAGCTCTACCACCGCCGAACACCCGGGACACGTCTGCCAGCCTACCTCCCTCGCTAGAGCCCGGAGCTGTGCGACAGTCTCGTTCTGCGTACAGGTATCTCCTCGGTGGGCTGGCTTGCGGCAGTCGATACAGGTAGCCCCACTGCAAGACCTGCAGGTTGTAGACGCCGGCATATTGAAGTAGTAGAGAGTCGCTCCTCGGAGGGTCAGAGCTGAGCCAAGGAACGCAGAGCATGTTGGGGTGGAACAGTAGACGCGATCCTTCGTAGGTACATCGTACTCTCTCATTTTCTCCTCGAATCGACGAAAGAGGGAGGGGTTATTGAGATAGTAGGAGACGTCGTCCTTCGCCAACGGCGTCTGGCAGCATCGAAGCGGATAGAGGCTCTCATCTCTGAGAAACACTTCGATTACGCTGGCCAAGCAGGCACTGCACCAGTAGTGATCGCCGTTGCAGCTCGATTTGAGCATCGAGCCTATGCGATGCTTATCGTCGCAGCTCACGCAAGCAACCCTGTAGCATAGATAAAACTATTGATCGTCGATGGGGGAGAAGGCTGCTACTGACCTCTTATACCGGTCCACACTGGGGCCCGCGGTCCTTTCCTCGACACTCGAAGTAACAAAGCCATAAAGGCCAGTAACCGCCTGTGCCTCTTTCTTGTCGGTACTGGCTGAGATAATGGGTCTCTTGATCAAGTCTGTCTTCGCCGAGCCCCTCCTACGATGCGATGAGAGCAGGGTCATCATATGAACTGGACACACTCACTGCTCTTTCACTTCCTTGAAACGATTGGGGAAGGCTTTATCTTCACCGACTATCCTCTGAGACTGAGTGGGCGGAGGTAGTCGTCCTTGCCGTTGCAAGACCTCTGCTGCCCGACGATCCGCTGCAGCAGACTCTTCCGCCAGCCTGAAAGCCTCGAGGATATCGGCGTCGGTGCCCATAGCGCGATTTACGCTCCTCGCGAGCGTGGCGTCCTCATGGATTTGTTTCCATGCCTTGATCTCTTCACTCAGAAGGGTGACAGCAATTTCCTGGTCGGATGGAGGTGCGTTGGCCTTGCCTTTGCCTTTGAAACCAGCTGAGATTTCGAGGGCGTCTTCGAGCTGGAGCTGAGCGATGAGGAGCGCAGTCTCAAGATCGATGGCGTCTGTTGCTGCGGTCAGGTCCCAAGATGGTTCAGACGAAGCCATAATGCGAGAATATAAGGATGATATCACGCCGAGTACAAGACAAGTGGGAAATCCTGTCGACGAAAGGAACTGTTGTTACGGGTGCCAGCCTGAGGGACTGGCGGTCGAAACAACACCTGAGTTTAGAATCCGCAGTTGGATCCCTTCTTATGAGCCCTAGGCCGCTGGGAAAGTTCGACTGGAACTTTCCGCACCTGCCTGATAACCTTCAATTCAGCCACAGAGTACATAAGCGCTCGCTCCATTCTGAGGACACGAGTCCACAACGTGTGCTGGTTTCCGGTAGATAACGCAGGCTTCCGCGTTAGGATCTGGTCTATATGCCTCGAGGAGTGCGGTCGGTCCATGATGAAGGAAGCTGCGGATATCGATCATGAGGACGTCCGCTGCGCCGAGGACATCGGGAGAGAAGTAGACTCAATCGTGGGCAGGGTTTTCATAGTGTAGAGACGCTTGATGCCGAGTTGAGCGGTGAGCGCATTAAAAATAATGAAAGCTTTCCAGCTGAGGAAATGATCACTGGTAGAAACGCAAAGGAATCCACCATTAATCACCGAAGAAAGGTTCGAACAGGCGCCGGTGAGGCAAGGACAAGTACGTGGCGTTCCAGCTTTCCAGCATGTCGATCGGGTTCTTGTCGTCGCTGTGACACAGATGTCGCTGCAGAATAGAGTATGTCATTAGACCTGTTCAGGCAGGAAGAGTGGCCTTTCGACTGGCCTATGTTCTGTCCCGCTCCGAAGTGCCAGTGTAAGCGCCCAAGGGACAGAGGATCGACCTGGCACTGATGCACCAGTTCCTTGGTGGTAATTGTTCTTAGTTCGAGCTAATAAGTGGCTTTGAAACCTGACTGGCAGTATGGTTCTGCAGGCGGTCGGACAGGCGTTGGTACACAGTCAGGTCAGGAGATTGTGGCGGTGTCGGTAGGATGATTAGTTCGGCGTGGGAAATGTTACATAAACCTATCGATGGGAACCGGGGGCGAGCTCATCGTCCTGGACAGCGACGACGACCTTTTTCGCAGTCAGGGCCGTAATCTTGCACGGTCAGCTCAAGGCATCGAGGTCGTCCAGGACACTCAGACCGGTTCCTTCTGGCCTAAGTTAAGGGATGCAAGCGTTTCTGTCCCATACGACGAGCCTCCCGCTGCCGCCGCCACCAATATCATCTCCCGATTCCGCTCGAGCCTCCGTGGTCCACTTGCTGTCCAGGGCCGACTCGCTGCCATGCTCAAAGGGCGCCCTGGCCTTCACTCAGCTGGTACAGCCCACAGCACGCTTCCAGCTGGCTCTTGACGCGCTGCTGCCCATCCTCGATTCAACCGCAACGGCCGAGGTCAGTCCCCTTGTTTTCCCCTATCGGACAGCTCAATAAACCCAATTTCTAGCTCGCGAGTCGGATTCTTGTTTCATTCATCTTGTATTCACTCTATGCACCACATCCTATTGCCGTTAACCCGTTCAAATCGGCTCTCTATGTTACTTACCTTAACGAAAGGGAAAAGGCGGTCAGCATTGCCAATGATGGCGGCATCAGTCCAAACGAGCAACTGGTGTGGGTGTTGTGGAAGATCCTCAAAGGTGATGGCAATGATGTGCGTATCACTCTCCTTTTCACTCGCTCCTTTGTCACACTCAATAAAACTATATAGATTGGACCATATTCCCCGAGCACCCTGGCACGGTCACCTCTACCCCCTAAACTTAGAGCAATTAATCTCGTCCTCGATGACGAACTGTGTAACACTATATCTGACATGTTCGTCGCTTTTTCTCGTCCTTCGTTGCTCAGCCTCTCTAACACCTCCCCAGAGACGACTCGGCTTATCATTATTTTCAAGACAGACGCAGGCAATCGGCCTCCTCCGATACTAACGACATCAACAAGGCACCCTCACGCGTTATCTCTCCAGAGTTCTCTCTCGATCAAGATCGTCAGAACGAGCGGCTTATCTATGCTATGAGGCTGCTTCTCGCAGCAAGGGACCGAGTCTTGAATCTATCCGAACAACGAGCGCTGGTCCCACTTCTCCCAGAAGTAACCGCCTCGCGCCTGGTCACGTCACTCGACCTCGCCCCGATCATTGCCCACAACCCAGCGATTGCTCACCCACTGTTCGTCGGCCTCGTTACAATTCCGAATCCTGATCCAATGCCATTTGTGGACGTTCTTCCCTTCCTTCCACCTACCCTCCCCACCTTCGATCTCATGGGAAGGTTACTGCGCGATCAAACTCAAATCAAGGTCGCCGGCTACTCCACAGTCGCCGCGTTAACCCGCACTGAGGTTTTGGGCCTCTTCATCCACGAATGCATTGACTGGATCGAAAAGGCCGAACGGGACCAGGCCAACGGCTTAATCAATGACGATCGATTCGAGAAGGGTTTGCAGCACGTACGTTTAATGTTCCCTTCCACAACGAATAAGCTGACCTCACACTACCTCCCGCAGCTCTGCCGCTTCTTTATGTCCCTGATCAAGCTCCACATCGTCGACCCTCGATCGGATACCGACTGCACTGAAATCTCCAGCTTTTGTTTGCGCTACGCGAGATTCGAAGAAGCCAACATGCTTTACCGATTCATCATGAACAGCAGCAAATTCTGACGTTGGGAAAACAAGCTATGCCTCAGCGTATGTTATGGCTTATGCGCTATTTTATGTTTCCTTCTTTTTCCTCTCTTGTTCGTTTGAATACTCATGTTCTAGGATTGAAAGATATGCCTCATATGTCACCCTTACCTTATTTTTCTCTGTCTTGTGCCTTTTCCCCTTTCCTTTCTAGACTATCCTTCCTTTCCTCATTGACGCTCTTAAAGCTCATGAACCTGTACGCATGCGCCCCTCACGATCTCTCTTTTTTGATCCCCCTTGAACATGTCTATTATTGTGATTTTCTGTTTTATTGTCTCGTTTATCCTTCAGTATATTAGTTTGTCTGTAAGTGTAAGTACGTTTGGTATACCGCGCATCTGTATCACAAATTCAATCATGGAAATGGACGGGTTTGACTAGAAGAAAGTGTTCTCCACAAGAGAACGGGGACTTTAATACGAGGATTGGAAATTCATGACCAAGCAAGTATGTTGTACGGTAACACATAGACTATTGGTCAACACAACGGCCAACCTATCGGAGAATCGTCCACGTTGAACAAGCGAGGATTTCATCCCTTGCTGTTTCGAGAGGATGTCTCGACCACGTTAGATGCGTTCCGTAGATCTACCGAGCAACGAGGCGTTTCTTTCTTCATTAGTAAGGGCTTCATACTCTAATTCGCTAAGCTAAGATTACCGCTCTTGGAACGATGCATGTCGCTCTATCACCCTTGCCTGTCTTCACAAATGCCCTTTTCTATTGATTGAGAGACCGAAAAGTCGATTTAGCCAAGTCTGCATCATCAAAGTCAATCGAAGGGAGATGTGCATCTATTGGGCCCAGTCCCAGTGAATGCTCTCGTTATTCTACTATACCACACATCATCACATTCCGTCATGTGTTCTAGTTTCCTATTCATTGAACTCAGCGTCTAAGATAGGGCACCAAATTGGTATATAACCAAGTGGGCATGCAGGGCCAACACGTTACGCTATCGCAGCCACTGGCACATTACCCACTCCTCGCATTCGAGTGGTACCACTGTAGTCTTCCACTTTCTACCCGACGTTGGTGAAGCTCGCCGTTGGATCCTCGTCGATGTCCTACCCAGTGCCTATGGCTGCGCTCGGCATGTCGTCGGGCGTCATCATCGAGGACGGCTCTCAGCTATTGCAGAACCTCGAGTTGGGCTCTGCGCTGTTAAACGTGCTCTTCACAATATATGACGTCGATGAGAAGATCGCCGCCGCTCGAACGCACCCTCAGGGACATCCGTCGACGATGCGGTACGGCCCTCCATCGTCCTCAGCGTCAACATCGTCCCCTCCATCGTCCTCGTCAAGTTCATTCAGCTCTTCCTCATCGCCATCACCATCGTACACATCTTCTTCTGACGCTTCCTCGGCATCCTCCCACTCTTCCTCTTACTACTCTTCCCATCTCGCATCTTCATCACAATCGATAACGTCCTTCGAATACGACGGCGGCGCCACGGTATTAACTCCACCACGGCCAAGTTCCGAAGAAGACAGCTCGTTCTTGATCCAGTCACAAGCCGAGCGCTTGCACGTAGTCCTGGACGCCGTCTCATCTGTCGGGAATGGGGGCAACGGCACGTCCGCGTCCACGTCCCTATCCCCAATGGTGCACCTGCTCATCGGCGCGGAACAAGTCTTCGAGCCCAGCCTCGTCTACTTGTTGGCATTGGAAATTTACGAACAAGCTGCGGTAGACGATCATAAAGTCGCTCATGCCGTCCAGGATGGAAGAGAGTTGCCGCCCGTTACACGTTGTCAGAGTTTGACCCAGAATGAAAGGTTCTATAGGGTCGTGATGGACGGGGTTGATGGATTGTGAGTCGTGGTCTTCCCGTTCCCTTCTTTCATTCATTCTGTCGCCTTTTCGTTTCGGTTTCCGTATGTCTATGGAGGGAATCTTGGCTAACGGTTTTTGGCTCCGCTCTCTTCTTTCCGCTTTCGGTGGCGATTATGTTTGCTGCGGGCTTCTTTGTAGAGGAGATCCAGAGGAGGATGGAACAGGAATAAGGTGCGCGCTGTTGTCCATGATGGATTGTGATTCCTGTCCAAATAGGCGCTGGCTGATAGGGATCTCTACTAGGAAACGTGTATATCGAGTGGTGGCGGCGCTTATTAGGCAGGCGGACATCGATTTCCACAGGGAGATCGTCGCATGGAAGAGCCAGCAAGTGATACCTGATCGAACGTATTGTCAGTTGCTAGTCGAGCATCCGCTTTTCGTGACCCTATTCACGATGGCGTGTAAAGCGTACCGGTGAGTTCGTTGAACTTCGATCGACAAGCCCTTTCCTAACGAGAATGAACAGTGTGGAGTTGAGGCGTCAAATTGCGATGGTCCAGATGGCCCAGGCGGCAGCCAAAATGAAAGCTCGTGCAAAGTACGTTTCCCGGGGCGTGGTCCATCGACAAAGGCCCTGACCTAGACTCCAGTGTTGAGTGTACAAGTTGTTGCGATACATGTGCGGAAAGCGAGTGTCTTCGAGCACCGTGTGGCCACCCGTACTGCCCGTCTTGCGTGACGATGCTCGTCGAGAGCTCCATCAAGGACGAAGCAAGCTTCCCGCCCCAGTGCTGCAAGAAAGTGATCGACGGTCGCGCCGTCGCCCATTTCCTCGATCCTCGTCTCCGCTCGCGTTTCGCAGCCGCCTGTTTCGAGTATGGAACGCCACCCCCAGAGCGGGTGTACTGTCCCAATGCCCAATGTTCATCGTTCATCGGACCAAGAGGGACGGCTCCCAACATCCGGTGCAGAGCGTGCGGCGTCGGGGTGTGCACCAAATGCAAAAACCAGACACACCCGGGGGACAATTGCGAACAGAATCAGTTGTTGGAGCAGGTGCGCCAGTTGGCGAAGAAGTCGAATTGGAAAGACTGCCCGAGGTGCCATTCTATCATTGAGAAAATGAATGGGTGTAATCATATGGTGTGTCGGTGCGGGCAAGAGTTTTGTTATCGCTGTGGGACGCCTTGGAAGAAGTGTTCCTGTTGAAACTTGAAACACCGCCATGACGAGTTTAGAAAAGGAACTTACCACCTATCTTATGGCATTTGATATGTTGATGTACGTTTTATGAAGAAATGACGAACTTTACGAAGCAACATGCTTCCTGAATACACTTGATGCTGTAAGAATGGGTCGGAGAGAGGCCATAAGAATTGTGGTTTGTTGCGACTGTGGGCTCAGTGTCCATTACACCGGTTTGGCCCCTGGAGCTTGGACCTGGAGGTAGGAATATCCTGTGAATTCGGGACCTCCCCAGACACCTGCTTTGACGCCGGCGGAGCCTTCAAGAGCATTCCAGAGACAAATTGCGAACCAAGACAGGTCCTTTAGGCGCGCGGAGGCAACGTGGGCACATCGCCTCGGAAAGATCCGTGTGGCTGTGCCTTCTCCAAACAATCCCAATCTCAGACAACGGGCTCGGCAGTGAGCAGCCTTCCCCTCAGCTCATCGCGCTCGACGACGACCACGACGACCAATCTCACGATCGTAACGACGCTCTCAACGCTCCAAGTGACGCTCACAAGCGTCCAACGTCGTCTCTGAGCCACCTCAGTCCCAGCTCGCCATCGCGTTCGATCCTGGACCAGTTGCTTCCTTGGTGACCGTCGACGGCGTCGGCCAAACTCCCACTCGATATCGTCCAGCCTCGTCCGACGGCCATGTCTTATCACCAGGTCTCAGCCAACTCGCTCCAGCCAACAAGACCAGCACCCCAGGCACCGCAAAGACGAAACGACGCACAACCGCTGTACTCGTCGAACAACCTGCTCTCCAGCTCTGGATACAACCCTTCTTTCGCCTACTCGTCATCAACGCCCATAAACCAGAACTATTCACAGTCGTACTCTGGGATCGGTGGAACACCAAATCGTGGCGCAGACGATACCATGAACCAGCAGATTGTGCGGAACGGGAGTGTGAGTATGAAGGAGGATGGATTTGGCAACTGGCTATGGCAGAGAAAGTGGTTGATCCTGAGGGAGCAGGCCCTGACAATACACAAGAACGAAGTGAGTAACGAATATCCTCTTTTCAAAGGATATGCTAATCAGTGCTGTTAACAGAATTCACCGCACCAAACCATGATTCTCCTTCGCGACATCTCCAACATTGAGCGCACTGATTTGAAGCCATATTGCCTGCTACTCGAGACCAAAGACAAGCGATATTTCCTTTCTTTGAAGAACGATGAGGAGCTTTATGGTTGGCAAGACGATGTGTATTCGCGAAGCCCGCTGATGGGCTTCAGCAACCCGACGAATTTCGTCCACAAGGTCCACGTCGGTTTCGATCCTGTTTCAGGTGCCTTCACGGTAAGCCTTCATCAGAACGTTCTGCCGTGCCCCTGGTCCTGACTCAATTAATTCAAGGGTCTGCCCGAACAATGGAGCAAGCTGCTGACCAAATCTGCAATCACTCGCGAGGATTATGCCAAGGATCCCCAAGCGGTGTTGGATGTCCTAGAGTTCTATACGGATCGCCAAAAGCAGGAACTGGAAGATCTCTCAATAGGTGCGTGGTCACATACCCGTGCTCGGGATCCCCTCTGATCCCACGCTATCATTACTAGGTGCTCCTCCCCGCTTCAACGCTGGGACCGGCCTGGGAGGCCTTGGGAAGCAACCGGGCCCCGCTGAAATCCGCCCACTGCCCAAGCGCAACGAGACCTCACCGCCTGGCCTTACTGGCACGGATAGCGATAACCTTTCCAGCGCGGCCGCTCGTGCAGCTGAACACGTCAACGGATCTCATGTCGCGAACGCCATCTCCTCTGTGCAAGGTCCCCGAGGCCCTCTGCCTGTCCCCACCCTTCCTCAAGCCACCCGCGCAGCACCACCCCGTCCCATCGCGGCCTCTCGGCCACCTCCCCAGCCTCCCAAGGATGTCACTCCATCCACCGACGATCTCCGCAATCGCGTGAAGCCGCAAGGCCCCGTCCCTCTCCCCGTCCGCAACGATTCCCTCCCTACTGCCCCTGGAATCCATCAATCCGCCAGCCAGAGAAGCCAGCAAGAGCAACGCGAGCGCCAGCAGCAGCAGGAGCAGCGTCGGCTGGAGCAACGCGAGAGAGAGCGAGAGCAGCGTGAACGTGAGCGCGAGCGCGAGCGAGAGAGAGAGGAAAGAGAGGCGTATAGGGCTCAGCAAGAGCGACCCCCTCTCGCGCCTTCCAAGTCTGCTCCTGGGACTGCTCAGCCGGCGACGCAGCCTGCTACAGGCCCCGCTGGTGCCCTTGAGGGACCACCGCCGGTTCTTCCCCTCCAGCCCAAGAAAGTGCAGATCCAAGCGGCTGATAAGCCAGCGAAACCTGCCGGCGGTGTTGCTGCTGCCGCTGCGGCATTGGAGAAGCCCAAGGAGAAGAGGATCAGTACCATGACTGAGGTTCAGATCATGGAGAAACTGCGTCAAGTGGTATCAGACGAGGACCCCAAGCTTATCTACAGCAAGATTAAGAAAGTCGGACAAGGGTGAGTAAACACGAGGCCAATCGTTTCTTTTTGTTATTCCCTCGTTGGTACTTTTTGTTGGAGCGATGTCACTGACGAGACGTTTTTTGTGACTTCTAGCGCGTCTGGCCACGTCTATGTTGCGAAGGAGCTTGCCACCGGAAAGAAGGTTGCGATCAAGGAGATGGATCTCTCACACCAGCCGCGTAAAGAGCTCATCGTCAATGAGATCTTGGTGATGAAGGAGTCGCAGCATCCTAACATTGTCAACTTCTTGAACTCGTATCTCGTGAAGAACAATGAGCTATGGGTGGTCATGGAGTACATGGAGGGAGGTGCGTTGACGGATGTTATTGAGAATAACACGTTGGAGGAAGATCAGATCTCGAGTATCTGCTTGGAGGTGCGTGGTTGGCGCTATGAGATAGGAACGTAACTGACGTTGACGTGACTGTAGACTTGCAAGGGTTTGCAACATCTGCATAGCCAGAGCATCATTCACCGTGACATCAAGTCCGACAACGTCCTTCTCGATGCTCAGGGTCGGGTCAAGATCAGTGCGTGTGCCCCCTGTGACATTTATCGCCACATTCTGACGTTTTCTTCAACAGCTGACTTTGGCTTCTGCGCCAAACTAACGGACCAGAAGTCGAAGCGGGCGACCATGGTTGGTACTCCCTACTGGATGGCTCCCGAAGTCGTCAAGCAGAAGGAGTACGGTGCCAAGGTCGATATTTGGTCGCTTGGTATCATGGCGATTGAGATGATTGAGAACGAGCCTCCCTATCTCGACGAAGAACCTCTCAAGGCGCTGTATCTGATCGCTACCAACGGAACTCCCACTCTGAAGAAGCCTGAGGCTCTGAGCAAGGAGCTCAAGAGCTTCTTGGCGGTGTGTCTCTGCGTGGATGTTGCTAGTCGGGCGACTGCCATTGAACTTTTGGATGTGAGTGCTCTTTTTTTCCTTTGAGGTGGGCCGATGCTGATCGCCGCGGTACCTGCCTTTTTACAGCACGAGTTCTTGAAAAAGGCGTGCCAATTGTCCGGGCTAGCTCCACTTTTGCGCTTCAAGACCAAGCAAGCGTCCTAAACGCTTGTGTTGGTCGTTTATGATTGATTGATTCGTTCTTTCTTCGTCTATCTGTGTTTCTTCTTATAGTTGTTTGTTTGTTTTTGTTCCACCCATATACCGATATTCAAGATTTAAGGATACGACCTCCCTCACCATGAACTATCCCCCCTAATGCTTCGTCGTCTTTCTGTCTTGTTTCTTTAAACCTCATGTGTGCCCTTCATTCTACCGTTGCCTGGAATTTACATGTTTCACTCGGTGCCCCCCTTTTTCGACGTTGTCTCCTTTTAAGCAGGTGCTTTCTGTAAATTCTTCTTCTCTATCTTTCCCTTCCTCCTTCCTTTTGCACATTTTGTTCTTTTACAATTACGAGATCCCTTTTTTTTGTCTTTTATTATTACCCCCCTCTTGTCTGTTTGTTTGCTACACCCTCCATGTATTTGTTGCCGAATGTGTAACCTCTTTTTTTCGCCTGTTTCTTACTCTCTTTCGTGGATTTGTTGGGGGGTTCGTCATTATGAAGCCTACGACATGTTGGAATGAGCCTGTTTTTCGTGGAAATACAGGTTGCACTGTGTTTCGTTGATTCTCTTCCTTCTGTTTCATGTCTCACTTCCTTTTCGTCCTGACGGCCCACTTTTCTCCTCGGAAGGGTTACATTGGGGGATCGTTTCTCTGTTTCCATTGCTATTGTATGGGAATCAGGGTGTCAGCATCTCAGTCCGGATTGCCTGCGAATCCGAGGACATTGCCTGCTAGTCATCAGAGCGAGGAATCCGGCCGTCTGATATCCTGTTGAAAGCTATTCATACAGATGTTCGATACTTGTTTACAGAATCCCGAGTTCAAGAAAGAGAATTCCATTCTAGTAACCCAATCTTTGATTCTGCCACCCATTCAAGGCCGCTGGTACCGGTACCCTTGCTTCCTTGCGACCTGCACGCTGCTTACGAGGGTCGTTCACTGTCAGGGAGGACGATGGTGATGGAGGTCAGGGTGGACGGTGTTGATGAGCCTGTGTTGGTGGATGTGGCGGCTCTGGGCCGTCAGACTCTGGCCGTCGGTAGCGTCTAATGGTACCCGTGCGATCTCGTCGTACTTGGGTGGACCCCCTTCTGGTTCGTAGCGTGGTAGGGGAGCATCCTTGTCTGGGTCTGCTCTTCGTCCAGCTGTCCCACCTGCGTATGCTATAGGTGGTACCTGGAGACTGGTTCCACCGGACGTTGAATCGTTTGCTCCAGCCTGGTACGAAGGGTAGGCGTAAGAGTAGGTGTAGGTGTAGTCGAGATGGGGTTGTTGGGTGAGGAGGTCGGAGGCGTGGCTGGTGTCGCGGCGGTGGTGGTGCCTGGATTGGCGGTCTGAATGGTGCTGGGGGTTGGACCGTGGCCTCCGAGATCGACGAACGACTGTTATTGAGTGTGCGGCCTGTCCTTGGGATTGGGACGCTGTGTGTAGAGCGCGTAGACGGCGTCTTGTCCAGTATAATCTGAGTGGAAAAGCTATCAGGAACTCTGAGGAAGCCCTGTGGGGTGGTTGGACCAACCTGTGGAAGAGGACTGTCCCGACTACGAAGAGGCCGAAGACTAGGAATGTGTATTCCAGCAGGTTCTAAGCGAGGAGATTGTCAATAATTGGGGAGGAAAGACTGGATGAGCAGCGTACAGTTCGACCTTTAGGCTTCGACTCTGTAGCGTCTCCTTCTTCCTGAGTCACCGCTCCCTGCAGCGGTACATCCTGCGGACGTCGAGGAACCAAGACCATCGTCTCGAGGGGCAGATCAAGGGAAAGAGCAAGCCACAAAGCCCTGCATTCCACGCAAGTCGTTTCTAAAACCCGTCTGCTTAAGCCATGTGGTAATAGGATTTTAGTGGTGGGGCATCAGGGAATTCGATTTCCCCTGGGAGCAGCTCAGTTCTTGAGGCGGCGCGGTTTCGAGCAGCGAAAAGAAAGGGGCTGGAACCAAAGCAAACTTAGGGGCGCCGAGCGGAGGACCTCGGACCTTGTTTCGGCTTGATGCGCGGATCACGGATGTCACGTGGTGGAAAACTGGATTCTCCAGCGAAACGGTCGGCGGTCGCGGGTAGCTTGAGCTCGTCGTTGTTCCCGTCGTCGTCGAAATGCGCCCTACGCAGATTTTGCAGAAGGGGAGGTCTGCCTGGAAGGGTGAGTACTGTGCTTGGTTATTTGAGTGTGATGATGCTGAATAGAGTGTTTGGTAGGCCCTTACTTTGTTTCGTTCCCTAATTTGAAGGAGGCCATTACCAACCATACTACCATTAACACCACCGCTCGCTCGTGTACTATTCTGCCAAACTTTGTTGGGTGCGTTTAGTAGGCTTTTTGGCCTTCAATTGGAAGAACCGAGTCCTGACCCCGACGTGTAGAGTTCGGTTTGGCGTTCATAACGGCAAGGAGTATGTCCCAGTGCTCGTGACGCAGGACATGGTTGGCCACAAGTTGGGAGAGTTTGCGCACACGAGGAAGAGGTTTACTTTCAGGTGTGTTGTGCGTCGTTTCTATGGCGTTCTAATGCTGATTGAGGTCTCGTATCTTCAGGCAAACGAAGCGTTCATAGATGGCATATATGTGTATCTTATGGTCCCTGCTGCGCCATGCTCTCAAAATCCCTCCACCGCAGCCTTCGCCTTCCCGGTACGGCTGGACGCCCTCAGGCTCTACCGAACTCGAAACCAAGGCGGAGCCGCGCCGGAGAAGTTGTGTATTCCGGTTGTGGTGTTATACTTAGGACATAGGAGGATAGGGCCTCACGGTGACCTCTTCCTACTTAATATATCATTTGACATCTCCAAAGCTCAGCCTGATGAACCGCCTATGGGTGAACCTTGCCTCCTGGGGAAGGACCCTCTTTCTTATGCTATATGGAAAGCACAAGAACGCCGATACGAACGTATCTCCACTTGAGGCTCTGGTACACCACGAGCCTTGTCATTGGTTTGCCGCGCCTTGGGGTTTTACAGCTTTGCTTCGACAATGTTCTTTGAGCTCATAACAAGATCGTTTGCGTGACAGAGCACGGCCATGGTGGGTTTGGTGACGTCTGTCGTGTCCAGTCAATGTATTGAGCTGACTGTACTTCCAGCACTTGGGCACGTTTCGTTCATCCCTATCATTCGCGTGCGCTTCCGGATGGATGTTATTCCAACTCGTGTCCTTTGTTCAGTCTTTAGAGCTGGCTCTGTCTTGTCTTTCCTGGCTTCCGACTTCCATTCTACGCGGGAGCATGGCTGGTGAGATCACACTTCCCGAGGCAGAGAAAGTGGACACTGGAACGTGAAGAGTCCAAACATGATTGCTCACAGCCTCGACAGAAACGATTGAACACCGCACCAGTTCCAACTCAGCGGTTCTCTTCATGGTGTGTTGGGGTGTTGTCGTGTATGGAAAATGGGGTTGGTTTTTTGTGGGTCAGTTGTCTGGTCTATTGTCTTTTGGAAGGAGCTCTAATGAATTGATCTAGGCTAGGCAGGCCTATGGCACGGGAGGATGGAGTGTCACTCTCCTCTGTTGCCTAGGAATGTGGATTAACACTTCGATTGGACTTGGTGCTTCAAGATGTCTTTCTCCCTCTTCATTTCAGGTCGAGTCCCACGACTCGCCGTTCCACCGAGTCAGTCGACTGCCTCTGGAGCCCTCCACCTCCAAAAACTTGCTCTACGGTATCCCCCTTTCCACCCGCGCCAGGATTACGGGTCATTCATGACTGCAAACACTTCACTCTATCACTCTTCGAAAACCAAGTATGATCGACATTAAGTACACGTTGAGGCGTTCTTTTTTACAGCTTTAAGCCGCGAGGCGATATAGTTGCGCGTCATATGTCCATGGTGATCGTGGATTGTGGCTCGTCATTCCATGGTGACCGTACGAACCCATAGCCCAGTTTTTACTAGATTATCGCACCGAGCACACCAGTGGGCTGAGGTGTGCTTGATAACAGCTGCAGTGATCGACAGAGGAAGGACGTTTGATTGGACAGGATGGTCACTGCCTCGTCTATGGGTACATCCGCAGGAACCACACTCGTCACATCCGCCACCCGATTAAGCAATCCCAAGGGTTCTCAACGAAACTCGCCGCACAGCGACGCACCCAGACGCTTCTTTTGGAATTCACAGCCACCCGTCATGCAGCTCAAGTGACTCGCTGATTAGCACTTGATTAGAACCCCCGAGGTGCGAGGCAGAAGGCGGTGACGATAGAAATAACCTGAGCTATTATTGATAGCGAAAGCTATAAAAGCCCTTTGTGCTGTGGAACTGCCTTCCGGTAAGGCACCCCCCTTCCTTCCTTTGCACTTCCCTTTGTTCCGGTGTATCCGGCGCTCGCTGTCTGGTTCCAGCGCTTATCACGATTAGTATTGGCAGTGCGCTCGGCATTTTCTTTACAGCAGTTGTGGTTAGGCGCTCGTGTTTTTGAAGACTACTTATAGTTGGCGGGTTTGGCTTCTTCAAGGGGCGGTATTAGTGGTTCACTGGCCGGTTGGAACCCTCTCATTCATCCACGGTTTGGAGCATCGAGTGAGATGAACCGGCGACATGGGTTTGAGGGTGCGTTGGGGATTGGTGGGGGTGGGATTGTCAGTGCTGAATCTGAAGCGAGGTGGGTTATCTTTCCGCTTGTAGCTTATTTTTGTTATCGATGGATTGCGGATTGGCTTCCATCTCGTCCTCCACTACTCTCCTCGACGTTCCATGTGCACCGCTCTAACGCATCCCCTTCCTCCTTCGTATCCAGCCTCAACAAAGCCCGCGACCTCGCACGAAAGGGCAAACCCAAAGAAGCCCTCCCGCACCTCCTCAAAGCGCTCGACGACCGCAACAACCTCGACGCCATGGTCGAGATGGCCTTCCTCTGCCCCACCGTCGAGCAGACGATCAAGATGCTCGAGCGAGCCGAGTTGCGAGGGCGCTTGATGCTCAAAGAGAGGTTTGGGCCCAAGTGTTTTGACGATGATGGAGGGCAGGTGGGGAATTTTTGGGATATACTTGAGACGAGGCCGTATATGCGCGTGCTGCAGGCGCAGGAGAAGGTTTATTGGGAGACGGGGAGGTATTCCAAGTCTACGTGAGGATCGTTTTCGGTTTATGTTTCAAGTTCGTTAGTTGGCGGTATAGCTGATGGCTCTAATTATAGTGCTGTACAAGAGGAACTCCTCCGCCTCCGACCAGGCGATAACCTCTCAATCCGCAAAAGCCTAGGCACTGCACTCATCCGCAACAAGCGCTACGCCGACGCGCTCTCCTTTGCGCAACAGTGGATCGCGCCCGACCGTAAACGCACCCCTCCCCGCGGGGGGACAATCTACTCTCCGCCGAACCCAAAGCCCTACACGCCCGAAGAGGAGAAAGGCTTGGGTCAGTATAAGAAGTGTTTCTGTGATTTGATGCATACGGCTGCGCTGGCGTCGTTCAAGCTGTATGGGGATTGTGAGCAGAGCAGGCAGTATTTGAGGGTGGCGGCTGCTTCGAATCCGCATATTTTGGTCAAGATTTTGGGGAAGAAGACGAGGCCTGGTGTGTATTACGCTTCATTATCGGTTCAGGCGACTGTACTGACGCTTGTGGTTTAGAAACGGTCAATCATAACCCGAGAGCGCCCAACGGCCCTGAAGACGCGCACGATTACTTGTGGTATGGACAGGATCTGTGGATGAAACCCGACGTGTGGAATTGGGTTAATAGCCGGGAAGATGTCAAGGAGATTATCCTGAGAACGTGCAATCATGTTGGGTGCTCGGCGAGGGAGACGGAAGTCGCGCAGTTTAAGAGGTGTTCTGCTTGTCGTCTGGTTTGTCTTCATTCTTTCTCCGAGCTCGTGAGATGGTACGAGGAAGGGATAGCTTGCTAACGGTATTCGGAATAGGTAGTGTATTGTGGACAAGAATGTCAGAAGGAGGATTGGAAGAGGCATAAACCAGGTTCGTCCGTCCCCTCGATTCGCTTTTGTAAACTCGAGTGGAATCAATCAACCTCGTGGCGTAGAGTGTAAGCAACACCTCAAGCTGAAGAGTACCATCAAGAACTGGAACAACGGGAGACCCGTTGCCGCAGACGCACCCATGCTGCTCTCACCAGAGTGGAATGCCGATGGGCTGGTTGTTTCTGTTCCTGCTCGCAGGCCTGGCTAAGTGCCGGCGATGCGAAGAGGGACTGAGAACTTGCCCAGTCAATGGCTTGGTGCTCCACTGGCAATACTTTCGCACCAGTTGGAAAGGGCCGTTTATGATTGTCTCAGGGACTATAGCCGCAGGAGGGCTTTCTTTTCTCGATTCACTTTTCTTTCTGCAATCCCCGTGTTTAAAACTGTAATCAAAACATTCCCCATGCTCATGTATCATTTATGTGCGCTCAAATGTCCCCAACCTTCACTAATGTATATTCTGTACCATCCCCTATGTACTTGTATCCCTTCGCTGTACGTTTTGGCCGGCCAATTTCATCATTTATCTATGCACATAATGCACTTGACGAATTAGCGCCAGAAGCCCACCGTCACGCGTTGTTAGGATGACACGTCTCCACCAAACAAAGGCTTGGGAACATTTTGATTTTCCTCCGACGTCACGCTCACGGTCGTTCCGCCCAGCGAGCGCGCACCAAAACAACCACCATGAACCTCTGCCGGCCACAGCACGCTCGTTCCTCCCTAAAATCCCTCACCCAAAACTCAATATGCTATAACAATGCCCCCTGCCAACGGCGCCTCATCTCAAACTCACCCTACGGCCGCGCACACGTCTGGAAACGACGACCACCCGTGCTGCCCAACCCCGTCGTCCCCAAATTCCCGCAACAAGTCATCCGCTCGGACGGAACTTCTTTTATTCAATGGACGACGTCGCCGAAGAGTTTGGTTCGGCTGACGAGGGACACGACGAACAACCCGATGTACAACCCTGCTGCTGCCAGCGGACGTGGTGTGGAGGAGGAGAGTGGGACGACTGGGAGGTTGGGCAGGTTCAATAGGAGGTATGAGGAGCTTGGAGCGGAGATTGGGGAGATGGCGACGCCTGTTGAGGAGCCCGCTGCCAAGAAGGAAGCTGCGAAGCCCAAGGAGGCGAAGAAGGCGGGCCAGTCGTAGACCGTGCTGCTTTAGAGGTGTGTTCTGGATGGAATTCTTTTGTATTTGTTTGACTGATGATGTGCTTAGTACTACTATCGGATTATAATTCACGTTAATTTCACTGCTTTCTGCATCACTCTATAGAGAAACTCGTCGCCACACTTCACGCGTACGTCGCATTTCGGGGACCAATTTAATGGAGCTGCTGTGCACATACCGTATTACGACTTTCACCAAAGGCACTTAAACTGTTGTCAACTCTTGGACAGTTTCAGCCTGGGTTTGAAAGCTGTGAAAGTGGGAGTTGCAGTCACCGCTCTCCAGAAATTCGACTGTGGGTCCTCAATTGACTGGAGTGCTACCCTCAAGACCCTTGATACCACAAAGTCGGCTATACAAGGACGGTAGATGACCTCCCTTTTCCCTAGCTACCTGTTGCTTTCAGTCACTGCTGTTGAGAATATGCGTGCATAGCCCATTAGCCTTTCGAAGCCAACTCATCCTCGATGGTCAGCCTTTTCCCAGTAGAATCCCACTCTATAAAAGGGGGGACGGGACACATCCAGTTGTCTTCAGCCAAGTCCCTCCTTTCTTCGCTAATAATGCTCAACTTCAAAGTCCCATTTCTTACTAGCGCCGACACACCCGCTGAAGGTCCGGGTCCCAGCGGTCCTAATGCTCAGAGAAAGCGCGCTCAGAAGAACTCCCGGAACGGGCCCACCAATTCAACACCAACGACTCCACCCATGCAACATGCAGGCACTGGCACGAAGAATGTCCGGAGGACGCTACCTGCCGTGACGTCCAACCTCCGTCCTTTAAGGGCGCGTATTCCAAGGCCAAGGGCCGCCCGCACCGTGTCCTGGTCCCACTACTTCGTGGTAACTTTATTGGTAACCTGCTACATCCAATGTCTGGTCTACGATTTCCTGGCCCGGATTGCCCTTCGTGATTATATGTATCCAAATGTTGTCCGCTCCGGGTACTACAAGCGATAGGATGGGTCGTCCTGGGCCTGCTGCTGCGCGTTCGGATTCGAAGGCGCATCAATGGTTTAAAGGTCCTAGAGGAGTGGGTTTGTTTGCCTAAAGAGATTGTTGATTTATCACCGATTGTTACGATTGTACAAGCCTACTTGGGTTCGGTTTTATCCTATGATTACTGTGTTTGTCCAGGACCGAAGGATAGTCTGGATAGAGCGCTAATTGTAGGCGCGCGGAGACCGGTGGTTTCCTGGCAACCGTGGAATGGAGAGGCAACAGTCTACATGATCACCTCCGTACTAAAGACCTTGGCTATTATTGTAAGCAGGATTCAGCCCGCCACTCTTCCAGGCGCAGGGGTCCTTTCTGCACCGCGTCGAATGACCGAATGCTGTGAGACAATGGACGACATGGTATCTCATTCAAAGGTTCTTCCATGACCTGGTTCACCACAGCACAGAGTGACTAGTGCGCAGAGGTGTGTGTACGTGTGTGTAGGGATACTTGCAGCATATTAGAATATAGACCTCGTTGCACGACTGCAGAAACGACTCTCTTATTTCCTTAACAACCAGCTCGAGAGGGGCCTACCTCTGCATTAGCTTGTTGTGCTGTACCGTTGAGAGGTTTTGGACTTGGCCACTGTCGTTCAGCGAACAATTGCTTTACACGGACGCGCCACACTTGCATCGAGTTTGTGGCTTGGACCATTGAACGCGAATGCCCCGTAGGTAGGGGAGGTATATAAAAGGAGTTGAAGGGTACTATGTATCCGTCCCTGATCTCTTCATCCCAGGTCAAAAGAAGTACTTCGCAGGTCGACTCTGTAAAATTCACCTTCAGCCCATAGTAATGGCTTACAACGAACCTAAATACCCTGGTGGTTTCGTCTCTCCAGAGGAATACTACAGATTGTACCCTGATGCGCCTGGTGCGCACCCTCCACAGCCGTACGTTTACCTTCAGACCTCGCCTCTGAAGCCTAATCTAACGCTTTCTTCTGGGTTGGCACCAGCTCCCTCTCACGACAAAACGCCCAATACGGCAACAGCATCATCCAGAAACCCCGTCAAAAAGCGTACGCCTGCGTTGCGTGTGCGAGGAACGTCGTCTACAAGCCGCATTCTGATGATATTTGCTCTCATTATTGCATAAACTGCCTTTCGACGCTGTTGCCGCAGAATCCTGGGGTAGACAAGTGCCATGTATGTCAGAAGAGGTTTCCGGTTCAAAGTGAGAGTGATGGAGGGGAATTCAAACAAGCAATATTTGGTAGTACTTCTCGTCATCGTCGGCGTCGGTAGAGCGGATAGCCGTTTAACAACAGGTATGTTATATCATACCATACTGTCCCTCACCTCTTGTTCGTTTACACCACTTGTTCGTTTTGATGGTGATGGGCCATCGTCTTTACTCAACTCCGCTGTGTACGAGCCTATGGGGACGCGCCTTTCAGCTGATGGATGTGATGGCACTGATGTAGGCCATATTTCCTCCTCGTTCGGTTTCACCAATTCCCCTTCGTTTTTCGTCATTTAAAGTACATAATCATGCTCAGATTCACTCAGAATAACTGTATACCAAGTTATATGACGATCGGGGCAGTGGAAACCGTGAAAACGAACATGTGGTGTAAACGAACAAGGGGTGAGGGACAGTACAGGTAGGAATGTCCGACCCCTACACGTATGGTATATATCACGTGAGATTATAAGCGATTGTCTTCATTACAACGAGCTATCATCAGAGAAACTGCCATAACGGGCCATAACCTGGGCAGTCTTGGGAAACTGCATCCCTGCCTCTGCGGTTTTGGGAAACTGCATCTCTACAACCGCGCGAGGAGAGGATTCAAATGAATAAAATGAATATCGCTATGCGTCCATTACAAACAAATTGCCCTTTGGTTTATGTCTGGCTTCCTTAGAACCAAAACGCAGTGCCGGAAGAACCGAAGCATACAGTATGCCTCTCCCTCGACGTAGAATAAGGACCCGCCACCTCACCTCACCTCATGCAACTCTAGACGATGGTGTGTGACCCTCCAGGCCCTTCACAAAGCCGGGCAAGACCTGTAATTTCAGCGCAGCCAGACTTGAGTTGACTTCCAGTCTTATGGGACCGGAACACCGGGAGATCTCTGGAGCCAGTCTCGGGATACCCCGAGTGAGACGCGGTAATGTAATGTGTAGCACCATCACCCTCAGTCTTCAATGCCGGGGCGTCGACTTCATCCGATCACTTCTAAACCCATTCGGATTCAGGAACAGAAAACCGCACAACACACACGCACTGCCAACCTCCCGGATGCCGGGCAAAATGACTTCACCACTGTTAGCCCCGACCCGCCCGGATCCGGTATCAGAAAACCACCAGACATACACCCATTGTCACGCTCCAGCTCTAGTTGCACCGAATGCCGGGAAGGCAACTCTATTTTCGCCCCAACTACGCCCAGCGAAAGGCACCCATAGCGTAAAAATGTACATTTATTCAGTTGTCAATAAAACAGCACTTGTATTATTTTAGACCAAGCGCCTTCCGCAAGCGAATCCGATTCCATACTGACAAAAACGTCTTGGTGTAAATTATTGCCCTCGATTGAGACATGTAGCTGACCGATTTGCGAATTCTCTTCAGAGCACTGTTGCCACACTCCGCAGCGCTCGAGTTGATGGACACCAAACGTGGATCGGTATTGGCATATTCGGACAAGAATGCGGCGCGAGAGCACTTGCTATGCCCAGTGCTGTGGAAATGGTCAATAGCAAAGTGTGTGTTTTGAAAGAAATGAGGCTCGCGAAGCATACAATATGGCCCCAACGCGCAAGCAAAGTCGTAGATCACCCGCTTAGGAGCCACAGGCCAGCGGGTCACCATGGCTGCGAAGACGTCATCCCGACCTTCGCTCTCAGCGATGCAATGGAACCCGTAGCAGATGCTGTGCGTGCACCAGGCCACCATAATACCCCCCGTCAGGCGTTGTTCACCATATTGGGCGAAGTATTTTCCGCATTTGTCCCCCCTCTTCCCCGACTTATCTTTGCGCCCATCCTCCCTAAGGCCTGGATACAGTGGCCGATGGCGCACCTGGGGCATCGCATATAGGCATCCGGTCTTCATGCAGCACCAATAGGTCAGTGAAGTGAGCGGGGTATATATTACAACCTGCAAACATACCTTCTTCCAGTCCTCCGGGTGGGGGACAGAATCCAAACCCAATGCGCGGGGCTCCACTTCGGGACACTAGTATCCAGCCGAAAAATCTCTTTTTTACGGTAATTACCGCGTTTTAGAAATGTCTGTTGCCGGAAAAATGCCCCGGCAACTTTTACCATGCTATATACCCTCGGTAATACCGTAAATATCATTATTTACGGTATTACCGAGAAAATCGCTTTTTTTCGGTAATACCGGGCGACAGTTGCCTCTCGGTAATACCGGAAGCCTTTTTTATGCTTCGGTAATGCCGGAGCATCGGTTTCTAATCGATCGGAATGCGAAATTATTGATGGGATTGATTATGTATCAAAAAGCCACATTTTAAAAGTTATATGTCTACTCTTATTTTATTATGGCCTCTCGGGGCGACATCTGATAAGATTAGTGTGCACCCGGGGTGCCCGTTAGGGTTTGGGTTAGGTTTAGGGTTGGTTAGGGTTTGGTTTAGGGTTGGGTTTCGGTTAGGGTTCGGTTAGGGTTAGGGATCAGGGTATATATTTATTTTACGTTACGTTCAATAGTAATTTAGGGTTAGGTTTGTTAGGGTTTGTTTGTTAGGGTTTGGTTTAGGGTCCTTAGGGTTTGGTTTAGTGTTTGTTAGTGTTTGGGTTCACAGCACGATTTCGCCGCAGGCGAAATCGTGCGGTAATTACCGAGCGATCTTTCGCTCGGTAATTACCGGAAAAATAAATATCGCTCGGTATTACCGAGGAATTACTTACCTACGGTAACGGACATTTCTAAAACACGGTAATTACCGTAAAAAAGAGATTTTTCAAGTGGATACCACCCCTTCGGGAAGAGGCGACTCGACCTTCAAGCCGTTTAGAACCTCTTCAGCGCGCTCGAGAATCCATCTCAGCACCGGAACCAAAGCGTTGGTGTCTTCATAGGCCTTGAAGAGCTGGTAGACCGCGGGGATGGGGATCAATAGTGAAAACCGATCAGAGCAAGGATTCTGCAAGAACGAACGGATAGCGTCCATCGATGGCGCATTTACTAATTGCAAAACTGATTCTTCTGCAGATATCTAAAAGCCCATTATCAGATACCTGACACATTTGCAGAACAGAAGTAATAAAGCGCTTACCTGTCGGAAGAAGTTCTTGCATACGCTCGATGGCGATTCTCGTTGGGCGTAAGTCAACCTGAACACATTGTCGAAAAGGTTTGACAGGGCTGGGCAAATTTCGAGAAGCCCTTCCTTCACGCGGTCCAGACGATCCAGGTGGTCCTGTATCAATTTGGCCTCCCATAATCGGTTTGCCTTCGTAGGCGAACCGGTGGTCATGGACAGTTCTTCTTCCTCCCAATCAGATAGGCTGTCCAGACTCGGGGGATCCATAACCAAACGAATCGTCCGTCGCAGCTTGGGATTTTGAATGATATGCTGGTGTGGCTGATACCGGATTCGCTCGCGGACCAGAGATTCGGCAGATGGGGTTGTCGGTGGCTTGAGTGTACTTCGAAGATGCTTGCGGCTGAAGGCAAGGGTAATTCCGTCCCAAATGACGGTCTCGGGGAAGTCTCCACATCGCGCACATTTCATGTCGTCGTCGTACTGCTGTAGGGAAACGTAGCTGAACCATATCGCTCGGAAAAGGTCTTCCCCCATAAAGGTTTGACCCGAATTCCTGTACCGTCGCGCCATGTGTTGAACCCATGCGGAGAACGGCGTTTCAGACAAAGTGTAGGCACTTGTATACTCGTCAAGCAGCTCGTGCGACACCAAAATCGAATTGTTGTAGTTGAAGAGGCCTCGATCACGAAGATCAGGCCCGATGTAGCGGCGTCGAGAAGGCGGACACGTTGGGCAGCGTTGGACCTCGAGAGTGTGTTCCAACGCAACGGAAAAGGTATAGATCCTGCATTGGCGAAGTTCAATAGGACCCATTGGATTGAATTTAGTCCTTCCAGAAGCACAGGGACAGGACCCATCCATGTCCAGACGCAGAGGCCCATCCGGAACAGATCGAAATGGCAGAGGGCGAGGGTACAACTCTGGATCATTTGGTAAGGATGCCCATGCAGGTACGTGTATGCGGCGGTACGAGATCGTCCCAGATCTAGCAGTCCCTGATATTATGTGTATCAGTAACGTCTTCTCCCGTTCAAAGAGAGTTCGGACGCACCTAACTCGGTCAAGGACCTTGCAATTTCATTAATACTTCGACCTTCTCGCCCAGATCCTTCGACTATATCTCCCAGTCCTCCTACCATTTCTTGAACCCGCCTGACGTGAACACAACCACCCTGGCCGTGGTCCTTGGAACATCTCCAGGTGCCCACCCAAGTCTCCGATGATCCCGTATGACGCACGATCGCCCGCCCCCTGAGTGCAGAGCTTGAAGATGACTGGACCGAGAACATTGAGACCACCTCCTCTGTGGGCAAGGAGCGTTGAAGGAACAATACTGCAGGGGACTCTGGACGGCAAGTAAAGCTCTAGTCAGATACCGAATATATCCCAGGCATACCTGTATTCCGTTCCTCCCGCATATCCATCAGCGACTCGATCTCGAAATGTTTGAAAAAGGCCTGATGCACGCAGGCGTCCTCCATGCCACTGGGGCAAGTACAAGCGACAAGGATTTCCCCGTCCAAAGTCTCGTACTCCAGGTGGTGCCAATGGTCCTGGTGAGGAATTCAACCTCTGAACAGACATAACATGACGCTACCTGGGAGTTTTTACTCACCGTCGTCTGTTTCCTTTCAATATCCCATCCCTGAACCACGAAGAGATTCCTCTCCAGGTGATAGAAGCCCGCGACATGGGCGTTTATTGCGTCCACGAAGGCGTCCAAATCAGGTTCGGATATCTCGGACTGAGTGTCGGGACTGCCCGAATGGGCAGGTTCGATCTCCGAGTTTCCCGAGACGGGATCATCCACGATCTCTGATAACTCCCGGTTCCCCCTGACCACCTCCTCTTCAACACGCTGTTTCTTGCGCCTCCCAATATCCTGGCGCGGCTTCGGCTTGATGGTCACAGTCCTTCTATTTTTCGTTGGCGAATCCCAGTCCTCCTCCCTGGCCGCATCAAGTAGAGCCACTGGGTAGTCATTGGCCGTGCTCTCGTCGTCGCTGTCGTCCAAAATCCGGCGTCGTCGACGTCGACTAGACATTTGGAGGAAAGAAGAAACAATCCGAGTGGTTGTTTCTAGCCCCAGGGGTACACGTGTTTTTGCGGACAAACACGGTGAGAATCGCACTGGCACGATCCGCCTCCACTGATTTTTCTACACCTCACCAACTAACCTCTCCTCCTATATGATACCCACTGCAGCTCCCAAGAAAAAGCGCGCGCCTAGGCGATGTATGAGATGTCCCAACAGGCCGTTACTCTCGACTTGTGAGCATCGCTTCAGGAAGCCTCGCCTCGAGGTAAGTCTTTTTCTGTGCTGGCATGCCAAAACCAAAAAACAAAAACCCCCCAAAAGACTACAGGAGTTCCGTCAACCCCCAACACCAATGTAACCTCGACGGCAACGACTATCCCGCCTATCCCGCCTCCCATAGACCCTTTACTTTTGGAGGAAGAACGCCTAATGCGGGAGACAGCCCTCCTACGCGACGGCTTGATGCAGTCAGCGGGCCCTGCAAACATCGATGAACAGCCAGAAGAAGACGGTGGAACACGGACCCCTTCACCTAGGATCGATGGACAATCCCAGACCCAGCACATGGGGTCTCCAGGCGCGCCTGCAAGTGACGAGCCGCAGCAGGAAGGCGGCGGTGGACCACATACCCAGGCACGTACCGTCGAAGGCGAAACCCAGACCCAGCCCCCGCGTACCCCATCCCCTGCAGTCCAAAGCCGGTCCCCATCCCCTACCCCATCCCCTGCTATGCAAGACGAGCCCCAGTCGCAACGTCCAGGCAAGGAGGCGACCCGCCGGGTTAAACGTATCCAACCGTCGGGGGTGAACCACTTCCATGGGTTCGTTGAAGGTGCGGGACGTGGATCAGAGGAATACCGTGAGTGCTTTCCCTATTCATCATCCCTGAACATGCCTGAACTTTGGAATGCTCCTCTTCCCAAAGGTGTATATCGTGTCCGCGAACTCAAACCCCCCATCACCGACGAAACCAAGGCCACGAAGGATCTCGAACGGTGGACGATCGACCTACTCTCTCGTGTACGTCTACTTCCTTTCGTCTCGTTCTCGACCGTGGCTCAATGCTCTCCGGCAGTGCGAAGCGATTTCGACTCGATCTGGATGTTGGCTTTACATGGCTATCCAGCACCCCGCTGCTAGGACACCGTTCGTCCACTTCATGTCGCGAAAACTCAGGAGGGATGCACCTGAGGCCTGCAAGCTTATCCATCGAGAGGTTCGTCAGACCATGAACGCTCTCACTCGAGCGCATCGTCGCGGAAGGGTTGAGCTAGAGGTGGAGTTGGAGAAAACGAAGGATGACCTTGAATCGGCGCAGAAGCGTGCGGAGGACGCTGAGAGGGCCCTGGAAGCCTTGAAGGCGAAACTCGCAGCTAGCCTCCAGGGGTCCTCACAGGCTACCGACTTCCCTCAGGATACTCAACCCGAACAACCTGTCCATCCTGAGGAGTAGGGCGTTCTACTCGTATGCGTACACACTAATACATGTAACGAATTGAATTGTCTTTATTATCGTTTCGTTTCTAAATGGCATTGGCCCTTTCCTGAGTGGCTGTGATGCAAAAACCTACAAGACCAGAATTTGCGAACCATGGAATCACCACGACACACCCTACTCTCACAATCCAATTGTAATAACAAAGTTTTCACCCTATTCTACTGCTGGAATAAAAGCTCGTTTCCTCTGTATGCGGTTATAAGGGTCTCTACTCCACTGTGTACCAGAGCATCAATGTCCTCCACGAGAACCACGGCGTCTGCGACTTCTTTGAGCATCACTTCGACGTTTCTCATCAAATCCCCAGCACCGGCCAGATTGTAGACAGTGTCATAGTGAATGGAGATCTGTTTCCTAAGAGTCTCCAGACGATTTGCGTGATACGAAGCCGTCGCCTTGGCTTCGTCTTCAGAGAGCCCCGCCTCGTAGTCTTTGAAGAGTTGCCGACAGACACTCCTTGCGTACTCCTCTGGGCCTGGTCCTATGACACGCTTGTACGTAGCATAAATGACCTTTGCTGCCGCAAGAGCCCGCTTTGCCCTGTCGTCTACCGTAGGGCTGTCGACAGTGGCTTAGCTGGGGTCTTCAAACTGCAATTGGTGAACTTACATTGTAGACTTAGCTCCTTCTCCCACCTTCTCTCCCAGCTTCATCCAAGGTCTCAACTCCTTCCTGGCTCGCCTGTGTACAGATGGGCAAATTCGCTTCGGGTCTAATGAGTAACCTGTCCTAACCTGGCCTGTTCTTTGGCATGCTTCTGGCGCCGGCGCTTATTGATCTCTTCTTTGTTCCTGGAAGATATTCCTTTAGGGTACGTGGTACTGGCTTTTTTGTAGAGTAATTTCGTACCTAGCATAGTAGTTTCTGTTTTTAATTCGATTAGCCTCTTTTCTTTCGGCCTTGGTGTGATATTTTTTGGGTCGAGACATGACGAGGACGAAGGAAAGAGACAAGTTGCAGTGGGAAATATGATTGCATTAGGTCGCGTCGTCTGACTTTTTACCAAGGGCCCCTACGGACACGGGGTCTTCACAGGGACATTCAGGCATGCATCGTGCAATTCTTCTGTCCTCTTAGTCACTGGAGAGTGCTCCTCCGAAGATCTTACTCTGGCGCTGTGAGGATAGGGTCGATTCGGCATGCCCAGAGCCGAGTGATCCCATCAAAGATAGCACCTCAGATCACGATCAACCCCTCCTCCTTGATTATTCTCTACCCTCTGAAGGTACCGCTAGCCCCATGTCGTCCTCTTTGTCGCATTCTACAAGTCCCAGATTTGTATTGGTGGCAACTCGAACTCGACCAGACAACCCACGCGCTGCACCAGTAGTGTCCGCTAGGCGCGCAGTTTACCGCAGGTCATCCTCACCATCACAGGCCCCGGTCACCGATTCTGCTGCGACTCAGGCTTCGGTCGACAATCCGCCCAGTGATCCACCGCCTTCATCATCCTCGTCCTCGTCCTCTTCGCAAAGCGGCAACGAATCCGATGACGACTCGGACATCGACGATTGGGTGTCCCCTCCACCCCCTGCCGATTGGGACCATGAGGGTGTTTTCTATGTCCCGATCCCTCCACCCACGACTCGCGACGTCCGAAGACAAGTCCTCCGCACGCTTGTAATCACACTGCTCACTATGCCTAGCAGGGCAGATCTCCTGAGGTTCGCCCTTTTCAGAGTGAGTAAGAGGTTTCTGGTGGACTACGCCGGGTTGTGGTCTCGAGATCCAGGTTAGTGTCCGTTTTTCTTTTCTATGATCGTCCTGATCGCCTCTGACATGTACTCCCTTTCTTGTAGAATCTGGTTTTGTTGGTGAGTTTCTCAATGTTCAACCACATATTGCATCCTGAATATATTGCACAGATCGCTCCCAAACGACGAGCTTGAGGTCTCTCATCACAGTGTGGGAGGATGAGGTGGCCACCGTGGCCGACGCGGTCAGGGACTCATGGAGGAGCATCCGCGATGCCCTGACGGTGGTTGTGGAAGACCTTAATCGCGCTGGGGATGCCGAATTGGAGGGCTCAGCAGACACCTCGCGAGGTCCTGAGGAGTTCTTCAAGCAGGGCTTCGCGTTGCGTGCAATCGTCAACATCCCGACGCGTGTCCCCATCGAATACAGTTCCGATGGGATGTTGGTGCGATGCGGGTATTTCTGGGAGGAGCATTCCATGTCGAATGTTACATGTGATACCATCCTCCACGCCCTCGGTGAATCGGGTGATCAGCTTCGCTGCGAGCCTCCACCAAATTTGCCTGCCCCCTGTGCATGGGGCCATTGACTTCGGCCCTCTTTCCTTGTTGCCATGTGGCCGTTTCGTATGTTCCTTTTCCAGCTGTATTCAAATTTCACAACTCATTTCTGCCCTCAGCGTGCCGTGGCAAGTTTTCTTTTTCCTTGTCGTGGCATTTTTGTTCATTTTCCTCGTCCCGGCTAGGTTCATTGATGTGGATGTCCTCTTTTGTATATTCGTCTTTCCTCTGTATCCAATGCATCTTTTTTTCTGCGTTCACAGGACCACTTGACGCCGTGCGTTGTCGGCTACCATCCCCGGCAATGTTCCGCAGTGGGTTGTTACCCCTTTTGCAATGATCGGCGCACCATGTGAGTGAGGCTTCTTATCGATTTTTCCGAGACTATACGGGGAATATGGTATTTCTAGGGGTATTTCGGGTGCGGACGACATGCGGCGATAGACGACAAAGGCAACAGGCCGCCCGATATGGGCCCAGGATAGAATTTGAGAGAATGGAAAAGAGTGAAATTCGAGTGGAGAGTTACAAAGTTTGGGATTCTCCTTTTGCCAAGGCGTAGCGAACAGGCCTCGTGCGTACGGGGTGCGTACCGATTGGCCTGCCTGGCGCTCTCGTGATTTTCACGAAACGCTTGGGAGTCGGTGCCAACCCGACGATTGCCCTCAGCCCAGTCGCGAAAATCCGAAGGTAGGGAGACCCGAAAATCATCGGCCCAGAATCTGGTTGCAGGCGTAGGAAACCACATTTCTGCCTGTCCGCGTTCACTGCCTCATCGTCCGTACTCTCTCGTCATTCATTTCCAGCTGCCATGTCCAAGAGGAAGAAGAAGACAAAAACGGAGCTCCCCTTGCCCAGCACGGAAGGTGATCGTTATTCCGCGTTCAGACAGATGAGGGACGTCTAACTTCTACCGTGACAGACGCTTTCGTTGGAAGGATAGAAGCCACAGAGAGAGAGCTTCACAAAGAGCAGGAGAAGTTAGCTTCCCTGCTGGTGAGCCAATCGAGTGCTCCAAGTAAGTCCCTGCCAACTGTTATTTGTGCGTGGTGGCTCTGTATTGACAATGGTTCGCAATCAGTGGGCTGGAAAATGTCGCAAATCAAGACTCTCGGTGACAGGAAGATACCCGAGATCAAGAGAGAACTGGCCAGGCTTCGTGAGGCCCACGAGGCCTTTCGAGCAGCTCAAGGGAAGACCGGGTCCAGCAAGGAAACTGACGCCAACTTGGATGAGAACACCCTCTCGCCATTGACGTCCTTTGGGGAACTGGGTATGACTCAAATGTTTTATTTATTCGCCTAGGCTAACGTGACGTGTTTATCTACAGATGCTGAAGGCGAGCCTGAGGAGTTAATTGACTTGGTCATCGACCAAGTGTTCCCAACCGTCTGGGGTAGGATTGGAGTTGATCCTACCAAGATTCCACCAACTCGGCATCGTTCCCTATCTCCTTCTCGTCCCGCCTCTATCCAGCAGTCTCGCCATGGCTCTGTCCATCCAAGTCTCAAGATATCGTTTTTCCCGTCGCTCACTGCTCGCCCACGGTCCCCCTCTACGCCTGACCCACCCTCTCCCCCTGGCTCTCCAGCGCCTAATCCACCCTCTCCCCCTCGCTCTCCTGCGCCTAACCAACCCCGTCCACCTCCAAGTGGGCGAGCTCGATCTCGCTCACCTTCAATCAAAATTCTGGACGTCGTAATCAAGCCTAACAAGGGAGGGAATGAGATCGAGATCACGGCGGAGATCAAGGAGGAACCCAAGATGGACACGGTTCCTCCAAAAGAAGAGGGGAAGAAAAAGGGGAAGCAGAAGAAAGCAGACACGGAAGGCCCGTCGGATGAAGAGATTGTCGCGAAGAGCGGACACTAAACCAAACCTAAGACCAGATGTGCGGAGCGGATAAAAGCGCGGAGTGAGATAAGAATGATGAGCGACTGATGCTGATGAATGCTGAAACGGTGTATTGACGAAGAGGTCAAGCTGAGGAAATACAGAGGGATCTACCTAGCTTATATACCTATTCTACAGTCTACATAGCCGCGATGAGTCAAGATGACGAACGGATGGTGAGATACAAAAGAACAATAAGGAGAGTCACAAGGCTGCGCGAAGAACGAAGAAAACAATAACGGAGTGACGAGGCAGTGCAAGAATGGAGAGAACAATAAGATGTAGGGCGAAGGGCATAACGAGGCAGTGTTCCATGGGAGAAAGTGTCCGTGTCGAGAATAAGGGCAAAAATGAGAATAAAGAGAAGGTGATAAGAGCGATGAAAGCGATAAGATAAGATAAGGAAAAATAAGGGCTCGTACTTGCTGTTCACGACATTACCCCCCTTCTAAGCTTCATCGTCCTCGATGATCACTGGCAGGCGTCGTCCAAGCTCCCAGTCGAAGTCAGTAGGTGGTGTGTCCGTGAAGTTCTCAAGCGAGCGCCAAGGGAGAGAAGCGAAGGTGGCGGCTGAGATGCGGCGGGGTGCAGAGGGGTGACGTTGATGGGAACTCCTTGACGGCGTCGGGGGCGTGCTCCAAGTTCTCTTCTGGTTCCCAAGTATCCTCTGTCGATCCGTAGCCTTTCCAACTGACCAGGTACTCCAGCCTGCGGTTCTTCCCTCGTCCTTTCCAACGACTGTCGAGGATGTCGTGAACCTCGTATTCAAGCTCTCCCTCCAGTTCAACAGGCTCAGGCGGAGGTGGCAGGATGCCATTGACATCATTGCCTTTCCAGGGGGAGAGCTTGTCAACGTGGAACACAGGATGAATGCGGGAGAGGGATGGGGGGAGTTCAAGACGATAGTCGAGGTCGCCAATTCGTTCGATGATCTTGTAAGGGCCGAGTTGGAGGTCGCCAAGTTTCCGAGTAGGAACTTTGATCTGGATGTCCTTAGCGTTGAGCCAGACGTAGTCTCCAACCTTGAACTGGTGAGCCGATCGCTTGCCGGATTCGTACGAGTCCTTCTGTTGCGCTTTCTCAAGGCGTAAGGCGGCTTCGGCATCCTTGCGGACTTCTTGAAGCTGTTGGATGCGTTCATCGACGGGGCGGACGTCAGTTCGTTTACCGACAGGGATGTTGAAGTGAGGGATGTAGCCGTAGAGGACTTCAAAGGGGGATCGGTCGTGGGCAGAGTGGATTCGGGAGTTGATAACGAATTCGGCCATAGGAAGGTGTTTGTCCCAATCATCTTGTCGGCGGCTGACGTAGAGGCGGAGATACTTCTCGACTTCTTGGTTGGCTCGTTCGGTTTGTCCGTTGGCCTGAGGGTGGTAGGCAGTGGTGAGGTTTGACTCGATGCCTAGACGCTTGAGGAGGGTGCGCATGACCTTGGAGGCAAACTGAGGACCGCGATCGCTGATGAACCGGAGTGGGAGGCCGTGGAGGCGAAAGACTTCTCGGTAATAGATGTCGGCAACGCCTTCGGTGGTGATGTCGGAAGTGCAGGGAAGGGCGTGGAGGAGCTTGCTGTAGTGGTCGACAAAGACGATGATGGCATCATGTCCATTGGCATCAGGAAGCTGGGTAATAAGGTCGACTCCAACGGTCTCCCAGGGGCCATCGGGTACCTCCAAGGGCTGGGTCGAGGCGCGGGGGTGCTGGGCGTGTTTCTTCCGGGCACAGATGTCGCAACCTTCCACATACTTCCTGACAAAGGCTCGCATGGTCGGCCACCAGTACTGTCGTTCAACTCGTTTCGAGGGTTCCGTGTACTCCGGGATGTCCAGAGGTAGGATCGTCGTGGCACTGTTTGAGAACGTCGCGTCGAAGTTCATCGTCGGGGGGAACGTAGACTCGACCCTTGTAGTAAACAAGGCCATTATCTTCCTCCCATTCAGCGAGACCAGAGGTGAGACGGCGGGGACCTGTCTTGCGGAGCTGAGCGAGTCCATCCAGAACCTGGGATTCTCGGGCGCTGGCCTGCCGGATACGGTCCTCCAAGGGGTTGACGACCATGCTTGAGGCGGCGAGCTTGGCAAACAGCTCGGGTTTGAGTACCACCTGTTGCTTGTTGTCCTCAGCGTCAGAGACCTGGTGAATATCGAGGCGGGAGAGGGCGTCGGCTTGGGTGTTGGATTTTCCAGGGCGATGGGTGAGCGAGAACCGGAAGCGGGAAAGGTAGAGGGCCCAACGAGCCTGTCGACGACTGAGGTCTTGTGCGGTGCGCCAGTATTCGAGGTTGGAATGGTCGGTGACGATCTCGAATGGTTCGGGGAGTCCTTCCAGGAAGTGACGCCAGTCTTTGAGAGCCTCGATAATGGCCAACATCTCCCGGTCATAGATCTCGTAGTTCCGTTCGGCGGGCTGCATGGAGGCGGATCGGAATGCAACAGGGTGCCAGAGGCCGTCGTCCTGCTTCTGGAGAAGGGCTCCTCCAGTGGCAAAGGCCGGAGCGCGTCGACTTCAATGCGAGTGGGGCGGTCAGGATCCCAGAGTGCCAGGATGGGGGCGGACGTGAAGGCGTTGCGGAGGGTGTCGAAAGCCTGCTGTTGGGGTTCGTTCCATTGCCAGGGGACGTTCTTCTTGGTGAGGTCATTGAGCGGTCGGGCGATGGTGGCGAAATCCTTGATGAAACGGCGGTAGAAGTTGGCGAATCCAAGGAAACCTCGAACAGCGCGGAGGTTGCGGGGAACTGGCCAGTTGCGGACGGCTTCGACCTTGGCGGGGTCCATGCTGACTTTCGCCCTCGCGGATGATCAGCCCGAGGTATTCGCACATGTTTCAGTAGGGTATAGCCATCTTATATGGTAAACCCTGACGGTGCAAAAAGCCCCATGTTGATGGCTTGACCTGACCAGCTGACAGATTGTCCTCCCCATGTATAAAGGGTCACCCATCTGCTCAGCTGACACATCTCTCAAGCTATATCAGAGGTGTTTGGTATACCTTAGAGTATGGGTCAGCTGAGCAGCCAGCTGACCCATGTTTCACAGGTAGGGATGGGTTTTAAAGCCCCCAGGTTAGGGGACAGGGGCCCGGGTAGCGCAGGGGTAGAGTGAGCAGTATCCATCCACCTACCCTAGATCAAACAGGGTAGAGGTAAGAGCTAACCAAGATAGGGGACAAATCACACAGTTATTGATGATCATGACTAGGTACCCATACCCTCCTATTATCAAGGTGCACCAAGCAGGCTAAAACAAATCACACAGTTATTGATGATCATGTCTCCCTCATTGTTGTATTAACCCCAAACTTTCTCTCACATTGGTTTCAGCTCCCAGGTCCTTTCCTAATACTACTGGTGTACATACATCTAGTCGCAGCCTACACTATATGCCCACTTGGTCTACATGAGTTATAACAGCCCAGGTCACCTATACAATAGGCCTAGTTGAATACTACATTGTATATATGATAGATATATCATTTTCATTAAACTTATATTCTACTTATCGCCTTCGTATTGCTGCTTATTTATGGTAGTGGTGGTTGCTCGGTTTGCACAGCAAGCCACCAAGCCATATCCCTGATGCCATCCAATCCGCAGGTCATCATCCGTCGGATTCAAATTCCTCTGCACGCACAACGTATGACCAGGCAACTCCACACCATTGATCATTGATGTCGGTCAAATTTTCCCCTCGTCCGGTTTCATCAAAACGGTTTGGGTCGTTTATCCTGCTGAGAATTGGTCGGAACACCTGCATGCCAAATTATACGGCGATCGGGGCAGTGGAAACTGTGCATAAAGAACAGGGGGTGAGGCTAGGTCAGGCTGCGCGGAACCGGCGAGCAGTGGCGCCATAGCCGCGCGGGCCGACTTTCACCTTCCAAACAGGGACCCGTGTTGCGCGGACCTCCGCTGATGGGTTAACGCGAAAGGCAAACCCCATATTAGGGTTACACCGAGGTTTCCTCAACCTGCCAACTCCAGCACGCGTCTTACAACCCCTTTCTCGTCTTACTCATGTCTTCCGAACTCGATCGTTTCATTGCGCTGGGAAACGCGTCTCGCAGGCTTGTCTGGGAGATATACCAAAGTCGAAATCGAGATCCGCGGGAGTCGTTGCTCATTTTGCTGGAGTATTCGGTGAGTGTAGATCAGTTCGCGATCGTCAGGATGGGTACTCACTCACCTCCTCTATAGAAAATAGTAAAGGACTATCGCAAGTACCTGGGTCTCAACGCAAAGACTCTCGACCCACCCATCCGCATGCTATTCGCGGAGATTGCGAAGAATCACAGCACTTACCTCGATAAAGACGTCCACATTAAACCCCATATCATCCTCGACACGAGATTCCTCGACCGGCTTCCACCACTACCCCCCAACTTCCAACCACCTGAAGACGTTCGGCCGAATGAAGACGTGTCCATGGGGAGCGATGGAAGGCAAGAGGGGGAGGAGACAGAGGATGACGAAGGTCATCAAAGGCGGTCGATAAAGAGAGACAACACTCACATGAGTCCCCAAACCAAACGCTCGAAGAAAAAGAAGGTTCATGTCGATGACACCGCGACACGTCCTTCCACTCCCGCCGAAGAGGGAGACAACCAGCCGCCGGCTCGGGCCACGAGGAGTCGGACCGCCAAGGCTGGGAGTTCGAAGGGTGGGTCTGTGCTAGGGGATTCGAAGGTTGGATCCGCGCAAGGGGATTTGCAGGGTGGGTCCGCGCAAGGAAAGTCGGCTTCGAAAGGAAGGACGGGTGGGAAGGAAAAGGAGAAGGAAAAGGGGAAGGGGAAGGGGAAGGGGAAAGAGAAAGAGGAAGAGGAGCTGGGGGAGGAGATGGAAGAGGTGGAAGCGGAAGCGGAAGCGGAAGCGGAAGCGGAATTGGGAGAGCCAGAGGATGAGGCGCCGGCACAGCAGGAACCGCCCGCGCCTGGTTCGGGGTTCGAGCTCACGGACGAGCCGTGTGCCTTGTGCGTTTTTTCAGGGCAGCAGTATTGCTGGCGCCCACCCGCGGGGGCCTGCTTCCGCTGTCGCAAACAGAAGCAAAAGTGCACGTTTTCGAAGACGACTAAGGGGTTCGGTTCCACTCGACTTGTTACGACGGCGGCGATGGCGAAGGCGAAGGCGAAGACAGCGCCTGTGCAGTTTGGTGCCAGTTCGCATGTGGCTGGTCCGTCGATCAAGCCCGCGGAGGGGTCTTCAGCAATAGCAAAGGAGCCCCAGCAGGTTGAGTGGACGGTTTTTGGTTTATCGGATGGTATGCCCGCCGGTACAGCTATAGGTACGTCCCCTGTGATTGTGATGGTCCCTGTTCTCATTATGTACTTATAGACAGCTCAAACCTCGTAAAGAGGGATGAGCTCAAAATGGTGGCTACTGCGACCTATGACCTCCAGGCAGACGTATACGACATCCGCGGCCAGGTACAAGCGAAGGTCGACACCGACACCAACAAATTCGGCGAGATCGGCGATCGATTGGAGGAACTCAAGGGTGATGTCGAGAAGGTCCAGGAACAATGTCTCGCATTTACAACCGACATCGACGACATCCGTGCGGAATTGGAAGACCTAAGGAAGGAAATTCCAAACAACACCCAGGAAATGCAGAGAATGACGAAGACTATTGACGACATCCAGAAGCGCGTCGTGGATCAGGAGCAGCAATTCAACGCCTACAAGCAGAAAGCGCCCGATAGGCTTCGTTCACTCGTACAATCGACCGTGAACTCTGAAGTGAACAAGGTGGCTGGGGTATTAGAGGGGAGGCTCGCAGAGAAGCTAGAGGATTACGATAGTCGGCTCCGCGAGTTGGAAGGGCAACAGATCTCGGAGATGGAGCGACAGTTGGAGGGGCTGATTTCCGAGAAGTTCAGCCACCTCTTCAAGGACGCCGAAGGGAAGCTGGAGAATTTCGTCAAGGGTATCATTGGGAAGGAGTCCCAACGGCTAGCAAAGCCTTGTGTCCATCCCGACGGGGTGGCAAAGGAGGTGGCCTTGTCACGGATGCGGTCGTTCATACAAGAGGAGGTTGCGCGGGTCAGCCGCGACATGGTACAAGAGGCTGTCGTCGTTGCCATGCGGAATCTGACGGTCGTCCCCCCATCCCCTCACCATCACCCCCCTCGCTATCCAACGTTAATTGACCCTGATGCCTTTGCACAGGCTTTCGAACCTCAGCTTCTGTCTCCAGCTCGTCCTAACCTCGGCAACTCTGTTTCCGCGATTCGTGTATCAGATTCCAGAGCTAACCTTGGTGCAACTCTACAGGAATCCATCCTGACTGAGGTACCTGACAATGTCTCTTCCGTTCGAGCAAGGCCAGTATCTAGGAGCAGCAACAGTGCAGACGAGGAAGAGGACCCATAAATATATAATTGTTGGTGTGTATAGCTCTGTGTTACATAGTACGGATATTAATAATTCTTGCCTTTTGGCCTCCTGTCTTTCAAATCGAATATATCGCCTCCATTCCGTACACCCGCCGGCCTCGGCTTTATGCCCTTCAACTTTGTTTTGGATCTGGTCTGAATCTCAGAGGATTTTGCCTTCGCTCGTGTGGTCACTCCGGCGGAGAGAGTTGGCATATTCCTCTTCTGCACTGGTTGTTCCTCGCCACTATCCTCAGGTCCTCTTGACTCATCGTCGGCGTGGACTGTCTTCCCCCTCCCCTTCGAATTCTTCTTCGACTTTGCGTGGGTGCGTTCTTCCTCCCTGGCGGAAGGGTCGTCGTCCTTCGACTTTGCGTGGGTGCGTTCTTCTTCCCCGGCGGATGAGTCATCGTCGGCGTCTGCCTTCCCCTTCCCCTTCCTATTCTTCCCCTTCCTCTTCGACTTTGCGTGGGTGGGCTCTTCTTCCCCGGCGGAAGGGTCGTCGTCGTCCACGCCTGACTTCCCCTTCCCCTTCTTCCCCTTAGACTTCTTCGTCGACTTTGCGGGGGTGCGTTCTTCTTCCCCGGCGGATGAGTCGGGTGTTTGATCCACCGTAGCCTCCTTCGCTTCCCTATCACCTTCACTATCACTTCCCCCATTCGAGTCGTTCCCGCCAGTTGCTTTCGCCCTCTCCTTCCCCTTAACCTTGCCTTTAGTCCTTCCCTTTGGCTGTCCCAATGCCTTTTGAACCCTTCCTCCCTTGCCCTCATCACCCTCTGTCTCTGAATTGTCATCTCCCATACCCTCTCCTTCGGTTTCTTGACCCGACGATTCGACAACAGCAGTGCCGATCCGCTTGAGTGGTGAGTCCGACCAGTTTGGTGCTACGGGTCTAGACCCTCCTGCGAACGGTGCCGCGGCGAACGGTGCCGCGGGTCTACCCGCCCTGGCTTCTGGGTTCCTTCCCTCCCCTTGGCCTTTGCCCCTTTTGGACTTCTCCTGTTTGCTGGGCAGGTCGGTGTCAATGGGTATGCGGGCAACTCGCTCGAGCCAAGTCCCTTCGTTCTTTGGATCTTCGTAATGTGAGAAGGAGAACACGGGGTCGGCACCCGCCAGCTGACGGCTGTACCAAAACCCCAGGATAGCCTTGAGGTTGTCGTACCGCATCACAGAAGGGTCCTTCAAGTCAACCGTTAGTCGGTCAGGCCAAAATGATTCGTCGACAAAACGGCGAAGGTTGGCAAATAATCGGGCCCAAGAGATATCACTCTTGACACCTCCGGATGCAACGCCTGGGAAGGTAGGTTAATGCTTGTTGGTGTGGATCACATTTGGCGCTTACGATAACTGTCAAAGATGAATGCGCGAAACACTTTCGTGATCCACTTCCGATGACTGGGCTCGCCTGGAGGACATTGGTTGACATCGGGGAGGATTGGCTCGCCATACTGGTTCCTCTCCAACTCGACCCGCGCGAGCTCTCGGACATTTTTCGGTGGTTGTGCGGGGCCTTGACCCTCCTGGGTAGAGTAATATGGACGCATCCAACGATCAAAGAGCTTCTCAAAGTGCATCTTCTCGTAGTCCCCCTTGAACTCCTCATCCAACCGTGTCCCCCCGTCAAGTCTATCGTTGTGATCCACAATCTGCTTCACCAGCACCCCATCCTTATCCCTGAAAGCAACCATCGCCCACATACGCGCGTTCGCCTGGCGGTAGATGTCCTCTGCAAATAACCAGGTCCGTCGGCTCACAGACTCTGCGTTACTGAGGACTCAAGGTCAGACCCAGCGGGTGAACACAGAGACATCACTTACATGAGTTGGATCTCCCCTGGTGGAGCTATATTGTCCCATTCCACAGCCTCATTCGCATATCTCGCCTTTTGTTCCTCGGGGAGCTTGTCCCAGAGTTCGGTCACTGCCCTCTGGTAAAATCCTATATGCTGGTCCCCCTCGAACTGGGCGGCGTCCATTAGCTCCCTCTTCTTCCTGGCGACTTCCTTCCATTCCATGTGTGCAAACACCTCCCTTCCACTCCGAGCCTTTGTCCCAATCTTTGCCGCTTTGTTTCTAGGCCTGCAGTTGGCTTTGAACCATGCAGCCACAGCTTCTTCAATGGAGGCCTTCATCGTGGGGTCGGGAGCCTCCCCGGATGTCTCCTCCAGCATCGACACAATGCGACGGCGTCGTTTCCTGACAAACTGGGCAGTGGATCGGGTAGCCTTAGCAGTATACCATTCCGCCTGGGATTTTGAAAGGTACTCAATGTGATTGGCTGCAAGCTTGAACTTCAATTTCTTGTTGGAGGTTTGGCGAGCCATATGCGGGGACTGAGAAGACGAGATGAGAGAGACCTCAGGTACTGGCGCGGAGGCTTCAGCTTATTCCACCGTCCGGCGGATAAACTCTACGCGACACTGTGGGCATTTCACTCTCCGATTCAAAGCATGTGAATACTCGGTGTTTCCGATGTCCTGGCCTTTGTAGCACACCACCATGGTCCGATCGCGAAGACCTGTGGAAGATGAAACGGTTACGTCTCGTGTCACAGTCCACCACACATCGAGAGGAATAATAGTCCGGTCCCGACCCATCTTGAACACTCCAGTGAAGAAGAACATACGGAGGCTCCGTCGAACAGACTCCACTGGGGCGTCCCCACGCAAGAGGGCTAGAACCCAGCCACGTTCCCCCCATATGCATGCTGAAGATGATTTCCCACTTTTCGACGGTTTAGCCGGAAATACGGCGGCAGCCCCGCGCATAACTCCACCCTCGTTTGCCTCGACGAGACCCAAGAAGGGATATGTAAGATTTTATTTGTCCTGTCTGCCGACATTTACATTTATGATGTTGATACCACAGTCTCAACACGACTTTATGGCTGATTGGATCCCTCGGAAGAACCAGTTTTTACATGCTATACTCGAAGGGGAGAGGAAAACATCAGCCTCGTGCACAACCTGCGGGAACGGCGATGCATACTGGAGGTGCCTGGAATGTGTCGGATCCTTTGAACTCTGCAGGAGTTGCATGAGGGATAAGCACCGGGATCTGCCATTCCACCGGATTGAACACTGGACTGCCACTCACTGGAACCCCGCTTGGCTGTGGCAGACTGGCCTTGTTGTTTCGCTTGGACATGGTGGCGCTCCATGCCCCAGTCCTCAAGGTTTTTTCCAGGAGGGTGATGAAGATTGCGAGGACGATTGGAGTGATGAAGAGGCTGACGTAGAGGACGAATCCAATAGTCACGGGTTGGACAGCAACAGGTTTTCCTTTGGTGCAAAACCAACTGGTCGACAGGTGGGCGATGATCGCGTCGTAATCGTCATGCACACAAACGGTATCCATCATGTGTTTTTCCATCTCTGCGGCTGCCCAGAACATCCCCCCGAAACAGTACAATTCCTCGATATGAAGCTATATCCCGCGTCTGTAAAGACGGTCAGGAGTGTCGCTACCTTTGCGTTATTGGACGACTACCACATGAATCAAGTCGAGTGCTACTCGTCGACGTACAACTACTTTGCCAAACTGAGGCGGATTACCAATAAGGCATACCCTCAGACCGCCCCGGTTGGTGTTTCTCTCCCTTGCCAGGCAAACCAATCAGAATCTAACACCGGCCTTCCCCAATGTAGAATCGGTATCGCGAGCTCACGCGGATGGGTCGGCAGTGGATCCATCTCAAAAACCTCAAATGGTTTGGATTTGGCCATACAACCCGAGAGCCGGCGGATGGAGAACTTGCCCTCTTCTGCGCGGCGTGCCCGCAGAAAGGTCTTAACGTACCCGCGGAGGAATGGAAGGATCTCCCTGACATCTTGAAGCTGAGGAGCTTTGTCGCAGATGGCAATTTCTCCTGCGTCCACCAGCGGCAGCGCGGCGTCGATAAGGACGTTTGGATTTCCTCTGGCACAGGTTTCATGACCGAGAGGACGGCGTATGCTGAACACCTAAGGTCTGCGACCGAGGAAAAACAGGTTAGTCTGTACACGCTATACCGTATCAATGACTCTTACAATTGGTTTCGAACGGCATCTAGACATCGACTTGTCATGAACATCGCGCAATAGCGGACAAGTGGAAGTCATTGAAGGGATGTGACGTCACCGGCATTGGTGCAATTGCGTGCATGAGGCACGGGTGTTTCGTACCTGGGGCAATGGTCGATTTTCAGAAGGGAGAAAGGTGATGTCGCCGAAACCTATGCGCTACTTATCGATAATTAACTGAAGCGGACCCGCGGCCCGTCGCCTAGGCAAATTAACATGGACTACGCGTGGTTAAAAGCTCTGCAGATGGGAAGATTGGATGATGTCCGCTGGGTCCTGCTCGTATACGACATCAATTGCCAATATTGCATCAACTTTAAGCGCCGTATCAAGAAATATCGCAATACCAGTTTGAGGCCACCCGCGGGCCTGATCATAGTGAATGCGATCGGGCTCTGGCATGTTCATGGACATCGCCCTGAATGCTATGCGCGGTTCGCACCCTCCTTCGTCTCTGGTGCAGGAAAGAAGAGTGGAGAAATACTGGAACCATTATGGGTCCCGATGAACAAACTAGCAGGCCCAACCAGGACTATGGCCAGTTCCCACCGCGCGGAAATGTTGGACGCAGGAGCCTCGGATAGTAATTGGAAGAAATTGACCGGACTGGGTGAATCAACTCACGCAAGCTCTGCTATTCGCTGATTATTGATTATTTTAGTGTCTTCAATTTGCAAGGAGCTGCCCAAAGCGAAGGAACAGGCCGAAGATGCGTTAGAGAGGTACAATGCTATCTGCGGCGCGGTAACCAAAGTCCAGGTGAATGAATGGACTGCGGAACTTGAGGAGGCTAAGGTCAGGCGCCTGACTGACTTCAAAGCGATGGATATTTTGAACTCGAAACTCGACAAAGGTATGCGCCACATGCTGTACAAAGATCCTACTCACTTATTATCACGCACAAGTACCAAAGAGGGCAGAAGTAGAGGCAGATTTAATGGACAAGGAACGATCATCTGGAGAAGGCCTAGGAGTGACGAGTTGGATCTCGTCCGGTATCGATATCCAGGAGAGACAGTACGTACCCCAATCGCGGACCTCGAATACTCACCTTCCATCCATTAACCGATCGATGGGTAGGGTCGAGTTGAAACGGTTAGCCAGGCGGTACCACCCGCACACAACAGCGAAGCAGAAGCTCGAAATCGCAAAACGCCGGCAGGACCTGACAAGCTCAATCGAAGGTTTTTTTAAGGATGCCGCGAGTCTCTTCCCTGGGGTCGACCTCACCATCCTCGAGCTGCTTACGGAGGGATGCGTCGTTTCGGTAGCGGTCCCCGCACCCCATGAAGAGGATGTGCCGGATTCCGACTACGACATTGAAGAAAATGTCTCCTCTTTACCCGCGGACCAGGGTGACGGTGGTTCCCCTGAGGACATCGCGATCCCGTTACCCTCCACCGTTAAGGCCTGGCCAGAGGCGCTCGCGTCCGTCCGACGGAAGGAGAGATCGATGCGCATAGCTCAGGCCAACACGAAACTCGAATCTATCCGCGACTCCATTGGGCGTTTATCCTACCTCTACCGTTCGCTCATCCGCGGCGCTAAGACGAAGAAGTCAAAAACACGTTCATATGGAATAGTCAAAGGATCCCGCGATGAACTACGGTTGCAGGTTAACCACTACGAACAGGCTAGGCGTGCCCTCGAACGCCTCGGGACAGCCGCTTCGGTCCTTGTGAAATACCAACCCATCCGCCCCGCGGATATCAGGGTGAGCACCGCTATTGCCGATCCGAATGCAAGAGGCCAGAGCTCCTCCCAGCTATCCTGGATATGGGGGATTCCAAGCGACAATCCATCGGATCGAACCTTGTATCTGGACGAACGTATGTCCCATTCGTCTTCGTCGAACATAACCTCTTACAACTCCACCTTTCCAGTCTATCGCGTCAATTGGATGAGAACCCGAGAACGCTACCTACGCGAAGAAGAAGAATATCAGTTTCTCCTTCGGGAAACTGCTTGGGTGCCACGTTTCTTCGATTCAAAAGCTTTGGAGTGGGAACAGCGGGGGGAGAATGTGTCAGAGCCAGGTCACATTGCCTACGCCTGCCGACAGGCGGACCTATGGCGAAACCTCGCAGAATATGCGCGGGAAGGGTTCCGCAGGGTGCTCAAGTCTATACAAGCCCCTGTGACCCGCGCAGACGTTATGACATGTCACGGGTCCGATTCTGACTCGTCCCAAGATTGCTCAGATAGCTCTACCGCATGTACCCCGTAATCTATCTTGAAATCCATGTCGATCCCCCATATAAGCACGCTCGTAAACGCTACCCATACCATGGACGAAAACCCCGGTGATCGCCCGAGCATTTCAAGTCTTGGTCTAATCAATCTTCACATCTCCCGCACCCTCTACGCGCTCAATACCCTCCTTGCTGAACGTGAGGCCCTTCAACGACAGGGCCACTTTGCCCAATTTATCAAATGTCTTCAATTCGAACTTGTGAGGTTTTCTTTGGCTCAATTAATGTCGGATTGCTCACCTCGGGAAAAGCATATCATATCCTGGCGTATTGCTTGTCACCTGACAATGTGGGGATGGAAAGATCTTCGTATTCCTCCCGCATTTTGCCACCTCGTGCAGGCTACGTCGCTCGGTATTTTGGATGACGAACTTGTCATCCAGGCGATAGTGCGCGGACTCGCGGCCGCACTTCCACCATCGGTGTGCGACCCGCCCCGCGCGTGGTGGGTCAGATTCCCCGAGAGGGCATCTGAAGTTCCTAGGTCCCAGGTGGACACACAGCAGCTTGAGGAAATGTACCCCCTCGAGGTTCGCTCGACAACATACGTGCATGCAACACCTCCCCCCCCAGTTGGAGAACCGTCCCATGCACCACCGACGGTCGGCTCAACCAGTCAAAGGGCCCTAGAGAAGTCAAAGGTGGAGGCTGAGCGGCTGTTACAGATCGCGAATCTACAGCTTCGCCGGGGGAAGATACGATCCAACGAGTTGGACTTCCGCCTTCGTAGATTGTGTGAGCTTACCGTGTAACGTTCACCTACCATGTCATCTACACATCCCATGTCATCTGCAAATCAACTGCGCTCTCCTTTTCTCTTGTCAAAATCGGAATGGCTTTCGTTTTGCGCCTATCTGGACCGTCGCACCGCGCACTGCCTGGTGTGGCTTTCCAAGAACTTCCCCTTGGATGAGAACCGACTCGACGAGTTTTCTAATGGGTTGATACTCGAATTTGTAAGTCCCTCGCTCATGAGATGTTCATGTTCATTCAATACCGCGATACCTGACTACGGTGGCTAGAACACCCAACTCCACATCCTTCTCAATGCCATTGCCGCCGGGTCGACCCCACCCTGTCCAGCCCTTCTCTGTGCATCCACTGGATGGACTCCATTTGCTGGAGACGTCAAGGACGTTGTCACATCCGCGGAGAGCCTCCTCCTCACTGTCTTTCGGAATGGTATACCCGACGGCTACCTGGACTTCCAGGTCGGATTCCGTTGGTGGGAAGCTTCATTACAACCACTCACGCCCTCCCAGCGTTATGAGGCAACGTTTACCGCCTGGTGGCAGGAGCAGCCAAACTCGATCACTCCTCAAGGCCTCCGTCTTAAAACCTCCAATGAGTTAAAATCGGCGATCGCGATGTTGGAGAATGAACTGACGGAGATCGACGAAGATACAGCCAAGTGTCTTACAAGGCTTGTCGAAATTGAGAATGCAGATCAAACGGTTGTAGTAAATACACAGTGTTCCTCAGAAAATTATTCATATTCACTATCTGTCGTGAACAGCCGGTACAGCCCCTATTTTTCACTTTATCTTATCTGATCTGTCTCGCATCTTATCGTTTCGCTTGCCCCTATTCCTTCGCTCCTTTATTCCCTCTATGGACTCTTTCACTCATGGAACACTGCCTCGTATTACCCTTCGCCCCACTTCCATTGTTCTTATTGTTACGCACTGCCTCTTGACTCATTCTGACACTCTCTTGTTCCATTATTGTTTCATCCTTGTTCTTCGCGCAGCCTTCGCGCAGCCTCATGACCTTTCTTATTGTTCTTCGACGTTTCGCCATTTGTTTGTCATTTTGACTCATCGCGGCTATGTAGACTGTAGAATAGGTATATAAGCTAGGTAGTTCTGCTCTGTATTTCCTCAGCTTGACCTCTTCGTCAATACATCGCTTCCGCCTTCATCTGCATTCGTCGCTCATCGCTCTTATCTTACTCGCCGCTCTTATCTGCTCCGCATTACTGGTCTTTGGTTTGGTTTAGTGTTCGCTCTTCGCGACATTAGGTCAAGCTACCCCCGTGCACTGGCAACGCCGATCGTTGTCCCTGCATTCCGGACCCCCTGGCACTCTGGTTGACCTGCCGATCAGGTCTTACTCTGGCAACTCTGGTTTTCCGACACCGTCAAGATTAGCTGCGCAGGATACCCACACTTCTTCGCCTCTAGTAAAGACCTCAACCCTGACAAGTGGTTTGGCATCGACTGCCACCTCGATAGCAAGGAAGAGGTTGTAGAGTGTGACAGTTCCCCCTGCCCCTACCGCCTCAGTCTCCGGCCCACCTTTCACCAGTTACGACGCCTCCAGACAGCCAGCTTCTACGCTGCTGTTTGCACCTCCGACAACGCCGTAAAAGCCCGCGAATTTGCCGAATCCAGGAAAGAAGAATCGAAGAAGAAATCCCCACCAGTAACTCCGCCGCCAACCGGGTCACACAGCTCTTACCAGAAGATTCTCCCCAGTCTTTCCATTCCGCCGACTCTACCCCTGCCCCAGTAACAGCAACCACCAGTACCGCACCGAAGTCCTTTCGCCCTCCGTCAACATCATTTGAAGAAGACAGTGAGGAAGAGGACGACAACGACAAGGAAGACGAATCCGAAGAAGAAGACTCCGAAACACCCGTCCCCTTTCACGTTACCTACGCCGCGTTAGCAGAAGCCCTTCCCGCAGTAACAAGTCTCCGCCGCTCCGGACACTCCACCCCCACCACAGCCCTTACCCTCACTCCTCGCCGCGCCCTCACACCACTTCCCATCCCCAGGGAGTCGGAGGACACGTCTGTTGCCCAACGCTCAGATAACGAACCTCCCACTTCCACCTTATCACCATCTTTATTATCCCCACCCACTTCTCTGCCGCTCGTCCAACAAGACCCCGTTACCAAACCCGCAAAGCCTATCCCCGATCTCAGTATGTCCGACACCACTCTTCTCAAGTTGCTTGCCGAGCAACAAGAGACTACCAGGCGTATCCAGCAATCCCTGGATAAGCTCACGGCTGCTAAGACCGCTTCCACTAGAAGCCCCGTCAAAGCGCCTGAGCCCTTCAAGGGTGACTCTGGTGATACCCAGCGATTCCTCCGCTATTTCACCAACTGGGCCTCCGCCGAGTCCGAACTCAAAGGAGATGACAAGAAGTGGATCTCAGCTGCCCTCTCGTACCTTCAGGGTGCTGCTGCCTCCTGGGCTGTCCAATACCTGGATCAGATTGCCGCCCACGAGGCTGCTGCCGACGCTGCTCAGAAGGCCGCCCACCCCTGGCCCTTCAGTGGCGATTGGTCCACTTTTGTGGCTGCCTTCAAGAAACGCTTCCAACCCGCCGACCAGGAGAAAGCAGCTGAAGCCCAGCTCGAGGCCCTTACCCAGGGTAAACAATCTGCTTCCCAGTTCGCAGCCAAGTTCATGGAGATATTTCCCCGCACCGGTCTATCCCAGAAGGATGGTATGGCACGTTTTCGTCGCAAACTCAGTTCCAACGATCGCCTCATGCTGGATCTTATCGCCATCACCAAACCGGACGATGCCAAGCCCAAGACCCTTCAAGACTACTGCGACATCGTCAACCAGAACGATTTTACGTTTCACGGAAGCAGCGCCTCCTTCTTGACCCCGACTGCCTCGTCTCGCTCTGCCCCTGCCCGTGACCCCTATGCGATGGACATCGACGCGACCCGTGTTGGACCTAGTGGCCGTTCCCGTGAGGACTTCCTCCAGAGCAATGCGTGGACGATGCTTTGGGTTGCGGATCCTCCGCCCACATCAAAAAGGACGGCAATCACGGCTCACTTCGTTGCAACCACTGCCAGCGTCTCGGCCACTCCGCTAACGTCTGCCAAGACAAGTTCATGGGCTATCCGCCCGGTCGAGGACTCACCCAACGTCGTCGCGTTGCTGCCACCCAGGAGGTTCCCTTCTCGCTCTTCGATGACTCTTCCACACCCGCCGCCACCATTGCTGCCACTTCGCCTGCCCCACCTGCTGCCACCTCGTCTAACGTTTCACTCGCCGATCTACTTGGTTGCTCAGAAGAACCAACAGGACATCCTGGAGCGCCTCGAGAAGATCCAACATACAGGGGTTTTTGAAGCGGGTGCTTGTTTCGTGCTGCAAAGCATGCACCCTTTTCACCGTCGTACGCTGTTTCTGAATATGACTCGATTTACTCCTGTACTATTAGCTCTGTGCGCGAAATACACCCCGGTTCCTCGCATTTTCGCATTCGCATCAGACTCAGAGGCAGAAACCGTACGGCGGACCCCGCAGCAATGATCGACTGTGGCGCTACTGGCAAATTCTTGGACAAGCCTTTTGTGGAAAAGCATCGGATCACCACGTACCCACTCCGACACCCCATTCGGCTCCTCAATATTGATGGGACCCCAAATCAGGCTGGACACATCACTCACTTCGCTCGCTTGGAACTCACGGTTGACGGTTACTCCGAATGGACGGACTTCCTCATCGCCGATCTCGGGGGAGAGGATGTCATCTTGGGTCTTCCTTGGCTTCGCAAGATCAACCCCCAGATTGATTGGCGCAAGGGCACCTTGGAGATTCCCCCACCTCGTGTCTCCAGTGTTACCATCGAAGAAATCCCCGACGAAGATGCACAGCCCCCTCGAAAGGAACCACCCTCCGGCAATGCTATTATCGAACAGATCTACAACGACCCTGATCCGCCTGTTCCTACCAACGAGTTCCCGGCGCCCGACCCCGACTTTGAACCAAGCGCGCCTCCTCTCTGCCGCATCCGCGCTAACCGAATGACCCGGCGGAGATGGGTTCGTAAGGGGTTGATGGAAGACACAGGCGACGAACTTTGGTGCGCCGCTGGTTTCACCTATTCCCAACAGATCGCCGAGAAGTCCCAGAAGGCCAAGCCCCAGAAGTCGTTCGAAGAGATGGTTCCTCCCCAGTACCGACAGCACGCCTCCGTCTTCTCCGAATCCGAGTCCCAT